TCATCATACTCACACTTCATCATACTCACACTTCATCATACTCACACTTCATCATACTCACACTTCATCATACTCACACTTCATCACTCACATCACTCACTCATCCAAACAATACCAACTCTCCACTTACATACCTAATCTAGCTTCTTCAAACATTGAAACACACCCTCATTCTGCAGAATCGATAAACACTTGAACAGCAGCAGAAGAAAAGAATTTATTTACCTACCTATCTCCTTCATAACACTACTCCCCCGTGACACCCCCAACGAAACCGTGAAAACACAATATCTCCCCCCTCACTCCCATAAATAACGATCCCACTCCCCCCACCTCTGTCCCATGGCCTTCTGATAACACAGCATGATATAGCCCATCAAACCCGCCTAACGCGCCCGCCTCCAGCAGTGGTGGTGGAGGACGAGTACGCGGACGAGCCAACATCGCTTCCTTAGTCAGATCTCACATCGGTGAAGCGTGCTCCCTCCCCCATCCCTCCCATCATCCCTTTATCGTCTATAAATAAAAATAAAAGAGGTATGATCCTTCATGGCACACACACACACACACATATAGCACACAGAATATAGGCGTTATTATTACTTGTAAAGGAGATACATGCTTGTTCCCTGGCTGGTGTATGTCCGGACATACTTGGTCCCCCCTGTGCGATAGCTGACGCTAGAGCATTAAGATGGGGAGTTATGGATTCCTTCTGCGTTCGACGGTGGCGTTGGGGAGATTACTTGTTTGGGGAATTTTTTTCGTGGGTGGTGGGAAAGAAGGAGGGAGGGGGAGGGAGGATGAATGAGGTAGACGTGGATGGATTTGAATTCGTCTTGGAGTGGTGGATCGCAAGTACTATTATGACTCTATTCACAGTTACAACAACACCAGACTTAACTACCAGCATCGCCCTCGCCCTCGCCTTCGCCCTCAACCTGGGTCTGGTCCTTCGTTTTCTTTTTCCGCCACTTCATGTAGTACCTCAAGATTGTTGTCGCCGCCTTGCTACCCCTCGCAGCTTCGAACCTGTAATCGTCGATCTGTTCCTGCTGGACTTCCCACTTGTCTCTGAACTCCCTGATCCAATCCTCACCCGCGACTGCCTTCCCTCCAACGATGAGCACCATGCCGTTGAGCGCACTACTCCTCTGCCACGCCTCGTGGTCGAACTTAGGGATATGCAGGAACTCGTGCTCCTTGCTGCAGATCAGGGGGTGCAGGGCGTCGAGCTGGAGTTTCTCGTAGCAGGGCGAGCAGAGCTGCACGTCGAGGCAGTTCTTGCATGCCCAGCGGACGTCGAGCATGTCCTCCCAGACCACTTCGCAGGCATCGCAGTGGTAGCTTTCGAGGTAGGCCTTGGGGCCTGGGCCGGTGTATTCTGTTGGTGCTGCGGCAGTGGGCTCGGTATTGTTGGCTTCGTCTGGCTGGGTAGTAGCAGCATCAGGCTGCGGCTCGTTGTTTGTGTCGCTGCTGGATGTTGACTCGCGGGGCTTGATTGCCTGCCAGACCGCGACGGCTTCTTCGTCGAGGTTGAATACGGTGAGTATCTGTGCGACGATTCGAAGCCGCGTTTCTAAAGAGTAATCATTTGGGTCCTCGGGCCAACTGTCGAAACTCCCACGGAGCAATACCTTCGCCTCATGTCTTGCTGATTTGATATCACCTCGGAGCACGTGGAGTCTTACCAGACAGAAGCGAGGATCCGAAGCAGTTTGGCGCATCTTGCGATTGACAGGACGGCTCAGTCTTGCGAGCTCTTCTAGCCTCCCAGTGTACGTCAAAATCTTTGCTAGATCCGGCTCGGAAAGGTACGTGGCCCCTTTATCAAGGATACCAACCGCAAGCCGTTTGATCATGTGCTTAGCTGTCCAGATAGTCATGGGATATTCTTTTTGATTTCGAATCGCGGTCTCCCACAGTCCTAGAGCCCGATCCTCAGCATCATCGGCATGGTGGCCATAGAACGTCAGGGCAGCTTGGTAGTGGCGCAATTGTCCCTGGACCATGAGCAACCAGTTCTTGGGCAAATCTCCATCGGTCTCAAAGTCGGGCATTCCTTTCAGTGCTTGGTCATAGAATTGATAAACCTGATCGACGGCCTCTGCTTGTCTTGCCGCGACCATGATCTTTCCATGGAAATGGACCTTGGGATAAGTGATCCAAAGCCAATAGGTGAGGGGCTTTCCAGCCTTCTCGGTGTCGCGCATCTCCTGCAGGAGATTGACCATGTCTTTGTACGCTTTTCGTTCGTACCATATCTCGAACAACGAAATGAGAGCCTCAGAATGAACGAGTCCCATCCTTGATTCAACTTCCACAGGCTGATCCAGCAGGGCCAGGAAACATTCGACTGCGGCGTCATAGTTTCCCAGCTCCTTGTACAAAGTACCTTCGGGAAGAAGGAAGGTTTCCCAGTAGAAGCCTCTGTACTCCTTATTCGTCTCAAGCAAAGTCTCACGCAGTGCCTTCAACTTTTGGATGCAGTCAATTGCTGATTGGGGGTTCTGTAACTTTTGATGGATGACTGATAGCTTCTTGAGAAGGATCCAAGTATCTGGAAGCTTAGACTGGGCATCCTGTATTGGAAGGAGAGCTTGTTGCCAATTTTCAGTCGTGATATAGATGGCACCTACCCGCGCGGTCCAGCAAGGTTGATTGATATCCAAGCCGGTGTGCTCCTCCGCCCAATGAATGAAGTCCTCGAGCTCATCTAGGCGCGCCTCATAATTGCCACTGTAGCTCAAACCTTTTATCTGTCACACGATCAATATAAGATAAATAGTGGTGATGATGACGACATACCTTTGACACTATGTGAAAGGGAACCCAGAAATAGCTGACGTAGATGGTAGATTCAGCGTTGAACCATTTAATCGCTAGATATCTTGCAACTCGGGTAAGAATGGAGTACTTGTTGACCGTGTTGGACGTTACTGCTTCGACCCATTTTCTCTTCTCTTCGTTCTGTGCATAACCTTGTCTTGCGTGAGGGCTCCTGAGAAATTTCACGGTTGCATCTAAGAAGTCTTCTTTCTTAATCCAATCTGACTGGAAATAACTTAAATCGTCGTCCTGATTGTCAAACCACGCCGCAATCGATTCTTCGTCGTAGAGTACGCCAGCGAGATATTCCCCAATCTCGCGAAGCGTACCTTTGTCGGGCTCGAAGTAATCCAGTCTTTGCACAAAGTCATTCAAGTACTCGTAGAACCATAGTGCCGAATGTTCGCGAAGAGCCTTGAGGTTTTTGTCCTCTGGCGTCACACACAAGACTTTGAGGCATGAACGCGCGATTGTGACATTCAAATTATCCGAGTCGACGACGTGAACATATGCTTTCTGCTTCCCAGCGAGAGCGTCGAAGAATGCTTCAAAATTGAACCTATCATAGTCCACTTGCCCACAGGCGTTTCTAATGAAGCGGCGACAAAGTTCGATTTCCGAGTGGTGAAGATGCTCCTGACCCAGATTGTTTGCGGGTAGGCCGAGTGCATTTGTTTGAACGAGGCGTTGACCGTTCTCGGCTAGGACTTGAAGAAGTTGTTTGGACTTGAGCTTTACCATGTCATTGTTGTTGAACGTCAAGAGGCCAGAGAACGTGGTTGCGACTAGATCTCGCAACATGAAGTTGCGTTGAAAGGAAAGATAAAGAGCGCTCTGAAGCAAGTCAATCGAAACCGCGGTCTGTCCGCCTACGATCCAAACGAGTAGCTCGTTAACCTGCTGAATCTGCGCTGCGCTCAACGAACTGTTGAAGGCCTCAATTGAATCTCTGACGCTCTTGTTGACATCATAGCCTGCGCTATCGATGACGGCTTGAAGCTTCTGCTCGGTGTCGCACGCGTTGATCTGGGTCAACTTTGCTTCCAGATGTCCGAAATGACCGCGCACACTGGCGAGGAGCTTCTTGAAGTTTTCTTCAGTCATGAATGACTTGAGGTCAGGTCTCTTCTGAGCCAAATCGTCGACCTTTGCTCGCGCAACGGCCTCAAGATCGCTAGAGTTGACATATGGAGATGTTGAAGTGGCAGCTTCGACATCTTCGTCATCTTCATCATCCTCGTTACTCGCTCGCCCTAGTACGATACGCCGAACAGAATTATTCTGGGGGATAATTGCAACACCGTCAGGCGTACCCGACAGGAAGAAACGAAAAGATATGCCTTCGGATGCCTTTTCTTCGGGAATCGCGTCCTTAGCAATCGCTTTGAGGGTTGCCCCCGCGACACCGGAAGAGTCGTAACCATTATAGCCGTCTATGCAAATGAAGTACGTGCCTGATAAAGCATGTCGTAATTGCGTGATAAGAGTCCCCCATCTGTCGGCATCCCGAACCGGAGTTCCCTGTTGCGTACATATCTTAGCTACGAGCTCGGCATATGCCACGTTGGTGCACGCGATCTGGTACACGATGGAGTCCAGGCATTTGTCAATAGACTCGTTTTTGCCGATCTCATCACCTTCGTCGCCGAAATAGTAGTACGCAACATGAACTTGATCCGAATCGTCACTGGCGGGATATTTCTCGAAAACAGACGAAATGACAAAATTGGAAAGATAGGTCTTCCCGCTTTCCGGGCTGCCTTCAAGAGTAAAGACTTTCGTTGTTGAGTTGTGAACGTCGATCCATTGAGCGAAACCAAGCTCTTCTTTGTGAAGCCAGTTGCCGCTCTCTTTTACTCGGATTCTTGAGAGATAGTCATGACGCCTTACCCAAGGGTCACTCGTCTTGGGAAGATCAAACGTCGAACGAATGGTCTCCAAGTTCTTCTTGGCATTTTCCTGCGTTATATGGCTGTCCAACGTAATCTTCATCTGCTGCGTGATATCTAAGGTCTCCTCACTGATGCCGTCGAGATGCTCAAGGTGAGCTCGTATCTCATCATGGTTCTGCTTCCTTTCTTCGTCCGAGCCTTGCAGAAACCGCGCGAGTCCTTTAACATCTAGAAGGATCTGGTCGATTTCGGTGTTTGTGAATTCTTGGATGTGCCCCTCCAGCGTATCCAATGACTCCTTGACGCCGGCGTCACCACTAAAGCAGACAATACCCAAGACCAATTTGAATTTCTCCCTCTTGCTGGTAGTAAGTATGTACGAGGTTTGCAGGACCTGGAGGAAATGGGAAAGAATGGCGTAAGCCCGCTGTCGGATCGGTTTGGGTAGGAACGACTCCACTTGGCCACGCTCCTGGTCTAGGAAGATGTTCAGCCTGGTCATAAATGCCACGCAGCGTTCCATAAGGGTTATGAATCCATCAAAGACGTCACTGTATGCTTGTGCAGATGTGAGAACTAGAGTTATTGCATTCCAACATTGGCAGCTAGGAGCGAAGGCTGCACTTGCTCCTTGCGCAATGATGTCCCCTAGTCTCTGCAAGCATTGGCCGATATTACTCAAGACCTTACGTGCGTTCGTCTTTCTCTTCGATGCTGCGTTGCTCAGATTCTGGTTGATTGCATTTTGGAAGCTTTCAAACGTTGTTCGCGGATCCAGTGTCTGCTTGGTGATTTCTTCGTACTTGGCTAGAACACCGACCCATACTTCATCCAGGTCTTTGTCGGTGCTAAATTCGGGTATGTTGACATTGTTGCCAGCCATGCTGATCCCGTACTACCTTCTTTTCTTTTGCGAGGGCTGGATTCATATGATTGTCTCAAAGCTCGCGTTGTACAGGCATTTTCTTAGTAACGATGCTGCTAAAAGGATCTATGTTGTGCCCGGGAAAAATGCCTCAATAGCTGGCAGGACGTGTCAAAGTGCAATGAACTGTAAAATGAGAGGTATAAAGCGTGGTATCAATGTCTGTAACCAGGCTGAGTATATGTTGCTCTCGAAGATGTACGACAGGAAAACCTTGGCGGTCAGATTGGGCATTTTGGCCCCCACCTTCTGCATTTGTCTCATGCATCTAAAACAGCTAGATACTCTTCAAGATGGTTAGAAGAAGTGCGAAGCGCTTGGGTTCTATCGAGATGCATCTGTTTCTGCTGCTACTATAACTATTGTGAAGAGAGGAGACACCAGAGTCAAATAGAGATCATCTCAGCACTGGAGCTTGGGGGGCCGGGGCATAGCGAGTAATTAACATGGCTTTGCTTTGCTATCTCAGAGAATGATATAAATAAGCTCATCGGCTTGAGTCAGGATGCGCAAGCCGCGTGCTGTAGGCGTGGTCCAGAGGTAGACGGCGTAGGCGAGGCCTAACCTGATATAGAATTGATTGGTGATGGAACATCGTCTAAAGTGTTCTCCAGGTAGCCACGAATGCCACGAAAATGTCACCCATCGTGATCAGCACATACCTCCTGGGCTCAGAATTTTAAGGACCGAATCATTCTGGCCATGATGTGCTGCACAGGACATACTCTTCCTACCAATAGTTTACCACTGTAAAACCACGCACTCTCACGGCAAATATCACAGTGTCAAAGAGGGGCGTAGGATGTAGTCAAATTAGTGTGCAGATAAGGGATTGGATCTAAAGCATGTGTAAACTGCAAACCGATCCATCGTGCCTCAAAATCGCATGAAGGATTTCCGGTGAATTGCAATTTCTCTAGAGTCTCGGTAGCTTGCTCGATTGTTATGGTTCGTCCGAGATCGTGTTAAGACTTCTCCACAACCACTTATCACCCTGCAGATCTCCATATGCTTTCTCCACTGCCCCTTCAAGACCTCGTGTGCCTGCTGCCGTATATGCGCATTCGGTCTGCACTTGACACAAAGTATCGTGTGTGCATTAGGACCAAAAAATTGTCTTCCCATGAGCTGTTTTTCAGTGAGGTGTCATACTGCATACATAGTTGACGGGTCAGGCTGGCCGGTCCAGGCCAATTACCCCTGACTAAGTGTGTGCCGCCACATTTGGGCGGAACCTCGTCTACACTTACGCGCCGGCTTTATTACCACAACCACAGCAAGGCTACTGTCAGCCTCTAATTAACACTTTTGTTTTTGATAGTCTTAGATCCAGGCGCCCAGGGCCTTTCCCTACTGGAAATCCATACGCCATGGCCAAGTTGTCAATGCAAGAGGTATAGCGCATTCACATCTCGGTAGGGAAGCGATCCGTCTAGCCACTCCTGTCTAAGACACCACCAGCTGAATTGCCTCATGACTGCTAGGCCTGGTAGACTTGGACATTTTGGTAATTGTACCTGCATTCATGGCTTTGGCGTTGCCCAAGTGGCACACCCAGAGCCCAGTACAGGGCCAATGTATCCACTTTTCTCACCGTAGGCTTTCACATCTGAGAGCATGGCTTCCATCTAGTCAGGAACGCATCAAAGTCAAAGACTCAATCGAGTCTGGGGTCAAGGGGGCAGCAGGCAACCTTAAAGGTGCAGCGTACCCATCTCGTCTGACAGCTTCAACAACGGGCACAAGTTTGTTCACATCTTTGTAGATTTCTCTACGTCCATTCGCTTTTCTTGTTATATAATCGCTCATTAATAATACTAATCCAGCATGCCGTCCTCATCATTCTTTCTGGGTGTCGGCGCTGTCCTGTCCGCTCTTTCAGCTACCACTGTAGCTACCAAATATGACCTTGAGGACAGTTATCAGGGATCTAATTTCCTCGATGGCTTCAACTTTTTCAATGAAAAGGATCCGACTAATGGCTTCGTGAAGTATGTCCACGGTCCATATACATCTTTCACCTACCATGAAACACATCGCTGACAACTTCTAGATATCTTGACCGAGATTCTGCCCGCAACACACAACTCACAAGGATCGTCGGCGCTGATAACTACCTTGGTGTTGACTTCACAACGCCACTGAACTACCGCGGTCCAAACGGACGCAACAGTGTGCGTATTGAGACGAAGAAGAACTACAGCAAGGGTTTGTTTGTTGTTGATATTAAGCACATGCCCGGTGGCATCTGTGGTACCTGGCCAGCATTCTGGTCCTTGGGATCTGGTGAATGGCCCAAGAACGGAGAGATTGATATCATCGAGGGCGTCAACAACAACAACGTCAACAAGATGGTGTTGCACACTGACACCAACTGCAAGGTGAGTAACGTGGTATACGCAATCATACTTGACTTTGCTCTGACATTAGTAGACCAATGGACAGGGCCAAACTGGTGTACAGCAACTGTACGACTGTGCTCTTGACACCAACGGACCGTCCGGCTGTGACGTCAATGATGTTCAGACAAACACCTATGGAACCGGATTCAACGCGAACGGAGGTGGTGTCTACGCCATGGAATGGACCGGCGAGTTCATCAAGATGTGGTTCTTCCCCCGTAGCCGCATCCCTGCCAGCATCACTGCGGAGAAGCCGGACACTGCTGAATTCGGCACCCCCAACGCCAATTTCCAGGGTGCTTGCGATATCGAGAAGAAGTTCCAGGAGCACCGCTTCATCTTCGACACAACCTTCTGCGGTGACTGGGCCGGCAACGTCTATGGTAAGTCTTCGTGTACTGTGTTGAGCCCCAATTCCACTAACACGGCATAGGCGATTCTGGTTGCCCAAGATACTCAGGTCTCAGCTCAATGGACTCGTGCATGAAGTTCGTTGCTGAAAACCCTGCTGCTTTCCGACAAGCATACTGGTTGATCAGCTCTTTCAAGACCTATAAGACACCTGTGATCGCGTCGAGCTCCTCTTCCGTCATCAGCAGCTCAACTGTGGTTTCAAGCTCCTCCTCTTCTTCGGTTGTAGTCTCGAGCACATCTGCCTCGTCCTCAAGCAGCTCGACCCCAGTCTCTAGCTCCTCCTCTTCGGTTGTCAGCAGCTCTAGCTCCTCGTCGTCTTCCGTTATAGTCTCGACAACGTCATCTTCTTCGTCGTCAGTCATCACCTCGTCTTCTTCGTCTTCGGTCGTCAGCTCGTCGGCTTCGTCTTCGGTCATCAGCTCGTCGGCTTCGTCTTCGGTCATCAGCTCGTCGGCTTCGTCTTCGGTCATCAGCTCGTCGGCTTCGTCTTCGGTCATCAGCTCGTCGTCTTCGTCTTCGGTCGTCAGCTCCTCGTCTTCTTCCGACTCAAGCAGCTCTATCTACCCTACCTCGACCGTCGTCACCGATACGAGCAGCTCTGTGTATCCTACCTCTACCATCGTGACCGACACGAGCAGCTCTGTCTACCCTACCTCCAGCGTTGTGACCGATATTAGCAGCTCTGTCTACCCAACTTCCAGCGTCGTGACCGACACAAGCAGTTCCGTTTACCCAACTTTGTCATCTTCTTCCAGCAACGCATACCCAACTGGAAGCTCCAGCTCATCCAGCTACGGCTATGACATTTCCACATCGACTGATATCTACGGATCCTATCCTTCTTCCAGCTTGAGCTATGGATCTTATCCATCCTCTTCTAGCGTCCACCCCGAGGATTATCCTTCATCTAGCTCGAGCTATGGAGTTTACCCTTCGTCATCATCCAGCGTGCACTACGGAGGTTACCCTGTGTCGTCGTCTAGCGTGCACTACGGAGAGTACCCTTCATCGTCCAGCGTACACTACGGAGAGTACCCCTCTTCCAGCGTACATTACGGACAGTACCCTTCATCGTCCAGCACCGGATACGGAGTTTACCCTGCGTCTTCATCCAGCGTGAAGTACGGTGCCTACCCTGTCTCGTCGAAGCCTCAACAGGGCACCTACCCATCGTCCAGCGTGCACTACCCAGGATACCCCGTCTCTTCCAAGCCGGTGGCAGACCACGATGCCTACCCCACCCCGAAGCCTGCGTACCCGCAATCCTCGAAGCCAGCCTCGTACGTCACCACGACCTACACGACCGAGTACGTCGATGTCTGCCCAACCGGCTACACGACCATTAAGACCACCCACACCGTGACCTACGAGTCCTACCCCACCACCTCCGTCCCACGCAAGCCAAGCAAGGAGACCACCGAGCCCTGCCCCCCAGGCTTCACCGTGACTGAGAAGTACTGCGGCTACGGCTGCGGCGACAAGCCCACGACCGTGAAGGTCACCGTCCCAGTGACCCAGACTCGCACCGTGTACGAGGAGGTCTCGACCTCCGTCATCGCATACGGCACGCCCAAGGTCTACCCTCCCGGCTACAACAACCACGAGCAGAAGCCCTCCACCTCCACCATCATCGCCACCAAGATCCTCACCATCTCGTACGTCACGGTCCCCGCGTCCGAGAAGCACGCCTCCTACCCATCTTCCGCCGCTCCTCAGCCCGTCTACCCTTATCACTCCGTGCCTGAGGCCGAGAAGCCCGTCTCCAGCGGAGTCAAGCCCGTGTACAGCAAGCCTGTCCACACTCCCGAGGTCGTGGTCCCCGTTGTGCACACCCCTACCCCTGGAAACTACTACGGCGCCAATGTTACCATCTCGTATGGTACTGGCACTGGAAAGCCGGTGGCAACCAAGACGGGATACTTGACTCCCGAGTTCACGGGTGCGGCGTCGAGCCTCAAGGCTAGCGGTGTCGCTGTCGGTGCTCTGGCTGTCATGTTTGCGATGTTGATGTAAGGTGGAGAACAAGAGAGAAAGGGGGGTTTATGACGGTTCATTGATGTCACGTTGGATCTTTTTCTAGAAACTTAGTAACTAATACCAACCTATCCTTCTGTTGTAATGACTCAAGCAATGATTTCAATATGTATCACTTAGCTCCGACTTTGAGTTCTTATCGTGGCTATCCCTTTTCTGACATCGTACAAAACATAACACGTGCTTACAGCGACAAATATACACAGTACGCAATGCACACGTGAAGTATAAAGAAGACACTGATATCGCTTTACAGCTTTCGTGCAAATATTTATATTACGGGTTGGTCTACTGCGATTCCGGATATTCTAAGGGCCATCATTCTGACCGGGGTATTCACCTAGCTGAGCTCTCAAGCCCTCCTTGCCAACTTTCATCGCGCGCTGGATCTCGTCTTCTTCCTCGCGCAGTCGATGCTTCCCATAGGCAGCTTCGCGCTCTGCCTTTCTCTTTTCTTCGCGTACCCGTGACTCCCGGTCTGCGAGGGCCTTTTCTCTCCTCTGTCGCTCAGCGCGTTTCTTAGCAGCCTCGGCCTCCTCTTCGGCGGAAGCAGCGGCGCCTTCCGGTGCTGCGGGTAATGTAGAGATGTAGGTTTTAACTAGGGAATCCCGAGTTGACCCAGGCAGTGAGATGAAGCGGAGATCCGTCAAGATTGATTGAGGAAGGGTGTCAATAGTGGTGTCCCGGTTCAAAGATGCAAGAGGCTGTGCTTTGAGAAGAGCAGAGAGGTCTGACTTGAGATCCGACGGTTTCAGTGCCAGTCTCTTGATGTGATCTCGATACAGTTTCTCCTTGTCCTTATCTGGCAGTTTTGTGTCCTTCATTTCTGGCTCCTTTTTAAATTTTCGGCGGAATTCTGGCCAGTATAGCTTAGGTGTTGCATGCGCGTGTAGGAATGCGAGGTACGGAATCTTCGGGTCAAGCTTTTGCTGTTTCGCCTTTTGTTCCTTGAGAAATTGCGCCTTTTCACGGGCCCATTCGTCGAAGCATTCTTTCCGGGCTTTCATGTTCGGCAAAGCCTTGTAGCGGTCATCGTCAAAGAGTGCACCGCCATCGAGAATCTTGTCCCACGGTGTATACGGGTTGATCTGCAAGTCCTCCAATAGTTCCTTGAAGAGTGCTTTGCAATCTTCTTCGGTCAATGGTAGGCCTTCTTCCTCGTCCTCATCGCCGTATCCCTCGGCCATTGCTTCCATCTCCTCCATCTGAGCCAGTTGCCAAGCCATATCATCCTCGCCCATTTCCATGCCAGGGTCTTCGGTGGGTTCCTCTGTTCGCTGCCGTTTGGAAGGTTGCTCCGTATGAAAACCATCCCCACCCTCATCATCGGTGACCTCGACTTCCTCGTACTCCTCTTCATTCTCCATCCCCTCGTCTCCTTCCACAGAAACCACTTCAGCCTCTTCGATCTCCTGCTCCGCAGCAGCTAGCTCCGCCTCGACCTCGGCCATGGCAGCATCATCTTCATCATCGCTGGGCTCTCCTCGCTCCCTCCTCTCTCGTTTTTCTCGTTCTTTACGATCAAACTCCACCACCCCTTTCATCACATCTGAAGGAAACTTCCAAAAGCTCTCGTTGGTTTCTTTGTTCCAGACGAAGCGCCGCCCTAGTTTGGTCTTGACTAGAACCCACGGTGCGCAATTGGGAATATCGTGACGATGCTTCGGGCGATCCTCCTGCTGCCGCCGCCGGTCGGGAAAGCTGCTATGGTCCCCTCTGTGTCCTCCTCGAGCTCCGCCTCGATGGCCTCCTCTTTGCTGATCTACTGGCGCATGCTGCCACCCACGTTTTGGTTTTTGTTCCACTGGTCCTCCATAGAGGTAGAATTGGGGCTGATAATTCGAAGGTGTCTGCGAAGTTATCGGGGCTTGAGCGGTCAAGGGATGGAATAGGTCGCTGGTAGAGCCTGTATTCGAGGCATGCTGCGCAGATCCGGTAGGGATTGTTTGATGGCCATATGCTTCCGATACAGGGCGCGTGTATGTGGACTTTTTGGTTTCTCTATTGTAGTAATATAAATGTCCTGCACGAGATATTAGCAGCTATGGCATCAGTGGAGAATGATGGAAACTACCTGAGGGCGCTTTATGCTCGGTCCAGCCAGGAGCCAGAGGCGGGAGACCGGTTGGCGGTCGGGGAGGCAAATCTGCCATTATAATAATTCGATTGAAATCGCTGGCAGGCCAAAGTAAAGAGCTCAAGCAGAGCGGACTTTGATGTTGCTTGAGCTTGCGGCTGCGACGATCTCGAAAAAGTGGTCGGCGGGCTTGGCGTCAGTAAACCGCCGACGCGTGTGAGCTTGTGCCTGGAGCTTCATCTACGTCGACCCGCACTTGCCCACATCAACCATACATACCCATACACCTCACTTTCGACTCGCCCTTGAGACACCTGCAATTCTCCAGTATCATCCGGGTCGCTAGATACAGCTCTCCAAGATGTCTCGAAGATACGATTCCCGAGTGCGTAGCGGCCTTTCAGACGGTCACCTCCAGAGCTAACACACCTCCAGACCACCATCTTCTCCCCAGAAGGACGTCTATACCAGGTCGAATATGCTCTCGAGGCTATTTCGCATGCCGGAACAGCTCTAGGTATCCTCGCAAAAGATGGCATCGTGCTCGCCGCCGAGAGGAAGGTTACTAGCAAACTGTTGGAGCAGGATACATCGGCGGAGAAGCTGTACATCTTGAACGAGTACGCCGCAACCTCGTCCCCTAATTGAACTGCTCTTATCTAATTCTTGATATAGCAACATGATCTGCGCTGTTGCAGGCATGACGGCCGATGCAAACATCCTTATCAACTACGCCCGCCAAGCAGCACAACGCTACCTCCTCACCTACAATGAAGACATTCCCTGTGAACAGCTCGTCCGCCGTCTATGCGATCTCAAGCAAGGATACACGCAGCATGGTGGTCTTCGTCCGTTCGGTGTGTCGTTCATTTATGCAGGATGGGATCCCCAAAGGCAGTTCCAACTGTACCAGAGCAACCCTAGCGGCAACTACGGAGGTTGGAAGGCAACAAGTGTTGGTGCAAATAACGCCTCCGCACAAAGTTTATTGAAGCAAGACTACAAGGAGGAGTGCGACTTGAAGGAGGCTTGCGGATTGGCGGTTAAGGTTCTGAGCAAGACGATGGATTCCACCAAGCTCAGCAGCGAGAAGAGTATGTCTAATTCACAGTCTGATCCTTTTGTCATCATACTAATGCCATCTAGTCGAATTCGCAACAGTGGGAAGGACAGAGTCAGGCAAGATCTACCACCACCTCTGGGGAGCTGATGAGATTGATGCACTGTTGAAGGAGCACGGCCTCGCAAAAGCAGAGGATACCGAGATGGACGGATGAAGGAATTGCGACGCACGGAATTAGATCAAAATGAGAATCGGCGCAAAAAAGGCACCCGGTCAAACATGAGCTATACCAAGCAAAGCTATAATTCGATAGACGCTCCGGCGAGCGGCCAATAGCATTTGGAAACGATGTTCACGAATCAAAAACCTACACCCTGTGTCCATTTTGTGTGAACTTAAGGTGAGGATCTTGAAGAAGACTACCAAATGGCGTTGTTGAATGTGGTGCCTCCTATTTAGCTCTGGCGTGGGTGATGTGCTGATGGAAACGGCTGAAAATGAGGTAAGAACGATGCGTCAAGTGTTGTTTGCTTTCCACCTCCGACATCATTTCACACTCTCTCCTCCACCCTTCACTCTACCTGATTTTTCCACGGTACTCTCGAGTCTACAGCATTATCACATACTTAGGTTACCACAATCCTCAGTAATATGACTTCTCCGACTCCTCCCATGGATGAATCAGTCCTTATCAATAGCGAAACCCACTGTACTCTGCTCCAAAGACTATTGGAAGAAATCAACGAGGGCATGTCATCCATTCCATCAAGCCCAAAAAGCTCTCCAACCCGTCAGTCCGACGCTGGCTACGACGCTGGCTCTTCCAGTCGCAGCTCCATCTGGACTGCGACCAGTCTTGTCGCACGCGATGTGCGGGACAAGCTGAAGGCTGCGGACGAAGCTAGACGGCAGAAGCAGACGAGAAAAGAAAGTCTCCCAGTGGCTACAACTACAGCAAGTAAGTAAAGAGGCCCCACGCACGCCGAGTGGTAGGCATCATCCAACTTGGACATTCGAAAGCAGATAATGACCCTTGTACAGAAAAGAGGACTCTAGATTCGCCGTCTGATTCGCCTGGCATTAGCCCCATTAAACGATCCCGTACAACCTTTGAGTCATTTGGTATAGACAACATCGATGACCGGAATTCTGGATTTACAGAAAGACGGTCTTCATTGGGTCCTGTGCCACAGGTATCGTCCTACAGACCTGAATTTGTGTTGCCCCACGGCACGCCTCCTTCGACTCCTCAAAGCAGGAAACGCTTGGTAGATTCTGATCATGAGAGTCCCATAAGCTGGTCACCAACATGGATGAAACCTTTCCATCTGGTGGATAACGAGAAGTCCAGTGTTTATATGAACCGACACGGGGAGGGCTAGAAGAACCGCCCACTTTGTTTGCACTGTTTCCGACGGCACGGCGCCTTCAACCGAGTGGAAATTGATGGTTGTGAAGTCTGTGGTCGAGCCGAAGTTCTCGAAAGCCACTATTGGGAGTGATCAAAAGAGCCTGTCTAGTTACGAAGTTACCTTTCGAGACAGCTTCAATTGCGACTTTGAGTTGGTTATACCATAGCTTTTGAGGGTTTTGGATGGGTGGCTCCTGTGGGTCGGTGTCTCACATGGTTGGGAACGGAGCACTCTGATTCAAGAGCTATTTCGATGAAGTGTCACAACGCATGGGTCAAGACTTGTCATTGCCAAAGTCTCAGACTATCCAGTACCTAAACATGGAAATTCATGAATTGTTATTGCGACTTCGTGCACCAAGAATGCATGTCTTGTGCGGGTAGAAAAATCATGGCTCACTTAATCATGACGGACCATCCTGCAGGTTCATCTTACATGCGTTTGTCTTGCTTTTTCTCAGAAGCGAATGTTCACCTCGCAGCTATACTGGATCGCCCTATGATAGGGGAAACCCCGCATTAACGGCCTGCCGATGGTTGTGTACAATTCGTGCAAGCTCGCTGTGTGCACTGTGGCTTGATTGGACTCCCCATGCGCCGGTCGTGTGTCAGTCCGTTCCCTACTTACACACACTTCAGAAGCCCATCATTGAGACTTGCACCGAATGTCTAGGACGACACCACCGCATTGCTTCTCTCTCATACGCTTCTCGCCCATCTCCTTCGCAAGCACGGTATATGAAGACCTTGCCGCCAATGTTTGGAGGACACAACATTTCCTAACTTCCACTCCTTTCCTTGCACAAGCAACAAGCATCACGCATCAAACACCAACACAACGGCCACATCCCAACCCAACTTTGAGTCTGGAAGATTCTCCAGTTGAACAATATACATAATACCATCTCAGCCCTGCCGCAAAACTTATCACGAACTGTCCTACGCTCTTTTTCACCCACTCCATCGATCGAACGGGCTAGCCCTACGGATTTCGACTCGGGGGATTCACATACCGCATTCAGACTCAATATATCCTCACTGTCGGTTCTCGTTACCAACGAACAAACGCACGCCCGTGAGGCCTGCGTCAGAATTAACAACCCACAAAAAGGCTCGAACCCCCCAAAAATCCCCAGAGGAATCACGACACCATCACAGCCATCTCCTCAAAGGTCAATTTGAAAAGAGATAGTTGCGGAAGAAGTTTACACCAAATCATAAGATCGACATCAAAACGAAACATGGCGAATCACAACAACTCTTCCCCTTCGCCTTCACACTCCAAATCGCACTCCCACTCCGGAGCGACGATGGCGAAGCACCAACTCGCCATACCTCGACCATCATCATCGCCTTCATCATCGCCATCATCTTCACCACCTCAATCACCACCAAACACCTCCGCCCCTCTAAACCCCCGACCCACGGCCGAATACCAACCGCGATTGCGACCAAAAAGGCACCACAAGTCTACCTACTCCCTCCGTCGAGCCTCCGTCATCCTATCTCCACCCCTCTCTCCATCCCATGGCACCCCTCCGCCGCCCGTCTCCTCGCCATCATTATTCTCACCACCCTCCCCGTCCTCTCGCCCCGTATCGCCGCTTTCATGCTCTCCGCCCGCCTCTCCACCCACCACGACACCGCCGAACCACACGGCTCCAGAACACGACGACAACCGCGACAACACAGCGTCGGACATGAAAACCATCTGGACACGACGAGGAGCCCTCTACGGCGACCACGACAGTGGCGATTATGACGATCTCTTCGATCCTCACGGTGGTACCTATGCCGCTGAGAGGGAGAGGAGAAACGCCATTTCGGGTCCTAGCACTGGGTACTTGACTGGGGTTCTTCCGTGAGGAGGGAACGTCTTGGACGGGGAGGGGGTGTGATTATTTCGGGTTTTCTCTTCGGATTTTCTGGTTTTTGATGTTAAGGGGAGGGAGGTATAGAAGGGGGATTAATGGGTTATAGAAAGGCAAGGCAAGGCGGGAATTGGGACTGAGATTGTACGGGAGTTGTGAGGCGGTGTTCTTGTGGGTAGATATAGAATAGATGGAGGAGTAAGTGTGTAATGGGAGGCTTAGATGGGAAAAAGCATATGTACGTGTGTGATATCTTGTTTCTATTCTTTAATTCTATCCTCTCGTCTTGTGAATCTGTCTATCGTGGTAATCTCGCTTTTGACATTCCTCATCCTTCAACCTAACCTCACCTCATCATCTCAGCAACCCCCCTCCCCCCCGTCTGTCCCTCACCACCAGCCCTCCCCTCCCCAGCCTTCTCCTCCGCCTCCTCACCCTTCTCACCAAGCAACCAACGATCCCCCCTAAACACCCCATAAGCCTCCCTCCCCAAACTCCTCCCCGCAACCCTAATATCCTCCCTAATATCCTCCACCAACGCCTCCGCACTAACATAATCATACTCCGGCCGTATGAAACCCAGTATGACCAAACTCAACGTCGCGCCATAGAAATCCCTATCGAACGTATGCAGGATGTGAATCTCAATCGAGCGTGTCGTGTTTTTGTAGTACGGGTTGTAGCCTATGGATAACACCGTTGGGTATACCTTGGCGGGGGTGGATGAAGGGGAGGCGGGTCGAGAGGGCGGGAGGGATGGGGGAGGTTCGAGGTCGGCTACTGCATGGTTTGATGATGTCGATGGGAGGGGGGAGGAGGAGGAGGGAATGGTGGAGAGGTCGAGGGACGCGAAGCCGTAGTATATTCCTGAGGCGAGGGAGTCGTTGCCGCCGATTGAGAGGCCCGAGAGGGGGATGTTGGCGGTGGGGATGCCGAGCTGTGAGGGGAGTGTTTGTTAGTTTGGGGGTTTGTGAGGTTGGGGGAGGGTGAAGGGGAAGGGGTGAGGTACTTACCTCTTTGCTGCCGCGTCCGAAGCCCTTGATCACTGGGCCGCGGAGCCGCAGTGGGAAGGGAGGTTCGACGGTGTCGGGGCCGGCGATGGGGTCGCGGGGACCGTCTGGGCGGACCATTTTGGTGGTGGAGGATGGGGGGTTTGCGTGTGATTGAGGTGGTGCTGGGTGTGTAGGTGGGAATTGCGAGTTGGGAGGTTGTGAGGTGCGGTGGTGATGGTGGTGAGGATTGGACGGGAGTCACGATGTTGTTTATTAAGCTTTCTGGTAGTTTCGATTGCGGAACGCGCGCAGGTTGTACTGTCGACGACCTTGTAGAGGACGGAGGAGGAAATGGAGGGTTTGGTTTTTGAGGATTTCACGGAAGCAATTGGATGTTATGTGGATGGAGGATGGTCACTTCTATATTCATCCCGTCATGATTGTAGTTAGTCATAGGCGATATCGATAACTATGGAATGGATATCAATAATTGTATGAATGAATGATGTCGCACGCAATCTGGTGGGGTCAAGTCGAAGGCGGTGACCGGATCTCGTCCGTTAGAACGACATCATATGTGCTGACTAACCCCGACATCATCTGTCAGATTCAACTAATCAATGAATGTAGCAAGCAGCTCGCAATGGCCACAAGATATATCTCAACTGTCAGGCACAAAAGTAACTCGAATCAATGCTCAATATTTTGGTTTTATATGCAATCCTCCCGCTGTAACTCCCTCCTCTTCGGTCCTGCTGAGGCTCCGATGGTTGCGCCTTTGTTACTCCATGCTCCGTTATACTCCAATCCTCGCACCGATCTGCCAATGCAAGACCACGCAATACCATTAACAATTACCCTGAACCCATAAAGTCTGCAATGTCATAGCTTTCGGTGTCTTTCCTCCAGCATATGCAATGAAAGACACGGAAAGGCGACAAGAAAATCCCAAAGCAGATCCAAGGCAAGATGTCCTCTGATCGTCGGCTCGTTCACACTGTACAAACGTACCAGTACAACTAGGCGCCTGGACGGCCCTAAGGTCTCCGCTCTTGTAGATTCTGAAGTTCGAGAAATCAAAGAGTATGCCAAAAAGAAAACATATGCAATGCGCGTATTACGTGTCAAGAGTCGAACAAAGAAGAAGAAATAACAAATAAACACTTTTGCGACCCTGTCCATGAAGCTCGTTCATCATTATGTATCCTTCATAATTCTATCTGAATAGAAGAGTGGTTTGGAGGAGAAAGGAATGGCACGTATTGGTGGGGTAAGGCTCGCACGGGTGACCGTTCGGCTGTGGCCAGATATAGACATGGTTGGCTTTGATCAGAAGTGAAGATCAAGATACGCGAGTGCTGATCATCGTCGCGTATCCTCTACGCGTCTTGTCTCTTCGAGGACTGGCATGATCTACAACTGGTTAGCACCTGCACACGGAAATATGTCTCGAGAGCTGTTCACTTACCTGCATGTACAACAACATGGGCGTGTCGAAATTGTCACGCTTGACGTGCCACGCGAGCATGCAGTCCACCAAGCCATCTTTGGCGCCGAGCTGGCTGATGGCGCCCTCGCCACAATGAACAGGCCCGCTCTCCAACTTGATCAGAGGTTCGTGCTTCGTATTGCGTCGATTGCCCATCATGTTGGTCGTCTTGGCAGCTTCTGCTTGCTCTACGTCCTCCTTGGTGATGTAGCGAAGCATCTTCACTCTTCGACATTTGTGGCCTTGTGCGTTCAGGAAAGCGAGCTCGGCAAAGTCATCGAACCACTCCAACACCGAGCGCTCATCCATGAGCTCCAGAATGAAGACTGGCTTGTTCGCATTGCCCTCACTCTGTTGTCCAGCGAGAGTCGGGGTCGTGTTTGTCTGCGTTGACAGCCCGCTTTCAGCCGCGTCTCGAGTGGCACCTGTGTTGATGTTAAGATTCGGCTCTTTGCCGAGGAGAACGGAACGATCCCAGCCTGTAAGGATGCTGAATTCCTTGTTCAAGCCAACCACTTCTCCGGAGCGGCGACAGATCAACGACGGAACTCCCACTTCCAGACTTTTATCCTCCAAGTCGATGAGTGTTCTCTGCAAATTCTTCTCTTGGAAAATGAGATCACTGGCTGTCAGGTCTTTCATGGTGGATGTAAGCACAGGCCTGAAGCTTGATAGGGCTTTCAGGAACCTGTTCACAGTCGATGCTCGGTACCGACCCTTGGCAATGGCGACCAAACGATGGTATGCCGTAACGTAAGTATACGGCTTGTCGATGGTCTCGTAGATCCAGTTGTGATCCCGCCGTCGCTTTCGCACCGCATTGAGGTGTATTGGTTGCAGCGCGTTGCTAGGCCGGTGGTTCTCGGTCTGCGGGCGGCTCACAGTGGGCGAGCGGTGAGGTCGCTGTTGATTGGAGTTTGCGAAGAAAGCCGCAGAAGACATGGGGTTATTATCGTCATATCCAGCGTTCACATCAGTCGATGCTGGGCTCGCGCTCGACAGGCTACTTGGGCCCTGGCTGATGGCAAAGCCTTGCGTCCCATTCAGGCTGTCGTGACGATGGCCACCGTGATCGAGATGCGCAGTCGTCGGTGTATTATGGGGAGTGTGCATCTGGATGCTGCCCTGCCTCGACTGCGAATTCTGCCAGTCATGAGTGTGCAGCCCGTCTGCGACTATATGCAGATTTCCTTGCATGTTGTCGCCGTACTGCCCAGCTGCTATCTGGGGATTGTACATGCCGGCCGCTTGGTTGAGGGGGTTCACGATATTGTGATCGTTTGGTGGCGTTTCAGCGGCGCCAGAAGACATGTGACCGAGCATCCCAAGCTCAAGGGCACCATAATGATTGCCGAAATTGAGACTCGAGATATCGAAGTTGAAGAGGGCCGGGTCGCTGGGGTCGAATAGTGGCCCACCGAACTGAGCCATCTGAGGTCCCGCGGGCCCCTGTGCCGCAGAATTTGGCACATTAGGGATCGGGGCTTGGTTATTCGTCTGGCTATAAGGAGGAGAAATGGGAGCCTGTGGGTGATTGAAAGTGCCAGCATTGGAAACGTCCTGAACTGGAACAGAGACTGGTGCTTGCACCGCCGTATCCCCGTAGAAAGGCTGCTGAGCGGCTTGAGGATAGTAAGGCGCTTGTTGCGGTAAGTTGTGCGCGTGTTGGCCTGGAACTGGAGTAGGACGGTTCCCATTCATGTGTGGATAATGTCCGCCTACGCCAGGCATGAGCGCTCCATCAGGAGCATCATGAAGGTATTTTGCCTTCTTGCGTACGCCGTCCATGCACTGGTCGTGAAGACCACGTTTGACGCATCGTTCGCATGGTCGCTCGTCGCCTAGTAACTGTCAGTAATCGATATCCCAATAGGAGAAGATGTATTATCAAGTTCAAAAAAAAAATCAAAAATGTCGACACATCAAGCGACGAGAATGGATTTGAAAATTCACTTACCGCAGGTCAAATGCGCTCTCTGGCAAGCATAACAGGCCCTACGTGCCTTCTTCCTTCGAGGCCTCAAGGGATCCTTTGCGTTTGCTGCTTTTTGGGCGGCTGAAGCCTTTTGCGCTTGCTGAGAATCCAATTTCTCTGCGGCCATTTCGCTCCCTTCTCGATCACCGCTGTATTCCGGTGAGGGAGACGCATCTTCGGCGTCTGGGGTGGACATAATATCTGATCTCTGTCTAACGCTGGGCAGAGCCCTTTTGGCTTTCTGTGCTCCCACAGGAGGAGTGGGCTTAGCTCGGCGACCGCTGTAGACGCACGTTTATGCTGCGTGCAGCCGTCAATGTTGCCTCGACGAGGACCCGGGGCAACGGTCAGCCAATGTGGAGGGAGGCACACGGCTGGCGACGTCCCAGCTGCGAGTTTCGAGAATGCGATCACGCGTGCGCTGGCTGCTCGAACAGACGCTGTCGTGACACGGTCGGCCGGCCCCAAGTACGAGTGAGTGACGAGGGGAGTTGGCAAGGTCCAATGGAGGGTGGCGCTATTGGGCGCTGTGTGTGGGCCTCAATCCGGTGGGGAGGAATGGAGTAATGCGGTGGTAATACAGTACCGGGGGCCATGCAATCGAGGGAGCATTCCAGGAGCGCACGCTCGCATCATGGCCCGGACGGTGCTGTGTGTGAAGCAGAAGCCCTAGCAGCTGGGACGGACCATTGTGCTGGCCATGTGGGTTCGGAGTACGGAGTGGATATGTACGGACGTGTGTATGTTTGTAGATAGGTATGCTATGTACGAGGGTATGTACGTATGTAGAGTTTATCTGGCCGGCTAGGGTACTATGTCGATTGCGGGAGGCAACAGAAGCGGCGGTGTCGTCGTGGTCGGCAGCGGCGACAGTGCGCAGAAGAAAGGATAGATTGGAGGGCAGCAGGCGCAAAGAGTCGTGAGTAGAGAGGGTGAATTGGCACAGGAATAGATGGGAGCTGGTGGGCCGGACTACTGTTGTGATACCAGGGCCAGGACGAGGTAGGAAAGGCGGGGTGGATATGTCTTGGGACTGGGAACTGGGCGTAAGAGCCGTGAGAGGTATTGAGTGTATGTATTGTATGTGTATGCCTGTATGTATGTGCGTGCACGAGAGGTTGAGTGGTGGAATGGGATTGGAGTATGTGAGGCGGTCGGGCGCGTGGAGGAGGAGCTTTCGCAGGGAAGCAATTGGCAGCGAGGAGATTGGCGTGCACGTAGGTGTGCGCGTGTGTGTATGTGTACCTAGGTAGGTAGGGGATCGGCCAAAGGAGGTGATAGGTTGCGCAGCGTGGGGAGGATGTGATGGTGGAGAGGTGTGTGTATGCGTGTATGAAATTGAAAGATGGGAGAGTGTATGAGTGTGAGTGTGTGTGAGGTTTGAAGATTGTGTGTGAGGAGGGAAAAGTGGGTTATAGGAAGGTGGAGGAGGGAAGGAAGGTTAATGCCGATTTGGGGAGCTTGTCGTGCCCTCACTTCTGACTACCAAACTACTGGTCTTGGACTCGTTCACACTGTATTTCGTTCCCTTCGCCTTCCCCTTCTCTCTGTCTGGCCTGTGAATTATTCGTAATTATCTCTCTTCTTTCCTTTCGCTCTCCCTTGTCTTTTCCCTGTGGTTTGTTTGCTTTTCTTTGCCTTGAAACACTGCCCTCGGACCGATGCAGCAATTTTACCTAATGACGACCAAAGCGGAGAGCTCTCGCTGGATCAGATCAAACTGAACTGTTCGAACCAGCCGAGTAATTATTACTGAAGGTATTCTTCAGATCATAGAGCATTTCCTCATTATTGCTATCATCTTGTACTCATCCACTTGAACTATGGGATGTACTCCGTAGAGCTACCTCGTAGAGAAAGTGGAGGAGGAGAGAAGGCAGGAGCTATTTGCTAGCTTATCCTCGGTTCATGACGTCTCTCATTGGCCGAGGTATCTTTCTTCTATTCCTAACCCTTCGTAGTTCCTTCTCCACACTCTGTCTTAGTTGACTTAGCTGACTTTAATTGACACCTTACCCAGTTAGTCCCTCTCTCTTTGGTTATTCTTTCTTCCAATTCCTTCTTTCCTTTCGCTATTTCGCTCTTTCCCTCTTCCCCATCGTCCCCATCGTCCCTTCCCCCTTCCTCTTCCATTGCGCCGGGCAGCTCCGGAGCTCGTCCATTGGTTCGATTGGTTCGATTGGTCCAATTCCCTCACTTGTGCCAATTATTAGGTGACTCGTCTCTAACTAAAATTTTCCCTTCGCTTTTTTATTTCCCTCATTCCTCATTCTTCCGTACCTTTGCGTACCTCTGCCTACGTCTGCCCTCTTGTCCATCGGGCGCAATCGGGTCCTTCCCCAGTCCAACCCAACTCCAACTGCAATCCATCATCATCAATTCACCATTCACCGTTCATCATCATCTTTACAATTGCTCACGTACTCGCTCATTTACCTATCAAGTAACTACTATCCCTTAAGTAGATTGGTAGGAGGGAATAATCACTCACTAGCTACTCCGTACTCCGTACAACAAACTATTACTTTTTATCAATTTCCCCTCTTCTCCAGGTTCATCTTCGCCTACTCCGTATGCCGTTCTATCCTTCTAGACACAGTAGACACAGTAGACACAGTAGACACAGTAGAATCCATACCCATACCCATACCCATGCCCATACACCGCACCCCAGGTCCTCAGGTACTAGCCAGTGGCCACCCGCCTATCCAGGTACTCAGCCCATGTTCAATCCTCGACTGCCTAACCCAACCCAAGTATGGACTTCGTAAGTTCGTACGAATAGCCCAACCCAATTTCCAATCCAGACAAACACGAACCCATGTGAACCCATGTGCCATTCCCTTCCCTTCCCTTCCCCGTACAGGTCCCATTCAATTCAGGCCAATCCAACCCATGTCGGTCCTTCGTGACGCTTCAGCTTCGCTACCCACCCCGCAGGGAACCAATCCAAGGCCTGGCCCGTCGATCAAACCTCTCGGAGAAGACCGCAGCAATGTATTCCTGTATACATCACCCATCACAAGCCTACCCAAATGCGCATAGTTCAGCCCAATCCTTCGTCTCTTCCATGTACAGTTCAAAGTACAACCCTCAATTCTAGCCTTCCTTCCACCTGGAAACTCTTAGAAATCCATTTTTCATTCATTCATTCATTCAATAACAAGCTGCATCAACACATCCCCTGTCCGACTCTCCACTCCTGACCCAAGCCTATGGGAATTGCTCGTCACATTCCCACCATCAATGCCCACTCCCACTCCCACTCTGCCGAGTATGTCCTGCGAAAAATCGAACCATTACACACCGCTCAATATCATATCTGCTGCATCACATGTATGCACACATGTATGTTGGCGTAGCTATGTTATCTGCCTGGCCACATACTCTACTGTACATACGTGTGATGTACTTCCCCGGCCAACTATCTTGTTATGTAAACAATGAGTATACTTGGGTCCACTGCTAACTATGACATATCACGGCTCCCCTCACAAGACATTTCGCAATGCTGCATACAATAACCACCGTCCGTGTCTCTCCTCTTTCCCTCTTGCTACTTGCCAGCGACGACCTGGCACACCACGTTGCTGCCACACAAATTCCATCCAATGAATCAACATGAAACTAATACTATTGCTTGGTGTTGCGGCTGCTGCTGCTGCTGCTGCTGCTGCTGTCCATCCACCACACGCCCATGATCCCAACCCAATCCCTCCAATTAGGCATGCCATCGTCCCATCCACCAATCGTCTCAACAGCCAAACAGGGCAACAGAGAGGAAAAAGAAAAGAAAGACAATTCATGCACGCATGGCCGCCCTTTGCATGCCGAACACATTTCCACAGCTGCATCAAATAAACGCTCGGTTCGAGGCTTGCATACACATACAGAATTGCATATGGGAAAACCCGTGATGGGATGTGATGGTGGGACCGTGCACTATCTGGTCCCTTCCTCTGATTTGTCCCTTGCGACTACCTCTGACCTCTTTCATGCCTCTCACACCTCAACTGAACAAACACCTACCAACAACCGCCCCCCTTCGCCTGCATCTCTGTATCACCGTTCATCTTCATTCTATCCTGCTTCTCTACATTGCTCGCGAGCCTTGTACCTCCTCGTCTGCAACCTTCTGTCCCTGTGTCCCAGCGTGTCCCAACTTCCTGTGCCTTGTGTCTCTGCACGTTCCTTGGTTCATTGACCACTGTTGTCCTGCGCTCCCAAGACATGTAAGACGCAATCACAGCGTCACCACTCGCCTGTAACTTACATACATGTTTGCATGCTCATCATCCACCTAGTCTGTACACTGCTGCCCTCCTCAACCCTTTTGCAACGAGCTGGCGTGGCGGTCTCGTGGCGCTTTATAGTCACGTCGTACAGAGGGCTGGGCCCCACCCTCAGCATGCCTTCAAGCAGTGTCACGTGGAGATCATGGAAGAGATGGACAGAGTTCCCTGGACTCCCTTCTCAATTCTTTTTGCTTTCAATAAAACACGATGATGAAGGGATGCAGGCGCCGTGTCACCCTCCACTATAATTAGTCTATGCCACTCAAATCCGCCACTTCCTGTCCGTCCGTCCCGTTTCCAATCTATGCTGACGCAAATCGACTCTTGCCCCTGAGCTTCTTGCCGTACTTGAAGAAGAGAGGAGGGAATCTGTGGTACCGCACGAGTTAGCGAACCTCTTCTCATCCACGCTCAACCAGATCGCTGGGACAATTCCAACTTACGGTGCCATCGCAAGGGCTAGGAACGCGAGCACTGTCGTAGCCCACTGGTAACCGAGATCTGTATTTTTCCTGATCAGTGACCGCTCTTTCGACAAAAAATAGACTCCATCGCGTCGTCTCAGAACACTCACTCTCGTACATCTGCACTCCGAACAGGGGGAACGCCCCGGCGAAGTAACTTCGCGCAAAAGAGTTGGCAGCAAGGGCCGACGCCGCGTAGAGGGGGTCTGAGCAATGGTTAGAGATCCTATTCGTCACAGCGGCCCTGCACGTCAATCGTGAATCCCCATATCCCTAGTCCCCCCAATCTCCTCGATATTGTCACCAACGTAGGCATAGGGTGAGGGGGGTCAAGGGAGGGGGATCCCCGATGTCGGCTCCCATGTAGGTACAGCACTTACAACATTCGACGAGGAAAGTGAAGATGCCGGAATAGCACCAGATGACGCTACAGCGCAGGAGAAGCGGTCAGCAATATGTCAGTCCAATGCCCAAAGAGGTCATCTTACCCAAGGCCGAACACGCCAGAGAAGATTATTGGAACTACGAGGTTTCAGGTGATCAGCTAAAATTACGACTCGTCTCGACAACAACGACCTCATGCGGGTTGTTGCATACATACCTATCCAATGCACCTACAAGGGCCAGGTTCAATAAGTTAGCAAAGAGAAAAAACTTGAAGCAGATATACGATGTGGTGTGTGTGTGTGTGTGGGGTTATCGATATCCAATTTGGCTCGATCAATTGACACGACAGGAGAGCAACTCACGTGTGGGAATGTCGTCCACCCAAACCCTGCATAGCACTCATGATTAGCCATGTCCAAACGTCAATCGTCTGCATGGACTTACCAAACAGCGCAACCGGAACGACAATGGCCCCGTATATCGTCGCAACGAGCCGGAACTCTGGTTCAGAGCCCCCAGGCTCGCCCCCTTGCGCCTCCCGCTGCTGCACGAGCCTATCGTAGCGTCCCCGCCAGAAGGGATCGGACGCAATGCCCAAGACCATGCCAACGAAGAGTCCTGCATGCCGGTTAGATCGATATATTGCCATCGTCCCCTACCCGTCTCCACTACGCAGAAGAGAAACATGGTATCTACACGGAGAACATACCCAAAAACGAAAGACCTAACTGTGAGACGGTGAAGTGGTGATTGTTTTGGAACACTAGCGCAAAGGCTCCAAAGAATAGGTACAATATACCGAGCAGGATGGCGGACAGGACGCAGAGACTGAGGCACTATTGTTGAGTTAGCCTTCCACCTATCAAGCACCTCCTTCACACGTTTCACTTCCCCACGAATGTCGATCGTGGTCTAATGATTGCTCTGACCCCGGCAAGGCACAACGAAGCATGACCAATCCATCAGCGTCCAGCTGTGCCCACCCTTGGTGTGGCTCTCGCCACCTGCGGGCCGCGACGGGGGGGACAGAGCCTTCCTGACATCAAGCCCTCTCGCTTGGGTGTACTTACCATTGGCTCGAAGAAGAGCAATTGGAACGGGCGTATACACGACCATGCGATGGTCTTGGGTATAGACCTCGACAATTGTTCTATGGGTGCGATCCATCGGGCTTCACCAGTTTCTTCTCTCAGTTTCCGCGCCTTGTTGCGTAGAAGGACTGGATGGTACGTCTCGGGCACCAATAGAACGATCGACAGTAGCTGAATACGTGCAGTTCTGTGTTAGTGTATGCATTATTGCGCTCAGGTCCGCGGAAGAACTAGAAGAATTATGAGCTTTGATGCGGACTTACCTGGACGCCCGACCAAATAATCAATACATAGAAGCACCTATCGCTATACTTAGCACATTTCGATATATCGCATTGCTGGGCTTTCTTTCAGTCGACCCTACCATCTCCATGTTGTGTTCTCGACAATGAATCCGCCAATCAGAGGACCAACCTCTGGACTGCTCGAGGTCAGATTATCGACATGCACTCAGGGGAGCATCAAACAGAACATACCCCACGAATGGCGACGCCGTATACACCATCATAGGCGCTGAGAGTTCCTGAAATGAGGCTCAAATTAGCCAAAGCCATGCAAAGGCAGGCGTCACCAGGCACCAATCGATAAAACAGTGATGAGCAATGTACTAACATGTCTAGCAAACATATCCCCCACGGTCCCGCCAGCCTGTTCGACCATTAGCATTCATTATACGGTCATTCTTCTTTGCGCGAGTCCACGCTTTTGTTGATTGAACGTACGACGCTGAGGAAAGCACTGCCGACGAAGCCATTGAGGAATCGCCCTATTAGCATGGTCTGAATGTTTTGCGCAGCCGCGCACGGTATCAGCCATATTAGGAAGAAGGTAAAAGAGCATATGTAGATGGGTCGTCGTCCGTAGAACTGTATCTTCAGTCAGCCACTGTGGTCCTGCATAGCCTTCCATACTCCGATCGCTGTCGATCTCTAATATAGAAGGCAAGCAAAAGGGCCATATGTACTCGGCGGGAATAGGGGAAAGACTCACTTCAGATAGAGGCGCGAGTAACATGGGACCTGTACCCAGTCCTGCGACAAACAGGCTGAGTCCGAGTGTGCACACGATGCGCGAGGTTTGGAACTCGGTGATGAGTTGGCCGTACGTGATGGTATACAGACTACTCGTGCAAGTCCTGTTTCATGTTGCCGAAAATCAGTATCGCATAATATTGTTGAGAAGGGGACAGCGTCTGCCTGCTTGCTTGCTACCTTTGGGGAACTCAAGAGTCGTCTCGAGCCAATACTGAGCCGTCCTATAGCAAGCAAGCAGGAAGGACGACGACGACGACGAGATGTTGAGGCAACTTACACACACAACGAACTCCCACTGAGGATCAGCACAACGATCCACCGTCGCCATTTTGGCATGGAGCGCGGATTCATTGGATCGGAATCGCCATCCCACGTTACGAGGAAAGGGTCCCCATCGGCAGCAGCAGGAGCAGCAGCAGTGCTACCAGTGGATTTGTTCGGCCTTTCGTGTTGGTCGTCGTCGTGTTCAAAGCACGTATATCCATCGCCCCCTGCGTAGGAGCGGCGCGACTTGGTCGAACGAAGGCTCTTGGTGTGTGCCAGGTTGTCGCCAACGTTGCGGTCGGCGCTCTGGATGGAATCTGCATCTCCTGCCGATGTCGACGACGAGTCCTCCTCTTCTCCGCGGCGGTGATTATAGCCAATTGCCTTTTCCAAGTCTACATCTCGTGAAATCTTTTCTTGTTCTCTTGCTCCTCTTCCTTTTTCTTCTTCCTTGGGTCCTAGGGTTGACGATGCTGTGTCGTATGGTATGGTATCGTCATTGTTGCTCCGCGTGGTCGCGTCACCACTACTTCTTCTTCCAATTTTCTTTTCCTCCATGGTGTTTCGCACGACGTTCGTCACTTTTTCCCTTCTATTTCCTCCTACCAGCCCAGAGCGATATCGCGCGCGACGCCCTGTAGTCGTCCCGTGATCGCTCGCGCCCCCAACGTCAAGCAAAGTACCTGACAGACCGCCGATAAGATGATTATTCGACACACTTCTGTACAAACAACCAGTACACACAGACAGAACAATGATCGATCCGACAATCGCTTCTACCGTAAAAGATGTACCTCTCGAGTCTCAATGCTACTCCCAAAAAAAGATATGTCGCGGGTATATACTTTTTTTAAGGTAATGACGGGATGACAAACCCAAACCATGTTCGCGCGCTCGCGCCGCCTGCCCGATTTCTGCGACCCACCAGGCCGACCGCCACAGACCGCAGGGCAGACTGAACCACTATGGGTCTATAGGTCTATGACTAGCTGTGGAGTCTCTTCTTTTTTAAAACCGAAAGGCTAATTATTTCAGCGAGCAAAGAATCGATGACTCTATTCTCCCCACTTCGTCACTTCGTGATCTCACGAGAGAGTCTCGTTGTTGCTTCGTATATTTCGTACGTGAGTGAGGAAAGGTAAATCAAGCTTTTTTTACCTCGTATATCCGGATCCCTAAACGCTTAACCATCCATCAATTCGTATCGCACATGTTCGAGATGGATATGACGTGTAGATCTCCCATCCCACTCACGCACCGCGGCATTCATTTCCCTATCCATACACTTCCTCACGAAAGAAAATACGGCCCGTTTGCCCTGAATCTTTGAAATCAAATCTCACGCAGACTGATTGATGATCATCACATGTAATATCATATCCAACATCTCACTGGCATAAGAGCGCGCATCGCGGTAGGCATCGTTAAGGTACTGTACAGTACAGTACAGGGTACCTCGGTGGACGTCGTCATAGAAATAGCGCTAAATCTACCCGCGCCCCTGGCCTGGTTCGCTTTTCCGCATCCCCATTCCACCCATCGGAGGTAAAATAGATACTCACACTCTACATCACCCTTTCAAGGATTCACCACTCGCGCATTTCTCAGCCCTGAATTATTAATACTAGGTACTTCTATATCTCTCTATATTAGACTTTCGATTCATTCGGTATTAGTGGATCGCGCGTGTGCGTGTGCGTATGTGTGGTTCGTTCGGGCCGGATAACTTTTCCGCCAGGGCGTTCGGGCCCTGAGAACGTTGGGGCGGGTATTCGGTCGTTGGGCGTTCGGTGTTTCGTTCGGTCGCTCGTTCGGTCTGGAGTGCAGTGGGTGAGTGGGTGAGTGGGTGAGGTGTCGGATTTATCGTAGATAGAATGCACTATCAGCGAGGTGTTTGTGAATAATGGATTATAAACCGTACAGTCAGAGCCTCGTGGTAAATACAGAGTTTGGAAATCAGTAGTTTCAATATTCTCATTTTTTTTTTTATTTTCGACATTGATGATGCACTAACTGACAATATATCCAACGTACCCTTTACACGAATGTTTTAAATGTTCTTTTTTTTTGGCAAAAGTGAGTTCGTACTGCCGTGTTTATATAAAACTTGCATTACATCTGCTAGGGATTCACCTATTATTTAACCAACGTCTGCTTATTACTGAGTTCAGGCCCAATAATTCAATGTCTCACACTTCCATTATACAATATCCTCATACTCCATTTACAAGATACCTGTAAACGCCCACCTAGATAGACATAATCTAAAATTTCAGGTACACCATACCTATCACTCTTTATACGAGGGACTTAAAAACAATCTTACTTTGCGAAAATGAGTTCCATTTGTTGTAACTTACAACGCGTCCGTTTGCGGAAATACGATACCTAGATCTGTAACTGAGAGAGAGGGTTAAGACAGAGCTGTCATCGTGAGTGAAGTCATGGCGCGAGCGAGGCAGCTAGTAAGTCACGTACCATGCTTGCATCGTTGGATGAGCAAGGAAGGTCTTGACTAGATCCCCTGAATGACGGCTTCATAGCCTTTCAGATTGAGGTTCTACTCGATTGTCTTCAATCAATCGGATACCTCGGATTGATGATGCAATGCACATGGCACTGATCAAGAGTTGGGATTCATGAGAGACATGGCTGGATACTCCGAGACTGCGTAACATCTCGATGCAGACCAAGGTTGACCACGCAAAGTGTCTGAAAACTCCGAAGTCCCGAAACCGCGAAGTATCCCGTGTCGTATGAACATCGTGGCTTCGCTCGTGACTGGGTATGCTGAGTGTAGGTAGCTATGATATACGTTCAATAAAGACATGCCTGAGGCGATGGCCATGGTCCTGTATATGTATGACCGCGCACGTCTACCAAAAATTCTCATAACATAACATAACCTAACCTTTACTCGAGCCCCTTCCTATTCCCCGAACATGACCGAACGAGGCATATTCCCAAACGCCACCGGCCTCTCGTATCGCTGCGACACGCTCGAAGGGACCACGACTACAGACGCGCATGCCTTCGAGTACACTGCCGGCAAGGCCGTCACGTTTTCGATTGGCAGGCTCGAGATAGGGAAAGGCCAGGGGAAGGCTTTGATGACGATTACCGATCTCGTGCCGCCTGGGACGCCGACGTTCGATCCGAAATTGATCAATAGAGCTCGATTGTTCTACAGCTTGATTCCAGGGCAAGGGTTCGAGGCCGATTTGGTGGTGGATGACAAGGTACGTACGAGGCACCATGTGTTCTCTCTCGCATTGCAGGGTGTCTAAATCATGGAGAAGGTCACGAAGGTTATCGAGAAGTATGCTGATCGGATTAACCTGGATGCTCCTGATCCGTCCGACCTGGACGGCGTTCTGAGCGTCATTTGCGGGGAACTCGGTCTCGTTCCCAAGACTGTCGCTCACACGCGCAATCATCTTCGCCGCGAGAGTGCAGGCTTCAAAGTCTTGCGTGACGTAAAGATCCCGATGAAAGATGGCGGGGCTATCTTTGGCGATGTCTATCTGCCTTTGGAGCACGCGCAGGGGGAAAGGTACCCTGTTCTCGTGAGCTGCACCCTGTATGGTAGGCGAGTCTTCCATTCTGGCCCGGATCTGGAGGTTCATGATGAGATTGTTGCGTTTGAAGAGGCGGAGGATTTGTGGTATACCGAGGGCCCTGATGTCCCCATTGAGCTTCCGCGAGAGTCTTGGGGGGATCACTGGGATCGCCAGCGGGGGTTTGAGAACATCGCGTCGTTCAACACGTTTACGTACGTGCCAGCTGGTTATGCGATGGTCAAGATCGATCCTCCCGGTGTGTCGCAAACACCGGGCAAGAGAGGCGTGCCAGGAGAGCTTGCGGCGGCCTTCTATGAGGCAGTCGAATGGTCGGCCGAACAAAGCTGGAGTGACGGCAATGTTGGCCTGGTTGGCAGTTCTTACGGCGCAAACACACAGTGGGCGGTAGCAAGCTTACGACCCAAGGGCTTGAAGTGCTTCGTGCCATATGCCAGTAAGCAGTCTTTTCTGAATGTGAAGTGCAACTCGCTAACATCGGCTGCTCGATTAGCTGACATCGACACCTACCGCGACGCCGTTTATCCAGGAGGTATTCCAACCAGACGGTACATCACGGATTGGTTCAGTCGAGTCAAGAGGTCTTCTCCAAAATGGGGTGATCACATTGACCTTGCTGAGATGATACCCCAGCATCCTTTCCACGAGCCTCTGTGGGACATGATCAGTGCCAAAGTGGACTCATCGGATATTCCATGTTTTCTGGCTGCTCCGCAAATCTTCATTATACACGGCCGCGGCGCATATGAAGCGTGGAGGGCGAGAAAGCCAGAAAACACTCACTTGCAACTGACTGATTGCGACTACTACCCGTGGCCTAGTCGCGAAGCATCGAACAAGGTCACCCAGTTCCTCGACAATCACCTAAAAGGATACGAATATCCAAAGCCCGAAGCCGTTGGGATTCAGATGCGTCTTGGATGGGGTACGTGGTATTGGCGAAAGGAGAGTGCGTGGCCAGTCCCGGGGACTACGCACATCAAGTGGCATTTGAACGCTGACGGGAAATTGTCTCGAGATGAACCAATGGACGAGTTGACAGTTTCGTACGCTGCAAACGCTCCAGCGACGGGAAAGTCTGGCGTGAGCTTCGTTTCTGCACCCTTGGAGGAAGATGTGGAAATGGCGGGTCACTTCTCTGCCGTCTTGAACGTTTCGTCGACGGCCGTAGATGCAGACGTGGTAGTTACTTTGTGGGCTATCTCTGATGCTGGAGAAATCGTTCCTTACAGCTCCAAAAGCCTTCCCGAGCCGGTAGCGAAAGGATTCCTACGTGCGAGCCACCGCAAGCTCGACCTAGAAAAGACGCTCCCAGAAAGGCCGTGGCACACACACTTGAAAGACGACCATCAGCCCCTCCAGGCGGGAGAAGTTGTTCAGCTGGATGTCGAGATATTCCCTGCAGCTGCGAGGATCAAGAAAGGTTGGAAGCTTCGTCTGGACGTGACGCCTTCGGAATCGCAACCGGATATTCCTTCTTATCTTCCTCCGGATATGAGGAATTTCTTTGGCGAGGAGAACGAGGGCACTGATTCGATTCACATTGGTGGTGGGAGGAGCAACTTCATCTATTGCCCTGTGGTTCCAGTCAAGCAGGGGTATCCAAACCTCGTGATGTGAGGATGAAGAGTAAGATATTTGTCGCCGACGGCATCGCCAAGCTTGTATGTAGTCAAAATAAAATCTAAAGTTTGCATATGATGACTGATATTTTGAGGTTACTGTAAAAGGAGTTGTTCTTGATGGCCATTGTCTTCACCACGTTGCTCTTGGCACTTGCCATAGCTTAATAAGATCCCATGATCCTGCCACATTCCTACTCATTCGGGACGGTATATCTCCCGACGGCCGGCTCTCAGTATATAGTTATGCATCAGTTGCCTAGTAAACCTCTGTAAATAGGCATAGTTGCGCGAAAAAGCAGCCAGAACTAAGTAGGAATCAATTAATTAATTAATTAATCATATACCTCCAAAACTTCGAAGAACCTCTTGGAATTTACGCCATTCAAGTGAGTACGTCACTCCCACATGCCATTGCTTTGTGGAAGAGTATTGTTCGTGTCTCACGAATGCAATAGGGAGAGCACAAAGTACATTGTCCTGACACCGAGCGCGTTGTTCTTGTATGTTCTAATTGTCATCTGTTTCTGCAGGGTGTCTAGTACACATCTGATGTGGCATATCAGGAATACCTGCTGGTCTACTTCTTCCCAAGAAAGTCATAGACAAGCCTAGCTTCGTGAAAGTCGCCTTCGACATTGGCAACAACAACTCGACGGACCCAATGTCGATCGTCATCAATCATCTCAAATCCCCAGATCTGTTCTCCCACTATTAGCCCGCGTCTGACTGTTTCAGAGATCCAGACTCACCTGTTCCGCTGTCCAATCCTTCTCCAGGTGACGCACGAAAAAGTGCACGAAGATATCCTCCTCTCCCGCCAGATATCCATCAGAAGGGCCATCAGCTAGCGACAAGCCCTTGAGGAAGCTTGCCACTTTTTCATTTGACACAGGGGTCTGCTGTTCAAGAGCTGGAATAGTCTTTCCGTCCTGCTGGATGCCCTCGACCAAGCGGGTTCGGACAGTGCATTTGCCAAAAATGTGATCTTCTTGAGGCTGTGGCGACCAGTCCAGAACCCTCTTCTCGGTGGTGCCTGACATCCCACTGGAGGAGGTTTGTTCAATATCAATTCGCAGCACGTCGTCCTGGACATACGAGCTAACGTCGAGCGTGATGGTTGTGACGCCAATTGCCTTTCGGATTACCCAATTGACGCCTTGCTGACGGGAATCAGCACAGCAATACTGCAGAACCTGGGCTCACTCGACTCACCAAAGAGAGAAGGGGATCCGTAGAACCGGAGAGTTTCTTGTTCTGCACCACACCATTTAGTCAGCATGTGCCTTGCATTTGGGCATCGGTCAACACGGTCTGCTCACCAAGGTCCATTTCCCATCGAGCTGCTTCAAGGTGACGTCCTGTGGAGCTGCCATCTTGGTTTTAGCCTTGCGATCAGGATTCGTCTAGAACCTACGAATCAACGTGCACTTTTAGGTAAACAGTTGAAAATATACTTCAGAAATTGAGACTTCGGAGCAGTGATTTTAGTACTATGTGCATCATGCCGTAACCTATCCAAGTCGGTGTCATATCCGACCGATCACGATCACGTCAAACGTATATAGACACACATGTCTGGCACTACAAGGTGTTTGGGGTTACTTCGAAATTTCGCAGCTCGTCCGAAAGTGCGGGGAGAGAAAGCAGATTGGCACGAAAGAAAATGAGAAATTCCGAAATTCCGAAATTCCGAGCAAACATTCGTCGCGACAACCTCACAATTTCGAGACCAACAGTCATGAACCCCAGTGCTCGTGAGCCTTTTCGTGCCAAAAAAACAACACGTCTAGTACTTAACTCCACACATCTAATCTTTCAATATGGAAATATACACTAAGAGGTCACTTCATCCGTCATATCTTGTCCATGCGATTACCAATGACGCGCCAAATACTGTTGCAAAATGGTAACCTGCTTGTCCACGACGAAAAGGACCATGTCATCCCAACTCGCGCTGATCTCCTCATCGAGAACGACCGAATCAAAGAGATCAGAGAGAATATCGAGCCCTCTGGGGCTATGTTAGTTATTGACTGTTCCGACAAGATTGTCTCACCTGGTTTCATTGATACACACCATCATCTTTGGCAATCTCAGCAGAAAGGGATGCATTGCGATCAAATTCTCCTCGATTACTACCATTCAGGTACTTGTAACCACACACATATGACTTCTTTAGTTGACCACTTTGGTAGGGAATCTGGCTAGCTCGCACTACTCAGCCAAAGACATCTTCTTGGGTGAATTAGGAGGTGCCCTTGAGCTTCTAGACGCAGGTACAACGACTGTGGTCGATCATGCACATCTAAATTACACTCCAGAGCATAGTAAGAGTAAAAAAAAGTCAAGGATATCCTGGAAATACGCTGATATCTTCCCAAAGGCAAGGAGGCGTTACGTGCTCTCGTTGCGTCAGGCGTCCGCGCAGTGTTCTGCTATTGTGCGCATCCCCGCGTGGAGACGTGGCATCCTGAGCTGCAGTTTGATAAAGACATGCTGCCTGATTGGGTCATGGAAACTTTCAAGGAGCTCTCTACCAAACAGCCTTTTGGTCCAAATGGTCGTGTTAGGCTGGGCTTTGCCATTGACCCAGGCTTCTGCTCTCAGCATGAGCTGAAGCAGGTTTTTGCCGAAGCAAGGTCGAATGGAGCTCATCTGATCACGTCGCACGGGACGAAGGTTGCGATGCTTGGTCAGTTCGACTTCGAAACCCCTTGGTTCTGCCCTTGTAGTCAGTGCTGACGACAAGCCGCATCTTAGACATGCCATCAACGATAGACGTCCTTGCCAAGAGTGAATTACTCGGACCGGATGTACTAATATCACATGCGAATGCAACCACGAAAGAGGAACTGTCCAAGCTCAAGGAATCTGGTGTCCACTTGTCAAGCACACCGATCACGGAGATGCAAATGGGACATGGGCACCCTCTATGTCTGATGCCTTACTTTAACGGTCTTTCGTCCTTGGGGGTAGACTGCCACAGCGTGAGCAACTGCTTCCTTCCGAATCAGATGATCACGGCACTGCAGGCTAGCCGAGCTCGCATTTTCGAACAGGCTCAAGCAAAGAGAGAATGGGATGCGACCGTAGGTCCAACCGTGGAGAATGCCTACAATCTGGGGACAATTTTTGGGGCCCGTGCTGCGAAGCTTGATCACGAAATCGGCAGCTTAAAGGTTGGGAAAAAGGCGGATATCATCATTTTCAGTGAGAAGACTCCGACAATGGTTCTGGCGTCAGCTTGTGACCCAGTCGCGGCAATTGTCTTGCACAGTTCTGTGAGAGACGTAGAGACCGTGATCGTTGATGGGATAATACGGAAAGAGAATTGTTCGCTTCTCAAAACGTCGCTCCCCAAGGGATTGGGTGCCGATGATGGAGAAGAGAGGCCGTTGTCCTGGTCAGAGCTAGCTAGTGAACTGGTTCAAAGCTCAACAGAGTTGAAGAAGAAGACTGACGCTGTTGATGAAGACACGGCGCGCGACGGATTAATCAGGGCATTTCTGGAGGACCTCACTCGATTAAAGATTTAAAATCAGCCTAAGTATCATTCAGACAGCATTTCAACAAAGTGTGCCTTGAGGACTTATGTGATTATCTCGCGTGATTTGTTCGAACAATATATCTGATATTCTTCACGTCTCAAGTGGAATAAAAAAGATGGTGGTATACATTTCTATGAGCCATAACAAAAAGTCTAAAAAATATCTAAATACTGCATTTGCAGTGTCCCGCACATCAGCCACTACCATGTCTCATCCTCGACGTCATACGCCAGTGGTTTCTGTCCTAAACCGAGCCTTTGCAGGCCGGCAGTCTTGTAGAACCAAAGACCGGCCGTGATTGCGAATCCGTTGGCCCAAAGCTCCCACGGTCCCTTTTCTTTTCGTATATCACCATTCTTCTCTGCGGTGTGTAACATTGACTCCGTTCGAGGGCGTCGTTTTTCCTCATATATCCTCAACGAATCCTCCACACTAAAACGTCCGCTGTGAAGGAGATTCGATAGGAGAAACACATCTTCGAGAGCCATAGAAACACCTTGACTAGCATGGGGAGGCATTGCGTGCGCAGCGTCCCCAATAATCAAAACACGTCCTTTGTGCCATGGCCTGCCAGTGGGGACCTTATAGATGGGGTAGAATTTGAAGGCGTCAGTTTTGTCGATAACATCTCGGAGGAACTCAAGCCACTCGCATTGGTCATCTCCAAGTAAACCCAGCATGTTTGCTTTTCCTTCCTCGAGCTCCTTTTTCCCCCTCTCCTCCCATCCATCGCGGTCGGTATTTATTGGGATGTCGACTTCTCGAGAAAAGAACCAATAAAGTAAGTCGTGCGTGGGGTTCGCAGGGCTAAGGCCAAACATGCCATTCGCAGTCAAAGTCGCATTCAGCCCCTCAATTTCTGGTGGACTTTTGGAGAGTTCAGATGTTGAGAGCAAAGAGAATACGTTCGCTATTCCGGAATACACAGGCATGCATTCCGGGTCAACGTATATCTTACGGACCGAGGAATGGATGCCGTCTGCGCCGATGACGAAGTCGGCATCTTCTTGGGAGCCATCCGAGAAAGATGCGGTCACAGTGTAGTCCGTTTCCTCAATTTTGGTGATCCGTTTGCCAAAGTGAATCGGGATGTTTGCTTTGCTGGCAGCATCCAGCAATATGTCCATCAAGTCAGTCCTTCTGATCCTAAAATAACCAAATCCAGTCTGCTGTTTGCTCCACGCGTCCAACGACATGTTTCCCATGAGCTTGCCCTCAGACGATCGCACATTGAGATTTGAGGTTTGGGCGCCTTTTGCAACCACTTCATTGTAGAGGTTGAGACGTGAGAGTAGCCGAAGACCATTTGATGGGATTCCAATCGCCCCACCAAGAGTAGTTGGCTTGTCACGAACTTCATAGATGGTGCATGAAATGCGGTTCTTCTGTTGTAGGCGCAAGGCTGCCGCAATCCCTGCAGGGCCACCTCCGATGATGATTGCCTGAAGCAAAATGTTAGCTTCAGCGCACGATGTTACACTAGCAACATACCTTTTCAATTTGCTTCATTGTGAGAGAGCGGGACTGTTTCTGAATTTTGCTGTTTAAGATTCTGCTACATCAAGACTGTCAAGTAATGAAGGTACTCAGCCCTATTTAGGGCGCTACTGAACCCCCGAGCCGCAATTTCGGTATTTCGCGAGTCGTCGCAATGATATTCGAGAAAGAGCATTAACGTTACGTCTAAAGTGATAGATGATCAGATGTTGGGCAAATCAGCATCATTCGCGTGAGAAGAGCCTGTGTCGCGGTTTCAATGTCTCGGTCTCGGCTTTGAGTGACTGACGACCGGAGGTAGCGTGGAACGTCTTCAACTTCCGTTTTATCAGCCCAATTGACGTAAAGCTCAAGTGACGATTTCTTGAAGTGGATTGACCGGCTCTGTCTGGAAGAGCGACTCGCCGGCTGACTAGGCACCCAGTAGTCCCCTTTCCCCAAAACACCGAAACTCCGAAGCCATGTTTGGAGCACTACCTTCCACTTGTAAGTCGGTCAAACGCAAGGCGCTTAATAGATTGGTGGATTTCGCCAATCGTCCATCAAACGTCTTTCCGATGCCGATCTCCTTACCTCGAAAGTCAACAATTCAAGCATGACCGCGAGGAAGTAGCCCATTAGAGCCGAAATCGCCGAGTCCTCAAGAACTGACCGACTTTCTTGTCCCACAGTGTCTATCCTTTAGTTTTGCTAGCACATGGTCCTGGTGTTCTGGGCATCATTCCTGTCCGAATCTGCTTTCTCTACATGATTTATAGTCTTGTTAAGAGGAGCGAGGCATGGGGAAACGACTCTGTAGAACATGCCAGCATCGCGATTTGACCCAAGGATGATTGGGATTTGCAATGCCCTAAGTCCAATGGTGTTTACTACCTGGATGAATGCTCGGGTAGTGACTCTGGACATAGACCTAAATCTATATTCAAATGCAGAATTGTTACTGTCAGATCGGAACCATGATTCCCCACTTCTTGCGGTGCAGCAGAGGTCTATTCCCGACATGTGTAGAACGTCCCAAGGTTGTCCTTCGTAAAAGCATGGCACACTAAGTTCTATATAATGTCAAGTATCTACGAATTTTACAAGATACGTCGATCTCCTCATCACGTCAACAACCAACTATGGTATCTTTCCGACTGAGAAGCTTGTTGTACCAAAGTCAGAGGGAAAGCCAATGATGATTCAAGCGCTTACTCCTCTAGATATGAACAAGGACATGGTACTTTGTTTGGAGGTCTATTTCGAACGCAGTCTGAAACCCACAACTGCTGTACCCCCAGAGTATGAGAAAGAGCACGTAGCAACGAGCACTCTTACCATACCTACTACCCATCATATCGAACATATTCACGAGGTCAATCTAGTTGATCCAAGGGCAAGAAACACAAGAAGCCGAAGGCTTAAGTGTAAGTAGTAAAACAAAAAGGTTTTAGGTTTTAGAAAAGGTAGTACTATATAACTTAGGTTTGAGAAATTTAATGTAACATCTACTAGGGCTGATCCCCTTTTCAGGCCATTAAAGTTTAGGGGGACGCGCAAGGGCGATCAGAGCCCTTCCTCAAGGCACTTACCGCCCCCGCAGGGTACGCTAAACCAAACCTACACCTCCACACCTTGGCGTACACTTCTGTCATCGCAGCAATCGCTATCCCCACACGCAAGCAAAGCCATGCTTTTTGAACAGTCTCATATTACAAAGTATGCCAGTTAAGCTGTCGAGAACCTGCGACGAATGCAAATGCCGCAAGGTGCGCTGCGTCAGTGAGTTTGCAAATCCCTTCAAAACGTTCTTCGGAGGCAGCAGGAACCAAACTAATTTGAACCAGAGGCGTCTGACAGTGGTGTCATGAGCTGCGAGTATTGTAGCGTAGGTATTCCTCATCGATCCGTGCCATAGTAACAGAACTTACTAACGTCATGTCCTAGAATCGTGGACTTGAATGCAATTTCAGCCCAAAACGGAGACGTGTGACAAAGCGCGCTCCCACAGAGTCTTCCAGTGATTTCAGAAGACATAGACCAATTCGCAATGGTCTGAATACGACAGTATCAGAGGAAAATGCCCTTCAGATTGAGTCTTCCGCAGCGGAATCAATACACAGCGTCAGTATTGACCAAAGCTGCCAGGACGAGCTATCCGCCGCACAATCGCCACATGGAACAGCAAGCACCAACGGATTGGCTCATCGGCCAGCTGAGCAGAATCAGCTTTATGTTGACCTTCTGCTCCAAAATATGAGCACAGGAGACAGACGGCGAAACTCAAGCTCGTTAGTCAAGGTTCGCTTGGTCCCTAACTGACTTCTACCTGTTGGGTTGATCAAGTTGACGTAACTAAACTCAGGCCCATGATCTATATGGTCAGTAACCAGCTATCAGATAACTCGATTATGAGAAGTTAGCTCAATCTGACCGTCAGCTAGTCCCGAGTTCCGGGATCGCCTTCTTCTCCGAGAAAAGGATCGCGTCAATCTCGCATCGTTTAGGCCATACACGGCTTCAGCGTCTTATGCAAACGCTTGCAACAAAACTTGACTCACGTTTTAAGCACAAGACGTCTCTACCGTTCCACCAGGATGGGCCATATGGCGATCCGCAGGTCCCGAATGAGATCGTGAGAAAGTACATCTTCGGTTTGTTTCTCCGTGCAACTTACCCTCTGTTTTGCGTAAATCAGCTGACACCATTTCCAGCGTTCTTCACTCATATACATCCAGTTTATCCGTTCCTAGTACGTTCGTCGTTCGAAGAGAAGGCGTATCGTCCCCAGCTAGAGCTTCTTCAGGAGAGCACAAGTTTTCGCGCTCTCTATCATGCTGTCCTAGCGCTTGGCTGTCAATATGCTGATGGCGGGAGTTTCAAAGCGGGTGACGGTGTTGCTTCATCTCTTTTCGAACACTCTATAGCTCTTCTTTCAAACGGGTTGGCATACGCAGAAAGTCTTACCAGCGTGCAGGCGAGTAGCCCGACGATTACAAGCGCTATCTTGACACAACTCTGACTTATTTTAGGCACTTGTAGCCGTGGTCTGTCGTGCGAGTCACTAAACAAGACACTGAATCTATATTCTAACTCCCATGATAGGCCATTTTCGGTTTAGACCCGTCCAGACCCCGCCTCGGCGATATCTTGATTGCCCAAGCAGCACGAATGGCGCAATCTATTGGACTGAACAAAGCAGATTACCAAGGCGAGGATCCTGGCGCATGCCAGAGAACGTTTTGGGTCGTCTACGCCTTGGAAAAATCTATGTCTTTTGCTTGCAACAAAACCTCTGTGAGTTGTCGTCTCTTTACCCGCGAGGTCATAGAAGTTCTTTTGCTAATAAGCAAAGATCATAGCCGACCGTGACATTGGCACTCCCTTTCCCCAGGTGCCTGAGGCTGTTCACGATGACTTTGACGGGTTTCACGCAAGATGCCGTTTAAGCCGACTTACATCAAGTGCCTACGAGTCAATATTTTCCATTAGTGCAACACTGCTAGATTCCGAGTCAACCCGCCTTGCGATTGACAGCTTTTTCCACCAGCTCGAATGTTGGAGACAGTCCATTCCGTTCGACTTTCGCCCAGGAAACCCAATCCCTGTGTCTTACAGATCAAATCGTGCCCTTATGTCCAGTACTTTAAAGATGCACTGCTATTACTATAGCATACTTATCGCCTTGTACCGACTCAATCTGAGCCTACGCCCTGCAGAAGTCTCACGTGCCATGACTGAGAGCAGGAAACAGCTTTTGAATGCTGCACAGAAGATTGTTGAACTGAGTGAACACATTGAGGTGGCCGCTCACACGTCTATATGGTATGTAGGCAAAAGGTTCCAGCACCTGACATGACACGGACGGAACAATAAGTCTTGGAACATAATTTGAAGCTGAATGGTCGTACCTATATAGGCTCATGGGCTCTATCCCACTCTCGGCACTATTCATCCTCTTCGACTTCGTCGTGCACAATCCAACCCACACAGAAACGTCGCGAAACTTATCTCTGCTTGGTGTCCTTGTCGGCTACTTTTCGCGCTTGGAGCTTGCCTCGTGTGGGTCAATACCGACGGCTTTACTGTTCGACTTTGTCCAGATTGCGCGGGAATACGTTCAAAAGGTAGACTCTGAGCAGAACGCCAAGGCGGCGAGTGCGATATCAGGACATCCTCACCAAGAGAGCCAACAATCACCGGTTGAAAGACAGATTCTGGAGCAAGTTGATTCTTCAGAACTAGCCTTTGTAAGTACTTTCATCGTTTTCAACCAGCCCTTTTCGTATGTATCTTGTCTTGCTTTGCCGCCACTAACAGCGGACACGTTATTTAGGGTGGCGCGATAGGCAGCGACCAAAGCCTCTGGGACGCCACTAATGTCATGGCTGATGATTTTTATTATCCGATGGATGAGGCTTTACCAATGGTAGAAGGCATGTTTGCAACAGGCTTTGCGGATCCCATGAATTTTCTTGCGCCGGCAGGTCAGCAGAGCGAGCACAGCGCGTTCCAGGTGTCCGGGTTGGGCCTGCAGCCATAATCAGTTAGATCTGTTTATCGTACACAAAACTACAAGCGCTTTATCCCGTTGCATAGAATCTTTAATCGATCAGGATGTCGTATATTCCTTTTATAGAGGCGAGTTAGCCTAGAACTCTAGTTAAGGTTAGTCCTAAGGCCTCTTTCCCTAAGAGAATTTTTATAGGTCTATCCTATTATAATCTTAATTATACTTTTTATATAATTGAACAACGCCTTCTTCTCTTCTCTTCTCTTCGGATTTTCGCTTGTCGACATGGAATGAATCTTCTGAGTTTTCATGTCTCCCATCGCCCTCGTTTTTCGTCGTTTGCGAACCTTCGGGATGGATGACGGACGTTTTGAGATAGACATTTCGTGCGTTGCGCGCGTCTGTCGTTTCTCGCGTGGTTCTCGCGATGTGGTTACCACGTGGGAAACCCCCACTCCGCCTGTTATCCATATTGACCTGAAGAAAAGAAAAGAAACAATGAAAACGGGATAATCCATTTCATTAAAAGAGGGACATGACGCTCTTTGCAAAGATAGATAGACAAATAGATCTACTTGGGAAAAAAAGTGAATGGTATCTATCTATCACCATACTCCTTCATTTGCGTATTTCGCATGTCCAGGTACAAATGCACCTAGGTAATATAAAACCATCCAATTCAATCATTCTAATCGTCTCCCTCATCTCCCTCTCCACAGAATGCTACAATCATAACTCATAAATACACACAGCTCATCAAACCCCACCCCTAACACAAAGCCACACCGCAACCCCAACCCCTACAACCGCATCCCACCCCAATGCCTTCACACTCCACCCCCCCTCCCCCGTCATCACCCTCCCAATCTCTGACCCTCCCACCTCCCGCACCGCACCCGCGAGCTTGAGCGCCACGACCGCGGCCACCGTCACATACCCGCCCGCCCCCGCCGTCGACGGGCGGCGCCGCGTGGTGGACAGAAGCCGCGGCGCGTACGGGAGGAGTAAAAACACACGCGTCACTAGCACGAGGCCGGTGAAGAAGTTGGAGCGGCGGAAGCGGGGGAGGAAGAAGGAGAGGGATTGGAAGAGGAGGGTTAGGAGGAGGAGGGGGATGTGTAGGATGCTACTTCTTATGCTGGAGTTGGTGGGTGGGGGAGACGATTTGGGGGAGGGGGTGGGGAGGAAGGAGAGCCGGAGCGCGAAGAGGGATGTCGTGAAGGTTATGGGCAGGATTTGGCCGAGGGCGATGTAGGGGAGGAGAGTACGTGTTTGGAGGGAGTGGTAGGAGGCTTTTTGTGGGGAAGGGGGTGATGTTAGTATATATAGACTTGCGGCGATGGGGAACGGGGGGGTTTTATATTGGATGGATTTTGGGGGAGGGGGAGATGGGATAGGCGTACCATTTCTCGCCATCCAGACGTTCCAGCCCCACGTCTCGAGCAGCGCTATCTGCGTTACTTTCCTGCTGGGTTCGTCGCGGAGTAGTTCCTTCGCGAACGACGTGAAGAGGTGGCTGTTCAGCATCCAAGCCCAGACGGACCGCGAATCATGGGGCCGGAAGAAGGATTGCGTGAGGCTCCAGTTGAGGTAGGACGACAGGAGATAGCGGGACATGTGGTATGACAGCGTCGCGAAGCTGACGATGCTGAATGCGACGAGAACCGTTGTTCCATGGCGGCTCCGTGGCGGGTGTCTTTGGTGCTGTTTGTAGAGTGATAGAACTATGTGGGATGTGAGGACCAGAGCTGCGGCAATGTATGCGAGGAAGACGATGGTGCCGAGGACGTTGTTCGGTGGGTTGGAGATCTTCACGAGGAATTCTAACACCATTGTGACGGTTCCATTTGATGTTTGACCTGAAATTCGCTGTAAAAGAATGAACGATTGTTGATTAGGAATCTGTTTATTGTCATGACGTCATCCGTAGCATCTTATCATCATCTGGATGTCACTTGAGCGGGCGTGATGGTATACGGTGATTTGGACCGAATGCCATCCCAACAATTGAAATCTCAGTGCGGGAATCGTGAGACGTGTTGTTCCTGTGCGATAGCCAATGCTAGCTGAATTGAGTGTAGCTGCATCTTAGCATCGTGAACATCAACGCGATGTCTATCTTCACCAAACGATCAGTGTACCGTGAGAATACTGCAAGGAAATAAAATGATATCAAGATTGATCTTTTCCTGTAGCCGCAGGAAACATGCATGTGCTCCCAATAATGTTTGGAACGGTGCCTTATTGTACAATAGTGAAACGAACTCCGACAATCTGCTCTCTTTTATGATCCTCCCATTGGAGTATCCTGCCCACAGCTCTCCAATGCGAACAGTGTTCGATCTTAGCGCTTGAACGAAGGACATCAATGGAGGAATGCGCTACACGGACTTCCCTAATCGTCGAGGAGCGGCTGCGATTCACTGCTCTCGCCATTCTTCTTCTTCTTGCCTCGCTTCTTACGCTGCTTTTTCTTACTACCACCTTTCTGCTCTTCTTGCTTCTCCTGCTTTTGCTGCTCAGTCTCAGAGCTCGTAGGTCTATCGTACGTGCCGTCGGTCTGGCTACCGTGGAGCCTGTCCTCAGAGTCGCTGGAGCTCGTGGTTTCCAACACAATCTTTCGTACACCGTTCAGGTCGATAATGTTCTCAGATATGCTGCCACTTCGGGCTGTATGACGCTTCTGGGGCGGGCTGTGAGGTTTGGATCCGAACGAATGCAGTGAGCCAATGGTGCTCGTGGACTTGGTGCGCTGTATCGATGCACCAGGGGTCTGAATGTCCACAATGAGTTTCGTGTTCTCGTCCGCGACGGTAGACTTGGGGGAAGTCGGCATGTCGTCGTGAGAAGGCTTTAGCCTGGACTCAGATTTCCACGATGAGCGCTCTACACCAGGCGTTATCGTGCCATAGCCGACAGCAAGGCTGTGAACGCCGTCGCTAGCTTCTCGTCCCGCAGATTCTAGCAAACCCTCGCCCACTCCACCCTGAGGAGCATGAACTTCAACGGCGGCCGCTCCATCCTTGGACTGTTGAGAACCTTCGGGGACTGTGTTCGGGATACCTGGCTTAATCTTCACGGTGTTAATGCGAGTAGTTTTCGGTTTGTTGGCGGCATTGGATGGTCCAAGATGTTTGAGGTGCTGGATGACCTCTGGATCGTCGCTTCGGAGTGCAAGATGCGCGCCGCGTTCGGGGACAGCATTGTGTCCACTGCTCCTTCGACGCACAAGGAAGGTCGAGATTTTCGGGTCATTCAATAATTCAGCGTGGGAGGATTTTCTGCGTTCGTTGGATCCGTTCTGCTCGGTCTCCTCGGCGCTGGATTTCGTCGGAACCTCTGTGGGTTTAGTGGGATCAGTAACGATTTCGCCCCTGGGCACACGGGTTCGAGGAGCGGGAGCCATGCGGCGAATTGCCTTGTGAACATCGATGAACACATCGGACTCGTCGATGATTTCTCTATACAAATTTGTTAGGTCAATTCAAGTAATATAGGATAGATTGCACTTACTCTCCGATGAGCTCTTCAATGACGTCCTCCAAAGTAACAACACCGACCGCTCCGTGAGACTCGCCGGGAAAGTCAGAAACCAGAACCATGTGAGACTTTCCTTCCTGGAAGAAATTGATGATATCAAGGCAGCTAGTGTCGGGGCGCGTTTCAGGCAGAGTGGCGAGAGCGAAGTCGCGAACGCGCAGAGCATCTTCAGGGTCATAGGTAATGAGCATTTTGACCAATAACATGCCCACGAAGTTCTTAGGGTTGTCTGGAGTATGGATGGGGATTCGGGAATAGCCAGCCGAAAGGATGGAATTCATCATGTCTTCGTCCAACACTGTGTCCGCGGACATGGTGAACACATCCTTCATTGGCGTCATGATACTGCCGACAGCCTTTGCCTTAAGATCCAGGACAGCAGTGATGATGGTAACCTCGTCTTCGTTCAGACGCTCATCTGGGCTCGTTCCCAAGGTCTTGTGCAGCGTGACAAGTGTCTTCAAACCAGCCTTTTTGTATGTTGTTCCGTGGTCCTCGCCGAGCAAATAGTCCAGCAGTTTCGCGGTCGGGTATGCAACAGGAGCCATGATCCACATCAAAGTAAGAACGAGGGGAGTGCACCAGGCGCCGATGGGGAGGCCGTAGCGCACGCATATCGACTGGGGTACAATTTCGCCAAAGATGACTGGAGCGCAATTTAGCATTAAAAACGGAGTAGAATGAGTTGAGGAAAAAAACATACCGATGAGAACTGTAGATGCTAGGACAGCTGGCCAGCCTCCACCCAGCGAGCGATCAAGAACGATAGGGAGTGTTTCGTTGGTAATGACGTTGCTCAGGAGCAGGGTGACCAGAACCCAATGCTTGCCTTTCTTGAGTAGTTTGAGGACGGTGGCGGCATTTTTACGTTCCCTTCCTTCGCCGGAAGTAGCGATGACTTGGAGGTAGATCTCATCTTGTCCCATCAAACTGTGTGGAGTTCATACGTCAGTAAGGCAATGAAGCATCAATGTAGGAAGCTGGGCGTGCCAAGCGGGGGTAAACATACGCAATGGTCAATCCAGCGAAGGCGCCTCCAAGCAAGACGAGAGCAATGGCGGTGCCCAAATACGCCCAAAGGCTGGCATCTTCAGGACTCTTGGGAAGATCTTCCTCGAATGCATGTAGTGATCCTTGTGCGACAGGAAGGGCCCTGACGAGCGGCGCGAACATGTGGAACAAGCAGAGGAAGAGTCCAGAGACGCGAGCTTGGGGCCCGGAGATCAAGCCATTAGGATTGGGGGTGTAGGAGGAGGCAGCGCCAATTGGACGTGCCATGCTCCGGATATTTGGTGATAGACCCTCGCGATGAGGTTTGTAAGTGATGGGCGGAATGACAGAGGCGTCAAGTGGCCGTGAGGGAGGAGAGACGAAAAGGCGCCGACGAGAAGTTGACGAGGATGTGCGCGCACGGAAGAGAGGAAGGTGCGTTCGGTGGGAGAGGGACTGTTGGTCCGTGCACAGCGGCAACTCGAGCTCCAAAAAGGCACAGAAGCGCGGCGCCAAGCGGGAAAGTCGGATGAGTTACGAGGTAGGTGAGACGATAAGAATAGAAACCTGGAGTGGTTCTGATAATGCAATGGTTTAATCGAAGAGAGAAGAGGCAGAACAATGGAAGCGCGACGAAAAGAAATGTTTTTGGTTGATGTCGAAATAGATCGTCGTTCCCGAGGGGAGGTGGGAGAGAGGGAACTACTGTGAGTAATATGTAGAGTGACGTAGGGGAACTATGGACTAACCAACGTTCCTCACCCAATTACTCGTAGACTGAGTAGAAGACTTAGGTAACTAATTGTCTATTATTCTACTGTAGTAATGGCTGACTAGTATCCATCTACACGAATTCTTCGCCTTTCTATTGGACTATATCTTGACTGGCACCATCACGAAGGTTCCAGATATGCCCCTCGTCCACTATAATCGAAAAAAGAATACAAGATCCATAGTAAGAAGAGGATGGTAAAAGAAAAAGGAACTTACATATTGGTACTAGTACGAACCATCATCTTGCCAAGCCCTGCCCGCCGGCGGGGACTAAAGAGACAACGATCCCCACTCCGCCCACCGCCTTCAACGGTCATATATCAACCACCGAGAAATCACGATAATCATCAATCAATTGCTTCTGACAGTTTACAACCTGTATGCAGAGATACTCAGCTCCTTTGATTGATCGGCACGGCAGGATTATCTATTAGAACACTAATCAGCTTTATGAAAGACCTAGCTTCCTACCCAAATGGCCCTACATGTCTGTCAATTAAATACCCGCAACCGCGATTTACAGAACCTATAGAACACAGGGGATGAGCACGATCGTATCTCCACGCGAAACACTGCGCTGGACCTTTGATATACCAAACCCAAAAAGACTGACTTTTTTATCTCTTGTCTCGTAACCTGCTGACTACGCGGTGAGCTGCGGTCTAGGATACCTCGGCGGATGTACCTTTCACCCAACCTGAGCCGACGCTTGCCGTCATTTCTATACAACTACACCTCCTCCATCCTCCCCCACAAACATTCCTCCGCACGCTTTCTCCATGGTTGTTTTATACTCCTAACACTTTCTCTTCATTTATTCTCTTCAGTCTCCTCACTTTCACAGGGTAGGTCTGCAATGTCTACCATAATCCCTCCTGCGCGAACGCTACTCCGCTCCCTGCCTCTACGCCGCCAACATCCAACGTCTATACGATGCGCGGCCCCGCGAGTCAATTGTAAAAATTATTCTGCTGCAGCAGCTGGCGCACGATTGAACGTTCCAGTTCAGTACGACTCTACCCCGATCCTCCATCACACCGCCCGCTCTGCCCTCGCCAACCCAGAACTACCCCAAGACATTCGGAACGGCCAAACAAAGCGCATCAACCTCTACACTGCCGTCAACGAAGCCCTACGCCATGCCCTACAGACAGACGAGCGCGTCCTCGTCTTCGGAGAGGATATACAGTTCGGTGGTGTGTTCCGCTGCACAATGAACCTGGCTGCGGACTTTGGTACAGACCGCGTCTTCAATACACCCTTGAGCGAACAGGGATTGGTGGGCTTCGCTATAGGCGCTGCTAGTGAGGGAATGAGGCCTGTTGCTGAGGTTCAGTTTGCGGATTACGTCTTCCCTGCTTTCGATCAGATCGTGAACGAGGCGGCCAAGTACAGGTATCGCTCTGGATCCACAGGGTACAATGCTGGTGGTTTGGTGATCCGTATGCCGACTGGCGTGGTGGGACACGGTGCCCTGTAAGTGTTCGCATTGCTATTTCTCTACCACCCATGGCTTATATGTCTGTACAGATATCACTCGCAATCTCCCGAGGCCCTCTTCACACACATTCCTGGCCTTCATGTTGTGATTCCTCGATCCCCAGTCCAAGCCAAGGGTCTTCTCCTCTCAGCGATAAAGACCAACGACCCAGTAATCTTCATGGAGCCCAAAGTCCTCTACCGTGCCGCAGTCGAGCAAGTACCCGTAGGATCATACGAACTGCCCCTGGACAAAGCCGAGATTCTCAAGCCCGGTAAAGACGTCACCCTGATTTCCTACGGAACACCACTGTACACATGTTCCGCCGCCATCGCAGCAGCAGAGAAAGACTTTGGCTGCAGCGTCGAGCTGATCGACCTACGAACCATCTACCCCTGGGACCGGGAAACGATCCTGGAAAGCGTGAAGAAGACGGGACGAGCGATCGTCGTGCACGAGAGCATGATGAACGCTGGTGTGGGTGCTGAGGTCGCTGCAACTATTCAGGAGAAGGCATTCTTGAGACTTGAGGCGCCAGTGAAGAGAGTCGCAGGGTGGGCTACCCATACCGGGTTGGTCTACGAAAAGTTCATTATTCCGGACGTGACACGTAAGTCTTCTTCCCCCTTCTGCAGTTTCCAACACGAAAGGTTTCAAAATAACAATTAACAGGCGTCTACGATGCAATCAAACAGACGATAGACTATTAAAAAAATTCGCTTCCAATGATACCAAGCATAGCATTACATCATCATATCATTATATAAAATTCATGCATATTTTCTTCAATTCGAAGTTCAATCGACAAGTTTCAATCCACCATGTAACTCGTATTTGTTGACCGAAATGTCGAGACCTCGTAAATCTTCCGTTTCTACTGCACGTTCATTCCCAGACCTTAATCCTGGTCTGCTTGTTTTTCATGTGGTAGGTTACTTTTCTACTATCAGTGTTTTACGCTGCCTCGACATTTTATGAAGTTTAACATATTGCTCAATTGACTGGTTCTCTTATCTTCGACTCTCTACTCGCCCAGCGCTTACATTCCTTCTCTCTTCAATTCCTTTCCCATTTCTCCAGGAACACTCTCTCCAGCGCATTCTAACGGTAGAAATCATAAACATCCCCTAACTTTCCTTTTCAACAAACCCAGCCTCGTCATCGACAAACTCGACCCCGCCGATCTCAAACCATCTTCTTGCATCCTCCGCGTTCAGTAGGATCTTTCCTTTCCAGAACTCCTTTGCCCCAGCCTTTTCCGCTTCCCATTGCTCGTACATGTCAGGGGAGACGTGGCTCAGTGCTGATGAAATGTTCACTGATACTGCAGGATGAGAACTTGATCCGCGGATAGAGGACGAAGGCGAGGCAATCCTCGACACCGACTCCTAGATCGGCGCGGAGGAGGATTGTGTTGGAGAGGTCGTGTGTGGAGTCGTAGAGGGACAAATTGTTCGCGTGCCACCAAATGTGTTTCCTGGAGTGGGCAGATGGGTGTGGGAAGGGTTAGTTCTCGGTGTCCGGTTATGCGACATGAGGTATCTCGTGCAGGTGCGACGTCGGGAATTGATGCGTCCATGGCCTTCCACGACGTCGGCAGATTCCCGTGTGGGAAATGCCATTCGAGGAAGTTGGGGACGACCGGATAGGGAAGATTGGGTTGGCTGGCGTCGAGGTCGGTTTGTAACGGAGGAGGAAGATGGAAGTAATAGTTTCTCTTGTACAGGATGCTGGTTGGATCGATGGTAGTCGAGTGAGTGGGTTCTTTGGATTCCGAGAGCTAGCCGTCCCAGCGGTTTCCGGCGACGATGCCGCAGACTTGGAGGGCATAGTTGGCGTATAGTCCGCGACTATTTGAGGGCCCTACGTCTGATGCGAGGAGTTTGAGGAGGAGGTTGTAGGGTGCGTTGTAGCCGGGATGGCGTATTGTGATTTCGTGATATGGGACTTGGTGTTGGGTTGCTGGAGGCTCGCAGGGCTCTCGAGCGAAGCTCATGATGGAGATTGATTTTAAACCTGTGTGGGAGGGTTGAGTCGATTGAATTTTGATATTCGTAGGGCTTGTAGACTGGTGGCTGGCTACAATGTTTTTTCTTCCTTTCTTCTCTATAGTAAACAATTATGGTAGAGACTGCATGAAGCCAGCGAACGGTCTGTCCGACATGAATGCCTAGTACAGATGACCAATGACACCAACAATCAAGACACTGGAGAAATTAAACGTAGTCAAACTGACCAGTCACCTTTCATACCAATTTATCAATTTCACTACTCCTCACTTTGACATTTGACAGTGATGGTGAACTCGATGGTTGTCCAGCTCTAAACCTAGATAGTACTAGTTTCAGGTATCATACAAATGTATAGCTTGTTCACGAGAACATGGTATTTGCAAAGTGACATGGAAGTGTTTAGGGTTTGAGAGTCTATCATATATTTGATCCTGTAGTCCAATGGTACATCCTTGATTCGAAAGTAGGGGTTTTTTCCGAGTTGTATGATCACTTGAGGGGTCATAGTATCGTTGTAAACACGGCCTACGAGCAGTAGATATGTGATCACATCATCTTATCTTCAGCAGCGTTGTGATAGTAATTCGAGTTTAAACATAAGCGAACCAAGTCGGAATGAAAAGGATATCATCAATTCTATAATCTATTTTTGGATTCGTCTTCATCAAACCATCTAAGCCTTTCCACTGCTACCGCAAATATCCATCCACCTCTCCGTCTCCTCCTGCAACACCTTCATTCCCTCATCAAGCAAACTCACGATACCCAACTTGCTCGCATTCTCCCTCAAGAACTGGTTCCAGACCTCGAGGATCAGCTTGTTGACGTTCAGCTTCACGGTGCCGGACTCGATGCAGCGGCGCAGGATGGCGGGCGGGAAGTCGTTGGTGCCGTGGAGGGCGATGAGGACGCGCTTGTTGATCTGCTTGTCTATCGACTCGAGGCGGTCGAAGTGCAATTGGCCATCGGCGGGGCCGGTTGGGCCGTAGTCGCCGTGGACGTTGCCTATTGAGGGGGCGAGGATGTCGACGCCGGCGGAGATGAAGTCTTCGACTTCTTCGGGGGTGGTGAAGAGGGCTGTTGGTGGTTAGAACCGGGTGGTTAGAATGGTTGGTTGGAAGTAACTGTCTCACCTTCGAGCTCGCCAGTGTCAGCGATTCCGTCCTCTCCTCCGTTGATTCTTCCGCTCTCGGCTTCGACGGCGATTCCCCGGTCGTGGCACTCCTTGGTCAGAACCTTCGTCTTGGCTAGGTTCTCATCGTGCTCGTAGTGGCTCATGTCAACCATAACACTGTCGACCGGGAGAGTGTCGATGATCTCCCTGATGTGTGCCTCGTCTTGTGCATGGTCGATGTGCAGAGAGAGGGGTACGGTTGCGTTCTTTACAGCGACGGCGGCAGCATGTGCAAGAGTAGGGAGTTGCTTTAATGTTGAAGGGAAGAGTTGAATGATTATGGGCGACCGCTTGGCTTCAGCTGCACGGACGATGGCCGTCAATTGCTCGACGTTGTAGCTGTGTAGATGTCAGTAAATGACTTGTCCCCCGGATGTGCACGCTCAATTGAAAACATACGCGATGGCCGCCAAAACACCATATTTGCCCTCTGAGGCAGCGCTCAGGATCTGCAGCGTGCGGTTATTCTCACGAGAAACAACCATTGTGAACGCGGTTTATGTGATTGGTTGGTGGACCTATGAAAAGCGACGGTTGTGTAGATTCCGAAAGGGGTTCAACGCTGATTTAATGCTGTATGTCTCGTAAACGAATTGTACAGAGTACAAGCGGGGTGCAAGGGGTTTTATTCAGATCGGAAGCAGAATCGGAAACAGCGTCGGAATGATACAGAGTTCAACAGCAAAATAGAGGAAACGCATGCTATCCGAATAGCTTGAACATGATTCGTGGGATCGGCGAGCCTTCCCAATCCTTACTCGCCCCATGGCATTGGGGTCTACCCTCGTTCCGGGGACCAAGCCCTCGCATCGACTTACCCCAGTTACATCACCCATCGGTCCGATCCCTCATTGAAATCCCCGCGGGGACCCGCAAGTGACCAGTTTTTTGAGAGTAGTCTGTAAATTTGGTTCACATTAAGTATGGATACCAAATCCGCCCTACCCACATTCACGCTCTGCAAAATACCAGGACCTCGGCATTGGAATAGGACGTTGCTGGGAGCTAACCATGTCAACTTCGTTTCATGGTCATGGTGTGATCTCCCGGAAGTCCTCGCCTCGTGGGTTCTGGAAGCCTTATTGTACAAGTAGCATGTTTAGCTAAATTGCGCACGGCGCCCTGTCATTGTGATCGAATTCGCTCGTTGCGGAGAAGACATTAAGCTAGCTGATTTGAGTGAGACAGCTGGGGAACGGTTTATGCTTTTCTTCCTTGATGATAGCTCATTCGAAATCTGGCTCGGATCTAAGGTCATTTGCGTCAAGGTTCGCTACATCATCTGTAAAACAGTTCTTGGTACCGTAGCTCTAAGCCTTTTTCACGGTATGGGAACAAAACATCCATTGTTATGGCTTAAAGCCTTCCTACATAGACACCCTATCGTAACATGACATTATCCAGCGCGTGTGCTCTTGCACAGTCGCTCACTGTGCCTCTCTCCAAAAATTCGTGAGATCATTCAAAAGCGTCTTCGGGGGAAACTTGGCGAGGTCTAGAGTGGCTTCTAGAAGTTGTTTGATTGCAAGTTGCTTGACAGGGTTCTGGACGCAAAGACCCGCTAGTAAATGTCAGCCGCAAAGTTCCAATACCAGGAAAAGAAAACAGATCAGTTCTAGGTTGTGATTGTTCCAGAATGCTTCCTTCGTATTGCATTGACACGCTAGAGTAGTCCAAACTGTTCGAGACTATGCATAGTACGTCCCAATCGCCCGGTATTCGAATGAATTTAAAGAAAATAGGGGGACTTACCAACATAGAGAGCTTGAAAGTTGACAAATGCACTTTCAAGATGATTTTGCTGCATCATGGCGATACCGCATATTGACTCGACACTTTCGTCAAGTAGTTTTTGTTGTTGTCTGAAAGCCGACATACCTCCCACTGATGGTTGGTTGATAATGACTACGATCCTCGCGAAGTGGAAAGTTTGGACGGCAGCCGCGTACATGGGAGGATTGATCCAGAGGGGGGTGAAGACGTTCGACTCGGTGTGTGCTTGCGCATAGATTGGCTTGAAGCAACTCGGCAGGATCTGATACCAGTCATCCAGTGCCTGGAGTAATTTATCTCCTTGCTCAATTCGTAGCCCCATATCGTAGTTCTTCTCGTTCGCGGCGAAGTCCACGCATCTCGCTGTGATGTAGACGATGCGTGTCACGAGATCGTCGGCGTTGAGATCCATAAGTCTCCTCCTAGGCCTCCATATCGTCAATGTGCGTCGGTTCTCCCGGAATGCAACCCAGATATCCTGTCGAAGCCAAGCCCACCATGCAGCCTTCCGAAGGGGATCGACCGTTTCTCCGTCAATGTTTTGACCTCTTTGTATCCAGAATATCCCCCGTAGATGCCTCTCCCACCCGCCATCGCTGTAAGACCCCTCTGCGTCGAACATCTCATACGTGCTTATTAGGATGGCTGTAGCAATGATAACCCCAGATCGCGTGTATGAAGGGTAGAGTAGATTCTGGGATAGATAATGTAATGTTTCGTAATAATACTGCGTCGCCACCTGTGTAAATGGATTTCGACGTCCAGCTGGATCCGTAATGTTGCCGTCAGTCATTTGGTCTGGCTGGGTTTCTGCCGAGTGCAACGCCATGTGTCGAGCCGCAACGGCAAGGAGAGATTTAAGTAAACCGACATTGTGAACGGCTAGTCGAGGAACTGTAGTTGAAAATTGTCGATGAGGATCGAGTAGATCCAGTATAGGCCCAACGACATTTACGAAGTGTTGCATCAGGGTAAGTTCAGTCTCTGTCAGAGCCAATATCTGTGTCGAATTCCATGGTTCATTAGATGAGATCTCGGCATCGACATCGACGCTGACTTTTGGTGACTGATATTCTGGTTCAACAGTAAGGCGAGGCCCTGCTGCGTTTAGGAATTCGGGTACGGGACTCTGTCGTCTCGAGAGGGACGTTTGGTCGAAGCCAAGATTATGTCTCTCTATGTTATTGATTGCATCCTCGGCAAGCAGGTCATACCATTCGAATGGAGCTGAATTGGGTGAAGGAAGAGAAGCGGTGATCGTTAATGGCGATAAGTCAAACCGAAGCTCTGGTGAATCATTGGCATTCAGACTGCCAACTGTCCCTGGTTGAGATGGTACGGATGCTTCTTCAGGAACACTTGGTGCCGCATTGCTTTCCTCCGTAGATGGGGTGGTGATGGTGGTCGTAACAGCGTAAGCACATTCTCTCTTAGACTTGCTGCAAGGCGTGCAGCAAGGTTTCGTTTCATCACATTTTACTCTTCTCTTGCGACATGTCAAGCTGCTAGGTATCAGCAATTCTGAACGAAAAGATGCTGACGCCACTCCTGAGGTTGATGCCGGCAACGGCAGAGATCGCGCAAGAAGACGAATTACTTGAGCCTCGCTCAATTGATCATATGCCTCTTGCTCTATGAATGAAATCACTTACCAGCCTGTAGTTGTGCGCAAGCCGCGCGCACGCGAGGGTCGAGGCTTCCGGGGCTTGGGAGCACCTGTGGGAGGATTGGGCATTGGTGGGCCACTTTTTCGTGAGCAATCTCACGTCCTCGGTATACTTCGCATCGAGGAAGAACTTTCGCTTCGGCAACGTCCCCTGAGAAAATGGAGCAGGCAGTAGCTGTAAAATGGAAAAGAGATTAATGCATGGGGTCGTCGAGATCTACCCTTGAACCTCTCGGGACTTGGCCGAGCGCCGCACGTCACGTGCATCTGCCCTAAGCCCAGGTCGAGTGAAAATCCGGAGCGCGCCAACATCGTATTACCTACAAAGCACAACTCAAAATTTCGCTCGGCCTAGTTAACTTTCTCAAATTTTCCATTCTAGGAAACTGGTTTGGCGCGATTGAGAGTTAATGTGTCACAAGGCTTGGTAAGATCTTTCAAAGCTATACAGTACTTTACGATTTTCTGGTCTAGAAAACATTGGACTTCCATTACGTCTTTCCATCTTGATTCTATTCGTTTCGCACCAGTCCCGCTATAACCAGTGAACTGATCCTAATGCCCCACGCTTTGAAATATTGGTATGAGAGTTACCCAGCAATGTTGTGGTTCTGCACATGATGATTTCTACGTCATGGCAATGAGGAAATTGAGCTCCGTGATCTATACTTGGATCACCGACTGATTCACAGTTCGTATCATCATCGATCTAAGAATCAATGTTGATTTCGATGACACGAGTAATAGTAATAATAATTGTCAAAGCCTAGTCGATAAACATTGTCACAACAAATGACGTCAGAAGGGAAAAAAGTATATTTTGATCGTAAATTCTTCTGAACTGTTGTTCAGCGTTGGTATTGAGTCTATCTATGCATTTTCCCAAACTCCAATGGAATGACGCCAACCATGAATGCAAATGTATTTTGTACAGTATGTTTACCATGCTCCGACGATACCAGCAATTGGGATATCAATGCCGGTTGTGTAGCTGGCGCTGTCGGAGAGCAAGTAGACGTATGCGCCGCCCAACTCCTTGGGGTCTGCCAAGCGTGGCATACCTCCATAGTATTGCATCTTGAGGTTCCAGTCAGGAGACTTCTCGACGTAGTAGGTCATCTGTGTGCGAACGAAACCGGGCGAGATGGAGTTGACGCGGATTCCGTGCTTGGACCATTCCATAGCAAGAGTGTGTGCCATGTTGCGGACGGCGGCCTTTGTGCCTCCATAAGGAGCAGAGGGAGCAGCGCGGTTGGGGCGGTATGAGGTCATGGAAGCGGTGAAAACGACTGAACCCTTGATTCCGAGCTCGATGAACTTGTTGGCTGCAGCCTTTGCGCAGAAGTAAGCACCGAAGACGTTGAGGTTGAAAAGCTGCTCAAGCTGGGGTCGGTCGAAGTTGAGGGCAGGCTGGTGCTTGGTCATGCCTGCGTTCGCGATCATGCCGTCAATGCGACCGGCCTGGGCAACAATCTGGTCGACGACCTTGATGACGCTCTCCTCGTTGGTGACATCGCAGTTCAAGTAGCTGAGACGGCCAGGGTTGGCCTTCTGAAGAGCCGCGAACTCCTCACCGGGCTCGAAAAGGTCGAGGGAAACGACCTCCTTAGCATCGTTGGCGAGGCAGACGGTGGCCAGTCCGAGACCGATACCACGGTTAGCACCAGTAATGGCGATAACCTTGCCCTTCAGACTGACCTTCCAGTCAAAGTCCTCAGAGGGCTCGGTGGAGAGGTAAACGGGGTTGGGGTGGGTTTGAGCAGGGGCGCTCTCGCCGTTCTGGGTGGCTGAAGGAGACATTGTTGGAGAATGTGGAGTGAAAGAGAGTTGAGATGAAGTTTTCAGAGTAGAATTGCAAATAACACTTGGAAGATGCAAATGAGCAGGGCCCTCAGTTCTTTTAATATTCATAGATACTACCGGTAGCGGAACAGTGGCGATCGCGAACCAGTCGTGCAATCCATCAATTGTCTCATTGCCGCACTTAACACGCGCCCACGCGTATGAACAAAGTGCCTATTGTGGGGTTGAACTGCTGAGGAAACCACCGACTGGACATTGTCAAGAGTCGAGGACCACTTGCAATGCGCCTATAAGCGAGGCTTTTGGCGAACGGTTCGAGGCGAGGTAGGGAACAGAGCTGGGTATCTCAACGACTACAGTCACACGGTGACAGCTGAGCGAGGACTCCGAGGAGCACTCCAATTTGCATACAATGAGAGCAACTGTAGGTACTGGAAGCGAACGATAACCTCGAGACGAGACACATCTCCAAAGAACAAAGGCAAAGGACACCATCCGATCTTCAGTCATTAATAGCGCTAACCTCTAGGTTCTAGGACCCGAGCACTTACTCCGGACTGGCACCAATGACTATTGACCGTGCCCTGTACTGTCCGGCGGGGAGGTTGGTCAACTAGCGGAGAAAGCGGAGGCGGATAGTGAGGGTGTAAACGAGAAAATTTGGGGCACATCCGCGCCAGTTGCTGGATCCCAACCCGGAAACCGTGGGTATGATCAATTTTTCTGTGGCTTTGGTGTGGATTCACATCAGATGAGATGAGATGAGATGAGATGTCGTCCTAAGTGCGCACTGCGAGCTTCAGCTACTTGGTAACTCGTACCATCACGGTTTACAAGCAATTAAGTGGCAACCGTGCCGAGACGCCTTACCACGTTTAGTATACTGCTAAGTCTTGTATCAAGCTACCCACGTGCTTCACCCGGTTTCTGCCCGATCCGACCACCAGCTTTCCCCATCTTTCTTCCCCATCCCATCTTCGCATCTACTTACCAACTCGTACTCGTAGCAAGATACGCACAGGATATCTAGGATGTCTGCATGATGCACAGCAGAGTAGTTGTACAGAACGACGTAGCGAATGTGGTTCCGAGGCAAAACAATCCCGAACTCTGGAATGTTCCCATCTAATTCATGCTCTATGCACAACCACCCATGCCCAATGCTACTGGACTCGAGCTATGAGAATTAACTCAAGGGCAGTTTTCGTGACCGGATCACATCTTTCAAAGTATTTCGCCAGCTGACCTACTCGGGATGCTTCAAGCGAATTGTCGCCTCCATCTGATACTTCCATTTCATTCTCGTCATTAATCGATGAATCGCGAGTGTACAAGTAGGGTATGGAAGGTAAGCGAGGGAGTCCGGGGCCTTCACCGTGACTAATAGTGAGATACTCGCCTCTAGCTCCCTCCCAGCATTGCCCTTGAGCCGGGGGATGCACTCGTTACGAGAGACACGGTGAGCTTCCCCATCTGCTTCAGCCGCCTGCTCCAGTGTACGCCTTTGCTGTAGAGGAGTGTCTCCAGTGTAACCCATGCGTTCTACCCAATCGCTGCATTTCCCCTGAGTCGCTTGTTTTGTTTCCAAGTCCTATATCCGGATAGTACCTACGTAAGGCACTTGCGGAGACGTGAAATGACGGGGTACGCCAGAGTTAGGCCGTTAGTCTCTGGGGAATCTAAACCTTTTTGGTTTTCTGCCTTCTCACACATCCTCCCAAATCTTGATATCGAGCCATTCTCTATAAATCTCCATCATAGCAGCACCTTTTCATTTTCGATGTTTTGCCAGATACTCATTTGATCCATCTTCCTGTCGACTTTCTTTACTATTCTCTCGGAGTAGAGTTCTGTTCACCTAATTACAGTCTACCTTTCGACAGGAATAGTTGAAAGAGGACGATGTCGTCTTCGCCATCTTTGGAGGCTGTGGCGGTCAACACAAAGGACATGGATTCCGCAAAGCACATCGAGGAGGCACAAGGCCAGGGATGGACCGCAGAAGAGGAGAAGAAGCTCGTCAGAAAGATTGACATGTTCTTGATGCCTACCATCTTTCTGATGTACCTCCTGTCTTACATGGACCGAACAAAGTAAATTGCCTTCCGATCATCTTGGGTGTTGTATTTTGCTAACAGTATTCGCTACAGCATTGGAAATGCCAAAATTGCGTACGTTGCCTCCGTTTGGCCCCTGTTCGAAATGACGCAAAACTAATCATCTTTACAGTGGAATGGCTGATGACCTTCATCTCACATCTGGACAATACAGTATCGCACTCGTGGTTTTCTTCAGTAAGTGCCGATTTTCCTGCCTTGAAGCCGCTGGTGAGACTGTTGATGGAACGGGATGGATCTAACGCAAAACCACAGTCGGATATGTCGTTTTTGAGCCTCCTTCCAACATGATCCTCGTGCGAACACGTCCCCCTGTTTATTTGTCGACTATCATGGGCATTTGGGGAATGCTTACCATGGTGATGGCTGCGATTCATGACTTCAAGCATCTCGTTGTCCTTCGTGTCTTGATCGGTGTGGTTGAGGCCGCATTTGCGCCCGGTATCCTTATGATCATCTCTTCCTGGTACAAACGGGAGGAGCAGTCAAAGCGATTCGGTATCTACATCTGCGCTGCCATCCTGTCTGGTGCCTTTGGTGGAATCATTGCTGGTGCCATCACAGGTGGACTTGAGGGCGCTCATGGCATCCGCGGATGGCGATGGCTGTTCATCGTTGAGGGAGCTGCAACCGTTGGTTGGGCTTTCTTCGCCGGCTTCCTTCTGCTCGACTTCCCAGCTCAGTGCAGGTATATGAATGAGCGAGAGAAGTACATTGCCATCACCCGCCTCCAAGAAGGTGGTGTCACCACACGCACCGAGGACACCCCCAAGATGAGCAAGAAACAAGTCTTCAAGACCGTCCTCACAGATTGGCGTCTCATTGGTTTCGTCATTGGATACATGGTATGTATCTGAACTATCGCACTGGAGACATGATGTTAACAAAGTTTAGGTCATTGTTGGATCCTCAACGCTCTCCTACTTCTACCCTACTCTCGTCAAGGGCCTTGGATACACAAGCACCGTACAGGCTCAGTACATGACTGTCCCCATCTATGCGGTTGCCTTCGTCTGCACCGCGATTTCGGCATACTTCTGCGACCGCATTCCCAAGCACCGCGGTTTGGTCATTGCATCCTGGCTCACTTTCTCTCTCATTACATCGATCCTCGTGTGCTGCATCTACAACTTCACAGCCCGTTACGTCCTTCTGGTTCTCATGGCAGCCGGATTGTGGGCATCCAATGCCATCTCTCTGTCGTACGCCAGTGCATCGTTTGGAGATATGGAGCCGGAGGTTCGCGCAATCGCATTGGCGACCGTCAATGCTCTGGGAAATTTGGCTCAGATCTACGGAGCTTATTTGTTCCCTAGTGATGACGCTCCCAAATATCTGATGGGTTTTGGAGTCATCTCAGGCATGCTTGGAGTCGGCGTTTTCACCTACCTCTTTATGCACTATATGCTCCGCAAGAAGGAAGGACTTGGATTCTGGAGGAATTAGATCCTACGACGCTAGGAAAATGGAATCCCCCCCTACTTGGGCTATTTCCAAGTAGCTAAGAAGAAGTCTAGGAGATGTCGATGTAATCTAGATAAACAATCTATGTATTGAAATTTGGTTAAATTCCAAGGCCAGCAGCTACTGTGAAACTTGCGCGTGTAATCTTCAGCCTGCACTCTGCCAAATAATTGATACGATATTGCATGAAAAATTTCTCACATTCTGGCTTTAGGGGTCTGTTCTGGCCATCGTTCACCCCTATCGAGCATACCACCGATACGGCAGCGACAAGATCCGGGTCCGAGTGTCAGACTTGGGCAATATCAAACAGCCGACAACCTTATTCCATTCATTCCCAGGGAAATCGTCATCCGTTCAACACAATGTCTCTTTTTCCTAGCCTCGTTTATAGCTTGCTTAGCATCTACACAGTCTTGCACTCTGCCCGAGTGAATCACTCTACTATCAATACACACTGATTACGCAAAAACTGGACTGAGTTTGCCAGAAACTCTTTGAGCGACTCTTTCAGGCAACAGGCTTTCGTACACATGCAGTACCCATTCAGCACATACTCTCCGTGTATAAGCAGGATCAATGATCTCCTCGATGCCAAAGTGATTGGCCGTACGCACCGGGTTCATCAATCGTCGGTATTCGTTCTCGAGCTCCTTGTATCGTTCCTCACGCTTCTCATTCCCATGCTTACGCTCAATCTCCTTTAGTTCATAGGAATGCCCTACCTCGATACCCCCCTCGAGCGGAAGAGAACCCCACAAGCCTGACGGCCAGCCTACCCGCATCCGAGGATCCCGACAGTCCAGCATCACGCCGCCCGCAACGCCGTAGACTCGCCGCACAATGACAGAGAAGACGGGCATGGTGGTACTATAATATGTCGTAGCCAGGGTTATGCCATGCCGCATGGTAGCCGTTCGTTCCGCGACCGTGCCGATGGCGTAGCCAGGCACATCAATGAACTGTACCAGAGGGATATTGAACACATCGAGGAACTTGAGCATGCGGGCAATCTTCTGAGAGCCCAGCGCGTCGAGTGCACCGGCATTGACCTCGCAGTTCAGGGATACAATGCCGACGGGCTTTCCTGCGAATCGAGCCAGTCCGACGATGGCTGTCGTGCCCCAGAGCGCACCGATTTCGAAGAAGGAGTCGCGGTCGACTACTTCTGTGATGATCTTGCGCGGGTTATACATGCGGTTTCGGGCTCGAGGGATGATTGATCGCAACATTTCGGATTCACGATCTATCGGATCGTTGCATGGGATCGTTGGAGGCATCTTCGTGCCGCAGTCAGGGAGGAAACTCAATACAGTACGCATCTGTTCGAAGCATCCCGCCTCGTCTGGAGCCAGGTTGTCGATTGTTCCGTTCGTACAATGCATGGAAGGCCCCCCAAGATCAGTAAACGATAAGCCTTCTTCGAAGGTTGCGTTCTTGACAACGTTTGGGCCTGCATTGAAGAGCGAGCCAATATCGCCAGCCATGACAGAGAAGTGGCAGGCGACAACGCGAGCAGCACCAAGCCCAATGGCTGGCCCAACAACGGCGCCTAGGTTCGGAATTCCCATGTTCAATTGTTGGACTACTTGTGTGAACGATGGAAGCGGAGGTACATAAGAGAAGCCTGAAGTTCGGATGGTAGTGACAGATCCACCGCCAGATGAACCGTCCACAAGTTTTACAATTGGTATCTTGAGCGCTATGGCGAGCTTCTCCATATAAATCTTGACATGCTCTTAGTATGGAATCTGGACCACAGGAAATGGGAAACCTACTGTTTTGTCCATCAGGGCGCCATCTGCGTGGCCAGCTCTAATCGAGAAGTCGTCCGCTGTAAACACGATTTTCCGTCCTCTTAACCTGCCGAAACCCTGTACATTATTTGAAGGCGTATACTCGACAGGTTCCTCTTTCAATGGGCCTAATTGCTTCCATTGAACAGTACCGCTTACACTTCCCACCTCTTGAAAACTCCCCGGGTCGAGCAATTGCTCAACGCGCTCCCTTACCCATAGCTTCCCTGCTTGCTTTTGCCGGACATAACCCCGATTGCTTGGATCCGGGGTCGCCGCTATCTTCTGTAGAGACGATATCTGGCCGAGTATATCGGAGTAATCAGCTGGAAGATCTGGCTCTGTTCCTTTCCGTCGGCGACGTTGAGTCGTCTTTGCTGGAGCTATATGCGAGGAAACCTGAGCCAATCGATCTTTGGCCTTATCGGAAGAAGGCGTCTGCGCGTCCTCGGTTGATTTCTTTTCGGCAGTCATTGTGATATGCAAGATAGATGCCAATGAATTAATTTGAGAACTTAGGAGCTCATCATGGTTATCATATTATTAGTACCGGTTACAGCTGTGGACGGGGAACGGTACTGGCCGATGACGAGGTGTGGGGAAGTTGGGGAACGAACCGAGGCTCAAATGTGCCTGGTACCAATCCCCTCCTCCAGATCAACAACATGCGTTCCGGATCACATTAGGTACAGTTTAAGACGTTATGTTTACAATATCTCCGTAACTCATCTTTCAAGACCAGCATTCTCATTGTCTGGGGAAGTACAGTATCAATTCGGACTGCACTTGACATAATTTGAGATTATTCGCGCCACAATTTCGACTCTTCGCCTCGAGTCATTTACTAGTATACTATTCGAAAGAGCATTCGGATCTGTCTTCTATCCACTGTGTCTAGATACATGACTGCAAGCCCAGAATGGCTCAACAATCAGAGAGACCCATCCGACGACTTCTCGTAGCTAATCGGTCTGTTACAACGTTCCAATGACATCGATGACCATCCGCTAAAATTATCTATAGGGGAGAGATTGCGACAAGAATCATCTCATCCGTGCGCGAGCTCGGAATCGAGTCTTTCGCAATTTATGTGAGCGGCGATGTATCGCATGCCTTGAAAGCAAACCACGCCATCGAGGTGTCGGCGGCCGATTTCATGAACATTCAAGCGCTCATCAGTATTGTTACGCAACATGGCATCGATGCCGTGCATCCTGGCTACGGATTTCTATCAGAATCCGAGGACTTTGCTAAGCAAGTCTGGGAACAGACCGGAGCTGTTGTTATCGGTCCAGGGTGGGAGATCTTGGAGAGGACTGGAGATAAGTTGAAGGCGCGTTCACTCGCAGAAGAATGTAAGCAAGACCATCCACTGTGTGATAATTACTTTGACAGAACCTAACATCTGCAGGCAACGTGCCCGTCTGTCCGGCGCTGAAGACGCCAACTAACAATGTCGAACATGTTCGTGAATTTGCCACAAAAGTCGGCTACCCCATCATGGTAAAGGCCGTTGATGGCGGTGGCGGGCGCGGTATACGGCTTATCAAGGATGAAGACTCGCTGCCCTCGGCAGTAAAACGCGCGGCAGAAGAGAGTCCGTCGAAACAAATTTTCGCTGAGAAGGCTGCCATAAACGGATTTCGCCATGTCGAAGTCCAGGTCATTGGCGATGGTACGGGAAATGTCACTCATTTGTGGGAGAGAGAATGCAGCATCCAAAGAAGATACCAGAAAATCGTCGAGTTTGCACCCAGCCTTGTCAAAGATCGGCAGATTATCGCTACCGTAATTCAAGATGCTCTCAGAATGGCCAAGCATGTAAGATGTACATGTCATTTCGGCCAAAATACTGTGCTGACGAGAATATTGCAGATTCGATATCGTTCTCTTGGAACGTTTGAGTTCCTTGTAAACCCCAATACAAAGGAGCATTTCTTCCTTGAAGTCAATCCAAGACTACAAGTAGAACACACCGTAACCGAGTCGATATCAATGGCAGACATCGTCAGAGCTCAAATTCTCCTTGCTCAAGGTTCTTCACTAGCAGATTGCGGTTTACGAAATGAAATTCGTGATCCTCTGCTCCCGCCACGAGCTCACTCAATCCAGCTGCGAATCACTGCAGAAAACGTGCACAGTGATTGGTCGCTATCGATCGGAAAGATCACCTCGTTCCAATTCCCCACCGGGAACGGAATCCGTGTGGACACGCATCTGGTAGCTGGGCATCAATCCATTGTATCGGCAGACTTCGATAGTCTGATAGCAAAGCTCATCATCACAGCCTCCTCGTGGCCAGATGCTGTCAGAAAGGCATCAAGGGCACTTGACGACACCCTAATAGTAGGAGTAAAAACGAACGTCGACATGTTACGCGGTATCGTCGCACATCCTGATTTCTTAGCAGGAAACTGTGACACGCGATGGCTGGAGACGAACCACTCCGGACTGCTCAGTTTGGGATGCGATCATAAATTACCAGCACCTTCGATACCCCAAAAGGAGCTCAGCCAACATTCATCTACTGCACCTGCCGTAGCAGCTGCGAACGTGACGTTCCGTAAAGGGGATGCTTGGGAACTGGCCCTTACCTCTCCATCAGATGCTCGAAATGACTCTGCACGACCATATCATCTGGAGCTTACGCGCGTCTTACGAAATGAATTTCCACAATCCCTTGTAGCAGAGCTTCTATTCACATCACCAGCCACGAGCTCCATCGCCAAACCTCACAGTGTTCCCTACACAATCTCCCTTTCTGGTACATCTTCAAGTGCGTCAGCAGCAACATCGCATCATCGACGCGGCAACCCGTCGGATGGAAGTCATGTAATTATCCCGTTCCCAGGAAAGTTGGTAGAGGTCTTGGTGGACGAGGGCGACACGGTCAAGGAAGGCGATGTCATTTGTGTCGTGCAGCAGATGAAAATGGAACTGGAAGTGCGGTCACATCGAAGTGGGAGGGTAGGATGGATTATGGAGATAGAGGACGGAGAAGAGGTTGGAGAGGGGATGCTTGCCGCTGTAGTTGAGGGCGATTCAGCTGCTAAGCTTTGAATCAGCACTGCGGACGCGTTCGAAGCCATGGCAGTTAGACGGTACATGGAAGATCAATATTACTTGACCAGCTACATGGCAGCTCTCCGTTGCTGATGACATCATTTCGTTTGGTCGTCAAACCAAACGTAGCATTCACGCCGATCATAAGCGGGGAAAGTCATCGGAGTTTCAAGACTTGGTGCTAGACTATGTTTACCGGGATCTCCGCACATTTTTGGCTTACGAAAGTGGTAATGCGATGTCCCAAAAGACACTTACACCTAACCTTATTCTCATGTTTGGTTTCATTCAGTCAAAGCATGGTGTACATAGAATGCGAAGTCGTACGTAGTCAGTGTATCCGTAAGTCCCACCCCCGCGGGATATGTTGATCTCGGCTATAAGCGCGCAGATCATGTTGAACGTATCTACACGCTTATCCTACCCCAGTGCCTCTTCAGCTGACCATCTGTATCTCTGTGCTCTTGATATCAATGGTGTTTGCGTATGTCTACAATCGACTATCGTAATTTTCCCGGTGTCCGATGCTGTATCGTGTTTGAGATTCTGCACGCTCCGATGAGAGCCTGATGTACGACTTGTGACAGGACGCTATATAAAGCTTTCGTCAGACCATGACAGATTGCTCTAAATCCTTTCTTTCTCTCCGTTTCTTCATTTTAGTCGACATCATTTGGAGTGGTGGGGACGCACTTCGCTCCCACGCATTGATATCTCACTACGTGAGAAAACCGTCTGACTGAAGTAAGTTCTTTCCATTTTGCAGACTTTAATACACTGTATGGGCGCCTCTTTCCGAATTATTTGGAAACCCTCTTCACTGTTACGTTAGAGAACTCGTCGTTGCCTGCACCTTTATATCCACCTATGTGCCAGTTAACATTGATGTTGACCAATGCATGAGATTGTAGGACAAACACTAGGAATTGCCTTGGCATCGTTATTCATCGAGCATAAGACAACTTGATAAAGTATTGAATAAGATGGGAACATTCAAGGTGCAGCAAGTGAAGCGGGTCCCAAGGTATCCCGCCAACCCCCACGCCTCGAGATCAAGCGTGTTCTAACTAGACAGGCCTTCGCAAATCACTGAATACTTGTCCATCGAAATGGCAGTAAAGACTGCGAGATTTGACAGTGCTCCCGGAGATCAAGCACCCGAGTTGAAAGAACCTACTCCAAAGAATGATACTGAAGACACCACGGCCTTGAAGGTTCCTTCGAGGTTGACGACACTTCGACGTGCTTCTGGAGAGTGGCTTCAGGTTGTCGCATTCTTGGGAGGAGAAGAGAGCAAGTATCAGAAGAAAGCCAGATAATCACTGGACGTTTACCTGGTCTGTTCATGGATGTAGGCTATTACGGGTCTACCTGAACAGTTGAGAATCCAAGATGAGGCATGCTTGATGTACATTAAATTATTTCTTTTGTTCAAATAGACGCCTAGATATCACCTTACCCGAGTACCAAGATTTCCAAGATGGCATGTGACATGTTGTACAGAGGAAGTGATCGGTACCAAGTAAAAGGTACAACCGCGTCACAAGATCGCATCTGTGGAAGACGTGGGAAAATGCACACAAATTAAATTTGAGCTTTATTGGATGAATTTATATATTGCGAAGTCGAAGCTAGCGTGTAGTAGTGGGCCTCATCGGACTCATGTCATAATCGCGCAACGCGTCGAAAGCAAGTTGTCTTTAGAAGCATGGAAAGTCGCTCAAAACGAATAATGTCGGGGTATAACTTAAATTCCTCGGCCTGACCTAGAGTCTTGTTCATCCTCTTATGGGGTATTAGACACCCTTCCGTGGCACTGTAGCGTGGCGTCCGTCGTACACCCCGTTGTCCTCATGATGAATCTGCTTCTCGACCCTCATTGTAGCCTCGTCAGCGCGAGCCCTGTCTTCAAACAAGAAAGCAAGCTCTTCGAGTGTACGGCCGTAGGTTTCTGGGAACATAAAGTACACGAAAACGTTCTAATGCGCAGGTTAGTTTTCAACGGTTGCTCAACTGGTTTCAACGGAGAATGCCACATACCTCGAAAGCAAGCCAACAACAGTATGTAACAAGCCATTTCCACTGAATATTCTTTAGTCCGATAGGGTTGACAAATGTCGTAAAGAAACCCGCGCCTCTGCCGAAGAATTGGAAGATGGTGATGCCTTTTGCGCGCTGTGCGAAGGGGAAAAGCTCAACAAGATAAGTGTATGTAAGAGCATTGTACCCTATGTTATAGCAAGGACTGTAGGCTATTTTGCATTAGTTTCGTTTTTTCCCTGCAGGTTTGAGATACATACCGAAAATGAAGAAGATAGTGACCTTCGCTGCAGCAGCGCCTTTGTGTTCCATGAACTGCTGCATTGAGACAGTCCATCCTACATAGCAACAGAGTAGTGCTAGCGTGCAAGTCATGTACATGACTCGACGGGGAAATCGACGGACGAGCAAGGAGATACAGACGGCGTTAACTAGCGACCAGGAGTTGAGGCCGACGTTGAGCTTATTCTTGAAATTGGCATTGGTGTAACCAATCAACTTCAGGAGATCGTTAAGGTAGTAACTGCGGCTCAATTAGAGACAAAAATACCTCAAAAATGGTTAGAAATACTTACGAGATCAACGTGTTACCAGACCATTGTGTGAAGAGACCTAAAAATGAGCCGATGACAACACGCTTGCGCATTCCCGGTGTCGCAACCATCTCCCACCATGAACGCTGAGAATGTTCCAACTCAATCTTGATCGTTGTTTCGATTTGCGTCATCTCTGCTTTGACGAACTCGGAGTCGGGATTGCCTTCTGCGTGATATTTGACCAATATCGCGAAAGCCTCGTCTCGGCGATCTTTACTGATTAAGAATCGAGGGGACTCCGGGATCATGCTGAGAAGCGTTAACTAATTAGTCGACATACGTGTTTTCCGGGCCAGTCGAATGCACTTACAAGATGAATATGATCTGGATAAGGGAGGGTCCTGCTTGGAGAAGTGATGGGATTCTCCATGCCCAATCATTACCGATTTGCTGGGTTCCAAATGATATTCCTGCAGCAACCAACGAACCCACGAAGTACAAAGCGTTGAATAGCGATGTCATAATGGGTCGTTCTTTCGGATAAGCGAGCTCTCCCATCAAGGAGGAGCCTGCAATGATACAGTACGGGATTCCGAATCCCAGGAACCAACGCGCTATGATATACATTGCAGCTGTGGCCCGTTCAGTGAGCCATCCAGGAAATGTGTTACGAGATACTTACGGCCATTGGAAAAGGCCTGCAGAAATGCTCCGAAGACCATAACCCATGATCCGAAAAATATGGCCCATCGACGACCAAACTTGTCGTTTACAAACGGAACGAATGGCAATGCACAAATGGCACCTAGATTGTAGGCCGCGGAAATTATGCCCAATAAGGCGCCTTCCGGGTGTTCAAAGTCTTTTTATTATTAGTAGGCAACATAAAAAACGATAACATGTGGTATAGCTTACACGTTTGCCAGTGATTTGAGATCTGTACAGTGTTAATCATCTGGGAATCAAATCCAGATGTCATCTCAATTCCTACCCAAGGTCAGCTTTTGTCTTCACCTATTTTCCAAGGGGGCGCTTATATACCAATACATGTTGGCAAGAGAAGCATGTAAAGCACTCTTAGATTCTTCTTTCTGTACCATGGTGTCTTGTCTTCCTGAACCAAACGGGTCAGGACGGGCTCCGCCTGGTTCGACTGTGCAGCGGTACCAACGGGCGCCATGGTGAGGTTGTCAAGATGATGTCCCAAAGTAGAGAGGCTGACAAAGACGTGAAGGGAGCATGAAGGCAAAGTAAGCACAACCACCAGCACTAGGAGTGGGCTTCGTCGACCTTAATATGTCCCAGTGAATGGGGATACGCCCTCCTTGGCAGGATGCACGAGTAATTTACCCCAGCCGGGATGCTCGCATTCGTGGATGACATTGAACTGATTTTCCCCAGGTTAATGGCCAACAATAGGGACATCCCCGCGTTCTGACATCTTTTCGGACTTGGAGCAATATGAAAACAATACCCGCAGTGCCTCGTATGGCCAATCATCGGCCAGCTTTGAGAAGCGCGTTGCGGTGCGAGGTCCAATATACAACCAGCTAGGGTTCCCACGATCTGCAGTGTACGCATTGTTACATGTAGGTCAGTCCAGGATCCGTACCCAAGGGAGACATAACCAGCGATGGGAATGCCATCCAGAACAATGACAGAAGAATCAAGCACGAATACGAGAATCAAAACAGTCTACAGCAGTCACTCATCGGTTTTGGTGCAGGGCGGGCACTCGGCCCGGTACCCGCCATTTGCTAAGTTAAGAGTGTGTACAAGAAAGCTAAGTCCCTAAGACCCGAGGAATTTAGTAACTCGTAAAGTCGGCAGTCAGAAGCAGTGTCAAGACGGAGCGGCGTAGTAGGGAATCAAACACCAACCTCGCCGAGCGAACGGGCAGGCGACAGCCCACCAGATTACGCCTGGTTGGCTGCGCCGCAGGTTTGGAAGGCAACACAGATCCTTGAACGTTCCCATGCCCGCACGTCGCAATGCGCGCTACCAATAGAAAGGGACGCTGACGCTACGAACTGGGTATCGAGAGTGCAGCTCAAGATGAACCAAGATGGCTAAATTGCTTCGACAGGGCGCGTGGCATCCTGCCTCGCTGGGCTCGCGTGCCCGACACGAGACTCCAGCCTATCACCGCCTGTCTACCCATAGCGAGGACCAGTGGGCGAAAACGTCCAGTATTGCGTAGGAAAACAAACCCTGTGAGCAGCTGAGTGCGTTGCATTTTATTAGTCAAGGATCGTGACTATTACTCGTGAGATGTAAGTTGTAACTACGGAGAACTTCCACCGCAGAAATGTTGCCTAGGAGGACGGTTCGTATTGCTGATGCATCTCTCTTACCACCATTAATCGTCGCATCCATACCAGAATTGAAAGGCTTAAAGAGTCCCATAAGAGGTCTGAAAGTGCTTGGTCTCATGTGCTGTAGCCAAATACCATGGCACAGTGGATGTATAGTACCTCGATGACATCCCATATCGGGCCCGACCTGCACGCCTATGATGAGTATGTAGTGCTAAAGAATCTTTATCTTTTACGCAGAATACACTCGGGAAGGACCTTTTTATTTTTCGAAAGAACATTCGTACGGAGCATTGCAGGATTAAAACTGTGCGCTTCCACACAATCTAACAACGTAAGACATAAGTCCAAATCAAGTAGTCTGCCGGTCTTGAGAAGTTCTACTGGCCCCAGTTCCAGCTTCAGGTGCATTATCACAAAGCCATAATACTTGCGAACAATGAGCAACGATCTATACGCGAACGAAGATTCAAATATGCAATGTATACGGTATATCCTTCGAACGGAGTCACTACTTGACTTTCCATCGAAGCATCGATGCTTCAAGTAACACTTTAAGTTATAAGTATGAGCTAAGTCATGGGACCATTATATCTGAAGCGATCTCTAATGGATGTTTGTTTTGTTTGTGGATGCCGCTTTAATATATCCCTCACTGTTCTGAAACATCCTCTCGTTCGGTCATATCAATCTGACCTAAGTTGAGGTACCTTGTTATTTCAGCTGGAGGACCAAACGTCAAGCGACTTCTTACTTGACAGAAGGGCAGGAGTAGCCTATCTCTTATGTTCTAGATAATAAGAAATGGTGTGAGGAACTCTAATCGACCTCCACCCGCATGCTGCAGGACATGCACCACTCAGACAGACCACCAGGCTTCTAGATAAATTTCACACAATTGGTTTGTCTGAAAATGCAGGAAGAACAGGCGATTCAATATTTCTGGATAACGTTTTAGTCTAGCATAGTCTGCAGAAATATCACTTTTGTCCCATTCACAGCTGCCTATCCTCTAGTATGTCGTTGCTCCTTCAATGGCCATTATTGAAGTGTATGCTTGGTCCCTGTGATTTCAAGTAACTTTCAGCCCTAGTCCTAATGCTGCTTGCTCAATTCGATCCTTGAAGCCCCCCAAGAAGCTTCCATGGTTCTCCAAAGTCTCTTCCTCATCCTCTCCCCCTTCGCAGCTCCAGCTGCTTGCTCGTTTGACGTCGCCTAGACCCATATATTTGATCGTTTTAGGATAGAGGCAAAGATCCCTTGTGATCAGCTCCCCCTCTGCATCCACTGTCTCCGCTTGGAGTGTCTCCGGTATTTCTCCATTCTCGACCCAGTCAACCAATTGCGCAAGAGGGTCCTTGGGTGCTGCACCTGGACCGAATCCACAATGCTCGACGCCTGGTGCAAGGAACAAGCGGAAAAACTCATTGACTGCCTTTGCTCCGCCAAATTCCAACCCCAATCTCTCCCAGTATCCAGTGCTAAGCTTGTACGGGATGTTGGGGTCATTTATGCCATGCCAGCTGATAAACTTGCCACCAGCATCACGGAACGCGGTCAGACCTGTATCATATGAGTCGAGAAGCCATCCATGTTGCTCGCTTGTCTGTAATATGAGACCAAGGTATTCGGCGTATGATAGTTTGGAGGCGTTGAATGCTGGGTCCTTCACGAGTACAGTCCGTGGCCAGACGTCCAACATCGCAGATGGATGTGAGGTGCGGACGCCATCGGCATCGATCGTGACGTTCATCAAAAAGTTTTCGGATAGTCCATAAGGATAACCGGGTGTTATATTCTCCCCAAAAAGCGTTGATGGTCCTTCTCGGATTCTTTTCACAACACTCGCTATTTTCTGTGTGATCGTCACCTCGTATGAGCCACATTGAATCTTCTTGCCAACGAAGGTTGCTGGATCAAAGTTGCATGCGTCCGGATCTCCAATGATTCCATCAATGGCTCCATCGACCAGATCACATTCCTCCACAGCTTTGGCATCGAACCATGCCATTTCGCAATTGCTGATGAGGATGTTTTCGTCACTCATGACAACTTGAGGCCATATGGCACCCATCGCAGTTTTCGCAAATTTGAGAGCAGGGGCACTCGCCATGATACCATCAACAAGGCCGGGATATTTTTGGGCCAGAGCGAACCCGTGACGCCCTCCCTGGGAGCAGCCGGAATAATACGAATGGTGCGGCTTCTTGCCATAGTATTGCTCTGCTATACTTTTGCCGACATGGACTTCGTCTGCTATACTGCGGGAAGCGAAGTTCTGGAGCAGAGGCCAATTTATGCTCTTATCGGGATTGAGGACCCAGTCCGCTGACAAGAAATCCGGCGGATGTCCACCATCAGTCGAGGCCGCAGCATATCCATCCTTCAAAGGGTAACCCAACGTGAAATCGAACATGCCTGTGGCGAAAGCGCCGCCTCCAGTAGCTTGAAAGCGTCCATTCCATGCATCGCGAGAGATTGGCAGCCAGGTCTCAACAAGAACTTTGTCATCGGCTCCAGGATGGGTCAAATACACTTTGACCTCACAGTAATCCAGACCCGAAACAGGCGGCAGGACCGGTGTTGCTGTTCTTGTCGTGACATTGAGCTTCTCCTCGGCTGTGATGGACAATACTTTGGCGCCTGGTACCACCGGAGCTGAGAACGTTGACGTTTCGCAGACTAGCTTGGTCGACTCCTCATCGGCAATTACATGCCCCAGTGATGAGAGAAAGATCCATAGCGGAGCACTTGATAGCATTGTGCTTGTCGTCTCCAGATGAAGAAGTGATATTCACGATACAGAACTATACCGTGAGCCGTTGTAAAAGATACCAGTTGGCAGTTGTCGGTTTTCCCCACCATGCTTGTGCGTCACAGCCAATCAGCACTAACCGAATGGAGCCGTGTATTGCGAACTTCTCTCACACTGCCACAGTAATCATTTCTGTAGGCCTCTCGAGCCTAATTTCTTCTAGCCTTGAGTGAGGTTGTATAGACTGAGCGCAAAAGGCTTCCACTTGCGCAATAATGAATTAATGCAGCATTAAATTGTCTCAGATTTGCGCGCCTCCACTGACCTTTGACGCATTGCAGCCATGGACTCTTTACCAATTGTTCGTACGAAAGTCCACCTCGAGCCGTAATGGTATACCTCGAAAGTAACAGCACGTGACAGCAGGCCATGTACGCGGTACTTGCAGGCGAAGATATGATCGGATTCCACGGTATGTTTTTGGGCTAGACATGGCTGTGAATTGCAACACTGCAGCAGTCATAGGCGAACTGGAAAGACGCAGAATGAATTCTGGCCGGTAGTGGCGGCCAGTGAAAGCTAGAATTCAAGTGTAGAGATCCTCATCCATTATACTGCGTTCTCCAAAATGGTCGTCGGAATAGTCACGGACTATTTGCGTTGCAGAAGATTAAATCTAGATAGAGGTTGCTATATCTAATTACTGAGAATGGGAATCTTCGGAGCGATCTTGTCGTAGTTTGCTACTAACTCAAGATCAATAAAGAACACCAATTGCGTATCCTGCTAACCATGTATCTCACTGACAACACTTTGAATTGATCCAATCATGACAAGTCTACAGATGGGTGGAACTTTGATGGTGACAAATCAAGAGCATCGATTGATAGGTCTGTAAGATCCTTGGTTGAAGGAGCTTGCAGGTTGACAGCTACAATGGTGAGATTATTTTCAGGAGACTAGTTCCCAGAAGTACAAAAGGCCATGTTCCGTTTTCTAGAAACGCTCAAAAAGATGTCTAGGAACGAACAATCCCATGGGCGCATACTACAGGTCTTTTATGCTGTCGACCACGTTGCTAGGGCCACTGATTAAAGCACCTTTCCTGGCTATGAATTATATCCCTTCAGAGTTTATACTGGTCATTTAGATCAAGCTTGCTGAATCATTTATCTTATATTAAGTGACCAAGATGGACGTACGCTACATAGTTATCACCTGAACTGATAATAATCAAACGCGGGGTTCACACCTTTGACGCAAGAAACGGAAATCGCACACCATATGGCGCGGCATCGCCAAACACAATATGACAAACACTTGTAACCTATAAAGTTCTGACTTCACACTGCCGCTTCCTGCACTGTCAGTTTGGCTCTGTTGTTACATATCACGCCATTCAACAGTTATTCTGGCGACATGCGGGGATGGACGATAAGGGAGCCGAGATGGATATAAAATGGTCGCAACTGTCCCAAAGATGTTGTCACAGCAAGATTATCAATTAGAAACTGCCAGACATTTTATCTTTCAGCCTGAAAAGACTTGTTATCATTATGGCCCCCCCTGCAGCAGACACAGATCTAGCTGTTCGCCCTGTCGAGACCGTCACAAAGCTTCCAAGCAAGGTTGAAAGCAGCTCTCTTTTGAAAGGCCCTCTGAAGTCGTCTGGTTCGCTTGACCAGTATGAACACTTTCAAGCTACTCCGGTCATAGGAGAAGAGTTTCCTTCTCTTCAGCTCAGTGACATCTTGTCCGATGACAATAAGATTAGAGATCTTGCTATTTTAGGTAAGGAAAGAATGGCCAAATTGTATCAATCAAGTACTGACCGTAGAACTAGTATCACAACGTGGTGTTGTGTTCTTCCGAAACCAGAATCTAGAGATCGAGGACCAGAAGATTCTCGGCCAGAAACTTGGCGAGTTGACTGGCAAACCAGAAACTTCAAAGGTGCGTGAACTATGGTTGGAGCAATATTCATATACTGAAGAGGGCTAGCTTCATCGTCACGCCTTGAGCAACAGCAAGCGAGGCATCGCAGTAGACGAAAATGGAAAGTTGGACGATGAGGTATCAGTGATCTCCAGTGAGCAAAACCGGACTTACTACCAAGACCGCTTTAGCTTCAACTCTAAGAGGATTGCCAGCGAAGGATGGCACGCTGAGTATGTCATTTTTGAGCCTTCAATTATAGTGGCATACTGAGCAGATGTCTAGTATAACATTCGAGCGCATCCCATCCGACTACGCTATTCTGAAGATCCACACCCTTCCAACTGACGGGTCGGGAGGTGACACTCTATGGGCATCCGGCTACGAGGCCTACGACCGCCTTTCACCACCATGGCGTGCATTTGCCGATTCGCTAACTGCCACCCACCATCAGCCAAACTTCAATCGCGTTGCGAAGCAATTCGGAGCCGAGCTCATCTCAGACGATCGCGGGGCACCAGAGAACACAGGTCTTGATTTTCAAGCATCGCACCCAGTCGTCAGAACCAATCCTGTCACTGGTTGGCGAAGTCTCTTCGGAGCCGCCCACCAGGTCGAGAAAGGCTGGATTGATGGCGTCACTGAGAGGGAGAGTGACATTATCAAGCAGTACTTCCTGCAACTCATCACTGAGAATCATGACTTGCAGGTTCGTTTCAAGTGGGGCAAGAATGACCTGGCTATCTGGGATAATCGAAGTGTTTTCCACACAGCTACTAATGACTACGAGGGAAAGCGTCAAGGAAATAGGGTCGTCAGTTTGGGCGAGAAGCCTTACTACGACCCAGCAAGTGTTTCGAGACGCGAGGCACTCAGTGCAGCGAAGACCAATTGATAGGTCCGTTTCCATCTCTTTTAGAGGACTTCTATAGTTAATAAACTTGGCAACAAATGTGACTATCCCGCACTCTTGTCGTATGATTCTTTTGGAAAGAGATTGAGCGAACCGGCGGTTTATGCTTTCCAGTGTCTAAAATCATCAACCAAGTGTATGTCTTATAGAGAAAACATGAAATTCCAAGTGATGCCTACACCTTGTATGAGCAATACATTGATAAAGGATCAGCGTTTATAGAAGGCTAAGGGCATCACTGGTGTCTTAGTGGTACGTGAACGGCTTTCGTGTGCGAAGAGTCCAAGCCGAATCGGACCATATCGGAATTAACAAGAATATAAGAGACGAGGCGAGGACTAAATTGCCTTTTCTTTTGCATAGTTTCGAACCCTTTCTTGATCGGACTTCCCTTTTTTCAGTTTCAATAGACATCGCTCTAAATAGTTTGCATTGCATTGACCTTCGCGGCTTCAGCTCTGAGCACGCGGGAATTGCTCGTATTCCCGTGCATGCGAATATGAGGTTTTTGTTTGATGCGCAGCCGGATCTGGGGAGACCTCCCATGACACCTAGGGCTATGAAGCCTTCTCATCCATGGAGATTGTGAACAGCAATTCCACAAACACCCAAGAGCCTCTCGGAGAGGGATTTGATGCTTGATTCATATATCAAATTCCGGCCAGTATCCCTCACCGGCACCCGCACAAAAGAATCTCAGACCATTCTTCCCAATCGATCCAGCATCTCCAGATCGCCTCCGTGGGATAGAAATGTTTCAAACACATCACAGCAGATAGATTGAGTGCGCAGTCAAGGCTGAACCCGCCTCGTCCCGCGATATAATCTCCGAACGCGGTCTTGGTCTTGGGGGCCATAATTGGGGGATCTCGCGCGATTGTATTTGAGATCTAGGCCCCAGCAGCGTTTGTTCACACCTCAAGGTGGTGACGAGTAAAGCACCGAAAAGTTCGAGGTAGTGAATGAAATTGGAGATTGACTTGAAGCATCGGTGAGTAAATGCCAATCTGCCAATGTGTTTGCATCTTTAGGTGTAGCGCCACCCTTCAGGCCACGACGATCTAGATGCACCGCAATGATTATCTCCAATTCCAAGTGGCGCAGTACGAATGCGGTGTTCATCTTTCAACAACAGCAACACCGATATCCAGCCAGCGCATTGAACGATGAGGCACAGGGAAGCCAACGGACGAATTGTATACACACGCGGGCCGATCCCTAGCCGCATGGCCCCCTAAAGCTCGCAGCATCATGCTTGATCGAGCGCACCGGGAGCCGATCCCAGCCCACCGCCAACATCTAGATTTCCCGAAAATTTTCGACGGTCTTTGCTTTATATTATTTCGGTTTGCAATTTCTTCGTAATCATTGTCTTGCGATGGGCTTGTTGTTGGTGTAGATAGTTAGGTATTATACCCTGTGGCAATCGGGTTCCTCAAATCCCGCCAACTACGCCCCTCCGCTTGGCCCCCCACCACCTCCACACACCCACCGTACCCTCGACGTTCATGCGTGGACATTGTTGCACAGGTACCTTGTCCATAGCCAGTCAGTGTGGCGGACGATTCGATCGGCCGATAACTTGCTCCGGAGGCGAGGCGAAGTGAGGTGAGGTGAGGTGAGGTAAGATGTGGTTTCCTTGGGACGGGGTGGGTGTTTGCCCGACCGGGCTTAGAATTCCGGCATACTAAGTTAACGCGTTCGTTACGTATGTACATGAATCACAAGGCTGCTATGGGAATCGTCGTGTTAGCATGAGGGTGGAATGTTCTGGTTGTTTATGCAAGAAGTGGTACGGGTAATGCCTTCGGCATTTATGTATTTGATATGTTGTTACATGGTTGGTATACTATCATATAGATGCTGTTGTTACATGGACTGATGTCAGGGTATCCAAAAATCGCTATGGGACATTAAAGTAATAGGTGTAATAAAGCCGAACATGATGCTCGGTCTCTTAGAAGGTGGCATGTCAAATCAAAAATACGCCGTTCCATGCAGATGCCAATCCCAAACCGGTGATGCTAAAAGTTGAAAGAAATACAAATGAGAAGAAGAATGTGTGGTCTTCTGGTTTGGAGAAAAGGTTTGAATGTAATGGATCATTCGGGTCGTTTTATGATGAGCCTCGGGCTGCCTCTGTTGTTCATCTTTTGGACGACGGGCATGGGCTCCGCGGGCTCGTCGGAGTAGAAGTCCCAGGGTCGGTTTGCTCGCATCTTCCCATGCTCGTTGATCGATCCGTCACGGGAGAAAAGTGGAGGAGCGCCCGGGGTTGATGGACTGACGGGGCTCATTTGGTCTTTGCGTGATGAGTTTTGCGGGGTGAGGATACGTTGATTCCGTGAGGTGCGGTGAGGGTTGATTGGTGGCTGAGGCAAGGGGAAAGTAGGAGGTGATGTCTCTGGAGGCGTATTCAGGTAGTACGACGGTATCGTTGGCACGCCGCTTTGTGTTTGTCGCCGCGAGGTGCCATGAGATGACACAGTAGCAGTAGAGATTCGTTGGCCTGGGTCTGGGCCGGTACTGAACTTGGGCTGCATTTCATTGCTTGGTCTGCTTGATGTTCGAGGGGGATGTTGAAGGGGAGGAAGGGGAGGATCCATGTTGATGTTTTTTGCTGTGTTTGGTTGCATTCGATGTATCGAAACTCTCTGTGGTGATCGACCCAGCCTTGTGCGCGGTATTGTCGGAGGCGGCGTAGGTGCAATTTGAGGAATCAAGGAGTATTGAGCAGTCGGTCCGCGGGGAAACACCGTGTATTTTGGCTGCTGTCGCACAGGACTGACAGAGTGGTCTGGACAATTCGAACCCGAGACAGGCTGAGAACCATGGCTGCACTCTTGATGCGCACACGATGGACGCCTAGGCCGTGAGGTATGGGGCCGCGGGGAGGCATCCGGCTGCTTGAACGATCTCGAAAATGGAGGTGGAGAGAGCAAACCATTTGCAGACCAGATCTCTGGCGATGAGAGGACGTGCGGGCTCGCGGTTTGAGGGCTAATGACATCAGTCGTGGTGGTGCGAGCCTGGGGAGGCGGGATGTGGAGTTTCAGTCCCCGCTCGCTTGGACTCCTGGAATTGCGGTTTGAAGAGAATGGAGACCCCAATCGAGGTGGAGTGAGTGGACTCAACGGTGGAGGACTGGGGATTCTGGGCGATGCATCGGGTGTTCTTCCATACTTCAAGCCCAGTGTAGCGGCGGAGTCGAACGACCATGCTTCCTTGCCCTTCTTATGTCCTTTCTCATAATAGCCAGAGTTGGATCCAATGGCTTGCCAACTCCTCGACGCGGTCCTCCTCTTGCGCGAATCCTCGATTCCTTCGAAGATGCATTTAACGTAGGGAACGCATGCGGTGGAAATGCTCAAACACACTTGGATTTGTGTACAAATGACTGGGACCCATAGGTTGAACTCGGGATTGTCGTGTGGCGTGATGGGAAAGAAGTAAATCAGGCGAGCGAGGGCGGCAGCGATGACGAGGATGCGAGGTGCGAAACATGCTACGACAATAACCTTTCGCGAAAACTTGACTTTGAGATATGCAACCAGGTTGACCGATAGCATGACAAGGCCAACCTCGCTTGTCATATCAATAATGCAGTAGATGATCCAGAAGACGCCCTAAGGATATTAGCTTCAATGCATAAAACGAAACAAGTAATAAAACCTACCCGGTTATAGCAGTGCAGCGTCATCACCTCCCACGGTCTTGGAAGCCCACATTGGAAAGCCACAGCGACCAGAGATGCCAAAGACCAAGCCGTGATGAAGATACCGAACCCTTGGATGATCCGCCTCTCTTTGCGTTGGACGACGATGCTACAAAAGAAGGTGATGAGAGTAAGTTTCGCAAAACATAAGGCGAGAATGTAGAGAAAGTCGGAGGCATAGTAGGCTTTCATGAGAGCATTTGCGCGTTTATTCGTAAGAATTTCAGACCTTCCCAGGCCATCGGCAGCGAGAATGAGATTCGTAACAGACAGTCCGATGGCGAATATCTGGATGAACAGAATAGTCATTAGTAGTGGACTATGTTGTAACCCGTTCATCTGTGTACATACCGTTGCGAAGAGGATGCAAAGATCGTCGATGCCGGCCTTTCTCACTACTGAGTATTTGATAGTTTGCCTAGCCAAGAACATTATGATCAAGACACCCAGTGTTGCCCATGTTGTTATCCGTATCGCCGTCGATTTGTCATCGGGAGTGATTGGATTCCACCTCTTTTCTGAAGACATTGAAGGTATTCGCATGTTGTGAGGAAGAGTCGCTGAATTTGAGAAATGTACGCCCGCCACCCTACCCAACCAGACCAGAACAAAAGAAACAAGGAAAGAAAGAAGGAAAGAAAAGCAATAGGAAGAAGAAAGTAAGTGAATCAGCAAGTGTAACAAAGCGTTTCTGAATACATGTCGATGCCGACGGAGAATCGAAAGGGGATGGCACGATGATTGTAAGAGAGGATGGTAGACTGGGGCCAGGAAGAATGATCGCAAAGGGTATCAAGTGTGGAGGAGGGGGAGGGGGGATTTTGGGGGCATATCAAGGTACAAAGATGACTACATAAAGAAAGTGGCATCAAGGCGTATGGTCGTTTGTTCTCGTCGTATTGCAAGGGCCGAGGCTCTGCGGAGCGCGCCGCAGTTTGGGTGTGGCACCATCATCGCCCTTATTCTCGTCGAGGCTGACCTTGGAAGTGGGTGTGGTGTGCATGTACTGTTCTGGTATTATTATTGTAACATTCTAATTACCTTTTCGGCTTGCGAAGGTCGCCAGTTTGCTGCTGCGGCAGATGTGTTCACCCTGCGCCCCCCTCCCCTTTGCGAAACCCCGGTCTGCTCCAGACGAGCCCTGCAACATGCAACATCTTCCATGCGTGTCAGCGGCGCACCCTCTTTCTAATTCCTCCCCTTCCTCCCTCCTTCAGCCCTATATTTGACGCGAGCGCTTAAGACGTCACCGAAAATGGATGGGCTTGGCAATCCACTGAGAGAGACACCTAGATTCTTTCACTCGTACTAGAAGGCCTGCTTATGGTTCCACGGCAGCTATGGAGATGGTTAGATTCCGGGTACCAGTCACCCAATTCCATGTTCCCACGGAAACCGATTACGAATAGAAGTGTGGCAATAGTCCTAACGAAAAAGGAAATAATCTAGTACACGTGTGTAAGTATGCTAGAGAAGTGTTGTAAACTTAAACGACGTGTATCTTAAACTGGACCTGGCGCGTAGATTTAACGCCACTGGCCGATGGACCATTAGAGATCATGTGCTTGTAGGTGACTTAGGCCCCACGCTTGTAGACGGACTTCGGTTGCTCACTGGCGGCTACGAATTGTTGGAACTGCAGAAATTGAAATGATCATACTGGTTCAATCGTAAATCTGAGCGGGCAATGTTTGCTCAGTCGGCGTGAACCATCTAGAGCTATTTCCTGTTGGACAGCCCCTGAAACTTTAGTGAACCATGTCTGACTTCAGATAGGAAAATATGGGCCAGGCCATGTCTTGCCCGCACTAACTCGATCGGACAAGAATTGTAGTAGAACCTAGAGAATGATGCATACAGGAGTTCTCATAAATGCGCATTGGCTGGACCAAGGAGGGCGTTCATCACTCGCGTGCGTATTTCCGATTGGTGATTGGGAAGCTTTAACATGTTGGATGACTCTGTACAGCAACCACAGTGTCGAACGACCTAATATGTTGATACCCTAGTCTAGCTGCACTTGTAGTAAAGAGCTGAAACTCATCAAGGTCTGCTATCATGACGTACCTCAACAGTTAACTTTTCCTTTCTAACAGTGATACTCTAGTGGCATGCCGATTCTCTAGGCTCTGCAATGCGTGTATTCACAAGCCAAGCATGTCTCCCGAAAGCCTTCCGAGATCCCGCAAGGATAGTCTTGATAAGAAAAATAGTAGCTAGTGTTCAGACCGCTCTTTGTTTTTTGTTTTGGTGTCGGTCCCACCAGATATAGTGCTTTGATGCAAGAAGGAAGTCCGAGAACGTGGGTTTAGCAATTGGTATCAGACATGCAATTCCCGAGACAAGCAGCGATGCTGAACACACGGCGTCAATAGCAAACAGGCCATGTATAAGGGAGACACAAAAAACAAGGCGTGCGATTGATTCAAAATTGAAGTATTCCACTATACGCAAATTTTGAACTTGATTGGCAGTTCTGTTGTACTCCGGCAACCTGGCTGACCAAGGCCCACGAGACGCAACCCGCCACAAGATGGACCACTATTGGTGGGTATCATCAACTTAGTGTTCCCGGAACATTGCTCGAAGATGCAGAGAACATGCGGATCATGACAGTATCGCCACGTTACGTTCGATCGACATCAGTGCTCCCGCGTTGTCGCAGTTCGACAATCGCAGCTTATCTTACTCACAATTAACCTCTTGAAGACAAAGGTATAGCAACCTAGGTAGTCATGTGCGCCGCGCTAGTTGCTGTGTAATCCATTATTGTCCGATTCGACAAGTCGACAAATTTTCCAGAATGTCGGGAAGATGATTGGAAGGACAAGATATCGTGCAATCTGCTCCACGAATATTGGATCGAGAAGAGAGCGATTCGCGATGACTGCAGCGTGGTGGCGGAGCGATTCGATTATCGTATACATAGCGCCACCACCATCGGTAGGCGAGCACGCCTAAGCTACCGGCCGGTACGGGTACGGCAGCTAAACTCATGGAACCACTCGAATGTTTACACATCGATGGTGTTAGTAAAGTGGTGCATGGCTGACTACATTGGAATTCAGATCGAGTTTGGATCATCCTGTTATGACTTTCGACGGTTAACTGTGGAGACTGCAAAGATTGTTGATGATGCATATGTCCTACCTACAAATCATCACTGTCCGGAGTAATACGACTGCACGTATTCATCAACATCAACAACACAAGTCTCCTGCGATCTCGTCGCGCACAGAGCTATTCCAGCTCCAAACTTCTCCCACCCCTCACCCATCGTTCTCCACGTTCCCCTCGCTTCGTCAAATTTCCCCTCTACGCCTATGTCTGAAAATGGAGTACGAACAACGTGTAACCAAGATACGCGGTCACAGTCAGCCCCGATCTCACGCACTGCATTTAGACCAACCCACGCTGCAGGATCGCGGCGCTTACGGGGCTTAGCGAGGCCTGTTGCCAATCCGGGAACCTCCAATAAGCATCATGGATTGTCGCCCACAATGACGAGAGCGAGTATTTATATATGCGAACGCTAGAAAATAGAAAAGAAGGTAGTCGATGTGGTTTGGAGAGAGAATGGACATCAGGGAATATCGTGGGTGCGCAGGTAGGACGTTGAGACTTTGTTGATTTAGAACTTACCTTCCAGTGACTTGGCTGTTTTGTCGATTAGTCGTTGATGGCTCTCGCTTCCAGCAGTTGTTCTTTACTTCAAATTGTGCCTAGCGAAATATTGAGATCTTGAGCGTTGATCTTGTTGTGCAAGTTTCTGGCGAAGTCGAAGCAGCAAAGAAGTTGTACTGCAGCGATCCACAGCTGCTATTCCCAACGAGGTAACCGGTACATATACGGCGTCCAAAGAATTTCAGTCATCCATCTTACTCACAAAGAGGGGAGAAAGGAGGAGGAATCATGATCGACAAGGCGTAATCGACTCCGCCAGCATAGAAGAATCGGAGGATTGATCACCAGCACCAAAGCTCCAGTGACCACACCATGGATCGATCGCCAGGTCTCTGCAAAAGTAGATGCAAGAAAAACAAAACAAAAAATGTTTTAGGAAATCTTTACCACCGCACTGAAATCCTATTACCAAATCAATGGCTCTTACTCGTTTCTGTTTCACCGAGAAGCATGAATGGCAATCCTTCACTCTCTTATTGACACTACGTTTCCATCGGTAATCGAGCATTTTGTCGAATGAGAAAGAAATCCTAATTATTGAGCGTGCCTGGACAGTTATGGGAGTTACCCCATTTGTTAATGATACTGGTAGCACAGAGGAGTTTCGAAAACTTTAATGATGTCCATTGATTTAAGCCAGATGTTATTCAATTTCCGCCACTAGATGCGTGGCATGACGCTCGACTTTCCTTCTTGCGAGTGTAGATCTCGAGCAATTATCTCAGTAGCCCGAAGGACCTCTTCGTCTTGAAAGCGCCATCCAACTACTTGGACAGAACCAGGGCTACCGTGGACTGCCTCGGGGTCAACTGCAATGTGTTAGCATCATGGCAGCACAAGCGCTAAATGAAGGAAGGGAAAATGTTACGTACATCCATCAACAGGCTTATCAAGGGTCTTATCAGCTTTCAAGTATGGAATGACTGCGGCAGGGAACTAGTGCCAGTGTTAGGACGTTTGGATAGATTAGCTGGATACAATGAGGAGATACGCACATCGAGTAAATTCCAGATAACTGTCCATACAGGATTTCCATACATTCCATGGGGAACAGAGGTATTCCTCGATCCCGGACAGAGTAGGACATCAATATTATGGCTGCGCCAGACCCTGGCCCATTCTTCTCGATAGGATTCCTTACTCGCATTGACGGCCCAAACGTCTTCGAGGGTAGCTGCAGGACCCTTAAGGGCCTGGGCAATAACGCTGAGGGCTGGTGACAGATCTTCCCCACCTTCCTCGAGGTACTTGAAAATTGTCGCGTTGTTATCAAGTGAGAAAGATTTGAAAGAGGTAATTACCGCTTCGACAATTGAAGGAGCCTCTAGCTCGACAATCTCATGCCCTGCCTTCCGTAGCTTCTCCACTGCAGATGAAAGTATTCTGGATACAGGAGGGTAGACACTGAACGCAGGATCGTCTCTCCAGACACCAATCTTCAAGGTTTTGACTGGTGGCAGTTCCCTCCAGTGAATAGCATGGGAGGTTGAATCTACCTTCCAAGGCTCTGCTAGTAGGACGTGCTTGAAGAACAGCGTCAAATCGCGTGCTGACACCGCCAGAGGTCCTAACGTGCAGGTAATCGAGGGCCATCCTGGTGGGAAAAATTGCTGCTGCTTGCTATATGGAAGTCTGTCAGACGACGGCCGAAAACCGTATACGCCGTTGCAGAGCGCAGGAGCGCGGACAGATCCGCCAATATCACTGCCAACTCCGAGTACCGAGCCACGGAAGCCAACTAACGCACCTTCGCCAGAGCTGCTGCCTCCTGGCGTATGCGATAAGTTGTGAGCATTCCTAGTCGTACCACAAACTGTGCTGTATCCTTCCATGACCTACAATGTGTCGACAAGGAAGCGTTAGCGCAGGGCATTTACTTCCGCATACACAACAGCGAAGGAACAAAGGTGGGATGACGGAGACTGACAAAAAGTGCTTGGGGTACTGTGGTCTTGCAGTAGAGCACGGCTCCGCCGTCCAGTAGTATGTCGATGATGACGGAGTTTTCGCTAGCTCTCGGCTTCTTCAGATACGAGACGTAGCCAAGGTTGGCGAATTGGCCTTTGATGTTAATCATATCCTAGGTCGAAATTAGAAAGACCTTTGTATTTCTCAAAAATAACACCTAATCGCTCGCTTGGTCCTGATGTCACAAACCTTGATACTGATCGGGAGGCCATGAAAAGGGCCCTTAACTTTGCCCTCACATGCAAGATATCCGTCCCTCTCCTTGGCTTGTTCGATTGCATCGTCGAAAAACATTTCCGCAAGAGGGTTGATCTGCTGTTATCAGACATGATTTTCCAAATTGAATGTGGGTTCGTACCAGCTGCTGGGCAATGGCTGCTCGCTTGCAAAAGGCTGTCACCACTTCAACAGACGAGACCTGCTTCGTGGCTAGCAAATCAAGAAGCGCAGTGGCATCGTACTTCTCAGTGAGCTCTTGTTCCCTAGCATTGAGAAGATTTGATTCCTTAAGGAGGGTGAGACCGCTGATGGTGGCTTCATTGGAAACCTTTGCGAGAACATTGCCAGGGACTCGCCATTCTTGAGGAATGACACTATCCAGACTGGCCCTCTTCTCGTCAATTAGCTTCTGCCATTCTGCGGAGACCATGATTATTCGTCTTAAGTGAGTTCAATTTGGAGGAGATGCGAAGGTTGGTAATGTCATTCCACTGTGTGTATTTTGGCCTTAATTTATAGATATCAACGTCTGTACTGAACATAGTGGAAGTAGGCAACGAACAAATGTCCTAGCAGTGATCAGCTATGCCTCGGTGTCCTTCAAATTCTAAGATCTTGTGAGTCTGTAAAGCTGCATTACACTATTGCGGTGCCGAGCTGGCGATCCGACCACCGGGCAGATACTTCCATCTCTGTAATGTCCGGTGGACAATTTGCGGGGTAGAGAGGTAAATGGGAACATTGCTCTATTTGGCCGATTCTTTTACCCTAAGCGGCTAGTTGGAAGCACTTCCCAATACACGGTACAAGTCGGTGGCTGGAGGATATCTAAACCTCCACTTGGCGCTCTAATTTGACCATCTATTATCTGCTTTGGGGAACGCGCGGGTTGGTCTAAAGGGAAGCGGAATCTTGCACTGGATCATTCGATAAGAGCTCCAACACGCAGACACACTGTAGATAAAATCATATCTCAAGCAAATATTTCAATCACTATATAAGCTTTCACCCATTGATCAGGTGTTTCCCCGTTATAACTGATCGCTTGGAAGGTAGCAATCAACATTCGCATCTTAATCTGGCCGTCTCATGCATCCTAATCCAACATTTATCGCGGCAGCGCAGGGTGTTGCCAACAACACATTCGACCTGCGTCTTCTCCTGGTTTTAACATTTCCGTTCATTATAGCCATGGTCATCTATCAAAATCAGTCTTGCAGGAAGACTCAAGCAAGTAAATTCTACACCAGCGTGAGCCCCTTAGGTCCTTTATTCGTAGCTGACCATTTCCTCCTCACCAGGTTCTTCACTGGCATCACCCTTTGCTACGCCTCTACCCAAGCCGCTCGAGGATTTTGATCTCTCTGCCAAACGCCCTGAAAAGTATCGCCCTTTTCGACATGGGGCCAACCACGTGACGATGGGGATTCGACGGCTCGATTGGAACGAGTGGATTCAGATGGACTCCAACTTCCTCTGGTATCACGATCTCAAGGCTCGCGAATTAAAGAAAGATTTTCCGGCTCATGTACAGTACGTTGACAACGCCGTAACTCGCGATGCTTGTTTCGAAGTGCAAGAGGAGCTCGTAAAATACCTCACTCACCGCTTTCCACGCATATTCCAACTTAAAGGCGGCGTCCTACGCAACACAATCACGAAGGAGGAATTTCCATACCCAGCGAGTACGTGCGAAAACACATACAATGGCCCCTTCTTAACTTGGAATGCGTTCTGATGACATGTAACAGAGACGCCAGAAGAGGCATTAGCAACCTCAGCACTTCTCGTGCAAGATGATCTTGTGATAATGGTCAAGAACGACGGTACGTCCCGATTATGCAATTCCCCTCATCAAACGTTCAAAAGATTAATAGTCGACTTACAGATGGCTCGTATCACCTTGATGCTGCTGCTGTTTGTCTACCGGGGTTCTGGCGTCTCAAGGAGAAGTTCCGAACCTCGCTGGATGAGCTGCACATAGAAGCCAAGGTTCCACACTATCGAACAAGGCTCATGAAGTCGATGAATCGATTCTTTGAGACTCTGTCTGCTGAGAAGCCCGTAACTCGCAATAATGTAAGATGTCTCTTCTCCAACACTATTCTCAATTCGGCTTATTTATGCGTGAGTACAGTTCTTCATTCAACTTGACGATGGCCTCCATTGGTCTCATCGAATGGGCGAACAGAAAGGCGATAATGTAGCTTGTAAGTAAACAGCCATACATTTGATTTCCAGCGTGATGATGCTAAACAAATCATTTAGCTTGGGCACTGGCAAACGACAAAGGCCTCAAGATCGAAGACCTCCATTTCCGGTCAGAGAGACAAACTCTCCGACGTCTACCGCGCTCGAAGACACTTTTGTTCACCATTCGCACCTACTTTGAGCCCATCACTACGATCGCGAAGGAGCCACATGTTCCTGGTCGTCTCGCAGAGGCTATTCGGGCCTGGGACGAGACTGTCTCGACGTATAAGGGCAAGAGCCATTGGGATCATATACTTTTGCCGTACTTGGATGAGCAGGCGGAGCTTCAAAGACAAAAGGGCATTCTTGATGATCATCCGGAAGCTGAATTCCCATACTAGTTGTGAATTCGTAGGATCAAGTAGTGTCAAACGTAGGCCGTATTTAATAATAAATTCGTCAATACTATACACTTTCTAAATACTCGAAAAGGCGATTATTTCTTTCTCATAGTGCATGGGTATAAGATAGATCAATGAAAATTAGTTTAAAGTAAAGCACTTTCAAAGGAACAGAGCAACTCCACGATGAGCCAAATACTTCAGATATCTTTCCGTACTGGCTTGCATCAATCGAATAGTTTCCGCAGTGCAGCTCAAAGAGTCTCCGATTGCTCTAGGCAATTGCAAATCCAGTACCCTCAGAACAACGATGGTGAAAGATTGGCGCTGGAGAGTTTACTCGATTCCACTTACCAGAAATTTCGCATTCATTATGCCCATCAGTAACTGCCCATTTATCTTGTGTCTGCCTCAAATTTCCACGGAGATGAGCCATAGCAAGTGATGATGTCGCGCCCGCCTACCTGCCTCCACCAATCGGCCCTACCACCAAGTACCGCTACAAAGTACCGTGTACGACTTGTACGACCACACGGACAACACCGAATCTCCAACGAGCGCGCCAGCCATCTCGCAAGCACTTCTATTTCGTGCATGCAGACTAATCCTACCAGAGGCACATTTATGGACACTTGGGGGTTGGCTAGATAAATGTACATCACCATTGCCTTTTTGCTTGCGCGTTTAGATCGGTACGATCCTCTGCACGATCGATTATACTACCCCGCGGGGAGTAGAACACCACGCCCATTACCTTCGGATAGAGGAAGTAACAGCTGCCGGGGCACGAAGATAGCATTTGAAATCATTATCGATATTTGTTATTGAGTCTATGCGAGAAAGGGTAAGTTGAGTTGGGGGAGAGATCACATGTCTGGGGCATGGAGGTCTTAGGGAGTTGATAGCGGAATGTAATCCGCGGTAGCCATGCACGTTGGTTGACATATCTGTCAAGGGTCTCTGTGATAACAACATCATTGACCTCCTCAATTGCTCTGCTGTGCTTTAACAATTGAAGAGAAAGATAAGAGAAAGGAAAAGAAAGGGTTCTACCAAAACTGACGTGCTTACTTCATATCTTGTTCAAGTGCGCGTAAAGATGTCTGCCACCGCAGTCTTCAGAAATGGTCGAGTCTTCACAGTCGACGACAAATTCACCATTGCGGAATCCCTCGCTATCCGTGACAACACCATCGTAGCTGTTGGATCTGACCTCGAAGTTTCAAAATGGATTGGACCTTCGACAAAAATCACCGATCTCCAAGGGCGATCTCTGCTCCCTGGGATCAACGATTCGCATCTCCACGCCCTCATCATGGGCGTCACTTCGCCGCCCCAGAGCGTGAACGTGGGATTCCCCTCTGTGAAATCGATCGCTGATATCCGCAGCATTGTCGCCTCAGAAGTCAAGAAGAAGAATCCTGGGGAGTGGATAATCGGCAGCGGGTGGTTTGAGGACAATCTGGAGGAATGCAACGAAAAGAGCGGGACTAAAGGCCGACTGCCACATCGAGACGACATCGATGAAGTGTCTCCAAACAACCCGGTCTTTCTACAGGATTTCTCGTTCCACAGGTCCTGGGTCAACTCCGCGGCGCTGGCCGTCGCAGGCATTAATGACCTCGACATCTCATCTCACGGTGGCAATGTCTTGAAAGACGACAAAGGGAAACTCACGGGCGTGTTCTGCGAAGGCGCCCAGTCACTGGTACAAGGATACCTCCCAGCCGTGAACGAAGACCTCAGAGAGCGCAGCATCAAAGCCGCCGTCTCCCGCATCCAAGCCTTCGGCATCACCAGCCTCACCGACCCAGCCCTCGGACCCGGTGGAGAAAAGATGGGCGGCCGAGCAGCAGGAACCGCTGCCATACACACATATGCCAGGCTCGCACGCTCCGGGACATTAGGAGTCCGAGTGAACGCTCTCTACCTCCCCGCGCCCCAATCTGGCGCCACACCAGAAGAATACGCGCAACATGTCGAAGCGGCCACATTGTCCCCTCCAGACGTCGACCCGCGCCATTTCCGCGTCATCGGCATGAAGGTGTTCGCAGATGGGATCCCGACCGCCCACACGGCCTGGATGCACACTGCGTACACCAACGCGCCCACCTGCGGCTCGCTCTGCATCGGCGGGTCCTCGCACGACCAGCGCGTCGAGAACCTCGACAAGATCATCAAAATCGGGCACGACCTCGGACACCAGCTAGGCATCCACGTCACGGGCGACAAGGCCATCGACGCCGTGGTTGACGCGCTCGTGGCAGCGCAGAAGGCGAACCCGAGGCCGGATCCTAGGCACTACTTGATCCATGGGAACTTGGTGTACGAGCCGACGCTGAAGAAGATGGCGGCGCACGGCATCGGCGTGAACTTCAACCCCGGCATCAAGTGGGAGGTTGCGGATGGCGAGGCGGAGGTCATAGGGGATGAGAGGGCGGAGTACGAGTTCCCGTATGCGTCTGCGTTGCGGGCTGGAGTGAAGGTGATGAGTAGCTCGGATGCGCCTGTCGTACCGCCGGATTGGCGTCAGGGGGTTGCGACGATGATGTTAAGGCAGGGGAGGAGTACGGGGATTGTTAGTGGGAAGGATGAATGTGTTGGGTTGGAGGCAGCGTTGAGGACGTATACGATCAATGGGGCATGGCAGGACTTCGCGGAGAGTTGGAAGGGTTCGTTGGAGGTGGGAAAGGTGGCAGATCTTTGTGTTGTCGGTGCTGATTTGATGGCAGTGAGTCCGCAGGAGATTCCGAATGTGCCTATAGATGTGACTATTCTGGACGGGAAGACTGTATACTCTCGGGTCTAGTTATCTACGTCAACGATACGATTTCTTCTCTTAAACTCATACGTGAATATATAACAATGATAGATTGTGACTCCATTGCTAAATGTATATAATGTATGTACCTAAGTACCCGCAGGTAGTATCAGTGAAGGGAGAATAGCAAAACTTTGACACGGTTCATCACAGTAGTGCCGATATAAATTCAGCTCGCGGAGTTCAGATTTGGACATGTTTGCTTGAAGATGATGGACAGGAGGTATAGAAGAAGCTGCTTTTGCGTGCGTTGAAATAGGTTAGTTTGATAATACCTAAACACTACGCTTGAAATCTGATTCTTTTAGGTTAGCATCTATCTTGAATGTGGGGTTGGAAGGGGTGTGGGGTAATTACTGAGAGCTGGAGATAGAAATGGAGAAAGAGTTGTTTTATTTCAATGGTGGGGCTAGCTTCACGACTTGAAATTTAATCTTTTCCTGTTTGGTAAATTGAATGTCAGTCGGGAAAGTAAAGAGTAATTTGTTGGATATATATGGTTTCAGTTCTTCGTTTATGTACAAAATGCAAGACACAGTTCATTCTATGCCGTTGCCGATGCAGTATCGTTTGTCGAAGTAGCAGACTTATTCTTATAGTACTGCGTGAAGTCATGCCGAATTGCGTGAACCGATTCAGCAACCGATTTACCAAAGACGGGATCGTTTGTAGCCTGTTCGCACATGGCGAAGAACTTCTCCCGATCTTCTTTGTAGTTGTCGTCCCAGAGGCGATGGAAGTTTGCGCGCGACATTGGGTCAATCATGTCTCTCCAGATCTTGATGCGGACCTCGCTGTACTTGTCCAAGATATCTTCGTCCAATTGGTCCTCGTGAATGCCGATGAAGCAATCGTAGAGTGAGCCTACGTCCGCGAATCCGCCAGTCAGGCCCAGACCACCACTGGAGATATCGTTAGCAAAGATCGAGGAGATGGTAGGACTGGGAAGTGACTGACAATGGATTGCACAAGTGGGCTGCATCTGCTACAAGGAGAATTTTGCCCACTCGGAAGCTGGGAGCACATCTTTGTTGTAGCTTGTAAGGGCTCATACTGATGAGCTTGTAGTCGCCTGGCTTAGGGTTGCCTGGTAGGATGGATTCGTACCGCGCTGGTTGACGCTTGACGATCTCCTCGCGCGAAAGGCCGGCGTCGTCACCGTAGGTGACTCTCCACAGTCCGTCGGTAGTGATCTTCGCCGCCATGTACCAATCGGTGGGGTGAACAATGAAATTGGAGTCCCAGTAGCCGAACCGCTCATCAAAGGGAAGATACACCTAAGTGAAATCAGCGCAAAACCTCGGATTTCGCATATGAATCTTTACACACATTAGTAGCCACAATTTGCTTATCGAGCGTCTCTCCTGGATATTCCTTTCCAAAGAGCGCGGTGCGTACTCCGCTGGATGCGCCATCGGCGCCCACGACATAGTCGCCTCCTATTGTCTTCTTGCCTTCCGGTGTCTCGACGACCACTCTAGCCTCTTTCTCGTCCTGCTCGACATCTACGACTTTGTGCGCCCATTTGATTTCGGTGTTCGGAAGACTTTCGAAATGGCGGACAAGGAGCGGACCCAATTGGTCCAAGGGCAGAACAGCCATAGCATACTTGGATATCTCAGGTACGCGACCCATGCCCGCAAGGAAAGTGGTGTCCTGAAGTCGCCAGCAGACGCCTCTGGGAGTGAAACCGGCCTTGCGGACATCGTCAATGATTCCGGCGCGATGGAAGTCATACACAGCAGACGGCGCATAGTGAGCGGCGCGAGGATTATCATTGATCTTTGTGTCCGCGTCGACGATGGTGACTTTGATGCCGGCATTGCGAGCTAGCATGATGCCGAGCAGCAGGCCTGAGGGCCCAGCGCCCGCGATGACGACCTGTTGTTGCTGGAATTAGCTACACTGATAGGAAAGCATTGGAGGACGTTGGCGCATTTCACATACATGATTGATCTTTGGCATGCTTGACTATCTAGTTTGGATATAGACGAGTATACATTCAATGTCTGAAAGAGCGATATCGTTGATCGTTGTTGGTCACATTGGTTTATAGGAGGAGTAAATAGAAGTAACAGGCTGTAGCCAGTAGTTACAACGATGGCAGTAATAATGGCGCGGAAGTGGGGCAGACATGGTGGACGGAATTGGAAGACTGCTCTATGATGGAGAGACAATTTCCGCCACAGCAAGATGCGGGGGAGGGGAAGGGCATGGAGAAGAGAAAGGGACACGGCTGGGGTTGAGGGGAAAAGGGGAAAGATTGGATCATTAATCAGTTGTCGTGGGCGGTGGTTGTGGAGGAAGAGCGGAGATGAGATGAACCGTAGTCGTAGGATTCGTGCTGCAATATGGGTGCCCCACATTCACCCATCAATGTCTTGTCTTGCAGTAGTCAAGTCAGTCGACATCCTCCGCTTGCCGGGTTCCGAGTCATTTCCCTTTTGCAGCCAGGTTGAGGAATTAAGAGGTTCAAATACACGTGGTTTTGATTCACATCAAAGATGAGAAGATGTTGGATCGTTGGAATCGCAGGTAGTAAGAGCATTGAATCCAGACATTGTTAAGACGATGATTGGTCAGACATCGTCCACTTGTATTATCTAAACACGGTTAGAGGCTTCTTCTATTGCATTCCTTATCGATAGGGTTGCCCCTCCATGATCCATACCATCCTCAAGATACCTCCTAAGTCGTAGTTAACTGACCATACGAGGGACAGGCACAGCAAAGAGGAGCAAAAACAGTAATTAGTTTGAACTTAACATTATTGCCTCTGCAGATAATACTTAGATTCTACTAATCTAACATCTTATTACTATATACTGCGTACTCGTATAGGTGTCCCTTGTACGAGTAGGTACCTACCTATCTTGTCAGGTGAGGAAGGGTCTTGAAACGGACGTGCCATTTTGGTTGCTGTCCTCACTGGGCGTGACGTCATATCCATTCCACACCTTTCCATTTTGGGATCGAGTCCTTGCCGTCGGTGGACCCTTAATCAGTCCGTGCGGTATTTCTCATCACGTGCGGCGTACCTCGCATCATTACCGTCCCGTTCCCAATCCTTCACACAACGCACAAACAATCCCATCCACGCCATCCTCAGAAAATACACTCATCACGGCTCATCCCACTTCGAGACCCACTTGAGCGGGCTCTTGTACTAACTCGTATGCTCTCACTTCATCACCAATTCACTGTGATGAAAACCCCATGGTGACGTCGCGTGGGGTACGGGTGGTCCAGTCCGATATCCCGCTTGTGCCTTCGCCTTCCTTCGCTCATGATAGAAAATTTCATCATCCCACTAGGACTGATGCGACAACAAAAAAGGAGTGACCGTACAACTTAGATCAAACATTGGTTTTCGACATGCATGGGATACCTCTCTGCCATAGTGGTCACGGCCACAACATCCATCCTGGCACTGACTGCTATTGCATCGTTCTTGTACCTGAACTCTCGACAGAGATTCACGCTACCGACTATCTTTAGCACCACCGAACCAGCCCAACACGTTCGGACTGACCGGGAGACTGGGGAGCAGAACAGCCGTCATCCCATCCCTCCTTCACATGGCTTGCATCACCTATCAAAACAACGCGTGTACCTATCTATCCACCTTTGTTTGTATTTACTACCAGTGTCTGACGAAGATAAAGCCACTCCTTGAACTGTTGAGATGCTGCCCTATCATGCCTGATAGCTAGCCACCGTGCAGTACGTGCAAACACAGTACCCAAGGGGTTGGCGCCTTAGACAAGCTTTTTCGCCTCAAATCCCTCCCTCCAACCCGGTCGCCGCCCTCAGTGCTCAACAAGAATCTTCCCCTGTTGATCAAAGTTTTTTTTTAACAGCATACGGGATCCTATGCGCGAATCAATCAACGAGTAGTCTTTTGTCTCTTATCAATCAATGATGCGATTGCCGACCAATCCTCACCTGCATTACATTGGAGTGAGGGCAGAAGATCGCTGGCACAATTTGCTGTGACCGCAGACGATGGACAAGTACGCTATCAAACACCATGCATACGAATTCACCTTACCACTGTGTTATCGTAATTCGAACCATTTGATCGTCGCTCGCCATTTTCTCACACCTCTCGGCTCGCCCCGACTATTGGACGCGTATCCATCGCGTACCAGCGGGCCCATATAAAATGGTATCCACCGCGTCCTTTGCTTCCGGATTCCCAGATACAGCTGCTGTGCCCGATTGCGATATTCATGCTGAGTCCCATCGCGTTGCTTGGCTGCAAGCTGCAACGCACTATGAGCAAAAAGCGGACCCTCTCTAACCGTGCATCCAGTGACCATGAGATATCCTTGATTTGATTTCTGTTTTGTCCAGTTCCCGGTGGTTGCTGATGATATTTTAAGCTGCCCTCCAACACCAGACCAGCGGCCAGCCACTGCCGCCATCGCTTCTAGCCTGAACCACGGTTTGGCCGTATCAACTGTGAACTTGCAATTCTGCGACCCTTTTTTGGCCGACTCCCCACCGCATTCGCACCTTTTCTGTCGCCACCCCTTTCTGCATTTTCCCTTATCTCCACTACCGAAAGGACCTTGCGCATTCATAGATCATTCCAGATGCTCTGTCATTAATAGTCAACTGGGTCCTTGAGCCTCCTTGAGATTTTAGCGAGGGTTTTAGGTCGCTCTGCAGATCTGCGACACTGCGTCTAGTCCTTATCGTAAACTTTACCTCAGATATTATCAAACAAGTCTTCTCCCCCCAAGGTATTCTTTTTCCTACTCTTCTTCTCACCAATCCCTCACGATCCGGTCCTATCGACATACATCAGCGTCGTTAGTCTACCAGAAAACTCCTACTCCCTGCCACCGCAGCCAAAGACGAATCCGTCTCAACTTCGTCTTGTCTCAGTCGTATTCTTGGGGACACCGCGAACAGCTGTCTCACCACACGGCTTGTTTCTCGGCTCTCTCGAGCACTTTACAATATGGAGCAAAATGATCAGACTTCGACTCCTCCTGTTCATGCACACAACAACTCGGACGATCTTATGGCCCCGGGTCGAAAACGAGTAGGCTTCACATCCGACTCTACTCCAGATGACGGCCCATCTTCCTCGAGGAATGCACGCAGACATGCTGAAGATAGCCCTGTTCCTGCTCCTGAATCTGGTTCCGGTGGAAACACCACGCCTGTTGCGCTGCAACGTGCTGATGTATCTCACGAGGAGTTGTCTGAAGAGATTCACAAAGCATTCGGGCAGCCATACGTTCCGAAACCCCGGCCTGCAATTCGCAAGGGTGGTCGGACCCCTCCGCGCTTCCAACTCGGCGAGCTCGACATCGAAGAAGACGAGAATGAAGACAAGAGGAGGTCAGGCCTGGAAGCACAGAAGAGGGCTACTAAATTGTCCAAGAGCGTGGGAACCTATTCCTCATCAGCGCCAGGGTCGAGAAGAAACTCCAATGATCGATTAATGGGAACCCCGCCCATCGAATTACGAAATTTGAGGCCTGAACTTCCTGGAAGCGTTAGCACAGATGAAGATGACGACGACGAGGCTGAAATACCTAGAAAAGAGTTTATCAAGCAAGCGGACCAACTTCTCCGACATCATACCACTCGCCGGCAGCATCCTGTTCTCAAACCAGAAGATTTATACCACACTCGCATCCATACTCCTCTCCATTCCGGCCCGAACACGCCCACTCATGAAGTTGAGATTGAAGCTGAGCATGTACCAAAACCCCCTAAGTTCAGAACGGGAGTATTGGGCACGTTGCTGAAGGCATCCGGTGCATCACACTCTCACCAGGGACTCGGGATGCCTAAGGGCCATGCACGGAACGCAAGCGCTGGCAGTTTTACGCTCAGTGGTGCATCTACTGCTGCAAATACTCCGAACCACTCTCCGCCATCATCCGGGGCAGTGACGCCGGACCATCACAAGAGTTCGCGGGCTTGGTATAGCCGTAGTGCAAACACGTCTACTCATTCCATCTCGCAGTTGATTGAGTCTTCCTCAACACTTGCCACTCCAGGGCAAAGGGATCTCGGGTATGAAATCGGAGAAACTTACAAAAAGCAACGTCCCGGCATGGGTAAACGTCATAAATCGAACAATTCTATAATGTCTTCTATCAGCAAGTTTAGTAAAACGAGCCGCGATGAAAAGTATAGGATTACAGTTCATCTTGCAGGCACGCTAGCACGCCAGAACTATTTGCGGAAACTTTGCAAAGCACTGATGATGTTCGGTGCACCGACACACAGATTGGAAGAATACATGAACATGTCTGCGCGGGTGCTTGAGATAGAGGCCCAGTTTCTTTACATGCCCGGCTGCATGATTATTGCTTTCGATGATTCTTCAGTCCACACGTCCGAAGTCAAGCTTGTTCGCACTGCTCAGGGTGTTGATCTCGGCCGGTTGCGCGACGTTCACGAAATCTACAAGGACGTCGTGCATGATCGGATTAACGTTGAAGAGGCTACCACCCGTCTTGAGGCTATAATAGGCCGCGACCCCAAGTTCAAAGCCTGGCTGCGGGTGCCGGTTTATGGCCTAGCTTCGGCAATGGTTGGTCCTTTCGCTTTCCAGGCTCGACCTATCGATATGCCATTTTGTTTCATGCTTGGATGCTTCCTGGGATGGTTGCAACTGATTGTGACTCCCACAAACGAACTCATCTCCAATGTATTCGAAATCGGCGCTGCGGTCATTACGTCTTTCCTTGCGCGAGGCTTGGGAAGTATTCGAGATAGCGAGGGCAAGGAAATCTTTTGCTTCAGTGCCATGGCCCAGTCATCGATCGCATTGATCCTACCAGGTTTCACGGTTCTGTGCGCCTCTCTTGAGCTCCAGTCAAAACACATGGTCGCAGGCTCTGTTCGTATGGTGTATGCCATCATATATTCGCTCTTCCTTGGTTTCGGCATCACCATTGGAACAGTATTGTTTGGACTCATGTACAACGACGCGACTTCCAGGACCGAATGTGTCAACCCTATGAATCCTCGGTGGTATTACCTTTTTGTGGTTGGATTCACCATCTGTCTCACGGTTATCAACCAAGCAAAGTACAAGCAGATGCCAGCAATGCTTTGCATTGCTCTCATTGGGTATGCCGTCAACTACAACTCGTCCCAATACTTCAAGGGCAATGCTCAGGTCAGCAATACTCTTGGTGCTTTGTCCATTGGGGTTGTTGCCAACATTCACGCTCGTTTCGGTCGCCACGTAGAGAACTGGAGCCTGGATTTCTGGGAGAGCAAACTTCGACCGCGCTGGGTCAAGATTCGCAAGTCCTGGCAACGCCGCCGTCACGGACCCATGCCACAGGTCCACGTCTACAACCCAACCGGGCAGGAGGACTACTTCTCTTCACGTGGGCCGATAGCCTCGAATACTTCTGATGCATACATTCCGCGTACCCGAAAAATTGGCTATGGCCTTGCAGCCGCAGCTATGCTTCCCGCCATCTTCGTGCAGGTGCCCTCCGGACTCAGTGTATCTGGCAGTTTAGTCAGTGGCATCATGTCCGCTGATCAAATCACACGCAACACCACTGGTGTTACCACGGTGACGGCGAGCGAGTCCGGTTCATCCGATGTAAATCGTGTTGCGCTCAATGTCGGTTTCAGCGTCATCCAGGTCGCTATTGGCATTACTGTTGGTCTATTCCTGGCCGCTCTTCTCGTCTATCCCCTCGGAAAGAGAAGAAGCGGCTTATTCAGTTTCTAAACTCTCCGTAAAATGGCATAAAAAAGGACTATCTTGTTGTGGTTGAGAGTTTTGGCAGTGCGCTGTTCTCTCTTCCACCTTACTCATCATTTTGTTTTGGCATCGCAAGTGGCGTCTTTGATTTAACCTATCATTACTTTCTGCATTATCTTGGAGTTTGCGACGAAGAACGATATGAGGCGGTTTTCTTTTCCTTCTTTGCTAGCGTTGACATTGCATCCATTCATCGGAAAGCCTTTAAAATACGTTCCATTACTGTAATATTAATACGACCACAACCAATAATCAGACAAAGACTTGAAGATGAATTCCGGCAATTCGACTTCCGCTCTAATGATATTTCCACCAGTAACTTTTTTTCCCATCATGCTGAGAGTGTGCAAGTGGTTGCTATCGTGCTGTCGACCTCAACACGTGCAGTAAATTGTTCTTTGTGCCGTGGTAGATTTGGAAGTTCCTCGCCGACCAGCGACCTCACCATCTCGCGTGGCGTGCGCTACGTCACCGACAACCCAAAACAGAACAAACGACTCCCGTATTAGGAAATCAGTTCGACTTCTCACACACTTTGGGGTTTACTACTAACTACCGAGGACCCTGATCTCTCTCTTTGGGCTGTTATTTGTCTTTGTTTGGAGGTGAGGACAATGAACGAGATGGTTCGCTTGGACTAGTCAATTACAACTGATTACTGCTTTGGGCGGCGATGGAATGGCTTGCGAGATAAATGGAGTGTTAATCTTCATCGACGCCTCGGCCTTGTCAAAGTCTGTTGTTGTCTTATGGACCCGTAGAGCTGACCAACATTCTCAGTAAGACGGTGGAAAGGTTGATGCTAGACTCACAATGAAATCCCAGGCATGATGTATGAGCAGCTTTACTGCATGAGCTGACAGTAATAAGACTGGAAACTTCTGGCCAAAGGTCAAGTGATCTGGGTACTTGATAGCGGTGCTTGTCGGGATCTTGCAATGAGCTTGAGATGTCGTCTTCTAACTTGGACATGCGATACGTCTCAGCATAGTCAATGCAGGACCAGCCGTCTTCATCAAGGTCCATGGAGATGTTAGACTCGCTCTTGAGTTTATGGATTGCATCCAAGCTTGCAATTCGAGCAGCCTTGTGATACGGATGCTTCATTTTCTTCCAAATTGCCGTGTCGAAAGCCCGCTGGACCCACTTCATGTACGTGGTTGAATCATGTGAATCTGCTGAGACCTCTATCATCTTTGGGATAGTTTCAACTAGCGCCTCGTTCATGCTGTTCAATATCTCTGGAATGACAGCAACCATATCTTCTCTTGCCTGATCATATATCTCAGAAATATATCGAATCTGGGTATCTGTATCAACTTGGTTGTGTGTCAGAAAAGCCTGGAGTATCTGGTGATTACTCTCATTGAATGCAACTCATTTATTCTCCCTCTCTCCTTCGTCTTGTTTTACCTCTTCTTTTTTCTTTTCATCTCCCAAATTGTCTTCTGTGTTCGCGTCCAAGTCTTCAATATCAATCGTACGCAGCTGTTCATTGTTCTCAAGGAGATACTTCAATGGCGTCATACCCATCTCATCTACTGCATCAGTTAACGGACTCTTCTCCAAGAACTTGGTTGTAATATCTCTGTGACCATAACTCATGGACAGATGAGTTGCTGTCCGCCCCCAAACGTCCAGTCCAGTTGGCCTGCGCCTACAGTCATCGATGATGGTTCCTATTAACTCAAGATTACCGCTTTTTGTTGCCAGATGAAGTGGGCTCATGCCATCGATTCCCACCATATCGAAAGCATTCTTCTTGTCTTCTATACTGTTCAGGCAATACAGCACCCACTGTGTAATGTAGCGGCTGCTTGACATGGCCGCTATGTGAACAGGACTTCTCCCAAAAGTTCCGATAATCTTGTGTGCAATACTCCACGGAAAAGCAGATCCATGGAACTTCTATTCCAGACCGCATATGCATCACACAGCGCTCAACAGTGGTGAAGAAATTCGATATGATCATACGACTTGGCGAGGAATTGGTCAGTTTGGAGAAGTGGAAAACATATGATCACAACTAATGTCTCTACAGATCAAGAAAGGCTAATTTCTAGTGTAACAGCCGTGATTGATTTCTCACGACAGGTGTGGACGTCTCACACGATCGCACTAGCTACTTCATGTGTATCAAGGTCTCGCTCTTGGCAGTCAGGTGAAGTCCTTCAAGTATATTGAACCGTACAAACTATGACAATTAAGACAGTTCAAAGCTCACGTTGATAGGTCGAGCTGAATATGGAGAATGCCGTTCGAATCCCCTTCTCTCGCTATTTTTGCGACCCGAGGGTCCAGCTGAACTCCAAGATCGGAACCAACACCCTCCGATTCGACACATCGCGCCACAAAACCATCTGCGCCTTCCACTACCCAGAGAAAGCCTCTAGCTCAGTTCACCGAAATAATTAGCGTTGATCGAAATGTGGGGGCGCGGGCGCGGTGTGGAGCAATAACGTGAGTGTAGAGCCCCCACTGCCAAGGTGCCCGCTCGAAAGCGGATGCTTCTCAATTGGGGCGTGTGATGGGTTTGTACGGGTAGAATGTGGTCTAGGGTGCTCAAATAAAGGAATGGCAGAAGGCTGAGGGAGTCCTTTGAGGAAATGGTCTGCTTGAGGCGGCTTGAGGCGGTGTGAGGCTGAGAAGGTGGTGATAGCGGTGGAGGTGCAGCTGGAGAACACTGCCATAGTAGATGTATTTTCAGCATCAAGAGGAGGCAGTAACAGAGGATGCGAGATGTAAATAAGAGCTTCATGAGATCGCGGAATAGCATCTCATCATCCCACACATCAACAATTCAGCAAAGCATCCAGCATTTACTTCAAGTTCACATCTTCATCATCTTTACGCATTATCCAAATTCAACTCCTCAGTCAATACATCATTCAATATGCGCTTCTCTTCCGTCGCAGCAGCTTCGCTTCTGTCTTTGGCTTCGGCAGCCCCGGCAGCTGTTGACAAACGCTGGCAAACACCTGCACCGGCCAATACACTGACACCTTCCACTCTCGCGACCTACTATGGCAAAGACGGCTCCATCGTCGCCCCTGTCACCATTGGCCACGCTTCCCAATACCAAGGCGCCTCAGGAGCAACAACCACTCTTGTAACATTCAATCTGAACAATGCGGCATATACGCCACCAGCTGGTGCTCAGTGCACTTTGAAATTCTTCCTCGATTTGACAGACGGCGCCGCACACATTGGCAAGCCTGGTGATCAGATCGATGTCTTCAGCTCTCTCCAGCCTGCTCCCGCCGCAGGCAGCCCCGGCTGGGGTGGACCCGGCAACCAGAGGAACATCGGTCTTGGACGCTTGCAGCCCGTCATCGGTGGTCTGGCTACAACTGTCCAGAATAATGGAATTGAATCGTTTCCCTGCCCAAAGATTGGTGACAGCAATGTCAAGGGCGGTCTTGTTGGCTTCGAGGTCGTGCCCGTCAACACTGCGAGCGTTGACTGGTCGAACATTGCCAGTGGGTTGTACTTGCAGTGGTAAAGTCTAGGGGTTGCATTCTCACGCTTACTTGCCATTTTTTTTTTTGTAATTCTTGTTCATTGGTTCAGCATAGCCGGCATACTTTTCATTTTTGATATTCAGGCATCTAGCATAGAGTCAAAGACTTCTTTACGCTCCTTCAGGATAATACAAAGATTTCATGATTAATACAATTTTACATCTGGGAATCACAAGTGATCCTCGCAAGACAAGCTTCGTTACGATCATGGTCAGTTTCTTCGCATCCAGCAGCAATTTGATAGAAAAGACTCAATCGATCTTTCGAACGAGAGCCATGCGTTGAATCATCCCAATAAATGTAGGGTATATATGTACGAATCGAAATATCGCTATCGAGAGTCGTTTGTCTTTGCGTGGGAATCCAGCGACTCTTTACACAAGGTTGCTTGAAAACGCCAAGCAGGACTGGCCAATGTCCGCAGGAGACAGCAGAGTGACCCAAACCAGAACAAACGACTCCCGAATGAGGAAATTAGTTCGACTTCTCACACATTTTAGGTTTACGACTAATAACTAAGGACCCTAATATTTCTGTTTAGGCTGTTATTTATCTTTGTTTAGAGGAAAGGACAATGAACAAGATAGTTCGCTTAGACTAGGGTCCTAGTCAATTACAACTGATTACTCCTTTAGGCGGTGATACAAGTGGCCTGGGAAATGAAGGGAGTAGTCATCTCGGCCTTGCGCGGTGTACGATGGGCGCAGAAACTATGGTGATCCTACGAGTATAGTTTTGATCTTACGATTGCACCATTATCGATGACGACAAACAAGCACCAGGCGTGGGGAAGTAAGCTCGCCAAGCCGTCTTACATGGAATTGTCTCCAGCATTCGACCTTCCTATTCAAGCTACAAGCTTCTCCTCAACGGTGATCCTCACCCTGCACGTCGTGCCGATGTTAATATCGCCGTTGCATGTCATGATTTCCTGCCTCGAAATTCGCCATATACTCGCAACTTTTGGTAGGCAATTGATACCATTCAAGATGAAGACAAAACATTCATATATACCAAACAGCCTCTTCGGCAAGGACATTCTATGTGTAGAATATACCATTTCGTCCTTTAGCCGTTGTCAACGTGCACCATGTTAACCACATACCCTGCCCTACCCTACCTTGATGACATAGCTCATGCACCGCGCCTCACAATCAACCAGGTGAACAGATAAATCGATAACCCAATTGTCCAATCAAACCCCCTTGTCTGGTAACAATCACCACGCCTAACTTCCCAATTCACCACCTCATCCATGCAGGAAGCCTCATGGCCGGGCACCTATATGCCTCGCGCATCCGAGTTTGCCTTCTCGTGCATCCAGACGGGTGATACCCCAGGATAAGCAAGACTCGCGTCAATTCTATCTACAGCCATAGAGGTAATTAGGCATGGATGCCTGGACGAAATAATAGAATATAAATACCAACCAAAAACACCAAGCAAGAAACCCCATCGACGCACTCTCACAGCGTCTTCACTCCCCCTCCAATCCCCCCAATCCCTCCCCGCCATAGTGACCGTACCACACTCCACCATGGCACGCACAATCCTCCTCACAGCGCTGCTCTTCAGCGCGACCCTCGCTTTCGCCCGCAAGCCCACTCTGGAAGAACGCCAGATCCCCAAGGATCCCTCTGGCGTAATGACGATCACGTCTCCGCAGGGCGCGAGCATCCGGTTTAAGCAGCCGGGGAAGCAGGGTATCTGCGAGACGAAGGAGGGAGTCGATGATTATGCGGGATACATTAGTCTGGACGAGAAGACGAATATGTTTTTCTGGTTCTTTGAGGCGAGGGAGAATCCTGGGGAGAAGCCGGTTAGTGGGCTTTCTCTTTTCTTGAAAGGGTTGGGATGGTGATATCGGGAATGATGGCTAATGCTCGTGATGTAGTTGACTTTGTGGCTTAATGGTGGGCCTGGGAGTGATAGCTTGATTGGTATGTACATTTCCATTATGTCAAAGATGACCAGATCGTGGATTAACGACATTGATAGGGTTATTTGAAGAACACGGTCCATGCAACGTCTCCGAGGATCTGAAAACGCACTGGAACCCCTATTCCTGGAATGAGGCATCCAACATGTTATATCTCTCCCAACCCGTCGGTGTAGGCTTCTCCTACGAGACTACCGAGACCGACAAGGATGGTCGATACTCGCTCGTTGATCCCGATACCACCAACACGACTGACGCTGCAGCCGTCGGTGCGTGGCATATCTTGCAAGCGTTCTTGGATTTGTCTCCCCAGCTTGATCCCGATATCACGAATTTTACGTTCAATATCTGGACTGAGAGCTATGGAGGTCATTATGGGCCGTCTTTTTACAACTACTTTTACAAGCAGAATGAGGCGATCAAGAATGGGTCAGTTCAGGGAGTTGAGCTTCAGATGGACACGTTGGGCATAATCAATGGTATCATTGATGAAGGTTAGCATTTTCAAGGACAATTGCAACTTCATTCAGTAGCTAAAGAGCCAGTACAGACATTCAAGCACCATATTACCCAGAATTCGCCGTCAACAACACCTACGGCATCAAATCAATCAACGACACAATCTACACATTCATGAAGCAAGCATACTACATGCCCGAAGGCTGCCACGACCAAATCGGCTACTGCAAACAAGTCGACCGATCCACCGAGTACGGCCAATACATCTGCGCCGCGGCCACCAACCTCTGCCGCAGCCTGGTCGAAGAACCCTACTACGCCTTCGGCGGCCGCGGCGTCTACGACATCCGCCTCTCCTACGAAGCCGGCACCAACGACCCCCCAGGCTACTGGCTCGACTTCCTCAACAGCGCCGCCATCCAAGAAATCATCGGCGTCAACATCAACTACACCGCCACCAACGCACGCAACGTGTCCCGCGGGTTCTCCCAGACCGGCGACTTCGTCTTCCCCACATTCATCACCGACATCCAGGAGATCCTCTCCTACGGCGTGCGCGTCGCACTCCTCTACGGCGACGCAGACTACATCTGCAACTGGTTCGGCGGCGAGGCCGTCTCCCTCGCTATCAACTACACTAACTCTGCCGCCTTTAGAGCCGCGGGGTACGCTCCGTTCCTCGTCGACGGGGAGGAGTACGGTGCGGTGAGGGAGTATGGGAATTTCTCGTTCACGAGGATTTATGAGGCAGGGCACGAGGTGCCGTATTATCAGCCCAAGGCGAGCTTGGAGCATTTTAAGAGGGTGCTGGAGAAGAGGGTTATTGCGGATGGGGAGGGGGTTGTTACGGGGGATTATGGGACGAATGGGACGGCTGAGTCGACGCATACAGAGCCATTTGTGCCGTTGCCTTCGCCGACGGCGTCGAGTACGGGCGGTGCTGGGAAGTTGGTTTGAGGAGAGTCGTGTAAGGGGGGTGTATATTGCTTAGTGACGAGCTTATGGATGTTGTATAATGGTAATGATAATTCTGTTGGTACTTTCGAATCTGTGATCAGTGTTCATCCTGTGTGTTTGACTATACCTGCCTTTAATGATTTGATTTCGTGATATGGGGAGTAGATACGGCGGGCACCATTCCATGGAATGAAAACGTCACTCAGTTTGAGGAGAGAATTAGCTTCAGGTTAAATGAGTTTCTTTGTAAGAGGACATATAGACGGATTTCTAGTCGACTTCCTTCTATCGCATATACATTGGTACTTCAGGAGCTATTTTGACTTTTCTTGGAAGACAGGGTTGGGAGACATTAGGCGACTGCCAAATTGGGCCAACGGAGCAGGAACCGCGTTGAATAAGGAATGAAGAATGGGATTGAAAAGGGATGGCCGTAGGCGAGAGAGAGATCATAGCGACGTGGATAGACTTAAGGCAGTGAAAGGTGGAAAGCTGAAAAAGGAGGGGGCAGACTGGCGATTCACATCGATATGAACTGAACTTTAATCACCCCAAACGAACTCCAAAGGCCCAGACTTCTCATCAATTCTAGGCGTGATGATGACTGGGACGTCGAAGTCAGGCTTCGGCATCGCGTTCCAGAGATCTGCCTTCTTCTTCGTCGACATCGTCCACACGCCGTTGACGGGCTTGATGTCGAACTGAAGGACACTCATGGCAGCATATGTTAAGATGACATTGGTGGAGAAGAACCGACCTGGGCACATCGTACTCCCAGCACCAAAGGGCCTAAATACAGACGTGCCAATGTTCTTCGGCTTGACTACGACGTCGCGACGAGCGTCCGTGAAACGAAGGTAGTCGAACTCGTGCGCACTGGGACCCCAGACAGCGTGGTCCTTGTGCACGACTGGCCCGGGGATCATGAGCACTGCGTCCTTCTTAAGATGATATCCGTCCAGGACAGTGTCGTTTATAACCTGCTTTGCAGAGATGACGGACGAGTGGTATCGGAACATCTCTTGGAACGTCGAATACAAGATGGGGCACTCAGTTCGAATGAGACTGACGTCCACCCTACGAGTACCGTCCTCCGACACGGTGACTAGCTTGTCCATGATCTCTTGTCGAATCGCAGCAAGGATGGTCGAGTCGGAGAAGATGTGGAACGTCAGCCAGAAGGCGGAGATGGATCCGCTGCTGAGCACAGCGAGAGCGGTCGCGATTTCCATCTTAGACACCTCATAGAGATTTAGCCCGTAAGCTTTATTCTTGAGGAACATCTTGTGGATTAAGGGCGACGCCTGTCCGTACTCGCCGTTCTCAAAGTATCTCATGAAGGCTTCGGTGACGCGGGTGCGGGCCTGCATCGCCTTTCGTGCTGTGATGTTCGGGAGGAGAGCGAAGAGGAGGGCCTTGATTCCGGGGAGGAATGCACACCAATCTGCCTCTACCTGAGGATCGCGGAAGGGGTTGTGGGGTCCATATAAAGCATCTGTGAGAGCGAGAGTCAACGGACGGCGGATGGAGTCGTACAGGTCGGTATGGCCTTTCGGTGCGTCGAGCATTGAAGGCAGGGTGGACTTCAATGCGATGAGGGCATCCTTCGACACGCTTCCCAAGTAATCACCCGGCTTGAGGTTTTCATGGATGATGTTGGTGAAACCATTGCCCTCTGCGGCGTACGCTTTGATGAGTGTTTCTTGCGAGCTTTTCAGCAGACCACTGAATAGAAAACCGAAGTCTCGCGCCACGGGACCGAAGTTGAGGGCGTTGGCCTGTCGCTGGGCGGCGTGGATCAATGCTGGTGAGGTGATGACATATTGTCTGAGAAAAGGCATTCGCAGTGTGAATATGGGCATCTGACATTGGTTCTTAAGCTCGTGAAGGTAGTTGACCTTCCTAGTCATGAATCCCCATACTGGTTCGAGGAAAGGAATACTGAGAGCAATAGCTGGGGGTTCATTTCGATTCTGTGTGACTCGAAGAAGTGTGAAGAGAAGTAAATAAACGGCAATACAAGCCGGGAGAACGTATATGACAATGGGGTGCATGGTTGATGGTACAAGTGGTAGTAGATCCCTCAACGATTGGTGTGTTGGAGAGCTCAATAGACAAGATTTTCGGGTGCAGGACGAGCTTCAACAGGTATATAATGGTAGATTTGCTTCAACTAGAAGGACCATATACCAAGGAGTTTGTGTAAGCTGCAGCGGATGTTTGTGAACAAACTCGTTTGCCAATCCAGAGTAATTTATGTAAACAGACACTGGTCTAGACAGTGCAGAAATGTCCACTTCACATGCATAAAAGCCCAAAGCTGATGATATTATTCGGTAGTTCTACTGGATCTATAAAGATCTAGGTCTCTGGCAATGCAGTGATAATGCGCCATGGCTGAATGGCTTCCAGGGGAAATGATAGTGAATGTGACTGTGGCCGACATTCTGCGGGACGTCCCCCGCTCCTATACTACCATTGATGCCTTGGTGGACCATTATCAAAGAATTGTATCTAAAATCAACAAAGAGACCAGCAAGCCATCATGGTCGATCCATGCTGCGGATTCGGGTTCACTTCGAAATGACGGGAAGGCGTGGGGATCTAGGTGAATAGTTGAATGCGTGGCTGAGGCACAGTTGCAGTTGATACAGACTAGACAATTATTTTCAAGCTCTGAGATAGCAAGTTGTAAAAGTGAGCCGTTCTGGTGGTTATAGATTGCAGGGAGACCAGAAGGTCATTGAGAAACCGGCCAATAATTATATGTGATGCTCAATCGTGATCGAATCTAGTTGAGATGTCATTTTCAATCACATACAAGGAGCAGAGAAAAGAATATCACGATTGAACCATAATATTCACAAAATGAGAAAATGATGAAGTAGATGACTTCCCACAGAGGGCGACTACCAATCTGGGTCTGGACGAAGGATCGGGAGGTGCTGCAAGGATACTATGATCGTGGTATGCATGCCGACTCCCCAAACGCAGATCTTAGCGTGCGAGCCGGACATAATTTCATTGTATGGGAGTTTTTGGCTTTGGAGATTGGTCAATTGGTGCGGTGAACGGTGGACATAGAACAAAGAAACTCGAAAATCGAAGTCCCGCAGTCTAACCAAAAGAACTGCAGAAGAAAAGTGTAGTCAAGCCAAGATTCCGTTGATTGGTTTAAGCTGAGTAACAACCGAGTTCATATTCTAGCCTGTGATGTCAGCAATGGAAGTGGTTGTATTTTTCCATGATTGTTATCGAAGACTTGTGTCTAGACACTTCGGCTTCGACTTGAGGTTGAGCCGAGGGTGTCACTGTTTCGTAGTCTATCGTACTCTGCCAGACATCCAATCAAGTGCCAGATTCTCGATAGGCCCTCGATAGCAACGTCGTAAGGTAACACCTGAATCACGCAATCTGCATCGCAAGAAGTCAAAAGTGACTTCAACTCTACAACATGTTCACCAAAGAACAAACACGTCAGTCGAAACTTCGTTACAAGTATTCTGATCCTTATCGCATCCACACTTGGCAATTATACATATGATGGCACAGCCGCCAGCCAAGTCAGTGGCCGTAATTGGAGCGGGCGCAGCGGGTACTGTAACGAATAATCAAAGTCATGCGTCAATTTCTCATCTTTGATAGGCGCTGTCACCGCAGCAGCTTTATTGTCTGAAGCTGCATTCGAGATTATACGCGTTTTTGAGCGACGGGAAACTCCAGGAGGCACATGGTAAACCTTTGCTTTTTCAAGCCACAACTTGGAGAGAAAACACTTACAGGCCTAGGATCTATGACCCAGATCCTGGCGAGAATGTGACTCTAAAGCCGGGCAAGTTACCATTGGAAATAGACCCGCCATTGCAGCTACCTTCACACCTGCCCGTAGACACGCCTCCAACGACTCAACATCGATGGAGCAAGACACCAATCTATTCTGAGCTAACGTAGGTTACCTCTTGATCGAGTTTGCCAAAGTAGACGTGATTTAATGAAAGCCTAGAACAAATGTCCCTGACATCGCCATGTCCTTTTCAGACGATCGCTTCGCTTATGGGCCGTTCGTACCACATTGGGTGGCCAAGCAGTATATTCAAGATTACTTTGCCCGCCACCAGACTGATAAGCTGCTGTCATTGGAGACTACTGTAGAGGATGTCTCCAAGATCTTTTCCAAGCAAAACGGCTCCCGGGAAAGATGGCGTTTGACGCTGCGGCGGTTCGACGCAGTCAGACATGTTGATGTTTGGTGGCAGGAGGACTTTGACGCCGTAATCATTGCAAACGGTCATTACTCTGTCCCATATGTACGTGTTAAACAGATCCTTCCGAATGATGGAAAATAATTAACAGAAAGCTGTTCAGATACCAGAAGTTAAAGGACTCGAAGATTTCCTTGCAGCATTTCCTGATCGCGTTTCGCATTCAAAATCTTATCGAGTGAGCTCTTTATACGCCAATAAACGAGTCGTCGTAGTTGGGAATTCAGCATCTGGTCACGATATCACTACACAACTAGTCCAATCAGGCCTCACCCAAGCGCCGGTATATCAATCACGACGCTCTCGATCTCGCTGGGATGGTGATCATCCGCCTAACGGTGTCGAGTGGAAACCTACTATTGTCGAGTATCGCACGTCTACAAACGAGATCGTCTTTGATGACGGTACAGTGCTCAACGATGTTGATGCTGTCATCTACTGTACAGGCTATAAGCCCTCGTTCCCATTCTGGAATTCAAAAGCCAATGGCGGGCCCATCTTCGACTATCGCGAGAACCGGATCCTGGGATCTTATCAGCATACGTTTTTGCAGAAATACCCCTACAGCATCGCTATCGTCGGACTCCCTCGCGTATTGACTTTCCGCTCTTTCGAGTATCAAGCAGTTGCTATCGCTCGTCTCTTTTCAGGCCGATCCTCAAAACCACTTCCATCCATTTCGGAGATGCGCGAGTGGGAAAAGGATCGCGCCGGCCTTGTAAAGAGGGAAAGGCGAAAGTTCCACGACATTCAATGGGAAAACGGCGAAACTATGGAATGGTTAAGTTTCCTGTACGAATTGGCGGGGCTGCCTAAACTTGAAGGCGAAGGACGATACCCGCCAGTTTTGGACGAGAAAACGAGATGGGCTATCAAACATGTTAGAAAGTATCCAGAGCCTGGGAATAAAGAGAGTGAAGACAATGAAGGGTGGGTTCTGGTTAACAAAGAGGAAACCCGCAAGGATATTCTGCATTTCATCTAGGATTTAGACCATGGAGCGACATTTGAAGATGTTCAAGCTTTATAACACATGCAAAGAAGGAGTTGATAGCCTAGCCATTCTGAGGATCGACTACAATATAGCCATTTTTATTATCCAGGTACACCTTCGTGATGTTTCAGATGCCGTCGCACCTGAAACCGCCCTAGCATCATCACTGCTTGGCACGAAGCACCATCGCGAAAACAACGTCGACAGGAGCAACAACATAATTTCTCCTTCAAAATCCAATTCATCATGGCTTTGGGGCATAGACTCGTGGTGGCCGCTACTTCGGCGCTGATACTCGTTATACTTGCATTGACCCTCATTGCATCGTTGGAGATCCGCGCGCCTTTGAAGAAAATCAAGCAAATCGCAATAGCGCAGGAGGCAAAACTAGGGCAATGGGAGAACGAACTCAAAGCAAAAGGACTCGTGAACGGTACAGGATTCGATCGCGCGGACGTTATTAGTGGAACGATGACAGTTTCTCCGGGGATGCCTACGACCTTGTACATTTCAGTAACTGGAAGACCGACAACGACATCAGCGACAGACGGCCAGGGCATGATCGGAGAGACACCAACGCCAGCACCACAACCAACTTATACAAGCGTAGACGAAGGGATGATAGGGACCGAACCAACGCGCCAACCTCAACCATCGCCACCACCTCCGCCGGCACCAGCACCCAACCCGCAGGTCCCAATCCTGGCACTTTCGTACGCTGGATCAGGAGGACCAAAACACTGTCGCGGCGACCTTCTCCAAAAGCTCACGATTCCTCAACCCGCCTCCGACTGGAAAAACGGAACATGCATCGATCTTCCACGAATGGCACGTTGCGGTGTATTCTACGCAGGAAAAGAGGCTGGCTGCGAAGCGCAACTGTTCAATTCACCGGCCTGCTACAAGACCAACGAGACGTTCGTCAACACGGTGATCTTTATGCCTGAAGAGAGAACCGTTGGCGCTTACTGGCGTAGCATGTGGATTCGATGTGGGGTGGAAGCACCAGAGGCCAAACTGCTCGATCCGAGTATTTTGAATGGGCTACTGAAGAAACCTGGGAATGGGTGAAGCGATGGCTGGTCCACGATGTCCACACGATAATGATTTATTTATGAAACAGTTGGAATGCGCTGGCTCTTCCGACACAGCCCCGAGGGGATGAGACTTCGTCCCTGAAGATCGATTGAGCTGAGCATCAGCTTTATCAGCTCTGTCTACGAAGGTTTCTCCACCAGTCACATTCTGCTGTGGGCAGAACTCGAGAATAAGATCATGGCTTAATTACAGCACATGGTATGGGGGTTCGCATGGAGCTAATCGCAATGAATGGAAGGAGATACTGTACCAGGCTGACTCATCTCCAAACCATGGCTCCATTCACGATTGTATTGGCAGACACCGACAAAGAGCAACAGCGATGCGATCGGGGTGGGGGCAGGACTTTGGCTAGAAACAACAATTTGGTGGGAGATGGTGCAATGAATACGGAAGGCTCGATTGCATGCTACTATTGCAACTCACAATATCTAGGGGCCTCGCTCACACCTGAACCGAGTTGTGACTCGATGACATCGTAGTGTTGTTGAGGTGTCGTGTTCTGTTATGTCTGCTTCCGTACGAACGGTGCGGGACGAGGTTTTCCAATACTACCAATGAGGCCCTGTGTCTGCAAGTCATAGTACATCCACACTTCGGTCCTGTTGAATGATATCACTTTGTTAAAATTTATCATAGCCATGGAATCTCACGGTTGTTAGGAAACGATGCAGATGAGGGAAAGAGCAATATAATTCGCAAGCTTGTTCCAGACCACCGTTGATCATGTGGTAATGCTGCAATGAAATACAAAAGAGCAGAGAAAATCGAAATACTGACATGAAGCTCCACAATGACATCCCATGATTACGACAATTAGGATTGCCTGAAGATTGGCTTCGAGACGTTGAAGATGCACCTCTCTGTCATGTGTGTATGAGCCGTGAGCCTATGCCTAGACAACCTTGACTCACAACAATGAGCACATAACACGAGTGCTTTGCACTCCAAACGCCCGTGGTCTTCTTGTCCGCAACGAATGCAAAAGATGAATCTGTCCGACAAAGGTGTTAATGATATAGCCAGCCGCCCCAAGTCTGCGACGTGTTGGAGGACCTCTTTTATTGTTCGTGGTCCCACCTCTCGTGGACCGGTCGGCCGCTTTAGTACCCATTCCGGGACGTTGTGTCGTATACTGTAGTGCATGTGATAATGCTCAAACCTTCGAGCTTCCTCTGATCTATAATCCCAATACAGTTCGTCTCGGAGGGACATGAGAACAGCAACGAACATGATGTTCGCGATGTCGTTTCCAGCTTGGTGAAGGTCCACTGGATCAATTAAAAAGTACTGAGCCAACTCCTTCAAGCTGATTTTTGGCCCTTTTGTACCCATAATTCCCATTTCACTGGCCATTTGTTGCGTGTCGATGATCTTGACAACGCTCCCAAACTGCATTATGTCAACACCGAGATCCTCCTTGATCTTTACAAAATCGCCAGAAGTATCGTGTCCAATAAAGATGATCGGCCTCAGCGTACCACGTTCTCCCTTTTGTGTGAAGGCTTTGTACAGAGCTTGGCGAGTCTCTTCGGTCGTGAGGAAGACAGTTTTGCCGTAGTGGAAGCGCTCGGGATCACCCGCCCCAGGAAAACTGTTGACGAGATGTGCATATTCGGTAATGCGTATATGGTGGGTGCCGATATTTTTGAGAATGAATTCTGCGTGGAAGCCGGGATAACGCATTATGCTGTGAGGGTAGAGGGAAGATATACCAACTTCCGTTGTTGGGTGCGGGTCATGCTCCCACCACTCAGTGTCGATGCCGACGAAAATGGCTTCATCAAGAACTTTTTTTGGATACGGATGAAACTTGAAACCGAAGAAGTGGCGCAGGATGTCTCTGCCAGATCGGCCCTCCAGGAAATTGGCGAGGTTGACAAGTTCGGGAGCAACATACGGCTGCCCTGGAGCAGTGGTACTGGCGGTAGTGTTGCTCCCTTGAAATGTCCCCGGCATGTTTGCGACCTCCTGCTCCTTCTCGAGCTATTTAAATGCCAAAATAAATGGTTCGAGAGGAGCGGAAACACAACCTTCACGAGCACCCGGAAAGTTGTGAGGACTCACTTGTATGGGTGATTGTAATTTCCTTTTCGACCTTGTGGTGTGGAAGCCTGTCCCTATATGGTGATCAAGCATTGGGAATAAGTGAGAATGATTCATGATAGCGTTCGTGCTGAACAAAGTGTCGCTATCGTAGTGGTAAACAAGTGAAAGTGTGTTCGTGCATGGTCCAGGCAGCAAAGCCAAAAGTGAAACCAGTTTCCACGCAACACAACACAACACAAAACAAATCAAAACAAAAACAACAGCAAAATTCGCGATTATGGCTGACAAAAGTCAAGGTGAGTGTTTATGATTAGTCCCTTGGAAGTTTAATTCTAGACGCAGGTGGTCGACCGCTGGACAAGCAATAGATGTTATAGATGACTGGCAATCTAAGCGGAAGTGCTGCGAGGCACTTGATCGGCATGTTTCTGGGGAATCTACCATCCGTTCGGGCTGGAACCCAGTGGACAGCAATACGCGGGATCGTCGTTGGCACGCCGCCAGAGCGAATGCTACCTGCAGGAAGTTAGCATAGCAGTGAGGATTTTGTAGCCCTACACAACTTATAATCGATTGTCGAATAAAATTAAGACGAAGAAAACAGCTATGAGTGGAGCCATATCTAATGCTACAAGGATTCCTGGAATGGCAATGTGTATAGGAAATAATGTGGTGGAGGATGACATGTCTGCGGTTCTATAGTCTATACCCTCTTCGATGGATATTTGGTCACGATTCCATGACTATGGTTCTAGTCTTTGAAGTCTAGATTTGCGTCAGATGTACTCATGATTTTGCTGGCAAAGTCCTGTCCCTCAAATTTCCCGCATGTACGATGCGGTGGTGAGACTCACTTCTTAATCTTTTCCCAAGTCTTGGGTTCGAATAGACCAATACTGTTCTCTGTTTCACTGCAGATTTGTGGAGAAAATTGTCAACTAGCCCCATAAAGTCACCTTGCATAAGACCTTGAATTTTGAGATCAACATTACATGTTGCCGAGAAATGAACCTGGGCATTGCCTATTTGTAGTTTTTAAATCATATCCCAAGGCTCAGGTTGCTTACCCAAGACCTTCATTCTCATCGCAGCGCTCCAATCGAATCAATGTTACACGGTTTAAACAAGGCTGTCAGCATCAGCACATTCGACGTCATTGTCTTGACTGAAGGCCTAAAAGTTATCTATTTAAATAGGCCGTCTTCAGCAATTGGAGATTGGGGATACTTCAACATTGATCTAAATAACCTTGATGATTTTTCATTAAATTAATCTTTGAGATGTTTTCAGTCACGAATGTCTTGTTCGCAATAGGAATTTTGGTAAGTTACGTCCATTGCGCATTTTTTCCATAGCTAACTTGGCCAGCTTCTGCTGCACTGGATATGGAATATTGTTCATCGACTCTTAATCTCCCCACTAAAGTCTATCCCAGGACCCTGGATCTACGCCGTGACTAGTATCCCTCACGATATCGCGTGCATCAAAGGCATCCGCCATAAGGTTCTAGAAGAACTCCACGAGAAGTACGGCCCAGTTGTTCGCATCTCCCCCACCGAGGTCTCCTTCATCAACGATGCGGTTTGGAAAGATGTTTGGGGGTTTCGCAAAAATGACGCGGAGTGCCCAAAGAGCGATCTCATGGAACGTGTCAATGGCTTTACCGGAATTCTGGATGCCGGTCGCCTTGACCATCGAAGATTTCGCCGCTTGCTCTCGCACGCGTTTTCGGAACAGAGTCTCCGTGGACAGGAGAAACGAGTGCATCAACATGTCGATCTGCTAGTACAAGGACTTCGGAATACCTCTCAGAAAGGTCCCTTAGACATTACATTGTGGATGCATTGGACCACTTTCGATATCATGGGTGATCTTGCTTTTGGCCAGTCCTTCAAGAGTCTTGAGGCAATGAAGACCCATCCTTGGCAACAGTTCCTTGCCGACTATATCGCTGCTGCTGTATGGAGTGGTATAGCAGAACGGTGGGGGCTAGCGAAACTCATTGCTGTCGTTACGCCAGCGTCATTGCGTCAAGCTGTGCAGGACTTTTATGAATTGTCCTCGCAGATGATCGAGAAACGAATTGTATTCGGAAAGGAGAGAGGCGATTTCTTCGATCATATACTGAAGCACGAGGTGCTCAGCGATGATACTAAGATGCAAGGTGAATTGAAAGGTTTAAGGCATGGTGAACTGAAGAGCATCGCATCAGACCTCGCGGTAGCAGGCTCGGAAACCACTGCAACGTTGCTGTCCGGCCTTTGGTATTTCTTGTCCCTGAATCCACCTGTCCTAGCCAAGCTGGTTGCAGAGATCCGCACTTTTGAGTCGGAGGACGACATCAACTTCGCGAATATCGCTAAGCTTGAGTATCTTAACGCTGTGATTGATGAAGCTCTTCGGTGCTTCGTTCCTTCGCCAATTCCTTCCGGTCGAAATATCCCTACGGGCGGTGTCACTGTCGGTGAAGTTTATCTACCAGAAGGCACAACGGCGTTCGTATCTCATCACATCGCGTACACGTCTCCAATGCATTTTGCAAGACCTAAAGAATTTATTCCCGACAGATGGATTGAGGGGAAGCCGAAAGAATTCCAACATGACAATGAGAGTGGTAAGTCCATCTCTTCATCCGCCTGCTTTGGAAGTGAATTGAATGTCTGCTAATGCTGATGCTAGGAGTCTACCGACCCTTTGCATACGGACCGCGCAATTGTATCGGTACTCATCTCGCTAGGGCAGAAATGAGGCTCATTATTTCTAAGGTCCTATGGCATTTTGATCTCGAACGTCCAGATCCATCAACAGAGAAGGGGCATGATTGGGAGAGCTGGATGGATCGGGCTCGAGTTTACTTTCTTTGGCACAAACCTCCTCTCATGGTTAACCTAACACCAAGGCTAAGGTAATCCAGTAAAAGCCTGGAGCTAGTTGATTGAATCAAAGCAATTGCCTTACTGATATCGTATACTTCAATCTGATCTAATGAGCAAAAATTCATTCGTAGTGAAAGAGACGCTGCCTTATTTCTGCCTCCGATGAACGAGTGCTCTTCCAACTTGGTACATGGATCACCAAACCTAAAACGGATGCTTTTTCCACACCATGTGCACCAATAGCATTGCAACAACGGCATACATCGAATTTGAGATTTGCATGTTCTGAGTCAATTAGGCCCTTTTGACGCAATAGCGCGCCGTCATGTTGGGGGACTTTGTTGGGATGCGACAGGATTTTGCACTACCAAACTCGGTTCAACCCGTATTTTGTATCTAAGACTGACGATGCCCAAATGCTTCACAACCAGAGCAACAAGTGAACTCTTAGGACAAAATTCACTGCTCCATGACAATAATGATCCTTTTTTCCAGCGTTTTACTTTTGTTTCTTGACGCTGCCTTTTTGCAATTTTAGATGGTGAAGTCGGCTTGGCGATAGTCACAATTTCGTCATTCCTTGCCTCGTGTCCCGTGCTTGTGCCTGACTACCAAAAAGATGGGGAAAATTTCAGAATGCCATGTTACGATCTATGGCAATCATCGATATGGCCAACAAATGCGACGTCAGCCTAAATTGATTCTGTTTCTGTCGAAGGGCCCGTTCCATTTCACTTTATAAGGCCCATGCATTCACGCTCCTTCACCACCCTAAACTTCCTGCACTTTGACTTTAGCATCTTCCCGCCGCTGCTCTAGTGCACCTTCTATAGAGCTCCACGTCTGGAACGTTATTTCAACATGAGCTACCACGGTGCCATTGGCAACGCAAGCAGCACCGATACTGTGCAAGAGACTGAAGGCGAACACCATCCAGAATTCTCTGTTGCTGGCCCGGAAGCCTCAGGACACGATAACGTCGATGGAGGTAAAGCCAACGGAGACAAACCAGGATACTCTCTTGCTGGTCCAGATGCAGAAGAGAAAGAGGAAGATTACGATAGCTATGATTCCGATGAAGGGTTTGGCACATACGGTCGTCGTCCCAGTGTGAAGTATGGTCTTTCGAGGACATTACCGAAATCCAAGAAGGGACAGCGCTGGGGCAAGTCGAGCAGGAAACGACGAATTCAAAAGTTCGGCCATAAGGGAGAAGGGGCATCGTCAAAGACCAATGACGGCGGGGTAGGCCCAACTAAAGAAATGATACTTATTTCCACTAACAACCGAGTAGACAGATGAAGAACGACTGAATCGAACAAACACTTCCGGAAATGACGAAAACGAGGAAAACGAGGACGATACAGAGCCTAACTTTTGGTTCGGGATTCGACGAAAGATACGCGAGCCACTGGCCGAGTAAGTTGTCAATGTACTTATCTCACTTCGAAGATTAATAATTTCAGGTGGTTAGCGACCATGGTCCTGGAGCTCATGGGCGTTTCAGCAAACCTTCAGTACATGACTTCTGAGGGTGAGTACGGTGGATTTGCCCAAATGGCAGCCATGTGGGGTCTAGCATATATGATGGCTATTCACATCGCGGGAGGAATATCTGGTGCTCACTGTAAGAATCTGCTGCTAAGTGGTCCGCGTTTGGATATCTCACTTACACATTTGATAGGTAGCCCCGTCGTCTCGATCAACTTCTTCGTCTTCAGAGGCTTTCCCGCTCGTAAAACCATCATCTACATACTGGCGCAAATCTTTGGAGCGTTCTGTGGCATCCTGATTGCATTCGGCATCTACAAAGACGCTATCCAGAGTTACGATCCGGGAAGGACTTTGACATCTGGAAAAGCTATCTTTACTTTACCGAACGATTTTACCAAAGGATCGACGGCCTTTTTCACCGACTTTACTTCGGCGGCTGTCATGAGTGGCAGTGTACTAGCTATGGGTGATAGTTACAATGCACCTCCAGCTGCTGGTATGCATGCGTTCATCATGGGTCTAGTAGGGACGGCCGTTACAGGCTGCCTTGGATACAATACTGGCCCTCAGGTCAATCCCGCCAAGGACATTGCTTCTCGGGTTGTCGCATCCATTGTCGGTTATGGGCCAGAGATGTGGCAGGGTGGCTGGTGGGCTAAAGCGTGGATTGCTGCCATCTGTGGTGGTCTTTTCGGATGTCTGTTATACGATGTCGCCATTTACGAAGGTCCAGAGTCCCCCGTCAACTATCCAAAGCATAAGGTTAGGAAATCAGCGATGGGCAATAAGGCCAAAATACTGGAGACGGGTATCCTTGGAAGGAAGAAGAGACTGCAGGCGAAAGAAGACCTAGAGAACGGCCTCGTTGGTATCAACAGTAGACGAGCTGGACACGGTCTCAGTGGTCACCCGAAGTGATGAAATGCATTGAACGGTACATCTCCATTATGAAGAGCATGCTTAAGCAAACGAGTTGGATGGAAAATTAATCAACGATGCATAGAACGAGCTTTAGAGGTCAACAAATGACGTCAACATCGCCCATGAAGAGGTACCATGGGTGTGAATGTTCATCATCATGCAGATAAACAATGGCAATGCCAAAATTATGCGAGAACACTGCAATTGAGCATGACGAACTTATAAACGATAATAGTTATATTGTGATGGTCTTAAGCAGAATTGTCACAGGTGTTGACATAAGCCCTGGAGACGCGCATGAACATGACTAAGCCCAAAGCGTCATCATACGAAATCAACTCCACCATTGCGAGGCAGCCCGTCGCAAGGCTTTCTAACAGTCGAACCATGATAATCCTCTTTTCGCAAAAGCTAGTCACGCCTCAGATGAGGCACGGCTGAGTCTTTCAATTATTTTCTGTTCCATCCCTTCGCCGTTCTTTCAGTTGAAGGTTGCGGTCCCCCCAGCTCCGACCACCGTCGTCATGATTGGTACCTCTCTCCCGGAGCTCGTCTTCATCCGCATCTGCATACTCGCGCTGCGCGTCATAACGCCTCTCTCGATATTTTACCTCTCCTTCTGCATTGCGGATCCGCCTTCCTCCGTCGCCGGAAAGTTTCTTCTTGCATACTGTGCCTTCGAAGCTGCATTTTGGCTTCTGGTGTTCATACCCCGCAAGCGCTCCTTGCAGTCCGCCGCTGTCCATCCTCCAACGCTTCCGTACGAAGAGCGCAAAGCATTGTTTTGGAAATGCTGGGACAAGATACCCAACCCTGATTACTTCTTGAGCAAGTGGTTCCTCGGAGCGCGACCACACGAGATCGGAAGGGAGAATGTGAAGGACTTCTACCGGTGGGCCCTACTCAACAAGGGAGACGAAGGGAGACATGTCGTGAAGGCAGAGGAGGTTGAAAGAAGGGTCGAAGAAGAGCAGGAGCTTGAGGAATACGTGGATGGTATTGAAACCTTGACAGGGCAGAAAATTGAGCCCGGTCGTGGACCAGCCAAATCCCTAAGACTGACGATCGACGACGTAAAGATGTTGCATCGGCCCTTGCTATGGTACATGGTATGTTCGTCGGCTGTGACATCGAGGCAATGGCAAAATGTTAACATATCGCAGGTCATTGGATTAGTTGATTCCCTTACAGCGGCATATCTCTTCTACAACAAGTTCCAACTTTATGGGGTTTCCTTGCGCCGTACATTCTCGATTTTTCCCTTCCGCCTTGCAAATCTTTGTACGCGTAAGGGATCCGCTTCCCCTGACCTGAGCTACTGGTACCGTCCTCACACATCCCAAACTCGACTTCCTGTCCTCTTTATACATGGCATCAGTATAGGATTATATTCCTATGCACAGTTCTTGACCGAGATCACCAAACACGATCCGAAGGGACCCGAGGATGGCGAAATTGGCATTATTGCGATAGAGGCAATGCCGATTAGCTTCAGAATCACAGAACCCATACTAGATAGGGACCAGTTTTGCCGACAGATTTTGCAAATACTGAATACACATAGCTGGGACAAGGTCGTTCTAGCAAGCCACTCGTATGGCTCTGTCATCACTACGCATCTACTCCAAAACCCAGACACAAGAAGTAGGATTGGACCAAGTTTGTTTGTGGACCCAGTAACATTCCTTTTACATCTTCCAGATGTCGCCTACAATTTCACCGCGCGAAAGCCAAAGCGTGCCAACGAACGTCAGCTTCATTATTTTGCTTGTACGGATATGATGGTTTCACATGCGTTAGCGAGGCACTTTTTCTGGGCGCAGAACATTCTTTGGGAAGAAGATGTTAGAGGTCGTGATGTCACAGTCTCTCTAGGCGGAAGAGATCTGATTGTCGATACTGAAACCGTGGGTAAATACATTGCTGGAATAGATATGAAGTCAGAGGACTCGAGCTGGAAGGAGAGGGCCTGGACAGGAAACGGCCTCGAAACACTTTGGTTTCCTACCTGCGATCACGCACAAGTGTTCGAGAGGGCCGAGGGTAGGAGAAGGTTAGGAGATGTGCTGAGAAAGTATTCCGAGCAAAAAATCGATGAAGAGGAAGAAGACTTTCCATGAGCCCGGCCGATTGATGGCCGTAAATCCAAAGAATTCAGATGAAGTACTTAATATTCTTGTCCGTAAATAATGAGTCGCCATAATTGCTTTCAGATCTCTTGATGAATGTCCCGCATCGTGGGGTTCCGGGCCGGGCCTTTGACATGAAGCTTTCCGGGTGACAGTCCAAATCCGGCATCCCCACTCTCCCGATGCGTCAACTCTTATTAAAAGCATCCCCCGGATTTCCAGTTAACGCTACTTAATACTCCGTACAGCACAGCGCTATTTTTGTCTAACATTTTCACCATTGGAGAATTCATAAAAGATGCCTGACGGAAATTGGATCCTTGGTGACTTATTCAAGAAAGACTATGGACATGCAGGCAGTATAGAAAAGCTATGGGAGATGAGATGGAAGTTTCCCTGCACTAAAGGTGTATATCCGTTCCATGATGGGAAATATGAGGATTTTGAACCTATGTATGTTCTTTAATCTTACGATGAAGGGCGAGACTAAAACAACCAACAGCTTCGATCATTTGATGATCCACAACATCAATGACCCATACTCGGACGACTATACAAATGCATTTCTACCTACAGCAGATGGACTTGTCAAAGAGGCAGAATCAATCATACATAAAGACAAAGCGACTGCGCGGCAACTGTATCTTAATGCCAACGCCGTGTATCGACTAGCACGTTTTCCGTACATTGGAACCGAACTGAAAAAGCAAGTCTTTGAAAAACAGAAGGAAGCCTATCTCAAAGGCAGTCAGCTATGGGATATTCCTGTCACCGAGATCGTCGTACCTCACAAGTATGCCGCCAATGGCGACGGTACAGAGATACCGCTCTATATTCGCAAGCCTACCGGCAACGGTCCCTTCCCGACCATTTTGTTGATCACTGGTCTCGATGGTCATCGGCCAGATAACACAGAAAGAACAGAAGAGCATTTGAAGCGGGGGTGGGCAACAGTAATTTGCGACATTCCAGGAACCACCGTTGATTGCCCAGCCAACAAAAGAGATCCCCTCTCTCCTGACCGACTGTTCTCCACGATTCTAGACTGGATCTCCACAGAGCCATCGCTTGACGAAACAAAGATCATTGCCTGGGGTTTGAGCGCAGGTGGATACTACGCAATCCGCCTGGCACATACCCATCGCAACAACCTGATCGGCTCGGTGGGACACGGCGCCGGTACTCATCATTACGTTGGCAGAGAATGGCTTTCTCAGATTGCAAAGCACGAATATCCCTTCGGCCTGGAACGCGCCTATGTGACAAAATACGGCTTTAACGATTTCGAGGAGATGATGGAGAAGTGCCAGGATGAATTTTCGCTCGTTTCAGGAAAGGGAGATGGTGTCGCCGTGGTTGGGAATGGCACGAAGTCCTGTCGGCTTCTACTGATAAACGGAGTCCTTGATGGTTGTATGCCTATCGAGGACTCGATGCTACTTGCAGAGTACGGGAGTCCGAAGGAAATGCGATTCATGCAGCAAAGATTGCATATGGGGTATCCGGAGGCGAACTCTGTCGTGTATCCTTGGATGGAGGAAGTCATGGCATCGAAACAGGGTAAGGTGGCTATGACCAACGGGCATGGTCATTCAGCCCATAAATCATAGTCAGCAACTGTCGAGAAGTGGTAAAAAATATCTATGACCAAGTCAACAGGGTTTAAAATATTTGTGCAGGGTGATTGATATATTCTTGAATTTCCACCGTTTACAGAGTGATTCTCCACTTGAGCTATCGCCAACAAACAAATACCTTGCAGATGTAAAATTCCAGTGAGAGGTTTCCTGAAAGCGTAATAAGATACAAAAGCAAGGTGATTACCTCTCAGAACTCTTTCCTGAAATCAAGATACCGTGTTGGAGTGACGAAGGGTCTTCCGGTGAATGGCGGAGGTTGCTGAATGAAGCAACCAATGCAGCGACGCTGGAAACTAGTCATCGTGGGGGTTATTGCCATTAAGAAAGCATAAAATGATGTAAAAGTCCAGTATATAATACAGAATGATCATAAGGAACACCATCGTGTGAATCTGACTACGGAAATTATGTCTGACCTTGGGCTCTACGAGTTTCTGCCATAGAACTTCAGCTACGCACAAATTGACCATAATGACTATCTCACTTAAGGCCGGGTTATCTGGCCGTGATAGTGAGTAGGCGATATCAGTGAGTGACCGTGCCGGAGAACCCATATCGAATCGGGCAACTTCCGGCATAAGTTGCAGAATGGCCCAGCATACCATATCTGACAGCGAGGAAATTCGATTTGCATCAAGAATGCGCTGCAAAGAGCCACTTTCTATATGCAATTTCTGCAGGATTTTCGTGAGTACCAGGAGCATTGCCTTGATACAGTATCCAGAAACCCAGCTAACAGAGTTGAACCATGCCACCCAGCCTATTACTTCAACGTAATAAGGAACATTTTGCTCGGTAAAATCTCTTAGCAATCCTAGGATGACTGCAGAGAAGCCATAAAGAAATTGGAGGCATTGCATGACAAAACGTCCAAGCAACAGCAGACCCTCTGCACAGAGTCTCAGGCTTTGCTCGGCAAAAAGTTGCAGAACCTCTCCTGGCAATTCCAGAAGCGCCGCGAGCGCGTTCAGAATCTCTACTAGCGAGTCCAGAAGCTCCATAGAGATGTTAAAAAGACGTCGTGTCATCAATATTGACATCGGAATCCTAATGCAACACTCCGATATAGGTGTTCGACAGAGCATACAGCGGCTGCCATTCGGTGTATCATCAGTATCGTGCACCCATGTCTGAAGGCATGGTAAACCAAAGACGTGACAACATGGTAGAATGCAGACTGCTGAGTGGATTTCATCGTAATTATCCCAGCATACAGGGCATTTATCGTTGTAGAATGGCAGAAGTTCGCAGTCTTGAATCAATGGCTGCCAAGTTGGTTCGGGAGACATTGCTGCTCTTTCTGATCAACGGCATGTGGAAAGTTGTGACTGGCCCCGCGTAAGGGAACTGTAGGTTGTAAAGAAAAGTATTTTCTATTTCAGATTCAGGTGTTTAAAACTGTATAGAATTATCCAGGTCTTGACATTGCGTGCCTAGTGAACGTCGGAACCACAGTGAAATCATCAGGCAACTATTTCGACTTTCACCGCAGCTATTCGCCAACAATCTCTTATAGACAAATGGCCACTTACATGTTTTAACACGGAGTGGATTGTAGTCATGTAATGGTGTTGAGTGACGGAAGACAGTCAGTTTCCAGATACTGGTGGCCAACTTGATGGCTACTCTTGTGTATTCACTTGATCTTAGACAATCACTTCTACCGACACATTCCACCCGGACTAAGAAGTTAGATTAAGATCTACTCTTCTAGTATACCCAAGGTATTCCCGTACACCCGTGAACAATCTACGTCCTAATCTAGCCACTGAACGGACTGTGGTATGGTAGGATAAGTAAGGGCATTTGGAGGTCACATGTGACACTCAAGGTATGGTAGAGAGTTAGACCAGGGAGCCCAAGGGAGTTCGGGGAACATCCACCACCTCTGAAGGCATAGTTGTGATGCCAAACATGTGCCCACCGTACCTGTCAGACCATGATATCCCCTGAGACAGGTGTCAATACGCAACGATATCATATGTGCGAAGTCTATCAACGATGGCTACACCTCGCATTAAGACTATTTCACACTGGACATTCCAATCATCATGATAGAATGTGTCGAGACTTTGCTCTTTCACAATTGATATTGAGCAGAATTATTATCAACAAAGTTGCCTCTGTTCCTTACCTACACTTTCAAAGAGTAATGCGAAATGTTGGTCCTTGAGCTGAGGTTATTGGGTAAACTTGATCAATTCTTGACACCCAATATGACGACAGATCCATTCGGTGATGTAATGCTATCTTCTCGCGAGTCGAGCTAGAGGATGGCAATCGTCTACTAGGGTTCGATCAATATTCGGCCAACAAACAAGTGATTCACGAGACGATCTTGTATTTAGCGTTATCTTCGAGCTACAGAGCCCGTCACTAGAAATCACTCCGAACATGGACTAGAGGACCTGGACATCGTCGAGAAATCGCATTGTGGGAAATCCTCATACAGGAGCATTGGACCGGAAGTCAATTCGGTCTTCCTTTCACTTTTGGCGGACATGGTGAAATTTGCACTTTAGATCTTCCTACTTTGTTATTTCATTGATAATATACTCCGATATCCCTGTAGACCTTTTGCTGCAACTAAGGGCATTGCATGCATAGTACCCAATTCCCAACCATGTGTTATAATTCTTCCCTTGTGATGTGAGCAACGGTGGCTCGGGAAGGGCATTGATTTGTAGCAAATGATAAGAAAGAAGCAACATTTATGACATATTAATTTCTCCTCTTTGATCAGATCGTCAAATGCCGTCCGCTAAGCCCCAGAAAAGGTCGCCCCTTCCGAGTGGGTCCATTGAAAACTTGCAGCATCGAGCAGCCAGCCAACCTCCCATTGCCTTCCAATAACGGCAGGTAAATCACTTCGGACCATGAAACTCGGTCCAGTTAAGCATGTGCATCGGGAAATATACACAAAGTTATGACAAGCCCTTGGTCCGTCCCGAATGGAACGTCATGATCTAATGTGTGTGCGGAATAAGGAAGCTCGATCGAGATGTCCAATGGCATGCTTCCGGCAAGCACGTCCGTGTTGCCTGAAACTTGACGAGCTCTCGAATGCACGAATTGGCCCCATGCGCATACAGCCCCCACATCCGTATTGAGCAGGTAGTGAAAATCCAGTGGAATGGTATATCGATGTCCGATGGGTAGATGCAATACACAAATGTAGCAGATGAGACAAAGCAGTTTCGAATTACATGCATCTGGAAGTCCAGCAATTTCATGCTTGAGTGTGAAAGTGGATGCCAGTGCAGCGTAGCGTATCTTGAAGTGGATATCCAACATCATCAGACATGCAGCAACACTCGTGTGAACGGGCCTCACCCGCTGGTTGCATGATGCTCGCGAACCTAGTCAGAGAAGGTAAGCACTTGAAGATTAAATATCTCCTAGGCGGTCTAGGTGAATATTGACGGCATTTGCTCCGATGGTGTTGTAAGCCATTGAAGTATGCACAGGATGGGCACACGGTGAACATCAATATCACGTGATTGGTGGCGGCTCACGATCACGATCATTCCAAAGGCTTTGCACCTTCAGAGCTGAAATGCATTATAATGATTCCATTCGCGTTTCACAATTCGCTGAAGCACGTCGAATACTCGTTTCTAATTCGTCTAACTACAGATTTCTAGTATATGTGGTCTGTGCTACCATCGGACACCGAAGCCTATCAGAATTTCCCAGAATGGTCCCTCGGGACTCTCCTTTCGGTCAGCGAAGACAGCCAAGATTCCAGTTTCTGCTCCTATGACTGGTCAAAATCATGGGGGCCATGGGCTCGCACGGTGTGAATTGTGATCTATTGTTCTCAATATTGGGACTAGCTCTCTGCGGGTAACTGCACACTGCCGCAGGTCGTCGTATGCTGAAGCTCGTAATAGAGGTGCACGTTCAGAAGTGCACGATCTAAGCGTAGTTACCGAGAACCGAGGACTAGTAGGGCTGCGGTCCCTGACGATCATGAAGTAGGAACTCGTGAATGGACGCTGGTGTCGTGGTGGAGATGTTGTCAGACGCTGCTGATCTTCTTCCGCCCCAGCGAGCTAATAATGGCTGACTTTGCATTTTGGAACTCGTATGCAGGTGAGGCTGAGGTGCGTTGTGTTTCTGGGTTCACTCGGGATGAGCAATTCAGGTTGATCGATAATGTGGTGGTATTTGCAAACTCGTGTGAGTCGCGCGACGTTGAAATTGTCTATGGTATCTTCAAGGATGGAAAATAGAAAAGTTGAATAAACAATATATTGAAAGAATTTCATTTCTCCCCGCTCATAGGCGGCGGTGGGTATTTTCGCCAATATTCTTTCTCGAACATCGCCATGTTGTCCTCCGGAACGCTGATCACAGTCTCTCTATTGAAAATGTATGAAGAGGTCCTCTTCCCTCGAGACGAGTTACGACCCGAATCACCTTCTGAGCTACCTTCCGGAGAGCTATCCCAATCTATGATTGGTAGTACGCCAACTTGCTCCAAAGTTCTGGGAGGTATTGGGGGCAATGACTTTTGGGATTTACTACGTGCGGGCTTCACAGCCGGGAAAGTGAGTGGGTCCTTATTGGAGTGAACCGTCGGAGGGCGAGATGTAGATCGTGGAATCTCGATCGAGCGATTGAAGACGTTCTCTGGTGGTTCCGAGCCTCGTATTGGTGTTGCAACATTGTACGGGATGCGGGTGAAATCATTCGTGCGGTCGTCTAGCCGAGAAGTTGATCTATCAAGACCGTGGGTCGCGAGAGGCCTGCAATACTCCGTGTCCTTCTCTGATTGTATAGGAAATGTCGAGGAGTAAGAGCTTGTAGAATCGAACTTGTGGTTTCTTGGGCGCATCGTGGCCTTCCCGAATATCTTCCTCACACTCCATTTTCTTGGGCATTGGTCGAAGCGTAATGAATCGGTTTTCGTGGAGCCGTTTAAGATGCTCAGGATAAATGGGTGTAAGCAAGGAATGCATGCTGTAATAATGGACAAATTCTGTGCCACCTGGACACAAATGGTGCTTCGCCAGTATTCATAAGTTTTGTCGTCAGTTCTAGCAACCTTGTTGTAAACTGTGAGCTGCGCAGCTACTGCCCCGACAATGCTATAAGAATGTTAGACCAACCAACATAGACCAAACAACGTGCTTTCTTGCTACTGACCTGAGCCGCGAAAGGAAACAGGCGGAGACGGATACCCTTCTCCCCGCAGTTGTTCGCAGATTCCAGACAAACAAGGGCACTGATACCAGCAATATTTCCACGACAATATTCGAGATGCCTGTGTAATTGACAAACTTGACAATATCAATGCACTGGTCACCACTCTTTGCCCACACGTTAGGGGGTTTGCAGCGGAATGCCGAGACGAGGACGCCTGCGATAGTCCAAAGTGCAGAGAAGGTCCCGAAAATCACGACAGCCCACCGCGCAGCACACCCTGGAAGTATCTTCCTGATGAGAAAGCACATGGAGAGCCTCGCGCATCCCATGTTGGCGATGTAGAGTATACATGCAGCATACTCAGACTGAATACATTAGTCCAGGTCTACTGACTTTGACACCCATGCCATACCTTCTGATAGATGCTCAGCTGTTTAGGAGTCAAATCTCTCCTATGCTGTCCGAGAGCATGAATAGCTTCCATCGAGACAGCAGCCGTCTGACCAACGCTGAAAAGCTGATACTATTAGCACATATACTTCAAATCATAACAAAGCACCTACAGCAGCAAAGCCAATAAGAATATCGTCCGTTCCGAATCTGCGTCCCTTGGGAGAGCATGCAAGCTTCATTGCGAAACGTGTAAAGAGAACGAAGACCATCGCAACAAGTAAAATCCAGGACACCACGTTAACGATCACCCCGCGGTCCTCCATAGGAGATGTCCTTCGTCTCTCGAGGGTGTATACCACGCCATCGAGCATTTTGGAAACCTAAAGTCGAGCCAATATGTGTTTGTGTACAGAAGCCAGAAGTGATGCAGTCATGTGATTCCGATGTACCGGCCCCGCGGCCAGTAGGGTCAACTATGTCCTTCAGTGGGCGTATCGATCCTCAACGGTCTGATAGCTGGGGGAGTTGGGGATTATAGATATTTTTACGAGTGAGACAGGGTGGGGAAGAACTGGCAGGGCGGTAGGCTGACGTTAGAAGGACCCGAAGTGTGAGCTTGATTGCGCTTATGCTGCCCTTGGTGTGTAATAACGTGGCGCTTAGATATGTACAATGGGAAGGATGCCTGAACGCGATCGAAGTCCGGGGTTACGAAAGTGTATTGTATGTTCAGCAGAGAGCGAATGCAGGGTGCAGTTATATCAAGCCGTGCCCTTCGGAGTTCTTCAGAGTTCTCTTTGGGAAATTAGATCTCGTTTAAGTGATCATGCCCTCATGGTTATTCGACTGTGGCACAACATCTAGCGTGCGTAAACGGAGAAGAAGAGATGTACAGGCGGTGCGCTAAAGGTCAAAGTCCCACAGGATTGAAGTGCAACGCGGGAAGCTATAGGCTTATGTTGCAAATGATGAGACCTGAACAACCCGAGGCAGACTAGATGCAGTATCTAGTGATCCAAAGGAATACGAGCAAGGAAGGGAGGGAATAGAGTTGGGTGGGGAAGAACAGAAGGGGAAGAGAGAGAAAAGAAGTGGCTCTCAGAGAGAAGTCATTGGCGTCGGACATCAAATAGTGATGATAGTCCCCGGTGTAGCGCACAGACACACCATACATACACCCATACCATACATACAACAATAAGCACCGTTCCACAACCGCATATGGACCCACAGGATTTACTCTTTAATATCGGCTGGTGCGCACGGGGAGCTGGGATGTCTTCGCCCCTTATATCATTGGGCATGCTCTGGTTGCGTCTTCTCTGGGCCCTTCTAAAGTCCTTCTAGCGTGTCCTCATGTCGTTTCACGTGGTAGAATTGTCTTTATCCCGATAGTATGCTAGATTGAACCTCCCTTCTACACCACCACTCTAACTCAACATTCGGTTGTACACATACGTTTCGCAGAACATTCAAAGCCCTCTCTCTAACGTCATGGGCATCGATTTGGGGGGTTTACCTACTCGGTACCTTCTTATCATGACACCCAGTCGCACAGCCACCCCCATCCAATGTCTAAACCTGCTCCCGTTGAACTGTTGCCCATGGCATTGCCCATGAACGTCGATCCCTTACGAGACCGTTCAGTGCGGCTTATTTTACACGTGCAAGCTGCGCTGCTCAGCAAACTATTCCCGTTAATGCGCGAGCGATCTCTTACCTATGACATAGGCTTGCTTTCTGTTCGTTAAACGATCGCACTTGCTGGGCGTTCCAAAACTGTGGATATTCGGCGATCTTTTGTTCAGGCGATTCTCAAGGCACGATAGGACAGGATAAAGTCGCGGATATCTCACTATTATGCCATCTTGCAATCGTTCGATGGGACCTCCCAGGCCACATTACCCACTTTCCCCCAGGCAGCTCGATTCCGATTCGTTGCAGGCTGGGGTTGTAAAGACCTGGCTTCAGTTAATTGGACAAGACTCGCTACCGGCAGTTGGTGGTCCATGAAGGCTTACATTGCAGCCATTGGATGCGTTTTCGGCTATGTGTGCATTTCTCAGTCGTCATCTAATTCAGCCGCATTGCATTGCTCACAGACGGCCGCACTGACTCGCGGCCGTGATGTGTACTACCACTTGAGATTGTTTCAAGATAAATAAGAACAGTGCCAGCTGGTGGACATATGCACTCACGAGCTGACATGCAAACGGTAGCATGCGCCACTCAGGTGAGCATTGACGCTGTCAAAGTCGGGGAGATGCCAAGAAGACCTCCGCGACTCATTGCTGGCAAGGAATCTGATTAATGAAAGTTATGGATCTTATCTAAGGGCAAGTAAATCGACATGTATGAGAAAGTTGGTGTGGATTCCATATCACGTGATGTTAACACCCATAGCCAACTAAGAGGGGTTCTGGGTGAGGATGGGATGCTCTATCTACCCGAAGACTGACATTGTATTTGTCCTATGTTCCATTCCTACTCAAGGCACAAGGATAATGGCATGTCACTGAGCAGCTGGAAGGATATCTGAAGGAAGAGGTCGCATGGCCGCCAACAATATGCTTCAATGTGAAAGATTTTACCACTACATGTTCCCATCTCTATCAAACAAAAACCGTCACTTGTTTCTAATACGATGCCATATCTCCATACATAGTGAAGCAGTGTGGCACCGCTGATGATGCTACTTTACAACACAGACCTCAGCAAGTGACTGTTTGACGTTGCATTAGCAACCTCGACGTCAGTGCAGATCGAACTCGAACTTCTCCTCGCCTTCAAATATGAGCCAAGATAAATCACAATCTGATATAGATGGTTCGAAGCTTGATGTTTGATTTTGCTTTTGCGCCTATTATGTTCTTTTGTTCAGGTCTGCTATAAGGGCTGTATTAGCATATACAACGCATGCATTATCAACATATAATCCCAAAGGATGATGATCTAGATTTTAGTCGATACTTGTCACATTTCATCCTCATATCCGTCTAGAAAATAAAATTCATTCTCAATACCTCGTGTCAGAGTCACCATTTTCTCGCATTCATTATGACTTAATGACAGAGCACAGCAACTACTCTATTAGTCACTTTTCTACTTCACTCACTGACTTTTGTGACTTAACACAATCATGTGGCGTAGTACAATGCCATAGCTCGTAGACTGAGGGTATTGCTGGGACATCTTCGTGACCCAACTACTCGTTACTCACTCCGCAACACAGCCAAGTCTCGCCCAACCAACACTGACAGTCACCATTGCCCCACGACACCAAACAGTGAATATGACTTCAAAAAGTCAACCAGTCATTCCGTTCACAGTGAATAGTCACACGCTAACTATATATACCGCAAAAGATGCTTCTTTCGAGTACATCTTTCTTATACTACTACAACCGATACATTTCATACAATCGCCTATCTTTTCTACTGCTTCTTCATTCTCTTCCCTTTTACAATGGAAGAAGGCAGAATCTTGGAATACTTCTGCCCTTTTCTGAAGGGAGAAGACATTATTTTAGACTGTGCGCTCTGGTGCCAAGAAGGTCTATCATCGGCACATGTAAGGGACATCCGTCTGACCTTCATAAACGAAGGTTACGAAGTTGTTGGGGTCATACGCCTATCGAACAAATGGATTGTCATTGTATTCACATGCCCTGAGGAAGCTAAAAGAGCTGCTGCGGCTTGCAACGGAGCGAAAAGGTGGAAAACGACTTCAAGTGACAACCCCATTTCCCTAGATAAGAAAGACACAGCTAAAGTACCGGATTTTGAGAATTGCATGAGAAGACATAAATACAACGTTGGAGAGACGACTGAGAGTTCGTGTGAGAATATGAACAAAGGCTGTCTTCAAGGCGGTAGAGATGTCCCGAAGAAATACAAGGACGCAACCTGTAAGTACTACAACAAATTAGTGCTATCGGATTAAGCTGAACAGCTATAGATAATCGTGCATTTTTCACTCGTGGGGTTCACTCATCAATCAATGCCAAACCTGAAGGTTACCTCTAGTATCGGTGGTAAAGTAAGCATATCAAAACAAGGCTGCTTTTATCAAATCTAATAGTGTCACAGCTGGCCGGAGTATTGTCGACGTGAGAAAACCAGCGATTCCTTTCCAAGGCTGTCAAATGGCTACTACATCATTCTCGGGGCGTGCGGGGGAAGCGTGGAATGGCAACAACATGATGTTGGGAATTCTCTGGCCTACGAGGTATAGAAAGAATTTCAGACATGATAGGTCTGATTGATTTCTTTGGTAATGCTTGGGGGTTTCATTTTTGTTCTTGGATATTATTATTGGAGAAACATTTCCTTCTGCGGTAATCTTTGGAGGATTTCATTTCTGTTCTTGGAAACCATTAGGAGGTATTCACTTTCCTCCGGGCCGGTGTTTGGGGGATTTCATTTGTGTTCTTGGATATCATTATGAGGATCTATTTTCCTCAGAAGTTATACTTAGTGGATCTCATTCTGTTGTTGGGTATTGTCAGGAAGGTTTCAATTTTTTATTAAGTGTTGTTGGGAAGATTTCGACCTCTTCCCAAGTAATGTTAGGAGGATTTCATTATGTCGTAGATAGATAATTAAGCTATGATCTAGCGCACCATATGTTCCAATGATGTCATTCTATGAGGACTCGGCATGGTTCTTGCCAGTGTAATGGAAACTTGGAGTCTTGTTGGTGGATCAGAATCGCCATCTGCATCAACTTTCGATGTCGGATTCGAGATTATAAAACTGTACAAATAGACAGTTTTAGCTCTATAAAGAGCTCCATTCCTGAATGTTCATACGCAGTTGAGGCCTCATAATTTAGACTACAAGTTACAGAGCCCTTAAACAGTAATATCGCAGTCTATGGCGCTCTTAATTTTAAATAAATGATAACAACGCGTATCAACTTTCCATTTGTTTCCTTTTTGAGAACTCAATTCTGAATCGGCGCTGTCAGGATATGCTCAAATGTTAAAGAAAGTGTTGTCTCTTTCTAGATAAAGTCAGCTTTGACAAACTGATATCAGGCCACTTATTTTCATACATAATTGCGGCGCTGGGATTCCAGCCTCCTTTCGAAATCCTCAGCACCCTCGTCAAAGAGTTTTGTGAAGTCCCAGAACTGCCCTCTCCCCCCCTCTAGCGCTTCTCCCCATTCAGGAAATCCAAACCTAGGCGCCGCAACCAAGACATCGAATCCCCTCGCACGCAAGCTGTAAACAGAAGGGGCCATGCCTAGAAGTACCTTCCACTGGTCGCGTGATCTTTTCTCAGCGGCAAAGATTCTAAGTCGTACTCTTTTCAACGTCTGGATCTCCTCGAAAGTTTTGGCCATCTTCTCGAGGATCTCGGTCCGTCCTGGCTTGAAAGCCCAATGCCCGTCTATCTGTTCCTTCTCAAAGTCGTCGAGGCGGAACGGGATGCTAAGAGTCCGTATGACGTTGACAGTTTTGATACCGCAGCTGAAGATGTCGGTCTCGAAAAGCGTCTCTATGACTGTCATGCAATCGACTTGGAATGCGATGGGCGGGAGATTTGACTCCACAACCTCACGAACCATCTGCAATCCAACATAATCAGGTCGCAACCACGGCTTACGGAGAGGAAATGTCTCTTCCAACATCCCGTTATCGTACCAGTCGTCTCTGACCTCAACGAGCCAATCGTCCGTCCTGAGATACTTATATATCATGTCGCGGATCTCTCTAGGTAAACGTGACCGCATGTCTTTCGAGAGCTGTTGAAACCAAGCATGGCTGTACGCATCGCTATCCGATGCTATGCCCATATCCAGTAGCTTCTTTTCGCGCACGAGGTCTTGCAATTCCTTGGGCTGTAGGGCTCTAACTTCCATCCTTCGTTTCCTACCTATCAATTGGTCGATTCGGGTATCTGTTCTGCGGGTCTTGGCTTCTATCTTCCTGCGTTCATTCCTCTCCTCTTCACTCTCTTTTACTCTCGTGTCTTTCTTCGGCTCTGCTTTCTTGATAGCGTCTTTCATTCCCTCTACTCTGTACGTGTTTGTTAGACCCCTTAATTTCATCTGCGCCAGGATGTCATAGGTAGATCATACTTCACCTCAACTTCCGGAAGCCGCCTCAAATTCCTTTTTATCACCGTCAACACTGCCATTCCTCGCCATTTACACTTTTCAACCTCACCTACGCAACCTAACCTCGCATTCCTTCATCCTCTCCTCCCGATTCTCCAACGCGAGTCCCGCAAACGCAGACTCAATCCGGATCTGATCCGCCATGGACAATGTCAAGTGAATCAAATCCGCATTACGCTCAAACTCGAACCCGTTACGCATGGTCATCGGATCAACGTCTTTTCCTGCAGATTCCTTGTCTTCGTTTTCTGGTGGCCTGAAGGCGAAGTCGAAGGGGAGGTGCTTGCCGAGTGGGAACGGCATTGTGCGTGAGGTTGATTTTGAGCGGTGGGAGACTATTTTTTTTTTCAAGCAAAAGGTAACGAGAGATTGGAAATTCTATAGAAGTCTTCTGGGATATCATATGATACAACACATGAGGAGGATCATAATGTTGTGGCTGGGAGGGCGAGGTCATACAAACTAGACTCAATGTGCGAGCGATCTAGCCTGTTCGGGCATATTGTGTAAGTATAGCAATGCAGCAACAGATCTTCGTTGTATGCTCTGTATGTACATTACAACAATCTGCGGGAATATGGAAATAATGATTCTATTGTCAGGGTATGGAGTAAGAATCCTTTAATTTTTTTGATGCTTCAGCTAGAGTTTCTTTCTACAATTCTTATCCGACTGATATGGGGGTCTAAACTATGTATATCTCGACGAGAAAACAAATAGACAGCGCGAAGCATACTACAAACAAATAGCATTTCTGCCTTTGCTGGTCCAATGGGATGGATCGAAACTCAATTTGACCCCTGAAGATCCGGCCATCTAATATACTCTACGATGATTCCTCTCAGACACAGAAAATCATAAAAACGTCGAAGCCAACCTGTCTCTACTGCAGCCATGCTTTCGGCTGGTCCGCATGTCCGGCCAGGTACTCAGGACAATGCTCTGCAAATCACATTAGCCATCATCCCATCAACGATCCAAGGGGGTGGGAACAACAAACCTCTCGCCTCCCTCACCAACCCATCAAAAACCTCCCTACTCCCCACCAACGTCCCCTCAAACGGACACTTCGCCCCCTTATACGTAAACGACTCCAACAACGTGACATTGAACCCCTTCTCTTGCAGCTCAAACAACACCGGCGCAATCGCCTCCACTAAATCCAGGATACTACTCCGTAGCTCGATGGTCCGGGGATACGCAATCGCGACGCCGACTCGCAGCCTGAAGCCCCGGGGGTGGGCGACGCCGTGCAGCATGGAGAGGTAGCGCACGTAGTCTGCGCGGATGGCGGCGATCTCGTCGTCTTCCCAGGCTTGCGCGACGCGCGAGACGTGCCACTCGTCTGTGGGCATGGTGGCGTTCTTGTCGGCTTCCATGAAGACGTCGAGGGCGCGGATGTGGTCTTTGATGGGGAGGCCGAGGTTGAAGATGTCGGGGGTTTGGGTGAAGAGGACGGGGATTTGGACGGCCCAGCGGGCAATGATGAGGAGCTGCGAATAGGCGTAGGAGGCGGCTTCGAGGGCGGTCGGGAGGCCCACGAGGTCCGGTTGGAAGATGGTGGTGCAGGTGCGGGTCCAGATTCCGGGGGGGAGGCCGTCGAGGTAGTTGAAGGGTTCGCCGCGGGTGAGGGCGATTTGGTCTAGGAAGTCGTCGACGAGGATGTCGTAGATGATTAGGCGGAGCTCGCGGGGGAGCTTTGTGTGGAGCGGTGTTGTGATGCTTAGGAGACCGGATTGGTCTTGTGAAGCACTGGCTTTTGTAGTACTGTAGTGACGAGGTCAGCTATGAACAGATGGAATCAATGTTATGAAAAGTACTCATCGTATAGCAAAGGCTTGAGTCGCCTGTCATTCCGCCTGTCTGATGCATTCTATATAACTCTAACTTGGGGAACATACTTGCTTGACGTGGTCCCATCCTCGCCCTTTTGCTGTTGTTGACCTCCTATTACAACCTCCGGCCCCACATCATTACGCTGAGCAACCTCACTTGAACTCATGGCCCAAGCGAATTGATTCATGTGTCAAACTTAATTTCTGCTTTTTAAAAGACGTGGAAAACTGGCGTGGACGGAGAGAGTAGAAGGTGTTTAGTGTTTATTGATTGTAGTTAGGCGAATGTAAACATGTAAGATCTTTCGTTGTCTGCCTGACCCAGTCAGGTCATGGCGCTATGCCTCATTAGGGAATCCGAAATGGCAGGCTTATGTCCGATGATCATTGGGATTGAAGAAATGCGATATATATGATGGAATTCCTCCTATGTAACGCCGAAGTCAATTGACAAAAACCCAAAGAACGATTCTGTGCGTGCATTGTGGGTATATTCGTAACCTCAAAAGAATTTCATGGAATGAGATGCATCAGCGGCGCATGTCCCGAAAAGACGAATGACAACCATCCAGCCTGTGTTGAATGACTTCAGCAAGGAAATCATGTTTCTCCTGTTCGATAGCAAGATCAATTAGCATCCATCGACAATTCACCTTCCAAAACGACGACATGAACTTACACAATCCTGATCCCCGCCAACCTTCCACCCATCCCTCCCCTCCCAATACCCCCTCGACCCAACCTCAACACCATCACCAGCCGCGAACAGATCCGTAAAAACCGTCTGCATCCCCGCATCCTTCCCAGAAGCCTGCATCCACGCAGACTCATTCCTCGACACCTCAGCCCTAAACCCCCGCTCCCTAAGCTCAAACACAATCGGCGCAAGCAACCTAAACGTATGCATCATAGGCAGTACGCTGAACTCCTGCACCACAAACTCCACCTTGACACCCCTCCTCTCCCCACCGTCTTCCATGGCCGAAACCATCTTCCTGACCCGCGCGGCCAGCGCATCGAACACGGCGGCCGCGCGCTCGTCAAAGAACTTCGCGTGCGAGGTCCTCGCGTCGAAGAAGATGCGCGGCGCCTTGACGGGGAGGACGAGGTGTCGCACGTGATGGCCTGGCACGACACTGCTACCTAGGAAATCCTCGCGCAGGAAGGACGTCAGGATTGCGTCGGGGCAGTTCGGAGACAGTTCGAAGGAGTTGGTGCGGTAGAAGGCTTGCGCCATCTCGTCCAGGGCCCAGGAGGGGAGGGTCTTGCGGGATATGAGGCGGGAGAGGAAGGGGGTGCGGAGGGGTTTGGAGGGTCGGGGCGCGGAGACTATGGTTGCGTTTTCGACGACGGTCCAGGGGGAGGGCGGGGAGAGGGCGAGGAGGTGGTGGTAGATTATGTCTCTGAGTTCGCGGGGGAGGAGGGTGGAGAAGTTGGTGATGAGTTGGGAGAATTCATGGTCATTGATATTGTTGTTGTTGTTCTTGTTCTGCTTTGGGTCCAAGGAGTGTTGGGTGATGGGTGTTTGCGCAGGTGGATTCGCAGGTTGTTGCACTCGGTGATGGCTGTTGGGAGAAATCCAATTGTGTTAACTGGTGTATACGCAGACGCACATAAATCCGGGGAAGGGGAGCAAGGGGAAAGGGTTTAAAGTGGACACAAACAATGGGGCACCAACAGCATATAATATGGGGAAGCAAGATCAAACTGCTCCACGCTCTGGGTAACGACGCATTGAGACATATCGTGTGGATTCGAAAAACAAAACAAGAAGACAAAAGACGGGAGTAAGAGAATGGGAAGAGGAAGAAGGAGAGGCTGAAGTTAAAAACACCAAATGATTAACGAACGGCTCACGAGACTTCTTGGGAGGTACCTACACAAGAGTACGTACCCGCAGTGTTGGACGGACTTAATCCGTGAATGGTTATCCGAGGCACGCGGGGAGGGAATGGGAAGGGGAAGGGGACCTAAAGACGGGACGAGAACGGAGTCGAATCCAATAATTGATTCGTTGTGCCTGTCCAAGAAGCTTCTATGCCTGGTAGAGTATCATCTCCATCTCCATCTCCATCTTTTCCCTTTGCCCTTTGCCCTTTGCCCTTTGCCCTCTGCCCATTTCCCACCAGATTTGCCCTGCATTCGCGTCCTCCTCGCCACTGGGAACCCCCTGGATTCCCCGCACTACATCCCACTCACCCACTACAGGTACACTACTTTGTTACATACAAAAACCATTGAACCAATCCTTCGTCTATCACTAGATACACAATAGTAACAGTAGTGACAGTGCTAAGTTGTTCCCCTCGCACTAGTAGTCCTGACCGTTCGCTCACCCACCTCACCTCATCTCACCTCACGCGGTCTGGGCCGCCTTACCTAAAACCCTAGGTCTGTATGCTGCATTACGCTGCTCTTCTCAACAATAAGTGGTTGCCACAGGATCTGCAATAATGCAACCAACCCATACACTCTTTGTGTGGAACTTATTCAATTTCTATGCCAAGGATACTATTACAACAATAACACAGACGGGGTGGCCCTCCGAAATCGACTCCGACACCGAAACCGGAGCTGCCCCAGGGTCGGAGTACCATACCAAACCACCCCCTCCCCAGGTAACCGTTAAATGCTTAGTAGTCGCTATCGTACTCTTCCTCGTCGTCGCCCAATAACGCAGGATACTGTCTGCTCCTCAGGTCCTGCTCCAACCCCCCGTCACTCTCGGGATCAACGTATCCCTTTCCTCCCACCAGACTTAGAAGCACTGGTAGCAGGACGAGAGAGTGCGTGGCTGCCCACACTACCAGCGCCACCCAGACTCGGAAGTAGTAGATCTCGAAAATCTGTGTCGAACGAACCAATAGTTAGTTTCCGTTTCAAGGCACGTGAGGAAATGTACAGAAATGATGATGGAATCATCTTACCTTGCTGCGCGTGAAAGCTAGTACTCCCACTCCAAGAATCTTGGTAATCGTAATGCCCGAGATGACAGAACTTGCGACGTTGACCATCGCGGTCCATGCCCGCGCATCCCGTCCACGGAATCGGTGTCGCGGCGCACGCTCCATGGTGGCACGACTCGGGAACGTGTAGGCGCGGGCAATGTGGGCGGTGAATTCGACGCTGATGCCCACGCAAATGATCAAGTTGACCAGTGACACTGCGTTCAGGGAAACCCCGAGTATGGCCATCGATCCAATGATTGAAGCAATGGTCATGGCAACCACAAGTGTCACCACAACCGCGGTCTGGATGGAGCCAAGGAGAATGGTAGTGACTACCAGTGTTGCCCCAAGAGCGGAGCCCAGAAGAGCGCCAGTGAGGCGGACGATTGATGTATACTGATCGAAGAAGATGTAGAATTTGGAGTAAGGGAACACCTCCGTATCAACGTCCTTCGATATCTGTTTCGATATCCGGCGAGCTGCAGTGTACGCAGCAATGAAGTCCTTCTGCGAGCGCAATGGTGTATGGAACGTCCGGAAATGGGAAGCGGGAATGGTGAGTTGTTTCTCATCTATGACGAGGGCGTCTGAGTACGCAGCTGCACCTCCTAGTGGGCAGTCTTCCGTCGTGGGAGCCTTGATCCAGCGGCTAAGATAATCAATGAATTCCTGGCCTTCTGGCATTCCAGACAGAGTAATATTCCATGGCGGATCGCGACCTTTGAAGCAAGGCTGGTTTTTTTCATCGAGGCAACACTTCTCATTATCAGGACTAAGCCAGAGGAAGAAGTCATCAACCCAATTAGCGGCAGATGCTGTGAGGTAGGACACCTCGGGCCTCTTCCTCTCAGCCTCGATAATGTTGGCAAGACTCTCTTGGTGGCAGGTGGAAAATCTACCACACAGTTCCTTTTGCTCTTCCCTACGGGTGACGTTGAGCTCTTTAGTGATGAAGTACACAGGGGGGCCAGCGTCGAAGTAGTCATACAGATCGTTGAAATAGGGGATCAAGTATGAGTCGCTCGGTATCGCAATTCTCTGGTCAAGTCCTAGTTCGACGCTGGGGAAAAGCGCCACCGCAGCGGTGAATATGCCAAAGAAGACTGCAATGATTCCAACTTTGGTCTTCTTACCCAGAAGTGCGGGAGCATACGTCTTTCGGATGAATCGTTGAAGTCCACCCTCCTCACCAGTTCCATGTCCAATGCCGCCATTGAGATATCCCGAATCAGCCCGCGGAACTTTCGCACAAGGGAAGCAATCTGCACGATTGGCCTCCACGCGGTATTGATTGAGGGAGAGAACAGCGATGAACATGGTGACCTGCAGAACAGCGTTGATGAACACAGCACCAGCAGCATACGCAGCGAAATTCCGGACCGCTGGCATGCCTACGGCACATCCGAGAGAAAAGGCGACAGTCTCGGTAGTCGCAGACAGCAAAATGGAGGGTCCCATGCGGCCGAGCGCTCTAGAAACGCGTTCAGGCACGGAACCTTCCGGATGACTGATGTTGACTCGTTCGAACTCATGGACAATGAGGAAAATGTTGTCCACACCAACCGCTAGGACGAGAAATGGAATGACTTCAGCAATGATCAGAGTCACTTTGATGCCCGCGGCAGAGAAAAGTCCAACAGAAGCTGATACCGACATAAGCACGATCAAAATACCCACGATACCTAGCATAAACTTGGATTGTACGAGAGCATTGGCGGGGTTGCGTAGTAGTGATTGAACAGTGAGGGTCGTTGAGCCCAACGCCAGCGATGCGTACAAGAACATAATGATGTAACTGACCACCACTATCTTCGCATCGGTGTTTGTGCTCTTGTTCAGTTCTTGTTCGAGGCTGACCTCTGTGTTGAAGCTGAGTCGGAGTCCGCGTTTCTGTGCTTGATCTTGGTATATTTGCAACATGTACTTGATGCTGTCCTCCCAGTCCATGGCACGCTCAAGCTCGGGAGTTCCTTCAGGGTGGTTATTCACGACCCAAGTGATGACAAGGGCATTCGCGTCGAGCACATTTTTGTCTACGCCGCCGAACAACAAGCGCGGATCGAGGGGCTGTTGGAAAGTTGGCAGACACGAGGATGGGTTGTCGGTGCAGCCCAAGAGTTGCTCATCCCAAGCTGAAGGGTCGACTTCGTTGAAATCGCTTTGGAAGTAGCCCGTAACGGACTGCACAACACAGTCGTCGCCGACAGGCTTAAAACACACCTCGTCCAAAGTAACACCTTGACGGAAGGATTTGTGGCGACGGACTTGGCTCTCAATATCGAACCACCACTGTAGTGTGTCGTAGCTCAGGACAGGGCCAGTCTCATTAACAAGGAAGACCTGCTCCGCTCGGAAGAAGGGACCGAACTTTTCGTCAAAGAAGACTTTCTCTTGAGCAGCGGCGGAGTCTGGCGACACCCAAAGACGAACTGGGTCAGTCTCCACTTGAAACCTAAGCCATCCTAAACTCATCAGGATGACGACCAATACACTGGAGACAATGGTTATCGCCGGAAATTTCGCACAAACATATCCAAGTCTGCTGAATATGCGATCGCACCAGGTATTCACAAAGTAATGCTTGGTGGGTCGATCCAGCATACCCACGTTGTGCACAATGTCTCCCTCGTCTTCATCGTCGCTAGGTTCGATGTCGTGCAAAAGCCGCAGCCTTTCATGCTTATGCTTCGAGTGGTTCTGATAGGCAACATGGCCCGCTACTGCAATGCACAACAAGCCAAGTAGGATTGAGTAGATGAGAATTACGGCAAATGACAAGCAGGGCAAAAGTCCAACACGGCATTCTTTCGTTGCGCTCACCTCGGGGAGTTCTGCGCAAGAACCTCCGCAATCGAGACACGCGCAACGGTACCTCTCGTCGGTGGAATTACAGGGATGCGCCTCCTTGTCCATTGGCTCAAGCCCTGGAAACTTATCATCTTCCGGTCGTGGGAAATCCATCTGGAAAGGGCTGCCAAGTGCCTTTTGGTCTCCTAAGAACTTGAGAAACTCTGTATAATTCTTTGCGCCGCCTCCGATGAAATCCATAGCCTTTCCGTTGGTCGCACCAAACTTGACATCTTTGCAACTGTCGTAGAATTGAGACCCGTATGCATTGGAAACGAGATGGTCTAGCTCGGTAGCAAGGTAATTGTCACCCTTCGGTGCCGTATCGGTAACGTTAACGAATAAAGATTGATCTGGAGAGCAGGTGAATGTACAGAACAGGTTGAAAAAGTTGGCTTTGCAAGCTGGACACGCGTTGATGATTGGTGTCACTCGCTGGAGGTTCGACGAGAGTGCATCGATCTGTTCCTCGTTACAGCAGACATCCGAGTCTGACCAGCTCTCGCCACAAATGTTGACGAGTTTCTTCCTTAAATCCTCATCCGGGGTCTTCGCCAGTCCGTTATCCGGGCAAGGTAGCTGTCCTCCAAAGAAGCTCTTTTTGCCACAGTGTCCGCGTATCGCGCATCTGCCTTTCTCATGTTTCGTTGTCAGATCAGGACCTGCCAACGCTGCCCCGGTCAGAATAGACAGCAGCCCTGCCGTTATAAGCTGCCATCCGCCTCCGGAACACCGCATCGCGCGTTTGGTGCTTCACGGAAGCAAAGGTCGGGACGAATGCGCAGTGGCTAAACCACTGGCCGAGGCGACAATTCACCACGTTCTTGGATCACAACGACGTGGTAATATAACTTTATAGCAGTATTGGGCACACGAGTGTATATTGGTCGGCGAAGTCGCTTGGGAACGACACAAAGTCGAGGTAGAAGCAATCGAGGGTTAGGAATGACGCTGCGTTGGGAACGAGACAAAGCTGCTTCAGAATGGACGGCCGAGAGCCCAAATCGATGAATGAAAGACAATACGTGTTAATATCTCTGCTTCTTCATGCGAAGAGAGCTAAGCAGTGGTAGCTAGCCAGTAGAATGCGACGGAGGCGTGAGGATGCAGAGAGATGAAGCTCGCAGGCTGCCGCGCGATCGCGGGATTTACAGTGACCTCACCGTTGGATCAGTCAGGTACCGACGCTTGGACAGGCCGGTTTCGGTTATGATCGACACTAACAAAGTCACACGCATGTTGCTCGGATCCAGCCCAAGCCGCCTTATTAAACAGAGTGAATGTATGCAAATGGAAATTACGTACTCCAATTCAAGCTGAAAATCAGTATTTAGTTATGGAAAAATCCTCACGAATTCAATCAACAGTGAATTCACACAACCAATGATGCACAGTACTTGACCAAGTATTTTTTGGAAATCACAAGTTGTTTATTCATTAACATCGTAACCATGGGAGTTTTCCCTTGTTGTGCCTTTCCACTCTAATAAATATTGCCCACTCATCTGCTTTTTGTTGTCCTTGGGGTATCCAGAAAATCCGACCGTCATATAGATAAAACCTCGCTCAATCTTTCTACTTTTGCAAATACTTCACAAGCTCAACGACCTGCGACCTGGTCTCTTCCTCGAGTTGCTCCTCGGGTGGGCCGAGGACCTTCTCGAAGACCGTCATCAACTGAGGAGTCAACTGCTGGATGGTGGGCTCGTTGGCCTGGTCTGTGATGGTTATTAGCTATTGCACAATGTGATGCGCGTACTTGATAATACGTACAAAGCTTTACAATCATGCTGAAGATGGGCTTGTTCTCCTCGTAATCCTCGCGAAGGGGGAGAAGCTGGACGAGCCGAGGGAGAACCTCTCCGATGGGAATCTTATCAGGGTACTTCGATGTCATTCGGCTCACGCATCCAGCGGTGTTGTCGAGCAGGCGAGCCTCATTTTGAGCATCGAGCAGGGGCTCGATCTTGGAGAAGATGGTTTGGAGAGACTTCAAGATCTCAGCATCATTGGTGGTCTTCTCACAGAGAAGGCCAATGCCGTAAACAGCGTTAGACTTGGTCTCTGGGTCCTCGTCGGAGAGACGATGAAGAAGAAGCTTCAGCGAAGAGGTAGTGTAGGGTGTGCATGCCTCGCCCATGTTGCCAATGCACTCGGCAATGGTACCCACGGCAGCACTACGCTCAGTGGACTCCTGGCTGCTGGCATACTTGACGATTGGTTTCTCGAACATCTTCCAGAGCTCACCAAAGGCGGGGCCGAGAGCAACGGCGAGGCATGTCACAGCCTCCATGGCAGTCTCGATAACCAGCCAGTCGTATTCAGACGACTCGTCAAGAACATCTTCATCATCACCCTCGTCACCGAGATCCTGCTGGCAGGGGTGACGCTTAGTGATGACTGATAGTAGCTGCTGGCAGATTTGAGGAACAGCGGTTCCTTGATCGGTAATCAAAACCGCAGGTCCACACAGCTTGAGAGTAGCAGCAACATCACGGTTGATGTCCGTAACAGTACCCCTAGTTGCTTAGTTAGTCGCGTGCCTCGTAAGAAACGTGGAAAGCAATATAATGAATAACAGTAACTCAGAAGCAGATTCGTGTTCGCCTCAATTGCACTTTGGCATCAGAGTGAGCTGGGATTAACGAAGATTGATCATCCTTGTAGAGTGATGTGAAAAAGAAAAGTGAACAAGCATGAAACTTACCGGTCCATCTCATCCTGCCAGATAGCCAAAGTGGCAGTAATGACGAGGTTACCCAGCTTCTTCAACTCATGTGGGGGTTCGGTCTGGAGAGGCAAGCCGGGTGTCCATTTGGCCATTCCGTCGCCCTCTGCCATGCCCCAAATGCAGGCATAGGTGCGCCATAGAGTACCAATAGCAGCCTTACGGATGCCCTCATAGGAGTGCTCAACGAGCTCAAGCAACTTGGTTACCGTGCTCTCGAGGTAAGGGAGATATTCACGGCGAGTGTGAGTGATGATGTCACCGTACACCTCGGCCGCGATCTCCTTTTCCATGGCAATGGCGGTGACACCTTCAATGTCATCCCAGCCCTCATCATCCATGGCAGCCTCGTTGAGATCGCTGTCATCGTCATCAGTTGCGGCAGCAACCTTGATCTTCTTGCCTTCAACGACAACCTCGGATCCAAGAAGGTCGGCAGCATCGGCGCCCAAAGCAACCTCCAGGTCAGTCTCGTCCTGCTCTAAGCAGTCCTGGAGACCTTTGACAGCGCCGGGGAGGTACTTTGCGAACTGTTCCTCATAGACCTTGGCCATTGTGCTCCAGAGAATGTAGCTGGTCTCACGGAGGCGAGGGTGGTCTAAATGCAGTGCCTCTTCGGAAGCCTCCATGAGAGGCAACACATAGGGCTCAAAGGGCTGAGCACCGACAGCGGAAGCAATCTTGCCCATCGAATCGCACACGACGCCACGGAGTTCGAGGTCATCTTGGCTGTCCTTGATCCTGACATATGGGGAGAGCGAGTTCATGGTGGATTCAAAGTAAGGAAGGAAGGACTCTTCGGCAGCCGATGCAATAGAACCGACAGCACCGATAGCTGCGCCCTTGCACTTGAAGTCATCATGGTGGAAGAACTTGCTGAAGCGGGGTACAAGTTCGCCGACATACTGAGCAGCTTCCTCAGACTCAAGACCTTCAATGAGAGAGTCAATGGCATGGCAGCTGCCTCGGATGATCTGCAGGTTGCGCTCATCATCTGCGGATTGAAGGTTGTTGACAGCCAAATCGTAATTCTTCATGATAGCGGGAATGACGCGGGCATGCTCCTTGCCAACATCTTCAGCCAGATCGTCCGCCAAACGAGCAACACCGTTCAAAGCAGCGGCCCTGACCTTGAGCTCAGGATCCTCGAGAAGGTGAAGAACCATGGGCAGAATCTCGTGTAGCTGGGTGGCGATGAAGTCCGGAGCACCCTCAACGCACATGCCAAGGGCAAGAATACCAGCTTGACGGTGGTCTGGGTTCTGTGAGTTGAAGTACTGTCCAAGGGCCTTCATCAAAGGAATGACGACCTGGCTCGGGGGCAGGCTCGAGGCGAGAATGTCGAGCAGTCCAAGAGCTGACCTGGCAGGTGTAACGTCCTCGTCATCACTGGACAAGTCGCCAAGTTCAGTGACGATTTCGAGGGCCTTGAGAGTCAACTCCTCTCCAATCCTCAAGCTCTGTACCTTGAGCTTGCGGTAACGGACGCACTGCATGAGGAAGGCCAATGCTTGGGATCGATAATCGTCGTCGATAGAAGTAGTGCTGCCAAGCTCCATCATGAATTTAACGAGATCACCGAAGTGCTTTTGTAGCAAGGCCGACTCGCAGCCAAGGAGGGTTTGGAACACCTCGAATGCCTGCAAGGCGTTATCCTCATCACCCTCATCGACGGTAGCCTTGAGGACGTTGACCATGCCAGGGATAGCATCCTGGAATTGAGCGAGAGACTTGGGGTCCTCTTCGGGATCAAGGAGCATAGCGAGGCGGCTCAATGCAAGCATTGTGTTAACCCTGACCTCGGCGCTCTCGGGGTCTTGGATGGTGGAGCTGAACAGGGTGTACAAGTCACTGATCTTGCCAGGGAATGTATCACCAACAGACTCGAGGGTGGTCCAGATGATGTAAGTTCCGACTTCCCTGTGCCGGACTGTAGAGCTTGTAGACGCCTGTTGTAGGTAGCCAGGCAGATCCGCCCACTCTCCATCCTCAAAGTCCTGAGCAGCAATGGCGGCGATGACACGCGCAGCCGAGTGTCTTGTCAGTCTGAGATCCTCATTCAAAGTGAACTGGAAAATCTGGTTTCGTAGTCCATTCTTTTGTTCGGCTGGAAGCTTCTCCCAGTGCTTCGTGACCAACTTGCGGGCCTCGACCGCAGCGAGTTGGCGCAACTCAGGTTTTGCGTGGTTGCAGACGATCTGGAGGAGAGCGTTGAGGGACGCCGGCGAGGTATAGTAGTTCTTGTTCAGGTTGGCAGTGGCAGCCTTGACACGCTCGGTATCGGCTGGTAAAGTCAGAATGAAGAATCAAAACAATGGTCGAGGGACACACGTACGCTGTAACAGCCCCTCCAAGAGGCTCACGAACTCTGCCTCATCCATGTTGTCGAGTCTACTTTACGAGTGAACTCAAAAAGCAGAAAAGAAGTCAAACGCAGAGAGCGAAGACTTGTATCGCAGTGGAATGTGCGAAAAAGTTGGATGGAGAGAGAGAGGTGGGGGGAAATAATTTTTTGGTTAAAAAAGTTATCGGTTGAAGCACAGAGTGGTCCGTGCGTGCCCGCGTCAGTAGTACCTCGAACAGCTTGGTTCGGTAGTGTGTAGAGACGCGAAAGTCATCAATTGAAGTTGGGCATGTAGGCATGCCGGATAACACTTCGTCCAAGCACCGTTTCTCATCTCAATGTTTGAACAAACAGACGCGTATTGGCTGCTGTTTTGTCGCCTTGCGTTTGCGTAGCTGTGTGCAGATGCCAGGCCCTTAGGCAACGAGCCTGTACCCTGTAATCGTGCGCCATGGGGAACATTGATGGAAAACTATCCTATCCCTATTAAGAGACTAAGACGCATTTCAATTCACTGAAGCTTACTCCGTGAATGAATGAAAGAATTGGACAGTAATAATGTGAAGTGAAGAAGGATGGATTGCTGGAGGAGCTACGAGCTACTTAAAGGGTCAAGAATCAGTCTACGCTCAGGGAGATCACGCTAGTGCCATGTTGGGCCTAGCGGGGTTGGTGTCCTACGTTCTGTTTCTTCTGTTTGAAGTGAAAGTCACCCACTCCACTGTCAATCAACTTTAACGCGACCGCATTAAGGATCCTTCGACTCTTCCTATCTCCTCCTCCATTATACCCTCGTCGATTGATCTCTCTCACCTTATACCAACGACCTCTCAGGGTACCCCCCGCCATCACCAGAAATCCAAGATACCCCCCGTCTCTGTCTCTATGGCATCAGTACGTTCAACCTGCGCCGATGTTTCCAGTATCGGGGCATCAGATTCAAGCTTGACTAACGACACACAGCAAGCACCCGTTCAACCGCGCCAGTATTCCGGGAGTTATCTGCCAAATGGCGGAGCTCCATCAGGCCCCGCTCCTGGCGCAGTTCCTCTTCTTCCAAACCAAGGCCGCGTGATACAACAGGGAAGCACGAGAGTCCTCTGCATTGCTGATGTGCGAGGTACGGAATCACATTACAATCATACGTAGCTTCAGTGAACTGATCATGCGGCAGGCAATCTCCAGTCGCTGAACCAACTCGCCGCGGATGCAAGAGCAAGCTACATCATCCATACAGGTGATTTCGGTTTCTATGACGACCGCTCTCTCGACCGCATTGCCGAAAAGTACGTTCACTACACGCCTAGAAGCTACCATCACATCAGATGCTAATTCAATCAGAACCCTCAAGCATGTCGCACAATACTCCCCCCTACTTTCCGATGCTACCAAGCGCTCTATCGCATCCGCCCCGCCGCAGCCACCAATCAAGGAACGGTTTGTACGGGAACATCTACCGCTCTCCGAGTTACCTCTCTTCTTGAACAAGACCTACACTCTCAATGTGCCTGTATACACGGTCTGGGGAGCTTGCGAGGATGTTCAGGTTTTGGAGAAGCTTCGCTCGGGTGAGTACAAGATCGACAACTTGCACATCATAGATGAAGCCCATTCCCGACTCCTCGATGTCGGCGGCGTTAAGCTTCGTCTGCTTGGTCTCGGTGGTGCCGTGGTCATGCACAAGCTATTCGACAACGGTGAGGGCAGAACCACCATTGCCGGTGGACAAGGCACAATGTGGACTACTTTGCTACAGATGGGTGAACTAGTCGACACCGCAAATCGCGTCTATGATCCTACCGAAACTCGAATCTTCGTCACCCATGCCTCCCCCGCCCGTGAAGGTCTCTTGAACCAGCTTTCTGTCACCCTCAAGGCCGATTTCTCCATCTCAGCTGGCCTTCACTTCCGCTATGGCAGCTCGTACAATGAGTTCAGTGTCAACCCCACTTTGGATCATTACCGTGGAAAGCTTGCTGCTTCCAAGGCGTCTTTCAATGACGTTTGGGATACGGTCAAGTCTGAGGTCGAGCCTGCTGTCTCCGACAGTGAGTCTCAGCAAAGACTGCTGAATTTGGCTATTGAAATCGTCAACAAAATGCCATCCGTCGCACAGGGAGGAAACCCCTTCGGCGGCCCGGCTCCGGGCCCTCAGAGTGGCGTCATTGATGAGTCGGCCTTCAAGAACATGTGGAATTTCAACCTTGCAGATGCCGCCTACGGTTGGCTCGTTCTGGACGTCGACAACGGTAGGATAGGCACGGAGATGAGGGCGCAGGGTTTCAACTTCGCTCATCGCGGTGGCAAAGCTGCACCTGGACAGCCCGCACCTGGACAGCAACCAGTTCCAGCTGTTGCCAGTACTGCCCCGGCTACCGCCCCAAGCCCAGCTGCCCAACCTTCACCCGCCCAGGCACGTGCCAATGTGCCTCCAGCCAGCACTCCCCAACAAGGTGCTCGTCAAGCCGTACCCACTCCACCAATTTCTCAGCAGCAACATATCAAACCCGCAGGACAGCCTGCACGAACTGGTCCATCTCCCGTTCCCGCCGCTACCCCTAAGGAGCCAATCAAGCCAGCAACACCCCAACCCAGTGCTCTTGCCGGTGCTTCGGCGCCTGCGAACGCCGCAGCGGAGAAGGCAATTCCAAGTGAGGTCAAGCCCAATGGAACCTCGGCACCAGAGAAGGGACCATCCTCGCCCGCGCCCAGGGAGCAGGCCGAGAAGAAAGACAGCAAAGCTCTCTTCATTGTCAACGTCAAGGACGAAGAGGAGGCCAAGAATCTCCTCAGCGACGAAGACAAGGCCAAGGTGGAGAAGATTGAGAAGATCAAGCACTTCTATGTGGCGCACTTTGCCACTCCTACCGACATGACCGCCGCCTTCCATCGCATCCCCGCAGAGGTGAAGAACAACAAGTCACCTGAGAAGCCAAGCGTCAAGATCTACCGTGACCCTGCACAGCGATACGGTGCCGGGAGCTGGCAGAGCAGCAGCCGAGGCGGAATCCAAGGCGGGGGATACCGCAGCGGAGGCGCTTCTGACAGTGAGGGAGGTCGCGGGGGCCGAGGCCGTGGCGGATTCCGTGGCGGTGAGCGTGGTGGCCAACGTGGAAGAGGTGGAGGTCGCGGACGAGGATTCCGTGGAGGTCAAGGCGAGGGAGCTTCGGCATCGACTGGCGATTCATGAACGCGTCGATAGTACACCGTCTGTCGCTGCGTTTGGGTTGACTTTGGCTGTTGATCAACATCCGAGCCAGCAGTCATGCCTTCCACTCCAAATGTTGGCGGCTCACAGCTGCGCTTCTGAATCACGCACTTGGCGGAATTCTCATAGTCTCGATCTTTCTTCAGGCTTTTTCTGTGCTGAAGCCGCATAACTCGTCTTAGCGGGCGCAGGTCTTTTGCGTTTCTTCTCATTTTCTTTATCTGCCCCTTGGCGGACGACGGGGCGGGGCGACCGGCGAAGTGGCGGGCTGATTGATTCTTTTGAATCTGGTGTGGATTAAGGGTTTTTCAATGGCCGGTCTTTTTCTTCTGTAGAAAGACTTTGATCCGCATGTACCATCAAAACGACTCCTGGGGCTTGCGTTTCTTTCCAAGGTCGTAGATGGAGAGCGAATCCCACACTGCCTGTGGACTCTTCATAGAGTATGTATTGTAATGGATAAAAGGAAAAGTTGATATAAAAATGTTCTTCGAGTGAGGCCTATATTTGATGTTTAATCGTGACGACTAGACAGCCATCCGTAACATTCTTTGCACATATATCCCTATCAAGATCACCAAACCCACTTACAATATATCACCTTCCTTACACATTACTGCCATCATCCCATAAACCAAACTTACTATTCTCGCAAGTACTACCCCAAGTAGCGTTTCGTCCAGCACCAGAAACAACCACATATACACATAAACACATCCTTCACAACTACCAAAAAAATAGCAACACCTAAATCCCATCATTCATGCCTCTTATAAATCAAATAAACGCTAACATAAAACAAATTCCATTGTTTGAAAAACCTAAAATTAAAAAATAAACAAAAGAGAGAGGGGAGTGGCAGAGAACTCGAAGGAAGAAGTCTAGTCAGAAATGTGAATTCAGGAACAGTAAAGGACAAAGATCGTACCAAATATATTGCAAATGACCTAGAACATAGATTTCGAGCTCCTGGGTAAATTTGGGGTCCTATATGGTATGTTGTAGGATAGTGTTGTTTTTGGATGGGTTTGTGATTGATTGTTTTGTTGGAGTGAACTGAACGTCTGATTGCTATGGTTGACGGTGAAGTGAAATCTTAGTAGCATTAAGAAAGGACAAAAAAAGTCGGAATATAAAGGTGGATTGCGGGAAGGCGGTGGTGAAGATGAATAGATCACTGTGTTGTTCACGGGCATATATGTATATATATGATTTGACATTTTTGGTTCATCCGAAGAATGGATGGATGTGCTGCATTTTATTAGGATATAATAGGTGTTTTCCTCTTTGTTTCTTTACTCTGGATACAGGTTTCTTCTATCCAGATCTTCATTTCTGCATGGCCTCTACCACTTCTGATTCTTCCGAAACTACTAAAGCTCCTCTGTATACTCTGGAGGAATTACACATCCAACAGTCACGCGGGCTTTCATTGCAAGTCCTCCATCTGATCAGCCCAGTTCGTGCGCCGCTCAATTGGTGGTTCCAAGCCAAGAATTTCCTAATAATCGGTGCCTGTAGGGCTGGATGTCGTCGTCGTCGTGTTGGCACAGCATGCTTTGACATTATCAGAATCATCCTACGACCCTTCCACCTGATCGGCCCAACTCTTGCCCTTCTCCATCGGCGATCCCAATCCGAATGACTCTTGCTTGACGAGGCCTGGTCGCTCTGGTTCGGTGGCCTTGATCTCGGATGCTTTGTTTTTGATCGGGAAGTCCAGCGTCTTGGGCGCGTCGCCGGCCTTTTGTGAGGTCGATGGCCCGGATGGGAGCTCGGGGAAGTCGGCCGCTGTTGGTGGCTGTTGTCCCTCGGGCTTCTTGTTTGGTGTTCCTGGGCCATGATGGTCTCCGCGACCCCCTCTACCTCCTCTGCCTCCCCTTCCGCCACGACCTCGTCCCCGTCCGCGGTAAGAAGTAGAGCTTGCTTCGTCGTCTAGTACAGTAGCATCATCTATATGCGAAGCTGCAGGCCGGGTGCTTGGAGCGATGCCTCCGTGAGCTCCTCTCGCTGCACCGCGCCTCCTCTCATCTCCAGTACCACTGAACCCGTCCTCCTTTTCAACATCCCATTCCCGACCGCTCAGCGCATCCAACTTCCTCTGCCTGTTTCGCTCTCGCTCGCCCATCATCTGTTGCCTGTTCTGCCTATCCTGCTTCTGCCTCTCTGCTTGCTGCCTCTTCTTCTCCGCGCTCTGCTTCACCGCGAGAGCCTCGCGTGCCTCGAAGTTCGCTAGATCGGCTTCGGCGCGTGCATGAGCTGCGGCAAGCGTCTCGTTCTTGGACCGCATGGACGCGAGCTTCGCGTTCAGCTCTGACTCCGTCAATCGGGTACGTTGGGGACCTCCGGTCAGGGTTCTGTCGCCCCTAACAGACGTGGGACCTTTCGGCTCTTTAGCAGCAGCGGGGTTCGATGATGCTTCTGTTGATGCGGTCTCCGTATTTTCGGTGGCAGATGTGTCCGCAGGCTCAGCTTCCGCAGGTTTATCCTCCTTCTTCTCGGACTTCTGCTCGGCCTTGACCTCCTCTTTCTTCTCCTCTTTGCGGATGTCGGTGTACTGCGAGCCAGGCGGGGCGTTTCCTCGTCCTCTGCCCCGTCCTCCGGCTCCGCGTCCCCTTCCCCGCCCTCTTCCGCCTCTATCGCCGTTCGCTGGGCCTCGGGGTATTTGTTGCGGTGGTTGTGGCTCGTGGTGTGGCGCAATGGCCGCTTCGGGCGCATCAACGGGTTCGTCAAGTGGTATCACGACGGGGTTTGCTTCCAGAACTGGCTCGGCAATGGGAGTGAAGTCGTCGTCGAAGAACAAATCGTCGGTCGACGCGGTTTGCGCGAATGAGTCCATTGAAGGGTCGGCATAGCTATAGTCGTATGTCGTTGTCTCGGGAGGTAGCTATGAGGATGTTAACTACCATCTTCCAGGAGCAGAACTTCAACATGAGACTGCATGGCGATATACAAGGACAATTTGAGAGTAGGAAGAGCAGAGAAATCACGAACCGGTTCAGACTGGGTAGGTTGAGCTACTGGGGGAGTAGATTCAACTTGCGCTTCTGGGGCTTTCACTTCCGTCGGCGCAGCTGGTGGCGGTGGTTTCTGTTCTTCAGGTTGTTGCGCCGGCGTGCTTGGGGTCGACGCGGGTTTCGGTGACTTGGTGGGCTTAGGAGCCCATCTGGAGGACTGCATTTTTTCTAGTGGAGGAGGGTATGGCGTCTGAAATAATTAACAATACGTTGAAATAGAAAATCCTAGACTGTCAGTGAACGAGTTGTTCACGGGGAACCGATGTAGGCTAGTCCGGGTCGGGGTAAGCGCGGGGCAGGGACATTTGTCCCCAGACTTCATGCTAAACATCCATCCATCCCGTCAGGTACCTGACCTGAACACTGGAATAGGAGTGATCGGGGGTTGCTTCAAAGGGCATTATTACAAATCTGATCAAAGCAGCAATGCCCAAACCCCAGAACAGTGCTAGTTGCATAGGAGCTGCAAGTCTCACATATGAGTGCACAACAAAAGCTGACAACCAAAGACGATGCCTCGGTCGGCGGTGCATATCCCCTCACTATTATGACGCCGGTTCTCCTTAACCGGCCTACCTAATTAAGAGCTGTACGATCGAATCGAAGCTGTTGCGTAAGTATTCGTATGTAGGACAGAGAACTACAGCGGGGTCTCTACATAACATGAAGCCCTCTTCCCATTATAGATCAATATATACCAACTTGAGCTCGTTCTTGAACTTATATCTTACTTGATACCTAAGTTGGACCAGAGTTCATATCCTCATATTGATATCCATTTTCCACCATGAAAGCCGCCCAATTCTACGGCAAACGCGACATCCGCGTGAATGATGTCCCCAAACCCTCCCCCCTACCTCACGAAGCCCTCGTCGCCATCGAATGGAGCGGAATCTGCGGTTCCGACCTCCACGAATACCTAGTTGGTCCTCACGATCCCCCATCTCCCTACCACACCCTCAAATTCTAAACATAAACACCACAGGACCACTCGTAATCCCCACGAAAGACAACCCACACCCCGCAACCCACGAATCCCTCCCCGTAACCCTCGGCCACGAGTTCTGCGGGCGCATCGTGTCCGCGCCCGAGGGATCACCCCTCTCCCCAGGCCAACCCGTCTCCGTCGACCCGCGCATCTTCTGCCGCTCCTGCACGCGCTGCTCCGAATCCCACACAAACGCCTGCCGCACATGGGGCTTCAAAGGGCTGTCCGGCTCCGGCGGCGGGTTCTCCGAGGCCGTCGCCGTCGACGCGAAGCTGTGCTACCCGCTGCCCGAGCACGTGGATCTGCGGCTCGCGGCGCTGATTGAGCCGTTGGCCGTCGCGTGGCATGCGATTGCGATTATTGGCGATGTTGACTGGACGACGACGAGCGCGCTGATTGTTGGGGGTGGGCCGGTAGGCATCGCGCATATTCACTGTTTGCGCGCGAAGGGGTGTAGGAGGATCTTTGTGTCTGAGCCTACGGCGACGCGTGCGGCCCAGAACAGGGAGTTTGCGGACGAAGTGTTTAATCCGATTGAAGAGAATGTTGGAGACCGCGTGAGGGAGTTGACGGGCGGAGAGGGGGTGGATATTGTGTTTGATTGCGCGGGAATTCAGAAGGGGTTGGAGGCGGGGATGGATGCGTTGAGGCATCATGGGACATATATGAATGTTGCGGGGTGGGAGACGCCTGTAAGATTCTGGGTTTTTTGTTGATGTTTGATTGTGGGCTAACTGATGGGTTTAGATGAACGTTCCGGTTGGGTTGTTCATGTTGAAAGAGATTCACATGAGGGCGAGTTTGTCGTACACTGATCAACACTACAAAGAGACAGTGGATGCTTTCGTTGCCGGTAAGTCGACTGAATCCACTACCCTCGTACTGCCATCTAACATTATTTTGCAGGCAAATTCAAAGGCGTGGAGAAAATGGTCACCAGTCGCATTCACATTGACGACATCTCGACGAAGGGATTCGACGAGCTCGTTGCGAATAAGGATAAACATATCAAGATCCTAGTCACAGCGCACAAAGATAAGTTATAAAACACAGAAATATATCGAAAGTTGCAAAGACGAATATGAGACTGCATAGTAATGTCCAGCTCACTTACATCCCAAAAAGGAACTTTAAGATATCTTGCTAAACCTTAGTCGAAAACGAAGTCAAGGACAACCAAAAACAAAGGATTTGAGAAGATGTATACTGTGTATATGGATTCATGATTGAATACATATATGTCTACTGCCATGCTATCAACTGAAAACATCAACGCTATGCAGGAAACGATTATCGTACGTCAATGCTAATATATATCTGCAAGATGCCACACAATCCCCCAATATGCATCAAGTAATAAATCCATCGACTCCGCCATGCAAAAATGAAAAACAAAAAAAGCATCAACGCCATTTACAATCCCATATAAGCCCATGTATATATATGTACCTCGCCCCAGTGCGTGTGTGTATCTTCCGGGGGACTATTTTAGATATCTACCACATCATATCTCGTTTATAACTCTCGGGCAGGCCCAGCTTCTCGAAATCGTCTAGCTCCATGGGACAGTCGAAGTCCCAGCTGCTCTTGTCGCTGACGTCTTTGGGGAGGATGCCTGCGGCGCGGCCTTTCTTCCAACTCCACTGGGTTGCCTTTTCGGTATCCCATGTCCAGTAGAACCAGCCCCAGCCGTATTCGAAACTGATCATCTGAGCGACGGCGAACTGGTAGAGGAACTTCTTGTAGGCGTCGCTGTAGTCGCCGGGGGCGGCGTTTGCTCCGTCGCAGGAGCATGTGGTGGCTGGACATTGGGGCTTGAGGACGGAGGTGGATGCGTTTCCGGTGTTGAAAGTGCCCTCCCATCGGGTTCCTTTGCCGACGTTGTTGATGAATTGAGTGCAATCCGTATCGGCCTGAGACCATTCACCGCACATGGTAGGGCCAAATCCAGTCTTTTTGTCCATGGAACGTTTAGACTGGGCCGTCCAGCCACGGCAGGCAAAGTTGAGTTTATCGGTGTGTTTGAGGGAGATTTGGTCGACGTTGAAGATGACGTATTGATGGACGTCAAGGAGAAGCATGTCATCGTTTTGGAGCTTGCCTTGCCAATTGTCGAGGCCGAAAAAACCGTCGCCGAAGACGAGGACGGCAGAGATGTTGTCTTTGCGGATTTGGCTGATGGCTTTCTCGGTCCAGGAAATCACGCTTGGAGTATCGATCTCCACCATTCGGGGCTCGTTGACCAGGCCGTACATGGTTACGATGTTCTTGTAGCGGGGCTGGGCAAAGAATTGCGATAATTGATGATGTACGTCGAGAGTACGTTGCGCGTTGAGTTCGCCATCGGTACCATTGAGCCAGCCGATCACACCCTGACGACCAGAGTGGTTCCATCCGTTCTGAGACCCTGGTGCGCCGTGAAGGTCGAGATTGATGCGGAGTCCATTCTCACGAGCCCACTCAATGCCACGGAGTAGATATCGCCATGACACTTGTTTGACATAAGGGTCTCCTTCATAGGTGGTCACGATCCAGTATCCAAAGGGTATGCGAACGTGATCGAATCCTGCTTCTCGGATATCCTTGAAGGTTTGCTTTGTGACGAAGGTGGCATAGTGCTTTTCTAGGAAAGACTTGCACCTTTCTCCAAGACGGGTGCAAAGCGTGTATTCGTCGACAATATTGTCACGCTGGGTGTACGAATCGAAGAAGGATGGGGTGATGAAAGGCTCCAGGTTCAGCCATCCACCAACGTTGACACCTCGGATGGGCATCTTGCCATATTCGAACGCTTTGTTCAGCTTGGGTACCTTGTCGTTAGCCTGCACATTGTCATCGTATTTGTCGAAAAGGCCCATGACTGGTAGTCCGCCGACCGTTTTATCCGTATACGTCACGTTAAAATCCGCCGTATCATACCAAGAGAATGGATCTAGTATGCCCCCTTTAGCACTATCTGGAATGCTGGCTGGGTCGATGTCTTTGAGGTTGCTCTTGCTGGGTTCTCCATCGCCCGATGTACTACCACCACCTCCACCATCATCGCCGCTGTTTTTCTTGGACACCATAACTGCGACAGGAATGATAATCGCAAGAGCGAGAAGCACGGCTATCACTCCAATGACTACAGTTTCGTATTAGCATTTACACATGTAGGGTTCATAGCAGAATCTACTCACTGATCTTCTTCCTCTTCTTCTTCCTAGCAGCTTCCTCTTCAGAGAGCTCAGAAGGAGCTTTGCCCGCGCCTCCTCGTTTCTCCATCATGTACCGGTACTCATCGTCATCATCGATGCCTCCTTCTTCAGCGAGGGGACCACTAATCACCCTCCGATTCTTCTGCTCCGTTCTGTGCCTCTTCTCTTCGCGTCTGCGCTCGCGTCTTTCAGCCCTCTCAGATGGGGTATATTTCTCCTCATATCGTCTCCGTCTCTCGTCCCGTTCTACGTCGGTGAAGCTTCCTCTCCTGCCTCCGCCCCGTCCCTCATCATCTGTATGGGCTCGCCTCCTCTCCCTCTCCTCTCTCCTCATTCTCTCCTTCTTCAACCTCGCCGCCTCCTCGGCCGCAAGACTACTCTCATACGCTTTCCTCTTCGCCTCTTTCTCCTCCCTCGCTCTCTGCTCCTCCTTCTCCCTCCTCTTCTCCTCCCTCTCTTCTTTCACCCTCTGCTTCTCAAGCTTCGCCTCCTTGTTCCTGACCTCCCTCAGATAATCCTCGTCGTAATCGTAACCCCTCCACCCCGCCTTCTTCGCATTATGTTTATCCAATTTCGCCAGCGCATCAAGACTCAACGGTTTCCCACTATCCCTCGAACTGCCACCAGGCGTCGCACTGGACCGTCTCGATCTCCTCGGCGTCGACCCCTCCTCCCTCTCCCACTCCGACTCCGACTGTCTTCGCCGCGAGGCTCCTCGCGCAGCTGCCGGGGACGCACGCGGCAGCAGCGCGTCGCCTTGCGAGTCCGTGGCCCTGTGGCCCTTCCGCCGCCGGCCATGTTCGTCGCGGGAGCCGTCGCGGGGACGTCGCGGCGAGGGTTGCTGCGAGGAGTTGCGCGCTTGTTGGCGACGGGCGCGGTCTCGCTCGCGGCGGCGGCGCTCGCGCTCGACGTCGCGGTCGGAGTCGGGTTCTGGGTCGTCGCGCGGCATTGTGGTGGTCGCTTTCGCTGGGTCTATCGTCTATTGTGGTATGTGTGTCTTCGTGGATGATTGTAATGGCGAGGGTTGTAGCTGTGTAGCTATGATGGTATGTCGGACCTTCTCTGTTCTCCTTTCCCCTTCCCCTTTCTTTTCTTTTCTTTTCTTTTCTAATCCTCAATGCGTGTTTGGAAGTCGAAACGGTAGGCCTTATCTATCGAAGAACGCTCGCTGGAAAGTATACACACAAATAAAAGCGCTCGGACGTTTCAATCTCTCACAAGCAAGTCGCCATCCACACAGGAACAGAAACCACTCGTCTCACACAGTCTCGATAGCGTAGGTACGTACACGTATGTATGTACAATGGCAATCCACCAATTTAAGACGACATAGGTATGTTTTTTCTTTGGGAGACCCGCCGGCCGGGGGGGAAGGCGGTGACGCTTGCCGCAGTTGGTGACGCTGTGACGCCGTGACGTTGGCGGTCGCGTTGCTATGGGGATTGCGCCCAGGCGAGACTTGGGGGGGTTTGGCGCCGCGAACTCGAGCCTCTGCGTACTGTGTAGTGTGTACTGCACGTAGCCGTGTGCCGGGATGCCGACTTTATTTCCTCGGGGGCATCCCCCTGCACTAAGCAAGTTAAATCTTGGATTTTGACTATGGACTGGGTAGGCATTATTGGGACTATTGAAGGAGGAGAAAAAGTTGGAAAAGTTGGTTTTGGGGTCTTTGTTTTCTGTTATTGGGGTTTTGTTTTTTTTGGGAGGGAGCTTGGGACTTGGTAGAGGCTGTGTTTCTGGGGAAATGGGACGGAGAGGGTAGGTTAGGGTGCTGGGCGAGATTTGGCAGGGGAAAGGGAGGTGATGAATCTAGCATTGGCTGGACTTTAGAGATATATGGATATTGTGTATATCTATATTACTATGTAGTTGTCTACCTGGATAATCATATGTATTTCGAGAATAGGAGGAGCGTAGAGATTCCTCGCCGGCCCAGTACTCCCACGTGTATATATCAGCATGACACGGCATGTCTCAGTACAACACCGATACCCCGCCGCCCATCTAAAGCAAGAGGTCGAAACGATGCGAACTGAGATCTGAACCTACGAAACAAAAACATACTCGGTATACGTTAGATACAGGCACCTCCTCCTTCCGAAGTAAATAGGTAGGAGGGTATGTAGTGGATATGAACGACGGCGAAGCGGGAAGTTTGGGCGACACTCACCTCATTGACACAAGGGTTACATATGCAGGAGAGGACTCAGAAGAGGGAAGGCTTCACAGGGTACAGACGAAATGACGTTACCTTTCGTACTCCGTTGCCCAACTCTGCATTTTTATCTACAGCAGTTAGGGGCAGTACAAAGTATATCGATTTCACCTGTTGCGTGCTGGGGTGCAATGTGTACACACATATATAGTCACTCATCGGAGAAGCTCAAAGGTTTGACAAGTGTAAAGTAAAGGCTTGATGACATTTCATGCTACTTTCATCGCATTGACTGACTGACTGACTGACTGAACTGGCTATCTTTGTTTATGGGTGGTATTGGTGGTATCATGGGTGTTTAATGCTTCTGACAAAAAAGGATATAGAATACGTACAATGGAAAAAAAGAAAGGCAAAAGGGAAACCGTGAAAGGGAAGGAGAGGAGGTATTCTTCGCCTTTTTGAAAGGCTGGATTACGCTGTGGGGGGGGGGTGTCTAGTCGTGCGTGATGTCGTCGTTCGTGTGGCGGTGGCTAGCTGGCGAACGCTACATGGTGGTCCGCCGGGTGGATGTAGCCTTGAGGATGGAAGTAAAGCCATGAATGAAGAGTACGGCCTGCGCCCGATGATGTGTTTGGTAGTTGTTGTTCCATGTTGGTAGTTGCCTGGTTTGGCGACGCTGCGTCGCGCGGGTCGTTCGTCGGCGAGGACTGGGGCGCGGCGGGATGGATGTGTGTATCGTTATATCCCTCTCCCTCTTTGCATGGCTGTCTGTCTGTCTGTCTATGTGTATAGAGTAAGATTTGACAACGTGCTGATATCTATTGTTCAAGCACGGCGCTCAGATGCCCCGTTCAAGAAGTCGCCGCGATCGATGAGCCGGCGGGCGCGGATTCGCTCGCTGCCTTCTCCTTGCCCTTCTCCGGCTGCTTCTTCTCGTCGTCGGCGTACAGGCCGTGCTCGTAGATGTAGTCGACGACCTTGTCCGGGATGTAGTAGCGGATGCTCTTGCCGCGCTTTCGGAAGAGGCGGATCTTGGTGGACGAGACGTCGTTTTGGATCAGTTGCGGGATCACTCGGATGTTCTCTCGCCATTGCTGCAGGCTGACGAGTGCGTCGTCTGTGGGTGCGTTAGTGTGTGTGTGCGCATTGGTTTTTCGTGAGTGTCATGGTACGTACCGATATCTGTGCCGCTGCGCTCCAGAATGAAGGCACCGTAGTGTCCTAGAATCCTACTCAGATCTTCCTTGGCCCACAGTCCCGGCGTGCTCATCGTCTGGATCAGATCTGCGCCCGCGAGCAGGGCGACGTGGATCTGCTTCTTCTGGCCGGTGGAGTCGTCGATTCCCCCTCGGACCTTGTTCAATTCGTAGTCGAAGTGGTCCAAAACCTTCACCGTGGGCAGGTATTCCTTGTGGAGCGGCTCCCAGGGGTCGACGCCGATCCAGGTGGAGCTGTCGCGCACGGCGATTCTCGTCATGTTGATGCGGTGGTTTGCGGAGGCGAGGCCGGCCTTCTTATAAGCGTCTCCGACGGGACTGAAGAATCCTCCGATGACCTCGAAGTCGGTCTCGAATTCGCAGTAGTCTGCGGCCTCTTCGAACATGCGCAGGTGCAGGTTGGTGGGAGGGGAGAAGGAGCCGCAGGATACGAGGACGAGGGGTGTCTTGTTCGGGCTCGACATGACGGTCTTTAGTCGCTCGGTGGGGAATGTGTAGGTGTCGAGGGTCATGGTTTCGGTGGAGTCGATGTCGCTGGCCAGTGTTGGCTGAGGGACGTCACCGTTGGTGAGTGTGGTGGGGTTCATGGCGGGCAGAGGGTGAGAGGGTGTCGAACGGGGAGTTGATGTAATCGACGACCCGGCGAAGTGTCTCCGAAGGGAGATAAGAGGAGACAGTCGAGTGTGAAGTGGACCGGATGTATTTCGAAGTAGTGGTGGTGATGGTACGAGTAAGCGTAGAGTGTGGGCAGAGACTAAGTTGTAGCGCTGAATGGGTGGGTGGCGTTAGTGGAGGAAATTGTCGAAAGAAGGGTCCAGCGTGGATGTTATATGTATTCCAAGTTCGGAAAGATATGTATGTATGTAGGGTAGGTATGTACTTTTTTATGACAAGGGGACAGAAAAGGTAAAAGAATTGCGTACCGGTTGAAGGATGCTGGTGCCACTGGTACTGATAGAAAGTGTCCGGATTATGGCGGTGCAGCTAGTTGAGGCCGGTGACTGGCTGATGGGATTGGGGGAGGGAATGATTTGCGATGGGCGACGGGCGATGACGCGGGGGCCGAGGGATTGTCGGTAGGACGAGTTATACTGCGTAAAGGACAAGCCACGGGGATAGGGATTATGGTCGGAGAATGTAAGAGGTGAGGTATGTTACCTAGATGACGATGATGATGTTGTTGTTGACTGCCGGCCGGTATCAGATGCAGGTGATACTTGAGGGTTAGCTGCTGTATGGCTGGCCCTATGGCTTCGTTTGGTGGGGGAATCAAGGGAGAAGAGAGTCGCCGATGGTGAATGGTGAATGGTGAATGGCGAATGCGGGCAGATTGTGGATGGCGAATTGTCGAATGGCGGGGTCACAGTCTTGTGTCACCCAAGTGTATGCGATTGCCAGTGCGTGGGTGCCTGTGATGTGCAGCAATCGATTCGCTTTCTACTGTGTAATGCTACGAGTACTTTAATCGCCTCAAGCTATGTACGATTGCCAGGACGAAGTTGATCAATAGATATGAGGTGGGTATTCGTAGTATTAATGCAAAACCTCTTCAAAGTAGGGCCGAAGGGCGAGCGGAGTTATTGTAGTGTGTGAGGGGGTGGGTGGTGGTGGTGGTGGTGGAAGGGAAGAAAAAGGTTCGAGCAGCGCGGGCGGGATCGCGACATTTGTACTCAGACACACCCTTTTGCAGAGCAGTCGTATTGTATTGTTCAGTCGGATTCACAATTCCACCCGCTCGCTGTAGTTCAGTCACAGCCTAACATCTAATCCACATTCTCACTAGCGACCTTTCATGGATGGGATTATGGGATGGGATGAATGGGGAGGGAATAGGCGCCATTATTGTAGGGAACATTAATGGGATCATGGGCCAGGATGGGGGTTGAGAATTGCCTTTTTCTTCTGGTGGTGACTCGCAACGATGGCCTCTCTATGGTCTGCGCAGTAAAAGGCCTCGACTACCGACCAGTGACCTAGTGACTACCCGGCCGGTTACTTTACTTACTGTGACTGACTGACTGACTGACTGACTACTTCGACTACGACTTCTCTCTATGGCTAAACCACCACTAGTAAGCCCTTAGGGTTGTCTAACTTCTGCCAGGCCATGCCCTTGATCCGTAACTCGGGGCTGGCGATCGTTGACTGTCTGTCTGTCTGACTGTCTGTCAGTAACCGGTGCCTGGTGGAGGTTTACGACTACTATTGTTTGAATGAAAACGACGGCGTCCTGGCAATGTTTCATTGTTGAGAGAATTCCTAGTTTGTCTTGAAACACTACCTGAAGGGAGGAAACTTCAAGAGTGTACACAATGTTAGCATGCTGTGGTTTTTGCTCTGTACTGACTGACACTGGACATGTTGAGACCCAGGAGGGAATGGATGCTACGAGTAACCATCATGCTCAGTAAACATTTCGCTCTTACTACACATCAGTAGTGCATATGTACCTCCACCAAGAACTGGCAGAAGCTCCAACTACAACTGTAAGAGAGATGAAATAAAACAACAGCGAATCGACTCCTTGCCGATGAATCAACTCATTCTTGCATCTGCCACTGTCAATTCGCAGTAACAATCGACATCGGCCTCCTCCGATTTTCCGATACCTGCCCACGAGGTACCTTGTACATACATGTCCCCCAAGACCTTCGTTCCCCACCGGCCCGCACCATCGTATCCTCTAGGCAAAGGTTGCCTCTCATCTGCATCTAGGAATTGTAGCAGCAGCTGCTTGCGAGAGAGCGAGATGGGCTGTTTCTGGAAATGGGAACCTTCGCCGCTTCGGAGGTCTCGTCTTCTTCCTCCCCACCATCGTAGCTATTTGCGGTATAGTAACTTCGGAATACTGTCTTGTGTAGGTACTCAGTACGCACACAGAGGCACACAGGCTACACAATATGTAAACTCCTACACCACCTACATACCTACCGAATCCCATCCATAGACAATCCCGATACTTCCCCCTCACTGCAATTCCCCACACGACTACGAAGTAACTACTACGTGCACTGCATGAGAATGACCGCAACTCGTGACAAAAGTACCGGGTACCCCTCACGTGCCGAACGCGCCGCTTTCGGCCTGGTCCACCTTTTCCGATTTCTTGCTTCCCCACGCATCTGAACTTCTAATTACCACCGAAAGACCTTTGGCAATATCTATTCGATACTATTATTCTTATTATTCTGATTATAATTCTCTTGTGATGAACACAGCGTACAAGGCTACATAGATGCTTGACGAGATGCGCGAATAACGACTGCAGTCCCAACCGGATTGCCTTTTCTGTCTTCCGGGTATTTTTCCAACGTGTGCGCGTTCAATGTCCACTGTCCAGCTCGACAGACGCTTAGCAATCACTCTTTTAAAGTTAGCAAAAAGACATGCCTTTTCCATTCCAGACCGTCGGCCGTGTGGGCTTTTCCCCAATATTTCGTCATTCAGCGGCCGTCGCGTGCTCCTCCCCTCCTCCTTACGAAAGGGGGGGCAGTTGTGTGCTACACTTGGGTACGTGATTATTGGTTGTTTGTACTGGGATTGGATTATACTTGGACTATTTTTATAAAAAGGGGGGTTTTTAAAATTATTATGTAAGTATATACTTTATAATTTAATAAAGGGTTTGTAAATTTTTCTACTATTCTAAATATATAGGTACCTAAGCTTAGGGTACTTAGGTACTATACTTGCACATGATGCATGCCACTGCTAACGTCCTAGACTTCATGAACAGAGGTTATATCCAAACGATCATGTCCTAAGCGCATGGCTGCGACAATGTCTTTGCAGCAGGCGAGATATTCAGTTCAGAAAGACAAAGAACGTTTAGCTTTATGCCATGTCAATGATGCAGGTAAAGAGATGTGCGGCACTACATCTTACTGCTGTACCTGGGTACCAAGGTAAGTAGGTATTTTACATCATCTGTCACATTACAAATTGATATCTGAATAATGGTTTCATGTAACTTCTTTCCAATTCCTGTAGACCGACTTAGACCTCTCCTAAATCCGTACTCCCTTCCTCATCACCAAAGTGTGTACCGTCGAGCGAGCTGCCCCTCAGAGTGTGCCCATTCATCTCACCACAAAGTAGAAAGCTTCGGTTATCAAATTGCCCGCGAGTTCGACAACTCCCCTTTGAATCAAGAGTAAGAGCAGCAATTCAGGAAGATCTTGTGCGTTCTGGCCTGTAGTTCTCGTGCCTTACACTCTGCGTCACTCTGTCAGTGTCCACTTCACAACATAAGTAAAGGTCGAAATCGAACCGACTTCGACGACAGGAGATGGAGTCCTTACCCCAGTATCGGAAAGCCCAACCATCACTCCGTATGATCCTTCCAATCCGGCCATTCATACCCCGGCGCACGTGTAAAATCATTCAACATCGCCCAATACAGCGACCCAAGCAATCCCAATTCACACAGCGTCAAGCCCGCAACACACTCCACTACATCTTTCCAGGGTAAATGATTATAAAATATGGCGAAACTGGCGCAATACACATTGAGAAAGATAGAGAAGCAACACCCATAAATGAGGCCCATGACCTGCTGTGCTTGGAGGACCTGGCTACGCGGTGGGCCGGTCTGGAAGATGCCGTATTTGTCGGGGATGCCGAGTGTTTGGGATTGGATGCGGTAGCCGGATGTTGCGAAGGATTCGAGGTAGGGATTGATACTGCCATTGACGACTGCACCCGCAAAGAGTCCCTTTAGTGTTGTGAGCGTGTTGGTGAGGGTTTGGAGGAGCATGTTGCCGGTGGGGATGGGGATTGACTGGAGTAGGAGTTGCAGTTGCGGCAGCGTGGGCGACGGTGACGGCGTCAGTGAGGATATGTTAGATGAGTAGGTGAGGTTACAAAAAGTTGCGGCATGCGTTGCCTTTAAATGACTACGAGTAAAATCCCACGGGAGTAGTTGTCGATGAGAGGAGTACCAAGGTACTGCTGGCTCAACACGCCTAATGTGGAATGTCGGATGGGACCCAATAACCAAATACCAAAAGGAAAGTCCCTTTCGTAAGACCCAATGGTCTACGAGGCGGGCTTTCGGGTTATACCGTGCCATCGAGATTGGATCGACATATGACTGGAAGCCTGGGATACTTATATCGGCCTTTCTTTCGCACTGTCTGATTAGAGGCTGGCCCCAGGAATATATTTCCCGTTCCAACACGCTGTTCCACTTTGCTTTTTTAATTGGATCTCACTGGATAAAGGTTGTAATACATCCGTGTTCACCTTTATTGCCATAGTTACTATAGATATTACGAGCATGGGATATCAGAAACCCAATGCCACAACACTGGAACACTGGGCTGGACCATTGTGTTTATGATCGTTACGTAGGTACGTATAATATTCCGCTATTCGTTTGTAAATGCGTATCCATAAACATACAGAGCTCACGTTAACCCTCTTTTGCATCGTGTTTCTTCCTCTCGCCATCGTTGAGGAGGTTGGGAACGAAAAGAAAAGAAAAAGAAACAGTGTTGAAGCCGCGAAATCCTCTAAAGCCGCGAAGCCCTCTGGTGTTTCTGTGTACTCTGAAGCCCCTCTGTACCCATTAAAGTCAAAAGCCACCTGATATCCACTGCGCCCACTGAATGAAAGGCCTGCATTCCCCCAATCTGCATCAGGAAAGCGACCAGGACAAGTAACTCCACACTCTTTGCACAATCTTGGATCTTACTCTCCCTTTGCGAACTACAATGGCGTAATCAGATGGGTGAGGATCCCGAAAGAAAAGCTCCCGCTTGCCTACCAGGTGGATTGTGCACTCTCAATATGGCAAACACAAGACCTCTTCGTTGCTCCTACACTCGCCGATTGCTACTCATGGCTTGTAGTAGAACTTGAACCCGTGTTTCCTATCCAGGCAATCTATCTTACTTTAAACGACGTGAATCGGATCATCGACATGGTGCAGTGGGTGGGTAGCCCTCTCGAACTTTGCTGTGCTTCATTCCCAATTTCAGTCTCTGCATCAAGTCGTCATCGCTCACAAGTTCGACCTTGACGTTTAAGAGACGCTCGCAAAGTTTGTAGGATGTTCGTCGTCGTTGTCATTGTTGCGTAGGTTTGGCGTGCTGGTTGAAATCTGCTTCCGAGATCTGACTTATTTACTAAGAAGAATATACGACCCTAAAAAATTACTTTAATAACCTTATAGTTATAAATCTATTTATTTAGTTTTAAATATTTAAAAATTAAAATTTTAAAAATCAGTTAAATAAATATATTCTTATTTATTCGAATATTGCAGGTATACTTTTAGAAACCTATAGCTATAAGATGGCGCTAGTGAGGTGGATGGTCTATGGCATCCTTGAAAGACCTTGCATTCATTCAACGCAGAATTGCGCCATCCGCGTCCGTGGACGACAACATGTCATGTATCCCTCCGCTGGGAATACAACGGTTACACGGGATCTGCTGATCTCCGAGTTCTCTTAATTTTTCTGTCTTCTCCTTTTCCCCAACATCCTTTCCTGTGAGCAAGGGAGGAAATAGACTGCGGCGCTTCGCTTCCACCAACCGCCGTAGGGCTAGGGCTGGTCCGGCGGGTATGGCTGATTAAGTATTAGGGACCAGCTTTGTGCTCTGGCTCTGTCGTCATAGAGCACTTTTGTACCATGAAGCATTGTTGCTGGTGAGTATTTCGACAAGGGCATAATATACAGATAACGGGGTTCGTAAGGAGTGAGTGGTTGCATAGGTGGTAGCAATCATGATTATCTTGACTGAGCCATGTGGTACGACATGCAACTGGGTAAGGTTTGAGTCTATCGAACTCTACAGTCCACAAATAGATAACCCGGCATGCCCAAGTGTATCGATCTGCAATGAGATGAGATATATCGTAATGGTATGTAGCCATATTCTGAATTCGTTTTCTAGTCAGATAGTGTTGACTACCTCATTTGGGCAAGTAAAGCTTTGCTGTGTCGCATGTACTACCAAGCCGGGCTTGATTTGATTGATGTCGTTAATTGTGACCTGGTAGTGTTTCGTAGACGTGAACAATGCCCGCCCCATGGAGTAGATAATAACTTCCACCTCCATTTGAGAAGAAGAATAACGATGTACCGAGTGATGGGTGCCACTCGTGAACTTATCGGTTCCTATCGTGGAAGAAACTGGTGAAGTATCTGCCTGTATGGTGCATGGCATGGCATGGCATGTCTCTCTTTACTGTGTACCTAGGTGGAGGAAGCAAGCGGAGCGGGTCCCCAAGCTATTATTACCTTCGACGCTGTGCCATCCGGGCTAACCCTACACAGTAACCAGCCAACCACTGCCTGTCACAGTCCATCACTTGCAACCTCCAATCTTTCCGCGAACCGCAAACACCCCAACACCATCCACCTAACCACCTAACCACCTACCTACTACCTACTACCTACCATCACCACCACTGCCATCATCACCTCTACATCCTCCTTCTCTTTCTCTCCCCGCTTCCCTCCCAACATCCCCCGCCTTAATCACCGCTCTTGAATCCTCCTTCCGCCATCCGGCTCGGAATCCTCCACCTCCATTCACTTCCCGAATAACTACAACAGGCAAATCATCATCACCTCATTCACTACAACCGCCCGACCCTCTCCGCACCTGCTCGCACGGCCTATGGCGTGGCTACAGCACTCTTAATGGAAAGGGAACGTCGACCAACATCTGGTTTTCGAAACGGCCCATCTTCCCCTTCTACGACCTTGCCTCCCAGGTAAATAAACCCACTCTTTCCTCGCTATCTCCCCTTCTACCATTCTGCCAAACTCTTCCCCCCCCCCGCAAACCATCCCTCCTCTCTTTGTGTCGTTCAACACTAGACACACAACAGCACTATCATTTCTCTATCTATCTCTCTCGCTTTCACCTTCTCTATCTCTCCATCCTGCCACTCCGGCATACTTTCGCTTGCTTCTTCGGTAGGGCACTTTTCAACACGCCACTGGGCCTGCCCTGTCTTCTTGACTCGCGAGGTTGCTAGATAAATCACCAGAACAACTTCTCATGTCGACCAGAGTCACTCGCTCCTCCGCGAGACGTTCGGCGGGTACAGCGAATCCAAACGAACCCACCTCCCCCGACACTCAGCTCCCATCCCACCCTCCACCTCCCACTTCCGTCCGCAAACGAAAGGTTGCTGCTCGAGGGTCAAGCCCCGAACAGCCCGCAGATAACGAACCGGCCCCGCCAACTCGCGGTGGCCGTGCTAAGCGCACGAGACTGGAAGCTCAGGATAACTCTACAGCTCCGACCCCGGCCAGCTCGAAGAAGGGAAAAGCAAAATCGGCAATGTCAGATAACGGGTATGATATGAGTTCCGAGCACACTCGAATGGGTACACTGACCATTTCAAGGCCATCAGAGCCCATTGAGGACAAATCTACACCACAGGCCGAGGCATCCTCATCACGACGAGGCAAGACTGGGCGTAGAGGGGCCCATGTACCTGCATATCTCAGGCGCCAGTCCAAATCTGCGAATGTCGCTGGTGATGCAGATAGTCCCAGCGGAAATCGACCCTCCTCCTCTCGTCGAGCTCCACGCAAGGCCACTCCCCCAATCGATGACGATGACGATGACGAAGACGTGACCATGGAAGAGGCACCAGCCGCGAGGAAGGAAGGCGATCGGCGACATTCCAACTCTGATATCGGCTCCGGACGGCCAAGTATGAGTGAGGGCAGCGCTGAGGGACTGGGGGATAGATTCGACGAGGACGACGAGGACGAGGATGAAGATGACGATGATGACGACGACGATGACGGGTTCGTGGGTAGCTTTCTCGGACGCGGTTCCGCACAGTTGGCTGCCCTTCGAGCCATCACTGGACAGCTATCAGGCCAAAGCACCCGGCTACGCAACATCCTCGAACAGCTCAAGACCAGGGATCCGTCTATGCAACTCATTGCCCTCCAGGACCTTTCTGAACTGCTGCTCATGGCCACCGAGGACACATTGGCGGGCAGCTTTTCTCCCGATCCGTTTGTGAAGGAACTGGTGGAGCTCATGAATCCGAGTCCTTTTGGCGAGGAAAACCCCGAAATGATGCTTCTTGCGTGCAGGTGCCTCGCAAACATGATGGAAGCGCTTCCTCAATCGACCGCCAACGTGGTATACGGCGGCGCGGTCCCCGTCTTGTGTTCGAAACTCCTCGAGATTAGCTTCATTGATTTGGCCGAACAATGCCTGAGCACGCTCGAGAAGATCTCGGTGGAATTTCCGTCTGCAATCGTTCGCGAAGGCGGTTTGACTGCCTGCTTGACATTTCTCGACTTCTTCGCCACCAGTACACAGAGGACAGCTGTCACGACTGCTGCAAACTGCTGTCGGAATATTCCTGAGGAGTCGTTCCCCACGGTCCGGGATGTGATGCCTATTCTCAAGGATATTCTGAATAATAACGACCAGAAGGTGGTCGAGCAAGGCTGCATCTGTGTATCGAGGATTGTCCAAAGTTTCAAGCACTACGAGGCCAAACTTGAAGAGCTTGTTAGCCCGGAGCTGCTGCACGCTATCTTGCGACTGCTTCTTCCAGGAACCACAAATCTCATTGGCCCCAATATCCATACCATGTTTCTTCAAGTTCTTGCGTACACGGCGAAGGCAAGCCCTAGACTTTCAGCCGAACTTTTCAAGATGAACGTCGTGGATACCTTGTACCAGATTCTTACAGGCGTGTCTCCTCCGACTGGTACAGAGGATGTCGGAACCAAGATTGATAGTGTAGTCATCATGCAAGCCCTCATTCACCGGCCCAAGGAACAGGTCTTCGAAACTCTCAACGTAATTTGTGAGCTCCTTCCCGACGTTTCGACTGAAGGGTTGCATTATGTTCAAGATCTGGTCGATGCAGGATACCCTGGAGAGCATCCTCGGCCACTTTCTGCCCGTCCTAGGAAGCCCTCAAACACAGACCGAATCGAACTTCTCGAGGGCTGCAAGAATGAGGTCAAGCGCTTTGCTGTCATCTTGCTGCCGACCCTTACCGATGTCTATTCGAGCACTGTCAATCTTAGTGTTCGTCAGAAGGTCCTGACCGCGCAATTGAAGATGCTCTCGAATCTTGATGTAGATATTCTAGAGGAAGCACTACGGCCGGTACCGTATGCATCTTATCTGGCTTCCATCTTCTCCCAGCGAGATCACCCAACACTGGTCACCTACGCATTACAGGCTGCCGAGCTCCTGTTAACGCGCCTCGAATCAATCTATCGGTACCAGTTCTACCGCGAGGGTGTAATCTCCGAGATATCCCAGTTAGCAGACCGCCCTTGCAAAACTCCAGAGTCGCCCTCAAAGAGTTCAAAGTCTGCCATCGATGTAGTACCTGCATCGACATCAAGCGCTGGCGGCAGTTCCGCAGGTGATGCAGAAGTAGACCACGACGTTGGTGAAGAGATTGATGTCGATGTCCACTCTGAAGATGAAGATCACAATGACCACGACGATGAGGACCAGCACGACCATCACGATCATGACGATGATGGCGAGGACGACGATTCTGATTCCGACTCCTCTTCTGACCGTTTCGCGCGTCCGCCGGTCTCTGACTTTGACGACATCATCACTCATCGAGCGAAGAAGTTCATCGAGATCCACGAGCAAGAAAGTGCCAAAGCAGTGCGAGAGAAAGCCTCGGCTATCTTGATCGACCTCAAGACTCTCGCACAAGAGATCAAGTCCTGTGTTCTCGACAATGGACCAGGAAGCTATGGAGACCTTTTCAGCAAACTCGCCCGCTATTTCGAAGGCGATGCCCTAGAAAGTATCACCAGTTATGAGCTCATGACTTCGGGTGTCGTCGAGATCCTGTTGGAGGTTTTCTCCGCTCCCTCCATGGTGGAGAATAGCGACGTTCGGTCGGCCTTCCTAGAAACGTTCATGGGCGTAAGCAACCAAAAGAAGATCAAGACTGCCAGTAGCAATTCTCCTGCGACAGCGTTTAGCGTTCTTGTATCGAAACTGCAAGATCTCCTCAGCCGCGCAGAACATTTCGAGGTCATTACTGTACACCAGCATTCATACGACAGCCGGGGAAGCGCAACGTCGATGCTGGCAAAACAGCTCCGCCTTAAGCTGGTGGCGGATGAGGACTCGGGCATACCCAAGGCTTATCGCAGTATCATGGTTTCTATTCATGCTATAGCTACTTTTAAAGCCTTAGATGACTACCTTCGACCGCGGATCAGTATTGCTGAGCGTCCTGTTCCACGCGGTTTCAGGAACACAGATCGTATCGCTGCGTATGCTGCAGCGCTCGCAGAAGGCCGCAGCCCTGTTCCTCCCCCGCCACATACACCCAACGAAACAACGAACAGGCCATCATCTAGGAGGACACCAAAGCCTAAATCGTCTGGCGACCCCACAACACCTCAGGCAGGATCAAGCACGGCAGCGCCTGAGAAGCCCCGACGCTCAAGCCGACGACAACAGACCCAGCCTCCCCCACCACCACCGCCGCCCCCAGCTCTCGAGCGGACCAACAGTGGGCAAGAGCCGGTAGAGTGCAATGATGAGGAACGCCTCTCTGACCAAGATTCCCTAGACGAAACAAGTGCACTTGATGCAATTGTAGATGATCTTGAGGACGATTTGGATGAGGACGCTCCCGATCCTTCAGCTGTGAGCGTTGAGGTTGCATCAACTGGAAAGCTGGAAGCAAGGAAAGAGGATGGTACCAGAGTTGCAACTCCTGTTCAGGGCCAGACGCCAGGGCGGATTCCCCCTCAACGACATTCTCCAGGGCAAAGTCTTTCGTCCTTCCTCCGCAGCTCCGCACTGCAGCAGGCCCTCGGCGGCTCTGGTGGCGCTCTCTCTTACGCGGCAGCAATCCAGTCTATCCCTCAAGACTGGCACATCGAATTCAGCGGGAACGACCAGCCAATTCCAAACGATACCACAATCTATCGCGCTGTTCATTTCAACCAAGCTCAATCGAGCGAGACCTCCCACCGGACGGTCTGGAATGCAGTCCATACGATCAAGTTCAAGCGAGTTCCTGGACCGCCACCCGCAGAAAGCAAGTCTCTGACGCCTCCACCGGAATCCATTAAGGATGATGAATCCGGTATGCCCGTCTCACTGAGCAAGAATCCCATCACATCGGGCATTCTTCGACTGCTCAGCATCTTGCACGATCTCAACTCAAATCTTGACGATGTCTTGTCGGACAACAAAGAACAGATTAAACTAAACGTAGAGCCGTTATCGCAATTCGTCAACACCAAGCTCACAGCCAAACTCAACCGCCAATTGGAGGAACCCTTGATTGTGGCGAGCAACTGTTTGCCAAGCTGGAGTGAGGATTTAGCACGCCTATATCCTTTCCTCTTCCCATTTGAGACCCGCCATCTATTCCTCCAGTCCACATCGTTTGGTTACTCTCGATCGATGACACGCTGGCAGAATTCACAGCCAGCGAACGATTCCCGACATGATCGCCACCGTGATGAACGTCCCTTCCTCGGACGCCTCCAGCGACAGAAAGTACGCATATCTAGGTCCCGCATTCTGGAGTCAGCTGTGAAGGTAATGGAGCTCTACGGAAGCTCCCCTAGCATCCTCGAGGTTGAGTATTTCGAAGAGGTCGGCACTGGATTGGGGCCCACACTAGAGTTCTACTCGACTGTTTCAAAGGAATTCTCGAAGAAGAAACTCAAACTATGGCGAGAAAACGAGTCAAATGAGACCGATGAGTATGCCTTTGGAAAGCGTGGATTGTTCCCAGCTCCAATGAGCGTGGAGCAAGCTGAAACAGAGAACGGCAAGAAGGTCCTCCACCTGTTTAAGATGCTTGGCAAGTTTGTTGCCCGTTCTATGCTCGATTCTCGGATCATCGACATCTCCTTCAACTCGACTTTCTTCCGCATAGGCGATGGTAGCACCGCCGTCCCGCCGTCTCTTGGTTCGGTGAAGTCTGTCGACTATGACCTCGCCAAATCTCTCAAGCTCCTGAAGAAGTTCGCCATCGAAAAGAAGCGGATCAACGAAGACGGCTCTTTGGATCCAACGCAGAAAGTGGACGCTCTCCAAAGTATTGAGATAGACGGCGTCCACGTTGAGGACCTTGGATTAGACTTTACCCTTCCCGGCTACGCCATCGATCTTGTCGAGAAGGGATCTGAGAAGAACGTGACGATTGACAACGTTGACCTCTACGTTGAGAAGGTCATAGAGTTCACGCTCGGCTCGGGAGTGCAACGTCAGGTAGATGCCTTCCGGTCTGGCTTTTCGCAGGTCTTCCCGTACTCGGCACTGAGTGCGTTCACGCCAGACGAGCTTGTCATGCTCTTCGGACGAGTGGATGAAGATTGGTCATTGGAAAGTAAGTACAGAATGTGCCATCATCAATGTGTATATGCTAATCATTCTGCAGCACTTATGGACTCCATCAAAGCGGATCATGGGTTCAACCTGGACAGCAAGAGCGTCCGCAACCTGCTCCAGACGATGAGTGAGCTCACCGACCCGCAAAGACGGGACTTCCTTCAGTTCATCACCGGCAGCCCCAAGCTTCCCATTGGAGGTAGGTTTCAAATTCCCGTTTCCCTTGATTTATGCGGTAGTTAAGCTAATGCAACTACAGGTTTCAAGAGCCTCACACCCATGTTTACGGTTGTTTGCAAACCAAGCGAACCGCCATACACGTCCGATGACTACCTTCCGAGTGTCATGACGTGCGTTAATTATCTCAAGATGCCAGACTATAGCTCGATGGATGTTCTTAGAGAAAAGCTCAATGTTGCCATCCAGGAAGGGCAGGGAGCCTTCCACCTTTCTTAAGACGATTATTACGACATTACGGCCGATGGTCAACCGGGCACAATCTTCGAAATGACCTACCACCTTTCCCTCTCTCGCTCTCTGACAGGCCGGCCCTTGCAATTGTTCGCATATTGGTGTTATGACTGGAGTGGGGGCTATATCTCTTCACTGCATCGGGGAGTTCACATATGAGCATCAGAATCAAAGTTTCCAGATGAACCACTTCCTGATTCTTTCTTTTTTTTTCTTGCGCAATCGGAGGGGATAAACGGGGGAAACGCATATGGCTCATCGATGGGCGGGTTAGCTAAGGAGATTAATCAAGGCCCAGGCCATCTCATGGTTTCCACTGTATCTTTGAAGTAGCTGTAGTCGTACAATAGGTCTTTACCTTTTCACTGTTCCCATTCGGCGTATACAGAAACGCCTGGCGGGAGTATTCTAGTTACTATTCCAAGTAGCCCAAATCAATCTGTATTTACTAGACAAAGTAGCCCGTGCTGTGAACTCTCGCGCCGCCAGCGACTACTGTGATGTATTTGCACATTGAGTTAATTGCATCACGTAGCTAGTAGTGGAGATAACGACCTGAAAATTTTCATTCCACAAAAAATATATCGAACGTCATGGATTACGTCTTCGAAGCAAGTCCGCTAATAGCGTTGGGTATGACGAGAAAACAGAAAACAGAACAACCTGCAGCACCGCACCAGCCTCTGCGGCGGCGGCGTCGTCGGCGGCCCTATCCCATTCTCCCGCTGAACACGGCCCGGCGCCGTGCTACCATCACCTCCGGTTCTGTATTACCCCACGTGTGTGTAGCGCGCCTAATCGATAATCGATAACCGTACTCTAGTTTACCATTAATTTCAGCCGCCCCCAACAAGACTCGTCATCTTTCCGTCTCTTGTTCCTTCGTTTAACTACACAGGGTACTCGACGTTACTCGTGGGAAAGCATCCCGTCTGCTGCTACTGTCTCTCCTACGGAATTACTAGCGCACGAAGGGAGTGAGAAGGGAAGGAATACACAACGGGCGCGTAAGAGAGCGAGAGAGGAAGTGTGTGCGCGCGGGGGCATCATATCGTCATACACCGCAGACACCGGCGGCGGAAATCGCAGGATTGTCGAGATCGTTCGGTCGATGCGCTTCGAGTCCAATTGCGTCTCCCTTGTTCTTTCGACCTAGGAACGAAGGGAAAGAGAAGAGTAGGATACGAGTGTGGGGAATTGACTTAAACGCAAAGCGAGCGAGCGATTGAGTGTATTGAGTAGGCGCTAGAAGAAAGAAGAGACGGGACGGTGCGCACGATGGCTGCGGATTCAGATCTCGAGGCTCTCGAGGTACGTTAATCCCCTCCCCACCCCCCACCACTTCGCGCGCGAAGAGAAATAGGGAATAGTAGCTAAACAAGAACAGAGGGAGTTCAGTCCCCCCGTCGACTCGACGCTCGTGTACGCCATCTACGACGACTACGCCGGCCAGCCCGACGGCCTCGAGAAAGCGCGCGTGGCGCTAAGGGCGCTGAGGGATTCTGCGGTCGAAGAGCAATTGAGTGGGGAGTTTGATCCCTCTGGTAGCAGTGGAGGTGGTGCGGGTGTGTTGCGAGGTGGGAGTGGGGAGGAGGTAGTGAATGGGGTTTCTGCGTTGAGTTTGGGGTCGGAGTCGAGGTCTGGGTCTGGGTCTGGGTGTTCGACTGACGATGTTGGGTCGTCGGATAGTGGTGGCTCGGGGAGCAGCGCAGCTGGAGGGGGATACTTTGCGCAGGTTGGGAAGCTGGACACGCCGACGAAGGAGCTGCTGCTCGCGGAGACGTTTCCCGGGCTCCGGTTTGAGCTCGTGTGCTTCACGCTGAAGAAGTGCGGGAACGATTTCGAGAGAGCGACGGATGAGTTGCTGAATCAGGTGTACTTTGAGGATTCGAGAGCTGCCGTGCCCAAGGGCATCGATGGGTACGATGAAAGGCATGTGGCGCTAACGAAGAGGAAAGGGAGGAATAGGAGAAAGCAGAACCGGTCGTTGATGAACAGTATCGACACGAATTCATCGTCGGCGGCGTCTGATGGGACGTTGTCGCCGACGACGAATAGATGGGAGGAAGGGAATCGGGACGTTGGATCAATTGCGAAGTGGACGAAGCTGCCTGTGGCCACGGCTTCGTCGATCTACCATAAGAACGGTGCATCCCTCGTAGCCACCATCGACGCTCTCCTAGATCAAGACGCCGAATCGCGGAAGGGAGAAGAGCCAGACGCAGGACTCGTTGGCAAAGCCGTCGACCTGACCGCCAAATATCCGACCGTAAACTACGAGCAAGCTATCTCCATCATCCGCATCACAGCGCCCTCCCTCGTCAGCGCAGACGAAGTCGCAAAATCTCTCAGCTTCACCAACCGCTTGTCCCGCGGCCAGCTCGACGTCCTACCCGTCTACTCACCCGTCCGCCTGCCCGACGAAGACTCCGACCCAGAGCCCTCAAGCAAAACACCACTTCCCTCCCTCGACCCCTCCGCAACACCACACACTACGCAATCCCTCCATGCCGCGCGCAACACCGCCTTCACGCAAGCCTCCAGCGCCTACCGCAAGGGCAAATCCGACCGCAACATGCGCGGCGTCGCTGGCTACTACGCACAGATCGGCCGCGACCTGAACGCGAACTTCAAAGCCGCGACCGAAATCGACGCCGACGCCCTCGTCGCCAGCCAGTCTCGCCCGGGCCGTCTCGACCTCCACGGTGTGACCGTCCAGAGCGCAAGGCGCATTGCGAAGACCGAGGTAAACCTCTGGTGGGACGGCCTCGGCGAGGCTAGGATTCCCGGTGGAGGGCGCCGTGGTGTAGGGGACGGGTTCACGGTGGTGACGGGCTTGGGACGGCATAGCGAGGGCGGGAAGGGGAAGTTGGGGCCCGCAGTTGCGAGGGCACTTGTCAAGGAGGGGTGGAAGGTTGAGGTTAATGGTGGGGAGTTAATTGTTCTTGGGAAGCAGAGAGGTGTTTGAAGAATAGGAAGGTCATTTCACGGGGGAAGGGGTGGTGCGATGCGTTACGATGAGTTGCGTTATACCCTTTTTACGACGGGAGAATATGTATAGGTTTTTCATGGCATGGGATGGTATGGTTGAGATGATTTTCATGTATTGTTATTATGCGATGGAGAAATGGTCGGGATTTTGTCGGATGGGCATCATTGTATGTTGATCTCGTTTGTAGAGTCTGATTTAGAGACGATAGTCCCTTTGGGGAGAAAAGAAAACCCATAGTGTCAATCTAAATTGAGAGAGAAGATGCTGACGCTGATGTCTATGCTGAGCATTCTAGCTGGCCTTAATCGGAGTGGGCATCCAAGATACCAGATGCAAACGATGTCAGAATTGAGGCACATTTGCTTTCACATTCAACATATGCCAGCCGTATAACCTCTACACAATGGAAAAAAATCACAACGATCATGAGGATATAGGAGAAGAACAGAACGTCACTGATCCAACATGAATCCCAATCTCTCACAGGAATCAGTTTGATCGACTGAACAACTATCCACAATTAAGAGTTATAAGCATGTTTGCGATCCAAACGTAGTTGCTTCGATGCTACAAAGGAACATTTTTTGACAGCCCCACTAAACGTCAAACGTCCCCCTTCCCCCCTCTCTTTCTATTCTCTACTGTTTTTTCTACGAGTGATTACGTAGGACATGGAATGTGCTTGTAACGTGTGTTGTTACGACGGATTAAGGTTTTGCGGGGGCGGACCGGCGGACGTTGCGCTTGTGGTTTCAGGACGCGTGTGTTAAGCGACGATCGTGGTCGTTAGAACTGGATACCTGATGGGTTAGGATGGTAGTAAGTGGAATTCTTCTTTCTTAATACTACAAGGAATTATTGAGGTTGTAGGCACGGTACTATATGGATGATTTGTTTGTCTAGGTGATATACCCATCTTTGCTCTAATGGATTGAAAATCTAGTATACGACAAGAGTGGTTCAAGTGGTGAGAAGCCAAGCGAAGGATTCTTGTACGGACTATGTTGGAGTCCACTAGAAACAGACGAGACCCCAGATTTCCGGGCAGTACATATCGCAAATTAGGTACATCTACCCAGCGAGAGCTATCTTACTGCCGCAGTAGGGAGACAATTGACGTTGTCGTCATAGCGGAGACCTGTTCCCCGTCGAACATAATGGTTTCCACCATGGTTTCAACACACACAGGATAAAAAACATCAGTAGCCTCAGCATCTTGCAACAGAATCAGATCCAGATTCCTACCCAATTGGAAATCCCGCCGCGGTCCTCAGGATAATGGGTCATCATGTCAAACCGTAAGATCGCCGCCGCGTGTGGTTGAGCCGACCGTGAACATGAGGCCATCGAAGGGGAACAATGAAAGCACGTACGCGGCCGCCGAAACCATCCACGGTAAGATCTTCATTTAGTACTATGTAAAGACATGCCCTGTCTTTTCTCAACTCGGCCCGTCCGGGTAGAGAGAGATATATAGAGATCTCGGATGTCTCTTTCTTCAACTGGCTCTGTAGTTTGATACTCCACCAGCAACCCTTTTTTTCTACAGGATCTTCGAATCTTGTTCTTTTTTATTGTTTTATATTCTCTTTGCTGCTGCTAGTCAGTCAGCTGTTTTTCCAAAGCCCGTCGTACTACCTTTTTATATTTCCATTCCCAATTCTCTTCACTGCTGCAGGACGGTACAACCTCTCCATAGATCCACTCACCCTTTCCTTCGAAACAAAACAACTATATCTCAACTTTTCCATCATGCGCTTCGCAAACACATTCCTCCTCGCTGCCGTGGCCGCCCTGCCACTCATCTCCGCAGCCCCGACCTCCTTCCCACAAGGCAAGAGATCGGTCGTACGTCTCCCCTCTTCATCCAAGAACCCCCCAAAACCATAACTAATGCGCCCAAAGGAACCCACAGATGCTGCCCTAGAAGAACCGGCGAGCACCGTCGCGGCGCTCCAGAATCTCGCGGCCGAACGGTTGGCGTTCGCGGCGCGGGACGTCGACAAGCGGATGATGCGGCAACGCAGGGAGCAGAGGAAGAGTAGACGGGGTGAGTTTACTTCGCGGTCGACTACCTAAGGTACTTATGTATCAGTGTTTGGTTTTGGTACTGACGTTTGTCCCGGTGTAGGAGGTGGAGCAGGCGGAAACGTCGATGAAGGGAATGTCCAGGGCGGGAATGGCGGCGTCGCTAATGAGAACGGCAATGGTGGCGGCAATGGAAACGGCAATGGAAACGGCAAGGGAAATGGTAATGGCAATGGTAATGGCAATGGCAATGGCAATGGCAACGGTAACGGAAATGGTAACGAAAATCTCAATGCCAACCAAAATGGCAACGGCAATGCCAACCAAAATGGCAACGGCAATGCCAACCAAAACGGCAACGGCAATGCCAATGCCCAGATGAACGCCCGTGAGTCGCAGATTCAGCCAAATTGATACATTGATTATGGGTTAGCTGACAATGCTGCAAAGAGAACCAAAACACAGGAAACAATGCCGCCCAACTTCAAGACAACGGAGCAAATGCCGGCAATGACAGTGCCAATGCCGTCGCGAATGAAAATGCAAACAATGGGGGCAATGGTGTTAATGCCCAGAACAATGGGCATGCAAACCTCGCTGCAGGAAATGCTAATGCCAACCAGGGTGGAAACAATGAGGCCGCCAACGCCAATCAAGGTGCAAACAACAACAAGGGCGCCAATGCTAACGAAGGCGTAAACAACCAAGGCAACGGTGCCAATGAGAATCAGAATCAGAATCAGAACCAGAACCTCGCTGCGGGAAATCAAGGTGGAAATAATGAGATTGCCAATGCCAACCAGGGTGGAAACAATAAGGGCGCCAACGCCAATGAAGAGGGAAACAATGGTGCCAACGGTGTCAATGCCCAAGAGAATGGAAATGGGAACGCAAACCTCGCTGCAGGGAAGGTCGATGCCAACCAGGGCGGAAACAATGAGAACCTTGGAGCTGCTAATGCCAACGCTGGGGTCGAGAACAATGGTATGTTCGCGGTAAAGACTGAGATGCTAGGAATGATACTGACATCATGAAGATAATGTCCAACAAAAGGGCAATGCCATGAATGCCGCCGTCCAAGAGAACAATGCAAACGAAGACCAGAATATTGCTGCGGGTAACGTTGAGGCTGGTGCCCAAAATAACGGTATGTAAGAGTACCCATTTACTTAGACAGAGGTGCTAACAGTACGAAGCTGGCGCCCAACAGAATGGCAATGTAAACGCTGGCAACAATATGGCCAATGCAAAGAACAACAACAAACTCGCTGACAATAACGCCGCCGCCGCTAACCTCGCCAATGTCAATGAAAATGAGGAGGAAACCGGAAACGGCCAAGGCGCCGCGAATAACATTCAGCAAGGCAATGCCGGAGCAAAGCAGCAGGCCAATGCAAATGAGTAATTGCAAGGAAACAATCAGCAGTAAACAAATGCTAAGGCTGCTGAAGAGCTGAGGACAATGAAAGCTACTTAACAGACAAAGTAACTTGTAAAATGGCAATGAGGAAACAAGTATGCACACAAGAACGCGTATAAGCTGGATTATCAAAATGGTTAGCAGGCTATCGAAGAATCATCAGAGCATTGATACTAGAGATGATTCAGCGACACGAACGATTTAGATGGTGAGAGCTGAATAATTATCAATAGACCTAAAAGAAAGAATCCATAAAGATGTAAAAAAAAGTTTAAAGAATAACGAACATTGCCTGCCAATCCAATTCCATTGATGATTATCAATGCTGAACGTGAACAATTAAGAGACCAAGGGCACAGGTGTAACACTTCATTCACTAATTACCTGCACTATCGTATCCTAATCAGTTGGATCGGTCGGTCGGACTTAAATTATCCATCCGAGGATCTTTATGAATGGGACGATGGAGAGGTGAGCGGATCGCATTATGTCTATTGACAGGTTGAGAGATAGCTGTTGAAAAACTGTTGACTCCGAGGTAGGATTTGTTCGTTTCTTAATGCTCCTGTGCGTAAATTTATGCCGATAACCGGACGGTCACTGGCCATGAAATTTCACACGTTCCAAAGCACACCACATGTGACAGGAGGCCTAGGGTTGGACCAGTGGGTCCCTCATAGCGGCGGCTATCTTGGTCATTGCGGGAGGGTAGGGCGAGGCGATAGGGGTTGGAGGTGAAGGACGACAACCACGTGGGGTCATAAAAATCTTGCATTCGATCTCTTTGAAATCTTGAAGGTTAGTTCCCTGCTATATCTCAGCTCATGTAGCGGGGGATTTTGCCCTGGATCGCATGATCGTTTTGCGAGGAGGTTGTCGGAATTGATTGATGTCAGTTGAACGTCGAATAACATGCCGATCCTCCTAGAATTCCTATCATACATGAAAGCTTTCTCCAAAGACCCCGAGATCTTTCCCGGAAGAAAAGATACGAAATGGAAAAAAAAGACGAACAGACCACAATGGAAACCACGTTTTTGCCTCCACCGTTCAACATGCATCGGGAATAAGTAATGGAGGCACAGCACAGGGGTGGTTGTTAGGGGCACGTGCTCAAGGTTCTCTCTCTCCATGCTATGCCACAACCTTTGTTGTGTCGTTTTGCGTTTTCTATATGATTTGGAAGTGTGGCCCAATTCAAATATATTTTTCACAGATTGATAAAAGCACGTTGTCTCGTTCCAGTTGCCCATTAGTTGGGAACACAACAGGTCCTTGGGTTCGGGTGTTAGGTGGCGGGACCAATCAGAGGCAGCTCGGCGAGTCCGCAACAAGCTTTGCTAGCACTGTAGCAAGCATTGGGGATTTACTCGTATTCGCTGCAAGAAGCGACGCCATGAAAGTCTTCACGAGCTTAGCGTTGCATCCTTGCCGGATCCCGAGGTGTAATGAGCTGCGTCATCTTGTTTGATTTTTTGTTCGCTCTCTCTTTGAAGCAGAGTAGTGATGGAGTGTTTAATAGAGAGATAGGAGAGGCTGGCAATAAATATGTGAGGATCTGATCCGACTTAGAGAGAAATGAGAGCTGTCCCCATTCTAATATGATATGCACCGTAGCGGCGTTTATGAAGGAAACGGTTGATAAGTGATGATCTACACTGTATTTGCCTGTGCAATCCAAGTTAAAGTTACTGTTAAGATAGCCGTGCACTACTGACATTGACGGCGACGGCACCCTAATGAACCCCCCAGCAATCTTGACCTGCCTTTTTGGCCAGGGCGTACCAATAACCAGCCAGTCCCCGTGCAACCAACGACTTCTTTCTACTGGCTCGGGTTTCGACTTCGATCGTTGCATCCTGGTCCATTTCTATCCATAGCTTGGGTTTTCGCATCACAAGCACAAGGCAGGTTAACTTGCTTGGAGCCTACTCCACCATCCCACATTCCTGTCGACCCACTAGTTGGTAGGGTAGCACACGCAGCAGACGCTGATCGTCAGACCGATAAATAGCCAGGGTTTCGCATTCATTTCTTGCTCTTCAGCCTCTCGTGTTCAGTCATTCTGGTCGTGGTTCGTTGACCCAGGTTAATACATAGGATTGGCCTCAGCTACGTCGCTCATATCGCGGGGCGGAACAACATCACGCGACGTCATCAACCCCAAGCAACAGCACTCGAGCGTCAATATGGCACAAAACGATACTACTCGTGATACCTCGGTCGAGACCGCAGCTCATGAACATGAAGTCCGTCGCGGAAGTATTGCACGAACAGACAAAGGTCGCTGGGAAAGACTGTGGCCAGTCATCGCCTGCGGTGCTGGACTATTCAGTGATGGCTACCTCAATAACGTGAGTCCTCCAGCAACTAAGCAATGAATGTATTTGCCCATACGCGCAATGTACTGAATGTAGGACTGTAAAGATTATTGGTCCCGTGAACACTATGCTTGCTCGCATCTATCCAGATGAGTACAAGTCATCCTCAGCCCAAGCGAACGTTTCCTCCATTACTTTCGTCGGCACCGTCGTTGGTATGCTTTTCTTCGGATACACCAGTGACCATTTTTCTCGCAAGTGGTCGCTATTTGTGTAAGAAATACCTATGCATATTCGTGATGAACACAAAAGCCCTGATGCGACCGTAGTTCAACTATCATCATCATTCTTTTCGCCATCCTTGGCACTGGAGCATATGGTGCTGGAGGCAACCCCAACGGTTTGATCATTGCTCTTGTCGTTTACAGATTCTTCCTCGGAATTGGTACGTGCAACTCGATTGCGTCCTGGGCTTAACGGCATTCGTGCTAACGTGCGCAGGAATCGGTGGTGAATACCCGGCGGGTAGCGTTGGATGCGCAGAATCAACGGGTGAATTGAAAGAGGGCACACGAAACAAGTGGTTTATTCTGTTCACCAATGTACAGATCGACCTAGCGTTTTTGATTGCAGGTAGGTTTCGTTGCATCTTTTGGTATAAATTACGTCTGACCTAGGACAGCCATCGTCGCGACCATTGTCATAGTAGCGACCGGCGAGGACCACTTGCGTGCCGCCTGGCGAATTTGCCTAGGCATTGGAGTTATTCCTCCTCTATCCCTTCTTTATCTCCGTCTCAAGCTCAACGAGCCAGAAGCCTTCCAGCGTGAATCTCTATCCAAGGCGAAGACCCCATATCTCCTTATCTTTAAGTTCTACTGGTATCGCCTCGCTATCGTCAGTTTGATCTGGTGGATCTACGACTACAGCGCTTATTCGTAAGTCTCTTTCAATTCCTAAATGACAATAATTACTCATGGGAACAATAGTTTTGGTATCTACGCCAGCTCCATCTTGGCCAATCTCCTCGGTGAGGATGCACCGTTGTGGAAGAGTTTCGCATGGAACATATTGATCAACTTCTTCTACATGCCCGGTTGCCTTGCTGGTGCTTTCGTCGCCGACCTTCCCAGCATGGGACCCAAGAGGACTCTTGCCATCGGTGTCGGACTCCAAGGCATTATTGGGTTCATCATGGCAGGCTGCTACCCTTGGTTGAGCAAGCCCGAGAACGTCGCCGGATTCGTCGTCGTATATGGAATCTTCCTCGCCCTCGGCGAGATGGGTCCTGGCGATAACATTGGACTGATCGCCTCGAAGACCTGCGCTACGGGCATTCGGTACGTTCCTACATCACACTACATGATTCCCCAACGATAACTTTTCCATCTTTCGCAATATTGACCATGTTTTCCTTTTTAGTGGCCAATACTACGGCATCGCCGCCGCCATCGGCAAGATTGGCGCCTTCGCTGGTTCCTACGGCCTTGACGCCATCCAGAAGGCCGCAGGCGACGACAAAATCGCAGCCGGCCGCAATCCCTTCTTCGTCGCGAGCGCCCTCGCCTTCGTCGCCTGCGGTCTTGTCCACCTGCTTCCCCATATTGGCCAGGACACCATCGACACCGAGGATGTCAAGTTCAGGGAGTACCTCGAGGCTAACGGTTTCGACACTTCGACTATGGGTCTCAAGCCTACTCACTCTTCTGATAGCGAGGGTGGAGTGACTGCGGAGGAGGTTAAGGGTGCTTGAGATCGATGAATTAGTATCTAAGGGATCATCGTGGTTTAGCTGAGTTCAGGCAAGATATAAATGTATCCTCGCAAGAAGAAACATGCTATATGCAAAGCTTGGAGATTACCTATTTCAATGAAAGAACCAAGTTGAAATTGGAAGGGAACTCCCAGTTTCCATAATTACGAACATTTACTTAGCCCTTAACAGATGTTTTCCCCCGTGCCTGTCAAAATCCAACACCAGAAAAGGTATCCTCGTTGTCCTATTTATAGATTCGCTATTTTCTGCTACTCTACTGTCACTATGGTGAAGTGATTCAGTTTCAGTATGTATTGTAGGTCACTCTGGAGGCTAATGCACGGTCAATGCGTTCCATTTCAATATCAAAGAAAGGGCGTGGACAATTACATTTCAAATGACCATGAGATATGATTGGGTGATTTCACTTCGACATTGATTTGCTTATCGATAGCCTGAGCTTTGATATGAACAGATATTCCGTTGTTACAGTGACTCCAGCAGATGTAATATAGGTTCTATTGACAATAATCTTACTTGCGTAACAACCCTGATAGTTCCATCGCTGCTCTCGGGTATACTGAAAGCTTCTAACGGTCGGTCCACGGAAACTTTGTCTTATCCAAGGTTGAATTAGTTCAACTTCTGAACAACTCAATGAGTTCCGACCTGCTTCAACCTCGGAAGCGCTACGAGAGACCCTCTCATGCAGATGGAGGACATAGTCTCCCAATTAATCGCACGTACAAGGTGTACCTCCGCCATCCCGCATATAATGACTCCAGTAACATCCTCTTAGCCCTTCCCGCCCTGAACCACCGTCAAGGCGGTATTCACCATGAGACTGCACGGATAGCATGCGCCATAATTGCCAACAACAGCTGGAAAGGATATTTAACGGAAACAAGAGAAGGTGCTGCTGTTGATATAGAGTCGGACGGGATTTTGTGCAAGAGGGATTACTATTTCTATATGTCTCGAGAAGACACTGGGGGTATGTATGTGAAGATTGCTCTGTAATCTCTAACATTCATATTGGCACGTACCAGAGAAATATCCCGTCGTGCCATCCTTCGAGCACTGGTGCTTTCCCCACGACAACTTGCCCAAATTTTGGATGATATGTAGGCCCACTGAGGTTCCCCTCGACAGGCTTCTACCCCGGCGGAGCAGTTTAACCCAAGCAACATTAATCAGAGATATCTCCTGCCGCATCACGAACTACATCGAAGGCACAGAGCCCGCGCATCTGATCCCCCGAAGCGAAGAGCTCTGGTTCAGGGCAAACGGCATGTCACGATACACAAACCGACAAAGTCCAGACACGGAGCCTATCAATGACACTCTAAATGTACTACTTCTACGCTCGGACATACAAGATCTCTTCGATCAAAAGCTATTTGTTGTAGTTCCGAAGAGCGCACAACTTGTCGTCCACATATTAGCCCCAGGATCATCACCTGAGTTAACAGATTTGTACCACAATGTTGCTCTTCAGCCACTAGTTCGTATCGCCATTGAGTACATTTTCGCTAGATTTGCTTGGTCAATCTTCGCTCATTGCACGGACTTCATAGTTCAAGGCCTCGAGCGGAGACTGGTCGTTCGGAAGGATGAGGGGGCGATCAGTGTGGAAGACTTCTCTGGGGAGCAGTGCTTGCGTATATTTGGCAGGGGGCAGACATCTTCCCATCCGAGTCCACGAAAGCGCTCACGGAATATCTCTGTCTTCAGAAGAGGGGGAAGAGATAGACGAAGATGACTACGATGAAGGTAACTTCCGGAGTCGAAGCTTGCGGCATGGTGATTAGCCTTTACAAGCAGGCTCTAATGCCAAAGTGCTCTGAAGGTCATCCTTGAACACATTATTACGGTATACCTTCTCATTGCGGATTCCTGGTAACGACATGAGTTTAGTAGGCCCATTGGATCCTCTGTGAGTTGCTTAGGTCAGAATTTGCCGTAGTTACGTAGAGTTACATGAAAGCTTAGTATAACCTAATTCAAATCAAGTCTGGTGTAGGCAGACAAATTGCTTCATTCTTTCAATAAGTCCGACCACCGAGTATGTTGTCATCTATCGGGACATGGCCGTGGGGTTTGTATTCGGTTACCTCAACCTACTCAGAGCTCTGGCATACGGCTGAACACAGGAACTGCTGGTTCGACGCTGGTCAATTATCTATAAGCTTCGTGAATTATGTTTTTGATAGGTCATCAGAAGTTCTGGTTGTAGAAGGCGACCATATAAATCCACCAGCAATTACGATCACCATGATAAAATCACTTTACTCTCAACCGTTGTATCGAGAATTAGAGAGCAGTCTGACTATAAGATTGGAGACTTAGATCACCACGGTTCACGGCGGGCGGAATGTGGGCGTCCGCACTCCGATCTCACACTCCGAGATCGACGACGATACAGTGAAGCATAAACACCTACATGCGAAGAACCGTCTAGCCAGTCTGATAGGCTTCTTCCTGAAAAATAATTGATTCAATGGATCTGATAGCGTTGTATTGAGGTGCCACGAGAGTGAATAATTAAAGATGGTGCTCAAAAGTTTTATTGAATCAAAAACAGCTCATTCATGGATTGATGCTATTTTTGATCCTCAACTACTGAGTCGTCTATTGTTATTAGGCCATGTCCTAGATATGGCGCTTTGATGCCCAATTATCGCATTTATTGGGTTATTGCCAGACAGTGAATGAGCAATGACTATGCAGCACGATGGAGAAGAGCCAATTTGTTGTCATGATGGATGGTACTAGACGACATATCACTGGCCTATGCGCAAATCAAGGATGGGATTGAAAACCCATTGCCGGTATTATTGGATACTAATGGCCTTTAAATCATGATGAAAGAGATGGGGAAGTCCATTTCATATCACTAAACCGTCGGTCGTGTGCTAGCATGATGGTAGGTCAACGGAGAGAGAATTACACGGAACCCAGTACTTCCCGAAGATCTACAAAGATCGGCGGAGTACATGCAACCTGAAGCAGCTTCAATGTTTTCCGCATTTTAACATTTTCACCCCCATATTCGGTTGTGCATTTGTCTATTAGTTTTCGAGTAATTGCTTTGCTCATGATATCTTTCATACAAAATCAAGACTTGTAACGTTCTCTAAAAAGAACGCATGGTAAGCTGGAGAATGTGACTTCAAAAATTCTCTATCATGGGTTCTAATAGTGCAATCGTAGTCCTCTGTCCATTCGCGTCACGGACTGTCCTTAGTTCTAGAGTACATCAGTGATCAGATGTCTGCAGTTGATTTCTATGAAATCAATAGATCCATTGCCTCATAGACGAAGATCTGCTAGGATCGGCATGTCTTGCAAGCCCGCTTCGTCAATGCCTACCTAGGTACCTATTTGATACTCCGAGGGGTTAATGACTCTGTGATAGAAGCTCAGGGTGAATCATATTCATCTAAGATGCATATATAAAAGAAACCTATTTTCCGCCTCCTAGAACACGACACTTCACGTTATTCACTCTTTATTACAGTCTTTACAAGGCCTAACACTCTTTTTAAACAAACTTTACACACGTTCTTTTACAAGGAATTAATCCAACAAATCTTCCCAAACTCAAAATCAACATGCAACTCTTCCAGGCTGTTCAACTTGCTCTCCTTGCAAGCACCACCTTCGGTATGGCGATTGATACCTCGGTCATTCGCGACACCCCCGACGAGGTAGAATCTGCTCCCGTCTTAGCTTCTAGAGGCCCCGGAGACAGTATTCCCCCTCCACCGTTATACGGGGCCCCTCCGCGGGCAGACTCTCCGTTCTTCCCTCCTGGAGCCTCGATCCCCAAACAGACTGAGGCACTACCTAGGCCACAACGCCAGCCATCACGCTATCCACAAAAACCGCAAGCACCCAGGCCAGCACCCGAGGCAGAAGATAAGCCTGTACCACTCAAGTGTCCAGATCGCTTTACCGTTCCCCTCATAGACGGCCCCATGACTTGCGGCGCTGTTTTCCATTGCGTAAATCGCCGTTTTGCCTACAAGAGCATTGAACTGGCCCAAGATTATCAGGATACAATGCTGGACCCATGCAAGCGCGCCTGCGATTGTGAAAAATCTCCATGAAAGGGAGTAGTGGAATCAAGAAATCCGAAATGCATGTATAGCGACGTTTGGATTTTGGAATTGTTTTTAGTTAGGACAGGCACATAGAGGTCACGTCATCAACAATAGAATATTATTTGATTTCAACTTAAATCGCAGTTGCACCTCCACACATCTAAAAGTGCTTCGCGTGTCAGTTCTACAGTAGCTGCTATAAGCAACGATTTTGCTGTAGAATGTGTTATCGAAGAAAACTACAAGTAGGATATCATCCTATAGATCCAGCGTCGATGTCTCATACGGCAACGTACCGCCTTGCAGATTTGGACTTTACTATGAGGCAATCGCAAATGCAAACGAGGAATATGCGCGTTCCTTTAGGTGATATACATGGCACTTCGTGCGTGCCCTATGGAAGTTGAGTCATGGATCGTGTGTATTCTTGAACGGAATGCTGATCAGGTGGTTCCATACCAAGATCACATTGGCAGGGTGCGAGTGACATCCATGTCTATATGTCGGAAATTTGCTATGAAAGACATCGTCACGAAGGTGCTTGATATGGCAGGTTCAAAGGAGCACGTTCGAATACGTCCACTACTGACCCTCAGAGTCAGGGATTCGAATCATCCATAACAAAACTAAAGGTCTCAATGTCATAGACGATGAAGAAATAATGCAACGAAGTCGGCGATTGAAAAATCGCTTCTCATGCCATGCACAGGCTTAAAACAAGATGTCAACTGCCTTTTAGTCATCTGAGGGTGCCCATTGCGTCCTCATCAACGTCCATTGTATCAGGTGTGGTCGTCAAATCAATCTGAGTCTGTTTGTTTTGGTCTTCATATGTTGTCGTTAAGGGGTGCTCTATTGACGGTGCTAATCGACTTCCCAATTGGCCTCAATAGATGGGAATTGACAGGGGCAAGCCTCGTAAACCTCGACGTAGTGACTTGACGAACCATGCAATTCCTTCAGCATCACTAATAATGGCACACTGATGATATGGCTGTAATCAAGTTTTCTTCTGAAAGAAAACCCGAAGTCTCCCAATGAACCCCTCAGGTCAGAGATTATATGAAGGGTCGGCGAAAACCTGCTGCATATACTTGGAAAGTATGGCCGAAGCACGCCAGCATTAGCAGGGTATCTCCACGCCGCGTGTTCCCCTGCTTATCCTTCCCGCAACTTGGAGGAGAAGCCTGCCAGGGAGACACTCGTGAGACGATCTAGACCATAGTCAGTGTGATAGGATCACATATCTCACCTAATCGAGTTGGCAGTTTCGAATAAGACGATCAAGCCGGACGCGACGAGCATTAGAATGGAAAAACGGTTGGTGAATTGCAAACTACCCACATACGAATGTTCACACCGTATCTACACAAAAAAGAAGCACCTCTAAAAGAAAAAAAATAGGGATCGAGGAATCGGGCCTGGTTCACATTTGTGGAAATATATCGGCAATGGGTGGGGTTGTTATCCCTGGCTTCATGAGGCTAACTGCAGTGCAACGTGGGCAGCCGTTGCTAAATTGCGAGCGATGCAGGCCCCGCAAGCAAGCCTTGCCTTGGAAGAGAGCCTAAACTGCTGCAGCAGTTCGTCACAGCCTCATCCTTTGGACAATAAGTATTACATAGCCATCGCGCACCCCGCGTAGGACTGGCTTACTTCTACTATGGTTCTGGATTATTCCCCAAGAGAATTCAACGCCCGTCAGAACTTTATGTATTCGCTCGACCGCCATTCGAGCAAAGCGACTGATATTGCAGTCCGGAGTGTTGGAGAATTGCCCAATGGAGCTTCCTCAATAATGTACAAGTACCAGCCAGCTATGTTTGGCTGACAAGCGCCGTGTGACATACAATAGAGTTGTTGGATGTGCAGGATCGTAATCGCTTGTCGGGATAGACTACGGGTTTCGCTTGTTGCTGACTGCGTCCGCAAGTTTTGGGACATCAATCTTATTCGCACACCTTCGAATTCAGGGTGTGATACGGTCGGACTTAAAAGCTTGTTTGAAGAGAATCGACTGGGTCGACAGGTAGCACCTTACTTAACAATGGATGAATGGTGGGTATTGACGTATGACGCCTTTCGAAGTCCTCGTGGATGTGACTTCTGTTGGTCATAAGAATGACTGGCTGCATAAGCCATTTCTGCCGAATTTATGCACATGTTTCAGTTCCATTGCAGAATCAATGATTTTCCCCTGTCACATACATTCTTGGTCCTGCGACGCACTTTGCAGAACGGGACAGACTCGGCGCTGTTCACCGTAACAAGATCTTAACATCTTCACCATGGAAAGTCGGCCGGCCGTTGACAGGATACCTAACAAGGACTCACTACTCGCGGGTATGTAGAGTAGAGTAAAGGACTTGTACAAATTGATCGAATCGCACGTTCGACAAGGATCACGCTTCCCGTAGTCGACCACTAGGCTGCTCGCCAGGAACGTAAGTCATCACCGCCACCAACTGTCGTTTCCATGTAACGTTAGTCGCATACTCGATAAGATTAGCAAAACGGGTTTCCACATGGTCGTTTGATTGTCTACCGCTGTACCCAGCTACCATGCCCATTTGACGAAACAATTCGCTGTGCGACTCGTGATCTTGCCAATTCAAGGATACGAAAGAGCAAAGATCGGCAACTGCCACAGGGACAGTCGACGTGGGGAACGAACGATGGCTCCACTTGTCTTGCGTCGAATTTGCAGGGGCACAATGTTTAAGAGGAAAAGATCTCTCAGTTGAGAAGGATTCCTGAATCGTGAGAAATAGTTGTTAGGTGTCTACAGAAATAAAAGTAACGGTCATCCAGTAAGCAGTAAATGTTGGAATTGTATTGAAGGGCTCCTTCTTGCGACCATACTTACCACGCCGTAATCCACTCATAAGGCATGGATAGCCAACTAGGTGTTGATATTACGCCACACGGGTATGCAGACTTCGGGCACCGGACAGAAACGTGTAGCGGCTCGTGCCTATCAATCCACCTAGATGACCTATCACACAGTGGGCACAGAGTTGGTGTAGGAGCATGCGTTACGCTTCCACTCGAACGGGTTCCGTCAGGGCTCAAAGTAGCAGTCAAGAGGATCCAATAATCGCTGGGGTAATGCTATGTCCTGGGCGCTCGTCCTATTCTCCGCGTTCTTCTCCCTGGTGTTTTGGGATACTTTTAGTATCCGGACCCCAATCTCTTATTTGACTTTTGGTCCTCAGGTTACACCTCTTCGCGATGACCGAAAAGTCATGTGATTGAGTTGCCAGTATCATTATACGTCTTGTCGATTTAAACCTACATTCCACTCGTTACCATAGAGACTCCAATCTGCGAGAGGTGGGCTACATCTTTGGGCAATAGGACGACACCATGAATGGCCTTCCAGATAATTCGAATCTCCCCCATGTCAACAAACCAGAAACCATCACTGGTGTCTCGGTGACCTTTCTTGTATGTATAGAGCGTATTGTTATTATTCCCGACGCTTACATCGCTTTAGATAATATCAACCATTGCCGTTTCGCTACGGTTGTTCGTTCGTGTGAGAGAGCGAATACTTGGCCTCGATGATTTGTTTGTCGTTTTTGCACTGGTAAGCCTGCTCCATGACGACGTGAAAGTTCATGACTAACGGTTGAATAGCTCATAATTGCAGTGGGAACGATCTTGACCTGCTTCATGCCCGACAGTGGTATGGGGAAACACTTCTGGACATTGAATCATCACATGATCATAGAGTACTTCAAAGTAAGTTGACCACATTGTATCATCGGTGCCAGTGGATTGACCATCATTCAGCATGTCTGGGCCACCAACGTCACTTATAGTGCATCGGCAACGTTTATCAAGCTTTCCGTTTTATACCAGTACCTTCGATTCTTCGATTTCCAATTGAGAACCGCACGCCGTCTGACATGGTGGTTGTTCGGGACTATCGCAGCATGGGGGATTGCCTTTAACCTTCTTGCACTCTTCTCGTGCACGCCCATTCGAAAGAACTGGGACTGGGAGATAAAAGGACATTGCATTGCGTACGTTCTGTTGTTTCCACTTTGTCGATACTTTACTGATCTCGTGCAGATGGGGAAGCAAAGACCCGGACGTTTTCTTTGAGACTTGGGCAGCCCACAATGCGACGAACATGTTGCTTGATATCCTCGTTCTCCTGCTGCCCGTACCCTTCTTGAGGGAACTCAGATTGCAGGGGAAATCGAAGGCAGGCCTCATTGGGGTCTTCGTTCTTGGCTGGATGTAGGTTGATGAACAAAAACAATATCCATCCGTAACCCTACTAATGACTTCATAGTGTTGTCGCCATGTCCATTGGCCGACAGGTAACCCTCTCTACGAACCGCGCTGGAACCGTACCCATCCTCGACATGACCTACCACACCCCACCGATCTACCTCTTCTCCGTCCTCGAAATCAACCTCGCCATCATGTGCGCCAGTATCCCAATCTTCTGGCCCCTCGTCTCCTCCATCGCCGCCAACAAGATTCTCGTCGTAAACGAAGTCGAAATCCGATCTGACCGTCGCGATTCACAGAACATCGGCTTCGCCGAGCAAGGCGCCGCAGCCGGATTCACCAGGTTTTCCGAAATCGAACTCGGGAGCGACTTGGAGCAGAAGTCGAGCAAGACAAGCCGACTCAGCATGCTCGTCTCCACGCGGGAGAAGGGCTTCACGATGCCGACGATTCCCAAGCGGTCCGCGTCGAAGAACATCCACGGTCGCAAGCAATCCCACACTTCGAAGACGTCATCGGGCTCGCTCACCCTCGGCCGTCGCATCACGGGCGAGTCGCAGGAGAACTTCGCCGATCCGCGCATCGAGAACCCGCTTTCGTCGTCTGCGTCGTCTGCCCTGAGCGATACGAAGACATCACTGGACTCGCCTCAGCAGAGCAGCCCGAGCCAGTTCTCAACCACCTACGTGAACGAATGGGGCATTCCTGAGTTGGAGAAGGATAGGCCGAAGACCGCAGGGGTGACGAAGACGAGTCCCAGCGTGGCAGTGAAGGAAGGAAACACGACGACCGTGGCACGAGGAGCACCGCCGTTCGATCTCCTGAACTCAGCGCCTCCGCCAAAGGAGACTTGAAAATCATGCAAGCTGCTCTTTGTTTCTTTTTCTCTTTGAAGGATGTATTGATAGCTACTACACATGCGTGTTGAATCTGGTTCTACGGCGTGATACCCACTTTGGATGGACGGATGGATGGATGGAAAGGAATATACCATATACCATATACCATATACCATATACCATATACCATATACCATATACCATATACCGAAAATCGTAGTCATCTTGCATAAATAAGCAAATTTCAATATACCTCTGATAGTTACCACTTTCACAACGAGCAGTATTCTGCACGATCGTGATTCCCTAGAGGTTTGCACCTCACGTACTTCGTCAACAATCCTCTACCGACTTCCCAAATCGGTTCCCACTCTACACCTTTGATGTGGTGCCATCGGGTGCGGATGTGGTAACCGTACGGAGACCGAAAGGTGCAGTTGAAAGGATCGTCACCCCTCCACTATCCCCCTGTCCTCTCTTGGTTCGGTGATCCTATTCTCTTGTCGTCATGGCATGTAGACGCACGTGGCTAAGGAGTCACAATGGATCATATTGCGGCGGGAGCTGCTTTAGCTGCATGGACTAGAAGCCCTTCGAGAAGAGGTAATGGAAAATACATCGTGAGCTGGGGTCTGACGGGTGGAGTGCATTGGAATATGTACGTATTCAGTTAGTCTGCATTTTGGTGTCGTAGTCGCGTTAGTCATCATTGTCGAAGAGAGAATGATACACCATATTTATAACAACGTGTGGTTCTCGAGGATTGTTGACTTTGTATTGTTGCGTTATTTGCTATGGTGGATCAGTGTATGTCTTATCTCTGAGACTAAACCTGATTTCGCAAAATTATGCAGTCGTGGCTACTGAGTAGTGTCGCGTGCAAATGGGAACGTCAATATCCGGTAGTTTCCGGACTAAGGAGCATCAAGTTGTTTGAAGCGTGATAAGGCCTTACATTGCCAACATGCTAGCACCGAAAAACGGAGATGTTGACGCTGGGGCACTGTTCGCGTTGCGCTGGTAGATTGATTGATGAGCGGATATGCGCGGAATGTCCCAACATAGGGGTGACTTTGGTTGGCGATGTGTTCAGTGACGTGAATGAGGTAGTAAGTTTGTTGATATTGAAGTACATAGGAAATTTGCCGAAGCAGTATAGAAGGCGAAGAACAGAAGCGCCAGTCAAAGAGACGCGGCAGACGATAGCAGCAAGCTTGACTCGAACCAAAAGCATCGAGAAATTGACTCAACTAGGAAGCCCATTTTTAGTCCAATATTGCAATATTTACCCGAATATGAACATTCCACTTCTTACGGTCCAGTGCCTTGTAGATTGACATTAGATGAAGGGAGTTTGCCAGAATCCAATTTAAGCAGTCTTTTTCCATTGGGAGTAAACGCCCAAAAGCGAGCTGAGGGTGCCTGCCAATCCGACAGCACCATCGTCGAGGTTGAACCAGCCGAGGGTGGTTCCCGGGATGGTGATGTCGCACAAGTCGCTGAGCAACTGAATCCTGAGGGCATTGGCCTCTTTCTGGACCTTCTTCTTCTCGACTGCGCCCTCGCCGTCCTTCTCGGAAATCTGGGCGGCGCGCTCGCGGAGCTTGTACAAGCTGTAGAGGGAGGAAATGATGGAGAAGGAGATACCGGTGAACCAGGCACGGTAGCCTTCTCGGACGAGGCGCTGGGCGGTGCTGAAAGTGCGGATGTTGGCTGCGTGGAGCTAGAAATCATTGTTAAATTCCATTATACTGCACCTCCAACATTAAAGATGACTACTCACCACCGTCACATTGTCAAAGAACATGTATCCAGCATATCCAAGCTGCCTTGCAACTGTGGTAAACCTCACAATGGGGTCGAGGGTCTTCGCATCGGTGGCGATCGCCGCAGCCTTGAGGTGCTCGACGAACTTGCCCACGCGCAAGAGCTTGCGCGCAACACCGAACTGCTTCTTGGTCGCCTCAAAGGGTGCGATGGATGATGCTGGGTGGTTGGTACGGTAGAGGTACCATGCGAGGAAACGAGAAAAGTATTGGAGAGTTCGGAGGACCTTATCGCGACCAGCTAAACGAGTTGTTAGCACTCAGTGTACATTTAATGATTGAACGGGCGGCCATTGCGGAGCTCTCGGAGGTGACGACGAGTGAGGGGAAGGGAGGGGACGAGTGCTGATCCCTCTGGAAAAAGGCAGCTCGAGATATGGCGAGAATTAGGGAGTCATACTGGTGGTTGCGACAAACTTGAGGTAATGCGACACCGTTGGATGGTAAATGAGTGCGTCGGCGACCATTTTGTCTGCTTCTTTATCCCCGAATATTAAGGAAAGTATGAATCTCGAAGGCGAACCGTCCAGTTTGAGATGAAGGAGATCTGAAAAGTGATGAAGTAGAGAAGTGAAATTAGGTTATCAGTGTCGTAAATGACGAAGTCTGGAGATCAAAAGTCGAAGGGGGTTGATAGCGTGCGATGGTGCGAGGTCGGCGTTTGGGTGCGGTCCGGGGAAGCTTGTGATTTTGATGGGGGAGGAAAGGGAACGAGGGTTAACGGCGCCGACTCCATCATATTATTATTGCTAGCAACCTCGAGTACTGAGGAGGGATAACCGTCGACCTCGGCAAATCCATCCACCCAAGTCATGGGCAACGGTTCTCCTGCTACGTCGCATGCCCAATATAAGGGGACTCACTGAGAGGATTTTCTTGCTTTCAGTAAATCATGGTAAGGATTAACATCTATATTCTGACTTCTTAGCTGCGAATTCCATTGGCACCCCTTCGTCAATGAGCACATAGAATCTCATACCCTTCACTGCCACTACTGTAGTAATATAAATCAAGAGCTTGATGACTTTCACGAGCGGTCACACACCGAGGCCCCACATGCCAGAGAGAAACAAAGGACAAAGATGCGCTAGAATTCCTTATTGCTGCACTATGGTAATGCAATGTATCCATCCTTTCATTGGCCAAAAAATGCTCCGGCAAGGCTTGCCTCCAAACCAACCGCTCCAAATCTATACCTTGTAGAAGCAGAACGTGTGATAAAAGTCGGCTGCATCCAGCTCCTCTTCCGTCGTAAGTAGACGACCAGTGCCACGCTCTCGAACGCCCATCCTTTCGCTTAGTAGACCAAGCTCACGATCATCCTTTTGCTCCTCCCAAACCTCCCTGAACGACTTTCTATACTGGAGCTCAAGGTTATAGTCTTCAGCAAGTGCGCGGAATGCTTCCCAAGGGACAACGTATTCCGGTACTGTATCAACAGCTTCTTCTAAATAATAGAAGTATTTCCAACCAAAAGGTGGTCGAAATGTACCGTCCGCTGGGGTCTTTCCGGGGAATTTGACCTTGTAGATACTGTTGCCCCATTCAAACCCTTCTTCCTCCACTTCACCGTCTTCCGCATCGGCTCCCTTTTTCGCGTCCTCGGCGTCTCCATTTGCACCGTCTGTAGCTGGAGCACCATCTTGATCTGTCTCTTGAGGCTTCGGGCTATCCAGACTTTTCTCAGGATCCCAATCTTCCTCATCGTCGCTCGCAAATGTAGGCCTGTCGTCGTCTTCATCGGCCGCAGCACCGTTCTCGCCTTCTGCGGCTTTTCCGTTGGCTTTGTGGTGTTCGATGACCTTGGCTGAGAGGACATCTGAATTGGGTATGCATCCAATGAAGCGACCTCCTCTCTTCAATGAACCTGCGACGTTCCGTAGCATGCCCCTTGCTTTCTCCTCGTTCTCGAAAGCGTAATGCATACAAAACATCATAGTCACCATGTCCCAACCACCTCCGCCCCAGCGTTGGCTGATCGCATTATTTGGGCCAACACTAGGATCAATGCCAACTCTGCGAATGATATCAATGTCCGCGAGAGACTCCCCGAAGCAATCCTTGGTGTGAAATTGAGCGTCAAAGACTCGTCCGCGCCTTTTCATCTGCTCATATCGATCTCTTGCCTGCTTGATAGACACATCCGCAGGATCACAACCAACGTAGAGGCCCACTCGTCGAGACGAGTGCCATTTTTGAAGGTCTCCACCTTTTCCACAGCCAATATCAAGAATGTTGAGATGTCTCTCATTGCCAATGAACTTCTGGATGGTAGAAGACTTGACCCAGTTGTTGAAGCTTCGCAGACCTTTGATCTTACTGTCCGTCACACGCCATTCGCGACCTCGCTCGGGCACCATGTTGTAGTGCTGCTTCACAACGTCATGAACTCCGCGTGACTTTGCTTCTTCATGTTTCTGACGGTCCTCTTCCTGTTCGCGATCTTGTTGTCGCCTACGCGCAGCTTCGCGATCGGCTTGAGAGAATCGGGCACCGGCACCCGGACGCTTGCGCTGTCGCGGAGGGGAAGGAGTTCTTGAAGTCGAGCGCGCGCGCTTCTTCCCGTTGTCAACCGGATTCGGTCCAGCCATTGTGTTTAGAGGAGCTGATCTCGTTCGCGAACAATGCTTGTGGTAGAAAATCGGGTGGTTCAGAAGTTGGGAGGCTATTGATCTGAAAGCGAAGTTTCAAAGGCAAATTAGTAATCAAAAGATAATGTGGAAGAAATTGTTGCCTATGCTTGAATGATAATGGAAGGTTCAAAGTTGAAATTGGAAGAACAAACAAGAGAAAGAAGGTTCCTGTTCCTGCCTGGAAGCTTTGGGGATAAGTTGCAGGGTGATCGACGAAGCCGAACCCGAAGATTTACCGGCCGCCGTCGAACATCATCAACAGCTTCGGCCTTGGGGTCCAGAGCAACACCCACAGAACATCATCTACACTACGCCTGCACTACCACATCGACTCATCGGAGCCCTTTCTATCCCTTCTACCTCCACATACGCCGTCTGCCCAAGATGGGTGATCCTCAGTTTGCGAAGTACCCGGATCTGCAGCTGTCGCAGCACATATTCCAGCTCACCAATCCGGGCTCCACCAAATCCGCCAAACAAGCTTCCCTCAAATCGATCCAAGATGCCATCAGCGAACACAAGATGGCACCGCTCTACCGCTATCTGGCACACCCGACGGAAGGAGTTTTGAATGCTCCAGGTGAGGGATCCGCACAGCAGCCGTCCACGCATCGAAGGCCTTCCAGCGCCGCAACCTTGCTCGCCACCAAGAACCCCACTTTGGACGTCCCCCTACCCTGGGACGAGAAGCTCTACGAGAGCCTCAAGAGCGAGAACGAGAAGGAGCTTGAGACCATCCAGACGGAGGAGGATGAGGCGGCTGAGAAAGCAGGCGAAACGGAAGTTCAGGCTGCTCGAGGCAAAAGGGCAGAGGTCTATACTCGCATCGGAGACAAGGTACATATCACTGTATGAGACTTATTGCTTCAGGCTGACATACTACTCCAGGAGAAAGCCATTGCTAGCTACGAAGCTGTTTTCGAGAAGACTGGCATCCTAGGTACCAAGATCGACCTCGTCCTCGCAATAATACGAGTCGGCCTCTTCTTCGGCGACAGGGTTTTGGTTAAGAAGACCATTGAAAGGGCCAGTACTTTGGTTGAGAGTGGAGGTGACTGGGATCGTCGGAACCGTCTCAAGGCCTACCATGGACTTCATCTCATCACCGTTCGATCTTATGCGCAAGCCGCCCCACTCCTTCTCGACAGTCTTTCAACCTTCACAAGCTATGAGCTCTGCAGCTACTCGTGGCTGGTGATTTACGCCATACTAGCAGGATCAGTTTCGTTGAAGCGAGTGGATTTCAAGTCCAAGGTTGTAGATGCACCCGAGATCAAAGCCATAGTAGGCAGCTCGGAGGAGAAGCTCTCAGCAATCTCTGGTCACACGTCTGCTGGACCTGCCGCCGGTGATGAGAACATGGGAGATGCATCTTCGTCCTCAGCAACCCCCGCACCCGCTGCCGTGAATCTTACAACGCTCGGCCAACAGCAGGACGAAGAGGTTGCCATCGACTTCTCGCCGTTGGCCAGGCTCGTCAAGAGTTTGTACGAGGGCGACTACAAGAACTTCTTCGGAGCGTTGAGCGAAGTTGAGGTCCAATTCCTTGCCCAAGACCGATACCTTTATGAGCACAAGGGGTGGTATGTGCGGGAGATGCGCCTCAGAGGCTACCAGCAGCTCCTACAGTCATACAGGGTGGTGGGCCTGCAAAGCATGGCTAATGACTTCGGCGTGACTGTGGACTTCCTTGACAAGTACGTTCATTTTATTTTTTCATCCTTTTCGTTTGGTGTCTTCATGTACTGACTGGGAGTTAGGGATCTTGCCAAATTCATTGCCGCGGACCGGATACCCTGCACGATTGACCGAGTCAAGGGCATTATTGAGACAAACCGGCCCGATGATAAGAACAAGCAATATGCGGACGTCGTGAAGCAAGGCGATCAGCTCATCACGAAGCTGCAGAAGTACGGACAAGCGGTGAGATTACGAGGAAGCGAGCGCGGTTGAGGGGTGGACTTATGTGCATGATGATGAAAGCGAGCTGCAAGGCCCGTCCACGGTAGACATGTAATATCATAGACAGCAAAGCACAGCGCCGGGAAGTGTCTAAGAAACGACTGACTAAGGCATAAGAGATCATTGCACAGTTGCAATGACTTCGTCTCGTACACTCAATCAAGGGTTTGACCTCATCGGCGAGCTTTAAATAAAGATTTCCAATGTGAACAATTGCAGCGGTGCGTGTATGGATGTGTGTGAGCCTGGAAGCAGCCGATCAGTATAAGAAGCTTAATAGCGAGATATCTGAGCCAGTTCCTTGATCTCCAACCTATTCGACTATATCTAATGGATGGAGTATCAGGAACTAAAATACCTAATATAGTATTGCAGAACACTCGTCACTCGTGTAAACCACATAATTGTCCTATCCTATCGCAAGGAAGCGGTTCCAGGACATCGCCTACGGCTGAATTACCACAACACACGGGATGATGTTACACAACAGCTGTAATTGGACATAAATATCTCAGATCCATCATCGAGGATGCATACATACCAACGACAGCATGCGCCAATAATGACAATGCACTGGCACTAACTTTCTTCTTTTCTTCTTCCTCTTCTTGCTTCTTCTCCCTCTTGGTGATCTTATCTTTGTCCGAAATCCCCCACCCGTCTTCTCTGTCTGCAAGTTCTTTTCATTCCATTTCCCTTTACACACACAATTAGGTTTACTACGGCCCGCAAATCACCCGTCATCGACTTTTCCATTTCCCCCCTTCCTCTTCCCCTCTCCCTCCCACTTTCCCCCCAAACAAATCCCCAACAAATCTCCAATTGCTTTGGTCGCCAGCTCAAAGCCTTGTTCATCGACTAATTGCTTTACCTTTCCACTACCAATAGCTCCCGTGTGGAACCGGACCCAGCCTCTGTACTTCTGCTCATAATCTGATATTTCCTGCATTCTCCGTCTTTCTCCGCCTCCATCCGCTACGCCGTCGGAATCTTGATCACACCTCAACCATTGTCTACTGTTAATGTCCGTTGTCATCCATCAGTCCAATACGATCACCAAAGGCGACCTCTCGCTAATTGGGAAGTTGTTCGGCAACGATCCACCAAGTGGAATAAATCCAGACATAAGGAGTTTAGGGTAGATCAAGGACGGACAGGCGACAGTCGACAGGCGACAGGCGACAGGCGACAAGCATCAAGGGACTACTGTGGATTTGTACAGTCTTTGGACCATTCACAACTCATGATTCATACTCTTACAACAAGTGACGAGGTATTATCATAGAAGCGAGCGAGCACCACCGCATCAGATCAGGCTCAGGCTGCTCAGCAAGGGTCCCCGCCTCAATCTGGGCCTTCCCTGGGGTACCTGGAGATACGAGTACGCTATCTGGTCACTACAAGTCACTACTAAGACTAGACGCAAATCCCACATCCTCCCTCACCATGTCGCCGTCATCGTTCTCGTCATGGCCTCGTCTTTGTGTACGCTCGGTCAGGCCATTGCTCGACTCCAGCGCACATTCACGGCCAAAGTACAGCAGCAATGCGCTGATGCCACTCGGCGCATGCACCAGAGGTATTTATTACCATTTCCTTTCTACCGCTTGTCATGTCTCAGCCCTTGTTTGGGGCGCGGATTCCTCCGATCGTACACCGGAGTTGTAGTGGGGCATGACTCTTTGCATTGAAAATATCTCTCCACCATGAGCCACCCACTCCCCAATCCCATCCCATCCCATCCCTCCGTCCTTCTCGAGTCCTTTTTTTGGCTCAACTAGAAAAAAAAAACAAATACTGGCCCCTCCTCGCTTTTGGATTCTTATTATTTAGTAGAGCTGTGCTCTTCTGTTTTCCCTACGACCTCTAACCTTTGCTCACTTTTTTGCTTCTCCCATTAGTATCGCATAGCTCGCCCTCGACTATCCGCACTATGTCCACCTCACAACCCCGCAAAGCTCTCAGTATCAGCAACTGCAACCCCCACGTCAAGGAAGCACAATATGCCGTCCGTGGTGAACTAGCCGTTCGCTCGGAGGAGTACCGCGCCAAATTGGCCAACGGAGAGGGCAAGGATCTTCCCTTCGACTCGGTCATTGCAGCAAACATTGGAAACCCGCAACAGCTCGACCAGAAACCTATTACTTTCTTCCGCCAGGTCGCCAGTCTTCTCGAGAACCCATTGTTGTTGGAGCACCAGGATGTCTTGATCAACAACCTCGGGTACAAGAAGGACGTCATTGAGCGTGCCCAGTGGCTTCTGTCAGAGGTTAAGAGCATTGGAGCATACAGCCAGAGCCAAGGTGCTCCAGGAATCAGGAAGAGCGTCGCTGATTTTATTGAGAGTATGTATAACCTGCACAACTAGAAAATGACCTCGCTAACCCCGGAACAGGGCGTGATGGCTACCCCTCCAGCTTCACGAACGTCTATCTGAGCAACGGTGCATCGTCTGGTGTCAACACCCTCCTCCACATTCTCTGCGCTAAGCCAGAAACCGGCATCCTCGTCCCTATTCCTCAATACCCGCTCTACACCGCGTCTCTCTCCGTTCTGAACGCCAGATGCGTTCCATACTACCTCGAAGAGAGCCAGGCTTGGGGAACCGATCTTCAGGCTATCAGGGACTCCTATGAGAAGGCGGTCTCTGAGGGAACCGATGTCAAGGCAATTGTTGTTATCAACCCTGGCAACCCCACTGGTGCTAGTTTGTCTCCGGAAGACATCCGCGCAGTGTTGAAATTCGCTGCCGAGAAGGGCCTTGTTGTGATGGCTGATGAGGTATACCAGACCAATGTTTTCATTGGAAAGTTTGTGTCCTTCAAGAAGGCACTCAGGGATCTCCAGAAGGAGGAGCCCGGAAAGTACGACCACATTGAGCTTGCCTCGCTTCACAGTGTCTCCAAGGGTATGGTTGGTGAATGTGGTCACCGCGGTGGTTACTTCGAGCTCGTCGGTTTCGACCCACAAGTCGCCGAGCAGATCTACAAGTTCATCAGTATCCAGCTCTGCCCGCCTGTGATTGGACAGTGCATTGTTGAGCTTATGGTGAATCCTCCCAAGGAGGGCGAACCAAGCCACGAGCTCTACAAGAAGGAGTATGATGGTATTTTCAACGCCCTCAAGGAGCGAGCATACGCCCTCTTCGAGGCATTCAAGTCCATGGAGGGCGTCGAGTGCCAGACACCTGCTGTAAGTATTCACCAACTAATAATTTTGGACAGATGTTCTGACAATATTTAGGGCTCTATGTACCTCTTCCCCACCATCAATCTTCCCCCGAAGGCTTTGGAGCAGGCCAAGAAAGAGGGCCGCAAGCCTGATGAATTTTATTGCTTCCGTCTACTCGACGCAACGGGCATCTGTGTTGTCCCTGGCTCGGGTTTCGGGCAAAAGGAAGGCACTCTGCACTTCCGTACTACTTTCCTTGCACCTGGCACCGAATGGGTCAACAGGATTTCCAAGTTCCACAAGGATTTCTTCGACGAGTTCAGGTAGATACAAATTGTTGGATGCGTTCGATACCCAAGTTGAACGCGACTAATGAATGATTCAGGACGGAAGATGCGTTAACGAAACAAAGGATATCCAAACTATAAATGGCTGATTAGAAGTTTCGGCAAATTTATGTAAATGCGTGCTTGTTATAGCAGCAGCGCGGTGTATAGAAGCTGCGATCACAAACTTATATTTTATATATTCATATGTAGCTGATGTATATGTCAGTTTCAATCGATCGATTGAAACAGCAAAATCCACTCTATGAATTTGACTCGTTATCTTCATGAACGTGATACGCTTACATAATCCTTGTCCTGAATCGCTACTTCCGGACTTTTGTCTTTATGCCACAACACCTTTACTGAAAACCTAGAAAACCCGTACAGAATTTTCGCAGTAGACAATATGGCTACGTCTATATCATTGTCGCCGCCAGGAGCCACTTTCAAACGGCGCCTCTACCCTGCGAAGCCGCACAGCCAGCCACTGTTCCAGGCAGCACGTGAGAACCCGGGGAAGATCGACGATATACTTCGACCGTACATACATGACGAGGAATTACCGTCGGATCTTGCAGTTTACCTTTTAGAATATACCAACATCCAAGTGACTCCCAGTCTCTTCGGCGATCAATCACCGGATCGACCCCGCTGGTACTATGCCAACTGCCTAATCTTTGGCATGGTACTTGGCCGAGCATACAAACTCCTATCAACACCCACACGGCCACCAAACAGTTTATCCAACCCTTCGGATTTTCCCTTTTCCAGACTTCCCGCCGAGCTTCGTCTCCATATCTATGAATATGTCAAGGCAGACTCCATCCAGCGGAAACGGCTCTGGGACGTGATGTCGAGCGTCTTCATCAAAGCCTTATGGTCGGGCCGGGATCCAGAAGAAGGCGCACGCTACATTGCAGGCATTCTGATCGTAACGTGCGGCATCTCTCTCTCCCACGCCTCCACCTTCCTCCTGGGCCAGGGCTCCAACTGGGTTTGGTGGGACAACAAGTTCTCGCAGCCCGAACACACCTGGACATGGCAAGATCTCGAGACGGGGATCCTCGCAACGGCCGACCTGCCCCGCTCCAACACCTCCATGGACGCCGTCTGGGACAAGTGGAGGCAGCTCCAGAACCTCGAGGCGAACGAGACGCACACGGTGCCCTGGCCCGAATACGTCTCCGGGAACACGCTCGCGGTGCTCGACCTCGCGAGGGCGCACCTCAGGGCCGGAGAGAGGGACTGGACGCCGCCGGAGCTCGTGGCCAAGTTCTTGCTCCCGCTTTTCGATGGCCTGCCTGCTGATGCGAGGAGCGTGTGGGAGGCTACGGGGTTCATACTCGATGTAGATGAATCTGGGGCTACTGCTGCTGCTTCGTCGTCGTCGACGACGTGAGCGTGTGGGTTGTACTTGCATTTGTATCAGTCTTTTCTGGGGGTATTCGCTGTAGCAATTCATTTGGTATGTTGGGATTCACAGAGAGATCATGGCGTGCTGCGTTTGTAATATTCAAGTTCCATTAGCGAAATGATAGAATAGAATTGCTCCATCAGCATCACAAGCTATCATGTGCCCTACCCAACCTCCAGTAAGCAACTTTCCTTCAATCTTTCTTCCCAACATGTCCCGACGAAGGAACAGATCGTATAATTTGAAACTCCTCCCATGGACTGCGATTAGTTGTATATGTATAACATGATCATAGACTAAAGTGTTCGAGGTCGATTGACATGTGGTCGCCTATATTGTTCACATGGGGGATTATTTGATCATAGCAGTAAGGAGACATGAGAGATGAGCAATTAGCGATGCATATACGAGCGAGTAAAAGAGGGTTAATTGGCAAAAGGGGATATAGGCATGTATAAGATTGTATCGCTGTTGTCTGATTATCGGAACGAGGAAAGATTGGTCGATGATGTTTCTCCTCATGCGAAATCCAGTCTTTCTCTCTTTTCCATAAATTTTAATACAACAAGTCAGATGAGATGCGCGATCTCGAACATATCAATCAAACATCTGTGTCTTACACTGGTACACAATCAACCTCTTCACCCTTCCCCCACCACCGTCCCTGACAACTCCTCCCTCCAACCATCCCAATTAGGAAATACACCTGCAGTCAAAATGAAAAGGAATGACGTCTCGGATCCTTCCTCTGCCCCAGGCCCACTCACCGTAAGCCCAGATGGACCAAAGCAGACGATTCATTTCAGCCTTGCACAGCGGCACCGCCGAACGCTCGTAATTGGGTTGCTACTTCAATGCCAAAGGTCAGGCCCCCAACGATGGGAGTGACTAGGGCACGTATTCGGGCAACGCAGGGCTGTGCTTGTGCAGCAAGTAGTCGCAAAGGAAAAAAACCGTTACCCAAAAGACCCGACCCCCAGCGCGCAAGATAGATTGGTAGTGCAGCTGCCAGCACTGCAAGACAAGAGTTGTAACTCTGTATGCAACTGAGATCCTTTTATTATTAGTTGGGGGCCACACAGGACTAGATGCGCGGTCGGTTAGCGGGCTAGATGGGGCCCATTTTCGTTTACGACGATCGGTAGAGCTGAAGGGTCAACGAGCGAATCGTTGGGGAGGCGCATTTAGCTGGTGGCTACCAGTGCTACCCCTGCTGCTGGGGCAGTGGGAACGTCAAGTGCCTGCATACTGCGTTTCACAATCTATCTGCTTAAGAGAAGTGTCAGCCCCACGCTGGACTGACGTCCGTCCTGTCTAGTGACTCTTGATTCCTCCTCCACATTTGTGTGACACGATTTCTGTTTGTCTGTCTGTCTGTCTTTACATTTTTCTCGGGCTGGACATTGAATTGGACAGTCGAGGCAGTAGCTCAGTAGACGATTGTGGAATCCATCGTGAAAGATTGAACCCCTTTTGGAAAATACATATCGCAAAGATGCCTTCGATCTCCCACCATGGTAAGTATAAAGCACCAGCAGCAGACGCAACGCCCTGAAATACAAAAAAAGGTACGCGCAATACTAACACCATTCCCCACGCAGGCATCGCCATAACCTCAGGCTCAATAATCGACTTCGCGAACCTCACACCGAACCGACCACGACTACCACGGCGCGCGGCAGCGGCGACCGCCCTCGAACGAAGGGACCCCAGCACCACCGTCAGCGGCGTCGTCTTCATAGTCATCATCGTAATCGTCTTCGTCACCATCGTCTTCTGCACCGTCCTCGCCATCCTCGTCTGCAGGAACAAGCGCAGGAGGCGCGCCCGGGAGCGCAAGCTCGAGGAATCGCGGCCGTTGGCGCCGCTGGAGGGCCAGACGCACAGCCCGAGTGCGTATGCGTCGCCCAATCCCCAGCAGCAGAATAGTCAGCAGCCGTTCGAGTACTACAGTGGTCCACCGCAGGAGTTGGCGGCGCCGAATGGGCTCGCATATCCGAATAACAATCAAACTGGAGGACAGAAGGTGGCGCAGTTGGATGATACTTCAACGACGGTAAGTGTGGTAGCTAGCGCGAGGGAATGAACGGTGTGGATGGCTAACGTGTTGGGCAGAACCACGGAGCTGTGGAGCTTCCCGGGACGAGGTAGAGGGCACGAGTGATTGAGTGGATATGGAGGTTGCGATTTGTCTTGACTTTGAATCATCATTGCATGTGGAGATGCCCGGATAGTTAGCGCTGGAAGATGGCATGCTGCGTGCACAATTGCCTTGTGCAAGGAGATCGTTGGCTTCGAGGAAGGAAAGCCGGTTCATGAGCCAGAAGATACCCAATATGATTTTATTACCACCGCAACTTTCCCGCTATTGCTTGCTAGGAAGCATGCATGACGGCATGTCAGGTCTGTAAGATTACTCGACTCGAGCTGCTGCCAAAAAATCACAGTGTCGCTTGTGTTGTCATCAAGGTTTGACTGGAAGAGAAGCTGTTCCTGTGTTAATGATCTTGGGAACTTGCAAACTAGAAAGGATCGCATTAAATATTTAACCTTGCTGTTCTAAGGTGAACTATCCGAATGAGACTATGGAAATGGAGGATTAGGGAAGAAAGGCATTTTGGCATTATGCGTCCTTGAGAACCCTGGGATGGCAATTTGACAAGTGGAGATATATTCAGCATCGCAAACTGAGTCGTTCCGTCACGCGCTGAAGACACGCTTCCAGAGGACGAAACTCTCATACGTCTGGCTTGGGTATCTGACTTTTCCATCTTCGTTGAGCTCCCTTAACCCGGCTGCGTCCTCCACGGTGAATGTCACATCTCTCGTGTTTCTAACAAGAACATTCTCCAGGCTTTTGTATGGGTAGACATTCGCCATGTTGCCGGGAATCCTGCGATCCCTAGTCGCAGTGAGGATCTTGATGATGGTCTTGATACCGAGTAAGTCCAAGATATTATCCCCCAGGCCTGGGACGACCTGATTGAGGAGGCGAATGAACACAGCGCCAACACGAGCCAGTGCTCGCCATACCAGACCAGCAGGCGCATAATCAAGAAGATCGCCGTATATGTCCCCGCTTCCAGTGGGATGGTCAGATTCAGCCAAAGCAGGATCAGCTATGCGTTGGTTGATGTCATCAATGTTGTCCTCTAGCCGTGGGAAAATGGGGAGCGACCCGTCCTTTTTATGTGTTTTCAGAACTGCCTCCAACATCCACCGCAGTGTCACATCGCTCAGGATTTCGTTAGCGTATATTGTCTTACTCAACTCCCGCGGCACGGTGCCTAGCCAGCGCTCTAGCCAGTTCCTGGGTTTGCCTCGAATGAATCTGAAATTCTGGCGACCGACATCATAGTGGCACCCAGGAAACCATGTTTGATGAATCGATGCCTTTTCCTTTCCAGGGCCGGTGAAAGCTAGGCAAGGTTGGAACATCCAAAGTCGGTCATGGAGAGACGGAGCATGATAAACTTCCTGCACCACAGAAGAAACCCTTTGGTCATAAAATTCAGGCCAGTCAAAGCCAACACCAGCGTTCAGTCTAGGGATCCCAAGAGACCCCACAGTGTCAAGAAGGATCATGGCACGGATGGGTCTTGCTGGATACCAGACCCTGTTCTTGTCCTCACGGAGCCTACGGCAACGGGTGGAATTCGGTTTGTCGATTTCAAGAGGGCTTCGGTAAGTACTGTATACTCCACTGCAAAGGGTATAAACTTCGTTGTCGCTGAGGTCTGGGAGCTTCATTATGATACCACAGTTGTTTATCATGCCAGCCACGCATCGAATAGTGAATGCACCCCGACTGAACCCAAACATCCAGATATCATGGTCGTCCGTGTAATTGTCCACGATGAATTTGTACACAGCCGTGCATTCATCCCCGATGGTCGAAGCCGTGGCACCGTCCCATAGGTATTCGAGAAATGACTTGTTGAGACCCACGCCTTCCTGATAGCCGGCAATAACGTTTGTTTGTGGTGTTATGATAGGATGTACGAGAGCAGGCTTCCCAGGCGGGTTTACAGAGAAGTCGATGACTCCGAGAAGGTCCGCAAGAATGCGGATGTTACTCCGCGTTCCCGTTTCGCGCCCGCACCATGTGCCATCACAGAAAATGACTAAATGCTGCGATGGCTTTCGTGATGTCATTGCGGGGAACGTTGCTGATAATCTTGTGGAATGAAGTGGCAGATTCAGAAACTGACTGCAATCGCTTCAAGGGGTGTTTAGGAAAGTTTGTCGTGACAAAGACAATGTTCAAGGGGAGTGGGTGTCGACTGTCACCAAGCACATGGCGTTGTAGGGTCAGGTGCGACCGCGTCCACATGCCAAACGCCAGAATGTAACAAAACGCATCGGAATGTTCCGATGCGCCACATGCACAGCTCGACGCAAAACATGGAGCTGAGGGCATCATGTGCCTCAGCCAAGATATTTACCACCTGTTCGATGGACCAACTGCTCGTGCATCATCTAACCTCTCGCGGATGCGTACAGAACAGCGCCCGCCTACCACTCAAACTTAATGACCTAGGATCTCGTCCATCGCTTGCCACATCTGCCTCTGATTGTCCTTTCTGCGCTCTTCTTGGGAAGCCTTCGAGGTTTCGTCGGCAGCGCTCTTCGTGGCTGGACCAGGAGCATTCTTTGCTAACTCTGCCAGTGCATCATCCACCTTTTGCTTCATGTCGGCCACACCTTGGATCTCGGCCTTTTTCTTCCGCAACTGTTCTTCCATTAGGTGTATAAGAGTCTCGCGAGCTTGATGTGGGCGGTATTCGTTGACCAATCTATGCATATTTGCAAAGAGTGTGAGCAAGTCTTTGATCTTTTCGTTCTTTCGTTCTGAGGCTGGATCTTGCGCCATCACACCAAGCAGTTCGAGGTAGCTGAGTAGCGCAGAACGTAACAATCGGAACAAGTATTGTTTGCGCTCTTGTGTCCATTCAGGCGTGGTGCTTGGGTCTTCGCCTTCTCCAGTCTCTGGGGGCAGTGGATACAGTTGCTCGTACTGCCAGCCTGGCAACCACCCTCTGTGGTCTAGATCTTGCGCAATGAAGGCCATATCATTCATGAACCCATTCATGCTACCGCCTTTTGTCAATTGGCCGAGTACCCGTATGTCTTCATCATCTGCTGGCGGCTCTGGGGGAACGAGGTAGCGTTGTTCGATCGGCAAGTTCGATAACCGGGATGGTGGGAGCGGTGAAGAGGCTGACGCTTCATGGCCATTCTCTACAGCCTCATTCTTAAGCTTCTTCAGATTCTCCACATTCTCGGTCGTGAAAAACTTATAGAAGGGCGGTGGTGCCGGCCACGGCGCGGCGTTCTGGGGTTCGTCGTCGGCCATGATTTCCGTATATCGATGTTTCGGGTGCCTTAGATCGAGGAAATTTGGGTATATGTAAGATACGAAACCTTAAAGGCTTAGTATGTGATGTAGATGTGAGCTTGGAGCTGTCGTGAACAGCTCTTGGGACGAGTTGAAGGCGAAAGCCAGGAAACGCGTGGGATGTTTGGGAGTGGTTCGGCTCGGGGAAGCTTCGGGTGGGGCTGGTTGGGGTAACCCGCTTTGGCTTCATTCATTCACTCCACTTCACCTACTCTGCTCCGAATTGCATCGGTTGAAATGTGCAAAATGATACATAATTGTGACATCTTGCCTTCAAATCAACTCTGATTTCAAAGCACTCTGATTAGTTTTCGACAACTCACAAGAACTGCTCGAAAAGGGCATTATCCATAGCGTTTGGATGTAAGGCGTAGTTCCACTAGATGCCAATGTTTTAAACGAGTCTTACATTCCTTAATCGTAGAACAAAAGCACTCCAATCATAGACGGGCATCATACCTTTGCCAGTTTTTCTATCGAAATGCTTGGTAATCGTACATCGGGTGGTGATCCTTCACCTTACGCCCCAGCATGTGGTTGCATGTGGTTGCATGTGGAACAAAGATGCAATTCTCTAGCGCAGTTACGCATATGTAGAGTTGAATTAGTTCATCGACGTCGATGACAAATCCATTTACATAGTTATAAGTAAGGACATCACCTCATGTCTTTGGCTGAAACCGTTCGACCTCTTAAGTGATAACCTTTCTGAGATCTAGAGCATACAATTACCCTCCTTTACCTTGTTAAGAGAACGACTTCCATACTCACTCGCCAGAACCATGACGACTCAACGAGCGCTCGTACATGAGTCGAAAGGCGTTGCTGTGGTCAAAAGCGATGTCCCACTTCCAGAACTTCCAGAGGACTACATTCTCGTAAAGACCAAAGCAGTCGCCCTGAACCCCACTGATTGGAAGAGTCTTCACAACAAGCCCGTAGCGGGCGCCGTCGCTGGATGTGATTACGCAGGCATTGTTGAAAAGATCGGCAGCAAAGTCACGGCGGGCTTGAAAGTGGGAGACAGAGTAGCTGGTTTTGTCCGTGGGGGTATGAAGACGCTTCCTATTCGAGAACGTCCCAGATCTAATTTGATTGTTTAGGCGGGGTTACGAAGCGCGAGACAGGAGCGTTCGCCCAATATATCAATAGCAAGGGAGGAATCCAACTGAAGCTAGCCGACCATGTCTCTTTCGAAGACGCCTCCACTCTCGGAGTTGGAATCACGACTGTTGGGCAGGGCCTATATCAGTCCCTCGGACTGCCTCTCCCACCCGCCAAGGTGGAGAAGCCTACCTCCATCTTGATCTACGGAGCCTCAACAGCAACGGGGACACTTGCAGTCCAATTTGCAAAGCTGTCAGGGCTAGAAGTCATTGCAACGTCTTCACCCCATAACTTCGATCTGCTCAAATCCCTCGGTGCAGATCAGGTATTCGACTACAAAGACCCCGACGTCGGTGCAAAGATCCGCGAGGCGACCAATGACGAACTCTATTATGTATTCGACACTATTTCTGAGCATGGATCTCCTGAGATCTCTGGGCAAGCACTCAGTTCCAAGGGTGGGCGGTATGCAGCTCTTCTTTACGCTACAGTCCCTCGAGCCAATGTCCACAGCACCGTGACAATGGGTTATACCGTGACCGGGGAGCACTATAATCCACAATGGCCAGCAAATCCCGAAGATTATATCTTCGGCGTGAAATTCTGGAAATTGTCAGAAGATTTGATCAATAGTGGCAAGATCAAAACGCATCCCACTGAAGTGCGGTCGGGTGGCCTCGGGGGAATTGCTCAAGGTCTCAATGATTTGAAGGACAATAAGGTCAGTGGCGTTAAGCTAGTCTATAAAATTGAGTAGGGCATACGCTTTACCAGTAGATCAGTACACGAATAAATGAAAGTATGGAACCTGTGCTATGACCTTCATTAGGCAATATAAGTTCAACATATCTCACGCATGTGCACATACTTTCGAAAATCTAAGTCGTGGTAGCAGACACATCAAGGAAATGTACGAGATGAGAACAGTAACCAAACGATACATATGGAAAGCCAGACACATACGAAGCTGCACGATAAGATGATTCATGCTGTCGAAACTTTCATTACTCCTTATCCTCAATTACAGTGATAGTCCGACTTATTTCGATACTTTTACTTCTGCGAAATATGTGAAGACCTAGCTAGCTGTTAAAACTACTTTTCCTGCTGTAAGCCCATCTGCCTTCGCCTCAATCACAATCTCTCCCTGTGATCCAGCTTCAGCTTTCACAATCGCGAGAGCAAGACCGCTGAAGGCCTTGCGACTGTGCGAAGGGAACGGCACCATATCAGTCGCGTCGCCGTTATCCGTACTGATGATCTTTCCTGGTCCAGAAGACACCGAGAAGGTTATTTCATTGTCTCCCTGCGGGATGGTATTTCCGTCCTTATCCACGACAGCGACTGTGATGAACGAAAGATCTTGACCGTCACCACGGATAGTTGTTCGATCTGCGGTGACATTCAGCGCAGTGGCCTCGCTGACTGTGACGTGAGAGTCGGATGCCCATTCTTTTCCGTCCTTGTATGCGACAACGCGAATGGACCCAGGGGAGTAGGTTACATTATCCCAGCGGAGTCTGTAATCGTACTGTCCCTTCTTCTTTCGCCCGGCAGAAACATCGTTGACAAAGAGCTCAGCCTCATCGCCTGATGTGAAGACGTGTACCGGAGTCACCTTTCCAACGCGATCTGGCCAGGTCCAGTGTGGAATCAGTTTGGCCTGGGCGAGCTCCGGTCGCCATCGAGACTGGTACAGATAGTACCTTTCCTTGGGAAATCCTGCAAGATCAATGATGCCGAAATAAGAGCTTCGACTGGAGTTGTCATAGGGGGTTGGCTCGCCAATGTAGTCCCAGCCGGTCCACACGAACTCTCCTGCTACATAGGGATGTTTGTCCTGCTGCTCGAACACCTTATCCTGCGATGCGGCCCAGGGTGGTGCATAGAGGCCATATGCGCTGACCTGTTGTGTCTCTGGATCTGCTCCCTCGCCAGGACCTGCACCGACAATTGTGCTTATGTTGGAATGAACTGGGAAGATGTAAATACCGCGTGATGCGACCGTTGATGCGGATTCAGTGCTCCAGATCATCTTATTTGGGTATGCTTTTTGGAAATCCGGGAATGTGCTAACCCAGGAGTTGCCCTTGCCCTCTCCCTGGTAATTGAGACCAATGATATCGATAACATCAGTGAAAGGAGATCCAGGCTTAGCAGTGTTCAAGCCATTGGTGACCTGTCTCGTTGGATCTTCAGCATGTGCGATGTCTTGCAATATCTTTCCTGTCTCTCCACCGGTTGAGTTGGCTTGTTCAGGGATCTCGTTTCCGATACTCCATGCGATGATCGAGGGGTGGTTGCGGTCACGGCGGATAAACGATCGTAGATCAGGCTCGTGCCATTCCTTGAAGATACGATGGAAATCATTCTTTACCTTAGGGAAGCTCCAAGTATCAAAGATTTCATCTTGAACCATAAGTCCCAATCGATCGGCGATATCAAGGAACTCCGGCGCTGGTGGGTTATGCGAAGTGCGAAGTGCATTGTTGCCCATGTCTTGTAACATTTGGATCTGGCGTTCAGCAGCGCGATAATTGAAAGCAGCACCGAGAGATCCAAGATCATGGTGGTTGCATGTGCCGTAAACTCGTACAGGCTCTCCATTGAGCAGGATGCCCTTAAGCGGATCGTACTGGACTGTGCGAATACCGAATGGCGTTTCGTAGGAGTCCACCTCGGTCCCGTTGATGGATAGAGTAGAAACTGCAATGTATTCATTTGGTTTCTGGCTAGGGGGAGGGCCCCAGAGCTTTGGGTTTGCGACGGTAGTTGATCCATTGACAGCTTGCTTGGATTTGCCCTCTACTGCCACCCGCGTGCTCTTCACTGTTGCTAGAGAATCTCCCGTTGGTTTCCTAGATGTTGGGTCGAGTTCATAAATCTTTGTTTCTATTTCGACTTGTGAAGTGCTGTTTCCAGCGTTCTCAATTTCGATGGCGACATCGACGGTAGCTTCATCAGCTGAGACGCTAGGTGTTGTAACATACGTTCCGAAGTGCGCAACGTGTACAGGACTGGCAGTCACTAGCCACACATTACGGTAGATTCCAGCGCCAGGGTACCAGCGTGAAGAGTCTAAAAGATTCTCCAGTCGTATAACTAACTGATTCTCTCCAGATTTTGCGAATGGGGTAAGGTCTAGACGGAACGAATTGTAGCCAAATGGCCAACCACCGACGAATTTGCCATTCAACCAGACTGCAGCATATGACATGGCGCCATCGACGTCTAGGAAGATTGATTTTCCAGACGCAATCAGTTCGTCCTCTAACGAGAGTGTTTTACGATACCAGCCAACGCCATTGATAGGGAGTCTTCCCAAGCCACCCTCGACACCAGGGGCATCAAAGGTGCCAGTGATTGCCCAATCGTGAGGCAGATCCAATTGCTCCCAACCTTGGTCGTCGAAATCAGGTTGTATGAATTCCACGTCCGACCCCGGGGCTTCTTCACCTGGCGCTTCGTACTTATCTCCGTTCAGGAAGTTGTTGGCCGAAGGGAGTATCCATGGTCTCAGAGTCTCATAGCTGAGTGAATCGGGTGCATCGACAAAACGTTCAAATCGCCAGTCAGCATTTATACTGGTTCGCTCGCGGGTAGTGGTTGCAGAACGAGGCCTCTTTATTGCACTCGCAGTTGTCAACCCGAAATTGGTTGACGCCAGCAGTCCATAAAGGAGAAGATCTTGGGAAACAAGCATTTTCCCAATGTAGGGTAGCATTTTGCACAGGTAAACTCAGTAGCAATGTAAAAACAGCCTAAGTTACCTGCACATCAAATGAATTGAGCTGAAAGGTATTTCAGTACTACAGCAAAGCAAAGTAGCCATTGGCCTCAATAGCGACATATTATAGGAAATTGTGAGAGCACGTCAATGAGCAGTCATTCCAAGGTTGCATGATCTTCAACGGTCTTGCGGCCGGAAAAATTAAAAATAACAAGGTATCTCGCCGCAAATAACCCGCTGCCCGAGTACATCATTATTGGGGTTGCTAATCCCTGGTAGGGAAATAGTGGATGCTCCATGGGATTTCCCCGCCGTGCATCGAGCGGGGTGGCTTGCTTGGCTACACTTAAATGAACTTCCTAGCCTCATCTTTGAGGTATTTGTAGCCTACTTGCTCAATGTGGTTCGCGGGTACTGGCATTCCGTCCAGTTAGTGGTGTCCTCAGAGTTGCTGCGATCATCAGTGTCACTCTCATGGTCTTCCCAATGGGGATGTCGCTCCGGTTTCCATTTCGATTTCTACTTGGCTGTAACCTGCCTTGCAATACTAATACTACCTCTGGCTATGGTACAAGGATCGATGGTGACCTTATTCGCGCTATCTAATAGCGAAGGTCGAGGAAGGAATGGACCGAGGTTCTCCACCGCGACAGAATAGGGAATTGATCAACCAATGGCAAGACCACTCAGTGGTGGTTCGACTCGATAAATCAGGATTGGATGAGAGGCAACGGTATAAAGTGACACTGAAGAAACAACTTTCGTCGTATCGTGGCTGCCGTGTCGTGTATCGATTGAACTTCTCAGGCAAAACAGATAGATTAGTCGGGTTTCTCTCAGGTACTGACCATCATTGGCACCCAAATGCGAGAGAGCTTAGCTCACGGAGTTGACATTTTACAGCATACGAAGGATATAAATAAGATAGAAGCTGTGCTCGACTGTATTGGACAGGCACGGTACTAAACATTCCTAGTCTTGTAATGTCTTGATCTATTCATTAACTAAAAGAAAATTCGTATCAAGCTCAAAGCTTCGAGCTTAGGCCATTGCATCTATTTGGCGTATCGAAGAAACATATTGTCAAACCAGGTGATATTCCACGTTCCGTCCTCTGTGTTGAGCGTCACATTGCTATGCTTCGTTATGCCCCTCTGCAGAGCTCCACTCTCGACCACGCCGCCACCGACGTCTCGCTGGAGGCGGTTGGCGCCAGCTTGTACAGTAAAGTTTGCCAGACTGATCTCAAGTGGATTCCTTGTAGCGATGGTAGGGCAACCTGCACAAGGTTAGTATGCCTCCGAACACCGACAAAACCGAAAAGATTCACTTACCATAGTATTGCGCTTCGATAGCTTCCGGTGAAATCTGAAGCTCATAGTAGCCCCTGTAGTATCCTTCAGCCCACTGCAGTTCCTCGTTTGCGTTCACAAGATCAAGAGATCTGACGCTGGAATTGGCCGGCGAAGGATCATCTTTAGCACCCATGGACGAGACCGAGGTACCTGCGAATTCGACACCAATGGCCCCTTCACCAGTGACGGGGTCGTATTGCTTTTCGCCTAGCCATACAAGGTCTGACACCCAATTGGCGTGGGAGTCTCCAGCGAGGAAGATGGTGTTGTTGATTTGGTTATTGTAGAGATGTGCAAGAGTGCGATTGCGATTGGCTACGTAACCCTGATACGCATTAGATAAATGATGTGGCATATAATGGATGACGTAAACTTACATCCCAGGAGTCGCCATTGGGAATCTTGAATCCCATGGCAGTTTGGTTAAGACTCGAAAACACAATCTGGTTTCCAATCAACCGCCATGTTGCATTCCTGTCGCTGCTCTCGGAGAGCTGTCTGTAGAACCAGTTCTCTTGGTGACTTCCCATAAGCGATCTGCTGGCGTCGTCGCGGATGATGTCAATGTATTCGTCGTTCCAACCTCCTAAAGTAGTAATACTACGGTCGTAGCTACGCGTATCGAGCATAATGAGATCAGCTAGCTTCCCCAGCTTGAACGTACGCCAGATTCGAAGGTTATCATCCATGTCGACCTGCCTGATAGGCATCCATTCGAAGTAAGCGCGTACGGCGTTCATTTTACGTTGGTCAACGGAAACACCGCCGGATTTGATAAATGAATCCTCGGTGTTGTTCATGGTAATAGCTCCGTCGCGATACACGTTGTTAGCGACCTCATGATCGTCCCATACGTTAATCCATGGGAAGTTCTGATGAGAGAGCAGAAGATCCGGGTCAGTGCGGTGCTGTCCGAGTCTGGCGCGGTATCCATAGAGGGAGAAAACTTCGCCCTCGGGATTAGTGGCCCTAGGGTCCTTTCCAAGCTTGCCTTTGCCGTTTTCATAGATGTAGTCACCGAGGAACACGACATAGTCTATGCTGTCCTTCCTGGCAGGGTTACCATAGGCATTGAAGTAACCGGTGAAGTAGTTGCTGCAGGAGTAGATTGCAAGCTTGATCTTGGAGACGGCGTCATCGGCTGCAGGACTGGTCTTGGTCCTGCCGAGTGGGCTCTTATTGTCAGATCCGCAGATGTTAAACTGGTACCAGTAGGTTGTGAACGGCTGCAAGTTCTTCGCTTCGACCTAGCATCTTGTAAACATTAAGTTTCAAATTCCCCAATGTGCAAGCACTCACCTTGATTGTGTAGTCAATGTCGCTCGTAGTATACGCCCTACCACTATCGACAACATTTGAGCAGCCCTTGTCAGCCCAAACCTGGTAGTCCACGCAGATAGGATTGGGAGAAGCCTTGATGTATTGTTCCGTATCGTGATTATAAAGCGGGACGTTACCCTCAACTGTGACATTGGATCGGTCATTCTCGAGAACAGGCGAGGCGCGAGTCCAGAGAACTACCTGATTGGGCAGTGGATCACCCGACGCAACTCCATGGGTGAACTTGAGCTCTGATGCATTCCACACATGGGATTCAAGACCACGCTTAGTATGCCTGAGCCTGGGAACATCGATTCCGAGTGCGGGGTGTCGATTCGAGGGTGAGTTGTAGTTCAGATTGCCGTCATAGTCTGCATTGGCCAAAGTGGCACAGGCAAGGACCGTGAATGCAGCGATGGTCTTCATCCTTGGGTACAACAGTAAGATGAGGCAAACTAGAGCTTCGACAAAACCGAATTCTGCCGTTCCATTTATACTTGAATTTCATCAACGAAAATCTTCGTTGTGCCGGTGTATACGACGCAGCAATAGCTTGTGCGGGGCCATCATTCTTGATGACAGCATCGTATTGTTCACCAGAATTTAAGTTCTGATCGACGAACATGACCAATAAAGTTGATTGCAATGGAAACATGTTTCGAGCACATAGTACTACGTCAATGATGCAAAGCGAACATGTGCCATAGAGAACAATTTGTATTGGCTGTCGGAAGTTTTAAGTCGCTCTACGGGAAGAAGCGAATCGCTCCCAGGAACACGCACGTTTCCTCCCCACGTTAGCATGCATCCTAGTAAGTGCTTAGGCTTCTATACTTCTGCGGTTAGTTGGATATAAGCAGCAATCAAGTACTCGGCCGAATTGTGGAGTGCGATTTATAATACTTGCCATGGACTTGTTGTTGCATCTACTCTACATTTTACATTCATAGTGCCCTAGCTAGTCTCCACCCGAGTCAACCACTTTGAAATGAGCATAAACACATCCAAAAACTCCTTGAAGTACTCCGAAACCGGATATCATAAAATCGTAAACCTAATGTGTGTGATGAATAGGAAAACTACATAGAAAACAGAGAGTAAATGATATGTCACTCCGACGGGTATATGCTGCTCACTCTTTCTTCACATTAACGACAATCTTTCCCTTCGCTCTCCCTGTCTTCAATTTCTCAAATGCCCGCGGCACATCCTCGAACTCAAAAACTTCATCAATAACCGCCCGAAGCTTGCCCTCCTTCATAAATACTGCAAGTTGCTCAAGGTCATCCGCTCTCGCTTTCGAGGAAAGGATCTGATACTTCCTTCTACCACCCCCGAGGAAGCCTGGGAGCAATGTGTTCCTCGCCAACTGCCCAGCTGCCCCGAGACTCACAGGCATCCCGACTTGAACGAATTTCCCATGAGGAACGATGAACTTATCCGAGGCGACGAAGAGATTCGATGGCGATCCAATGTTGTCCACGACTAAGCTGTAGATTTGCCCTTTCTCCTTCAATTGTTCGATTATGTCTCTCTCCTTGTAATCGAGGACCTCGTCTGCACCCAAGCTCTTGCACAGATCCACGTTGGCTGTCGAACAGGCTGCTGTCACATGACAGCCGAGTGCCTTCGCGATCTGAATAGTATATATTCCTGTGCCACCAGAACCGCCATTGACGAAGACTTTGTCACCAGGTTTGACGTTTGGTTTCAATGCTTGGACTGCTGTGATACCGGTTACACCAGCGGCCGCAGCGTCCTTCACATCGTATTTCTCGGGGAGCTCCACGAGGTTCTCCTTCCCTACAGCAACGTATTGAGCCAGCGTTCCGTGGCCTGATAGACCAATTGTAGTGCCGAACACCATTTGACCAGGCTTGAAAGAGGAGGAGACTTTTTCTCCCGCCTCAACCACCTTGCCGCAGAAATCCATTCCAGGGATGCTCGGGGAGGGAATCATGGCCTTTGCGAGGAGGCCGAGCTCGGGAATCTTGTGGTCGACTGGGTTCAAGGCTGCTGCATATACCTCGACGAGGATTTGAGAGTGATTGATGTGGGGTTTGTTGGCGCCGGAGGCGGGTAGGAAAAGGTTCTTCTCTAAGCCGCCTGCGGCAGATGTGAACTGCCATGCTTTCATTTTGTCAGGCATGATGGTTGAAATTTTGGAAATCCTTGAATTGTATAGTAGCTTTTGACCTCAGGGAGAACACTAGCTTCGACTTGTATATAAATTCATTCCACGATCACGTACGCGTATGTGGCGATTGTAACGTAATTTGGCCAAATTTATCTGCACTGGGGAACTCGAGCTCGAAGTGCGCGTATGTCTGGTCGCCTTGCCGAATGGAATACTGGATATGGTTGACTTTGCGATATGATGGGGTGAGTATCCAGAGGACGTGGCGTGAGTGCTTGGGGGCAATGGCAGGTGACTCGAGCTACACAGATATCGTCATCGACCCAACCCCATATCCGAGAGGTGGGGTATCGCTTTGCGAGTGCTTTACAGGAACCTTACCCCTCAGGGTCTTTCGTTTGAATATATTCGTACTACTATCTGTATAGATACGTTCAAATAATAATCTTCGCTCTTTACTTTTTCAGGACCAATAGAGAAGACAGTACTTGCTGCGTATAGAATAGCATGGTGCAGTACACTTGATCTCTCAATAACCTACGAGTATGCTTCAATGATGAATGCTCTTCCCTGTAGAATTACAAAAATATTTTAAAGCATTCTCACTTCATGTTGACGTTCTTCACAGAGTTTAGAGAAATTGTATGTTCTTGAAAAGACCCATTGATATAAAATGACCAATTTACTTCTTATAACGCGTATTCAGACTTGATTCCAACCCAGTGTCCTGTTAGTTCCCGTAATCCAAACAGCCGCCTCTTTATTCTGTAAACTCCTCACAAGGTCAGGACTCGCTATCGTCAGTGTTCCAATTATGCCAATAAACGCCGCCAGGAAAATGATAAGGAACAGCTGCACGAGCGAGATGTCAACCTTAGCAGCCGATTTCCGATTCAACAACCCATTTGCCAAAGGCCCTTTAAACTTATCCAGAGGCTTGATGCCATTCTTCTTTGCGTACTCGTAGCCTCGCTTCATTCCTGGGAGACCGTCGACGCTGAGCTGTGACTTGTACGCCCAGTACCTTGCAATTCTCGTCAGTCTAGCCCAGGCAACGTATCAAAAGGGGAAACAACATACTTATCCATGCTCTCACCCTCCTTGCCCTCCAAAAAAGCCTTCTCCTTCTTCTCAAAATGCTCATTCAACCTCGTCCTGTAACCCTTAAAATCGTAAAACGGCACCGAGAACCCACAACTACTCGCAACCTGATGCACATCCAGCAAAATGATACTCCTTGACCCAGGAATCGTCGTGACATGATTCTCCTTCACAAACTTCTCGTACTCCTCCGTTCCATTCTCGATCGGCCTCCCTCGTCCCCACAGCCGAATGATGCGCGGCGCGCCTTCAAACGCCATGAACATGACGCAGATGCGTGCGTTGCCCGGCTCGTGCAGGTGTGCATGCGTCTCCACGCCGCTGCCCGTGAGATCCATGAACCAGAACTTGGTTGGGGAGATAATGCCGAAGTAGGGTCCGCCTTTGGGGGAGATGTTGATGTGGCCGTCTGGGGATAAGGGCGCCGTGGCGACCCAGAGCATCTTTTGGTCGAGGATCCATGGCCGGAGGGATTCGGGGATGGTTTCGTAGTAAACGCCCATGGTGGAAGTGGGTTTTCTTTTCTCTTTTCTTTGGGTGGATTGGTGTCGTATGGATGCTGATGCTGGGTCGATTGGGGAGTTGAGTATGGAGGATGAGATCTGGTGGTGACTCAATAGGGTCACTCTACGGCCGCGGATGGGATGCGAAGAATTTGAGTTGCTCAGTCAAACAAGAAATTCAGAAATCTGTGATGATGAAAAACAATCTGATTGTACAAGTCAAAGATGAGATCACGCAAAGGCCGTCCTAGTTGAGGCGATTGGTTCCACGGGGACTTGTCGAGGGTTATTCACACTGACACGCCGCCGCCTATCAGAACGTCAGTTCATGCCGAGATCGGAGGGCTCCAGATCAGATCGATCTCCTGGAGTAGAAGTTCAGATCCGGTGGACCACCAAACTTGCCTTCAAGATTTCAACAAGGGTTTCACTACTGTGTTAATGGTTACTGGAACCTGGGGTAATCAGACTTGAGTTGTCGGTTTTGTCAAACCTGGTGGAATTGCGGGGCACTGGTTGGGGATCCCTCGGCTGACAGACCTTTTCGCAGATCGTCTCGTGTGCTAGACTCTTTAATCTCTAGGTTGAAGACCATAGTATGCATGCCTTTTTATAGTCATGATACACATTTGGGGAGATCGTTTGCGTCGTTCATTGCTTCACCAGGAATGTGAGAACAAAGGAAGCATGACGGAGACAATGGCCAAAGCCACCGTGAACATTATCAACGGGAATGCATATTAGTACAGACGCGAACCATAGAATTCATACGATGAGCGCTACCTTCGCAATGCTGAAAATGATATAATATACGAGTATGATTGACACGAGGTGTTCATTATTCTTGCACGACGCCACCCCAACTTGCCGAATGTTGCACAAGTCCCACAGATGCCGCATGCCGAAACCCAATTTGCCGAACTTATGCAGGGGATTTCATTGGCTGATCGTAATCATGATATTGGATGTCATATTCGGTCATATTTGGTATTAGATCGGCTGGCTTGATAAAATCAAAAAGATAAAGAACGCCGAAGCGGATGTTCATAAGAAAAAAAAGAGAAAATACAGTTAGCAGCCTTAATATAATCTTCAATACACGAAGTGAGGATAGGACGCCAGCAACCCAAGGCGACTTCGAAAAATTATTATGACGAATATGGATCAACTCCCACTTCGCCGGGGAATGAAGCCCAGAAGTCCTGTGTAGCATTCATCATCATGGCCTCCATATCGGCGTTGGAGAAATCGAAGTCGAAGTTGAAGTTATCATCAGCCTCAAGGGGTGGAACTGAGTGCTGCCCATTCCAATACGTGGATTGGCCATTGTGTTGAGAACCATAGCCGTTCGTTGCCGGAACGGGGTGTGATACCTGTGGTGAAAAAGGCGTTGATAGGGCAGGGGGTTGCTAGTGAAGGGTTAACAGGATGGCCACACCAAACAGAATCCAAACCTTCTATCGGTATACATACCTCACGTGGAGTACCTCCATTCACAGTTGAATCGGCTGGTTTAGAATCGGCAGGCCTATGGACAGGCGACGGCTGCAATGCACCATAATCGACCATGGCCCGCTTGAGTACCTGGCGCTCATCAGGTGAGACCGGTGCATCCTGACCCGTAGCGGATCGATAATAAGCCTGCATTCGTTTGATCGTTTCGAACTATACCAAGTCAGCTCATGTTGTAATATGGTATGAAAATGACTTACCCAAGTTTCAGCCATGGGCCATTGTGTTTTCATTTCTTTGAGGAAGGTACTCCCCTGGATCACACGCTCTCGAGCCTTCTCCGCGAGTCGAGGATCGTCCTCGTTGCTCGGAAAGTTGAAACTATACAGCATGACACCCACCGCGGTGTAGATGGTGAAGCCAATCCACGGCACCAAACCTCGAAGAAAGTAGACACCGAATCTCCGCATCTCATCAAGCATCTCTAACACCATGGTGGACTCTCTAAATAGCTCTTTCCTCGAAGTCCGCTGCCAATTTTTCCACATTGCCGCGTGCTCCTCGTAGGATTTAGGCACTTCATCGTTGCCGCTCTGAGGCCCCAGTACAGGTAGGTATGCTCGATGGAGGAACATATAGCTCATGAAGTAGATGCTATGCATGTAGCAAAATGCTTGTCCTTGATCCACGGCGTTGTGGGAGTGCAGTGAAAAGAGCTCGTACTGGAGTCGAGCCGGAAGAGAGTGTTTCCACTGCTCAAGACTGTAGATGAGTTTCTGGAACTCGGAGGTTGGAGACCAGGGCAGTTCTCTGTTCACAACATCTGAGCAAGCCCATCGTGCCACCTGCCCCCATATGTTTGCAGCACGCATGCTGTAAGCTATTATGCCCAGCTCGCCGACATTCTGCGTCATTGACGGCATTTTCAATGTTCCATCCAGATGTTCAACACACACTGGGTCTCCGAAAACGAAGTTCTCTTTTTCACAGGGCAATTGTATGGCCATATCCGCGGCGGTGAGGGATCTTTTACGCCCCTTCCCACCACTGAGCAGCGAGTCCATGAGGAAACAAGTCCAGGCCGTCCGGCGGCGCACTTCGGCCTCGATGAATTCCTCACGGGTGGGTTTACGATTCTTGGGCATATCCGGCTCTCGACATAGGTCCATCACCTCCACCAGTCTTATGGCCATCCCCAAGTATATCCAAGCCCTTCGACCATTTCCAGCGCCCCAATCATGTCCCGTCAACATCAACAACGCTTGTACGCGGCTTATACTCGGGGTCTCGAGGTCAGACTGGAGGATCTGTCGGGCATGTGCGGCGAAGGCATCGCTGGCTTCCTTCTGGCTCCTAAAGGGTGCCGGAGGTTCCTTTACGAATCTATGAGGCTACTGTGTTAGCATCATATACATCTATCCTGAGTTGTGGCTGGAGATAGGGGTTGGGGCTACGCACCGAATGGCCAGCGCGAGGATTGCCCAGGCCATCCATTCTTCCAACGTCCTATCACGGATCCGCAACAGCAAAGTTGGAGTATGATGGAAGCTCCATTTGTATGAACATCGAAGATAACTGTTCTTGACCTCATCGGTTAGGAGCTCAAAGGGGTCTAGGCCGTCGAGCAGAGATGCCGTTGAGGATGCGTTCGGCGTGTGGGCTACGGCATTGGTGGGGGAGGTTGTGGTGCCGGTCGGCGCGTCGTTACGAAAGACACTGGCCTGATGCCCAGAACCTGGGGGCTGGGTGGGAGTGACTGCTGATGATGCGCCCGGAGGAGTAGTGATGGACGAGGACTCCTGTCGCGGTCGTTTTGGTCGTCGATGAATTGCGCTTGTCCCTGGCGCAGGGAATTCACATTGCGAGGAGCGGCCAGTCGCCTTACAGCGGTCGCACGGAGGGGCGTCATTGTGGATGCATTTCTGCTTTGCGCTGCGACACGAAACACAAGCAACGGGATTTCTCATGCTTGCTTCAACAACCAACGTCGATATGGGGAAGCAGACATCTGGATGGAACATTTCCCCTCCCCGTCAAGGGACTTGACTCTGGCGATTCGTCATGTCCGATTGGGGTTAGCCTTTGGATGTCCTTTCCGTTCAACGACACTTGAGCCGTGAGGGCAACGACACGACGAAGATGCTCTCTCTACGAGTACAAAGCGATTGATTATAAAGTCGTGTTAAATGACATGGTCCTCAGTGCACTATCTTGAAAGCAAATATATTCTATTGTCTACATTTATAATGATTGAGATTTACCTTTCTGTTGCAGTAGGTCCACTCGACGATTTCGTTCATTATCATTGTGGTATTGCGGAATCAATTAGCGAGCTTAGTCAAACATCGTGCAAAAAATCTTCATCTACGCTGACTGAACATTTGATTCCGAGAAAAAGAAAAAGTGAAATCCATTCCTACTATCTACATGTTGATTATATATAAATTGTACAGTGAACAAAGATAGGCCTCCCTAGTGAGATACCAAGATACGCTAAAGGAATGGAAACGGCCCGATTCCGGTTCCCCAGGAAACATCAATTCCACGACATCTCATGCCCTATGTAGATGATCAGACCCCAATCAGATAATCCAGAACTTTGAGTTGATGTCTGTTATTCATCATTAGCTTCAAGGTGTCTGTCAGGGTCAGTTATCACGAGTCAAGGGTTGGGGATCTCTTTATCCAGTAACTCCTTGATATCTGAATCTCTCTTACCTACCCTATCCGTAAATAGCATCCTATAAAGGCATTGCTTTAAACCTGAAGTAATCCTAAAAATCGGAGTTATCAGTCAGGAGGTAACTATGAAGATAGCGAGCACAACCTATACACATATCAGACTAACTGCCAAAGGATATCATCATGACTACCTCTTTCATCCCCAACTATCCAATCGTTCTCGGACCTCTCTTTGTATTACTAGAACCTAATCGCGAATGGTGTGAACGCTGTGACCGTTCGTTTGTTAGCGAGGATGCCATGTGAGAACACCATATGAAATCCAAGAACCACTTTGTGTGCGACTCATGTTCTTTTGATGGGACCTCTTATGACTGTGGATATGTATGCCGTCAGAGCAACAACGGAAAGGGTTTGGTCTGGTTTAACCACGAGGAATTCTATGACCACATGGAAAAGTACAACGTGTGTGAAGTGTGCAACGAACATTTCGATACCCCATCGAATCTCGCAAATGTGAGTCAATCCTGAAATGGTTTTCTCCCGTCTCATATCGTATTGTTGACCTTGTGTATTTGATGTAGCACAATTAAGTCCATTTCCCCCGCGAAGAAGATTGTCCAGCCTGTGGCCAAGGCTTCAAAACATTCGCGCATGTAATCCTCCACATCGACTCCGGAGGTTGCCCCTACCGGACTATGCTGGAGCTCAACAGATGGGTAGCGCTGTCCTGGGACTGGCACGAGTATAGCGATCCGGCGTTTCGGCCCGCCATGTTGCGACGCATCAATGTTCACGACCGTCCGGAAAAGAATAACATATTTCACTGTCCACGTTGCAAGCAGAAATTCTCGTTTCTGTCGGCGCTCATGCAGCATGTTTGGAGTCAGTCGTGTGGTATCTCGTTCGATTCTAGACCGATAAGGAGGTTGGTTCGGTATTTGAACATCAAACTTCAAGTTTATTGATTATTTTCTTTTCTACTGGCGTCATAATTGAATGTTCATTTGTGTTGATGGCAGATGGCCATGTACCCGTGGAAAGTGTATGTATATTTCCGATCCGCCGCCATTACTCCATTTGCAAAAAGCAAAATCTACAAATCCCTTGTTTGAAGGATTTGCAAAAATTGATCAAAAGCTGATAAGCGCTCAGCCATAACAGTGTTTTGCGTATCTCCAGTCATCAAACCATTCCCAAATCAGGTCGTCGTAATAGTTCCAAGAACTGTTCAATGGGGGCTTCCAATCCGGATCGAAATCACAAGTGAACATATGCCGAGTGTACATGAAATCGTCAAAGAACGGCGGTCTGTCCTTGACATCGAGCCCCTGAAGCTCGGTTTTTATCCGGTCATTGAGCTTCCGTTCTAGCCAGCGGCGCCATTCCTCGTCAGCGCAGAGATATTCGCCTTTCAGAACGATGGACACGAAGCCAAAAGGAGGACGGATCTCGTATTGCACGAAGTCGTGAGAGTTCGGGCGTCTACCAATTGACACATGTGCACACTCAATCATGCGTGTTTGCAACTCTGACGGTGGAGTGATCCCTTCCACGTCCAATTCAATCTTCCAGGTCGACTTGGGGTCGCCTGATAGCTTGTTGCATTCTAGAGGAAGCTGCTCCGGGTATCTCTCCATTCCCGGTGCCCATCCCAATGGTTCTTCTCTTATATTCCAGCCTCGGAGCAGGTACTTCTCGACATACAAATGTTCTTGGCGCGTTCGTCTTCCTAATATAATCATGTGTCTTTTGCCAAAGGTAGAGGCTGGGAACAGGCAGTATGCTGCCTGTGAAGAGATGACATTGATGACACCAGTGTTGTGAGAACCGCCCAGTATGACAGACATGGGCGGGATATGGCAACGTATTACTTGGATCCTCGACTCCTGGCCGCCATCCCCACGCGCCGGCCTGCTCAGGTCAGTGATGGAAAAGACCTAAACTGGTAAGCATAATTGCAATTATTTCCTGGGATCTGTACTCTACACACTCCGTCTAGGCTTTGCGAGTTTGTGTAATTGCCATCTTCGAAATATTGATTTGTGACGTTGTATCCCTCATGGTCTTGAAGGTCACCTAGAAGCCCGTCTAGGGCGTCACCAGATGCATTGACGTAGATATTGAGATCGGAGTCCAACCACACCGTTCGAGCGAAGAACTGGAGTGCGAATCCGCCCGAGATTAGCGCATCGAGCCTGCCCAACCACCCCCGAAACCGGACAGGACGATCAACGAAGCGCAACAGCTTCTGGTTGATATTCCAATGCGTTCTGCGCAGTCTGGAGTATACAGTCGCTAGACCAACACATGTACGAGAGACTCGTATAATGTCAAGGACGTCTAGGCAATAGCAAATCTCGTTGAAGATAGGGTAGGGAGCTCCATCTCCGAGTAAGCGCACAAGAAGGTTCTGATGATTACTCCTCCTGGCTGCTTCTTTATTCATGCTGTGTGCCGGGGTTGAGTGTTTGGTGTAAGCTCGAGTTTGGATCTCCATTGCTTATCGCAATATGACTTGGGGGTTCAGCCTTGTCGATAGGGCCGACTTCCACCCGAGGTTCGGGGAATGACTTGGTAGAGTATTGGTAGCCAAACAACCCTTAATATTAGAGCTAAATACAGAAGTAACTAAATACCATATCGTAAGGTCTTGACCAGTAATATTGATCATTTTAGATGCAGCGTGAGATGATAATAGTGTCTCCGCAAACTGCATTCTCCTTCAGGTAAGGGAATGTGAGAGTGCAGCCTCAAAGCCTTCGGAAACCAGTACCAGCGGACGTCAGCCGTTTGTGCTTGCCATCATGAAAATGGCACGAAGATGCACAGTAAAAGTTGGAAGTATTATGACTTTCCGTATTGTACTAATACTTGATTCTCGGTTGATTTCCAGGTCCAATATCACACAAAACCACAGACGCCAACTGGCCCCCACTGATCCTTCTGTCCATAACGAGTGATGCACTCGTTGTGATCCGTGGCGTTGAAGCAGCATGATCGAGTCCGCCTCAGACACATTGTCCGCAGAATCTGCACCTTTGGCGACGAAGACTCCTGAGGCTATTTTGATATTTAGTACACACTGTGCACCAATAAAAAAGGAGCGGGGTAGAAATAGGAAATCGGGCGATTAACGCTCACGTAAGAATGCAGAACGTCTGCCTTCTGCACTCGTTGCTGGAGACATTTCGGCTGTCGGAGTCATTTCGAAACACTGAGAATAGCGAACCGAACTCGGGTCTTAAATTGTACTTGTCTGATGCTCGAACTTTGATACCCCTTGCCGCATCTCTCTGGACATAGGAGACGCCTCATCTGGGGCCGAATGATATCGAATGTCACTGTACATCTGGAGTTTGGATTGAGCTCCTCTCGGATTGACATCCTGGGCGTCAGTCGAGTTTCAACGAAGTGCTACGATAAAAATATATTCGTTCAGGCACAATATTACCAGGCGATCTGAATCGGAGTTGATCCTAATGATGAAGATGGAGGCAAGGCATATCTTGCTATGTACTTGGGATATTACGCGCCGTCTTCGAAACTCTCTGCTCTGTATCAACAGATATCCAATTCCATATACCATAAAAACCTAGATCTCGGATTAATAAAAAGGAATTATAAACACCTTTGACGTGCAACAAATGAAAAATGTAGGAGTTAATTGAGAAGTAAGGCGGTGGTCCCCTTGGGTAATATTTCGCAAAATGTTAATGAAATCGTGTTGCAGGGAACAGATTCTGTACATAGTGAATCGACAGAACATTCCTTTCTGCGTAAATTGTTTAAAACCTTTTATTTTTCCTTGGGTATCACAGAGGTGGCCTTCCGTCTCCTGTCTTTATGTTGATACTTGGAAGCCAGATCGTTCGTCTCCAAAAAATAAGGCATCCCAGTTCGCTTTGGCTAGAACTGTCCCTACTCCCGCGTGTCGGTTGCCTGATACGCGCGATTTTCAACAGAATTGCTCGTCTGTACATTAGATCAGTAAACATCAACATTTCAACCACGGTAGAAACCATTTTTACATACGACACCGATATAATGCCCCGACTTCGCAATCTCTCACACTCATAGTCTTGCTACATGTCATGTTGTGAAATGCAGTACAGAGCGCCGCGGCCATTTTATCTTCACATTCCTCTTCCGGCGGTGGTTCGATACAAGTGACCTTCTCGGATGCTACCATGTTGAATAATTCCGCTAGTGTCTTTCCCGCCCTGGAGCATTTTTGGACCACCTTTGGAGGCTCGGTGTGGATTAGGAATTGCTGTGTCGGATAAGAAGCGACGGTCAAGCTGAAGCAAAGCGTGAATGTTGCGAAGATGGTGAAAATGGTAGTAGTGAATGCCGAGTACATGATGAAATAGTTGACTGAATGAGTGATAACGCCGACGAGTTCAAGGAAAGGTTTCAAGGAAAGAGTTAAGGAAAGTGAGGATATCGAAAGGAAGGTTGTGTGGTGTAGTAGATGGTCTTGCTCTCAACAATGCCATAAGGAGGCGAACAGGAGCCTTTTAGATTGTGGCTTGAGAACAAGTATGGTACCAGTACATCTAGGCCATAGTACGGCGCAGCATAGCAAAGTGGTCTTTCCCGCGTCGTAGTTTGGGAATTTGTCCCTGAGTGATCTGACACGTCTGCTTAATAAGGTCTGCTGCTGAGGTACATGTGGCGCAACGAGGTGACAGAAATAATGTCAAATGCTCTGTGTCCTCGTCGTGAAGGCTTCTGCACGCTGACATGCGAATTTGCCAGGTCTTGTTTCAGATGTAAGCCAATCTTTGGAAAGGTATCTCTACTTCGATTTAATAAAATCACAATCATCGTATCGACAACATGAGCACGTAAAAGGCTTGAAATATCATCGGAATCATAACGAGTAACTATAAAGTGTTGCCGAGTTCGTTAAAAGTGGAACCTCGCTACCCTTCTTGGCCTCTTACAACCATGCCCCTATTCACCCGTCACTTTGTAAGTCTCGGCAGCAGTTTTGATGGAGAATCATGCCATCAATTTGTGGGGTTATGAATCTCCACTGAAAAAGCATTTAGTGTCATGTACAAAGACGTTAACCCCTTATGAGTTCGCGAAAAGGTGCGCACTGTCTGCATTCATGTTCCCGTCATAGCGTTGTACGGATTTGGAAAACACCATGGATTCCACGATGGATCTAACCCCCTCACACGCCAAGCCAATCAATAAAATGTGGTGGAATGAACGGTATTATACTGTGTAAGTGTGTAATTATCCACTGGGGCCAATCCGTCGTTATGCTAAACTCTAGTGGCCATTCCAACGGCCCAGGAACGAGTTCGTGTTTCCTGGTGTCTAGTCAGTGCCATCGATCATGTTTCCAATACTGTGGGACTGGGATTTGGTTTGATAGTTTTCGGGTGGCAGGACGCAAGACTACTCGTATCGTTCCGTTCCATGTCCTCGGAGATGTCTAAGGAGGCTACTTGGGAACTTTGTATGGTAAAGATCACGATCACGATTTGATCCTCACTATGTTTAGAAAGCTTGATAATTTACCTAGGTACTCTTTGCGTGCTTCAATTTCGGAGATTTGATTCGTATATCTCATAATGCACACTGGGCAGGTAACTACTTCCCCATTGCGGTATCCTGAAGTTCGAATCGTCGTCCATCACGCGAGCAAGGAGGTTCAGATCATCTGACTAGAAATTCCTGACTGATACTAGCGAACTCCCAGTGCCATACCCCTTATGCAGAATGGGTCTTCTAATCAAAACTACGTATTAACCTACGTATTGAACATGTGTATCTTAGGTATCACATGTTTCCTACTTGTCCCTTAGATATTGTGGCTATGGTATATAGTAGGCTAGAGTCAGGCTTCCCATCTGAGTACCTTACATACAAGTGTTATGATCACGTGATGCTCTGTGAACCTCTTCTTTCCACTGTGGTAGCATCAGATATGAACGTGTCTGTACGTCCCGGATGTGAGGCTTCGTTTTGTATTCTGTTTTTCCTTTGCGTTCTTTGTCAATTGACGTTAAGGGAGGAGGCATGGCTAGAGATATAAAAAATACGTATTTATGATAGAAAATATTCGCTATAGGAAAGCCAACGGGCAACGGAAATCTATAGTGTAGTCTCTAGAAAATAGTTTTGGTCGTTATGCACGCCTTACATCTTATTGCCAGGCCTTGGAGCCATTCATCAACATATCAATCCCCCATAAGACTCATAATAGGGCACAAAGTGCTATCACTCTCCCGCTTTCTTCCTCTATTTCCTAGGCAGCTCCCTAAACACCTTCTTGAAGATCCGCTTGCTGTTGTACAGGTTGACGAGCCTGAGCCGCTCGTTGTCCAAATGTGCGCTGTCGCTCGCCTGGCCGCACGGCAGATGTGCAGCCGGGGCGTCGAATTCTTTCTCGAGGAAGCGGATAGAGGGGATACTGCCTCCCTCGCGGATGTAGAGGGGTTTGCGGGCGAGGGTCGAAGGCGCGGTGGTATCTTGGTTGGTTGAGGGGGCACCGGCTTCTGTGTCAGCTGTGGTGGGGGAGGAGGAGTTGGCGAGGGTGTTTGATGTCGTTGGGGAGGGTCGGTGGTCGGTGGTGGTGATGGCAGGGGATAGTGGCGACAAGGCGGTGTCTGGGGATTTCAGAGCGGGGATGGAACTGCGGCGGCGGTTGAGTGTGGGCCCCCAGACGGATTGTATGGCGGACTCGAGAGTCTGGAAGATCTCGTTTGTGTAGTCGCCTAGCCAGGGTTCAGCCTGGTGGTCGATAGTTACGGTGAGGGCGTTCTTGGAATCGAGCTGTGCGAATTCGGAGGAGAGGTAGGATGTCATGGATTCGGCTACTTCGGAGATTTCTTGGTTGGGCACAAGTCGGATGGAGATGGATGCTTTGGCGAGGCGGGGGATGATGGTCGAGTTGTCTGGGCCAGAGGTCTGGAAGCGATGGATCGTAAGAGAGGCCTCTCGCCATCGACGCATGAGTGACTGTGCAAGCTCTTCGGGATCTCCAAGGTCTGGATTGCCCCTAAGCAAGGTCTCTGTGATCTCGGCGTAGAGTTGCTTCTCGTCAGCCGTGAGTGGCAAGATCGGGTCGTAGAAGCCAGGTATCAGTACTTTGCCGTGCGGGCCAGTGAGTTTGGAGAGAAGCATGACGAGGTCTTTGAGAGGTTCGTCCAGTAGAGCACTGCCGTCCACGCCACTATGTAGATCTGGATGCCGACTTTCGATCTGGACTGTGGCATGGATCACGCCTCGTAGGCCGTACGTAATACATGGGACATGGTCGTCGAGCCAGTAACTGTTCGCCAGCAGGATCCAGTCCACATCTCCAATCAAGTCCTTCTTGGCCCTGATGGCATCTTTGAACCCCCGAGATCCACTCTCTTCTTCTCCTTCAATCAGAAAGATGATGTCAGAATCTAACGACTGCTCATTGGCCAACTCATGTGCCGCATATATAGCAGCCATGATAGGTCCTTTATTGTCCGAGATACCTCGACCGTATAGGTAGCCACCCTCACCAGTCAACGTGAACGGGTCGTGTTTCCATTTGTTGGCCTCGTCTTCTGCTGGGATGACATCGTAATGGCCGTAGAACAGGATTTTCTTTCTGGAGGATGCAGTAGCAGGGTTGCCCCTGAACTTGGCGAAAACGATGGGGTTGTAAGGTTCGGTGGTGTTGAGCATCTCTGTGGCCGCGCCGAAGTTCTGGAAGACCGACCGTAGGAACGATGCACCTCTTCTGCAGTCTGCCCGATACTTGGGCAGGGATGACACGGTCCGAAAGGAGATGAATTGATTGAGCGATTCGACCATGAGATCTGAACGAATTAGCGAGCGCCACATACATAGTCTGAACACACATACCATTGTTGTTCCGTCGAGGCGTGGAGGAAGGACCTTCGCAGTCCTGAATGGACCAAATGACTATAGTACTGTCATTGCCGCCTGTTACGAACGTTGGTTTGTGGTTGTAATTGGTAAAAGCTGAGGCAAGGATAAGGCCGTCATGAGCTTGAAATGTCGATACGGTTTCGTAGTGCTGATTGAATTTCTGCAGCACATGTTAACTTTGTCCATCCTCGGTGTCGTAAAACATACCTGAACAGTCCCTTCAATGCCACCAGCGAAGAGCAGACCACCACCGAAAGTCAATGAAAGGACATCCCCAGTGCTCGCTTTCAAATTCCTGACAAGCTGCCTGGTTTCAAGGTCCCAAACATTGACCTCACCATCCAGCCGCCCACTATACAGAAAAGAGCCCTCCCGCGCTAGGGACAGGATAGATTCACCTTCCTCCCGGCCATCCTCCAGTGTGTATATCTTGCTTATAGCACCCCCACTTGACGGATCAATCCTCCATAGTTGAATCCGCCCGTCACCACCTCCTGAGACGAGCACTTCTTCTGCTGGTGAGTCCGGTAGAATCTTCTGTCCCAAGAGCATGCAATATACGTATCCATAATGCGCAAACGTACAAACGTCTTGTTTGTCGATTTCGAGGTTCTGGCCTCCTACGGCGTCCCGAAGCTTATTTTCTGCGCCAGTGGGCCTTGGAGTCCTAACTCCACCAGGACCAGCAGAGTCGAAGAAGCGGTCCACGCGTTCGGATGGGTGGGAGGTAAGTGCGGGTCGAGGACGTGAATCTTTTTCTTTGAGATCGTACCACTGGTGTTGTCAGTCTCAAATCTTGTAGGCGAGGGATTGGCCAAAGCCGACCTGTATACTGGCATTTTGCGCCCCAAGATACACCGTCTTGTGGTAAGATGAGTATGCTACACAGAAGATATCCCCAACATCGTAGGTCGACCAAATCGCATATAACCGGAGAAAGGTAGTGGTGCTCCAAACCTAGAGCCGGGTCAACGGACATCTCGGGCCAGGTGCAATTGAATGCTTACGTTCACAAAAGGATCTGTCGCACTCGAAAATAGAAGTTCCTGGTCTTGCGATAGACAAAGACCAAGCACACTGCCCCTGTGGGCCTCAATGACCTTTTTGGGTTCATAGGTGTCCAAGCTGTATACCTAGACGCTGTCAATGCCGCGCGCCTCCACATATGGAACAATCTCCTCCACTTACCAATATCTCTCCTCCCTGAGTTCCTGCGAATATGTACGAGGCGGACAGGGCAAGCGCAAGGATCGATTTGTCGTGCTTCATGCGATGCGATAATGAGGGCTGCCGGCTCGGGGTGGGCACTGGGCGTGGAGTGCCATTGAAATCATGGTGGGGCGGTTCTGCCATTGACGAAAGGTCAGCCTGGATCTTGGGTATGTATGGGTGATTCCGAATAGCTCTTTGGCATCGTCACGAGAGAGGTTGTCGTCGTCGAGACCTGCTTTGTTAGGCGCATGTGGGCAGGTGGGCGGGCTATGACGAGATCTGCCGGCGCGGTTGGACCCTGACTAGTGCTTCGGCGGTCCGATGCGGCGCCCGCAAGAGGTGGTCGCTGTGGGGTTGAATCTTGGGACACTATCATCATTGGAATGTTTGATATACGTGAACCATCCATTGCTGAATATCATGCGTTTCACTCTGGCGTTGATGGTACGGGACAATGCGAACTGCACGTGGCGAGATTGTGCGAAAAGTCCGGGGAATAGAATGTGTGGTTGGCCTAGCTGACACCCGTCATGGCCCAGACAATTCACGTACCTTTCCCATTTAAGCTCCTTGACCCCAATGAGATGTCCTTTGATGTAATCGATCGCGAGTAGTGGCACATGACTCTTCCTACGCCGCTGCAGGCAGAGAAACTATGAAGGATGGGAATGAAACCAGCAGCTGGAGGGCAAGATGAAGAAGAAGGGGATGCGGCGCTCTGGTGATCGTCAGTGACTACCGAATCTCGGCGTGCATCTGGCGGTGGAAGTCCTCCAATCGTGCAATTGTTGCAGTCGTCAGGTACATCACGGGAGGAAACGTCGCAAGAAGAGTTGGAGCAGGTCGAGAGTAATGTCTCTGAGGAGGACAAGTTTGAGTCAACATCGGCCATGACTGACCTGTGCTCTGTGCGATGATGATTTGGGGATGGCGAGCGATCTCTGCGGTATGGCGAGATCTGTGTCCAAATAGAGATGACTGTCTTCTCCTGCTCAGTGCCGTTGCTGGACCAGAATGAGAGAATGTAGTTTATTATGTACTGCTTCTTATCTCTGTTCTTTGCTCGTTTCACAGGGACTACATAAAGATTGGGACAAGAACTTTATTGAGCGGTCTTCCGTAGTTGACTGCACATGCTGTCTTGACTTGTCGTCCATCCTGATTCCTTGGGCTGCCTTGCCGCAATTCAGCGACGGCACATGTACCGCCATGCTTTGTTTGTTCAACAATGATGAAGAACCGGAACCTAGAGAACGGACGGCATCCCTCGTGATGCGAATTGTACTTAGCTGTTCGACTTGTATCTAGACCAGTAGTCCCAGGGCGTTTGGATGCGTGTAGCACAGCGCATTCCGTCATTAGGGTAGAACCACTCGTAACAAGGGGTTCTCTCCATAGGCGGGGGTTTCCCTTGTCCTTGCTACTGGGTTTGGTTCAATTGGTTGCAGGTGAATTGAAAAGTTACCAAAACGAGGCCGCAGCTCCACGAGGGAGGTCGTTGCATGAGCCTCAGACTTCGCAATCTTTTGCTCTGCATACCTTGCCGTTCAGAGCACATACTCACACTCACAAATACACAAACAATTCACCGACTCCCGTGGGTCGGTACATCATCGCCGATACGACGTTCGGTCAGGGTGGTGGACGCCAGGACAGAGTATTTGGGGAATTGTACTATTACCTTCTCGGCATGTAATCGGAAGACACCCGTTCGACACGTCTGATTGCTTATGCCACATCATCAGCGGTGGCAGACTCTTCCATTAACCGGAAAAAGCATGATTAGAGGCGCCTCGGAACATGTTTGGGAAGGGCCATGCAATGCATGATGTTGGGTACCGCCTTTGATTGATTTGGCATAGTAGGCCAGCGAAAAGGTGCTCCTTGTGTTGACAGGATGGGAATTATGTTGGTATGTTGTCATATCGCATTTTAGTGCGTGCGAAGATTGTCTGATTGGGAGTGATTACGCAGCGTTAGCAAAGCTGGGTATGCTGGCAGATTGCGTGCAGAATTGAGTGGAGGTGAAGAAACGAAAGACAGTCACTGTCGTCTTGGATCAATTTCTGGTGTATTGAAGGCGAAAAAGCATCACGTGAAGAGATACACCAGCCACACAGCGACACAGCCACTCTTCTAGCAACTTTTCATTAGTCGTCTTCACCTCACACCCTGTTCCTTGTCTGATTCTCCCAACCGTGGGACGGCGTGGGCGGGCAGCTGAAAGTACGAGACTACGGGTCTCTCGGGACCCTGATCCTCAGGTATTCGGGCTGTTCTTGTGCCTTTGTGTCCTGGTGCGCGGCAGATCGTCCACAGGCCAGACCATCCTTTGCGCAAAAGGGTACCAAGGAGTACGTAAGACAGCAGAGAGGCAAGCAAAATCAACGGCAGACGGCAGCTGAGAGATGAAAGAGAAGGCGAACCGGAGTACGGCTTGGTACCAGTCGTACCGTTACTTGGGCATCAATGACGGCGACCGCGATGGCTGGGTACCACGAAGGCGATGATGATGAGGCTGCTGCTTCCGATGCATATTATTATAGGTATGGTGATCTGGGAGAATTTTTCCATGCATGGCGCGCATCGCCCTGTTGTTGTACATGTATGTGCTGCACAATATCTGCGAGATCCGAATGCATTGCATCAATAATCTGTCCGTTGACTGGGAGAGCAATCGACCACCCTGGCGACGTCCATGTCTACTCCGACAGGCGACAGCACTCGCATCAGCTAGATTTCTCATTTGGGGTTATTTGTTCCAGCACGCGCCAATGGGAAAAAGGAAGCGGATGATGAAGCTGCACGGCGATACGCTGCCCGCATATACGGCGGCCATGGCTCCATGGGCCTCCCCCCAAAGAGTGGTGGGAGGCTGCAGGCGACAACGCAGGCAAAAAGGCCCGGACCAAGAGAGACAACAAGTTACTCCGCAGGTACAACGAAGATGCCTTCAATTCGATAATACCGGTATTACGAGTTGTGATAATTCATTGAGCCAGGCCAGCAGTGGCCAGCGACTAAAGACTAGCATGCCCTTGGAACGTCCTGTTACAGAGCGACACGCCAACCAACCTCAATTATCCTTCCGCTTTCCCCGGCCATGACTTGACACCCTAATGCGCGCGCCCCCTCCTCCAATGCCCCGTTCAAACCCGTCCAATGCCAGTCCAAGACGTCTCATGCTCACGATACTATGACTGCGGGCACGACTTCTACTGGGTCGATTTGCAGTCGAAGTCCTGAACCCATTCCATTCCTGTATCCCTCTCTAGGCATTCGCTCTTCTCTCCCTCTCCAACGCCCTATCCTGTCCTGTCCTGTGTGGCTACATCCGCGCGCGCCATTAAGTTCAGCACCCGTTATTTGCTCATCCGTTATCATGGGCCCTCGCCCGCATCATAATTCCCTTCCCTTCTTCTGATTCTACTGCAGCTGCATCTCTCTTCCCTGTCTTTTGTCGTCGTTGTTGGCATATTAGGTACCAAGCTACCTTGATACTGCATACTACGAGTACAATTACTACGCACATACATGCATACCTAGCATACTACCAGGCCTCCTAATACCATCTACTTGCCGCCTCACTCTTTCTATAGAGGGGCACGAGTCACTATCAACCACACATCGTCACCACTACTCAACATCAATCAAGAACAATCTCGCTTTTCGCCTATATCAAGATTTGTTCATTCATACATTAAATGTTTAAATAAAGGCTCACCATCGCCGCGCTGTTAACGACCTGCCCCACTACTGGTGCCAGTCCGGTGCCGAAGCGTTGTGGTCCTGATTCATTCAATCTTGACCGTACTTTTGACCGCCTCTGCACCCTTTATCGCTAGCTAAGCTACCGACGACCTATCTACCGACTACCTACTACCTCGTGCGCCTCTGCCGTTCTACGTTCCACAACCTCACACATCGCGAGCTCTTCACTTTTGCTTTTACACATAGCAGCGTGCAGGGCAGCTGCATTCTTGGTTCGCCAATATGGGTGTTGGAGAGACGATCACCATCATTAACAAGTCAGGCAAGGTTGTCAAGAGCGTAAGTAGTCATCAGTCCATGCATGCATCCACCCACCCATCCACCCTTCTCACCCGCACCTCCTCCTCTCCCCACAAAGCTGTCAACCGCTAACCCTCCAATGTCCAATAGAGCCGACACATTGTCGATGTTTTCAAGGAGGCGCGCTCTGCCTACCGTGAACGTAAAGCTGAGATTACCGCCGAGCGCAAAGCCGCCTATGAAGAAAAGAAGCTCAGCGAGGGCATCAAAGCCGTGCGCATAGAAGATAACGATGATACCCGCTCGCGCGCATCGTCGCGACACTCCAAGCACTCGAAAGCCACCCACCGTTCCAAATCCCACAGGCACCACCCCAGACCTCCAATGGAGCGTGGCTACACGGATAGCTTCTACGCAAACGATGATATTCCCCACAAGAAGAGCAGTCGCAAACATCGCTTCGAACAAGATCTAGCAGGTGATGCCAGAGAGGGACACCGCCAGGAGCTGCAGAGAAGGCACACCGCTGGGCCAGTGCAGCTTGCTACCCTCAAAACGGAGCGCTCTAAGTCGGTACATGATATTGATATGGACCTCGCATACGGCGATATTCCTCCTCCACTTCCCTCCCCGCGCTACGACGACGGTGAATTGCGAGAGAAGGCCTCTAAGCTCACGGTCCTGCTTGATGAAGCCAACTGCCTGCAGCATTCCGTTACGACCATGATCGACTCTCTTCAGAAGAATCCCGATGCTCTTGCCGCAGTAGCATTGACGCTTGCGGAGATCAGCACAATCGTTGGAAAGATGGGCCCTGCCGTTCTCCCAGTTCTGAAGGGCAGCTTCCCCGCAGTTGCCGCGCTTCTCATCAGCCCTCAATTCATGATCGCTGCTGGTGTTGGCATTGGTGTCACAATCGTCGCTCTAGGAGGTTTCAAAATTGTCAAGAAGATTCAGGCTCAGAAGGAGGAGGAGAAGCCTATTGCTATGCCTGCAAACGGCGGGGAAGCTTACCAATTGGACGAGTTGGAAACGAAGGAGCTGAGTCGCATTGAGCTTTGGCGCCGAGGCATCGCGGATGTCGAAGAGCAAAGTGCAGGTACCACAGTTGACGGCGAATTTATCACCCCGGGCGCATCCCGCCACCTAGTTGCCGCAGGAGTTCTCGACGAAGAAGACCTCAAGTCTCGACGAAGTGCCAGGCTTGAGCAGGATCGCAAATCACATCGGGCCAAGTCCGTCAAGAGCGCAAAATCAACCACATCAAGACGCAGCCATACTGTTAAGGAGGGCAGCACGAAAAGCAAGAAAAAGAAGGAACCGTCTGGACTGAGAAGCATTTTCCGTTCACACACCATGCATTAGGTGCTTTCCCATTTCTCACATAGCGTTTGGCGTTTTCTTTTGCTTCCTTCACAACTGCAAACGTTCTCATACCAGTTAGACCAACAAGGGTTGGCAACAACGTTGGCGTAATTCACTTTCGATATCCTTCCTTGTATTTGTTTTGCATCATTCATTTTGGCGTTGCGAAGGCTTCCGGACATTTTCTTCTTATCACTGCATGCATCATCGTCCTATCTTGGGGCTGTACCTCATGATCGTCAAGCTCAAGGCGTACGATACACATATCTAACCGTTTGTCAACACTTCAATTTTCTGTCTCATCTTGCGTACTCCCGTGACCAGTTCTAACTAAGCAATCGTTACAATCAATGGAATTGTGCAGCACATCTAACATTACATAGCAACCATTTGGGCAACTTTAAAGACAATGATGAGACAACAAAGACAGCTGTGTGCACTCTTTGTGGTCGCAAATCTTTGTACACTTAATCTACACGCCAATCGTTGTTTGACCATCAAAATGATTGAAATAAAAAACCGACAAACCCTCTGGCATTGGATATCCCACAAGCCTTCTTATTTCCTTCTACGAACATCATAGTCTTCCCAAGAATTTAGAAATCATATTCGAAGAGGGATCACAGGTCTTCAACTAGTAAGTACACCCAACATGAGATTAGATGTTAGACGATGCTAACGCGTTTGAACAGTGTCAGACTCCGGAAATCAGCAGCACGGCAGGCCGTGGGATTTTTCAGTGATTTTGTCCGGTGCTGGACATAAGACTCAGTCTTTCTCATCAACAATTTCTGACGCAGTAGCGACTTGTGCGTCTGAAGACCGGAGATCGGAGGATCCATCTTCTCAATCCAACAACGATCACGACGGATTGGAAGAAATCTCCAATTCACTTAACGATGACTTGAAAGATTCGGTAATCTACGGCTATGACCAGTTCCCAGAAAACATCGACGCCTTCATCAACGAACACTTCTTCTTCTACCCAAACCTCGACGCATATACCCAGTCGCAAATAACTCTCACGCTCCAAAACATCGCCTCGCACTGGGGTCTCCTCGCCGCCACCGAAGCCATCCCCGAGGATATCCTCCCAACTGAAAAAGATATCAGACGCACAGACGTCACCCCCGAGGACCACAACCGATGCCTCCACATATACGCAGATCCGGAACCGACAGACTTGCGACACTGGCATCTGCGAACCCTATCCGCTCTGCAGTGCCTCGCGATCGAGTTCCCCTTCGAAGACGGCTGCGAGACTGTCCGTCAGTGGATGTCCGATGTCGTGGCGGAGAGAGTTGCGCGTGATGCCTTGTCTCCCCGTTTTCTCACCTACAATGATGTTGAGAGCATGGTTATGATCGTTGATAACGATCGTTCGCATAGGGGAAGTGACTCGGCGGTTTCATCTAGATCAGTCGGCTCAGTACGTTCGTTCGGTTCAGCAGATTCACTGCCGTATGACGGTCCGCTTGGATCGACTACATTGGGTGGTTCGAGTGGCTTAGGAATGTCGCCTGGTTCGGACAGCTTGAATGACCCCAGCAGCATGGACGGCCCAAGACGCTCGAACAGTCCAAGCAGTTCGACTGGCCCTAAAAGCTCGAACGGTCCCAGAAGCTCGAACGGTCCCAGAAGCTCAACTGGTCCCAGAAGCTCAAATGGTCCTAGAAGCTCAGATAGCCTAGCAGGCTCGACTCATTCACAAGGCTCCAAGGACCCGAACCTCCCAAGCTCCTTGCATAACAGTAATGCTACGGACAATCACCAACACCCTTCATCACCGTCTCCAAGCAGGTATTTAACAGCCCTTCCCTCAAACATCAATCCTCTTGATTTCTCCTCTTCGTTAAGTCCACCACCTCCATCAACACCTCCTCCACCTCCTCCTCTTTCTCCGCCTCCTCCACCTCCACCTTCATCAACGCCTCCTCCGCCTCCTCCGCCTCCTCCACCTCAACCCACTACCAAGCCTACAAGACCCAAACAAGGCCATCGCAACCCGCGACCCGCACCTCCGGCTCCAATTCGCCGCTCGGCTCGTATAGCTGCGCGAAAAGGCTCCCAGGCGAATCCCTCGTCCCTCAAACGCAGAATCTCCGAGCTTTCCAGCAGTCTCCCTTCCCTGAGTGCCACCGAAATCACTGCCCTGCTTCGCAAGGTCGAGTATCCTGAATTCGTACCCCGAGGGACTTTCTTCGACCTCAATGCCAGAAGGAAAGGTAGCTGGGGATCTCAGCCTTTCAAGCCCGCGGGGGCGGTGTATCACAGCGGTTATGGGAAGACTCGACAGTCGACAAACGGAGAGCAGCAAGAGGAGGACTCTGACGGGTCGATTGACGCTGATGGCGATGTTGTCATGGATGATGGAGATTCTTGCCAGGAGTCCGTTTCAGATGGCAGCTCTTCTGGCCCGCTTGAGTCGACTATTGCTTCTTCGGTCTCCCCAGAACCAGAGCAGTTACCACAAATTCTTACCACAGAGGCGGATATCCAGAGTGAACTTAACGATGCCAGCAGCTACAGGTCGTTGTCGATTACTAGCCATCAATCGCTTCCGGTCGATCAAGGTTTGGTCTCGGAAGAGTCCGTTCAAGTCACAATTAAGAAAGAGAGTGTGCAAGCAGCGTCTGACAGGAAGCTATCGCCAGTCAGGGATGTAAACATAGTTAACGAAGTCATGTCTGATATCGATTTGGCTAAGCAGATGGCCAAGTTCACAACCCCATCTCCATCGCCCTCGACATCACCCGCGCCTCCAGCCACACGGAAGAGAAAGCGTGACGAAGAACCGACATCACAGACGCCTCCAGTCACACCGAAGAGAAAGCGAGACGATGAACCGACAACACCGCCACCCTGTCCCAGAAAGAAACACAAGTTTGGATCGTCAAAGAGTTACCGCATCGCTAGGTTCTCGCCCTTGCCACCGTTGCCGGCGCCCCTTTCGGCAGCAATACGCAGCTCTAGCGTGTATTCCACGTGTAGTGAGAGCTCGCAGCCTGCCGCATCTAGCGCACCCACGACCACACAGTCTTCACCGTCACCACTGTTGGGAAAGAGGAAACGTGTCAACGAGGACGAAACGACATCGACAGTCAGCAAGTCAAGGAATAGGGTCAGGGTTGTCCTCAAGGCTGGAGAGAGTGTCCTTGTTCGCGCGTCACCATCGCGAAAGTCGACGATGAAGGGAACCGCCGGAGTGCCTGTCTGATGTGTCCATATGATTACAGGCTTGCCCATCGCGTTGCATTAGATTAATCCGCATCTTCTTAGTTCCCAGGCCGAAGCTGCTTGCTTCGTTTCTACATAGTTAGTTGATTTTACTTGCGATGCTTTCTGGGTTGATTCCTGGCGTATCGGTGTTTGGAGTTATGGTTTCCTACCTTTTGCCTCCGCCTAGCATGAGCGATCAGATAGCGTGTAGAGCGATGGATAATTAAAAGTACCGATAGTCATTACCATTGGATAAGTTGTGTTTCCTTATTTTGATACTGTCCTCGTCCAAAAATCATAATTTCATGTATCCCAAACCTCATGTTACGGGGTTGCAAAGTAAGAATTAAACTTACAAAAGTCCTTGAAGATCTTTTGAAACTTGCTACGTAGAAAATGACTTTCGTCGTGTGCCCCTGCTGCCTCTTTCTTAGTTTTCTGAGACTTTCTTTTATCACTGCAGAGTGTCCAGGAACTAATTACGTTGTTGCAGGTCACCTTTTGCTGTTGATATCGCGCTCTTCCTTGCGGCAACTAATTGCACAGCGAAGCGTGAGAATACCTACATCTTCCAGTGCATGAATGCACTGTCTTTTTGAGAAAGCTCTCGATTATAGTCACGACATGGATAATTGGACGCATTACAGCGGACTGGCTTGCAGACATGACGTTGGCACGTTGGTCCCCTTACTCGTAGACTAGTGCGCGTGTGTGTATATCTACACTGCACTCGGCCCAGAGGAACATTCTTCTAATGGGTAAAGTTCAATCACACCATGACAGATATTATCGGCAAATAGGTCCACTAAGTGACGAAAAGCATTGAATTACATCCAATACAGCGTCGCCCAGCCGGCTCGGATAACAATCGCGCTTGTGTAGAACTTGACTGGGGAGCATCGTGAAGATGACGTCAAACCAACAAATGACATATCTACCTCGAGAGGTTGTATTTTTGCATTTTATCTGCCATCTAATATATACAAACAATCTTCGGACTTCATAAGTACTTAAATATAAGGCCGCAATAAAAATAAAGTTCTCAGTTCAGTCCTACTATCCCCTCAAAGCATCAAAACAATGCCATTCCGCCTCCCACGCAGCACCGCCAGCGTCCTCTGCAGCGCGCGGTCCACGCAACCTCTCCGCTCACAACGACGCTTCCTGTCAAGCACACCACGCACCCTCTTAAAAGAAGATGCCGACCGCAGCGCCTCGGAAATCGAAGCAAAGAAGCAGGAACAATTGGACAAGCAGAAGCGCGGAGAGGGACATTGGCACGAGGAACTTGCATCACAAGGCGAGAGCAATATCGCTGCGGACAAGCAGGAGGTCAAGGAGGGATCGCACGATGAGCATATAAGCAAATTGCAGGAGGAAGGCAAGCAGAAGAGGGAGAATGGGCAGCTGTAGAGGGTTTGTTGGAGACATTGGTGGTAATGGCGAGATTGTAATGTCATTGAGAAGCATAGGGCTGAGGAATCGCACTTGGACGACCCGAATGGTGAAGATGCATGGACGGTGTACATAAGTATCCTGTATTCATGGCGCCGCTGCATAAGGTGTCTGAATAACAATGAATATATTATGATCATACTCAACCCCTATTTCACATGCACCCATCAGCGACGACTGTAGGCTTCAATTGCTGCATCATTTTCAACCTGATATTGCATCAAGTATTATGCTATTCGCTAGTAAGTAAAGCATCATCATCGATATTTGAAGGAAACTCGATCCCCGTAGAGAATGTCCATCTTAACGGACGAACGATTCGATGATTCTGCAGCATCTCTCCACCATCCAATCGGATGGTGATGGTGGCACGGGGATAAGGCCCGTAAATCGTAAGTCCTCCCGGCTCAACTCGAATTATTGAGTCTCGTCCGTCTCCACCCCCAGGCAGTCAACTTACCTAGACAATCCGTCTTTGTCTTTCTTCCTTCATCCCACGGCCAAGCTGCCCCTTGGAGGTGCGTGCGCACTGCCACCCCCAGAGTCCCAGACCATTATTTCCTCGTCGTTATAGTCCTAGACTCCTAGCATTTGCTGGCCATGGGCCTTTTCCTTCGTCGCGAGTATTTCCCTTTTCCACTTCTTGGAGTAACCTCGTGCGGTCGCAACCGCAACCGCATCTGCAATCGCTGTATCCGTGTCGTGTGTCATGCCGATAACTCAGCGCAGCAGAGCCTGCCAACAATGCCGTAAACGCCGAGTCAAGGTATGCCAACTGAACATTTCCCATTGCCGAAATCTGCCGGTCCGCTTCGAATTGGAGATGAATGTTTGAGTGTATAATAATTTCTGTGCAATTCTAGTGCGATGAAACACCAGGAGCCTGCCAGACATGCAAACGACTGGGTTTGAAATGCTCGGGTCCAATCCAAGGCTCTGTCATTATTGACATGACCGACAAAGTCACAAAGCCTCGAAAACGTATCAAGAAAGAAGCAAATCCAAGCAATAGTGCAGACGCGAGCAGCGCAAGTAGTAATAATAATACTAGTGGTGTCGTTACGGGTCGGAAAGATTCCGCCAACGATTCGTTGTCGTCTACGATCCCCCAGCATGTTGCACGAGAACAGGTACAATTGTCAGCTTCCACTCGTCGTTCTTCGACCTCGTCTGTGGTTCGTGAGGATCCTGCGACTTCGATATCTCATCACCAGCAGCTGGTCCTTTCGCCTAAACTAGAACCCGTTATCAAGCGAGAATCCTCGCCGACAGTCATTTCAAGTCCACTTCACGATGCTGTTGTAGCCACTCAATTGCATTCAAATCCACCACTACTCTATCAACCTTCCCAAGCAGACATCTATGATCAGGCGTTTGTCGCTCACTTTGTCGCACTCAATAAAGGAGTTCGGACTTCAACTCCTGATATTCCATGGCTCACCCATTTGCCTGGTGCATATGCTGATATCAAGCAACCGGCCCTGAAGCTATCGATCCGAGCTACCTCAATGGCATTCTACGCGAAAGTTCGAAAAGACATCCCCATCCTCGTGGAGTCTTATAGATGGTACAACATGAGCTTGCACGCCCAGAGAAGATCACTCGCGAGGTTTGACAGCACTACCGTTCCAACGGATGAAGATGTCCTGGTGCCAACGATCCTTGGTCTATACGAAGTATACGCAGGCACCACCCCAACAAGTGTCTTTCAGCATTTGACTGCTGCGACGAAAATATTAGAGATTAGAGGCCCACATAACTGTAGCTCAGGCGCGGCATTTCCGCTCTTCAAAGGTATCCGTGTATCTGATGTAAGTAACTTCCAGCATACAACCTTGTGGACTAGTTTTAAACGTTTAAACCAGGCGCACAAAGCTGCGGTACTTAATCAACCCTCCGTTTTCTCGACTCCAGAATGGATGTCGCTACCCTTCCTCCTGGAACCGAAAAATGCGCATCAGGCGCTGGTCGATGTCCTACTTCTCATTCCAGCCTGTATCGCCTTATGTCGGAGGAAATGCAGCCTGGGCAGCTTCTTCTCGGGAAAATTACCCCTGAATATAGACCTTGGACCGATTCGAGGCCGCGCGAGAGAGCTTCTACTACAACTAGACCATTGGTCAATGAAGCACCCGGAACTTTGTACCGCGAAACCTTCTGAACAGATCACTCCTCTGACCAAGCGGGGACACACTGGAAAAGCCAGTCCACTTTCCCGACCGTCTCCCCATCCGGTACTCTCAGATACATTCCTTGCGCTGACTGCCTCCACTTACCAGGCAACTCGATTAATCCTGATGCTTCTCTTGCAAAAGGTTGATGAGACTGTAGGGTCGACTGGCTCAGATACAAGAACAGCTTCATCCGAGGCCCTCTCTTCATGCTCGCTTCTAGATGATGTGAAGTCGTGCGCCGAGTCCATTCTTGAGATAAGCGAGTTCTTCGAAAAGACCCATCCCGTCGGTTTCGATTTCATGCGAAGCGTGTTTCCACTAGTAGTCGTCGGTATTTTGGGCCCCCAAGAAGAATATAAGACGACTGCACGGCAAACACTTGACAGATGGGGCGAAATGAGGGGAGTAGGGGGATTGTGTGGGGCTTGGATTGATATTTGAAGGATAAGGGTTCCAAATGATAGCAAACTACAGCCGAGGCCTCTGCGACTGGGATACATGAAAGATAATCAATACTCCTCCCTGGAACTGGTCCGACTCCCAAGCCAAAAGAAGAGATAGCTACCGAAACAGATAAGAATACTCATCGCTACTGCTCCCGCCCACGGAGACGTCGCGATATGGGCGAGCTCATCTTGGGTCTTGAAGAGAGCAACCCAGCCTCCATCCATACCGAGGCTTGTTTGGTTCCCTCTACAGTAGCATCGATCATACACGCCGGTGTATTCTAAGAGGGCAGTGAGGACAAGCCACAGGGCATTACCTATCGCAAGCGTCTTTCCTATAACTCGACTCACGACGGCGCATCCACAGAGGAAGGAATGGTAACTTGAGCGTTCGTACCCCTGAGGTCCTCGCGGAGTGATGGCAGGAGAAGTGACCGAGGGCCGGCGGAAGTCCATCGATGGCGCGTCCCTGTGCTCGCGTTGGTAGAGCACCATTGCCGCATGGGAGAAAAACATAGACGCGGCTAGCAAGATCCACACTAGAGTCCCGAGCCCTCCATACACGAGGTATGAAGCAGTTCGGCACCCTATGCCTCTCGTGGGCGTGTAATATGCAATCAGAATCCCAGGCCCAGTCGTTCCCCATTGAACAAAAAGTGCCACGACCCCTGCCACAATGATCCGTTTCCACACCTCGGGCGTGATTTCGCTCCACTCGGGGTAGGCTAGGATCTGTCCTCTATTCAGCTCCAGTCCGCAATATTGTGCGGTAGTCCAGGAATCTCCCGCTAGGTTCTCCTCAGGTCTTCGCTCACTGTTCCACCGCTTCAGCACATCTTTTTCCTGTGCAGGTTTGCATGTCTCCCCAGTCGCTATAGCGTTCACAGTTGTGCTGAGTGCCGATTCTACTGTCCGTGCCAACTGCCACCATGTAAACACCCTCGCATAGTTGAAAATGGGCCCAACTCTTTTCTCATCGCCCATGATGTCCGCACCAAGCCATCCGGGGAGATCCAGATTCGTCACTGGCGGAACTTCGAAAGCCGCTTCGTTTGTTTGTATACGATGCGGCTGGACTGCAAGACCCGATCGGACCATGATCCCACGCTGTTCAGCCTTCTCATTCACCGAGGTTTCAGTGATCAACGGCGGTTCTTTTGCCCGATACGCAACATCTGCGCGTAATGCCTCATCAATCGAGTCAGCACCATTCTGCGTCCCTACCGTCACCCAACCCCATATAACCGGTATCAACCATAGCCAAAGCGTCCCGCTGCTCAACTGATTCGCTACGACGCGATCCCCTCTACTATCAATGAATCCCGAAGCAATCGTAAATAACCACGCCACAGCAGCAGCAGCGATCTGCGCAACGAGTGAGAAGGTAACGCCCCTCCTCGTCCTCATCAATCTCCTTTGCAGATTCTTCCACCACGCCTGGTTCTTAGGTCCCACAATTAGACTGCTTAGCCAACCTCGCTCCTGGCTTGCTCGCAGCGGCACCTGCTGTGCTTCTTGCAGCAGGAACTGAATCGCCTTGACACGGGTGGAATAGTCTGTGTACTTGTCGTGCACGGCGCGGGACTGGGCGGTTTGTTGTAACGTATGCCAGCGCGTGCGAAGGCTGTAACGGTTCAGGATCGTGAGGGTGAGCGAGTATGTGATCAACGCTGGGGATCCGACGGAAAGGCACAGTGATAGCAAGTTGTCCCATGGTGTGGATGTTTCGTAGGGCAGTTGTGCGGTCAATGCGAGCCAGGGGAGTAGGAAGTTGGTGAACGCCGATGCGAATGTCTGGAAGTTGAATATCTGACGAGATAGATGGTCAGCGACTAATTCTTCGTAGGATGGATAGGATCATGTATTAACGTACGTAAGGAACAGCGTCCAGACTACAGAATTGATAGCAGTCTCTCAAAGTGATCCCCCATGTTTGGTCGGTGAATGTCTCCATGCGATGGCCCCACGCATCAACGAGGTGGACGAGCTGTTTCTCTAGCTGTGTTACGCATCGTTCGTTCCAGCCGTTTATGGGCAGCTTGTCGATTATCGGTCCGATATTATTGGTGATGTTCGCCATGTTCGCCAAATGGCAAAGTATCAGGTATCGCTTGTATACACTTTCGCGGGTTGCAGCTAGTTATAAGTTTTCGAAACTCACGTAAGGTTACGACACGGTGTATCTATGCACGCTCGCTGATGCCCACACCCCGATGTACTTGATGCCTACGCACCCCGATTTTCACAAGAAAGAAGACTGACATCGTTGGTATTCCTATGCAGCTTGTAACATATATGTGCTTGAGTGCTTCTTATCAACGTCACGCACATGGAGGGCGTTTGAGAGGTGGATTGCCCACCTTGCTCACCGGGTGTCGACACAGCCTCTTCATTTGCACACTTTATTTGCTTCTCTTCAGCCTCACATTCATTGTCACGCGCGTAAGGGGATAAGAATGTGGCGGGAAGATACGTGTTTGATTGGTGGGCGGATATTGCTGGGGATTTGGAGTGCAGATACAGGGGTTTTGTGCGAGATACGACGAGAATGCGAGGGGAATGAGTGTGACAGTATGAGAGAGGAAGAGGAGGTTGGGGGCGGGTTTCGCGGGGTATGTCGTACATTGGACAGCACCGCATGGATGATAAGGAGGGTTATGGCGTTTGCGATCTTGATTAGGATGCAGTCACTTTGTACGGAGTACTCCGTACTATCACCGTTATATTTTCCACGGTACTCCGTACTTCTGATCCGGTGGTTTCTGTTGAAAATAGAAACCTTGTCTCTCTCCAATTCTATATCTATGATTCTATTTGATCAGATGTAGGCCCATTTCAGACGGTCTGCTGGAACGCCCGACACCGTTATCGTCTTTGTCACACCTGGTATAAGATCGAAACCATTGTCGCTGAGTTTTGTTCCCTGTAGCTCGCTGAAAACGAATCCCTTGATTGGAGTCACCGCAGAAATGAAGATTGTTGACTTGTCTTCGGAATACCGGATTTGAGGTTCACGCGGAGGAAATTGGATATATTTGATCGGGTCGGGCCACGAAACGTCAGTTGCGACTTCTTTGCCATTGATACTCAATACAGCGTAGATAATGAAAGGGTCAGCTTTCGAGGGTTCAAATGGTTTTCTTGGATCTTGCCCGTTCGATTTTTCTACTTTGCGTTCTTGGATGACTTCGGTGGTTCCATTTCCTTGAATTGTGATATCCAGATTGATGGCCGGCTCGACTTCCTTCCCATCACGGATGGACAAGAATTTGACTTCAACTGTTGCTTTGGCTTCATCACCACTGCTGCTAGCAACCCAGACGTTGAACTCAACATTTTCCCAGATGAGCCTCATATCGATGTGGCTAGTGTCCCTTTTCCATAACGCATCGGCAGGCCTCATTGTCCAGTCGTTGAACTTTCTAGTCACACCGATTGTAATCGGCTCCATCGCTCGTTTTATAGCATAGTAGGCCGGTTTGGGAACCAGGTAGTAATCGACAATCGCCCACGACATGGTGGGCCAGCAATCGTTCAACTGCCACACGAGCACACCGCCGCAATCTCGACTGCCTTTTGTTCCCCATTGTCTTCGCCATGACTTGTAAGCCCAGCTCATGGCATCTGCTTGCATGACCTGTGTCAAGTGTGTGAAATCTTCAACCGAGTACTTGATGCGGAAGTTCTCTGCTACGTACGATACCAGCCGGCGTTCGTGGCCGATAGCTTTGTTCCGGAAGTCCATCGCCATAGACCCCGGCACACGGTCGACGTCCTGTGTCACATTCTTCTCAAGAGTCTCCAGATGGGGATATGCTTCCATGCCGAACTCGGATACGAAGCGTCCGCCCATGCTCCCGAGCTTCTGGTACGGTTTCATTTCTCCATGCCAGACATTCCATTGATGAATGTCACCTACAGTAGGATCTACCTTGAGGGTCGTGCTTGTGCCATTTCCAAAAGGTGAGCTGGGGTGATACGGGACATTCTTCGATTCTTCTTGGATGACCTTGGGTAGTAGATGCTCGTAGATATATCGTGCGGGGAAGTCTGTCTTCAGCCAAGATTGGGGGTCTTTGTCCTCCGTAAAGTGGTATTCCAGTCCGTAACGTTCCACGATTTGATAGTCCTCGTTGTTACCTGCCCATATGACTATGGATGGGTGACTACGCAGTCGACGAACGTTTTGCCGGGCCTCAAGTTCAACGGAAGATAGGTACTCTGGGTATGCAGGGTAGTTGGCGCATGCAAACATAAAGTCTTCCCATACCAACACACCAAATTCGTCGCATGCATCATAGAAGGAGTCAGGTTCGTAGATACCACCGCCCCAGACTCGGATCATGGATTGGTTTCCTTCCGCAGCGAGTTGAACCCAATCTCGGTAGCGCTCCGGAGAAATGGAAGTAAGAAAGGAATCTGCAGGAATCCAGCAAGAGCCTCCCGCGAAAATATCAACATCGTTGATACGGAAGTAGAAGCTGGTTCCGCGCTTGTCTTTCTCTTGGATGAGCTCAGTCTTACGGAAGCCGATGGTCTTTGACACAGAGCAGAGGTCCACTTGAGGTGTGGATTCTGATGAAACAAGTGTGGCCTTGATGGTGTAAAGGTTCTGTGCTCCGTATGTGCGCGGCCACCAGAGGGAAATCTGTGCGATGAATGGAACAGACGCGGTGCCATTCTTGACCACGGTCTCATACTTCCCGACCAACTTGTCAGCGGACTTTTCTCTAATCTCGAAAATTACTTTGCTTCCTGGACCATCGACTTGCGCATGAAGTGTCCCCGATGCCCTTTTGAGGTCTTTGTCAAGATCGTACTCGACCCAAACATCCTCAATTTTTGCCGTGTAAGTCTCAAGCCAAATTGGCTTCCATGGTCCAGCTGTCAAGAGAATGGGGCCCCAATCCCATCCCCACGCATACTGGGCCTTCCGAACAGGGCCTCGCGAGACCTCAGTTTGGTGAACAATGAATCGGTGTTGGTCCTTATATTTCTCGACCAAGTCTAACCCTCTTAAGCGGGCGCTATCGAAAGTAAGCTCGAGAACATTGTTGTCGCTCTTGAGTTTTCCTGTCACGTCCACAGTGTTCTCCACGAACATGTTGTCGCTTTCCAAAATTAAGCTCCCGTTTAGGTAAACCGAAGCAAAGGTATCCAATCCTTCGAATCTTAGCACTGTTTTCGAGCCGTCATGAGCGTAACCCTTGGGAGGGGAAAATGAGAGCCGGTAGGTCCATGCCTCTTCGGCCACCCAGCGGACGGAAAGCTCGTTGAGATTCTGAAAAGGATCTTCAATCTTGCCGTGTTTGAGGAGATCTCGATGTACCTCTGTAGGAAGGTCGCCAGCGGGAAGAAATTCTCCATTAGAGGAGCGGTCGCCCCGCTTGAAGGACCACCCTTTGGCAAGAGATATCGAGCTGACGGGAACGACTGACATAGTGGATGGACAATGACAGTGGTCATGAATTGCTCCGGTCTGCACGAAAGAAGGATGCTGCACCGTGAAGTAGATATCAGAAAACAGGGTGAAGACATGCAATTGATCTTACGATATTATCGAAAGAGGTAACCCGCCCTGGCCTCCCTCACTAATGGTGTGTGCCGGTGGCTGTTTTGTCACCTTTGGCCGACGATCCTTGGGGTTCCATGCGGGGTTAGCGGCCTTGGGCAGGGATCGTCGTCAAAACGCTGACCTTCGCCAACTACAGTTTCCTGTCTCGGTCTAAATGATCCGATAGCTAGAAGTTGATTGTTACAAACAGGGTGCAACGATAAGATGCGACGTGATACCGCTACCGAGGGTGCGGGTCATTATGTGCGGAGATGTGCTGCCTTCAAAAGGTTCAGAATCCGCCCCGCTTGAGTGTACTCCACTAGTGGCTTCCACCGGCTAAGCACATATTGCAAAATGAATGCGACAGAGAAAAAATCAGATGAGTTCGTTGGGGAGAAGATGCTGACAGAAGATGGTCGAAAAATAGTCGATGAAGGCGAAGTGATGGGGGTGAATGCCAACATTGCGACGATAATGGCAAAGCACAAACCAAATCCATGGGGAAAGGGACATCTGAAATTATATCTCTTAGCATGTGTCTGCTTTCTCAACTCTACTATGAGTGGTATGTTTTTGTGTATGCAAATGATCGATGGTTAACTTACACAAGGATAGGATATGACGGGTCTTTGATGGGTAGCATAAATGTCCTCCCCAACTATACCTCCTATTTTGGACTCCCCAACAAGGGCACACCATCAACCGGAATAGTATTCTCTATTTTCCAGATTGGGCAGATGTGCGCTGCACTGTTCGTCTGGATCGCGGATTGGCGGGGTCGCAAGCAACTGATATTCATCGGGACCATTGGAGTCATTGTTGGCACCATCGTAACGTCCACTGCTACAACATTACCTACATTCATTGGTGGTAGATTTTTGCTCAGTTTCTTTGCTACTCTGGCATGCTCAGCGAGTCCACTGTACTTGGTCGAGGTAGCACCGCCACTGTACAGAGGTACGTTGGCTGGAATGTATAACACATTCTACTACATGGTGACCACATCCTCTTCTTAAAGACAGCCAATGCATTCTAACATATCGAAAGGGATCAATACTCGCCACTTCAGCGGTCTACGGCACCCATAAGCATCTCTCACATAAGGGCGATATTGATTGGCGACTCCCACTGTGGCTCCAGTGTGTTTGTCCTGCTCTAGTGAGCATAGTAATTCTTTGGTTCCCGGAATCACCGCGCTGGCTTATCGGTATGGATCGTCAAGAAGAAGCAAGAGCTTTTCTCGTGAAATATCATGCCAATGGGGATCCGGACCATCCCTTGGTTGCACTCGAGATGGCCGAAATGATCGAGTCACTTCAAAAGGAGCCAGTGACTGGCTGGAGAAACTTCTTTGATCTTAGCGTTATGGTGAAAACTCGATCCAGACGATACCGAACCATGCTCAATATGACATTTGCATGGTTTGGGCAATTCTCTGGTAATAAGTGAGTGTTGAGAAGCTTCTTTCACAATTCTTAGCATAAAACGCCACAATGCTTGCTAACCCTTGGCAAAGTGTCGTATCATACTATCTTCCTTACCTATTAGCCAACGTTGGCATCGCCTCTGCTGATACCAAGCTCCTTCTCAACATCATCTATGCCATTGTGGGATACATCTTCGCGTCTGCCGGTGCACGCATGCATGACGTGATCGGCCGAAGGAAGATGCTTCTAGGAGCAACGGCTGGCATGATAGTATGTCTATCGATAACTGCCGGAACCGCAGCTGGCTATGTGAACACTGGCAGTGTGACGTCTTCGAATGCATCCATTGCCTTCATCTTCATATTCGGTGCCATCTTCGCTTTTGCATATACCAGTATGCAGCCGATCTACCCTGCCGAGGTCATGTCAAACGACATGCGTGCGAAGGGCATGGGTACTTATAAGATCACTGGTGGCTGCGCTGGGTTCATTAACACATTTGCTGCGCCGATTGCTCTCACAAACGTAAGTTTTGCCGCAGTTTTGAGATAAAATATGCTGAAAACCATTACTAGATCGGATATTGGTTCTACGTCTTCTTTGTCTTTTGGGACTGCTTCGAGTTTGCGTTCATGTAAGTCATATCCAGATATAATGAATGAGCTCAGCGCTAAACAATCTGACTCAGGTACTTTTTCTTTGTCGAGACGAAGGGTTTGACGCTGGAAGAGATGGATGATATCTTTGAAGCTAAGAATCCCCGAAAGGCTAGCACAAATGTCCGAAAGATTAAGTTTCAGTCTGTTATGAACGAAGACGGTAGAATTGGAGAAGAGGTTAAGAATGTAGTGTAGATAGGATCTTCAAGTACCAGCGCACAAAGGTAAGTGCAGCTTGGCTGGCAAGTTTCATGATTGGTATATCTGTAGTGTGAAAATAATGATTAATTCGCGACAAAATGCGGATCAAATGAGAACCTTGGATGAGCAAGATATGAGATTGATGGCTTAGATAACATGGTACAATACTATGAGTAGAAGTCGAAAGATAATTACAAAGTGTGTATGTCCATATAGCTTAAGAAATGTACTTCTAGGATTGAAAAATACAAAATGTGCTCCCAACTTCATCGTCAGATAGACGAATCTTCCCAATATTACACAGCGCGACACCAACAACGCCCCAGTCTTTGTATGTCTCAACACCAGCATGGTACGAACCCAAGACTTATTGTACAAATATCCACTGAGGTTCTCCGTCAGACTCATCTTCTTCCTCATCTTCCAAATCCTCGCCTACAACCTTATCTGCCATCTTCCAGAAAGCGGTTGGACCTGCAGGTCCATGTGGGTCGAAATCCTTATCGAACCACGTTCCGGTTACGCCTCGCTTGGAATTGATTCCGCCGACCTGAATCCCTTCACTGCGCCACCGCTCCTCACTGCTAAGAAATCAGCTTTAGTTGCATTGATTGATTTGGGAGCATGAAGAGACATACCCAAAGAAGACTGAGATAGTCGTCCACCTGACCTCGCCTTCGCATGTTAGTCGCACCTCTCCACGAATCTTCGAGTTGGCATTAGGGTCCCAGGACACGTCCATGGATTTAGAAACACCAGCAAATTTTACAATCGGAAGAGCCGGATTGTCATAGGGACCAGGTGGAAGAACCTCGGTGACTTGTAGACGCATAATTATGTGACGAATTGCCTCATCTGTCTGGAGCGGACTCCTTGGCTCGTCCGGAGAAACTCCGATTGCTTGAGAACTGAAGTTATAGGCGAAGAGATCATTGTAATCTGTAGAAAATTAGTGGACTGTCTAGGCTCATGATATAAAATGAACGTACCCAGAAAGCAAACGATCTACATCATAGTTAGCGCGTCACAATAACACTTGGGGAAATACTGACTCTGTGCCACAATCCTGAAACATTATATGGGTCCTTCAAGTCGAGCGGGATGTCCGGCTCCTTGGGTAGCGACGGAGGATAATTCGCCCTGACTCTATCTCGAACCACTCCTCCGAAAGGATCCGACCAAATTGGCAGAAAGTGCGGTAAGAAGCGAGGACAACAGATCGTTGTATTGTAACTCAAGTCAATCATCACAGATTCAATCATTTCCCAATCAACCTTTCCTGAGCCGTCGTCGCGGAAAGGACCCCACTCGGTCTTGTCGGTATAGTTTCGCAGATCATATATTCGCGATCTCGCGTATGGATGTGTTGATGTTGACCTTCTGCCTAGCGCACCTGCGCCCATCCCATGGAGACAGTGAAGTTTTGCGCTCAGCTGACGATCCTCTTCGTTGTCGGCAGCCAACTGTTGTTCTGTGCCAGCGCGTTGATACAAAGATGATCGATGCATGAAAGCGTCTAGATTGCGTGGTTGTGCAAATGAACGAGTCAATAATGCAATGTTCTTGGACACACCATTTCGATGGGTTGCATTATACAAGATCTCGTCGACTGTTTTGGCAACGAGCTTAAAGTTTTCTCGCTAGAACGAAGCAGATCAGTACAAGGTTAAATGGAACAGTTCATGCTGCGTACTTTGAATTCGACATCATGAGTTTCCAACAGCTTCTGGCACCTGACCAACCCCTGTAGGGAGGCTACCCAATCAGGTTCAGGACTCGTGGAATTTTGACGCGGATCATCCTGCATTATGGTCAGCTTAAGTCGGACTCATACGTATGAGTATTGTTATACATAGTCTCTAAGATAGTGCGCCTTGTACAAACGCTGGTTTCCTTTGATGAAGTTATTGAAGCCCGAAGAGGTCCGCGCACAGGCCGCCAGGTCCTCTGGGTTGATCTCCTCCAAGATGCGGATCAAGATGTCGTAGCAGAAGTCAAGAAGCTCCATATTCATATATACAGAAGAAGATATTGACAGTGATACTCGGAAGGAACTGAAATGCACCGTGATATCAGCTGGAGTTGAAGTTGATGACGGATGCGGCACTCGCGGGGTCATCAACCCTCGGCGTTAGGACTTAATGCCTATTGGCCGGATCTGGCAACATGAGATGACACTATATTGTCACGCTTATCATGACAGTTTCCCCATGTAGTCGTAAGACAAGCCTTTGGGTGTAACAAAATGTAGCCAAGAAAATGCATCATATTATATAAATGCAACAGTTTCTCCTTTGTGCTTGTCCTGACGTCGAGCGAGTTTCTACGTGAAGATAACTACCCATACACCTTTCCACATCGGGATTTCATTCATCCGACACGTTCCTACATCTCCATCGTGCAGGTGGCTGTAGCTACCTCAAAGCGTATGGAGGTTTGGAGAAAAACTACCTACATAGAACGTAACCAGGCAACACTGTGTGGATATGGATGTTGACAACTTCCTATCAGCTGCCATCATACCTGATGCTGCAACAGGCAGTGCATATAATTGTACTAAACCCGATTCGGAACAAGTGCTATTTTGCAATTCCGACATCCTTCACGATTGCAATTCTTCAATCAATTCCAGGGCCTCTTTTCTTTCATGTTTTGGACCCCCCAATATCTCTACGCACCACATCCATATCTGCCCTAGAGCATCGATAACAGTCAGCCTCGCATAGGAGGAGATGAAGCCTTGGCAGATGTTTCGGATTGGCATTGCCCGATTGCCAACAGCTTCTTGAACGGGCGCTACAGGATTTGGCCTGGGCTTCAATACGAGACAAGGAGAATATGTGTAGAGCATCGTTGTATTTTTGACGAAGGATTTACGCCCTGCATTTACGATACTGGAAGTGGTGGCGGAGTGGAAAAGACAAGATATTTAGCCCCCATATGCAACAACTCCTATGTGGGCTTCCTAAAAAATCCCATTGTTGATAAGCGCAGCACTTCCCTCTGCCCTTCGATAGCTAGAACGCACCAGAACACTATCATAACTAGCCGCAGCCTTGGAAGGGCAGAGCCGGTGAGGCCCTGAAAACCACGATGTCAGACCTACCACAGCCTGTCAATCTACCCTCACGAAACAGTTTCTCCGCACCTGAATATGCACATTACGAAGGAGCTAAACATTTCACCGACGACACGAGCGTCCAAGCAACCAAAATGGAGCACCAAGGGTGGTCTACTAGCGAACGCGAGGCTTTTCTACAACAACCAAAAGCGTTTAGTATCGAACGAAGAACATTATGGATACTCCTTGGCATTGTTATACTCCTGATAGCTGCTGGAGTTGGTGGAGGTGTCGGAGGTTCCATGGCTGTACAAAACTCGAAGTAAGATCGGAAAGTCTTGTCTGTCTCTGGGATAATCAACTGATAAAATGGTAGATGCAAGTCCATCAACGCCACGAATTCGGCACAACCTTCACCTACCCCTACAAGTTCTGCAACCAACAATACCATTTTGCTTTCCGACCCAAGAGAGATAGAACTTGTTTCTGGATGCCCCGACAGCAATATTGCCTCTACATATGATGAAAAGAACTACTTTAGCTGTAGAACGAGAACTGGTTCTGATGGCAATGATGTCATGGCAGTAATTGCCTTTTCTGTTGAGGGGTGCTTGGAAGCGTGTATGAGCTATAATACGTGGAAACAAACCGACAAAGAATGCGTTCGGGCCGTTTACGCTCGAGATCTGAAGAAGGCTTTCGAGAAGAACTTCGCGAACTGTTGGCTGAAGGGCGAAAATAATGGACAGATCATTGCAGAACGCGAGAATGTCATACTCCTAGACAAGTGCTCAACTTATGAGGAATGCTCGAAGAGGACGAGCAAGGCTTGAGAATTATCAAGGTCGGAAATTGCCGCAACGCATGCATCAAGCCTTCAGCCAGATTAGAGGGTCCTGTGGTCTCAAAACGCATTGTGAAGCCTTTTCATAATCCTTCAATAACTTTTGAAAACACTTCTATCGATCTATACGATTATTTTGTCAACCGCGAGATGGTGGGCCCTTTACCGTAAGGAGTCGGCATGTCCATTAATATATGCTCATCTACTAAAATAATCATCCCTGGATATAGTACTGTTTTGCAATAGATTCACTGAACAGGGTGGCTCGCTTTACAAATAAAGAGGATTCTGCGGATAGTCAAGCGTGGACGCCAAATTATCTTCAAACATGACACAGCTGTTGTGATATCCAGAGAGGAAAAAAATGAGTTAGGCTATCTTGAATGTCATAGCGAAAACTTAGACCTTTCCAATGCGCCGCAATAGCTAGTCGTTCCATTGTGTAGGTACACTAGATCAATTCAACACAAGTATCTTCTTGATTGCCTTCAAGGCCACTCTTTCCTTCGCATCCATGCCGCCTCACCCAGTACTCTTTCGTTTCGCCATATCTTCTAGTTGATATGCTCCGATACCTCTTTCCTCACTATGGGCATTCTCAATCTCCGCAAGGAATGTAGGGCTGAACCTTCCTGACTCTGGCTCTGGTAGTCGCAGCGGGTCTCCAGTCTCTAATTCCTTGAAAGTACGAAGTAGACTATTATGCAGATATCCTGCCCGGCGAAACAGGCTGGAGCTTTTCCATGATGTAGAGTTTGATGAGTCTAGTTGTCCTTGTATGGCCAAATGTTGAAATCGCACTTGAGTAAACAGCGCCCGGTACGAGATCAAACAGGCAATGAAGAAAGCTGACTGAGTCAGAATGGACGAAAGAGATAGAGATAGAGTAATACAATTACCGACAGAGAATTCAATGAATAGCCAGAACCACATCCAAGCAATGTTGAGGGTCTTGGCCTGGCTGTCGAAGGTCTTATACGCTCCTCCAAATATGCTCCCTCTTACTATTGTAACCGCGATAGTAAGCGCCACTAGACCGAAAGTGCAAGACAGGATTATCTTCTTCCGCTGCCCGATGCGCACGTTCCATAGTATAACGATAGGAAATATGACAACTAGAGACGATTAGTTCACTAGAACCAGTGAAGCTTTGGAGAGAGCATACTCAGCGCATCAGAAAAGACGTCTAGACTAACAGAAACCTTCTGAAAGTTGTAATACCTTAATAGTATACTTCGCGACGAACAATGCTTCATTAAATAACCAAATGTCGTGAAGACGCACTCGTAGACAACCAATCCAATATTGACTGATCCACAAGCCAGGGTAAGGAACAACACAATGTACCAGAATACATGATAGGAAGGCCTTCGGGTTCCTAGTCGCTTGAAAAAAACGAGAAAATTGATTTTGATTGCACTTATGCCGATAAGTGAGATCAATCCGGCCGCGCCAAATCCATGTAGGCCGCGCTCTACGATCCTCGGAAGGGTTTCGTCTGGTAGTAGTCGTCCATTTTCGAATTCTATTTCTTTGTACACATCGTCCAGGAAAGCTTGACCAATAGCTATCACAGAGAGCAGAAGTGCGAAAGCAAACATCATGATCCAGTCATCAACAAGCAAACGGCGAAAGCAATGGAAACGGATATAGATTCGCGAAGCGAAAGCAGTGAAACAGACAGCAAATACTGCCCAATTTATCCTCTGAAGCAAAATAATAAGTTTAATTGGCATTACTATCGCATCGGTACCTATACTTACGTGGAAAGCTTTAAGGGATACCACACTTGATGTGGTGCCAGAACCAACGACGGAACTTGATTGTGCCATTTTGCTGATGTTGTTCTTGGGTTTCGAAATTCATACCAATTTTCCCCGGATTTGACGAAAATATAAAGAGAAAGGCCTGCCCTTTCGGTGGATCTTGCAAAATTGTCCGCCTTAAGACTCAGCTCCGCCCTAAATCAGGCTCGCATCATGCTTCATTCGATGTCCGAACATACATTTGAAGCGGTTAGAATACATTAAGAGACTCGGAGTAGTGAGTTCATGTCGGGCTTTTTTAGATTGTCTTTCGTTTGCCTTGCTGCAGCATGCAAGGCTCCTGCAGGGTTACCTCGACGCCTGCTTCACCACTAACCCACTTCACTTATTGAATAATTCTCGTTGGCTCCCCCAAATGAAGAATTGAACCACACTGGCGGTTTTTGCCGATGATTAAGTTCCAAAAGAGCCTCATGTTGCCTTGATGTTCATTCCTACGCTGCAAAACGTGACCAGCCGCCAAGTTCGTCCTTCACTCTCGCCGCGAATTCATCTAAGCGATCAGGAGTGACCCCAACGCCTCTCCACTGATAGACTCATACTTTCATAATGAATTCAAAAGAAAGTTAACCTCTTAATACATCACTACGGTAGCTATGACCTCGATCGTTGTTGTTGCATTTTCTGGATTACTTGCGACCTATGTCTTCCTACGCGTTTTGATAACGCTTACGCAGGATCCCAACGAGCCGCGAGCGCTGGAGACTAATATTCCGTTCTTAAGCCCACTCCTCGGTATGAGAAGAAAGGGCAGGTTCTACAGAGAATTACGGTAAGTGTAATTCAAGCTAACTCTCAACTTCGGTCGATAAATGCTAATTGGTGGACAGTGACAGATTCAACCTCCCGGTTTATACACTTCGAATACCCTTCATGCGATTATATATCATCAACTCGACGGAGCTGATTCCAGCCGTCCAGCGACAGGTTCGAATACTAGACTTTGCTCCACTGGAAGCGAAAGCCGCTATGAATGTTATGGGCGCCAGTCCCAAGGCTAGAGAGATATTAGTCAAAGAAGTGGAGGGAGTAGGCAAATTCAGTTATCCTATCTTGTTTGACAAGGCTATACACCCAACAGTCACTCCAGGTCCAAAGCTAGATGATATAAACAGGCTGTCTGTGCAAAAGGTGGCAGAAATCATTGAAACGCTTGCATCGCAGGCACCAAGAGCATTGAAGCTGTTTGCATGGATCAAGAAGGAGATTGCCTACGCAAACACTGAAGCAGTATACGGCCCTAAGAATCCGTTTAAAGACGCAAAGCTCCAGGAAGCTTACTAGTAAGTAACGACCCTCTTCGCCTCAATAACAGGAGCTGACAAAAGTTAGTAAGTTTGAGCCAGGCATCATTACATTACTATTGGGCTTTTTCCCGAGTCTACTAGCAAAGGAGAGTCTGCAAGCACGGGAACATATTGTTGATGCATTCAACGATTATTTTGTCTCCCGTGGACATGAAGAGGGTTCGGCTTTTGTTAAAGCCCATTACCAACACAAGATTGACCAAGGGATTACTGGGAGAGACATTGCCAGCTTCGAGATTGGTGGTGTAGTTGCCATCATGTCTAACACGATTCCCACCGCTTTCTGGGTGTTATATCACACTATATCAGACAGAGATATTCTATCTGAGTGTAGAAAAGAGGTTATCGCATGTTGCGAAATAAGTGGCGATACTTGTACGCTTGATATAACTCAAGTTAAAGCATCCTGTTCGATCTTGCTGTCTATTCTGAAAGAGGTATTGCGTTACCATGGAATCGGGACCTCCATTCGTATTGCAACAGAGGATCACCTACTTGATGGAAAACATCTTCTCAAGAAGGGCGGCATAGTCATGATTCCAGGAATTGTGCAACATACTTCTATACCAGTCTACGGAGACAGTGTCAACGAATTTCAACATAGGCGCTTCGTTGGATCTCCTCAACGTAAACGACTAAACGCATTAGCATTCCGAGGTTTTGGAGGGGGCACCACGCTTTGCCCTGGTCGGCACTTTGCTAGCACTGAAATTCTCGCTTTTGTGGCCCTGGCAATTGTTCGATTTGATTTTGAGTCAACTCAAGATGACTGGATCTTCCCAACAACATTGAATGCGAATATGGCAGGCTCTGTCGCCCAGCCTGACCATGATGTGGAGGTTAGAGTTTCTCTCACTACTAGTGGGTTGGCAGGCAAAACATGGAATGTTGTACTGTCAGGGTCGAGTGAAGGGGTTCGGATTTTGGATGAGGACATCCGTTAAACTTGGGTAAGATTCGTCGGGCAGCATTGTCGAAGAAGAGACAATATCAGCATCGTAGAGGATGAAGTCATGGCTGCGCTGTGAGAACGCACCAGCAGGAAGGTGGATTCGTCGGAGGGCAGATGTAAACATCGCGGAAGCCCGCTCTTTGCAGCATCGAGATCATGAACCGGGACTTGTATGAGCGTTAGCACGTTCAGATATCTATTCTATACGAGCGAGTGCGTAGATTTTCTTACATGAACTATAAAGAGCCAGAACATGCCCAGCAGATCAAAGCATCCTATCACATACCACCATCTCTCATCTTGTCTCTCGGGTGTCTTGTCAAAGAAGAGCAATGTAAACAAGAGTTCGACACAAGGTAGGACAAACAGGAAGCCCTCTAAACAGATGATCCATTCATCGGCGTCGATGTCGAAGAATCGGATCGAATAAGGTGTACGTAAAATCTCCGTTTCAAAGTGTGAGAAGTTGGTGGCAACGTTTAGGAGAAAATAATACAGCTTAGAGAATAAGAGAGCGAGGAGAGGCGACATTTTTGGAAGATGATGGTAGCAAGCAAGAATGCAATTTATAGGCTCGCCGGGGGAGCGTCCTTTTATACGCTCTGGTTTGAAGATTCGTAGGTATGGGAACCGTAGATGCGGGATAAAAACGTTGGGGTTGGGAGTAAGCTCGATGAGTATGGAATTCCCAGAACCAAGATTATGAATATCTTATGAAGTACACTACTTAAAATATAAATCTGGTCGCAAGATAACTAACTTTTATCTCTTTCTGCTTAAGTAGTTATTCACTGTGAAACCCTAAAAGCATATATTAATTTTGTTTTGGTGTATTAATCTGTCCTATACTGGTTGGAGATAGATACCAAGGTACGCTCTGATGGTTTAAAACTAGATTGGATACTTCCTCTCCTACAAGTTGTCCCAAAATGCAAGCCAACAAGTTCCGTTACCGAGTCCACAACTCCACCCACGTCTCCTATGAAATCCGCCCGTCTTCTAATGCCAATTCCGGTGTTGTACTTAATCTCGATTCTGTAGCCGACCATATCTTTCGACCGTGCAATCCCCAACGTCTCACCTTTCAGCCAACTCTTATGCAATTCCTCCCGAGCCTTTTCGATTACTTTAAAAACTCACAATTGCTTGGAGCCAATGAACAGACCCAAATCCATGGGCGTTAAGCGTCTGTAGGCACTCGTGACTGCCCAGGTCCCAGGGATTGACCCTTTTTGTCGTATGGCGCAGACGCCATCTGGACACGCAATGTGATCAGTCGAAACAGTTATCCTCCAAAGCTTTCTCCATCTTCGAGACAATAATCTTTCGAGCCGCCATAGCCATCGCACATACTACCCATACAAAAGAAAACGCAACATATCCCGTGACTAGCCAGTATCTTCTTGCGTTAGTGACAGATTGCTCAGTGTTTCTGTTAAACTCTATGAGAGTGTCGTCTTTTGCAAACAGTCTTGAGCATTGGCAACTTCTATACACCCCGGAAAGGTGGAAAATGGTGCCAACAATCATGACTAAAGCGTTGAATATGACAAGTAAAGTATGTGCCCATGTCGCTATCCTCATCTGGAACTGCCCAGACCTATCTTGAGACAAGAATATGAGTCGTTGACGAGGGACATGCAACACCGCGACGATGAAGGTGCCAATACCATAAAGCACATAGGTGAAGGATCGACATCCGAGACCAACAGTTGGTGTCGTCCATGATATGACGGCCGCGCAACCGCAAGCAAAGGCAACACAAACCCAGCCTAGCAGCTGGCCTAGGACAAATTTCGTCCAAAACCAAACCTCACGCTTCGGATGGCCCTTGTCAGCTTTCACAGGGTCCGCGCGTTCGATTTGCCATAGCCAAAGCTCCCATTTGAATGCATTCATATATCGTTCGGAGAGCGATACTCTCCGATCGGAAAGTCTTAACGAATCGCCGAATGCTTTGCGTGCTAGTCCTACATTGACGCTTGTGGCAAAACAGTTCCCTGATACGGAGAGTGTGATGAGCCACGAATACCAGACACCATAGGCTAGTGCGTGCGCTGTGTCTTTATCACCGAGCTTGCCGTAGGCGTCAAAAAAGACAGATGCTGCAACAGCGAGCATAAGTATGACTGGAAGGAAGATACCCTTGACAAAGTCAATTCGACCTTGGACCAATACATGGACTCCATATGAGAGACTTTGCCGGAGTGAAAATTCGCTCGAGCTCGCCGCATTGACTGAGCTCATGGGCTCGATTTTGTCCACGTCTCTCGACTCGCTTGACAACACCTTGTCTGTATTCGAAGTCCGTTTGATAATCTCCTCAGCCAGCATGGTCCACGGCGTTGTATTCTTCATAGTTGGTTCATCCAGATCACGGATAGATTGTGCTCCCTGTGAATCTTCCTTCTCGAGACGGTTGATGAACCCATTCCAAAGGATGGAGTGTTCAAACTTGGTGTCTCCAGCCAACATCGTGATCCATAAGGCTATATTCGCCAGCCAGCCCGAATTGTGGTCGGATAGTCTACGAGCAAGTCGGAAGTCCGATATTATCTCAGAGAAAGCGCCCCACAGTGCACTGGCTGGATCCCCCAGTAGGAGAATATATTCCCAAGGTGTACCGCTCACCCACTCCCAGAACCATTTCATCGAGCTAAGCAACCTCTCTCGGGCGCCCGATGAGCCGGCGGCTGCTCTGATTTGCTCTGTTTTGGACTCTGATATCTCGCCTATGGGCGTGACTAGAAGCAAAGCGACGTAAGGTGCAATCCAGGTCGCGAGTGGTTGCAACCACTGGCTTGTCTCGCTGCGTTGATAGCCCGCGCACTCAGCGTTGCACCAAGCCCGAGTTTTCTGAACAGACCAAAGCTGTGTTTCAGATGGATAAACAATGGATTCGCCGAGTTTGCAGATTTTCCAAGGGTAATCGTTCGCTGCATTTTCAGACCTGATGCTTTCGTCGCGAGCAGCCTTGATACAGCAGCGGACCAGATCGAAACTCGCTAGAACTCGGGCAAAGAAGGAAGAGAAGATAAGATAGAGAAACGAATATTGAAATTTAGGCATAGTGAAGAAAATTTAAGGCCTTCTTCCCGCAGTGATATGTGTAAGTTGAAATGTTGCAGACCTTAATTTCGGGATGAGTACTGAGCGAGAGTCGAGGCTGGGCCTCTGATGGGCCACTGTTACAGTTATCTGAAAGGCTGAGTCCATCACTCCTCATCCAAAGATGCAAGTGCAAACGGACACATCATACAGCCATGTCGTTCTGGTAGGTATCCCTCTTTTCCACCATTTACCATTTCCGTATGCAATGCAGTGATCTGACAGCTTGGCTGATCAGCCCCATTGTGGGCTTCAGAGCTGTCACTCGCGCGGTTGGGCTTGAGCTGATATTGTGGTCGACTGGTGTTGCACTACATGTCTCCATGGCAAACACGCACAGCGAAGATCGAGCTTTATGGAGTGATGCTGTTCGACTCGCGGCGCCACTCGCTTAAGCTGGAATCGAGCTACCAATGGATCGCTAGCGTACCGTAACATCCCTATATGTTCAGCTAGCTTTTTCTCGAAGGCTCACGATAAACACGCGCTCGATGACTATAACTGACACCCACCCTGCGTCGGAGCTATGTTTAATAGGACACATGCATTCGTTTCCGAAGATTCTGGTGTAAACGAGCGACTAGATTGGCAGTGATCGACAACTCCCCATGTCGCCTGAGCGAAACTCGTCCGAGCAGTCAGCGCAAGGCTGGAAAGTTTGAGGGCTACAGACCGATCTGCTACTTTAGATAAATGTGAACATCGACTCGGAATCTGGATACCGTCCTGAGCCGCATCTAAGAAACTCAATGAACAGACCATGGCAAACTATAAAGCCCAAATGATATATTCTTCACTGATTGTTGCTCTCTTGTTTTATCTTTGTGCAGCTGATCAGTTGATCAACCCGAAGGACATTCCGCTTGGAATATGCAGTCCCGTCAGCTCCTGCTGGCACTACGAAAGTCCTCCCGACGAAATTTGCCCCGTTGATCTCTCAAAATGCCCAAACGACGATCCTAGCTGCGGCATGTATCATAGCGACTGCTACTGTAAACTCAAGACCGGGCTCTCATGCGCATGGGTTTGCGGCTGGTGGGAATGGATGCAAATCGAAGACTGGTTCTTTAAGCAATGCCCGGATGCACCAACCGTTGAATTCAGCAAAGCTCCAACATGCGTCGCAACATGCCTCGCGGAGAAAAGCATCGACTATGGATGTTTGACGAAGAATACGAACTGCTTCTGCATCCACGGTTCGCTTTTCGATTGCCAACAGTGGTGTGGAGATCAAGACAAGCAGAAGTTGAAGGGTTGGCTCATGGACACTTGTGGCATCGACGAGAGCTTAGCCGCGGCAGGAGTGGAGAGTGGGGACTTCACGGTCGCATCGAGCGCGAACACAGGCAGAGAAGCTATCTTAACATCACGACGAAGAAGGAAGCTAAGATGGTATGAAATTATGGTGATTGCCCTGCTATCAATTTCATTTGTCGCTGCAGTAGCTTTGTGGGGGTGGGTGAGATGGACTAATGCTGGGGGCAAGATCAGGACTGCTCTTCCTCGTGACGTGAAAGTTCAGTAGCATCAAGGTCAAACAGTATTACTGGGAAGTGCAACCGAAACGGGTGATTGCATTAGGAATTTGGGCTGCTTTCAATCCTTTTAGTTTATTGTCTTGCCTTTAATTTTTGCCGTCTCTCTGGATATAGCTACAATGGCAGTTTTGATTATAAGTGTCTCACATTAGTATACCTTTCATGATGGTTAAAGAGAACATTGAAATCAATACATTGGTTGAATGGCATTGCCTGTACTGATACTTTTGCATACACACCCGGTAGGAACCCCTCGCAAGCAATGCTATGCCCCAGTACAGTTGCTCAAGACTGTCGTTTAGGTCCATCAAGTGAAAAACCGGCAGATGTGGATGGGTTTCTACCTAGCTGTAAAGTCGTATATCTAGTAGAATCCCTCTGTGCTATTTTCAAAAACTGAGGTATTCGAAGAGAGAACTCGAGCTGTTCCAAGGGTATACGAAATAAGGAGCTAGAGCTTCCAAGAAAGTCCATTGTCCATAGGGGATGCTGTTAGAAAGGGTTCAAGAATTCCCTTCCTTTTTGTAGACACGAGAACTTCTGAGATTGATATGGAAGATCATTTTCGGGGGCGCTATTAAGTGCGAGGGTTTATTCAGTCATTATTCGGGATGGATGTTATGTTACTAAACCCTATGATCGGAAATGTGCAACCTGCAAGCGGAGGAAATACGAATTCCTGGCTAATGTTCGTTGATCCAGAGAGCAATGGTTTGTTCCCGACAAACGCATGTCCTTATACATACGGCCATTAGACATTGACAACAGATTTTCCTGCCTGACCCGCCGTTTGGTGGGGGGCGGGGCTGTAGATGGTAATTAGGTATATTAGGTAGATAAGCTTTTCTCCAGGACACTGAAAACAGGAAGCAGTCATGTCCTAGATTAATGCGTTAAGTTGATAACGCGTGAAATAACAGTATAAGATATCTACCTTTATCTACATACAGTCCTAATCTCCCTAGTATCTTGCTTACACAAGTTCAGTTTAGTTTAGTTTGGGGTGAGCTTCATGAGGCGACCATTTGCACCATCCTCGATGACCCAGAGAGCGCCGTTCTTGTCCTCTCGAACACCGCGCATGCGCTTACCCATTGGGATACGCTGGGCCTCTTTGGCCGTATTGCCCGTGATAGTGACACGCACAAGTTGTTGCGAGCTGAGACCGGTGATGATGGCGTTGCCCTTCCAGCTAGAGAACAGGTTGCCCTTGTAGATGACGAGGCTAGAGGGGGAGATGACGGGGACCCAGAAGGCCTTGGGGGCCGTCATTTCGGGGCGGGTGCTGTGCTTGGGGATGGTGCGGCCATCGTAGTGGCTGCCCTCGCAGACGACCGGCCAGCCGTAATTCGCGCCCGACTCGATGAGGTTGAGCTCGTCGCCGCCCATGGGGCCCATTTCTACTTCCCAGAGACGTCCCTGTGCGTCCCAGTCGATACCCAGCGGGTTGCGGTGGCCGAGCGACCAGATCTGCGACTGAATGGCTCCCTGGCTGGCGAAGGGGTTGCCTGCGAAAGCGGTGCCGTTGTCGTACAGCTTAATCATCTTGCCCAAGTTGCCCGTCATGGACTGAGCGGGTGTCATCTGGTTGATCTCGCCCGATGAGATCCAGAGGGCACCGTCAGGGCCGAAGAGTAGACGACAGGCGAACTGGAGCCCGCCTGAGGCTCTCTGCGAGTGCCGCCAGATTACCTCGACCCCCGACAGCGCACCGCCGGTGCCGCTCAGCGTCAGTTTGGCCCGCGCAACGGCGCCTCCCGCCCCACCGCTGCCGCTCTCCGCGTAACTGATGTACACCATGCTGTTATTCGCGTAGTCGGGGTGCAGCGCAATGTCGTGCAGTCCGCCCTGACCTCCATAGGCTACCGCAGGTACTCCCGTGATGCTGCCCGCGGTCTTAGTGGCCGGGTCTACGAGACGCATGTTGCCTCGTCTTTCGTTAACGATGATTCGATTGTCGGGCAGGAAGGCTATCGCCCATGGCTCCTGATGGCTGGTGATTACTTCCGACTTGAACGGCTGTTGGGCCAAAGCACCTGTCACCAGTGCTAGTGACAGGGCCAGAGTGTGCGTGACTGAAATTCCGAGATGCATCATGTTTTCGGCGCGCCCTTGCTTTGCTTTCCAGTGTGTTGTATTCTTGGACGATTGAGGACCGAGTCGCTCACATATTATAGACTCTCATGCGTGCCTGCTCCTCCCAGGGTAGTGGAAGAAGGTTCAAGCAGCGAGCAATCTCTAGGGAAGATCAAGACTGAATATATAGATATATATATATCCATATGCATGTATGCATTGCCGGCACTGCGCCGGCACGTACAGATTTACAGCCCTAATATACTACATATCACAGGTAGGCATGTGTATAGGAAACGGCAGGGCGTGGGCAACCTCTTGCCGAACATTAGGCTATTTCCGCCCTGTGAATGACGTTGTTGGACGTATACTAGAGAATGTAACGCGACATTCCTGAAAACATACATGCAAGTTATCTTTTCAAAGACATTGCATGTAAGCTCCTAATGTTGAAATAAAGACGGCAAGGAGTTGTTACGCAACAGGGCGCAAGAGCTGGTATTATTCTATGCATTCTAATATTGTAAGTTTACCAACATTGTCTAAGACATTGGGAAAGATGATTTCTAGCTTGTGTAAGGGTGGATGTAGGTAGGTCACACGAACAGAAAATTCACTGTATCTAATGCCTAGTTGGCCGAAGAAAAGATTAAATAAAGTTCAATGTGCACCGAGTAGATTGTATAGGTTACAAAGGGTCAATGAGGTTGATTATTAGACGAATCGCTACCTCCCTATAGAGTAGGTATCGATTGTTATATATGATACCCAAGGGACCCCGGCCTTATTGCCATCAACTGTGTGCTCTGTATGGCCTTGACTCTTGCGTAGAGGACGACGCTCCCACCATAGTTGACCATAAAGCAGCGAGCCTGGATGGCTCTTGATTTCCTTGGCTACTTTAACAAAATACAGAGCTAGGCTTTACCAGAAACAGTTCAATCAATGCATCTTTTAGGCTTCGGGATCATGGCAATTGGTGCTCCACGTTCCGTTCGATGAGAGATTGCTTCACCTGGCATTCAAAGCTTGGAAGCATCTTTTCAAAGATAAGTGTCCAAAATAGAACTCAATTGTTTCAACATTCCCGACTGTTTGCACCTACATCCCTTGACATTGGTTATGCTGTTCTGACAGTATTCGGAAGTATCGTGGGGCATTCTTGGCATCTTGATTTCCAACCAGATTTGCTTCCGTCTCATCAATCATGGTAGAAACATGGTTTCGACTTGGCAACGACCCACCATCATAGCATTCCGCTTGATGTGAATGAAGGCTCGGACACCGGAGACGATAATTCCCACTAATTGTCCGACTGATGGTCGTTCCTTTTATTTCGCAATTCCACGATCTATGTCATGATCATCGATAATGCACTGCGACAGAATGAACGGGACTGCATCTAATTGGCCTCAGCAAACATATCTTTTTGCTTTTCTGCAACTTTTTCTTGGTGTACCCGGACGGAGACATAGCTTGCTCATGCACGGATTTAGTTCCTGGACTGAATGTGTCTACAACGTCCGATCTGCGATCATGTTGTTTCTTCAAGAGTTGTCCTTAAATACCTATACATATACGGCCAGTCAGGTACTGACACTGTTCATCTTCACACAATTGGAATTACAGTCCAAACCTCATATCTTTGTACACAATGGGATACTCATTACTTCTTTCATTATTGGTTCTAGCCAAAGCGACTGCAACATTAGCGGCCGACACGGTAACCGAAAATCGTTCCATTGACGATATCCACAAGGCAGCTCTAGCAGAGGGTGGCGTGGTGACTTGCTGGCATGGTGGTGACGAAAAGAATCGCCAGGATGCATTGAAGGAAGCTTTCGAAAAGCGATTCCCTGGCATGACTCTGAATCTCACAGTCGATCTTTCCAAATATCACGAAGTTCTCATTGACGATCAACTTACCAATGACAACGTCTTTGTCGACAGCGCTATCTTACAGACTGTCCACGACTATGCTCGTTGGAAAGATGAAGGTGCCTTGCTCAATTACGCACCCAACGATTTCGACAAAGTTCATGAGGCGTTCAAGGATGCCGATGGTGCATACTACGGCATTGGTGTCTTTGGGTGGCGAATCGCATACAACAATAAGAAATGGACTGGAGACCCTATTCAGGACTTCGAGGACTTTCTAAACCCTGAACTCAAAGGTCGTATTGTTAGCACATATCCCAACGATGACGATGCGGTGCTCTTCGCTTATGATTTGATGTAAGTGCTTGACGACCTCGGAAGAAAAGCTTGAACCAAGTCATGCACTGACGATCTACTAGTATGCAAAAGTACGGCAAAGAATGGCTGGATAAACTCATCCAACAGGATGTGCGCTGGGTTCGAGGGTCCATTACGCCACAAACCCTTGTTGCAAACGCCGATGCCAAAGAGGCAGCTACTTTCATTGGAATCTCTCCCAGCTTGGGCCCAGATGTCAACACTACCCTTCCGACCGATGCACAATACGTTACCTGGCCTCAGACAGCAGCTATTTTAAAGAAGGCACCGCATCCCGAAGGTGCTAAATTGCTACACAACTTCCTTATCAGCAAAGAGTGGCTGTTCACCAGCCCTAAGACCACGGTGCGAACCGATGCTCCAGCGGATTACCCCGACATCTTCAAGACGCCTAACACCAATGTCACCGCTTTTGGTCCATGGATCGCAGATCGAGAGAGGGTGGAGCGCTTGAGGTTCTGGTTTGAGAAGAAGCTTGGAACTCCTCAGGGGTTGAGCCCTTTGGATGACGATCTGTAAAATTAAGAAACTTCAACTTCATCGCATTTCATTCGTTGTACATAGTTTCAACATCTTTCATTTCTTGATTAGTTTAGAAGTTCTGATACATTTCCTCTTTCATAAGCGCCACCTATTCGTGCCCACAATACTCCCCACGTTCCTAGCAGATATTCATTATTGAATAAAAAGGGATTACAAGCTGTGCCTTTCTTCCTCTCCAACATGAGCAGGGTCCTTCTCAAGGATCTCGCTCTTCATGATACGACCCTTCTCAGTAGCCGCGTGGCCACCAAGAAGCGCAGCATCGCCATCAAAATGTCTGGCAATTTCCTCGAGGGGAGTGTTCTTTGTCTCAATGTAGAAGAACCAGACGAAGACAAGTTCGAAGCCAAGCCATGCACAGTATACGATGTAGTACTTCCATCCAATACTCTTGAGCGCAATGGGGTTGACGTACGTGTTGAAGAAGAGAGCGACGTCGACCATGGCGAACATGTAGCACATTCCTTTAGCACGGAGTGAAAAAGGCAGAATCTCGACAGTGTACCCGACGAGAAGACCGGACCACGCAGTGTTGTAGAATGTGTAATAGAGGAAGATCATGGCAACGACTGCGTTTCCGTTGGCCTTGACTTTGGTTGCATCGTATCGCTCGGAGCAGATCGTCCAAATAATGAAGACGAACATCATGCCCCCAGTCGCAATGAGGAAGAGAGGACGGCGACCAATTTTGTCGACGAAGAAGCCTATTCAATGTTAGCTTTGGATCTTGGAGAAATTTATCAAAATGCAAAACATACACATGGTGGTTGCGATGATGCAGTTCCAGATGTTTAGAACTCCATTGATCACCAACTGCGTGTTAGGGTCTGTGATACCAATGCCGTCAAGCACACCGGTGATGTAGTACGACACGAGTCCATTTCCAGACCATTGACTGAAAAGACCGGCAGAAACCAAGATGAGCAACCTGTGGCGGTTACCCTTGGTCTTGAACAGCTCAAGCCATCCAGTTTGCTCGGCCTCTTTCTCGATAGCGATTGTCTCCTTGATTTCCTCGTACTCTAGTTGGACAACCTCGTCGTCGACGTTGCCTTCAGCATGGACGTGGGCAAGAACAGAAAGTGCCTTTTCAGATTGGCCCTTTGATATGTACCAACGTGGAGATTCGGGAACAAACCAGACGCAAGATATCTGAAGAAGCGATGGAAGTGCCTGAAGAATTGAGGGAATACGCCATGACCACTGGCTTGCGATGTTGTTGGTACCAAAGGTGAGCCAGGCAGCGATGATTGAACCAATGTACCATGTGGTGTTGTACACTGTGGTAAAAATAGCTCTGTGCTGAGGACTAAAAGAACGGCATTAGGCTTATTTATACCTTCCAATAACCGAGTAAACTTACTGGCAGATCTCCGTAATCAACAGTGGAGCAGAACCGTGAGCGATGGCTACTCCAAAGCCAAGGAAAAATCGCGCAGCAATGAACATCTGAAAGTTCATAGATGCACTCTGAAGAATTACTGCGAAGATCATGATGATCGAGCCAATACAGATACCCCATCGTCGTCCGAGTCCATCAGCAATATATGGTGTTATGGGTAAGGCGAGAAGTGAACCCAAGAACATGATACCAGAAAAGAGTCCTTTGATTGACGCCGAAGGATCGCGCATATCTAATCATCTGTCAGTACTTCCAAATTTTATTGAGTCATTCTTCACCAGCGACTTACAATCCTTGAATTGCTTAAGTGACAGGAGACCATTGACCATGGAACCGTCGTAACCATTAGTGGCGCTGGTCAAAACCACAAAAAATAGGAGCAAGTATGTGTTTCTCAGATTCTTCAAGCTGGTCCATTTGATGTGAGGAAATTCCTTGCCCGCCACCTTAAAGTGACCAGGCGTCACTGAAGTGTCACCAAGAGCTGTAGCACCGCCCATGATTGAGTTCACAAATGATGCTCAGTGAAATAGAGTTTCACGGTAGTGATAGAAGACTATCGAGTCAAACTGGAGACAACAACAAATGCATGGCAGCCTCACGACTCAAATATGTCGTGAATAAACGGTGCATGTCCGGACGGCAGGCATCGACGGCGCGGGTCTTTACCCGTCAACCATCTAGCCCACAGAGTGGCGTAAATACTCTTTGCTCTTTGGTTTGGATACTGAATTGAAGCATCTAGAAAACATACAGAAGCTTTTCTTTACCAATGAACAAGGAATAGATCCATGGGCGGGCCTCGACTGGGATGGATGATGTGGATAAAAGCGGTTAAATCCTTCGAAATCCATCAAGCACGATTCAAACGAAACACCGTCCTTATATGGACGGGATCGCCACATGGGCGCAATGCATGTCGAAACTTGTGACTAGATGCCTGGATGCCTACCTCGAGATAACTCGGTTGCAGGACGGGAATTAGATTGGATGCTGAGGGATTTCGCCAATAATCTGGTGAGTATCTCCCGGTTCAAGGGAAAACCAAGGCAAACGGCCATGGGTCGACAGCAAGACCCTTATTGCCGGGGACTGGTTTATTGGCAGAATGGATATTTGGAGACGCGCAATTTACAAAATAAGGGTTCAATTTTGGATGTTGGGTTTTCTGTTCCTGGGTCTAGCAACATTGATATATGAAAGCTCAACAGTACAATATCAAACAAGATCAAACATTGTTCAATACATATTTACCTATCTCATGCGTGATGGTCGTTCATGCATTGTTCACGCGACTCTGCACTCCAACTTCATAAGGAACGACGGCACGATAAGCCGACTTGTACCCCAATCAGCCGATCGTACGACCTGACCCTGCTGGTGCAAGATCCATAAGACTCGGGGTATGCCTACAACTCTGGCAATAAGGCAAGGTAGGTAGTGGAGTCAAAATGTAATTGGTAGATATTGATCTCACGTGACAACAACTAATGCAACTTGACAATTCGGGAGAAAGACCTAGGAAGGGTCACCCTACAAAGATAGCAAAGGGTGTCGTTGCAACTTGAAATTCAATGGTAGCAGATATACACGAAATAACAAATACACTGTGTTCCATTCATTTATTGACAATTGTTCATGTTGAGGGGGTTTCGGACAACCATTGAGCCCGGCTGAGTTTATTTACACACAACTCTCAAAGGACGTCAAAAGCTAAGATCTCATGCCAGAGTTCCAAGGCAAGAGAGTGTACTGTAGCCAGTAAACACTCTTGACTGCTTGCGATATACCTCGCTAAGGCACTGTTGTAGGCATAAAATACTACCATGGGGCCAGCCCGACGTACCAACCTTCTGTACATATACATATCCAACAACTGTGCCGCAATTTCTTATTATTGTCGGAATGATCGCGCCTGGAGGGAATGCACATTCTCAAAATTCTAGAAGGCAGAGACTTTTGGCATTCCCTGCCTGCTGACTGCAGGTCTGCCAATCGTATATCTCAGTGCTTGGTTTCCCTGTGCTCGGTACCACCAATGACACCAGCGGGCTTCTCTTTGCTATGCAGGCTGCCACTTTCCAGATCTGCTGGCACAATTCCGTGGCCTGCAGCAACCGGTGGACCATTCTCGCCCCAGCCATGCTTTGAAACTTGAACACTGTGCTTAACCGCATGCTTCCCGTAGAACAGATAATCGATCTCCTCAAGCGTGAGGTTCGATGTCTCGGGAAAACAGAAATACTACCGGATGATTAGTGTCCACATTGAAACTCCAATCAGGCAGAAGACTCACAACGAAAGGAACGAATAAAAAGTTAAGGATCATGAAGATCAAGTATCCCTTCCATTGCAAATTGTTGATGAGGGAGGGAGTGATCATGACAACACAGAAATTCCAGATCCAGTTAGCAGAGATACCAACAGCAGTTCCCTTTGCTCGAACATGCAGGGGGAGAATTTCTGGAACATAGCTGGGACGAATGGTCAGTTGTTCTGTCTCTTTAGCCGCCGGAAAATGAGTACTTACACCCAAGGGATACAATTAGCAGTAGCGCCGAATATCAACATGTACTACGCGTACCATCAGTATCATAGACATTGAAGGATTCAACGGGATACAATACACTTACGGTGAAGAAGAATGCAACACTGGCCGATGAAGTCGCTTTGGCCAACGCCTCTGACTTGCCTTGAAAGCTGAGAAGAATAGCAATCATCATCATGGATATTCCCAAGCCGAAGGATCCCCACATCATTGGCTTCCTTCTTCCTATGCGATCGAGAAAGAAGGTTGGGTAGAGGCTGCCGATGAAAAACATCATGTTGATCACCCCACCGAGCAGCAGTGAAAGGTTACGTGATAACCCAACGTTTATCTGGAGAACTGAGGTTATATAATATACGACCAGATTTATTCCGCCCATTTGATTCATAAATTGCATAAAATATGCCAGTAAAACGCGTCGTCCAGTCTGCACTTCATCGCGCTTCAGGAGCTGGGACCATCTGTATTCGCCATGTTCTTGCTCAACCTTCAAGGCCTCCAGGACATCCTTATTTTCCTTGGCAATCTTTGGAGTATCCGGTGTACCATCGTATACATCGCAGAGAATCTTAAGTGCGGCTTCGTTCTGTCCATGCTTGTACAAATATCGAGGAGACTCGGGGAGACCTGGCACCATGGCAATGACGAGGAAAGCGAAGAGGATCTGACAGGCGATTGGAAGCCTCCAGGCAATCTGTCCTCCAGCAAAACTCATGCCGTAGTCGAACCAGTATGCGATTACAATTCCGACACCGACGAAAAGAGGTTCCGACGAGACCAATCGGCCTCGCCTCGAGGCCTCGCACAGCTCTGATTGATACATAGGCACGGTAGAGGTCTCAATACCAGTCCCGATGCCCGTAATAAAGCGAGCGACCATTATATGAGGAACACTGTATGCGGAAGTCTGAAGGACGGCCCCAACCTAATTGTATCGTGAGTCAGGACTCAAGGCAGAATGCATTGGTTACTTACGATAATCCAGATCATGGCAGTCAACATCGCCAGTCTCCGGCCGGTCAATTCGCAGATCATGAAATTGATGACGCAACCAGTGAAACAACCTAAATTGTAGATACTAACGATGATGCCTTCCAGGCCAGGAGACGGGTGATTGAAGGTGTTCAAGAAATCCTCGTTACCAACAATTCCACTGAAAACGCCCTGATCATAACCAAAAAGTACGAAGGCCAATTGACAAGCGATGGTAATTGCCCATCGTAATGGGCGACCACGCCCATAGACGTTGAATTGTGGAAGTTTAGTGCCCCACATCTTTTTCGTATCTCAACGCAAACGAAATTGACAGGAAAGTGTTGCGATGAGGGTGAGGGGAACATAATCGCAATGGACTACCGCATCGACGTATATGTACTATCCACAGTGAACCGCACCATACCCCAGGACCTAGAGACTAGTTCCCAGACCCACAGCCACGTTTCCCGGTAATTGAGGGGGGCCAGAACCATATTGCACATCACCTCATGATGTTCAATAGCCAAGGTTACTATGAGGCCATGGTTCGGTGGGTATTTTTCCTTGTTTCGTTGAATTGGTACGCTTTGTGACAATCTTGGACACTAGATTTTGCGTCTAAGGGAACGGAACTATACCGAGGCAACCTTCAAGGCTCAAGCTTTCGACAAGGGTAGTAGCATTTCATCATCGAACATGCTGTTGAACAGGAAAAGACGCAAGACGTTTAATGGATACGCAGTAAGTACTCCATATACGGTTGACAATATTTGACATTCCAACCCTGGCTTTTTTGCCCGTCCTACAGCATTATTTATTGAGGTAGAAGGTGTCATTCGCTGTATAGTAGGAGAGAATCTCTCAAAACGACACGCTCGAATGATGATGTCAGACTCTGGCGCCCATTCCCGTCCGGAAACAAAGACCTCATAAACTTGGCGGGGAATTCATTCGAGTCATGGGTCTGTGGGGCGAGAAAGCGGATAAGGAACAACGACACCTCATTGGACCACGAGTTTGTCAAGCCATCGATCCCTTTGCCCCGGAATACCCACTTGGGTAAATCTGGGGTTCTCGTTTGGACTCCATAGTCGTTTGGCGTCGTACTCGGTGGGGACGCCTAATAAACTTCCTTGCTGTACAGGCTCGGTGTACGAAGCCGATGTAACGAGCTGGTACACATTGTGCAAGCCTCCCGCAAGCCCTCCGCATCGTCAAGCATTTCGATTTCCCACTAAGCATATATAACAAGTGGAAAGCTCATATGGCAGTACAACACACCGAGGGAATTCTGCAGTTTCACAGAGGTGAACAAACCTGTGAAAGACAGCATTGCGCCTAATAAGACGTGTTATGAACAACGATATGACCCCCTCGAGGTTCTACCATGGAAGTAGTATGCTCGTCGTTTATTATAAAATCTATGCTTCTGTATGCAAAAGCATTACTGTCATACAGAGTCTATTGGCCAAATCTGTAAACAGCTGGGAGGATCTCAGGATCTCGCCATTCCTCGGGATATCTGGTGCCTATAGATACTCATTTTGGAAAGCCGATCAAAAAAGCCATTGTGCTGTTGCGACACGATAATCACGCAGTAATCCTTGCAATGGCATTCTAACGTTCTTCGTAAAAGCTGGCTGCCTTCCAAGTCTGAGCAGATACTGTTCCATGCATGGAAAGTGGTAGCAACTTCCACCAATCACACATTTTGTTGACGTCGGGTTTAAACCCCCTGGTGCACATCATCCCACCGAGAAACAATTTAATATTCCGAAGTATTCAACATTATTTCGAATCCAAGTACAGAGGGTTGACATGTAGGGATGGCCCGGCCCCTTGCTAGTATTTCATGCCCACAACAGTACAATCGCAAGATTTTATTGCGAGGAACTAAGACCATTTACTGCCTACAGTACACTCTTTATTGATGTATAGAAGATCACGAAGATAGCAGGTGGCCTGCCCGACGTGCCAACCATCTGTAGTTACTTGGTAGAGAACAACAACTTGTACGTGGGATGAAGACCGCTTCACAACTCAACAAACTCGCCTCGACCAACGTTCCCATCCTTCCAATCGCCCAAAAACGTTCTAACTCTAGTTGCCATTTTGGTAATTTCAAAGCCAAAATGATCATAAATGTACTTTCCAGGCAAAGAGTGACCATACCCCTTCATATTGATGCCAGCATCTGCGTATCTTTCCCATCCTAGACTCATATATGGTTCGATGACAATAGCTGGGACACCCTCGTTTCTTCTCAACACCCTTCTTTGGTATTCAAGTGATTGCTCACGGAACAGCCTGTGTGACGGAAACGAGACAATTCGGGCCATGATAGAATGTTTCTCAAGCTCGTCTTTCACTTTTACCGCAAAGCTGAGTTCCGCACCGACGGAAATGAGAGTAACGTCGGCATCCTTCTCCTCCTGCAGAACATATGCTCCTTTCAACACTCCAGAACGCTTGGTCAAGCCTTGGAGCTGAGGAATTGCGTGTCGTGATACGCTAATCATGGACGGTCCGCCTTGGTATTCGATAGCAGCCTTCCATGCGCCAGCAACTTCCTCGCTGTCACCTGGACGGATATATTCCTGATAAAATTAGCAACTACTCGCTTCTCATATAACCAGGTCGTACCATATTTGGCATTGCGCGATACAACGCCGCTAATTCAACGGGTTGATGGGTGGGTCCATCTTCTCCAGCGCCAATGGAATCGTGCGTGGCAATGTGTATAACCTTCAATTTCTGAAGAGCACCCATCCGCACTGCAGGCGCAGCGTAGAGATAAAACATGAAAAATGACGAAGTAATGGGAATGATCGTTCCAGGGGAAAACGCAGCAAGTCCATTGGCGATAGCAGCCATTACATGCTCACGAATACCGTAATGGATGTAGCGTCCTTTGTAAGATCCCTGTTTCCCTGACATAGGTTTTAGGGATGGTGGATTGAAAATCTCATAATCCTTGTATGTCAAGTTGACGGATGGTGTCAAATCTGCAGTACCGACCATGAATGTAGGAATTTCTGCTAGTAATCTGGCAACTGTGAGATTATTGGATTTTCTCGAAGGTGTCGGATCACTAGGATAGCTCGTCGGAATCAATGACTCCCAGTTGTCTGGCAGCTTTCCGGCCATTCGATCTTTCAAAGTTTTCGCAAGCTCAGGATGTTCCTTGCTATAGGCCGTAACAAGGTGTTTCCATTCCTGAACAAGCTTCTCACCTCGTTGAGGTAGATCGGCGTAGAAATCCTTCACCTTTCCAGGGATAATGAACTTCTCTTCCTCGTTCCATCCATAAGCCTTCTTCATTGCCTTTACATTATCCTCACCAAGGGGAACACCGTGTGCCACTGCCTGACCGGCGACTGCGCTCCCAACACCAATAATGGTTCTGATGTTGATGAAGAGGGGTCTATCTCGCTCTGGAGCTCTCCCCTGTTCTAAAGCAGCAACTATTGCTTCGACATCATTAACTCCATCATGTATATTGATGATCTCCCAGCCGCAGGCCTCCATTTTCTTATTGACATCTTCGGTGTTGGTAAGGTCCACGCTTCCATCGCAACTAATTTGGTTATTGTCGTAAATAACAGTCAGATTTCCAAGCTTCAAATGGCCAGCATAGCTGAATGCCTCGCAGCCAACACCTTCCTGCATACAAGCATCTCCAACCATACACCACGTGTGATTATTTACCACCTCGTACCCAGGCCGATTGAACGTAGCAGAAAGGTGCTTGCTGGCGATTGCTAGCCCCACTGCATTCGCTATGCCCTGACCAAGCGGCCCTGTGGTGAGCTCGATACCTTCATGCTCAATCTCAGGGTGCCCAGGGCAGAGACTATCGGGGCGCTCGGAATGATATGACAGTAGTTGCTCCCACGTCATCGCTTTATAACCTGACAAGTAAAGGTTTGCATATTGGAACAAGCATGCATGTCCATTCGACAGAAGGAAGCGATCGCGGTTGAACCAGTCAGGCTGATGAGGCGCATATCTCATCACATATTTCCATAGCGCTACACCTATCGCTGCCATTCCAATGGCAGAGCCGGGATGCCCTACGCATCGTCAGTTTGACAAGAAGGTAAGTATCAACTTAGGCTGCTTTACATACCCATGCCGAACTGCTGGCAGAGATCTGCAATAAGCAGTCTGAAACTCTGCAATACTAATTGTATATCATCTTTGTTCGTTTGCGCCGGAACAGTTGGCTTTTCTTCTTTCGCGAGGAGGCCATTGACAGTAGCCTCGCCATATGCTGTTGTCCCATCGATATTTGGCATATTGTCTCACTGTGGTACCTCAAAGAGGCCGAGATGTCACGATGCAATGGTTCGAACTTGATTGCATTCTAATCCAAATGTATATTTGCACTCATGGAGTTGTATCGCAGATATTACGTCAGAATAACAATTCATCATCGGGTTGCCAGATCGGGGTGATCGTCATGGTGTACAATAATCTGGAGTTCACTATTGAGGACGATTTGTTGATCTGCCATTCAGGGTCCAGCAAGTCCTCCACAAATGCGGGGTAAGAGCGTAATGGAATTCTTCCGTGAGACTTCTATGGCTTTGTCTTGTTGCCAATCATTTTCGATGTGCTCGAAGCAGTAATCGCAACCACTTCCAATTAGAATACGTCGCGGGGAGACCGTCGATGTCGCTATAGATCGTATTGTTAGGAAACCCGCAGGTTGTTGATGCAAGGGGGATTCGTATGTTCTACGGCTCCATCAAGGTTGTCGAATTACTCGTAGCATTACTCGTGGTGCAATCTCGAAGCTTTGTTATATCTTCGAAAATTGCCTGTAGCACTTTCAGTTCGGAAATTGATTCATGGACTATCTCTAAATATCTACAACCTGTTGCTTTGTTTTTGTCCTTCAATACGCACAATCTCGGGCAAAGTTTCCTCCAGAGAAGGCCGTGACGGTTTCCAATGAAGCAATGACCTTGCACGAGACGACCCAAGAACCGCGTTAGTGCCCCATAGAATGGAGGCATGCCCCGAGAGCGCGTCGACCCCTTGTGCGTCAAGTACCTTCTTGACTGAACCTTCAGGGATGAGATCTTGCTTCTTGGCTTCAGCCGCGATCTTTTCAGAAAGTTCACCAAACGTCTGCCAAAACGTTAGTTTTTTTACTTCACATGAGATGAAGATAAGCAGGCTTACCAAACTTCCGTTTTCTGGAGTGTAAATTCCCTCATCATTCCACAGGCCGGGTTTAGTCTCCGCCGCAGCGTCAACAAGGGAAGCGAAAAGATCGGAAAGATCATGTACATGGATATAGCTCCAGCTGTTCTTTCCTTCATTCAGACGGAACCCTTCTTTCAATTGCAGTGTGACGCGCGCAATTTCGGGCGCTTGAACAGATCGCTGATTGCCCGGCCCTCGCCCTTTTCCATAGATATGGGGTCCAACAATGAGGGCCGTCTTGACCTTGGACGAATCTTGCCCGGCAACGAGATTGTCGACATCTCGAGACGGATTGTTCTTGATAGTAGATAATATCTCTTTAATATCTCTGATATCGTCGTATACCTTGTCAGACTCAAATCCAAACCTAGCATTCTTGATCTCGTCGATGGCGAGCAGAGTGGCACCCGAAATCTGAATCCAGTAACCTGGCTTACTCCGTGCAGGATCTGTCAAGCCCCTTTGGATGGCCTTGGAGCTGGCAATGTGCTTCGTGGAGGCTAGGTGGAGGACAATGTCCGCATTGCGGGCCTCCTTTTCGACCAGCTGGCTATCATCAAGATCTCCTTGAACAACCTTGACGCTGGGATATTGACTCGAAATTTGTTGGGCCTTATCTGCGTTCCGGACCAGGGCGGAAATGGCGTACTTTGACGCAGCAGACGAAGCAAAACGATGAAGAAAGTCACCACCAACGAAGCCTGTTGCACCAGTCCTTCAATAACGTAAGCAAATACAACCCACAGGAGACTCAGAAAGATCAATTGAGCTTACAAGAAGACCTTTGCCATTGTGACTGTTCGACTATCTCGTAGGAATCGAAAACTGAGCGACACGTGACAGTTGCGAACGTCCTCTAGCGACGTTACTGGATGGATGAAAGGTTGCGATTCTCTTCGGGTTTGGCAGCTTTCACCTTTTGCAGGTTTATAGGTGTGTAGTTTGAATGCTTTGATTTCAAATCCACTTACATGTGTTTTGGACTAAAATGTTGTAATAAGTTTGCCATGTCGACAGAAAGGCGTGCTAGGGATGGTGAACGGAGTGCGTAACCAATCAACGGCGCCTCGGAATGACTTGCTTTCAAAGCAACCCCCGCACCGAAGATTCCATCACGTACGTCCCGCAGAACCTCCCATACTAGACGAGCTTTGGGCAACCTCTTCCGGAGCGTTTGTCAAATAATGTTCTTGAAAGTTCCAGTTCGGAATGAATCATTTATTCGATAAATTTCACGATTTCGCTCAGTCATTCCGATCACATGAACTCCGACCTTCTGCAAGGATTCTCCAATGCCTGGAGCCGCTCGGGGACCACAGGAGAAGCGCGCTGGTCGTCGCAAACACTCCTTTGGTGGCTGTCGGACGTGCCGGAGGCGCCATGTTAAGTGCGATCAAGTGAGGCCATCTTGTTTGGCATGCAGAGCAGTCAATGCTGTGTGCGAGGGCTATTCGTCTGACGTGCGATGGATGCCACCGGCCACACTGTCATCGGCCACCAGTGGGCAATTAGAATGCGATGATTCGAGTAAAAATACCACTCGACATCATCTGTATTCAGGCACGTCACATAATCCTAGTACATGCCATGAGCCAGGCTGACAAAGTTCCATAGAAGCGACAAGAAAGTCAATGAGCAAGGCTTTGGTAGCCAAGTTAGGATCCCACTCTGTAGACGAATCCCTCGCTGAGATTGAAACCAAAACCAAGGATGCCGAAGGTGTTAATGGAGGAGATGTTTCTGTTGGGCCCTTCGGTATACTCAATTTCGAGTGCCCAGTGCCTCATGCGCATCTAGCAATTCCTATCGCTGCCCCAGAACATCCTAGAATCGATGTTTCGGATATGATGCAAATTGATGCGCCGAACGATAATACAACTCCAGTCAGCCTTGAGGGCATTGCCGACCAGCAAAGGCCTATACCTACTATCATCGATTGGTTTGACCCCGTTCTTGGATATGACAGCTCCTTGCATTGGGCGGATCTGCTATCACTTGACTTTGATACAGCTAATAGCTTGTTGCAACCCACCACACAAAATCCACTCGACTTCTTCTCCTTTGACAATCTCTCGCAATCGACGCCGCTTGAGCCCATTTCGGAGTATCCATCTCTCAATACAGGTCAATTGGGAAGCCCGCCCCCGTTAGAAGCTGGGGCCCTCCACGAAAGCCAACGGCCACATACTACAGTTCAGGTGGATCGTACTGTAACCAAGCTGGAAGAAGTAAAGTCCGTCGAGGAGGCACAATTCCTGCTGAGGCATTTCAATGTCCATGTTATTTCCCAGATGTCCTTTATACCCCAACAACCCAAGTCTCCTTGGAAAACCATGCAACTACCAGAAGCCATGCATACACTGGCAGATCTTTCTTATCTTCATTCCGGTACAACAAATCATGCCAATGCATCAAATCTCTACGCGCTCCTAGCTTGCGCGACGTACCATCTGCAGAAGAATGCTTCAATATATAGTGCAGAACCAGAATCTTACTGGCAGCATCTTTTCACTCGATTAAAGGAAAGGGCCAAAAGGCACCTGCAGATTTCTCTGCGCGATGAGTCGCGCGGCAACAGCAAGGCCAAATACAAGGAGCAACTAATGGCCATTCTTAGTATGCTGGCCGTGACGGTAAGTATGTTCTCCCCCAGCAGACAAAGCATTCTCACTGATTAATGCATCTCAGAGCCTGACGGGGAGGTTCAAAGATGCTCGATGTTACTCAATAGATGCAGAGCGCCTGCTCCGTGTAAGAGGACTCGCAAAACGTGAAATATCTCGAAGGTGTCGCATTCTTCACCACGTATATAGTTGGATTCGTATAGTGGGGGAGAGCACATATGTTCTCCACGACTACAAATCATACAGTCCCATTGTCGACAATATGAGCGCTGCTTACAGAGCTGGTGGTGGTCGAGACATAACCGACATCCAACGAGCCTCTGCAAGCTCTAGGTCTGGACACAATGCGCGACTAGATGATTTCCTACGTTTAGAACCACACTCGTCAGACAGTGATCTTGATATCGAAGACACTAAGGAGCACGAGCCCGCACTCTATGACATCCACCTCGAGGATTCACGGCAGTTCAGTGGGACACTGTATAAGATCTATGGCATTTCCGAGACCTGGCTGAGTCTCGTATCACAAACGACGCGCTTAGCAAACATCATCGACGCAGCGAGTTATAGCAAAGAAACGGATATCAAGTTCCAGGACTTCCTGCAGAAGAGGGCCACGCGACTCGAGCACATTATCTGCTCTTTCGCCCTCAAAGATCCGCCGAGCGAGGACGAAGACGACGAGGTGGTTCAGCAGCCAAACCACTACATGCTTCGTGCCCTCAACTCTGCTCTCGTCATTTTGTTCTATCGTCGTGTGCGCAATGTAAATCCATTGATATTGCAAGGACATGTTGACTCGGTCGTCCAATCTCTTCGGGATTTCGACGCAGGTATGGCTTCGCAAGGCATACTGGGGCCTGGGTCACCCTGGCCTGCATTTATCGCGGGATGCGAGGCACTCTCGCGACGAAACAGGAAATTTTTGAGGCAGTGGGTTGAAAAAGGTGCGCAGAAGTGTGGATTCGAATACTTCAACATGGCACAACAAATCATGCAAGAGGTCTGGGATCGACAAGATGAACCGCCAATGGCTACTGATCCTGGCTCTGGAGGGTCGTTGAGGACAGAGGCTTCTGTAACAAGACATCACACTTGGGTGGATGTTTCAAAGGAGAAAAGTATTTGGGTTACATTGTTTTAATGTAGTATATTCTATGTAACTAAGTATTCCACATACCCCAGAGCGAATAATAAGATTTCAACAAAGTCACCTCAGACTTTAATTGCACTTGTATCATGAATCAAATCACTCCGGAAATCATTGATCATCTAGACTACTAACGGCCTACCAGATAGCATTCCATTCTTTAAGCTACGTGATCACGCCGAATAAACCTTCGGGTTCGCTATTGCCTAAATTTCGTAGCAACGAATACTGGAAGATCCATTGATGTATCCGTATCTAAACACGCGGGCCATAGATACGATGATGAAGGCACCGGAGGCAATTGCACAGTTTGGCAAATCAATCCTCTTGGTTTAATGATTCGGTATAATTTCGACATGCTAAAGACTTGCTAAAGATGAACATCGCTATATGCTATTTACATTCACAATCTCGCCAAAATGCCTGAGTTCTCCAATCTTCGCACATGCTCGCGGGTGATATCGGAAATAGTTCTGCATCTACATAGTATGTTAGTCCAAAATCCTAGATGAAATGTACGACGAATAGTGACCAACATACCCGGCAAGAGCCATCGTGACCTGGAGTTCGTGCTGGAGAATCTTTAGCGCCAACTCAACTCCAGCTTGTCCCTTGTACTACGAATTTGTTAGCTACGGGAGGTCTGATCGAATGTCTTGCAAATACTTACAGCAAGCCCCCATATTGCTATCCTGCCCATGAAGCAATAACTAGCACCCAAAGCCAGAGCCTTGAAAACGTCGGAACCCCTTCGGATTCCTCCATCGATTGCAAGGGGGATTCTTCCCTGGGCTGCTTTCGCGCATTCCTCCAGGACATCAAGTGTCGCCGGCACCCCGTCGAGCTGTCGACCACCGTGGTTGGAGATGACGATGCCGTCTACGCCTTGAGCAATGGCTAGCTCCACGTCCAATGGGCTGATGACTGAGCTTTGTGTCAGTTGCTTTATACCGGCATATGAGGTCTGAGATACTAACCTCCCTTTAACCAGATTTGCATCTTGGTATTTTTCCGTAGCCAGGGGATGACTTCTTCCCACTCCAAGCTGTCATCTACCTGGATTAGTCGAATGGTTGCCAGTGGGAAGTCAAACTACTTACCGAAAGCTTTTGGTCCATTGGCCTTCTCTTCCTCTGACGTGTTGAATTCTTGTCCGCCCTCAGATAAGATATTTGGGAATGTCATATTCTCGGGCAACGCAAACTCGTTCCGCATCTCGTTCAATCTTCGTCCAAGAGCAGGCACATCGACCGAGAGAAAAAGAGACTTGTATCCAGCCGCTGTGTTGATTTTAGTGAATGGAATCTTTGAGGGTGTACATTAATAGTGGTCATACCCTCTGCACGCTTAAGTAATTGGAAAGTTATGTTGCGGTCTTTGACAACACACATCTGCATCATGTATGGGTTTCCAGACGATTGCTGGATAACATCCTCGAGCGAGGTCGTCGCGTACGAGGATAGGCACATAGGGATTCCAAATTTGGCGGCTGCTCGAGATGTTCCGATTTCGCCATCCGGATGTGCCATACACTGCATTGCACTAGGGCTAAAACCAAGAGGAAGTGCGATCTTTGATTGTCAGCGAACCAAGCAACGACATTGGTAATTGGATCAGGAGAAGTACTTTTACGCCACAAATCGTAGTCGACGTGTCTAGGTTTGAAACATTTCTTAACACTCGCGGGATTATTCGATATCGGTCATAGGCAGCTTCGTTATCTCTCAAACTGTATTTTGTGAGTATGGCTAGTTCTGAGCACATAATTTGAGTGCATTGAAGCCCACCTCAGCATGTCCATGGCACCATGATTGTAATACTCTGCGCAGGTTCAATAAAATGAGCCACTAGTAGTTTTGTCCGACCTACCCTCATAAAGCTTTGGCAGTTTCCGACTGCCATGCTCCTTCAAATCTCTGATAGAGAACACATGAGGATCCAAAGTGGGTGCTCGGTTGGCCATTGCGACAGGAGACAAAAGGGTTGCAACGAAAATGCGTTCACACAAGAAAATCAATGAGGAAGACAATAGACAATATTAATATTAATAGCTCTGAAGCCTGGGAGCTTGGGTACGATGCGCCGAAGCTTATCACGCAACAGAGTCAAGCAGCCAGTAAGCGGGGTTTCCTATCAAGGAATGCCTCGGAATCAACTATTGTTCAATTACATGTAGACAGAACCAAAATTCACTCTCGGATAGGTTTCCGAGAGTCTGAAGATGGTAAAAATACACGGAGCAAGTCTACCTCAAGGTGAATTGCTGGTGGCGTTGGGGACCAGCTGGCACGCGTCTCGGAATCACTTGCGCTTTGTACATCCATCAACACTACACCTAAAATCTGGTCATCACATCAATTGTCTAAACCTGGGGAAGTCACGTCCGAAAACTTATGCAATCGTGTTGATTTCTTTCTCAAATCGGTGACATTCTTCGGACCGTCAATATCCCCACGTTTCGGAGTTGTCAAGTGCCACTCGTGTTGAGGATAGAGTACTAAAACGTCAGTCGATGCAGGGTCTATAAGATTATCGTGTTTCCAATAATCCATAAGTATAAGTTGAACTTATATTTCTCAAGCCATCTGGTCATTCATATTGCAACCATCCAATATTTGTATCATTTAAGTTCTACTTTGAAAAAGTCCCCAACCCCACACATAACATAAGTCACAATGGGCAGCGCAGCGACACCACAAGAGCTCACCGGCATACTCGTCGCGCTCGTCACACCTTTCGCTGAAGATGGATCGATATCCGAAGAACGACTCGGCTCTCACATCAACCGCCTCATCGACGCAGGCGTTCACGGTCTGGTTCCTGGCGGCACAACTGCTGAGTTCACAGCATTGAGCCCCGCCGAGCGCAAGCAGAACCTCGAGCTTGTCATCAAGTATGCCAAAGGCCGCGTGCCAGTGGTAGCTGGCATTGGTGCTTTGTATACTTCGGAGGCTGAGGACTATGCCGTCCATGCGGCAAAAGCTGGCGCTGCTGCGATCATGGCCTTGCCGCCCTTCTACGATGCTCCAAACTTGGACCAATTGAAGGAATTCATGGGAGCTATCCACAAAGCTGCTAACCTGCCCATCGTGTACTATAACATTCCCTCGGCGACTGGTGTCAATCTTACACCAGCTGAGCTCGCCAGCCTGAGCGACTACGGCGTCACATACCTCAAGGACACCTCTGGCAACGCACCAGCATTCACAGAGCTTCTCTTCGGACACGCCGATAAGATCACCGCATTCAATGGCTGGGATACTCTCACGTTCTACGGAATCGCTGCAGGAGCCAAGGGTGGCGTATGGGGAGCAGCCAACGTCATTCCCGACCTGGCAGTCGAGCTATGGAACACCGTTGCCGTGAAGAAGGACTTGGTGAAGGGCAGAGAGCTATGGGAGAAGATCTGGCCGATCTGTGCATTCTTGGAGGAGTTCAATTACCCAAGTGCCGTCAAGACTGCTTTGGAGCTGCAAGGCATTCAAACTGGTGGGTTGAGGAAACCATTTGCTTTGCTCAAAGGCGAGCCTAGGACACGACTGGTTGGCTTGCTGAACTCGGCGGGATTGAAGACCGTAGAATAGATGTTACGAGATATGAAAAACGTATATGATATGAGATTATTGAATTGGAATTTAATTAAAATTCTTTACAGCTTAATTGCAATTTGAGATGTATCATGAAGAAACCATACTGTGTAGGGGATTGATACATACCCCGCCATACGACGTAAAAAAGGATGCACATCACAAACCATACCCCACCAGAGCATGTGACTACGTGTTTGAATGCCGACAAGACCAAAAGAATTGGCCCGGGAACGGCGTGTTGACTCGGTACGTAAGACCCCGTCGTATCCAGTATGTGAACAGAGAATCCGACACAAGGCGGCTTAACACGGTCGACAGACGATTATGATCGGAACGACATTCCTTTTCAAGATTGGGGCAAAGATAACAGCGATGAGCACCACACGTGACATACTAGGTAGTTCGGAACTTCTGCGGACTTTACAAGCTCTGATTGGTCGAAATTTGAGGCCCTCAAAGTTGCCTATTTCGGCCTATCGTCTCAAGCAATACGAGACGAACAAGCGTGTACTGTGTACAGGTGCTCGAATGCGTCCCCGCATTGCCACGGCTTTACTCGCCCATATCGAACGCGTTACGTAGCACGGCATTGAGCAATGCCATTTCAAAGCAGACGGATCGCCTCGCCGGTATCGTCCTCGCTCGGAAGCTTCCTCTCCTTATCTAATAAATCTCCCATCCCGCTCCGCAGATCCCTCCGTCCTCGAAATTCCCCATCCTTTCCTCTACGCATTGTAACTACACGCAACATGTCTGGCCTCACAGTAGAACTACAAGCTCCCAATGGGCGCAAATGGGCACAACCGACCGGTCTGTTCATCAACAATGAATTCGTTCCCTCCAGCACCGGAAAGACGATCGAGTCAATAGATCCCGCGTAAGTAGCTCAACTCCCCAGAAATCAACTTCGTGGCCCAACACCCAATCAACCGCACAACCTAACAACCCTCCCAGCACCGAGCAAACAATCGCCTCAGTGCACGCAGCGAGCGCTTCAGACATCGACGCCGCCGTGAAAGCCGCCCGCGCAGCACTCAAGCACCCATCATGGAAGCAGCTCCCGGGAACCGACCGGGGCATCCTCATGGCCAAGTTCGCAGACCTGATCGAGCAGAACAAGGAGACGCTCGCGACCATTGACGCCTGGGACAACGGCAAGCCGTACAGCGTGGCGCTGACCGAGGACCTGCCCGAGACCATCAACACCATCCGGTACTACAGCGGGTGGTGCGACAAGATCCACGGCCAGACGATCCCGACGTCGCCCCAGAAATTCGCGTACACGCTCCGCCAGCCCATCGGCGTCGTCGGCCAGATCATCCCCTGGAATTACCCTCTCGCTATGGCGGCGTGGAAACTGGGTCCCGTGCTGGCGTGCGGCAACACGGTCGTGCTGAAGTCGGCAGAGCAAACGCCCCTCAGCATCTTGAAGCTGGGAGAGCTGGTCAAGGAAGCTGGGTTCCCGCCGGGCGTTATCAACTTCGTCAATGGTGAGGGAAGGGAGGCAGGGGCGGCGTTGGTCCAGCACGCTGACGTCGACAAAGTCGCCTTCACGGGGTCGACAGGGACCGCGCGGGAGATCATGAAGATGGCAGCCACGACATTAAAGAACATCACGCTTGAGACGGGCGGCAAGAGCCCGCTCCTCGTCTTCGACGACTGCGACCTCGAGCAAGCAGTGAGGTGGAGCCACATGGGAATCATGTCGAACCAAGGGCAGATCTGCACCGCGACGTCACGCATCCTCGTCCAGAAAACCATCTACGAGCGCTTCATCGAAGCCTTCAAGCAGCAGGTCAAGGACGTCTCCAAGGTCGGCGACCAGTGGGACGAGGCGACGTACCAGGGCCCGCAGGTCACGAAGGCACAGTACGACCGCATCTTGTCGTACATCGAGACGGGACGCTCCGAGGGCGCCACAGTTCTATGCGGAGGCCAGAAACATGGCGACAAGGGGTTCTTCATCCAGCCGACCGTCTTCACGGACGTAAAGGACTCTATGCGCATCTACCAGGAGGAGATCTTCGGCCCCGTCGTCACGATATCGACCTTCGAGACTGAGGATGAGGCTGTCGAGCGCGCGAACAACACTACCTACGGCCTCGGCGCGTCGGTCTTCACGAAGGACCTCGAGCGTGCTCATAGGGTCGCGTCAGAGATCGAGAGCGGAATGGTCTGGGTCAACAGCAGCCAGGACTGCGACTACAGAATTCCGTTCGGCGGCGTCAAGCAGAGCGGTATTGGCCGTGAGCTCGGCGAGGCGGGACTGGAGGCTTACTCGCAGACGAAGGCTGTCCATGTCAATATGGGCACCAAGTTGTAGATATAGATTATGAAAAGCTAATGACAAAAATTTGAAAATGCCTCCCTGTAACCAAGTACATTGTTTGACGTTGATGTCAAGAATTCAGTCCACTTACAAGTGAACCGGACAGACGATCTATCATTCCAGCGGTTAGCTCACCAAACCAGTAAAATTTCACAACCCAGGGAGACTTTCCCGATTTTCCTAATATAGTAGGCGCCTGTGGTACGAGGTCATCAAGAGATATGCAGGTCGGACGAGAGGACTGGAACAGCATGATCATTGTTAACGTAAAAGTGGTTCGCTGCAATTTAAAGCTGTAGTGATGACTTTTCTGGGTTGTGATCGGGATTAGGATGAGGGAGTTGGGGCTGTGATAGGGAGTGAGGCATATCCCTGATGGCACAGGCGAAAAGATGTACCTGTTTACAGAACGATCACTGGCATATGAGGCACTAGATGAAGAGAAGGTAAAGCCGTGGATATCATTGTGAATGGTAATGTGCAAAGTGAGCCATGTACCTGGAGAAGGGAAAACATGAAGAATAATCGCTGAACCAGATTGATCTCCGGTTCTGTGAACGATCGAAAGGTAAGAGTGGGCGCCTCGCTGTGGTTGACGCCGCCCATATGCATCCTTGCAACAGAAGACAAGAAAGGATCATGAAGACATATCAACATGCAGGAAGAAACGCCGGTACACCTCGTTGGAGTCTGAAATATGAGAAATGAAATCAGGAGTGGTAACAATAAAAAGATGCACCATTTTAGAACATACTCCACAACTTCCTACCGATCCAGCGCATTCTTGTACCACTGCAACGGCCCAAACCAGGCACCGTTGGATTACAAATTTCCTATAACTACCATGAACCTCAATTTTCCGCCTCCGCTCCTCCTTCTCTCGGCAAGAACTTCGCTACTCAGGGGGTCCTCATCTTTCCCATTAGCATGGAGTGCAACCTCATCCAGCATCAGAGTGCTGCTCTTCCAGCCCCAGCTCTGGCTGAAATTGAATCGGTCGGGCGCGCTCTCGTAGATGCTCAACATGCGTCCCCCTTTGCTGGGACTGTAGATCTTGAAATATGTCTTGATGGTAGGACGTGCATCGACGTAACTGGGAAGAGTAGAAGAAAGGTTGCGAGACTTCCTGGGCATGTGAAGGAAAGTAGGGTTTGGATAAGCGGACATTTCCTCGTCATCTGAGGAAAGGCTATAGGCATCATCGTCTGATGGAGTATCAAGGGTCGATGGATACATCTCCCCATCGGCTGCAGCCGAAACAGCGTCCTCGCCGGGCTGGAACGGTGATGATAATGATCTTGACACATGTGCCAGCGGAAGGAGCCCTCGTCGGCGTCCCATGGTCGTGCTAGATGCGAACAACGGGTTTCGAGAACCAGTTGATGTCAGGTTATCGGGGTCACCACCGCTACCGCTTGTATCATCGTCCGCGTTAGGATCGGGAGGAGGCAGCGCCCGAGTATCCCGTCGTCGGTCGCGGCGTTCGCTGCGGACAAGCAATTCGCGTTCCAGTTGACCAATTCGCTCGTCTACGGAAGCTGCGTTCTGCTGGCTCAAACCAGAAGAGTGTTCCTCACCCTCTCGCTCCTTGGCACGATGCAAATAGACCCCAAGTTGGACGTTCTTGGCCGAGCGAACCTTTTGTATGTATATGTTCCAGAGGGAGCCTGCGTAAGAGACGGTACGTGAATAGACTCGTTTCTTTTCCTTCAGGAAGCGCGGATTGGGGAACTCGGCCGAGAATCGGAAGGGAGGAAATTCGGTGTAGGCGATGGGGTTCGGCTGGCCAGCATTACTTCCTCCCGCTGATATCGGCCTTGCCGGGTGGTCAGCTCGTGTATTCGGGTTGGCCATAGTTGAAGGCGAGGATGCAAAATCCGTCGCCCATTGTGCGTCTTCGGGCTGTAACGTCGCAGAGAGGCGTGTCGCATGTCGTTGGAATGAGCTACTGGTGGTCACAACGGGATCAGCCCCATTTCCTAGTACAATGTTGCAATCAGAACTAGGGATCCAAAATTTCCGTGGCTTGCCATTCCCGTCCCAGCTCCCGGACTCAACATCTTCGTCCTCTTGTGTCGAGGACGTGACCGGGGTCTTATTCTTTCCTCTGGATGACGATCCTCGCTCCCTTACGGCTGTCGTGACTGGGTCGGGCGCAGTCTTACAGAGCCCAAGTTCTTGAGCCGACTCATCGGCACTAAGAACCTTCTGCCTCAAGGCAAGCTGTTGCCACAAAGCATCCGATATTACCTTATCGGGCATGACCGGTAGTCCAAAGATGTCACGTGCCGTCCTAATGAATTGTAGCTGTTCGTAGTCCATGTGGATATAATGAATGCCCTCGTCTAGCAGAACAAGGACACGCTCGATGTCTGGGTTTGTGTACAGGGCTGTCCATTCGGCGTTCTTGTCGGACACGGGTTGGCCAACTGTCAATGAGTTTTGGCGGTACACTGCATCGAAGCGAATTGCCATGAGACGAAGTGAGTCTGGTGCCTTAGGAATAGGTTTCTGGCCGCGTTCGATCAGACCAGCGTCCAAGGCTGCTTGTCGTAGACGTCGGTCTAGGAGACGTTTGCAAAGCACCCACCTATCCCATTCGCTGTCAACGAAGAACCCGTCCGAAGCGACCATTTCTCGGATAATATCTCCGGGCATGCCATCCCAATACTTGAGCGGCATTTCCCAGCCGTTCCTGCTGAGCATGGCCTTTGCGGATTCCAAGATTCGCTCGCCAGATCTGCCATAATAGTTCATCGTGACCAACCGGATGAGCGGTGCCAGGTTTTCCGGATTCATTTGTCTAAGGATGGACTCAATAGAACCATCGATGAGGTCCTGCATTTCCAGCCAGCAGCCTGTGGCGAATAGCCCAATAGCTTCAGCATCGCATTCTTTAGATATATCCACACCATACAGTTTCTTGATAGCTAAGTCGAATGCCGCCTGTGTAATGCTCACATCGATCTCTTCGGGATATAGCTTGACCTCCTTCGACTGGCTCTCCAGCCAGGGTTCAGACAGGGCGGTTGTGAAGAAGGGTGCTCGATCGAGGATCAGGCGATGTAGGTGATATTCTTTGCCGAATGCAACGACCGTTATATCCGAATGGCGACCTTCGAGCAGGCCACGGGTGTAGAGATGGTCGGGGAGAGAGATGGATTCGGAGGAAGCTATTGATATCGTGTCAGCATAACGAGCAATGACGAAGGAGCAGCGACAACCTGCCTCGCAAGTATAACGGACCTGCAGCATGGTTGTACGAGGGAGTACGGGAGTTGGGCATAGTAGTTGTATCGCCGGCGAAAAGACGACTGAGCGTAGTGAGGGTAGCGTATTCGCGAGAGATTCCACCATCCTGGGACCTGCGGTTCTCTATAGGAGTAGTAGGGTCGTCAATGTCCTTTTGAGCACTCGGAATCTGAGCGCTGAGCTGAACAATGGGAGGTTGAGGGCGCTCATCCGGGACGGTCAACCGGGCCGTGCGCCTCGTCATGTTGGCAGCGCTGGCTAGAACAGAAAGTGATCGTGAGGAGTTGGAGGAGGACGAGGCATTGACATGGGTGCGCGTGGTGTCGGTAACGGGCGAGGATGAGGTAGGAGGTGTGCCGGTGGAGAACAGACTGGCGTGGGGAGTCGTGGTGGCAGTGGTGGTGTTGTTAGGTTCAGGACTGACGACAGCGATGCCAGCAGCGTCACTCGTTACGTCGTTGAAGCTCCAGGCACGACTGCCGTTCGAGTCGATAGAGTGATTGGAGTCGTTGTGGTGCAAGACAGGCACACGTTCGAGATCATCTCCGGACTCTAGGTCGTCGGGGATGGGAGCGTGATGCATGCCGCTCATAGCTGTCGAAAACGGATATGTTCGGGCATGGAGATCGGAAGAATGACGGAAGAGTAGGAGGAGACAGAGTAGGCTGAAGTTGTCGGGCGGGGAGAGCAGATGTTTTGAGACAAGACAGTACTTGAGGTGTATGTACGGGTATGATGTAGGGTAGGTGGTGCGGTGTGGGGTATCACAAAGCGGCGAGCATGAGCAGCAACAGCAACAAACAAATATCGTGAGAAGGTGACCTGAGTCGCCGAGGCAGGATGAGGGAAGAAGAGAATGAAGAGAAGTAGCAGGTCAGACGATCAGATTCGAGAAGAGAGCAGAGCAGGAAGTAGAGCGAGTGAGGACGGGAAGGAAGTGGTTATCTAGCAATAGAGGGAAAAGATGAGCAAAGGGCAGAGGAAATAGGAAGAGCCAAGGTCAGCGCGGGCATCAACGTGAATGGGGCGGGCATAGGATAGGCATATGAGCATTGGACGGAACCCATCTCCTAGCGCAGGTAGATCTTTTGGGAGCAGGGCGACAATATGAGGGTTGATTCTCTTGAACTCTTGAAGTTGAGGGGATGAGAGACTGTCGTGAGTCGTGAATTGTGTAAGAGTGAGACGATGGAGACGATGGAGACGATGGGGACGATTATGACGATGGTCTCGGTGGTTTGGGAGACAAAGTCCCATACAAGTCCCGCCCAGGCCAGTCCCTTCACGGTCTAGTCCCGTATAGTACGCGGCAGAGAGAACCTCAAACTGCATGGGTCAAGTCAAATCCCCCTACCTTTCGGTCCTTTCCTGTCTAGAAGACTATAAGACTATGGACTATGAACCGTGAACTATTCTAGCGGACTTTAAATCCACTTCAACTTCTAGTTTTCTCTTATTTACCACGTTTCTCACGTAGCGCTAGTTATCTAGGTACGTAGTACGTAGGTATACGTAGTGGGTGGCAGTCGGAGTGGGACCCCGCCAGTCACTTGTCACCATTCCCAATCGCATGACCTGTTCCGCCGTCCTGTAACCTCACACGCGACCACATGGTTTATATTTACTAGTTACCTATCCTATGCAGAGAGTTTTCATGATCAAGAAGCACAGGAAACTTTGCACCATCTAAAAATACTCTGTACTCTTTGCATCTCATACCTCGTGGACATCTGCGTCTACCTAGCTAGGCATATATAGAACAGCTGCTTGCCTGATCGACTAGCTGGAAGGTTATGAGCTCCAGCATATTGACAGACGTTTCCTGGACCTTGTGAAAAACAAAACATTTGTACAGTATGGTACGATATCTATCTACCTAGGTACCTCGCAGCGTAGTAAGTATACTTAGGTAGTTGATAGTGGATTTTGATATCAGGTTTTGGCCGTTGTTCCCATCCATGGAACGGGGATCATGCTTCCATTTTCGGTCCATTTGCGGCAGCCGACAACGGACGCAAAAGCGGCAGAGAACGGCATACATGGCACAACGGTCGCAAGTGGAGTGTAGGCAGCGCAATTACCTCGTACAAAAGATAGATAGCTAGGCATTCATATTTTTTTCCTTATCGAGGAATCGCCATGTACTTTGAATCAAGTATGAAGTATCTAAGGTAGATTAGGTAGGTACTTATCACTGATACACTTTTTATCCTTTATCCATGCAGGGTATTCGTAGTACTTGAAAGGAGGAAGCATTGAGTAGGTACATTTTCACCAAGTACCCATTACATGCTGCCTTAGACACACAGGTACTTGGTGAAACGTACCGAAGGTAGATCTGCGAGTGAGAGAATCTCTAACGTTGATTGGTTCACTAGAACAGCCAATCAGAAGCTATGAATTGATCTGATTATTCATTATCCTCGCCATCGTACTCGGTCGTACCATTTCCATCGTACCACTAAGTCCAGTCTTCAGTTATTAATTATTCTACTACGACTACATCTTCGACATCACCACACTACCTGGTACCTACCTCCCTACCATCAAGGCATTGCCTTCACCTCCTCCCCTCCCCGCCATTCCTATGGCCTCAATCTTCCAGGTGTTTCCTCAATTGAGGATCGCCGCACCTCGCCTGACCCGTCGCCTCTTCGTCTCCCGCCCGTGTCTCAACTCCACCCTCCGCGCCGCTCTCCCACCACTACGCTCCTCCACCAGCAGACCCTCCGTCCTACAAGCCGTACGATGGCAATCCACGCAGCCTTTACGCAATAGCGTCGCTACTCCTGCCGCCGCCCATGCTGAGACAAGTACCATAGCCAATGCTGCGCGCAGCTCCTCCAAGAGCTTCCCCAATACAAGTGAGAAGGGTGTCGCATATTGGTTGATCGGAAGTGCTGTGAGCGTTTTTGGTATCGTCATATTTGGAGGTCTGACCCGTCTGACCGAATCTGGGTATGGTCTTACAATCAACCCTTCGTAAAAATCCCAATTGCTAATCGTACTCAGCCTGAGCATCACTGAATGGCGTCCTGTCACCGGCTCCCGCCCGCCTATGAACCAGGCCGACTGGGAATCCGAGTTTACTAAATACAAGTCGTCTCCCGAATTTGCCCTTCTCAATGCCAACATGACCCTCGAGGAATTCAAACAAATCTACTGGATGGAATGGATTCACCGGCTCTGGGGACGAGTCATCGGTATGACTTTCCTCCTTCCCACCATCTACTTCGTCGCTCGTCGCAAGGTCTCCCCCTCAATGGCCTGGAAACTCGCTGGAATCTGCGGAATGATTGGCTTCCAAGGCTTTCTGGGATGGTGGATGGTGAAGAGTGGTCTGAAGGACGATCTTTTTGCTCCTGGAAGCCATCCCCGTGTTAGCCAGTACCGTTTGACCGCCCACTTGGGCGCTGCCTTCCTCGTCTACGTCTCCATGCTCCATTCCGGATTGTCCATTCTTAAGGAACACAGGTTGCTCAAGGATCCTGCTGCCGCCGCTGCCGCCCTCCAAAACTTGCAGAACCCAGCTCTGCGCATCTTCCGCGGCTCCGTTGTTGCCCTTTCCCTGCTCATTTTCACCACCGCAATGTCTGGTGCATTGGTCGCAGGTCTTGATGCCGGTCTCATTTACAACGAATTCCCATATATGGGTCTCGGTCTTACCCCTCCGAAGAAGGAGCTGTTTGATCCTTTCTACAGCCATGTACCGGACCAGTCCGACTTGGTCTGGCGCAATGCGCTCGAGAATCCCTCGCTCGTACAGTTGGACCACCGAATCCTTGCCACTACCACCTTCACTGCTGTTTTGGCCCTTTTCGCCTACACCCGGTTTGCTAAAGGCGTTCGTTCTAGGATTCCACGTGATGCGAAGAAGGGAGTCATGGGCCTCACACATCTAGTCTTCATGCAGGCGACCCTCGGTATCACGACGCTTATTTACATGGTCCCCACCTGGCTCGCGTCTGCTCACCAAGCTGGTGCTCTGGCCTTGCTCACCGGTGCTGTCGTTCTCTATAGTCGGATATCCATGCCCAGGCGGGCAATCATGCGCCAGATCTTCAAGACTGGTCCTACACAGAGCCATGTCGCAACGACACCACTACGCTCTCGCATTGTAGCGGCCGACAAGGCCTCTCAATAAGTACTCGAATTGGTCGAGTGCGTTTAAAGATATTTCATGTAAAATTATCGTAGAGAACTTCGTTAAACAGACGAAGCTGTATATTATGTACATAGGCCATCATCAGAAGCCTTTTTCAGAAGACTTCTCATCGCCAATCGCATGTAGAGTCACTTCTCCACTAGAGTCTCAAATATTCAAAAGCCAAACATTTGCTTATTTTCAATACCTCAGACTTGCTTAATTTCGATGCATCAACCACCTTAACACGCAAACCGATTAGACCTACGCACCGTTCTGAACGACAGTGAGTTATTTCAGTCTTGTACCTTTGATACTGTCGATTCCACACTATTCCAATGGCCCTTGGACTGTATTATCTTATTCTATGGGACGATGGGTCAGATGTCTATTCAAAACATGGGGATTAGTAAGGGATAGGTTGACACTCGCACTTTCAGTATCGTCGATTGATTCATGAGGAAGTCTATCCTTCCCGCTACATATGATCCATACTGTACTCAATTGAACATCACCTCACGACACCAACCCAGTGACAAAACCATCGTCCCCTCTAAGCTCCCCAGCCTTCTCCCTCCCCCCTCCTCTCAAACTCCACAATCTCCGCCGTCCACTCCGCAGCCTCCTTCCCAACCAACTCCTCAACAACCCAAAGCGTAGCATCAATCCCACTACTCACACCCCCCGCCGTCACGATCCTAACCCCCTCCTCCGTAACCCCAGCATCAACCCACCTCCTCCCCCTCAACACCTCAATCCCACTCTTCCCGCCTTGCCCCTCCGCCCCATCCGCCACCTTCTCCAGCTCCTCGAAAAACGCATGATGCGTCGTCGCCCGCCTCCCAGCCAACACCCCACCCGCAGCAAGGATCAACGCCCCCGAACACACCGACTCCAACACCCTCTTCCCCGTCTCCCCCCTCGGCGCAAGCCGACTAAACCTCCGCACGACCTCCACCGCCTTCCGCCCCTGCTCACTCCCCAGGAACGTCTCGAGCGTCTCGCCGGACGCCCCCGGCACGATCAGGATGTCGTAGTTGTCCAGGTGTGCGGCGAGGTCGTCGAGGAGGAGGTCCGGGATGATGGTGAGGGCTTTCTCGGCGACGCGCACGGGGGACTCGGGCGCGAAGGTAGTGGTGGTGAAGGAGCGCGGGTGGCCTGGGGGTGGGGTCGTGGTGAGGATTTCCAGCGGGCCCGAGTAGTCGAGGATGTCGGCGCCTGGGTAGAGGAGGACCGCGACGTTGAATTTGGGGGAGGAGGCCATTGTTATTGCTCTTGTTTTGTTTCTTTTTTTTGTTGGAAAGAAGGAAGGAAGTTGGAGGAGATGAGTGAGGTTTTGATGTGCGGATGAGTCAATTTTGAGGGGGTAATTCTTTTTAGCTATGCCTACTCGTACAAGATGAGTCAGAGAAGAAGAAGGATCCGTCGGTATGGGGGAGAATCTTCATTAAATGTAAGACGGGAAGTCTTGTCTAGATGCAATCGGTCATGCAGTCATACACTTCGTTCCACAAAAAACCGGGGCGGAGAGCATGAATTGCTCCGGTCCGCGCGCCAAGGTGCATGCGCGCGCTGGGGCGGTATCCGCGAATGCTTGTTTCTTCGACTTCATGTTTCCTGATATGGAAGAGGTTGATTTTCGGGGAATTGTTTGGTTAGTTGGTGTCATGGATTTGGGAACGATTGCGTAGAGTTAGGGTTGCAGGAACGAAACGATGCACTGCAGATCGGCATGTCCCAGCCGTGGATTAATTTGGTCACAGACAGAGTATAGAGGAGGTGGTGAGCAACGTCTTCATTAATTTACGATATCAGTATGCTCAAAGGGCTGTTCTGAAGCACAGAGAAAGTGGAAGGAAGGTGAGCCAGGAGAGTGTGCTAAAAGTGAAGTAATGTCCTGTAAGAGTTTTGATCGCAGTACAAGATCTAAAAGTCTACAGACTATTACCGTGTTTGATTATTATATCACAACTTCCCGGTCTTCAAAAATAATTTTTGATTCGATCTTGATCCCAAGTCTCCACGCTCCATTGGTTGGAAGAGTCCGATTGAGCATGCCCACCGCCCTTTCCATGACTAAAAGATCTGTATCTGGTGATAGAGGTTGCAATCGAATTTTCTTAATGCTCACCATTGATTCCAGGAAAAGTAACAGCCGTTTTTTATGCTTTCTATGGGGCAGAAAAGAATCCGGACATTGAGTTCGTGAGTGGCCTAGCATCACTACTGTCCACTCAGTGATTCTTTTCGCATATGATATAGTAGCATTTGGGCCATTAGGTTTCGTAGAAAAGCCTGATTAAATCATGGTATCAATCATCCATGTAGGTGCGAGAAGCTAAGAGCACTGGAATATCCAAGTTCGACATCCAGATGGAGGTTTGAATATCCGCACGTGGATAGTTTATTGCTCACCGATGTTTACGGTTACCGCCTTGTGAAGCAACTTGATTGGGCTCTGATCAACTCATGATCCGTTTCACGATGAATCACCGGCCATGCGGGAATGATGCAATGACTCCACGTTGCGAACACGAGCCATTCAGCCCTATCATAGCCGCAAAGGAACTTCGATATCGGCGGTGTATCTCAGTCATAGGTTGGATTAGTGTGAGTGAACGTACTTCTAGATTGGCCAATCTCACACCGACATTAAGTGCAAAATTCAATGTTAAGTCGGTGTCACACTTACTCTGTGCTAGTATAAATTACTTGAACCTCCATAAGCTGGATCAAAACCTCAGGACAGCCTTTCCCCAACTTCTCAATAGCTTTCTCATTAGCTTCCCAGATCTTGGATACCTGTCGACAAAGCTTTATTCATACACATTTCTAGTTTCAGGATAACCTTAGCAGACAGCCAAAATGAGGTTGCTCTTACCTGTTGCTGCGGCAATCTTGACGTTGATTGCGGCTGCACCTGCAGGTACTTCAGGTGACTCGCTTGGTACGTACTCAAAAAAGCCGGAAGGTCCTAGAAACAGTCTAATAGATAGCAGGTCTCACTACCATTGGTAGTGATGTGAAGGTGTCCGATGTTTTGGATTCAGCTGGAGAGGCGGTCGTCGATCTTGTCCATGAGCTCCATAGCTTCACAGCTGCACACAGCGTAAGTATTCGAATTCTTTCAATCTAGGAATGAGCTTCTGATAATTTTCTAGTATACCCCCAAGCGTGGCAACGATCCCCCACCAGAAGCTATTCAAATGAATGTCACCCTAGGCCAACAACGCTCCAACGTTGGCAATCTTTCCCCCAAACAAGTAGGCGATGCCATCACCACTGCGTTGAAGTATCTCTGCGTTAAGAAGCCTTGCCGTAACAATGAGCGGTACAGGGTCAATGTTCCATGGATGAATTCAAAGAACATCATCGAGCTAGGTTATCTTGATATCTGGTTGGAGCGGAGCCGCTACAGCAGCGAACGCGAACTTAATCCCATGATTGAGATCGCAGCGACATACGGTTCCACAGCTGTCGGGGTCGACTTGAATTGCTACATGCTTTTCTTTGCCCCCCCGTATTTACCTGCTCGCTTCTGTAACATGGGCAACTTCATTGAAATCAACATCAACGATGGGTTCGCCTCCTTAGCAATCCGCTTCGAAGCAAACAAGCCTACTTTCGGCTGGTTTGTTTGTCCTTTGGTGATGCCCAAGGTCGCACAAGTTGCAGGCGATCCCGACCGACTCCTAAGTCTCGGCAGATATTATGGCTGGCCTGTGGCGTCGAACACGGTTTGTACAGGACCGCCCACTGACTCCGCTCATGACGAGACAGCAGCTTCTCTGATCGATGTCAATTCCAACAGACCCATTGTGTACACATCCACGGACTATGAGCAATCCGAGATCATCAACGCCACAGTCTCACTTGGATGAGCAGCTCAAATCACGATACCGGATATACGCATGCGATATATTTCCAGGAATCAGGTCCAAGCAATCTCTACGGATGAATCTTTGCTCGGTCATAATACTCTTGGATCCAACCTGAAAACCTTAAGGAAGACTAAGAAGGGATCCGTCACTTGGATAAAGACGAAGTGGTAGCATGATAAGGTTTTCTCGAGGGATTATTTCTATGGAGCAATTTGGATAGGCAATGGAAACAATACCAAACTAATATTCCCTGAACTCAGCTGGTGTCATAAGTAGACAAATCCTTGAGTTGTGATGCAAGGTATAATTCTGTCGTTATCAACTGCGACCATGGTCTTGTACTACATGAGGCCACTACTGTGCCATTCAGTTCGTACGGTAAAGTGCACGCAAAGAGTAGCGAGAGAGTCAGAGGCTTATTGTAGTATGCTTATTTGATTTCCAACTAATGAGAAGTTCTGGCTTCCAGAGAAATTCAAATGGCCGCAAGCTATACGCCTAGTATACCATGTAGTCCCAGTCAATGTCTCTATGTAGCCTTGAGAACGCTAGCCAATACAACCACTGTATGGCCAATCCTCTCACCCTCACGGTACCTCTGCAACGCAGTCGTAGCATCCAAACGGTGAGGAGCCAGCTTGATTTCAATTTGCTGTCTGCACAATGCCGCAGACGCCGGCTTATAGTTGGCGAACACCTTCTCAAGCGCAGCTGTAGGGTAGAAGTAGAACTAGTGATTCATGCATCAGTAACCTAGAAGTCATGAATTGAAGAGCTTTAAACATACCGGTCCCAGCCCATTGTTCTCAAACTCTGCATAGCCGCCAATCACATTCTCAGGCTCACTCTGTTCTTTCCACGCAAGACTGACGACTCTGCCAACGAAGCCCGCTGCATCAGCAAGCTTCAGCATAGTCTCTATGTCAACCCTGCCACCCATGCTGGATAGCACGGCGCCGGTCTGACTGAGAAGGTTGAAGTTCTTAGCTTGCCAGAGAGCGACGTAGTGCAAGTCCAAAAGTGCTGTGCTGGCGAAAGGTGGAATCCTATCCAGAGTGCGGTCGCCAACATATGTTGAAGATGCTTGGCCGTTGTCTAGATCTCCTGCGTTGGGGAGTGGAATGTTGGGCAGGTTTCTGGCTACGAGTCAGTGTCTGCAATGTGCTCTTCAATTCAGACGTACTCATAAATCAGATCAAAAGGCTTCTCTCCCTTCAAGGGGACGAGAACGTCGCCTGCGCGAGCCACTGCAGTTGATGCAACGGCGCGAATTGCGTCGTCAGACTTCTCTGTAGAAGCGAGAACGTTCGACTTGGCAGCTGCGACAACATCTTCGTGTAGATCCGTCAGGGCTACAGCTTCAATTTGGGGGAAGATGTCGAGTGCGGCAATGACATCGGTTCCAGAGCCCGTGCCGATTGTTGCAAAACGTTTCACCTGGCCTAAGTCGCCGTGCTGATATGCCCTGAAGGCATTTGTTGCAGCTGTTACGACCCAGTCGGCACGCGGATTTTCGATCTATGCCTCTAGGTCAGGACAAGAGTGATGGAACTGTATAGTGGAGCTCAATATCACCTTTGGTAGATAGCTGTGATCAGACAGAGTGACATCAAATCGTCTATCGACGCGAGTTGGCTTGTGGCCATAGAAGTTCTCGAAAGTCACGTTCCTGGACTTCTTTGTAGCGTGAAGCTCATTCTCTTTGACTTCGAATGTATCCTTGTGTACAGCATCGCGGACTTTATCAACACCATTGTTGTTGTTTCCGTAAAGCTTTTTGGGGTTGATGGTGGGAAGAGACTCTTCAATTGGGGAGGGTAGACGGATAGGAGCCATTCTTAACCAATTGTTTTCGGGAAGAAGAGTGCGTGGAAGTGTATTATGAAGACGGAAGTGAAGAGAGGTTTGATAAAGATGATGTTGTAAACAAATTATCACAAGGGAACTTAACAGTTCAATGATTTCCAGAAAGCCTGATTGTGATACTGAAGTCTTCTTTATGGGAGAAATGTAGTGATTCTTATACGTTTGCAAGATAGTACATTAAGGTGAACTTCATAAACTCAACTCCCATCACTCAAATCACTGCAGATCTTCAGTCAACACAGTAGCAGTAAACCCATCAGGCGTCAAACAGCTTCAACACATGCTAAACGCACACAAATGTCGCCATATCCCACAAGATCGACCGATGATGTTGTCAACGGCCCGGAACTCACATTCACCGGTTCGTCTACCCCTTCTCCGTTTGATGCAAGTCCTATGCTCTGCATCTCCAGGGTTGTTTTGTCACATCTCCTGTTGCACTAGCAAAGATACCTGTTAGAAGTTCAAAGTATCTGGTGACCTTTGTTGATCTATGTGTGTCTTCTGTAGATTTTCTGTATCTGGATAATTGTTGCGACATGAGATGCGAGATTGGATACGGATGTTACCTCAGATGTCGATTTTCATGCATCTTCATTGCATCATCTAATGTCGTGCTCGTCGAGGGTAAGCTTATTGGTCATTGGGGAACAATTGAAAGTAGAAAGACCAACGTTGACGACGCGTATGCATATCAAGGAAGATGTATGGACCTGTCATTGCGACATTGACGGAGGTCCAGCTTTGGTAATCCGACAGGTAAATTGCACGACCAAACGTTTAGCTAGTCTAAAATCAGTCATAAAACCTCAAGTCAGCTTGTACGCTGGTCTTTTGTGCGGCATATTTGATCATCATTCTTCAATTCCATTTTCCTGCTTCATACAAATGCGATATGTGATGCACATCAAGAAAGGGAACTGGGCAGAACATAGTAACCTGCACTAGGATTTGCATCCAACCATTGCCCGTTTTAATAAACTTGCATCATGCGGGTCAGCCACAGGAACGGGAATCCCCGCCAACGTGCAGATTTCGTGCGAGTACGAGTTACAACCCCATGCATCATGAAGCGAGGTAAGGGTAGGCTATTCTAGGGCAGTTTTGTGATAGTCCGGCCGGTCGGACTGGATCAAATTTACTGATGGGGAGATTTCGAAGAGGGGTAGGATCTGCTTCGCATCAGAGAGATCTCGATCTCAATTTCGAGATTGATTTGTGATACGACAGGTGGTGCTGCAACATGTACGGGTTCTAAGATCGAGGTCGCGGGCAACTCTTTTCTTCTCGAATCTATTAGGGACTATTACAGCAATTCTTACACACAACATTTCTTTTTGAAAGGATCAAGAGAAACGTTATTGTCCACATAAAATTCCAAAAAAACAGTCCCCAGATTCAACCCCGTCAAGATGACCGAAAAAGCAAATCGTCGCTTTGAGACCATCCAGATTCATGGAGAGTACGTTTTCTATCCCGATTCTGGTGTAGATGCTAATTGTAAACATAGTGAGTACAGCAGCGAAGACAACCGCTCCTGCACTATCCCAATTGATACCTCTGTGGTATGTGAACCTTGCTATTTTGTCTGTATATTTCGCCAGGTTGATGAAATCAGTCCTTTCGCTTTCATAAATCCGCAGACGCAGTTCAGGTATTCGATCTCAGCAAGAGGGGATTCAGTTACAGTCGATTTGGAAATGTAAGCTCCCAGTGCATATATGTTGATCGTGTGAGCTTATAGCGGTGAAGCCCACAGTTGAAGCATTTGAAAAGCGCATCCTAGCTCTCGAAGGCGGTGAGCACGCTGTCGCGGTGGCCACTGGCGCCGCAGCGGTATTGATGACGGTTTTAGCTCTTGCAAAAGCCGGCGACAACATCATCTCAACACGCAGCCTTTATTGTGGGACTTTTCATCAATTTGAGGTTCTTCTACCAAATCTCGGGATCCAAACGAGGTTTCTCCCTGATGATTATACCGCCAAAGACTTCCGCGCCTTAGTTGATAGTAACACAAAGCTGGTGTTCAGTGAAAGTATCGGAAACCCTCGACTGACACTGCCGGACTACGAACTTCTCGTTGGAGAAGCGCATAGCGCAGGAATTCCAGTTGCGGTACGCTCGGGATCCCTGAAAATGTACGACGACTTACTAACGATGGTTTAGATCGATGCTACGTTCACTGCGGGTGGATTCTTCTGCCGCCCGTTCGACCATGGTGTCGATATCATAGTCCATTCGGCAACAAAATGGATCGGCGGCCATGGGACAACTCTAGGCGGAGTCGTAATCGATAGCGGCAAATTCGACTGGGAACAAAACGCTTCACGGTTCCCTCAGCTCCACGCCACAGAAGATGGTAAGCCAGGGACCAGTCTTTGGAGCCGATTCGGATCTGAAGCATTTGCGCTGTATCTCAGGTTCAACCAGCTTCGTGATTATGGAAGTACGCTCAGTGCGCAAGCGGCACAGCAACTGCTCATCGGGATGGAGACACTTTCACTGCGGTGCGAGCGACAAGCTTTCAACGCCATGGAAGTTGCAATATGGCTCCGCCGGCACCCAAAAATCGCATGGGTGTCGCATCTGGGGTTCAAATCACATCCATCGCATGAAATTGCAAAGAGATACAACAAGAATGGACTCTCGAGCGTTTTTACGTTCGGTATCAGGGGCGGCGCTCCTGCTGCGCTAAGACTAATTGACGGTCTTAGGCTCATTATCAACGCGGCAAAGTATGTTATGGCCTTTAGAATCTTGATGGATTACACATCGTATCAGTGAACTGACGATTATCAGTATTGGTGACTCGAAATCAATTATCGGGCATCCTTGGTCCACAACTCATCGCCAGCTCGAACCCGAAGACAGAATTGCGGGTGGGGTAACAGAGGATTTGATTCGCCTGTCAGCAGGCACTGAAAACTTTCTGGATATCATTGACGATCTGGAGCAGTCCCTTGATGCTCTGGATAAGCCAATACAGAAGTCTTCGACAAATGGCGTGAACGGCGTGAATGGTTTGAACGGAATGAATGGTACGAACGGTGTGAATGGTGTGAATGGCGTAGCTGCTCCATACGAGTGATCCTTTTTTCGGATAGTTACCCATAGGTGGAAGTCTCAAATCCCAGCTCAGTGACTTTTGATTGGAGATTCATTCCACGTTCTTAGTATTGTCCCAATATTGCAGTTGCAAATTTTGTTGAGATACATCTTGCATGAGTGAGAAAGGATTTAACAATCGCGTGTCAACCTATTCGATCGAATGTTCCGAGTGCTATTGCCTTATCCCGAGCATATGTGGCAATGCAACACCATGTTAGTTGACGCAGGTCCTCGCGGGGAACGTAGAGCAATCAACGGCCCGAGGTTAAGGGAATGGTGAATAGAGAAAAGGTATTGGAGATGGAGATGGATGACGAGGAGAAATGGTGTTGAGGAGGAGTGACGATCGTACACTGTGTTGGAGAGGAGATGCGTTATTGTGGCTTGGCCGTAGTCGAAATTAAGTTCGCACGCCACTAGCAAGGGGTAGCACGTCAAGCTCAGCTTCAACTCTTCTACATGAACACAACACACCCACATCCACACATATACTGTGTAGTGTGTTGTCACTGTGCATACGTACACTACACATAGACAAATATACGTATGTATGGACAGGAAGTATGGACTAATTGTAAGAGCTAATCCTTTAGGGACTCTCCCGCATCCGCTCCCGTTGCTTCGCTCTGCCGCTTACCCTTGGCAGCTTTCATGTATGTGAGATTGTTGGTCCGAGGACGTTTTAACCGTTTGAAGAAGGAAGATGTGCGTGTCTTGTATGGGCTCTACCCGAACGGGCCAATCCCCTTTCGCCTGCGTTCCATTATGGCCTGCTTATTGTAATATACGGGTAGTGTACTCCGTATGCACGAACAGGAGGATGGCGGCGGGTAAAGGTGGACTCCGCGGGGGGAGGGCAAGTATGCGCATTCGGACCAACAACAGATTGAAACAAGAATGCCATTAGGATGGCATTCTTACGTCGGCGAGAAGAATCCCATGCGGCGACGCCGAGAGATTTGAGCTTATTTCCGCATTGCATGGAGTCCAGGAGTCGTTGGACCTCAGTCAACCCCAAAGGTCAGCAGGTCGTACATGAGATCGACGGAGTGGTGTCCAACTCGACATGGACGACGGCGTAATAGGATCGAATTATGGCATGTTGTTACATCTGCACTGCTGCAGCCTGATTGCTTGTTTGTTTGTGATCAACCGCTGTGCCACATGCCCACCCACGCACGGAATCGAACAAACGCCCGACTCACCGTCTTTGTTACCCCATGCAAGGTTATGACTTCATACATCGCACGACATTTGAACTTACCTTTACGGGGTACACTCCCCAAACACCTCAACACTGCGCCCGCACAAGGTCAATCTGTTACAGAGAGAACCAACAATATCTACTCGCTTTACCATGGTACCCTCATAACCACAAGCATTAGAATCCTCAGCACGACAGACTCACCTTGAACACCACCACCATGGCGGAGAAACCAGTGAACGCAACACCCCAACATGGCTCTGACGCCTTTTCGTCCGAAACCGTCTCACATCAATACAGACCTCAATCCCCATCCCAATCAACCTCTGCCCCAGCCTCATCCCCTTCCATTTCAACATCAGACCTCATAGCTCTTCGTCGCACTCGTGATAGTATACCATGGACAGTCTGGGCCGCGGCTTTCATGGGGATGTTCGAGCGCTTTGCCTTCTACGGTGCCAGCGCTCCCTTCCAGAATTACATGCAAAACAGCATCGATGACCCCTTCCGTCCGGGCGCATTAGGTATGGGCCAGGCAAAGGCAACCATAGTAAACTACGCGTTTATCACGTTTGGATTCATCACCCCAGTACCTATGGCTGTAGTGGCCGACAAGTGGACCGGGAGATATCGGGCTATCCTAGGAAGCTTTGCGTACGTCAATCCCTCTTGTCAAATATCCAGTGTTGTTTTCAGGCCTTTTTTGAAGGCGTCAGTCATGTTCAAAGAAACTGATGTCTCAACAGGCTTGAGCTGTTAGGCTTGCTGGTTCTCTTCCTAACGGCACTACCACCTGCTCTGAAGGCCAGTGCCGGTGGCGGTGGACTCGCCGTTGCCATGGTGCTAATTGGCATCGGTGCTGGTGGCGTCAAAACTACCGTCTCGCCATTTGTAGCGGATCAGTACACTGAGACTGAACTGAGGGTAGAAACTTTGAAGTCCGGCGAGCGAGTTATTGTGGATCGTACCCTGACAGTCCAGTATATCTACAATATGTGGTATTGGTATGCACGCCTGATCTCATAATGATTCTAGCAATCGGCTAATGGAATCTTAGGATGATCAATATCGGATCTCTAGGTGGGCTAGCAACGACGTTGCTAGAGCAGTATGTAGGCTTCTGGGCTGCTTACTTGCTGTCATTCATCTCATTGTGGATATCGGTTCTCATCCTAGTGATTTGGAGAACCAAATTTGGTGAGTGCCACCTGATTTATTGACACATACAATGTTTCTTTGACTAACGGTCCGACACAGTTCATGAACCGGCTCGTGGAAACATCATGCCCCAAGCCTTCAAGGCCTGCATCTATGCGTGCCGAAGCGGATTCAACATGGACAACACGAAGCCCGGGCCACAGCTTGAAAATTATGGCCGAACCGTCACCTGGGACGACAAGTTCATAGACGACATCAAACGCGCCCTTTTAGCATGTCGAGTCTCGTAAGGACCCTTTCCCCCTGACTTTCGCAAACCTTTGACTAAATTTTCAATTCTAGCCTCGGCCTCCCAATCTTCTGGCTTTGCTGGGGCCAAGCCTTCAACAACTTAATCTCTCAAGCCGCGGCCATGCAAACCTACGGCATCCCAAACGACCTTTTCAAAACACTCAACCCAGTAGCCTGCATAATCTTCGGTCCCATCTTCCAGAATTGGCTATATCCGTTCCTGCAACGCCATCGCATTCCCTTCCGCCCAATATCTCGTCTAACAGTCGGGTTTCTCTTCATGGCGCTTTCCCTCGCCCTCGCGACGGGAATTCAGCAACTCGTTTACGACACCCCTCCATGCCACACATCCCCACTAAACTGTCCAGCATCAAATGGTGGCACGATCCCAAACCATGTCAATGTTTTCCTACAAACACCCATTTACGTTGCCATGGCGTTCTCTGAGTTGCTCGCCCTGACAACAAGCTACGAGTATGCGTACAGCAAAGCGCCCGCCAGGATGAAGAGCTGCGTGCAGGCTATCAGTGTATTCATGGCGGGCGTCGGAAGTGCGCTCGGCATGGCGATTAGCCCCGTTGCAGAAGACCCGAATATGGTGGTCGTCTATGGCAGTTTGACGGGCGTCATGGCGCTCAATGCAGGTGTATTTTGGGGCGCGTTTAGAAAGCTAGATGCTATTGATGAGGATTTGAATGATGCAGTTTTGGAGGGGGACAAGAGTGCATTGCAGGATGATAGGGAGGATGAGAAGACGAGAGCGTAAGGGTCAAGAGAACAAGGGGCGCCGGGGTTGAGGGTCGACTGGATACCTGTCGATTTCAGTGAATGAGTGATTGACTTCCGTTGCAACTGCCGTATCTAGATGCCCAAGCAGGACTATCCACCTTTCCTGCATCTCATATTCAAAAGCAATGCGTAAAGCATTATGAACTACGGATACTATCAAGAGCTTCAGCTGCGAAATTCATTACCTGCATCTGAATAACTCCTGCAGTTAGACAAGAAATAATTGATCTCAATGAAAGCAATAATAGCAATGCATACTCCGTACAATGCATACCAAATTATCCTGATTTTTCCGATCGACGATTTGAATATGAGTATCCAGCAAGTGTCATTTCATCTACTTCGTCTACCCAGGTCCAAAACACCCACGAGCCCAACCTACGTTGTGACATGTCATGACACTCTGTACGCATGCAGTTCCCAGTCCGGTAAGCCGCATGTTTCTATAACAGGGTTTATGGTTTGGATCGAAGATCGCACGTTGCATCCACTTTCCGTCGATTAGCTGCATCCCACCCCCGCAGACATGCAGCATGCGGGTGTGAGGGGGCGCGCCGGGGCGGATCGAGAGTGTGGGCCGGTGAATGGGCTTAGCGCTGAGGTAAAAAAAAGATGTGGTCACTTGTACATTCAGTGAACATGCGGGCGATCAATAATCTTTTGCAAGAAAATGACCGAACGCCATTTCGTAAGCTTTTGAGCAATCGGACAGGTCTGCGTACACTGTTTTATTCCTGTTTCGTCAGGCCAATTTCAGGGTTGGGTGTTTTGGGAATGCCCACCTGAACCCCCAGGTCTTCAAATACGTAGATTTTTAAGGATCTAGGATAATATTCGTGTCAATAAAATTCTACACTTCCAATTCATCATGCCCATACAAATCGAAACTCTTAATGGAATTGCTTCCAAGGAATGTGCCGACAACGCGCAGTCTTCCCTCTCTTCACAACCGCAATGGGTGGTCCAGAAATTCGGTGGAACGAGCATAGGAAAGTTTCCAACGAAGGTGAAAGCCGCTATCATCGGGTAAGTGATTATAATTCCTTCCCAATTAAATAAAATCCCTTGAATTGCAAAGTTAAAGACGAAGTGGGGTTTTAATATTCTTGTAGATCTCAGCGGCTAGGTGAAGCCCGTGTAGCAGTTGTTTGTTCCGCTCGTAGTGATGCAAGTAAAGACACTGGAACCACGAGTAGGTATGGATCAAACCCCCAGCAGCCATATATTGGAAATATGGACGTCCAACTGACGTGGGCTGGCAAGGCTTTTCCGGGCAATTCATGAGGCACAGCTACCGGGCTCAAGAGATTTCGAGGCCATCATTGCGACAATCAAAGATGAGCATTTCATGGCCGCAGAGAGAGTCATAGGCGTTGTCGAAATCGTTAGCCAGCTCTTTCAAGCGATCGAAGCGGAGCTTGCGAAGGTTTCGATGGTCTTACGCTGTGTTCAGCAAACTCAATGCTTGAGCGAGCATGACAGAGATTTCATAATAAGTAGGGGAGAGAAGCTGAGCTGCTTGTTCTTAACGGCTCTTTTCCGTTCTTTGAATGTCACCGCTGTCTGCATTGATTTATACGACCTTCTTGCATCTTATTCTAAAGATGTGTCACCCTCGCAGCAAGTAGACAAATCGCTTTTCGAAGCGATAACGCAGGAAATCTCGAGTCGCATTGATCGAGATTGCAAGCATGGCATACCGATCATCACTGGGTTCTTTGGGGGCATGCCGGGAGGCTTGCTAAAAAGTGTCGGCAGGGGATATTCTGACCTCTGCGCAGCATTGGTCGCCGTTTCGCTGGGAGCCCAAGAACTGCAGATCTGGAAGGAGGTTGATGGTGTCTTCAATGCAGATCCACGTAAGGTTCCTACAGCCTCCTTGCTGAAATCCATCTCTCCATCCGAGGCTGCGGAACTTGCTTTCTATGGAGCAGAGGTCATACACCCCTCCACTATGGAGCATGTCATGCAGGCAAACATCCCCATTCGGATCAAAAACGTCATGAACCCTGGATCTCCAGGAACAAAGATTGAACCCGTCAAGGCGGATCCTGTTCAGAATTTCTCCGTCAAACCCGTGAACCGCAACACCGGCGGTTCCAAGGATCTTCCAATCAAACCAGTCGCGGTTAGTGTTAAGCAGGACATGGTCGTACTGAACATCCAAACACGCGACCGCTCCTGTAGCGCCGCTAGCTATCTTGCAAAGATCTTCGCAGTTGTGGAACAGCATAACCTGAAGATCGATCTCATCTCCTCGAGCGAGATGAACGTGTCACTAGCTGTTCGCTCCTCCGAAGGACAAACTGTGGCACCAGTTCGTAGAGACAGCTTGAACGAATATGAGACAGTCTCAATCACGGACCTTGACCTTGCTTCTGCTCTTCAAGCCTTTGACCGATTCGGCACCGTCGATATTCTTGCCAATATGGCTATCATCAGCCTGATTGGCGATGGCCTGAAGCAGATGACAGGAACAAGTGCGAAGTTTTTCAACGTTCTCGCAGATAATGATATAAACATTGAGATGATCTCACAAGGTACGTACAATTCACACATCATTAAATACTGTAAGAAAGTAAAGTATGCTTAATGTATTGGCAGGTGCAAGCGAGACTAACATATCGGCTGTTATTGAAGGCCAAAAGACGGATAAGGCATTGATTGCGATACACCGTAGTTTATTTAGCATAGTGCCTGAAACTACCTACCCGCGTATTGCCGGGGGTAAGGGATGGTATCTAGGTGCGTAAAAAGGCTTGACGATGGATTTTCACATATTCCAGTCTTTGTAGCGTCACTAGTGAGCGCTCATCGGTGTAGGAATTATTATACGTCTCCCAATCATACCTAACTGTATCTATGACCTGGTTAAATCTGCGGTGATATTCTTTGAAACAATCTTCGACATACTGATATAACGTTTTCTGCTTCAAGTCTAATGTGCTCCACTTGTTGTATGAAATCATGCTTGTACCGGGTACGCACGCGGGCTCATCTGCAAATCCATGACCGGCTCGCCACAACCCCACGCACTCTCGAAACCCCAAGCGTTCATTTTGTACTTCTCATATTTGGTCAATGGAATCGAAGTATTGGATTCGCCGATCGGCTGCAAGAGAGTGGGTGCTGACCAATCGCCCTCACGTTCGCCCTCGATCGCTTTGTCGTACGTAATTCCTTCCGTCTTCTGCTTTTTGTTTCTATTCTCTTGATGAATTTCTTCTTCCATTGATCTCTTCCTCTTCATCCCCTTATTCCTGTGAGTATTGATGACTCCGTTGTTGGCGACGGGAAATGTTGGTAGTTGTGCTGGAATCAACCCTGCATTCACCCATACGCACTCCAATTCGCACTCCACTTCTTCCCGTAGCGAATTATACAGAGAGATGACATTGTCAATGCGCTTCTCCACATTCTTCTCACCTTCGGAGCTATTGAATGTGCCATGGGCAAATTGCTCGATCTGGCGTGATGCCAGGATTAGGTTATGTATCTTCTGGGCCAGTGAAAGTGAGAGGAGAAGGGAGGTCTGTGGTGTTGAAGGTTGGGTAGGATGGACCTTGTGATTGGTTACGACGAGACGTGATTTTTGGGCGAAAGGAAGAGGTTGACGGGTAGGATTGGATTGATGCGGATGTTTGGGAGGCGAATCCTCCTTTTGTGAGGTCGATGGAGTCATGTTCAAGCGATATCTTCGAGAAGAGTTTGATGTATGCCCAAAATGTACGTAGAGATATTTGCAATATGCCAGGGTAAGAGTAGTAGAAGAGTAAGGAAGAATCCTGGGATATCAATGTTGTTTAACACCAGTCATTCAGGGTGGTCACCGGCACCTATGAGATCCTGGACAACAAAGACTAAGCTACAGATTCAAGACATCGGGCAGAAACAAAGAGCAATAATCCCGCCTCCTTTTGGTTTCGCTTGCTTTGTCTCTGCTGTTTGACAAACATGCGTACTTTTCTTTGTCTTGAAGCACATAATGTTATGGAGTGACTACTATGAACAGAAGTTTCTAATTTGTTTGAGAGTCAGATCTATATACTATAAGACATGATAGCTCGTTGCCAAAATCCTATGTTTATCTTAACAAGAAGAATTGTACAATGTAATCATGTGCATGAGAATTGTTTAGAAACGAGTTCCAGAGACACGAAGATTTGTTTGTGGAGGCCAATAGTATAGCGACATCGTGGCTATCACACAACGCAAATTGTTCATGTTATGCCACAATGCTCAAGAATTATATATACATGCCTCGTAGGTGTTCCTGAGCATTTCCCATAATCACTAATTTCAATCACTTTACGACTTCGTTGACTTTGTAGATCAAGAATCATCTCGGAATCTCAGGTAGACTCCAGACAGCAAAATAAGTCAAGAAATCGTTAAGAATTCATATGAAAATACAAAATGCCCGCTAACAGACACTACAGCCATAGGCCCCAACCTACAGAGTATCGACCGTATCCATCGCGCACAGATGGTTACCCTCAACGATTTGCCACCCCTGCAGAAAGGAGAGGGGGTTGGGACGACCGAAGGCGTTTTCGACAGTACAGTGGCCTCCCGAAGGGTCCAAAGTTTGAGGCGCCGCAAGTTATTGGAAGGTCGCTCGTGACTTATGGTGATCTATATCCGGATAGTTCTGTTGACACGACGGGAAGTAGCTCCTCGCCCAGTAAACGGCCATCCAAGTCTCTACCATGGACAAAAGAAGGCCAGGAAAATAAGCAAAGCCCGCTGAATGTTGAAAAGAGGTTGGCGTGTATAAGCCGAGGAAGTGGTGGGGTGACAGACAGTGTGTCGGATACTGATTCCAAAAGATCAACAGAATCAACCGAATCAAAGCGATCAATCCGGTTGATCAAACCTGAAGTACAGTCCCAAATTTCTAAAAGATACTCGCACTGCGGACCGTCCTCAGAGCTTCAGTTCGATGGCGAGATTCCATATGTACGGAGCATCCTCAACCACATGTGGGATTCATTCCATACGATTACTGTATACTGCATGGGTATGCTAGAACCTGGAGACATCATCTACTATCTAAGACCATTCACAGTTCATCACGATAGAGTCAGTAATAGCACTGTCAGGTCGCGCTCTGGCTCCACTGCACTTATGCAGATGAAGGGTCGGTTTGGCATTGTGGTCTCAAAGTTTTCTGAGCATATCAAAGTTGCGGACGCAACAACTTTTGGCCATAGGGGCATTGAGAAGGCCAAGTCACGGGCAGTTTTCCACGAATACGTTGGACTTGTCGAGAAGGACTGTTATGACAATTCACAGTCTCTGGTGCACCAACCATTGGAGATTGAATCAATCTGCCACCCCTTCGGCAGTCTAACCTCCGTTCATCTGGTCACAGAGAAGATATCCATCAGCAATCAGATCATGATCGCTGGCCACATTACATCCGAATCATTGACCCGATTGTGGTCATTGATCAGGGAAGTAGAGGATTCATGTATTCAGTGAGCTTTTGGGGTACGGACCGATAGAATTTCGAGGTGCAATGGTTAACTAGGTGGTACAAGGTCTGGGTACTAGGTGCGCAGCTACGATTGGGGGGCATTACGAGTAATCGCAGGACGAATAATTGTACATATATATGAACAACACGGTTTATCTATTGTATATGAGGGGCCGACAAATGTCGAGTTTTTGTTAAAGCATTTTAATGGCTGGGAATAGTTGGGAAGGGCAATTTTGGGGACGCGGTTGTCAGGTCCACTGCAAAAAGAAGAGAATTGTAATATACATTAGCAAGTTTCTGATGTTTTCCTAATTATATCCGCACAAAGCTAATATGTGATAACCCTATTCTTTCCCATCATTGTTTTCCAGGGTCCTCACCAGATTAGGAACTTGGCATTCTGGACTTGTAGTTTCGGCCATTTGGCGCTCAATAAAAGTGTGTTTGACTCTGTATCTTGCATTGTAGATCTTTGTTTCAATGCCGAGAAACTCAGAGAGCGACACCGGAGGCTTCATTACACGCGAGCTACACTACGGTAGATGATAATTTCTTTCGTCAGGCGGTCCGAGCTTGTGCATCTAAGACAAAGTTGAATTAATTCGGCCTCAGACTGATCTCCCATCAAAGGAAATGGGCTGGCTCACTTAACGCCGGTTCGCGCATACGAATACGCCGTACGTAATGTTATACGGGGAAACGGCAGGAGTAAACGGGTACACTGTTGGCTGTCTTTGAAGATCATGAAGCGCTAATCATTAATAAATCAACTTTAAAACTCAACTCTCCTGGCGAAGTAAGTATCGTGACTCGGTATCAATAATGTAGCAGCTGCGTTTCTACCAATGCATTTAATATAAGAGTATGAATGCCTAACCACCTTGGTACATAGGATAGATAGGTAAGTACCGGAGTACCTGCCCTACAGTCGTTTCCTTGCTTCATCTGGGACAATGTGATGTGTAAGAAGCCGAAGAGATGCCTGAGATAGAATCATCTCAAAAATCGGGCTGAACCAAATATAGCTCCAAAGGAATCTTTGGATTCAGTTCGCCTTTGACATGATTGATGTCTTTGTTCATCTCTAGGCTAGGTACTTGGCCATCACAAAATCGTTGTGGATCGCTGCACTGACACTGTGGAATAGATATGCGTATCTCGGAAACGATCGATGCTCCGTTTTGGAATACGGACCTGAGCATGGCTTATTTATCAGTAACTGGAGAATAGTACAGTTACTTAATCGTGATGGATACGCGGAAAAAGAAGGAGGGCATCTTTGGTGACGTCACGTGGTTTCAGCATTGAGCAGATCTGATTGGATGTTCTCGAAATAGAAACAGTGCGCCGCCACACGAACCCGCTGTTCTGGCTTAAACCCCTGCATGGCAATGGGACCGCGTCGTCATTCACAGGCCGTGCTTGAGAGGAGCAGCACCACAGCCTCGAAACGCGTGTTCGTTAGTTTCGCAGCAGCGGGGTGCATAGTTGGGACCACTCTTTTTTTTGTTCGAATATATACTCCTTTCTGGCTCTCACATTAAGAGCTTCTCCAACTACATCCCCAGGGTCCTTCTCCGACGTCATTGTACCAGTCCGAGCCAGTCATATTCTGCTATGAAGCCATGTTAGACGAGAACCTACCCAGTGAGTAGTTCACAAAGTCTAAACAACATGTTCGCATGTAGCTAACTCACTAGTAGCGTTCTTTCTCAAGGCTTCACCCGGTGGCATCAAACATAACGAATCCTACTACTTCACCCAGCATGGTTCCGAACCAGAAGCGACATACTCGCTGAAGCATCTCGACCCCGCCTCGAACGAAGCCAAAAACACCTACGCCGCGGCCCTCTTCGATGCACACAATCCCGATATTCTGTACAGCGAGGTTCTAGCAAAGCCCGGTTGGACACAACCGTCCTTATCACAGGAGGAAATCCGCAGGAATGGAGGTGTTCCACCCCCACCGCAGCCGATCTTCCCCACCGAATTCGCGGTGCAGCTCTACAATCCCGATATGCAGATCATCGTACGGCAGCAGACATCGAAATGGAGCAGCACAGTGACCTACGAATTCAACATGCCGCAGACGACATTCCGAACACCGAGCTCATCGAGCCTCGACCGTAGCCAGGACGACCCTGGAGCGGATTCCACAACGCCCAAGATAAACTTCGTATGGAGGAAGGAAGGGAGATTTGGCAAGGATTTGACATGCTACATGACTGGGAAAACAACAGACCCAACCGGAAAGAAGGCTAAGAAGAGCAAAGAACCGGATATCGTGGTCGCCCTGTTCTCTGGATTGAGGGAGTTGACCATTATGGAGACGAATCTTTACAGGGTGGAAATGGAAGACTATAAAGGTCTGGAGGTTGTCTTGCTGTTGGGAGCGGCAGTGATCAGGGACCTTTTCTTCAGCAACACGCGGGAGACGTTCAACATCATCGACCCTAACTCGCGGAAGAACAGTGGTCCTCTACGGGGCAGAAAGGGCTCCTCTCCCCTTCAACCCGGAAATACGATCCCACCCGTGATGACTCCTCGACCACAAGCACCACCTCAACAGCCACCTCGATTACAGCAGCCCATGCAGTCTGAAAAAGCGGCATTGGCAAATGGGTTGTACAATAATCAACCATCGCCGAACGCTGCCAAACGCACCTCACTGCCGCCACTTCAAACTGGCAGGCAGCCTACCAGCCCACCTAGCACACAGCCTGCAAAGCGCTTAGATCCACGTGCGCAATGGGAGATCGATGCCGAAACAGCTCGTCTGAAAGCACAAGTGGAGGCCGAAGCACGGGAACAAAAACGACAAGAAGAAGTCAACCGTCGCGCACGCCGGAAAGCGGAAGAAGAAGAAGCACGCAAAACGCGCAAATTCCTCGAGCAAGAAGAGAGGCAGCGCCAACTGGAAGAAAAAGAGCGTCGACGGAAGCAAGCCGAGGTGGACAAGGAGACGGAGCGTCTGCGGAAACAATTCGGCGATCAGAGTAGCTTACTCCCTCCCACGCGACCGCAACAGACCCAGCGACATTCTACACCTTCTATGCAGGCACCGGCTGGATCCTGGCAGACTGCACGACCCGCACATCCTCCCCGTCCGGCTGCTGCACATGGTCCGTACTTGCAGCCTCCTGGTCTTGCCCAACGTCCCGCCGCGAGCCAGAGTTCGTTTTTCCACAGCAGTTCACTTAGGCCCGCAGATGCACAGGCTAAGATGAAGAAGAAGAGCTTCTGGGGACTACGAAGCTCGAGCGAGAACAGCACGAGTACATTGAAGAAGAAGCAAAGCAGCATGTTCTAGAAGAACAAGCATTGTTCATGTTCATATGCGATCAGCAACAAGCATTTATGATTCCCATTATTCGCGTTCATGATATCCACCAGGGCATTCGTTTCCAAAAGTAGACTAGGGCATGCATTTCCTCCTTGGCGTCAGGTACCATTCATCAAAACGACAAGTTCATACTTTTTGTAGATATTCCGAATGAAATGAGCATGCATATGAATCAAATCGAAAAATCCTGAACCAAATTGATACTCTATTCTTTTATCCACTCCCATGTTCTTATACTCTATGAAGGCACGACATGAAGCCCTTTATGATCATCCAAAGTCTGGACTTCTCTCCTCGGAATGGCAGCCAATCACGACGCACCATTCACTCTTGGCAAAATGAGCAAGTTTGAGCAGTAAAAACCTACAGTTTACCTCCCACAGCGAGACCATCGACATTCATAACCTTGAAGGGAGTAGCGATTGAATGGATTTGTATGGATTGCACGGCTACCGGAAAAGCTAATCACGTACCCAAAGACGCCACAATCAGCTCAATCCAAGGGTCCATTGGCCAATTCTCCTTGTTCACCTTCCCTCAACTCCATGGTCATATGCATGCTATGGATCCGAGCCATGTTTGTTTGCTACGCTTCGGGGATAGTTGTTCATGATTTGTTCGGAACACGCAGAATTAGGGATGGGGTGCGAGGTGGGAATGTGGGAATGGGGCGGCGGGGTCTGGCGAGAACTTCGCGATGTGGGAAGGAGAGGTGGGGAGGTTGGAGAGGTATAAAGGAGCTGGTATCTCGCACGAATACGAGAATTCTTGGTTGTTTGTTTGTTGACCTTTTTTACTATCGCTGAGGTCGTGAGATTGTGATTTAATCTCGTGTCTTGCTTGCATCATCCGAATAGCCCATTCATTTGCAATTGGAATACGATTGAACATTATCAAGATGAGGTTCACCACCGTTACCGCAGCTTTGTCTGCTATGAGCGTCGCTTCTGCGCATTTCCTCGTCGAATATCCTTACTGGCGCGGTGACTCTTTCGAGGAGGGTGCCTCTCAATGGATCTTCCCATGTACGATTGATTTCCCATCCACACCGCATTCCACCACATTCCTAACATCCCCCATCAGGCGCAAACATCAGTGAGACAGAGGACGTCAACAACCGTACCCAATGGCCCGCAACTGGCGGCTCCATCAAGCTGGACGTACACCACCCATGGGCCCTCACCTACGTCAACCTCGGCATCGGCACCAACGTCTCCGCCTTCAACATCTCCCTCGTCTCCAACTTCAACCAGACCGGAAACGGAACCTTCTGTCTGAAGGAGACCGGCAAGGCTAAGCTCGCGGCAGGTCTCGCAGCTGCGGGTTTGAACGCGAGCAGTGTCGATGGAAAGCAGGCTTCGTTGCAGATCATCCAGATCGCTTCGACAGGTGCTTCTTTGTACAACGTAGGTTTTCTGCTCTGAGTACACAACAGGTATTCGACGGTACTAATGGATATTGAATAGTGCGCGGATATCACATTCAACGCTACCGCCGCCCTCCTCGCTGACGACGAGTGCTCGAACTCAACCGGCGTCGCTGGCGTTTCCATCCAAAACGTAAACGCAAATGGAACCTCTACAGCACCTCCCAGCTCGAGCAGCTCTCCCGGTGCCGCCGCCAACGTCCGTCCAATGGTTGGAGGAAGTCTGATCGCTGGTCTTGTCGGTCTGGCTGTATTGTTGTAAGGGTTATGCCCTTTGTGTAAGGAGGTGGAAATTTGCCGCATATATACCATTAGCGTTTCAGATTATATGATAATGAACAGACACGACGTCATGTGTTCTTCCATTTCCCCTGAAACCCCAATTTCGTAAACTAGACTCAGAGTTTACCTCCCCGTGTATAGAGCCATGCTTTGACATCGTCGATGCCCAGCACACCCGTCAGCAGCATCTTTCCAAAGACATCAACATCGTCCGGTTTAGCATTCTCCAGAAGATTGTCGAAGTCCAATTCCTTAACGAGGAAATGATTCTTCTCGTTCCATGCCAATGCGAAATCTAACGCATTGTCGACTTTCCAGAGATGAGCAGAGTAGGTAACACGATTACCCAGCACAAGATCGTCTCTACACGCAGACAGCCAGCCGCGGAATAGTTTACACAAGGCAACGAAATGTAAAGCGATCAGTAGTGTTCTCCGGCTTGATTCTCTGATGATGTAGTTCTTCCATGCTGTTCGCGCTGCTGCGCTTGGATAGAGCTGTATGGGTCCGCTTGGATCTTCGTACGACTGGATCATCGAATGGAGAGCATACCCAGCCTCTTCCAGAGCTTTGGTGGTCACATCGATGTAGGCATGGTAGCGTATGTCGTCATTGAAAAAGTGTATTATCTGGTACAGAAGGAGCGCATGTGTTCTTGCGAGCAATTGGGTCGGTGAATGGGTGATGGGAGTATCGAGTAGTTCTTTCGTGCGTTCGGTTACATGGCGGGCAACAACTGTAGCGTTGATCTCATTGCGCGATATGTAGAGCGCACAGGCGGCCTGAGCGTCCTGAACGCATCGAGGCATATCGTCTGCGTAAAGCTGGGGGTGGCACCAGTGAGTACAGTTTTCCTTCACCATCATTGCCGGGGCGAGCTTGAGCTGTTGCATCGAGTACTCGACACGAGACCGAGCCTGAGACGACACCTGCGCTGCGGTAAACTGTTTGCCCACGCGATAGTTGGGACTTGTTGGCATTGGGGTGAGTTCCATTGCCTCGACATCTCCACCAAGTAAGTCATTCAGTGTATCGACTGATTGATTGGCTGAAGGGAAGTCGAAATCGAGTGCACCAACTCCAGGTTCATTCAGCATAGCGACAGGGAAAAGCTCATCATCAGGTATCAATTCTGGCTCAGTGCTCTCATCTCGTATCGTGGAATCTACGAGTTGAGAGGGCATTTGAGGATATACGCAACGAAGATCTTGCTTCCTACATCGTGTACAACACGGTTGACTTTGATTACAGCGACGCTTGGATTTTGCGCATTCCGAGCACGATTTTTGTCTTCCCTGAGCGTTGTTCGACCGTAGTCTATCGGCAGGCATTCCAATATATTGGAAGATGGGACAAGATGATGACTTGCCAAAGTGACTTTGTAGTTACAATGAGCAATCGAGCCATCACGTCAGATGAATGGCGGACTTCCGCACATCACGTGATCATGGAAGTCCGCAATTTCGTCCACCTAGAAGACTCGAATTGGCTAGTGCAGGTTGATGACAATCACACTAAACAGCCTTTGGGCCAACTGAGTAGGTGAATGGTACGCCATTCACAACTGGCATTTCTCAGCATCAAAATATCAAAATGCTGGTGATCTATAAAAGTCACAGTTGGGATCTCTTCACAATGCCCAGTTCAGATCCTATCAAAGTCTACAATAGTACATCCCTATCTTCATATCCTCAATGAATTCCAAAACCGTCCTCGTCACACGCGCCACTGGCAGCCAAGGCAAAGCTGCTGCTCACCACCTCTTAAAGTCTGGGTGGAAGGTCCATGCTCTGATAAGAGACACAAAAGATGCGCGAGCTCAGGCACTGGCAGATGAAGGAGCAATTCTATTCGAAGGAACTCTTTCCAACACTGAAGCTGTCGAATCCGCAATTCAAGGATGCTCTGCAATCTTCTTAAATCAGATGCCCTCGTTCACCGACGATTCCGAAACCAAGGAGGCGTTATCACTGATCACAATCGCCAAATCCGTCGGAGTGAAGCACATCGTTCATTCAACATCCCTACCAATCAGTGGCCCTGAATTACGGAGCAAATACTCTGCACCTCCGGCATCTATACTTGCTCCAGCTCTGTTGGGCAAGGCTGACGTTGAAAACCTCATTCGCGGGTCCGGGATATCCTGGACTATCATTCGCCCAGGATTCTTCATGTCTAACTTCCTCGACGCTCCTAAATGCTACTTCCCATCTCTGTCAGAGGGACAATTCGTCACCAATTTCTTACCCTCCACCACGGTATCTCTAGTGAGCCCTGATGATATCGGTGCTTTTGCAGCGGCGGCCCTTGATAATCCAGCCAAATTCGACGGGAAGGAAATCTCACTCGCGTCCCAGTTGTTAAAACCATCGGAGATCGTATCCACTATCGAATCTGTTAGTGGAAGGAAGATCGATCTAGTGTTCAAAGAAGATGAAGAATGGCAGAAGGGAAATACTAAAGAGGCGAGAGCACGAGACATAGCCTCACTGAACATTAACGAGATTTACGAGCTGGGTCAGATCGTGTCGCGAGACCTTGATGGACTGGTCAACATTCGGAACCTTGAGAGCTATGGAGTTCCTTTGACGTCCTTCAGGGATTTCTTGGAGAAGAACAAGCATCTTATGCCGTTCCATTCCACATGATTTTCTACTGAAGGCGATGCATGTGTTACTAGATGTGCGAGAATCAAATCGTTGACTAGCAAATGGAGAGTATTGGTGCCTTGATGTAGTTGTTCATGATGATACTAAATCTCTAATCATCATCCTCTTCTCCAGCTACCATGTAAACTTGATCACCGACTGCAATGCTATTTCCGAGAAGCTCTGCAACTTCATCGTCCTCGTCTTCTTCATCTTCATCCTCATCCTCGCCGACTTCCTCGCCCTCGCCCGGAACATACTTGCCATCGAGCTCATCTGCAAGGTCTGCGCCGATAACCTCTTCCTCGTTATTGCCACGCTTCTCACCGAAGACAGACCAAGTTATCTTGTCATCAAGTCTTGCTTTATCTATGTTTTTGCTTTGGTTCCATCAGCACGGCACAAGCAATCCAAGTAGAAGTGATTGACATACCTAAAACCAAGACTTCTCCAAACGATCCTCTTGAAGCCAATGGCAAATATGTGTTCTCCTTCAAGGGAAAAGTTCTTCTTTTGGTCGCTGGTTCGCGAATATCCACCTCCGACTTCGGAGTCGAGTTGTGCCCCTGATCGGGTTGTCAGTGAGTGTATCTGGAATTGTACAGTCAAGTGTATCAATTGGCATACCTAATCCAAGCACATCTACACCTCCTGTTGCGATGGTGCTGACAGGAACGGTCAGGTCCACATCAACAGAACTCTCACTCGTTTGTTTTCTACCAAGAGCTGGATCTTTCGCTGTCTGCAATTCGACGATCATGTACGATCGGTGTCCGGTCTCAATGGTCTCATTGAGCCACGCTCGTGCTTGTTCGTCCTTGACAAGCTCGCGGAAGACTGCTTTCGGTTGGCGAAGTAAGTAACGGTTGACCTCAACGGCCTTGAGCTCCGCATCCTTAGAGTTCTTGAAGCTATCCGAATTCTTGAGGAGACGGGTCAACGATAGCCGAAAAGAGTTTGTGCTAGCTGAAGATGCAAGAGCCTCAAAATTTTGGCCGACAGTGCGCAGAACGGATTCTTCAGGAATTGGCTTCGGTGATTGAAATGCATCCATCACGGGGTCTTTGAGAGTATCGGCGAGCCATCCTAGGCCCAGCGCCGATGAGGGCAAAAATTCGTTGAGCAAAAGAAGATTGGCTGCCATTCTGATCTGTACAATAGTGTATCGAGAACAGTTACAATGGATGGAGAGGATGAAAGTTTATAGCAATTGGATTGCTCGGCCAGTAAATGCCAAGCCTGGAAGCAACAACACTGCAAGCTATTTCAGCTCAGTGCACCTTTTAGTTATTCCTACTGCAACTAAGAGTTCCAATCTTCTGCTGACCTATCATTAATTTGAAACTATTTTAGTTAGAAACTAGCAAGGAAGTTAGCTAATGTACATTCATCACACAGAGCGCGGCTGAATATTTGGCATGCACCAGATATGGAAATGTAACCTCGAAACTCCCATGCCAAAGGAATGAATATTTGGTGGGGAGGTAATGAAATCGTCCCATTGCTGACTGTTGGGTCAACGAATATTCCGCTCCACGAGTCATGGCCTAGGTTTGTTTATCATTTCTACGACATCGTCAAGACGTCTCTCGCCGTCCATTGGTGCAACTAGACGAATCTGGTAGTTTGGGGGCCAGAATTCTGGACCGGTAGTCGTCTAGGCACAACCCTGTTTAGTGCTTATATCTCCAATGTCGCATGCTCTACCCGCACGGCCACATGTCCGACTAGTTGGGCCCGTAAAGCATGCCTCTTTTGTAGAATTAAGTTCACTCGAGAAACTACAAGCCCCAGTTATTCCAAAGTACAGAGGGTTGGCACGTCAGGCAGGCCGCATGCTAACTTCATGTATGTTCTATACCTAAAGTGTCTATTTAAGAGTGTACTGTAGCCAGCAAACAATCTTAACTGGTCGCGAAAAACCTCGAGAAGGCACTGTTGTGGACATAAAATACTAGCAGAGGGGCAGCCCGACGTGTCTAATTCAGAACAAACAACATCCCGTATTCTTCGTCCAATAATGTACACTTCATTCGTCTTCTAAACGGAATCCGTCTCTCTTTTCACATATCAAAAAATTCACGAACATTTGGATTTCGAGGCTTTTAAGAACAATGCCGTTCTCCAAAGCCATGAAGCGCCTTGGCGGGTCTGTCCGATCAGCGCTGGGTGTAATGGATAAAGCAACAGAAGAAAAGATCCCAATCGCCGAAGAGCTCGCGTTCCAGGCTACGGAGCAGGCTGATTACTACCAACGCAATGGCGATATCAACGCTCTCCGCAAGGCAATTAGTCTTTCACAAGGAGCGATCAATGTCTTGAATGAAGACCATTCACCGCAGCCGTTTGCGCGCAATGACTTTTTGAGCGAATTCCTGCACGATCTATTCCTCGCGGAATGCCACCAGACCCGAGATCTATTCTTTGCGACAAATGATAGTAAGGTTCTGGACGAACTCATAGAGAAACTACGACCGATCTATGATCTCGCACCGAAACCCTCGCGGTGCAACCTCTTCGAAGCTTGTTTTCTGAGTAGGACGTACATCTACCGTTACTTTGCCTATGGGGAGAAAAATGATGACGACTACCAGGCTGCACTTGAATTAGCCAATGCCGCGTTGTCCAATTTGAAAAAGTGGAAGAGTAAGCTCACACTATTACCGCAGGATCTCGAAACCATCAACGATATACGTCAAATTGTAGAAATGCCGATAGGTGTAACCAAGGGGTTATTTCTGTATAACAGAGCTTCCAGCCTGAAGCGTCAGTTCGGCTTGCGGAGAGATCTTACAGATCTTGAGTCTGCCCGATCGTCCTTTGCCCAGGCCTTGAAGCTATTTCCACCCTCGAACGAATACCATACCAAGGCTGCAGTGGAGGTGGCAGATTGTGTGGTCAATCAAGTCAATCGAACGAGTGATGTGAAGAACCTCAGTTCAGCGTTACAGTCCATCAACACCATCAATTTCGAATCTTTGAATCCAGAAAGTTTTGTGGATGCTGCTATCACGAAGACACTCCTTTTCAGGGCAAAGTTTGATCACTATTCCGATCCAAAGGATCTTGAAATGGCAATTGAAACCGCCAAGAAAGCCGCACAACCAAAGATCAAAAACATAAACAACCGCATAACAGCCTTACAAACCCTAAGCAATCAGCTTTGTCGAAGGGCTGAGCTTCGATTATCAGTCGACGACATGGATGCATCAATTGCCGCAGCAAGACAGGGTCTAGAGGTGTGCCCAGCGAAGTGGCCGCAACGATCTGGAGCATACACTGTTCTTGGTAGCAGGCTTGGAATTAAATATTCCATCTTTGGAAACGTTGAAGATCTCACCGAGTCAATTACCCTACTACGCGAGGCCGTTTCTGCGCTACCTAAAGAAAATAGCATGAGAGCTATGCGTTTACATAATCTGGCCAATGGTTTGAGGGATGTTTACTCGAGCACTGGAAACTCTGATGCTTTGGAGGAGTGCATCGCATTGGAACGTGAGGCACTGCGCATTGTTTCAGATGATGATTCATCGAAATATGTTATGCTTGATTCCTTGAGTTTGTTCCTCAACTTACGCTACAAAATCACCCAGAGTTCGGAGGATTTGAATGAGGCAATATCTGCTGCCGAAGATGCTTTACAAGGCACACCTAGAGGTAACACGAGCACGCTGATGCAAAACTTATATCTGAACTACACTAATGATTCTAAAACAGGACATATACGTTATCCCAAACGTCTCCACTCTTTAGCAAGCGTCTTGGTTGATAAATTTTCACGTACAAAGGAAATTCAAGTAGTTGATCGAGCGATTCAACTTGCCTCAGATGCTATTTCCAGTAGCACATACGACGAGGAAAGTCAGGTGCATTATCTATTCACGCTCTCGGCATGTCTTTCTTCCAAGTACCGCATAAGCAAAGACCTACAGGATCTTGATAAGGCCATCAAAATCTCTCGAGAAGTGCTCGGTAAGCTATTGTCGCCTAGATCGAGAAGAAGGAAATCGCACAATTGAAGAGAAGCTCCAACTAACTTCGTGTCATAGAACGTGGCCCTGCTTCACATCCTTCGAGATATCGTTGGAAGAGGGATCTTGGGACTCAACTCCAAAAGAGGTTCGATGCTACCGACAGTATGGAAGAAAGAAGGAAATACCTGGCCGAAGCATTGAATCTCCAAGAGGAATGCATCAAAGAAATTCCCGCTGCGGATCCTGATATGGCTTGGACTCTATGTACAAAAGGGTTTCTGACCTTAAAACTGAATGAAGTACTTCAGGATGATGCCAAAGAGCAACACGATTCAAATCTCTTGGCTGCTATCACTTCTTTCCGGCAAGGCTTCGACCACCCGGCCGCGCTTCCTATGAGTCAGGTACGCAACGGACTCCTAGCGGGTTCATCTTACATCTCCTTGAAGCAATGGGATCATGCCGGTGATATCCTCTCTCGAAGTATTCGAGTATTCAATAAGATAAGCCCCCTTTCATTGGACGAAAATGACAGACAATACCAGCTCTCCGGTCTTAGCAATATGTCCATGTATGCGTGTCTAGCGTTCATTATGCAAAATAAGCCGGATGAGGCCGTGGAGATTTTAGAGGCTGGTCGTGGTGTGATGGCAAATATTGCGATGAGGCAACACGATCGAGTACCAATTCTCAAAGAGAAAAATCCTGACCTTCATGGGCGATATACAGAACTACGAAATTCTCTATCGCAGTCGGTACCTTCCCAAAGATCCCGCACGGTGGATCTCATAAAGCAACGCCGTATGGACCAAGAAAGGTTCGAGCAGCTTGAAGAGGAAATTCGGCAACTTCCTGGGCTGGAGAATTTCAACCGAACAATGTCCGCCAAACAAATACAAGCATTAGCCATCCAGGGTCCGCTTGTGAGCTTTTGTGTCTCTTCGGGCTATCAATCCTCTGCTCTGATTGTCACATCGGATGCGATACAATCTCTACCACTGCCTGAACTTCTCTATGCCGATGTGGAGAAGAAGGTACCCTTGATCACAGGTGACAATCGCCTGAGTTTGCGTCCACCGTCAAAGCGTCCCGTGGCAAACAAGCAGATGAGGGCATTGCTGGCTTGGTTGTGGGAGGTAGCTGTTGAGCCTGTCCTCAAACATCTTGATCTACTACAGAGCCAAGAGAAATCAGAACTCCCTCGAATATGGTGGATCACAAGTAGCTACCTGGGGCTAATGCCACTGCATGCAGCTGGCAAAGGCAGCAAGCACCCGAAAGCCAATACCTACGATCACGTTATATCGTCCTACAGTTCCACATTCTCGGCTTTGGCATTTGCGCGGGAGTGTCAATCCAGAGTTTCTGAATCAGCTCCAAACGTAGCTCTAGTAACGATGCCTCACACAGCAGCTAGATCCAGTTTAAACACTGAAGGCGAAGCAGAGGCAGTCCGCACTGCCTTCTCTAGTACTGATTCGGACCGAGCAGAAAGCGTTTTAGTTGAGCTGTGTCAGCCCCCGGCCGCAGAAGTCCTAAAGCAAGTTCGAGGTGGCAATATCGACATCTTTCACTTCTCTTGCCATGCAGAGCCCGACCTGTCTGATCCGTCGAACACTGCCTTCCTTTTTGGTGACGATGCTTCTGCAGAATCGCCTGACCCAATGCCCATTCAGCATCTGAGGAAATTCAACAGCAATGCAGACCTGTCGTTGCGAGCACCACAGCTTGCATATCTCTCGGCATGCTGCACGGCGCAGCAGTATGATCTCAAGCTTCTGGCTGAGAACGTCCACCTTGCTGCGATCCTGCAGCTCATTGGCTTTCCAGCAGTCATTGGGACTCTTTGGGAAGCTGATGATAAGGCGGCAGCCTTCATAGCCAAGGCATTTTATGAAGAATTAACCCGAATGAACCACGCATACAAAAGCAATGAAGAGAAAAGATCGAAAGAGGACCAAGTGGCACGCGCTTTACACGTCGCTGTAACAGCTTGTCGTAATGCGAAATTTGGCCGTGCGAAGGGATCAGAGGATGTCTTGCTTTGGGCAAACTTTGTGCATTATGGAGCTTGATAATATTGACTTTCAAAGTCGGGTGCTCTACTCAATAGCCTAGAAAATATACCAAGATAGTGGATTCAAATACAGTACAAGAAGTACTACTGAATGATAACCTCTCCCAATTATAGAAACTGTTCTTTATCCTCTAGACTTCCTCAATCTTAACATTATCAGCTTTCTCCACTTCCGATCTATCCCGCATGAGTTGTCCAGCAAGAATGCCGTCACGAACGGATTCTTTCGCGAATAGAATATCAATCTCTTCGAGCGTCTTGCCGGTGGTTTCAGGACACATAAACCATACAAATGGCATCGCAATCCAGTTGCTGAGCAGCATCCAGATCCAGATCTTCCAACCAACTTTTTCAAGGGCGATGCCCCCGGCGAAGACGGTAATGAAGCTGAACAACCACTCACCGAAGGCCCCTGCAGCACCGCCGATATGACGATGCTTAAGAGGTGCAATCTAATTGGATTAGTCTGAGGGCACTTTCTGAAGATGATGTGACGTACTTCAGGGCCATATAACCAAGGAACACCAATCCAGCCATAACCAAACACCATATTCCACACACAGATCACGATTGCAGCGGCCCATTGCGTGCTGAGCGATGGATTTGGTATTCCAATCAAGGCTACGAAAACGGTCATGAAGAGTGAGCATACGAATGCAGACCAGAACATGATCCGTCGTCGTCCAAATTTCTCGATAGTTGGAGGTAATGGGTACGTTCCTATGGCGAACATGGTATTCATTATAGCGGCCAGGAGCTGGGACAAGAAGTCCGACAGACCAACATTCTTGAAAATGACGGTTGAGTAGTAGACCGAGAGATTGATGCCTATGCGCGTTAGCTATATTTTCCCGGCTGGGAGTTTTGAACCTACCCATCATTTGTTGGATCGATAAGACGAGGAAAGCGATCCTGATACGTCGCCCAGCCTTCAGGTCGGTGTTATCCCAAAAAAGGCTCAAAATGTTGAACTTGTTCTCTTCCTCGGATTCCAATTTCAATGAAGCCATGATCTCTTGTTTCATATACTGGACATCGGGATGGTCTAAGGCTTTGTCATGAAGTTTTATGAGTACTCCATCACCGTCAGACTCCCTTCCTTTTGCATAGTACCATCGCGGGGTATCCGGAAGGAACAGCATTACTGAACCGGATATCAACGCGAAGAACCCCTGGAAGCCAATTGGAAATCTCCAGGAGATCTGAGTATTCAATCTTGTAAATCCGAAGTCCATCCAGTAAGCAATTGGTATTCCAGTGATGAGCAGTGCGCAGGTGAATGCCACTTCAGGACCACGCTCGCCAGGTGTAATACTCATTTCGCTAAGGTACATTGGCACAGTGCATGAAATGAACCCAATGCCAAACCCACAGACAATACGGCCGACTATTATCTGTGGAACACTCCATGCACTTGCTTGTAGACTTGCTCCGATGATAACGCAGAGATTTCCAAGGAGGATGATATTTCGACGCCCTAATGGCATTCCAACGATGGAGACGAAGAGTGAACACACGCAGGCTGCTAGGGTGTAAGACGACGCGATCATGGGAATCACATAAGCTCCAGTCGGATGCTAGCACTTGTTAGACATGTATTCCAAATGGATCTTGTTCACATACACCCATTGCATCGAGGAACGGTTTGGTTGTCTGTACCCCTCCAAGAACTCCCGCATCATAGCTATTGCCGTCAGTAAACAGCGATTGAAGTCATAAGGAAGAACCAACCCATAGAGCATAAAAGACTACACACTATTAATATTTGATATACACACTATGTGTTAATGGGTACATACCACTCCGCAACTCATGCGCATCAAGCGGTACAGCAAGCGGCCTTTGATGGAATCGAACATAGTGATAGAGTCAAGCTTAAACAGTGGAGTGAGGGTGGGGTGAGAATTGTGATCTTCCCTTATCATCTTATAGTTGTCTCGACATATGGTCCAGAATCGATGGCCGCTAATACCCCAGATTCACGACTAGCGTACCCCCACAACCTTGGCAAGTCTCCCCGGGAATCAAATCCCCGGGAACTTCATTATGCTATCGCCACAATGTTCGATCCTACCGAGCCTGGTAATGCGTCGATATATGTCCACAACGCGTCGACCCTGAATTCACAATTGTCATCGACTAATCTTGCATCTTTCGTTTCGACATTTTGTCTTTTCAATCATGTCTTCCCCTGACGTTATCATTATTGGTGCTGGCCCATCGGGCATCTCCATGGCCTATACGATCAAGCATAAACTTGGCTATAGCGATTTCACGATATACGAGAAACTCGACGGTGTAGGTGGAACATGGCGTACAAACACCTACCCAGGAATAGGTTGCGACGTTCCTACAATCTTATACTCGTTTCACTTCAACATCAATCCCAATTGGTCCAAGGAACTTTGCGAGGGTGCAGAAATCCTTGAGTACATCGAGTCAACCGTGGATAAATTCAGCTTAAGAGACCATATGCACTTCTCCATTGAATGCCTTGGGGCCTCTTGGAACAAGGAGACAAACAAGTGGGACGTCAAATTCAGGGATTGCAAAACCGGCCTAGAGTTCGTCAGGAGTGCCGCCGTCTTCATCTCAGCGGTCGGTGGCATTTCTTATCCCCGCGATGTTAAGTTCCCTGGAATGGAGAAGTTCCAAGGAGCTATGTTCCATACTGCGAAATGGGACCACAGCTACAATTACAAAGGCAAACGTCTCGCAGTTATCGGAAACGGCTGCTCTGCTGCCCAAGTTGTCCCAGCAATCATCAATGACGCAGCAAGTGTCAAGCAGTATGCCAGATCAGCACAGTGGTATCACGAACGACCTAATCGAAACTTCACCAAGACCGAGACTTGGGCATTCCGCTATATTCCTGGGTGGGAACGATTGAGACGACTACAAATCTTTCTGGAGAATGATGAATTAGTGGCCACCTACATGCCTGGTGCCAATGCAACGAAGAAGCGCAAGTTAGTTGAAGACCATTCGAAGAATTACATCTGCTCTAGGGCGCCGGAGAAGTACCATCAGGTACTCGTGCCAGATTTTCCACTTGGTAAGCAATGCTCGGAGGAGATATAAATGTACTTTGATGAATTGACCTTTCTCAGGTTGCAAGCGTCGCATTTTCGACCCCAACTACTTAGATGCATTGAACGAACCGAATATGGAGCTCATTTCTGAAGGAATCCAAGAAATTGATGAAACCGGACTTGTCAGCACGAGCGGCCGCAGAGAAGAGTTCGATGCCATAATTCTAGCAACCGGCTTCCAAGTCCAGCAATTCCTCACACCGATGGAGGTGTATGGCAAGGGGGGCAAATCACTGAATCAGCAATGGAAAGAACATCGCGGAGCACAAGCCTATATGGGTTCTTTTGTACACAACTTTCCAAATTTCGCTATACTGTAAGATCATGCATCCGCCACAGAAGCTCGCTTTGGTCGTCTAACATCTTCCAGGTTTGGTCCAAATACATTCCCCGCCCATAATTCGGCTCTATTCACATGCGAAGTCCAAGTCGATTTCGTCGCACGAAACCTCCTTGCGCCACTCATTGATCATAAAGCTTCCATCCTCGAGGTGAAGGCTTCGAAGGAGAGTCAATGGGTGAACGATATCCATCGGCAGTTGCAGGGATCTGTTTTTGCTGCAGGCTGCACAAATTGGTACATCAACGAGCATGGTCGCAATGCAGCAAGCTGGCCGGGATATGCCAGTACATATTGGAAAGAGGCATCCATCCCTCGATTTGGCATCTTCAATAAGCAAGGGGGTTCGTCTTTGTGGTTTCTCAGAACGCTAAGCAGGTGGATCCGGACGACGAGCTCGACTACTTATGGTCTTGGAATCATGATTTTTTTCGTCGGATTATGGAGAAAGGATCAGGGATTTAGGAACACCGTGGTCGATATTTTTAAATCGGCCAGTGCACAGGTCAGAGACGGCCTAAGAATTATGTCAAGCTAGAGACTAGAATTACCGTTCTTACATAGATATGAATTTTCAATTAACTTGCACGATGCTTCGCTGTTTGCAGGTTAAACTTCAATATGATTCCGAAAGTAACTACCCGATATTTTGAGACACTCGGGAGGCATCCGTTACTTGGTACTAACAAGTGAAGCGTATCGGTACAGTTACGTTTTCCTCGAAAGGAAATACCGCAGGACCTTACGAAAGATAAAATGACTTCAAAGCAGATATAGTAAAATATAGTATTTGAGTAAAATCAGGGCCATTTCCATTCGATGTGTGCGACATCTCTGAGAATTAATCTATCTAGGCACCTAGGTCTCCCATAGTCGTAATAGACCGGGGAGGAGGGGGGGGGGGGGGGGGGGGGGGGGGGGGGGGGGGGGGGGGGACACTGCGGAAAGGTACTCATCGACACCCACTTCCAGGTTAATTACTGTTCCCCCATCTCGTCCTCTTGGAGTACTGAAGAACTCGGTAGTAGTATATTCCAGGTACCTACTGTCCATACAACATTAAGATACTTATATTTCGGAGTAATCTAAGGTTGTAGTACTTGGATAAAATAATGCATAAGATAGTCTAGAGTTATTTATTATGTGTAAAGGTTTAATTCAGGGAAACTATTAAAGGTACTGTGCTGTACACAGTGTACTGTACTCAGTGCACTAGTAGGTGGGCAAAGACTACTGCCGGGTTCTTCAGTTCTCTAGGGTCGGGATTCAATTTCCACGCAATTGGAGGCAGCCGCCCCCAACCTCAACCCCGCATTCCACGAACCACCACCATCATTATCGAAATCACGCCTTGGCGATGGAAGTTCTGCTAGGCATGCTGGATTTGATTTAATCCTCATGTAAGGTCAAGAATGTGTAATCTCGTGTCAGAAAATCAGTCGAAATGATATTATCTAGAAATGCTAAAAGTATTTTGCGAGACGCAGTGGGCGCTGCAAAGCGACCGGTGCAATATCGTCCTATCTCTTCGTCAATACCTAAGCGTAACGAATCAAGCCCGCCTTCGCAATCGCCTGCCTTCAAATCGAATACAACAAGTGCAAAAGACACGAGATCGCTTAGCGAGCGGATGAGCCTAAAAGGCAAGACCACCATCATTACTGGGGGAGCTCGAGGCATTGGACTATCGTTGGTAGAAGCCGTGGCAGATGCTGGCGGCGATGTTGCCATCCTTGACGTGCTTGAACAACCGAAAATTGATCTTTCAACACTAGGCGTGAATGCACGATACTATCGGTAAGAAAGACTCAACTCTCGCACTCAACATCAACTAACTCTGATAGGACCGACGTAACCAAACAAAACTCCCTAGAAGATACATTCGGGCGTATAGGCAAGGATTTTGGACGAATAGATAATTGGTAGGCGAGACTCCAGAATTATAGAAATCGCATCCTGATTAAGATCAAGTGTTACGGCTGCCGGGATCGTCGCCGACAAACCGTTTTTTGATCATCAATGGGATGAATGCGAGCGGCTCCTGAAAGTCAATGTAAATATATTCATCTCACCTTAGGAATAAATTGCTAACTAGCAATAGGTACTTGGTACCTTCTTCTGTGCCCAACTTGCGGCGAAGGCTATTCGAGATCAAGGCACGGGTGGCAGTCTAGTAATGATCGCTTCGATAGCATCGTACATGTCCCTCCCATTGCAACATCTTCCCTTTTATGGCGCAACGAAAGGAGCGGTGCGGATAATGACGAAGCAGCTCGCTGTGGAGCTTGCGCCTCTAAACATACGAGTGAACTCCATCTCTCCGGGCTTCATTCGAACGGACATGACTGAACTTTGTGCGGTTCAGCAACCAGAACTTTACTCCGTGTTCAACTCAGCGCCGCCAATAGGGAGAATTGGTGAGACCACAGATATCACTGGTGCTGTGAATTATCTCTTAAGCGATGCCGCGGCTTACACTACTGGCATTGATATCCCAATTACTGGTGGTTTGATTGCGGGACGAATTACCCATTGATAGGGAGCGACAGAGGAAAGGACGTTTAGATAGCAATCTGTTGGATTACTTCGAATATCATTTTTTTCCGTAAACTGTGCTGACATCTATGATTTTTCTGTTTCAAAAGCGTGGGAAGTCGAGACTCGTCAGCTCGGACCAGAAGATGGAATCTATAACATTCATCGCAGGATTCAGAATTATGTCCTCATTCTGATCGTCGCGGGCTGCATTCGAAGCATTAAAGTCATCTTGCCACTCATCTGAGCGACTTCTCTTGCCACCCCCATCTTCAAGCTCGTTACCGGGTGTGATAGCTGCACTTCGCTTCGCGCTTTCTCGCGTTGCTTTGAGAAGCTCATTCTTGATACCGTGGATGACTCTGAGTGCCCTCGTTGCACTTTTGTATCCTTTTGACAATTCAGAGAGCGCTTGTTGGCATACTTCCAGATCTTTCCAGGCGGAGTTTCTCAAAGACGGTTCCACTGCCTCGCAGGCGTTCAAAACGTGTACAAGACTGGCTGTAAAGATGAGGTGAACCACCTGGATGTTAATTCGACGAAAACTATACAGCCTTCTGTATATTTGTAGTAGCCTAGAGATTGCTCTCGCTGAATCGGTACATGCCGGTCTTCCAACCATGGGATCTGAAAATGCCACATCTGGCAATGTTGCAATACTGGCTGCAAAAAAAGGGCGGTTAACCAAGATCATGCATGTATGATACTGCATGTGAAGTTGTAATACATGCGGCACACAAAACGTGGTGACTGATGTGAGATCAACATTGAGACACTCGGGCAAAGATCTTTGCCACTCCAGGAGCTCTGCTCGCATACTAGAGGCAAAGTCGTGAAGCTGTTGAGCACCCAGTGTTGAAACAATTGCATCAGAGTACAGTGACTCTCGAATACGTGTCATCTTTGCGCACAGTGTTGCGTTGTGCCTATTAAGCTCTTCGATAGGATCAAGTAAAGGCGGATATTCAAAGTCCTCATACTCGTCGACGTAAGGTTGCCAGTATTTTGGTTCCGTCGTGGTGGCCACATATGGGGAAATTGTAATTGCTGCCTCATCGAGTGAGACAGGCCGTCCGAGATAAAGGGACCACATTCTCTCATGAATGAAAGCTCCCCAGAACACCACGCGCCTAAGTGTAGCTTCTTCGGGACTTAGGATCCCCGCATCCACGTATACTTCATTGTCTAGATGAAGACCAAGGTCGAGTGCAAGGCGAACAGCCATGCCGCTATAAAGCCAGCCGCGGGCATCGCGAGTACTGATGGACTCAACACCGCTGAGAATACCAAGAGATTGAACAGTAGATAACGTCGGCGAGTCCAACTCTACATCAAGAAGTGCTCGTGCACGGGCAGAAAAGAAGTCCACCAAGGATTCGGGAAGCTCAACGCAGTGTCGTGAAGTCAAGGATGCACCCACGGCACACATGGAATTGACCAGTACTTCGGAATACAGCTTGCTTGGTTCCATGTTCGCCTTGCAATACTGGCGTTCGCGATAGAACACATCCTCCTGGACAAGGTGAATGCTCGGGTCTTCCCAGCAAAAGTACAACTTGATGAGATGATCCTCAAGCTCCGGATCAACGTAATGGCCCACCCCAGCCGCGTCCAGCGTGGATTGGATTGCCATCGGGTCAGCTAATGATTTTGCGACATTCGAACTCCGGGCTCCTGCTACGAGCAAGTGCAGGTTCGATGTAGCACCATAAAATCGTAACTGCCCATCTTCAGCAAGCTGCAGTGACCCTAAGCTACCGGTGAGTTGGTCGACGAGAGGCGATGAACCTTCAGCTGGGGGGGAGTGAAATGACGTATTCGGTTTCGCCAGGTCTAGGTTTGAGGCAATGGGAGGCTTAGAGTTCTTCCTAGATGCTGAAGGAAGTATGGGCGTTTCTAATCCTGTCGTAGGTGGTGACAGAGAACGTTGCTCGCCTGGTAATGGGATGCCATTCTCGATTAGGAGAGTTTCCAGCTCTTTCGCGTACGCTTCAACCGCAAGCAACCGTTCCTTAATCGGTATCTTTCGCTTGTCTACGCCATGTTGATAGACACACTTTTGTGAATAGAGAACACAATTACTGCACGATGGTGTAACTGCATCGCACTTAATCTTGCGGTTACGGCAATTCAAGCATGCGGTAGTGACATGCTTCTGCTTCGGTTTGGGCACTGGCTGGTTCGAGTTATTGGGCGTAGAAGCCATCGCAACGACAATTATAAACAAGAAGTGTGACAACAGATATCAGGTATCTTAGCATATATATAGTTCTAGGAAGAAGGACCTTGTGTTGATTGTGTCTTGTTAGAATCTCATTACCAGTAACTCATCATTCCTTACACAGGTGTTGTACAGATTTAGGGTGAATAGGTCGCCCGGAGAATGCCGAGGTGAGGGGGTGGGTGGGGGACCTTAGTGCTAACCCAAACAGATCAGTCTGGCCCAATGTGGTCGCCGCTTTATAGCATTCTTGGATAAGGTCAATGAATACGAAAGCGTCATGTTTCAGTCGATTGCTCCATGTACACAAAGATCATAAAACTTCCTAATACCTGTTTGTCTCTACAACACTAGTCCAATACAAACGCCCAGGAGCACAAGCATAGGTGCTTGGTGAGACCAAACTAAAGTCCAAGTTTAATTGGAACATCAGTCTGTAGTCATTACCTTCTCAAATCCTTCATCCCGTTGTACGAGTACCATGTATAGATCATGTACGTCTTGAATATATAAAACGATACATCATTTCCCGCCTCTCTCTGGAAGGATATGATTTCAAGCTTCTCCAAATATGGCCCTTGATCCTTCTACTGTGCCTTCGATCCAATTGTTGAGCTGGGCTAGTATTAATAGATGCGTTTCTGAGACGAGATACTTCAATTGTAACGACCATTCTTCTCCAGGTGACATATGAACACTACGATATCATGTACCGTGTCAGTGATTGCATTTGATATGTTTTAATAACTTGGCCGAATTTGAAAGAATTTGGTACGTTTATATTATTGTGTATGAGGGATGGAAGCTGCTTATCTAGAGGGTAAAAGCCACTTGAAGTGTTTCAGAAAGATCTGTAATCGGTTTACTGTTCCATCATCAACAGGATTCATCGTGTGTAAATGTATGTGTTTGAAACTCTATCGTGCGGATTTCAGCAGTCTTACATGTTGATGAACCACTAACAATACATTTCATACCCTCCAACTTAGCACATAGCCATGATAGGCTCAAGATGGAAGAATCGTCTATTGCCGGTCTTCGGCAGAGCAAGCTGTAGGAGGGAAAAGGCGGGTAGGCAAAGGTCCAATCGATGCCGTTCAGATGAAGATTCGCCTCCACGAGTTCCACTTGATCATGATCTACTCGATATAGAATGATATTTCTCCTGTAGATTCTGGATTGTTATCTTCAATCAATGACCTTTAGCGGTGGACAAGTCCTCCAGGATGATCATAGAATGACGTCTGCTATAAAGACACATCGACTGTGCATTTCTCTGCTATGACCCCAAATCACTACAAAGTTATAGCAGGTATTGGTAGTAATAGCCAATAGAAAACGTTTGCTGACGCTTTTATGCCATAGTCTCCACTTTTCTCTGCTGCGGTGTTTGGAATTCACTCAGAGTTGAAAGTAGAATCACCACGGGGCCCAGGCAACCCACCCAATCACCCCCACAGTGGGCCATCCTCATTCACTTCGACTCCTCCCACCCCACAGTAACAGGAAGTAGCAGGCATTGCACGCCCATGTGTCCGTGCCCTGTGTACGTCTAATCCATTATTTAAACCCCCGCCCTCCCCAGAGTTTTTGGTTCTCATCCATCAGTATCACACTACTTACAGTACAACCACAACAACATCTACAACCTACACACACACAACTTACAACTTCTAAGAAACATTCACAAAATGTTTTCTTTCTCGTTCAACTTCGGAAGCTTGCTTCCAACCTTGTTGTGTTCGAAGGGCGGTAGTAAGTTCTCGACTCAACTCTTCCAGCTGGTCAACATACACTGACCTTCCAGAATTGGGTTACGACGACTATGAGATAGTTGAAATCCCAACTCTAGAGACATTCTCGAGTACCGCATGCTCCAAAATGCATGCTCCTCCCCAAAGCTCTGGAGTTTACCGTTGCAACAAGCGGACCACTGCTACCGCCCCCACTACAACAACTGCTATCACCACTGGGGCCACTCCCTCAGACGTCCTCAAAATGGCCTTAAGTAGGCAATATGCTGCCTGGGCGACCTTGAAGAAGAAAACCTTTGCCTGGTTCCAAGGAAAGGTCATCGCACAATACCAGCACTCGAAGTCCATGGACTTCTGGGGCAACGTGGGAATCTCGGTCGCTGGACTGTGTTCAAAGATTGTCCACTTCGTGGTCCTGATAGCCATCGCCGCCGTCGGGTTTCTAGTTTGGAACTCGATCTGCTGGGTCGGGGAGAAAATCTACTCTATGATCTAGTATCGGTATGTTAGATTGAATACGCATAAGTAGACTCAAAGACTGACTGACTTCATACAGAGTTATCCACCAACAGCATTTCCCGGTCTGGATGTTTTCTTCTTCCACCGCCGACCCCCCAAAAAAAACCAAAAAAACCATAAAGACATAAAAACGATCGGGGCCCAATCTCTTAGGTCCGACAAACATTCGACTGTCCCTTTTAGCAGCCGGATGAACTTTGAATCGACCATACCCTCCCCTGTCACCAAAAAAACCACGAAAAAACGAAAACCCCACAAAAAATAGTCCTTCCCTGCGACTTGATATTTGCGAATACCCCTAGTGTTTTTTTTTCAGCTCGGTCGAATAGACCTTGAGCATGCAGTTCTGGAGTTCCGGTTGCAGGCAAGTGTCTCCCGGTATACCCAACCCATCCCATTCGAGGTTCATGTTTCCTCTTTCCTTATTATATACCCCAATACCCCAATACCCCAAATGTCCACCCATTTCCTTTTTCTTTAGTCATACCCATACAATAGAACTTTCCCTATTTTCTATAACATGCTATGTAAACAGTAGAGTGCCTTGTTTCTTAAAGTGAATCGTGATCAATAGTCATCAAGACTGCGCTTAAGTAAATCTTGATTGCTTGCGCAGCAAATTTATTATGCTCACTCTGTAACGGTGCAAAAAACAGCGTACCACGTGGAAAGATCGATTCTGGTTGGCTAGAAGGGCTCTTGGCGTACTTCAGTTAAGAAGTTCTAATATTCCAACAGTGTAGTAGGGCAGGTAGTCAATTGATTGATATAGCAGGTGGTTAGTCGATTACTGCGACAGGTCAACGATTGATCACTATTCAACTGCACGGTCGACCACTTAGTTGATTGAGGAGGTTGATCAATTGGTACTGCTGATCGAAATCGACTCAATTATGGTTGATATCATGGGCAGAAATTTGGTCACTCGTTGATTATGATCGACCACGTGGAAATCGAATCGACTAGTTCCTCTGGGTGTATTGTAGGTAGGTAGACAGGTAGATAATAGGTACGTATGCGCAAGCTCCTTTGAGGCCGTTTAGGGCCTACAGACTATTTTTAATGTAGATCTATCAACATCGAAACGGCATAAAACCAAAGACAAAGTGTTTTACTGAAGAGAATAGAATATATTCACAAACAAACAAACCCACTAAGCCTCAAACGGAACGACAAATTCGTACTCTACCCAATAAACGTCATTTCTTCCGAAACGCCCAAAAGCGAAGAAAAGAACGAACACCGACGCTTAAAGCATATACCGATACCCCTTCTGCATCTCCCTCGCAGTCCTGATGTCAATCCCCTCTACCTCGGCCGTCTTCTCCAACTTCTTAGCTTCCCTCTCGTCCAAATCCCCACCCATCCTCTCCAACGCCTCTAACCTCTTGTTCTGCCTCTGGAGAGTGAATCTCAAAGCTACGAAGCAAATCACTGCGAGGACCTCAAGCCCGATGCATATTCCAAGTGCGGGCCGGTAGTGCGGGCCAGAGGACGGCCAGTAAGTAAAGGGTGTCCAGATGGAGGCGGAATTTCCGACGGAATTGATAAATGCAAGGGCCGCAGCACGCTTAGCTGGCGGCCTTGGGATAGCATTAGAGATCCAAGCGTATATTACACCGTTCTGAGCGAAGACAAAGATTAATAAGAAAAAGGAGAAGTATCGAGGACCGAAGGAGTCGGTGAACATGAAGATGAGGAATCCGGCGATGGCTATGAAAGCTGGGTACGTGAGGAACCAGAAGCGGTTGCCGATGTGGTCTGACACGTAGCAGTGACAGAAGGAGTATATGACCATAAAGATATAAGGCGGAGCCACGAGCAGGAGGGAAATGGTGTTGTTGTACCCAAGTGTACGGGTTAAGGTTGGCTGCTATTATTAGATACGAGGGAAGCACTGTACTCAAATTTATACCCACGAAGAAGTTTTGGAATCCTGAGGAGCCTGTGATGCAAAAATATGCGAGAGCAAGCATATACGTCTTTGGGTCTTGGAATGCCAGCTTCATGCCCCGGATTTGAGACATGCCGCCTGCTTCGTCAACGTCAACTTCGGCAGCGTCGAGAGCAAGACGGCGGTTTGCCACACGCTTCATTTCGATATCTAATGACTTCCATGTGTCTGGAAAGTCGGGCAATACGACAATGACTACCAGACCGACAAAAATCGTGATTGAACCCTCGATGATGTAGAGCCCTGAGATGTCATCAGATACAAATACTGTTTTAGCCACATGTGCATTGCTTACATTGCCAGGCACTCAATCCCCTCTTGCCAGCCAGCCCCGATAGAATTCCAGCTGCAATGAGGTTGCCAAAAGCGCCCGAAACCAACGATCCCGAGTAGAACATGGCCATACGCTTCGAAAGCTCTTCTTTGGTGTACCACTAGTGCAGATAAGTGTCACGTGATTTATCAATGTCCCTAGCGCGAAACTAACCTTTGATAAGTAGAACAAAACACCAGGAAAGAAAGGCGCCTCTACCAACCCAAGGAAGAAGCGACATGCTACGATGCCAGCGTAGTTGGTGGCCAAACAAGTAAGTGCCGAAACCAGCCCCCATGCTATGATAAAAAACCCCAAGTACCAACTCGGTCGTCCAGCATAGTTGAGAAGGAGATTGGATGGGACTTGCATGAGGATGTAACCGACGAACAAAATGGACAATCCGACCTGGTATTGATCGCCAACGAGATGGAGATCTTCAACAAGGCCTTGAAGACGGGCGGCCGCATAATTGTTTCTGTTGGCGTCAGCATTGTAAGTTGATAGGGAGTGGAAAAGGCGACGCACCGATCAATGTAGTTCATCAAGTAAACTAGAATGACCAATGGCATGATCCTAATGTCAATCTTTCTCCTCAACTTCTTCTCGATCTCGAGCTCATCGGCTGTGAGCTTGCCATGGTGCAAAGCTTCCTGATGCGTAGTCTCATTCTTCTCTGCCAGCTCGGCGTCTCTCACAGTGTGGTCTTCCATTCCGACTACTTGATGAATGGCAATTGATGTTGCACGAAACAAGACAGAAGCAAACGACAAGGCGGGGCGCAAAGCTTAAGAAGGTGCGAAGCTATGACAAGAGTACGCCACTGACGAGTGCCAAACCTGGGGTAGTGAAGGGCTAAGGTCACACGAGGTGTAACGGGCCGTAGTCCCCCTCTTCTTTTCCCTCTTCTCCACACGAGCATACGGGGTAGTGCAACATTCCGATGCGCTATGCAGGGTACATGAACCGCGATGCCTTTGTGCTCGACTGGGGTGGCGCGTTCGCGCGTGAGAAATGGTGATAAGTCGGTCCAATGAGGGACCCCGAAAGCTTTCGAGGTGTCATGATCGGCATATCGACGGGATGGCACTTTTCGGTACTTGGAGTCACGGTACTCCTACTCAAGGTTATATCGAAGAAACGGGATGAATAAGGTATTTGAACAATTGGTAAGAATAAATTGTGGGTGTAGCGCCCCGACTTTTTAAGAAGCGCGAAAGCTCATCGTGATAGATAATACCTGGGTTGTCATTCCTTCCTGCAAAAGAACGCCATAAAAGACTCGCGGATATTTCCCAACGCCGTGACCAACCCTCCATGACCGTACTCGTTACATTATCCATATATTAACAACCAAGCGTCTACCATCACCTAGGCTGGTACGGAGCATACTGTGGTGGATGTCCGTATGGCTGTGGTTGTTGTTGTTGCTGCTGCAATTGTTGTACATATTGCTGTTGAGTATTGATGAAATCCTGCGGATTGTATTTGTACTTGCGATCATCAGGGTACTGGTTACCCTCGAGCCTCCTTCGCGCATCCTCGTGCTCTTCCCTTGTCTCTTCCATAGTCGGCAATTCTGTCGCAAAACCCTTCTGCTCGAGTCCCGGCGAACGCATGCCGTCTGAAGCGTACGAACTGGGTCGCGAACCGACGGAGCTCTGGTAGTCGTTGGATGTTTGCGACCACCTGCCATCCGAAGGTTGGGGAGAGCCGCCGGAGAGCTCGGAAGCATTGGAGAGTCGCCTGTCGTTCGGCGCAAGGAGACCAGGGGAGGGCTGAGGCGGAGCATGGTAGAAATCGCCCGGTAGCTCCATGACGACCTCGTTGGGCTGATTTGGGTACTGCTGGCCTCCCATAGCGTTCGCAGGGAATACGGACTGGCGCGTTGGAGACATGGGCATATTGTAGGGCGCCTTGGGTGAGGGTTGAGGCGAGTTGGGGTTCGGTCGGGTGGATGAGCGATCTGCTGGGTTGACCGTCTTCAGCCTTCCATTCTCCATCATGGCGCTCAGTACACCGGCGTCCAGTAATTCGGCCTTCTTGATCAAGCGCTCGACGAGGATTTTGGAAGCTGCCTTGGTCTCCTTCTTCACGAAACTGGCCATGGCGACGTTGCACTTAATCTCGATATCTTCGCGCAGGTAGAGACCTTCCGGGGGTGCGCCGATTCCCATTTCGCGCTGCTCTGGGGGTTCGCCGGGCTGGTTGCCACAGATTTGCCATTTGTTGCGCAGGTCGACGTTGGCGGGTGCGTAGATGTGGGTCTGCAGGCCCCAGGGCATGTCATGGAAGCAGCCCTTGAATTTGATGTTGCCCGATCCCAGCTTTCCTATGCCTGGAATGTACTGAATCTTCTCAGAAATTTCGTACCAGGTGGAGTAGAACTCGTCGGCGGGGGCATCGCGAGGCGCCTTGATGGCTTCATAGCCTAGAACGAGGGGGTTCAGCTCTATGATTTCGCCGTGGCTGTGGAGGATGTCGATGGCGAGCTGGCGGGGGATAAATGAGGGTATGGAGGTGATGTTGGTGTAGGTAACTTTCTTTCGCATCATGGTTGCGACGGTTGAATGGAGATGGGGCGGCGCCGCGGGAGGGTTGGGGGAACGGTGTCGAGGGGCAGGTAGGTGGATGGTGTGGTATGAAACGGAAGATTGAAGAGAAGAAATGGAAGGGTGAAAGGGAATAATGGATAGATAAAAAGGTAATAAACCTTGGGGGTGGGATAATAAGCCGTAGTACCAGTATGTAGTAGTCGCAATAGTACTCGTAGTCTTGGAGGTGCAAGCAGGTGGGTGTGAGTAGGAGGAGATTAGGCGTGCGGTCGGTATGGGCGAAGGCGAAGCTCAGCAGTCTTTTGAACAGCGGCTCAGCTTACGTTTTGTTGATCCGTCCAGCAGCCAAACTCCAACAATGGCGTTCCCGTCAGTCTAAGGGTAAGAGGAATCAATCCCCCTCCCTTGCAGGATACCGTAGAGTGGTTGAGCTTGTGATTGAGGCTAGGGATGAGGAGGAGATTGGTTGGGCTGGCTGGGGCTGGAAGCACGGCTGAGCTGCGTCTTGGGCTTGTTCTTAGTCTTGTTCTTGTTCTTGGTCTTGTGGGAGAAACAAGATGGGGAATATTGTCGCTCTCGGTTTGGGTACCAGACCACGATTGACCTCTTTGGCTGTTGTTGACTTATGACATAGGAGAGTGAACGATGATGGATATGATAAATATTGTATGACGATACTCGCACTCGCAATACGAGTATGAGAGAGGCAGATCGACAGCTTGGCTGAACCCTTGGACACGTCATGCACGTGGCGACCTGCTTCAATCAATCAATAAGCATCATCCTGCTGTCAGATTCAGAGAACCCGAATGGAAGCAAAGGAAGGGAGACGTAGTCAGGAACATTGGGAAGAGGGTCTGGTTCTGTTCATGGCTTATTATTATTAATATTCTGAGGCAGACGAGAGGAGCAATTCCTCCCTTTCTCTCTCTCTCTCCAAGTCCGTAGGAGGGGGAGGCCGGTGGGGTGTTTCGCTCAACTCCTACGTGGGTATGACTGCATGTGTGTACCGACTACCTAAACAGACATACAAACAGTGTGTAACGACATGTACCTGTACTTGTTCGTACCAGGCACACGGTAGAAGTACTGGTGCTTACCCATCGCGGGAATCAGAACTCTATTCTTAGGTTTTGTCTCGTCTTGTGGTTTATTTTATTCTTTTCTTATTATTCTTATGATTCTTTTACCATCATTTGTTCGTTTGTTTGTCATATCCAGTCTTTACCAATACAAGCATGTTGAACCATTATCGCCTCTCAAGCCACACCCAAACTCTCTCTCTACCTTCAGCTCTCTGCATTCACCTCCTATTTCGACACACTCATACCTCGCAGGATAATTCATACAAACCCGGACTTTCACACCTCCCCTCTTCTTAATTCACTTCTCCTATGCCCCTCCCCCTCGTGATCCACCGCCCCAAGCCCGTCACCACCGGGAACCTTTCTACCCGCCATGTCCAAGCCTTGCCCCAGCCCCCCGGATGCAGACGATCGCGACCACCTAGCACTGTTAGCACCACCAACTAGTAAAAATCTACGGACAATCATCACTTAGAACATCTTTTCGCCTTGGCTCCCACGGCTCCTTACTCCTTTGCCTCAAAGACCATCCCGTCGCGTCCCGTTCGGGTATGGATCGGAAGTCGCGGACTGTTTGAGAAAATCCCAAAACACCGAATAAGTCGAGAACAGTCTGCTGTGTGGCCGCGGCCGCCCGCGGTACACCAAGGCCTAAGTGCGGCTACTGCTCGGTGCATGCATTCACAAAGGCAGGCATGCTGCAGGTGTCATGGACGTTTGGATGTGTTTCACAAACATCAGGAGCAGAAATGCACGATGCTGCTGCCCAACGACAGGCAAAGCCCGTCAGGTACTAGGTAATGCCGTAGCTTTGGCATGTATACACACTATAAGGACTCCGTCTGGTTATAGCATTCTTTGCGCCAGTCTGCGCATTCGAGATAGAGAAGGGCGTTGCAATTTACACGTGCTATCAAAGACCATCCGTTAAACGTCTATCTATGCTCAATGTCATTTTGAGTGCGATTGATGCTGATTAACCCATATAGAAATAGATAGAAGAAGCAGAAAATATCCAATATTATTCGATTACAAAAAGGGAGAATTTTAGCCTTACGGAGATGCTACACCCGCACGGTAGGACAAGTCGCCTACCTCATTCCTACCAACATGTTCCGTACGCACAAATGAGGCACAGTGAAATCTACCCGTACGCACCGCTCCCGCTCCGATGCGATGCGATGCGATGTGATGCGCCCCGGAATCCTTTGCCACGAGCAACTGCCTCGTGGTCCCTCCGATAACCACCAAACGAATCCCATGCTATTGTCATCTTACTCATATCCTAGACCGGGGTGGTCGGGGAGGCATTCGTCGATGTTTTTGAATCCCGATTACGTTTGATTGGATACGGTGTTTAGAGTACATTCTACGTGTCGTCAGACTTATCTATTTGCGAGCGTCTGTCTAGCTATTTGGTTGTATGATTTGAATTACCTACCTAGGGAGGTACTATTCAATAATGAGCGAAAGTGAGTCTTATCGGTCTGCTGTTGTATTGTCAAGAACGTCGAACTCCCACCTTTAGGAGTGGGGCGAATGGGCATAGTCATATATTCATCTTGTAATGGGGCAGACTATGCTGGATTTCGCTCAGTCATATCAAATTTTCTTTTCGAAAATATGCTGTGATCAGAGCAACACCATATCACTCACTACGCTCACTAGTCTTTCGGAGATTTCTCTATGCAGCAACAACAGATACGATCCTTTCACGATCTACTAGTCACAATCTAGGCGAAGCGGGTCTGTTGGCAGGAAGGCTCCCACACCACCGCCATGTTCCCTACTTCCCCCTTTCCCCGTGGGGCGGATCTACAGCACATTGCAGCTCGACTATCGGTAGTGCGGCGAGGGCGGAAGCGGCGGCGATTTACCCACAATAGGAAGTCTAATGGACGTCCCGCAAACTGCAGCAAAAACGAGTCCATATATACATTGTAATGATGGGAGGTCACTCATCTTGTCAATAGAATTGTGCCAAATCTAGAGAAAGCAAACCTGAAGTGCTGAGGCAGAGTTCATATGTTCACGGTCCACTGAAAATTGGAGACTTCAAGCGTCAACTTCTTTATAATCCATCCTATCCTGTATTATTTCATGGTCCGCCGCAGCATCAATACTTCATAATATGACCCAAAGATGACACGTTGGAGCTAGATGCATCTCCTTGCCCGCCATTATTCCAAGCCTCAACCAAATCCCGAACCTTTGCTCCTTCCCAAGTGCCTGCTTCCGTCGTCCAGAAGACACGTTTGATACCCACCGCATCAATGTACGATATGCAGCGATAGCAAGGGCGTGATGAGAGCATTGAAGGTTTTTGGTCTGGGAGCTTTGCTGTGGAAGTGGTATTTTCGTGTTTAGAGCGCTGGTGATAACTGAGATATTCATCGTGAAGTGATCCATTCAATTGATCTGGGTCGCTCCATGGTGCCAATGTCTGTTCCTTACCCTCAAGCTTGTTGCTGCAGCAATGCGATGTCATAGTCGATGAAGATATTGTCTTCCGCCCTAGTCGAGCGACGTACAAGTCTACACCATGAAGCTTAGGATCTGTTGTCCGTTGCGCAACATTAGAGGACCGGCGCCCTGAACTTCGTGTAGGTACCAATCCATCCTGACCGGTCGTCTGTGTAGTCATGGATATGCCCTAGGCTCAAAGTCAGTGACCAAAGTTGTCAATAGCAGCTAAATGATATCTTCCTACCCAATTACCGGGCGGTTCATGGGGTGGCTCTCAACCTAAGGGGGAAGTCGGAAATAGTCCTGGCCACCCACTATTGTTATGATCACCACCCAAGCACCGTTGTATCCAGTAAATAATATTATAGCACTTAGTATTTAAATTTAATAGCAATATTGCGAAGCCTTAAGAAGTATTTTTAATATAATGTTATTCTGCCCTCTGAAGTGTCTCTGTAATCAATTAAATAGCCTCAGGAGCTCTCCTAGGACTATTTCCGACTTCCCCCTTAGGCTGAGAGGATGGTAAGGCCTTCTTAGCCTTCGATGCATCTACTGATTGAAAATGGCAAGGTGTCGTAATGCCACAGCGTGAATGCTCCCGTTGTCCCGGTCCGATTTGACGCTCACTCCGCGTAGTCTTCATCTCTTTCTTCTCGTTCTTCAAGCCATGATCGTCTTGATGATCTCTCTGGTCTGAAGCCATATCTTTCAAAAGCCCCACCGATTGGAGTTGGCCGAGGTCCATGTCGGTTTGGTCCAAGTGACCGTTGTTCAAAACGCACTCTTGAACTGACGGCGGGAGGAGGTGTTTCTCTGTAATCGAACGGGCGACTGCGGCAGCACAGACCTGCTCGACATATGCTTTGATGGCGTCCCTTCGGGTTCGAACACTTCCTTTAGTACCACCCGATAGTTTAGAGTACGGTTTGATCAAAGACATTGTGCTGGGTGAAGAGAGAGCGGACTGTATTGCCATGATCTCAGAATGCATGGAGAATGGAGTGCTGGCCAAATTACCACCACTCATGCCTTCAAAGGCAATGAATCTGTTTCCAGTGGAGTCCTTTGAGTCAGAAGTAATATCCTTGGCCTTGTGCTTCAGTTTGATATTTGCCTTCAACTTCAGTGCGGCAGGGCCATCGCTGCGAGTTGGCAAACGCCCAGTCTTGAGAGCTCCTCCATCAAAACCAGAACGGTAGTCATTATATCCCTTTCCGATGACTTTACCTCCGCGTACTATTACACATCCATGACGGTAATGCAGAGGCGAAAGCTCGGCCTGCTCCAGGCAAAGAGTCAGATACTTGTCAGTGCTCATGTCGAGTGAGTGAAAGGTTTAGAAAGTTTCTCAGGCACAATAGTCGTTTGCTTGAATGCAATATTCTTCTGAAGGCGCCTAGGTAGCTATTCGGATTTCTTTTTTGAAGGTCTTGAAATGTCTTTATCTTGTACACTTTCTTATGTGAAGGAAGTGATGACTCCCAAAGGACGCAAGTAGTAGCTTTTCCTCATCCGGTTAGGCCAACTCGACACTATCAATGCTTCACAGTGACATACATTGCTTTTACCACCCACGGCGAGTGTCTACGGTCTTCTGAATTCTTTTTCTGGCCCTTAAAAGTTCTGATTTCCTTTGTGCCTTGTTTACTATGTACATGAGTTTCCGCCGTCTCCCAGCTTCTAGACATCTACTCGGCCCAAACGACTGCACTGACACCATCCTCGTTCTCTGGGGTGCCTGTTGTTCCAATTCTCAAGGATGCGGCTTGACCCGTCAATTTACCCGTCTTAGGATCTCGCTTGACAATGGCAACAGTGGCGCTGGTCTGCCCTCCAATGGCGACGTAATCTCCTGCCTTGTTGATATCGAATGTGCGAGGATAATAACCAAAAGCAGAAGTGAGCTCAGTGAAAGTGAGCGTCCCGTCATTTGCAATGGTGTATTGGGTGATGGAGTCGAGCTGGGGACCAAACTTCTTGTCATTACGGTTCGAAGTGTAGAGATAGTTGTCCCTGGCACGGATCTCTCCAAGCTTGGTTCCAGCGGGTGCGGCTGCATTGCCTTGGTAGGGATTGATCGTTTGCTTAGGTGACAAAGTCAAACATCCTCCTCCCGAGGGGTATGTGACAGAGTATCCAGTCACGGAATTGCCAAGCTCGTTCAAGATGAAGAGGAATTGTCCATCCGCAGCGCCTCCACGCTTGACACGGGACGACTTGCTAGCTGGTGCCCAGAATACACCGTGTCTGGGGCCAGCGCCTGGAGCAGTCTTCTGGCCAGGGCATTCCTTGAGCTGACCTGAAGCCTTCTCGATTTGGAAGATGCGGACGATATCAGCGCCTAGATCAGGAGCAAGCAAGAAGTTGCCGGTAGGATCGGTAAACACGTGGTGAGGGTGCGGGCCCTTCTGGCGAGCTGCATTCGGTCCTGGCGCAGACATGGTCCACTTTAGCACCTGCTGTGGCTTTTCTCCATTCAAGGGAAGCTTGAACGTGGAGATGGAAGATTGTTCGCTATGTTACTATAAGCTTGACCAATTCCCCACGTCTTTTCATGCAACCTACTAATGAGCATTGGCGATGAAGCCCTTTCCATCGGCACCACCGTACAATTCCGTAGCAACACTGCTCTGATCCGTCGCTACCTTACCATTTGGTGTCAATGCACCATTCTCGCCGATTTTGAATGCTACGAGGTTGCCAGTTGGGCTGTACCAGGTCTCGTCGGGGAGGTAGAGCGCTTTGCCGGGACCATCATAGGTAATCCAACTTGGCATAGTATTGCCAGTCTTCGTCTCCTTTGTCAATTTCAACGAATTCCCACCGCTGAAGGTCAAGTAATTGATGGTTCCGCTGTAATGCGCCGCCCAGAGGTTCTGCGCACTCGCGAGACCGCCAAAGAGCGGGATGAGAAAGGTGAATGAGGACAGCATCGTGAACAGTAGGTTTTTGTCAAAGCCTTGTGGTGAGTGTTCTGGCGAGCGGTCTTGCTCTTCTTCTATTGCTCCTCATCTCCGCACCTTTCGCCAATCTTCAGCTCTCCGCAATTGGCGCAGCGGATTCACTATGGTGAAACACATTATAAAGTGCCGTGGGCTAAAGACGTTGTATTGCGATCGTAACTTTGTTGGCAGCGAAGAGTGGTTATAATATCATCACCCTTTGGAATACTATCCCGGTTAAATTGCACGGATGTTTTGCATAATTTATTTCAATCTCAGGGCATCTGTTTCCAGTATGGCCGTTTCGTTTACACCGGCTAACCGCGCAATTTAATCAATCCGTCATCCAGGCTCGGAGTAGGGGAACTTTTCAGCCTCTATCCCTTGTGCCACCGACGTCGAACAATTCTTGTCCCTATATCTCTTGGCTGTTGTGTTTTCCAGGAACGCGCACACTTCCCGTGTTGTGATTCCGAGGACTCGTTCACGAGATACAAACAATTTTCAAGCTGCCAGGCCCCTGAATCCAGATGCTTACCCAATGGCCTGGACGACCAATCCCCGTGGGGTGTTGCATTTATCCCCGGATGTCAGAGCCGCTCATATGATTACGTACCAGCTTTGTACGTAGGATCGGGAGTCTGGGCTTTACCAACACGTAGGAATGCTGGATGACATCGCTGTGGTCGCATGTTGCCCTCAAAGTACCTCTTTGGGCTATGTACTTTCGTATCCAGGTGCAAGATGCAGCTTTTCTTATCTCGCATCATTCTCGAGTCCCATTCTGTTGATAGTGGTGTTTTTGTATAGCAATGGACTCTTCTATGGGGTTAGCTTTTTCGCTTGAATTCTTATTTAAACCACCAAGAAGTCTTTTCTTGCTCTTGGTCTTAAGTCTTTGGATTGTCGAGCCTTCTATCTGTCAAGGTCTATCATTATCTCCACCATGGGACAAATTTCTCTTGTTTTTGCCTCCATAGGCCTGGTTTTGTTTTCTGGAGCTTCCGCAAATCCTCTAGACAAAAGAGCTGCTGTCGATGATTGTCTCTCTCGTCTCAAAGTCCCAGTATTCACACCAGGATCCGGAGACTATACACAAGCTTTGAAACCTTTCAATCTTCGTGTGACATTTAAGCCAGCTGCCTATGCTGTCCCTACCACGGTGCAACATGTACAAGATGCCGTCTCTTGCGGCGCTCAAAATAATGTTGTAGTCACCGCCAAATCGGGTGGACACAGCTATGGCTCACATGGTCTCGGGGGGGAGGATGGTCACTTGATTGTTGATATGAAAAACTTCAACACTGTGACTGTTGACCAAGGGTCTTCGACTGCTGTCATTGGCACTGGTGGTAGACTTGGTAATGTTGCCACGGCTCTGTACAACCAAGGAAAACAAGCTATCAGCCATGGCACATGTCCTGGGTAAGTCGCTTTTGTACAATTATGTCTGGGTTCAATTGACACATAGCAGTGTTGGTGTCGGTGGCCTCACTCTTCATGGAGGTTACGGTCTCATCTCACGCTCCAAGGGCCTGACCCTGGACAATATCGTCGAGGCAACCGTCGTGCTTGCGAATAGCACTGTTGTTACTGCATCCACGACTCAGAACCCTGACTTGTTCTGGGCTCTTCGAGGCGCAGGTGCCGCATTCGGCATTGTCACAAATTTCAAGTTCAAGACCTTCACAGCTCCAGAGAACAACATTGTTTTCAACTACCAAGTATCCCCAGGAAATGCCGCTCAATTAGCTCAGATCATCAATGCCATGCAGAACTTCACTCGTTTCGAGCAGCCACCAGAGCTAAACATGCGTCTTTTCTTATCCGGTTTCACCACCTTCTCTGGCGTCTACTACGGCTCTCGTGCTAACTTCGACGCCATCATGAACCCTTTGAAGCAGAAAATGGGTATTGGAAACGCGTTTGGATCCGTATCCACAAACAGTTGGCTCAACACGTTGACCTCGTTTTCAAATGGGCCACTCCAACAGGCCGCCGTGTATGACACACATGAGACTTTCTTCTCTAAATCCCTCATGCCCGAGTACCTTCCCCCGGCTGCAGTCGACGCCCTCAGCAGATACTGGGAACAGAATGCTCGCAGCAACTCTCGTTCATGGTACTTGCTCTTCGACTCGCATGCTGGTGCTAAGTCTGCCATTTCCAGCGTGTCCGCCGACTCCACCTCCTACGCTCACCGTAACGCTACTTTCAAGATGCAGTTCTACGACCGCGTCAATAGTGGAAACTATGATCCATCTTGGTTCCCCTTCCTGAACAATTGGATCAAGGCAATCAAAGATGCTAGCCCTGGTATCAACTACGGCATGTACATCAACTATGCTGATACGAGCTTGACGAAGGATGAGGCTCACAAGAGCTACTGGTTGGGCAACTATGACAAGCTCGTGCAAGTGAAGGCTGCTTATGATCCTAAGAAGGTCTTCGTGGGCCCGCAGCTTGTTGGCTCTTAGAGTGTCATGGTATTTCGGCATTTCGCTGGCGTCGGATAAGAGGGTGCTTAAGCAATGGAAACGGTCCTGAAATCTATTTAGAAACGATCCTGAGTATTATTGAGCTCAAATTAGCAATATTTTCGTTTCGATCGTCTTTCAATAGTACCAGTTAGGCCAATCCGCAAAGCAATCAATTATTTCCGACATTGCAGCACCGAAAACATATTCAGAATAGCAGCCATAATCAGTGCAAGTAACTATCTTTGAAAAAGAGTTACCCTGGTCAATATTACATGCATGCAAGCCTCAGGTTGCTGTCCCTGTTTGGTACTCCTAATCTCATGCGAGCCTATCAAAGTCATCCACATGCATGAGCGATCCTCAGCCCTCATGTGGCTTAGACTTCAGTCCTGCTGTTAGAGCTTGACCGGTGAATTTGTTGATATCTTCCCCACCTCGATCGTTTTTTGTTTAGATATTGCTTCTTCATTTTCTTCTAATGCTTCAAGTAGAGTATATAGGCACAATACATTGAGCCGGACTTAAGTTTCCACGCAATGTCATCTTCTAGATACCCAGACAAGCAGCCATTAAGGGACGACAACATCCGCTTGATAAGGATATTACCGGGAAATTGGGAAGACGAGATACGATGCGACCTATACACTGAATCACTATCGAAACGACCTAAATACCATGCTCTGTCTTATGTTTGGGGTTCGGCCCTCGTCAAAAAGCCTATCAAACTAAACGATAGCACGTTCGAAGCAACTACAAATCTCGAATCAGCATTGCGCCATCTCCGACATCAGCGACTGGGCCTGCCCTTGTGGGTTGATGCTTTATCAATCAACCAGACTGACAACCAGGAAAGGACACATCAAGTGCAATTAATGGGCAATATTTACAAATCATGCCTCAGGGTACTCGTATATCTAGGCGATGACCTTAAGGTCTATTATTCTAAAGCCAACCCAAATAAGGATATCCCCAGCTTGCCAGCGATGACAGCATTTTACTTCAACAGCACTGATCGACCTTACATAACACGTTTCCTAGGCAAGCCATCCAAAGCAAAGGTAGCGCAATGGAGGTCCGAATTAGTCGATCCTATGAGAGACAGAACATTTGAAACCGTCCAGATTTTCTCCTTCATTCGTGCACTTTCTTACATGGACCACCTTAGCGATTTGCCCATCCTCTCTCCAGGCAAGAAGAATAACTTTGCCGAAAGCGATTTGCACCACCTCTTTGAAATCCTGAGCCGGCTCATGCGTGCGCCTTCCACAAAATGGTGGACCCGTATCTGGACTGTCCAAGAGGTTGTATTGCCCCCTGAAATCACCCTAATGTGTGGGACGGTTTCCGCACCATGGCCGATGTTTGTCGAAGCCGCTCAAAAGTTTCGTGAACACATCCTGTCGTGCTGTTCCGGCATTCAATCATCCTTGTCCAAATACTGCCGGGAAGAAATCGTTCACTTTATGAAGGAGGTTGACAACGTCGAGGATTCCAGGACCGTTTACAGACACACGGCCGCAAGGAGTCGGTCTTGTGACAACGTGTCAATTCTATCATACCCAGATTATTCGTGGGGAACCAAGTTATCCTTACTGTCTATTCAGATCAAATTCCGACGTCGTGAAGCCTCAGACGCGCGCGACAAAGTGTACGCACTGCTCAGCCTCGTCTGTCGACCTGCAGATCAACCGGCCATACTTCCAGATTATACATTGGATATATCAGAAGTATATACAGTGGCTGCCGTGCAGTGTATTTGTGATAGTAGGGTACTTGCAATACTCACGGCTGCTTCTATGATAAGACCCTGCCCCAAATTGCCGACTTGGGTGCCCAACTGGGAATGCCTGGACGAAAAGGATTTCGGGGAACGACTCCGCATGACAGGCTTCTATGGAACAACGCCTTCCTTAAGTCGTCTTCCAACAATGCAATACTTCTCAGCAGATCGCAAACCCATGCTGATGCTAGAAGGCAGATGCTTGGATTACGTGACTCACGTCGGCGAAACGATCACCGAAGACACGCTCGAAGACAAGTTGAGGAGCCCACTGTCATGGAAAGATTCTAAAGGCAACATGCACGTCATGTCAAATACGCACAAGACTTCTGAATTCTGGAGAGTCCTATGCGCAGATATTGTTTGGGACGATGGACACTGCCGGCGAGCAACCCCTAAAGATCATGCTAAATTTCTGATCTGGGATATCTTCAGCGAGCTATCTATTATCGATACCAACATGGATTCCTTAAGTCATCTTTTGTCCAGGTCAGAACGACTACGACTGATGCTGGGTGCTTTGAGGAATGCGGAATATATTTCAGAGAATAATGCGGGGCGAGTGGGCATGATCTTTTGTGCCATGTTTCCAGACAAAGCAGAGAGACAATTACTGATTTCTAAGGCTTTCAAAACAGATGTTCTTGATGAAGGGACCGAGACGCAGAAGAGTTTGGCAGCTCCAATCGACATCTCCAATGATGCTGTAGAGGAGATGCCACTAAGTAAGGGAGCAGGACATTCAGTCCTACCGCTAATCCCCCAAGACAGGTATGTAGCCTAGTAATGGGTTCCCAAGATTAATTCCATAATTTAAGCTTACCTTCATCACAGCTTAACACCAGGACAAGCTCAATCCGGCTTGGAATTGGTCGATTGGGTTCGAATGCGATCCCTCGTCGAAGGCCTCTACGAGACAAAAACAACATCTGGTAATACAGGCTCATGGGACCCTTTAAATCCCTTCTGGAACACTATCTCATCCGCACGCCTAAGCGTAACCGTGGCCACTGAGGGCCGCAGGATATTTGGGACGAAGAGCGGGTTTATTGGTCTTGGACCCGAGAGCCTCGAGCATGGTGACAAGCTTTTCCTGTTGAATGGTGGTAACACGCCTTTCATCCTACGTGAATACACCCCAGAGCCCAAGAGACGTCGATCAAAGAGAATTTGGAACAAACTTAAACGTCCGTCTGCCATAGAGGATACGAGGAATCACTACACTTTCGTTGGAGATTGTTACGTGCATGGACTCATGGATGCTGAGACATTGGAGGAGAATCTGATTAGTCGAGATAAAGTAGGAGTCTGGCAAGAAATTTCTCTGCTATGAGGCATGGGGTAGTTTTGCATCGAATATAACGGATTCGGGCTATTCGATATCGCACAATGCAGTTGCAAACTACCACTCCGTGCTTCATAGAAGCGCATCGCCATAACACCTTGCTTACATCTGATATTCATCACATAAACAAGCATCAAAACACATCGCATTTGTGAATCTTCATAATCGATCAGAAATCTTTTCCATTTGATTATAGCCTTGCCCAATGGCTGCTTGTAGATTCATCTGTGGTCCCATGTTCGTTGCCCTTGCCCTTTTTACGCCTGATGATAAAGAAAAAAAAGAAGATATATGGAACAGGAAATACCTAAAGTAAAGGAATAATGGTATCATAAAAAGAATGAGTAAGAAAAGGGTGGGTAAGCAGTTCGTTCACTGAGGTGATATATACAAAGCTCCTTTATCGCTGACTGCTGAGACATCTCGATCAGACAAGGCAATTCTACAACTTGCTGAAATTCCGCGTAATCATGACAACGACGCCGGCCACGATCTTGATCGCAATCTTGAGCACAAATATGACACTTTTAAAAGCGAATGTGAGAACATTGATGACAGCCCTTGCAACAAAGGGCAGCTTATCCTCTTCCTCCTTCTTTTTGCGTGCTTTCTTCTCGGCCCGAGTCTCTTTGGCCGGAGCTTTCGTGCTATCCTTATTTTGAGGTTGCTGGCCATACCATTCGCCCAGTTCGATGTCCTTGTCAAAGCTGTCACTCGTTTTGGAGGTGTTTGTGGATTTGAAGGACCACTTCCTACCTCCTCCTCCGCCGCCTGATGTGATCGAAGAAAGCGGATTTCGCGTCTTTCCGCCGAAGGAGTCGAATCCTTCGGTGAAGGAGTCTTTGAAGGCTTTGGCGGTGCTTGGTTCTGTCCTGTTGAGAACGGCGGAAGGAGGAGGTGGCTCGAAACTATCCTGGCTTCCGCGATTTGTCTTGCGTCCACGGACAGCCTCAGCGACAGCAACAGCGAGGATTGACGATGCAGCAACATCGACTAGGAATGGGTTTCCAAAACGTGTCAGGGCACCGAGATTGAGAGTGAGGGAGTTGGAAGCGAAATCCAGTCGGGCGAGCATGGCATCGTCGGCTGTTGCATCAGTTGCCGTAGGGAGTTGCGTTACATCCATCTCTGATGGCGTGATAGAATTGGGTCGCATGTCCTGGCCGAAACCACCGATTCTTGGTGGAGGAGTAAGGGGAGAGAATTGGGCGGCGCGAGGGGAGTTGGGCGATAAAATGTATGGGTTCAGAAGAGTAATCGAAGCAGGCTTCTGCGTGATATTTGGGGTTGATGGCATGTTATGGCCATACATTCCTGTCACTGGGCGCGATGACGGCTTGTTAATCCCTGAACAGTCGCCTTCAACCTTGATTGGGAACGTCCCGAGTGTTGGGTGATGAAGCTGATATGAGCCTTCCGAGGGCATGTGTCTTGCCCAGGGATTAGAGTGCTGCTCTGGGGAATCACGAACCCAAGCAAGTGCACAACATTCGCGCTGAGCAGCTCCCATTAGCACTTCTTCCGCGAGTTGTTGTGCAGCAGGAGACGAGGCGTCGGGGTCGTTGAGGGCGATGTGCGATGCCCTTGGCGATGTCGCTGCAGCTTCTAGAGCTGCCAGAGCCGCAAGCTTTGGGTAGATACTTGTAAGGAGGGTGGTTGCTTCGTGTTGGAGCGGGTGAATAGAATTGTTCCCAAGCGATGGAGGTGCCATTAAATCAAGCTGTGCGATAGGCAGGACCCGTGGTTGCGTAGGATGATGGCGCTGTATTAACACCTCGTTCATGATGCTTTGTACTTCATTGTTGCCCGCCAGATTAGACAGCCCAACACTGTAGAACGGAAGAGATGGTGTCGTTCCAAAGGTGATGGTGGGATTGGCTGCTGTAGGGCGATGCATACGAAGAGTATACATTTGGACAGCCGGCTCTTCCTGGCCGTTGCAGGCCACCCAGAGATTGTCCAACAGATGTGAGGGGGTGAAAAATGGCTTTGGGGGCGGGCTCTTGGTTCCCTCAGATGCCATATGCCCATGAGGAATGTAGAATTCTGGCGAATACGGAGACCGACTAATCTGGTTTTTTGGAATATGGGTGGGCGAAGCCTGAGATGGGACGTATTGTTGCTGTTCAAGGCTAACATTGGGATTGTAGACTGGGAACATTGACCTCATTGGCACCTCTGACTGCAAAGAAACAGTCCTCGCGTGTGTAGCGACACTGTTACCTCGCACCAAGGTAGGGCTAGTAGAGAAGGCAGGAGAAACTGTTCGGCCAGGTCCTGGAGCGAAGGTAGGAGTGGCAGATCTATCCTGAGCATCTTGGATGGGGAAGATGGGCGACATTGGCTGAGCACCTCTTCTCGAACTCTTCCTTTCGAGAACTGGAGATGCATGTCTTGGTCGGGGTGGGGAATCAAATACTGGCCTGTTGTCTTCAGGAGGAGTCCGAACGGGGAGATGTGCCTGGGGCGGCGGCGCAATGGAGCTTGGAGGTGCCATCGAGTTCGATGGTGACACTGGGACAGAGTTGACTTGTATGATAAGTTCGTGGAAATTCTCGGGCGCTCTGTTCGTCTTTGCACTTTCCATTCTTTCCGGCTCTGGTTCTGGCGTGGGAGTCTTGCCTCGCATTCGTTGTGTTGGACTCGCTTGCCGTGGGCGGGGAGGGGGAGGAAATAGTTGTAATGCTGGTCCCGCCATCTTGTTCCAACTCTTGAAGTTATTTCAATGAGAAAAGAAACACCTAAAAATACTGACTTTTCTTCTGCAAAGGATAGAAGCTGGGACGATATGCAGTTGGGACCAAAATCTCAATTCACTCGTTCACAGTGCACACAAAGACCGAAACATTGGTCAACAATGGTTCGGAAACGGATAATCTGGGGATAAAGCATATATGCTGGACGGCGGAAACAACCCACCCAAGACGGGCAAAGGCTCTTGATTTCGCAACGAAGCAATAGCGGTTCCCCGGTGCTTCCCATGCATTTGGCTGCTGATTTGAGTATTGCGGTGTATGGAGCAGGCCAATGAGAATGCAAGTAATCCTGGGCGCGTCCCTCTTGGTGGAGATGGGCGGTTATATTTATGGTGGTAGATGGTGGTTGGTCTTCGCCCTCTAAGCGCCCAACGCTTCCTCCTCGCTACACCACCAACCATGTGCTTCCCTCGCCGCCCGGCCATCGCAATGATTCGTCAGACGCCGTGTGCTGATGCTGACCCTGACCACAAGGGCCTTTAGGCGTATGTGACGAGACTAGTATGCGGGCCGTAGCGATTAGATATCGACAGTATCTTGTAGATCTATTTTGAGCGACCTCGAGCCTTTCATCCAGTGGAGAGGGGCTGGCCACGCTCGCATGCAGTCCCCAGTTCGCCCTGTCCGCCGACAACGGATATCCCATGTCGAATCCTTTTTCGACACGGATACGCACATGAATGCTCGTTGGGTTGGTTCACGAAAGAGCAGATCCGGCTGTCTTTGTCTCCGAATGCAAGACATATCCATATCCTATTTCCAGCACATGTTTGAATGTGCAGAGTACAGTGAGGAAGACTTAGAGTTGGACCTGGATGATGAGACCAAGTTGAAAATCAAGTGAGCAGGAGTTTCTGGTTTGTAGAATCTTGAAGATGCAGCCACAGCACCCTTAGCGGGTAACTATGTGGTGGAGGCCTGAGGAGTGATTGCTTCTATCGTAACCGCTGCACCTCTCTTGCCATGGACTCAGTCGAGTCTAGTGGCAGAAGCCCACAGATATCGCAATGGGTTGCATAAGCATCCGAATCGAAATGAGAAGGCTGTCTAGCTCGCAAGACTGGCGCACTCGTTCTCTGTTTGGTTTTGCAGGCGCCAGAGATCAGACCATTTCTCTACAAGGTGTTTGACTACTGCGATATAGGTCAATCTTCAGCGGCGATGCCCTTTTGATTGATTGGATCTATGGGACATGGTTGTTCATACAAAGGAGAGGACGACGACTGTTCGAATCGCGATGTATGATCTTCGAGAAGGTCGATCGTTATACGACGAAATCTGAAAATAGTGACCGACTCCTTCTCATGTTCTTACGACTCGCAGTCCAGATGACTTGATGATGCATACGGCGTAGGTAGGTGTCGCATCGGGTATGGGTCGACCCGGACAGAGAATAGAACAGATCAATATGGCAGATATTGGGACGCGACGGATGGCCACCTCTCCCTTGGTGGCGGTAGTTAGTAGTAGTGGTCGGTAAGCGGGGCGATACTGGACTGCATGGCGAAGACGCGTAAAGGATGTTTGTGCATATTGCTTATTGCTTGTTGTCTGCTGTCTGTTGCTTGTCATACGTGAATGAGTAATTGGACAGGAAGACTGAACTGTGTAAGCATGAGGGGCCTGTCATCCCACCCAGTTGTGCCAGTCAGAGTTCGTGTCAGAGTCAGAGTCAGTGTCAGTGTCCGTGTCCGTGTCAGTACAGTAACGGTGAAAGACCACCACGAGAAATATTGTCTTATCGATAAGCGAGCACCTCCATCGTCATTGGTGACGGAAATTTTATGCGACGCTGCTGCTAACTCAAGACATACACAAGTACACCATGCCTACAGAATTAGAAGAGGTCGGTCTTATTACACCGTAATCATAGTCGCATAAATGACACTGAAAATTATCGACAGCTCGTGGAGTTCCTGCATCACGGAAATACGCAGATTCGACAAGCCGGTACGCGCAAACACCACTCCCCCACCACCCCTCCTCGCCCTCACAAGAGTCATGATTTTGACATGAAACAGCTGCGGAACATCTCGTTGGATACTCCCAAGCGGACCTTCCTTTATTCAAACGAAACCAATTGGAGCCCGTCAAAGACCTGAAGCTTCTCGTCAAGGACTATGCTCCGATCGCCAAGAATGCATTCACCATCCTCATAAACATATCGCAAGATGCGGAGGTCCTGAAATCCCTCGCGGGGGATGACGCCTTCTTGGAACTACTCTTGTCTCGGATAACAGTATGTCAGTTGCCCAATAAGTGGCATATGGAGCGATGAAGACTGACAAAGAATGCTGTATTATAGAACAAAAAGGAACCCAATGCGAATGAAATCGCAATGCTTCTCGCCAACATGGCGAAGGACGACTCATTACAAAGAGTTCTGGAATTAAAGCGAGATGTTCCCAAAGAGTTGTCCACCTCGAAATGGGCGATGGATCAGCTTCTTGATTGTTTTGTCAAGGGTGCAGAAGGCGCATACAACGAGAAGGCCGACTTCAATTACCTGTCGTACTTTTTCGCTGACCTCGCAAAAGTATAGCAGATAGACCCGATATGTGTTGCTTAAATCCCTGCTAACAACGACCAGTTCTCGCAAGGACGCATATACCTCACAAGCCCACAAGCCCACGACTCTGACATTATCCCGCTTACCAAACTTCAAGTCTTCACCGATCATCCCTCACATATCCGTCGCCTCGGCGTTGCGTCCACAATCAAAAACGCAGCCTTCCACACGGCCTCGCACCCTACACTGTTATCGAACCTCTCCCCGGACCCGGCTCTGCCCACGCCATCCGTAGGCGCGAACCTCCTCCCTTACATAATTCTTCCCCTCATGGGCCCGGAGGAATACTCCGACGAGGATACAGACGGCATGCTTGATGAATGCCAACTATTGGAGCCAGACAAGGAGCGTGAGAAGGATGTTGAGATTATGAAGACACACTTGGAGACTCTTCTGCTGCTCAGCACGACAAGAGAAGGCCGCGACGTGCTCCGAAAGGTCAAGGTATATCCCATTGTTCGTGAGTGCCACTTACAGGTAGATAATGAGGGTGTGCGAGAGGCTTGTGATAGACTAGTGCAGGTCATCATGAGAAAGGAAGAAGGCGAGGAGGAAGATGAAATCCCGAATGCTGAGCAAATGGGTGGCGGTGGTGCTGGGAAGTTGTTGGAGTTCAAAAATGATCACGAGGATGAGGACGAAGACGAAAAGATTATCGATATTCTATAGAAATTCATAGACCTGGCCCTGTCCGTCATAAAGACATTACTATATACGTAGTTACTATATGCTATGCTCTTGCTATGATCCAATGATTAATCTATGAGCGTTCCATTCCGATTATGCCTTCCGTATCGCATCTTCTCCACTCGACCTCCTGCTGTTATCGCCATCTCCCTCCTTCTCCTTCTCACTCCCATCCTCATCCCTCACACTTCTGTTGGACATCTCCTCGCTCACGTGCTGTGCAGTAATTGCAGTCTTCACGCACTTCTCGCTACTCTCATTGCTCACTACTCCCGCCTCTTCACTTCCATTTCCTTCCTTTGCTGCATGCCTGCCCCCATCCTTCCTCATGCTCCAACCACCAGCCCAACCAACCCATCCTGTCTCCCATGGGCCCCTAGCAGCCATCGTTAACATCGCACATCCAACCAGCCCAACGCACATACTTCCACTAGCCCTCCATCCCCCATCAGCATAAACATGCGCACCTGCCGCAGTACCCATAAGCTGCCCACAAAATGTCGAAACCATAAACGCTGTATTAACCCCGTTCCTTCTCTTCGGCTCGATCGAATAGATGCTACTGCGGTTCGCAATCTGCGCGGTCTGGAAGCCGAAGTCCATTAGGAAGGCCTGGAGAATGGGCCCCGCGATCGTGAATGTGCCTGTATAGGTGCCGAGGCAAATTCCGGTGAGCGCGGAGAAGAGGCCGATGAAGACGGAGAGGTGGGGCGCGAACTTGTCGGTGACGAGACGGGCATACACGGGCCCCGTGAACATGGATGCGATGCCTATGAGACCGAAGAGACCGATGGTGAGGGAATTGTAGTGGTAAGGGGCTCCCGCGAGGAGGAAGGTCAGGGTCGTCCAGAAGCAGGTGAAGGTTGCCGAGGTGAAGAATCCGGTTATGCAGGCTTGTACGAGGACAGGATGTCGGAAGAGCATCTTGACAATCGACCATAGGAGTTCGAAATAGTTCAAACCGGTAGGGTTGGTGGATGGGTAGTCCGGCATGAAGAGCCAAAGGAGGATGAATATGGCGTACTGGAGGCCAAGGGAGAGCCAGTATACGGAGCGCCACGATATGTAATCAGTCATGATGCCGGAAAGAACTCGAGCGATAAGAATTCCGAGCATCAGACCTGATACTACAATGGAAAGGGCCGCTGCCCGTCGATTTGGAGGGGCAAGATCCCCAACCAGGGGGAGCATGAGTTGAGGTGTCACTGTGGTGATGGCAGTGATGAATGAGATTGCCGTAAAGACGGCGAGATTGTTGGTAACGCAGAGCCCGATCCTAGGTTCATTTCAGTCAACAAAAATCCGATATATGTACAACTGATAGGGGAGACACTCTAAACCTACCACATGGTCGCTGTGAAGCCAACCAGGCCCACAACAAAAGGTCTCCGTGGTAATAGATCACCTAGAGGACAGAGGAATAGCAGCCCTGCAGCATAGCCTGCTTGCATCACTGTCGGAATCTGAGCCACCTGCTCATACTTGACGTGAAAATCGGTGGCCAGAATGTTCAAGATAGGATGGCTGTAGTAGAGATTGGCAACGGTGAAGGCTCCAGCAAAAGCGAAGAGCAAATTCATGCTCATTGAGAATTGCGGCGGGGCGGAAGGATCCCATCTGCATCGCGGAGGCGTCCATGTTAAGATATTGTAGACTCGACGCCATGTTATAATCCCTCGATTACGATCATCTCTCGACGTAGCATTCTGTGACGTCGACAGACGAGAGATGGGATTGGTGGACAATGCCTCGGTCTGCTTGGCCTCCCCCATCGTCAATGTGTTTGAGCCAAACGAAACGTGGTGACCACGCGACAATCAAGACCATCAAGGCATTTAAGAGATTAGTACGACAAGAAGCGGTGACCAAATTATCATTAAGGGATATGCAGAAAGACCGTTAGGCCCGAAGACGAATGTTAAAATCATGAAGGCGAAAGAAAGTTCGTACCCCGACCCTCTTTGGGGGGGGAGCCGGACCCCGACCATGGTAGCGCTACCAATCACTGACCAGATGGAGGAAAATCTAACCCACTCCGTCCTGATTCCAAGATAACATGGAAGACGATTCGGACTTAACCGTGTTTAAGACGGCTGTAGTGTCGTATTCATGTAAAGTGTTAGAAAAAAAAGGGAGAGAAAAAAACATTTAGACATGACATGTTGGGATTTACAATGGTTTTATATTTTGATGCGCTGTACCACGGTAAGTACGAACCTCACCATATCTAAATACCTACGTCTACGTAGGTAGATTGGCAAAAGCGCATCCCGCCAATATATGCTTCTTGGCACAGAGACTTCGAAACACCTGCGATAGTCCCGTAACTGAAAATACGGGATAAGCCAAAGCCCTCAATTATGACCATTTCCCCAGACGCCTTGCCAGCAAATATGAACAGATAAAAGACCTCGCTAAGAAAGTTCAAAGCCAGAAGTTCTTAGGATGGGCTTGCCGCGGCACTCTTAGGTGCACCCTGGGTATGCCGTTTCATGATAGCCTCAATTTGAGTTTCAGATGGCATCTCTGGTAGGGGGAAGACACGACCACGGGCTTTATCAAAATTCGCAACAGACCTCACTAGGCGAATGAAAAGCTGGGTATTGCTCGCTCCAACGCGCCCCTTGAAAATGGCAATGAGACCTTGGATAGTCATGCCTTCGGCAGGAATAGCTTTATAGATTTCGCTGGCAGATGGCAAGGCTTTTTCTAATCGCGTGTCAGTAAGTTGTCCATACTAAAGAGAAACGAATCAACTAAGGAACACTTACGGGTTGTTGCTGAAGCTCCAGGGCTCGAGGCAGCGGGACTCCCTGCTCTGCTTCCATTAAGCTGGGTAGCAGCTGGACTGCTTGCACGGCTACCCGTGGGACTACCACTCGGTGTACTTCCCGATCCCAACTTGAACTTGAGCTTCGATTTATCCTTGCTCTTCTTCGATTTCCCGGTATCGGTCATCTCGCTTTCACTCCCGGAGCCAGCTCCTCGCTTGCTATCGTTAATGAGGGCAGACTTCCGTGAGCCGTCGGCGTTTCTCTCGTGCTTCTTCTTATGCTTCTTGCGAGAAGACTCATTGCCGCTTGCTTCAGACAAGTTTGGAGAGCCTGGTCGTTTCTTTTTGTTCAAATCGACAGGCTTGTGCGCACCGGATGGCGTGTTGGATCCCTTCGTGGAGGCACCCGATGCAAGCTTATCTGCATCGGCATTCTTTCCATTCTGCTCAGCAGCCTTTCGCTCTTCTTCCTCCTTGGCTCGCTGGCGTTCAGTCTCAGAATCACTGTCAGAGTCACTAGAAGAAGAGGCGTAAGGATTAGAGTCAGAGTCATTGGCATATTCATAAAGCTTCTCCCTCTTGGTCAAAGCTTTACGCATGCTCTTCTCAAGCTTCTTGGCCATTTCAGCCTCAGCTCTCTCTTTCTCTTCCTGGCGATAGACTTCCTCTTCATTGCGAAGTTCGAAGATGCCTCCAGCGCCAAGTTGCTCACGCTTCATCTTCTCGTGTGACTCTTTGACATCGTCTTCTTCACCTTCGAAAAGACCGTTCAGGCCTTCCTCGTCGTCGGCAAAATCTTCCTCCATATTGAAATCGATGTCGTCAGCATCCGCTTCGGCCTTGATGTAAGGAATGTCGTCATCCTCGTCGCCTCCACCCCGTCGTCGAATGGCGCCCTCATCATCACCACCTCCACCTACACGGGTTCTCAATTTGTCTCTGCCTAGCCCTCGCGCTCGCTGTTCCTGATCACGTTCTCTCTTCAGACTGATTTGTTCTATGTTGCTCAGGAACCTTGGTACTTTCTCCATCTTTTTCCAAGCTTCTTCGACCTCATCAGCAGTAGCAGCTTTTACTTTTCCTTTCACCTGGAACTTGTACCATCGCTCTAATGGGACCATCTGAATGACGTCGCCTTGGTCGCCGTTCCAGGCGGTAGTGAGCATGACGTGGGCCTCGGAGAGTTCCGATTCATAAGTTCCGTACCAAGTCTGCTTGTTGTCAAAGTCCTCGAGATGCCAAGGCAAAGTTTCCTCGTATTTGAGAAGACGACGTTTTTCGGCTTCTGGAGTGTCGTCCGGGCGAAACTTCTGTTCAGTTTTCTTTTGGAAAGCCTGAGGCTTCTTCGTAGCCGATGGTGCGATTTTCGACAATGTCTCCTCGCGCGCCTTGCGTCGCTCTTCTTTCGCGAGTTCAATCCGCTCGCGCTCCTTTAATTCTTCGATGTCTTCCTTCGTTTCCTCTTCTTCGAAGTGAGAGCCAGCACCGCTGGGTGGGGCACGAGGGTCACGACGATGCAATCGAATCGGTGGAGTGAACTGTGCTTCATCTTGAATATCAATTTTGCCTTTGGCTGCTAGCCTCATGACGTGATGGCGCATATCTCTCATATCGCGTCGCGTGAGCACAAGCGGGAAAGATATCGCGCCCTGGCTAAGGTACTCCTGCTTCAGCTGCTCCACAGACTTCGTGCCATCATTGTTCGCTACTGCAGTATGGGTATCTCCAGCACGTTCGTTCATCTGAGTCAAAGTCACCATAGGCTTGGTGATAGTCTTCATGGGTCGGTACACAGGGCGCATGGGATCGGTCGGTGGAGGGCGGCGGCGTCGGGGTCGGGGAGGTTGGCCATTTGGACCAACTGGTGGGCCTCCAGGCAGGTTTGCTGGAGAGACGCCTGCGGGAGATGGTCGTGGACCATTCGGTGCGGCGGCCGCAGCTGAAGGTAGTGAGTTTCCGTTCATGATGAGGGCGCAGCCGCCGTCGCGTGGCTATTTGCAATCGTAGGAGCTGATGTGAGTGTGCAAAGTCTATTCAGGCGTTTCCAAGTGAAGAATAATATGTATGGGTAAGGGGAGCGAAAGCGAGAGATAAAGACTGGTGAAGGCCGGTGTGGTCTTTGTTGGAGAGAGGTACGGAGCCAACGTAGGCAGAGAGATGTTTCCCTAATGAGCCAAAGAGCGTCACAGCTTCCCTGCCAAGATACACTAGATTGAATTGGGTTAACCTGGTCCTACCTGCCACCCGTATCCCTCTCTCAACATTCGCGATCACCACCAGCATCACATCAACACCTTTTGTCTACTCCAGTGTGTTTAACACTTGTGTGTCGGGACTGTGACACTTGAGTGTTTCCTCTGTGACGACTCACCGGGTGGAACGTGATCTGGTAATCGCGTCTAAAAGCAAACAGCATTGCTTTCAACAGCCTGTCAGCCTCATGCCACGCTAATGAGCAAAATCAATTGTGATATCACGTCGACTACGATAATCTGAGAAGTCGTTTCTCGGTCCACATAAGGAGCCAATATTCGCCCTCACCTGTACTCTGAGGGGTGTCTTGTTGCGCTATCTAAATCATAGTCATCCTAGGCTGAGGCCGAACAGCAAACATGGAGCAAGGCGCGCCTTTAGAGGAACGTCTTCGGACTATGATCCTTAGCAATGTAACTATCTCAGACAATCAAGACGGCATGCGATCCAATCCCCTCCATCGTGGTCAACACCAGCATCGATACTATCAGCGTGGTCGGGGGCTTCACCATAATGCTCCCCATGCAGCCAATCAGGAACAGGGATCGGGCAATCGTAGTCGTGGTCGCGGAGGAAGGTATCACGCACCACAGGAAAGGGGTACCTACCCCAGACAATATCACCAAAGGACCCATGGCCCAAACCAGTACATGAGTGATGATTACAATAATTCGTCTGGTCCAAATCGCCGGAATTATGTTTCTGGCAATCAGTATCCGCGGTCTCCCCAGGAGCATCCCAGCCAAAACACTGCAAACTACCCTGATCATCGTGGTTCGGGACCAAACGCCAGGATTCTACAACGGCCGCAAGGCCCGCCGCGATTTCACGGAGCTCCTATTCCCCAGCAGCAGCGAGCTTACGAGGATCCTTTGCTTCAGATCGAGCACCTGGACGGTGTGGCATCTATTGAGGTGCCGAAAGCGCAGATCACCACAGCAGAAGTTGAGGCAAAGGAAGCATTTAGAAAGAGCCTCGAGACTCTGTGTCAGGGGGCAATTGATTCAAATCATTCGGGGAACCTAGCAACAATCTCTCTGCAAGGGTTTGGCAGCCTGGCATCAGGTTTCGGCATGCCTGGCTCTGATATGGACCTGGCCGTCGTACCAGTGTGGAAAAATACAAGCTTATCGCGAAACTCGAGCCTAGACAAAAATATACCACGGGTTCTTGAAAAGGCCGTTCTCGATAGCAAACTAGGTGGACGACTCCTAACGAGGACAAGGGTACCAATTTTGAAGATCTGTGAGCACCCAACCGATGAACTATATACAGCACTTCTAGAAGAGCGTCATAAATGGGACGAGCTCCCAGAAGAAGAGAAATACCCAACTTCCATCCCACTCCATGACCGTACCCCACAGCCTTCGCAGAGTGCTCCCAGTGGAGAGGAAGATGCGCCAATTGGAACAGATGGTACGCTTCCAGTGACTGACGCTCATCAAGCAACATCATCTTCCGGTAAACTCAAACAAGACTCGCATCAATATGATAGTTCACCAGCAGCAGGTCTAAATGGAGAAAAGGTTCAGTTGAACAAAGGTCAACACGATAAGAAATCCTGGCACCGTGAAAAGGTCCTCGGCCCACTCGATTTTCCCAAGTCCGGTGTTGGCATCCAGTGCGATCTCAATTTCAACAACACCTTAGGTATCCACAACACTGAACTCTTACACTGCTACTCCTTGTGCGATGAACGTGTGCGCCTGATGGTGCTCTTTGTCAAGGCCTGGGCAAAGCGTCGGAAGGTCAACAGCAGCTACTCCGGTACACTCTCTAGCTACGGCTGGGTTCTCATGGTCCTTCATTATCTCGTCAATATCGCCTCTCCGCCAGTTTGTCCTAATTTACAGATACGTCTTCCCACTCCAGTCAACCTCGAAGGTTTGGGACAACTATGGGAAGAGACGGTAATTGAAAACTATGCAGTCCGCTTTTGGCGTGACAGGGAAGCAATAAAACAAGCTGCACAAGCCGGCACTCTGACGCAGAACACTCAGTCAGTTGCCGCTCTGCTTCGCGGTTTCTTCTATTACTATGCCGCACCGCCAGTAGGGTTTGGGCCTGGGCCTCGACATCCGACCTTCTACTGGACGCGCGAAGTTCTATCTCTGCGCACGCTTGGAGGCATCAGAACCAAAGACTCGAAAGGCTGGACAGGCGCAAAGACAACCAATGTGGGCGGAAAGGAAGTCCGTCACCGTTACCTGTTCGCAATTGAAGACCCATTTGAATTGGATCACAACGTCGCGCGTACCGTCACTCATAACGGAATAGTAGCAATTCGTGATGAGTTCCGACGTGTGTGGAGAATTCTTGGGGCCATTGGCCGAGGCGAGGAGCCAGAAGGGGGCATCTTCGATGAGGTGGTGGAGCAATCGCCACCAACGCCAACGCTTCAGGCCACAGAAGAATCTATTGACAGTCTGCAGCTTCGTCGAGAGAGCACGCATGAGACAAAACCAACGACGGGCCTTGACAGTTCGCAAACCTGACGTTGGTCATCAACATATGTTACTCTGTCTCCATCGAACAGATATCTGGACCATCAGTATCCGGCTGTAGCATTTACGTGTACGCCAACTACAGGGTAGCGAACAGCTTGGAACATTCCATTTCCTTCCTATCAATTGTTCGTATTTCGTCTTGCAGGAAATGGTACCCCCCCTACGACTATACACCAATTCTCCCATCTTTCATGGCAACTGTATATTTGATTCGGGATATTTTGAATTGCCAAAGCATGACTGGGTCATCGCCGTTTGGCGGATCTGTTTGACCAATCGGAAGATATGTTTGCTTCAGCTCGTGCTGTTATGCCCTTTCCTTGATCCATTACCAAACGGCCTTTATGTCTTTCTTTAGTGTATGTATGGATATTCATGCTGTACGAATAAGTAGATAGAGTAATCTCGGTGTTCTTCAAAACAAGCTTTTATTGAAGTCACACGTACGTCTTCAAGACCAAACCTACTGAAACAGGGAGGAACGGAAACTTCACAGAAGAAAATGAGATCAGGTGTTCAAGCAGCACCCGCCGTAACCACATGTTGTGGATGGGCAATTCCTCTGCTCCCACTGAGACTAATGCAAATGTAAAATTCGGAAAATCGTGGCGCACGTCCAATCTTCAAGGAAGTGCTTGTAGCCAGTCATATGTACTTTCCAAAAAAATACATTTGTTCCAACAATTACATTCTGATACAACAATCTAGTGATCAGCTATTAACGTGTAACTACAGAATATTGGTTGTGGGAATATGAATGAGTATTTCCAGAAGCCTCACACCCGATAGCTATCCAATCTTCCTCGCTTATCAGGTATTGTAACCACCTCAACGTTCTAACGAAACCTTACGCAAAAGCCGATCTTGGCGCCAGGTTCGTCACATTTCAGCTATTCACCATAGACGCACGGGCCATGTCGATACATTATTAAGATCAAGTCAAACATACAGCAGCGAAGGAATCATACTCTGAAATGGGGACTCGTTTATGTGTGTGTGCCATAGGATTCTAGGCCTTCGGGGTCTCAGTGTGCGTGGTGGACTCGGTGGCCGTGGCAGCAGTGGCACCGCCATCGCGACCAGAGGCGGCAGTCTTGACCTTGACCTCGCCCTTCTCGATATCAACAGCAAGATTATCAAGACGTGAGCCCTTTGGTACGCTTTTCCAGGCTGGTCGTCCGCTATCAAAGACCTCGTCCATCTCTTCAAGAGTCTTGCCCTTGGTCTCAGGGGCTAGGAGGAACATCTGGGATTAAGTATTAGCAGCTTCAAGCGTAGACATGTCAAGGAACAGTTCAAATTACTTACATGGACAAGAGCAGCGCCGTTAAATGCTGCAAAGATCATGTACATCTTCCAGTTGATGCTCCAAAGCAGCGGGGGCACTGCGAACGCGAGGGCCGTGTTCCACGTCCAGTTGGTGGCTGTAGCAAGAGACACAGCTTTGGCACGAACCTTTGTATTATTAAGCTCAGATGGGTAAACCCAACTAGTTGGACCTATAGACGTTGCAAACGTTGCAACGAATAGATACGAGCAAGCTACAACTCCTCGGGATGCGGCCGGGTTGCCGAGTATGACCCAAGAGATATCCTTGTCGTCAGGGTTCGGATTGGGGCGGCCCGCTGTAGCTTGAAGAGCACCGGAGATAAAAAGGAACACCATCATGCCAAAGAAACCGAAAAGCATGGCAGGGCGACGGCCAATGCGGTCAATCCAGATGATGGCTGGTAAGGTAAGCGCAACATTGATGATGTACTGAATGGATGCAGTGAGAAGCTCATCACCTATGCCCGCTCCTTTCATGATATAAACAATATAGTACCTGTTTGAGTGTTAACAATATGCCTCTTCGACTACGGTTTGTTGGTTACAACATACATCATGATATTCATACCGCACAGTTGAGACCACATCTGGAGACTCATGCCCAATAGAACACGTTTGAGAATTCGAGGCTCGGCCAAAGCCTTGAAGCTAGTCACAGCTTCCTCACGCTCGAATCGCAGAGCGTCTTCTATTTCTCTGTACTCGGCAAGGACCTTTGGGTGGTTCACATCACCGCCTCCGTGAAGACCTGCAAGAACTGTTGCAGCCTCTTCCCAACGATCCTTGCTTGCGAGCCATCGAGGAGAGTAAGGGAAGAAGAACATGCCGCAGAAAAGGATAACACCAGGAATCAACTGCATAGCCCATGGAATGCGGAATGAGGCAGTTCCCTGATTGGGGTCTTTGGGTCCACCATCCACAAAGGAAGAGCCGTATTGGATAAAGTATTGAATCAAAATACCCCTGTGTGTAAATGATTTAGCACGTAGCCTGAGAGAGGCGGCAAGCACGCTTGTGGTGCGTTGACTGATCTAATACCAGTCACATGATGCAGTGATGATGTAGCCTACCAGGTAATGGCCCATTGTTGAAGGGAGACAACTCGACCTCGAATTTCCTTTGGGGCAATCTCGGATTGATAGATTGGAACAACAGCAGAGGCGATGCCAATCGAGTAGCCAGCAACGACACGACCGATGCATAGAAGAGGGATGCCGTTCGCAGCAGTTTGAAATCTATATGTGGTTTAGCTACGACAAGGTACACAATGTTACAAACATACATTGCTCCAATGCACCATATAGCAGCAGCGATTTGAATCGCAGTTCGGCGAGAAAGCCTATCCGCAATGAATGAGGACGAAAGAGCACCAACGAGTGATCCAGCAGGCATGGAAGCAGTGATGCCACCCTGTCGATACCCAGTTGCTGTTGTTTGTTAGTTTACGGCAGGCTGTTTGCTCAATAGTCATCTTTACGGTTGCCAAAATAGTTCTTGTATCCATTCGTTCCTAGTACCCCACTCATAGAGGAAATGTCAAAGCCGAAAAGTGCACCACCTAAGGCCGCGAAGGAACAGATGGTGTAAACATTGTAGACAGTCTTCCCACTCATTAGTCGGGGTCATTGGAATACTAGTAGTGGCATTGCCAGGCTGGTGAAATATCCGAACATACCTTCATCTTGCCTTGACACAACCAGGTCAAGGTAGTTTATAGGCAGAATATTGTAAGATAAGTTGGAGCAAGAGAAACACCAAAGTGTCAGGGTTTAGGGTTCTTTTATGTCTCCAAGTGAACATGGGTGGGGTCCGAGCGGGAGCAACGAGATGTGTTGTAGCGGCAAGGCCTCGTACCCGCCAAGCTGGAAACTCGTTCAATCCACCAAACCTGATCGCAAGATGATCCTTTGCCAATTTGGTGATGTGCGGAGTGTACATATCCCCGTAAGAACATTTGGGCTAATTGTAATCCCCGCAACTAGCTATTGGCGCCAGGACGGTATGAGGTTGCCGGAAGGATGTCTGGACAAGGATCCGAGTGGCCCGACATCACTATCATACGTTGCACGCGCTCTTCACTTTCACATTTCGTAACCTGACACCAAAGCCAGCCACTTGTTTATCTGTGCAACAATACGCTAGTTAAATGTGCTTTCATATTACTAGGCCTTCCAGAAAGGCGTTCGTCACAAGCGTTGCTGTCAGCGCCTACTCTTCTTACCGTGGTGTGGAAAGTAGCAGCAGTAATCCCCTATAGTAAGGATCATAGACAAAGATTCACTGAGTTTGAGCCAATACAGTATCAAGTCCAAAAATTGGCAAGATAGCCCTCTCAGCTGTCCTGACCAGTTTAAAAAACTTGGGAGGCTTGATGGTCACATGTAGCCTACCGCGAACGGCCAGGGGTTGTATGTGAGAAGGGCCGGAGGTGGCCAAATAAGATAATTGGTCTACATTCTTAACATTCTGGTGTCTGAGGTGAGAGAAAGTTGGCGAAGCTCCATGTCACGCCTTGCAAGACAAGAATCAAACAGGCTCCCGAAATGTTACCCAAGCCTGCGCTACGCGCCTGGGCATTGGCAGCTGCCAACGGGTTTTCTCAGCCTTGACGCAGTGGATCGACAAAGTTCAGATGAGCACTTCATTTTTTGTGTCGAAATCCATATCGATGCGTTTGTACCTTCTTCCGGGTGGTTGTTTCGAGACAAGTCTCAAGTTGTTTTGTCCTATATGAGGAATGAGGGAGGAGGTTCGAATTGAGTTGGAAACGCTGGGGATAGTCCCACGCGTGGGAAGTCGGGTGGGCACCGAAGCAGTTTAGTGTGACGCTAAGACCGACCATTACCCCAGAAGGCGTCAAGGCGTCCCGCAAGCCTTCTAAATCCTCAGTGGGCCCCTCACCCCTCCTCACTCCTCACTCCTCACGCCTCCCGCTCCCCCATGTGGCCACTCCCGACACTCTAGTTAGTTAACTATTACTACTGAATTCATGGATTTGGATACTGCCCCAAAGCTCATATCGCGATCGTCCTCCGTTCATTCCCCCGAGTCCCGAAATACTTGCTCCCAATCCAAGCTCAGGTCGTATCGAATACCGCACCTGGAAGTCCACCCGCTTAACAACAACCACCATGTTTCTTGAAAACTGCATCCCACCAAAGGCTATGTTCGGCCCATCTCCCAACCGATCCTGTTGGTGTTACATTCACTATAGGGTATAGTAAAGCCCATCCTCCCTGATTTCATATGATTGGATGGGCACGTGGCTCACGAGAAACCCAAGCATTCCCCAGCAAAGCATGCATGACTGGTAAGGAATTTCATCTAAGAGGTAAGACTCAAGATTCAAGACCTGGTAATGGGGCAATGTTCGGTCCCAGCGTTCTGTTCTCCCTCCTGGTCGGTTCACTACCCGTGCCTACGGTGATGTTTTTGACATGGAGCTTCAATCACCTCGTGAACGAAAAACATTTACATCTCTGTTCTATTTCACCATTTGCTTTCCAAGTACTAGGTAGAACCTGCCCTTAAGTGTAGTCAAGTACTTATTCTTGCGGGCAGCGACTGCAAATCAGGCAAACTGACATATGACCATGTACAACTATATAGATCGCACGAGGATCAGGGCCTGTTACCCCTTTCAGCTAGTAGCAATTCACTGGGGCAAAGGGTATCGCCACAAATCTCACCACCGCAAACTTGCCATTGCATCTGGTTTGGCCATCATACAACATCTCAATTCCCAGCTACAATTTATCAACACTCAAACGTCTGGCCCCTCGACCAACTCGTGCGAGGTTCATTGGCAGAGCGTGCTTTACTCTTATGAAGGCTCAATCTTCAGTGTGCAAAAACTCTACTTGACATTTACTGTTGTTCATATTTTCTATACTAATGCCTGATTTACAGGGCAATAATTCATCAAACTAGCACCATAATCAGGAAGTACTCGCCTATCATGCGGATTGACGATGCTATAGTAACGATGTGAGACTTTGAGAGATCCTTCTATAGATGCTCGACACTTGGGAGTTGCTGCCACAGCCGTTCAAGACAAAAGGAGTGGAAACTCATAGGCTGTCTTGTCTTTCATTGAGCACGATCACGGTGCATGCACTGTCTCCAGTACAACCGCCTCCGTAGCAATTGCAAACAGTAACCAGTTCCGGTACGGTTTTGTCTTATTCAACCCAGGGCAACGATCAAAATTCCGACCGATCCAAATTCCATCCCTTTTCTTTGCATCTCGCCTCTCTTCTTTTGCGCCATTCCCGCAATGTTCTCGAGCTGGCCTTGACGATTTCAACACATCCCCGCCATGCGCGATGATTTGCTGTACGCAGAGACGAAGCGAGCCACTAACCAGGAACCCCAACCTACCTATATTCCAATCACACCCAACATCACATATTGTTCACATATAGCTCCTTTTCAACATTCAAACTCGTCAAAGGTACTTTGATCAATACGAATAGGACGGGTTTCTGTGCACCTTTGGTATTCTGTGCTTCCTTCCTTTTCCTGACCACAGCTACTCATTGGGCGACTGTGTCGTCTTCTGGAGGCGAGATGCAGGAGACCTGCTGACAGGCCCAGCTGAGTCGATGCTGCGCACATGAAGTTGCCGCGAAGAACTTTAAGTATCCTGTCAAGAATTCGTCTGTACTTTTGGCATTGCAAATCTACCTAGTCTGTCGTCGTCTTATGTCACTGCAATAAGCTTACTGTAACCTCCCGCTCGACGGAATGCCACGCATTTGTACGATATCACCAGCTCAACAGGAACACGAAGTGAACATCAACACCAAACAACAAACAAGATCGCTACGATATCTCCTCTCACAGGGAACTCCAAACGCAAAATCAAGAATACAGTAACTTTGGTTTCGAAAAGGAAGATCAGCCGTTATAAATTTCAAGCGTCGTCATTCAAGAAGCTTCAGTGTACATCCAGCTTTGAAGCGGTGAGATACACCGAACTGCTGAAGGTCCCTGCGAACGTAGACGAGTAGGTCCGTTATCTAAATCACTGTACTCACATTGTCGTACATTTCCACCGTGGTTCGACGTGTATCCCATTCTTCTTCACATCGCTCTATCCACATTCATACTCGCAAACGACTTTGATATATATCAACTCTCGATCACTTGCCGGAATTACTCTCTATCGAAACTCAATCACACTGTTCCAGAGTCATACAACGTCTAACTTGCGCACTCACTGTTACAACATCTGGCGGAACCTTTCGTACAAATACACAACACCATCTTTTTGGAACATCCCTACCTGCGCGTATAGCCATGCCACACAACAGCATAACGCGGAGTGCCTTCGTGCGGACGGCAATAACCACATGCGACGTCTTCGTTCTCGCTCTGGGTTATCTTGAAGGTGAGGGCATGATCACCCCAGAGCAGCTCATCGAAAGCGCAAGTCCTTGGTTCTTGGACGCTGAAACAATATGGTGGCGCAAGTTTGTAGTTGGTTGTAAATAATTGGAAGGAAAAGAGAATGTACCAATGATAGAGAAAATATCCCACTAGGCCTACAAGAAGATGCTCACACCACGAAACACATCGATAGACACTATGACCGGTGTTCCCGTTACGCATTTCATATTTCTTCTATGGGATCAGGCGTTCAACATTTCTAAGACGCATGCTTCTGATAAGCTACACCCACTCACACAACATATATGCCGAAGTTCACGGGTGTACCGGCAGACATCCAATCGACAGCACTAAATCATTGTTTAACACTCCATGCAATTCGCCACATACGCTAGGTCGGTTTCACACACAAATCAACTTATCGACTGTCAGTCATTGCAACTTCGTTCGCGCTCAGGCACGACATATTGAAATGGGCTACAGGGAGGGACGAGCAGGAGAGCGATGATAGACTCAACAAAGATTACGACGTGGTATAGTGACACACACCAGCCATAGGCATGGTACTAATAGGATTTTGAAAACCTATTGTTGAAGGAACTTTGGGAAGGCTGTATGCAAACTTTCAATGATGATTTGAAACCAATGATTGTGTTCAATGTACCTAGGTGAATATGTAGTATGAATTCGACCCTCAAACAACGTATTAAAATCTAGTTTGTTTCTAGCGACATATACTTCGCGAAGTAGCGCGGCTTAAAGAGATATAGGGAAGCAGAAAAACGCCAGACTTTGCAAATAACCAGGCTTGATCGAAGTCCTTTCGCGCCGTGAAACCATGCATTCCTGAAAACGTAATGATATACGTTCTATGTCAATGCAACCCTGGATAAAACTCCAAATACACCGTCATGACAAGGTTGGGATTATAGTAAATTGATGAATTGTGGAGGCGAATGAGAAGACCCTAGGCGGAGCTCTGCAATGCGCCATCGCCCAACATTCTCGCGACGAGAATGTACGAGAAGAGAGCGCCGAAGACGAGTCGCCACTTGTTCCTGCTCACCCAACTCTGTCCAGCATCCCTAACAACCAGTCCATCCTGGACCACAGCGCCAACACGATTACCACTCCCGTTCGGTCGACGCACCAGTCCAGCGGCTTCGGCTGAACAGTGCGGCTGTGGAGTCACTGGCATCGTGAGCCCGGTCTGTGGATTTATCCTCTTCTCCTTCATCCACTTGAGGTTCTCTTCGTCGAGCTCCGGCCACTCTAGTCTGAACTTTGCGCCACCATCGCCGGCTTTGATAGCGCCGAACCCTTTGCTGTTTGAGCTTCCTTGCTGCTGAATTGTTTGCTTCGAGCCTCCGCCTGTGCTATTCCACCATCTAGTCCGCTGAGCGAACAACTTTCTCTCCTGCTCGCTTGCCCTAACACTCCCCGTTGTCATCTCCTCGCTCGTCATGAAACTGAGTAGTCCGGTTAGGATAGTGCTGACCTCCCATGCCGGGTTGAAGCTCTTGGGGTGGAAATCGGAGATGCTTAGGCATAGCCGTGTGCTCGGTTGGAAGCGGCCGGAAGGGGTGTGCATGCGGATTGCGGGGGGAGCGAAGGGGTAGTCGGGGGGGAACATGAGCGTACCCCAGTACTGTCCGCCTTCGTACGGTGTGTCCGGCGGGCCGGTGAGGATGTAGTGCCATTCGAGGATGTTCTTTTCGGAAGGGTGCGCGATGATGTAGGGCGGTGGCGATTTGGAGATTGCAGCGTATTCCTTTGTGAGGCGCTTTGTTGCTGCTGGAGTCGCCATGGCTGGTTATAGATCCAGGAAGGGTAGTCCTGAGAGGGTGGTGAAGGTGGTGAGGCGACGTCTCGGGGAAGGAGGCGAGTGGATGTCTATATACGTATGTCGGTTTTTGGATAATGAGAGTTGCGCTGTTGGACGAGATATGAATGAAGAGTTCCGGGGCCTGGGCCAAGTGCCGTACGAGTGAATGTCGTATTTTTATCAGCGTATCTATACAGGAGCAGAATAGAAAGGGCGAATGCCGGTCGGCGAGAAGAGAAGGAGATAAATCAGGAAGAGTTGTTGAAAGGTGTTTGACTTTCAAGCAACTGAATGGAAGTGCATGGAACGGATCCGAAAGCGGGTTAGCGCGTTGGATGGCAGATCTTCAAGGTTTCGCGCCAAGAGTACATAGAGCTTCCGAACGACATCAACAAGCCCAATGGCTTCACCAATAGAAGACGATGTATGTGTCAATTCCTAACCGGTATCGTTGCTTGGATTAATCACCAGTCTTCTAGGTCTTCGAAAAGCTGAGGTACAAGATAGACCCTGCGGAATATAAACGACAAGAGGACGAACTCAATGCGCGGCTATACGCAGCGCAGCAAAGAGCACAGCATCGAACAGAGGAGCTGGTATGAGTTTACAGGATTCGGAATGCATTTCTCAAAGCAATTGAGTAACATCTGATGCAGGTCACGGACAATAGCACCCTTCCAACAACCATCTCCTCCGTCCGCATCCTTCATGCCAATCGTACGAGACGCAGTTTTCTCGAGGGTGTTGTTGAGCCTCTCCTGAGTGCCAATCGTGAGGAAGCGTACACCTTGCAGGAAGCTCTTAATGAGATTGGAAACGTATATGGCAAGCTGAAGCGCTTTGGTGAGCTTTATGAACTGGATGTATTTTGGGGATATATTCGTCTAATTGAGAGCAGACATCTTCAAGGAACCAATTTCGATCTGGATCGACAGACCGGACCCAGCAAACCCATCCACATCACCTACTGATATCGATGTCTACATCTCGGCCACGGAGCGCGGCAACTACACGATCAAGACGGGTACAGAGGTTGGCTCTTCCGAGGGCGATGCATATGTCAATGCAGAACTTCGCAATCTCTTTGGAGGCGCCGAAACCCTGAATGCGAACGCATCCTTGGGCACACGGACACGCTCCGCCTACTCGCTTGCTTTCAATACGCCAATTGCAAGCAATCCTGATTTTAAATTCCAGGTCAATGGATTCGCAAGCTCAACTTTGAAGAGCTGGGCGAGTCACGAGGAGGCATTGAAGGGCGGTACAACCAAATTGCTGTACAGAACACTTGGGGGACATAAACACGAGTTCGGTTACTCGGGAATCTGGCGACAGATTACCGGACTCGCAGAGAATGCTTCACCAACGGTGCGAGCTGACGCCGGCGACTCTTTCAAATCGAGCCTTACACATACTTGGATCAACGACAAACGCGACTATCCCCTTCTCCCTAACAATGGATATGTTCTGAAGACCGTTTCCGAACTGGCCGGTTGGGGACCACTGAAGGGCGACGCTGCTTTCTTCAAGACAGAGGCTGAATCTCAGGTTGCACTTCCCTTCGGCGACACAGGCATTACTTTGACCGCCGGTCTTCGGGGAGGCCTCATCTACCCTCTCGCACTCCCTGGTACCAAGAACCCTCAGCCAACACGAATCAACGACCGTTTCACTCTCGGAGGGCCCACCGATGTGCGCGGGTTCAGACTTGCCGGTCTCGGTCCTCACGATGGCGCGGACGCCGTGGGTGGTGATGTTTACGCAGCTGGAGGAGCCAGCCTCCTGTTCCCTATTCCTAAGGTCGGCAAGGAGACTCCTCTACGACTACAGGCTTTCATCAACGGCGGTCGTTTGCTTTCGCTCAGAGGCAAGGACAAGGAGGGACAAATGTCCAAGGCTGACGTTACCAACAACCTCAAGCGAACATTCAACGCTTTGAAGGAAGACCTCCCCAGCTGTGCCGCAGGTTTCGGTCTCGTTTATGCTCATCCGATCGCACGATTCGAGGTCAATTTTTCTCTGCCTCTTGTCATTCGGGCTGCAGAGGCTGGCAGGAAGGGCCTGAGCTTTGGTGTAGGGGTTGAGTTCTTGTAGACTTTAGCCAGGACGTTGCGAACAGTCAATGTCATACATGTATAGTAAAACCCTCGAACAAGTCCAGTTAGACAACTGCCAAGTGGCATAGTTCATTTGGAAGTACAATTGTTTTTACGTCTCTATAACACTTCGAGTAATGGCGACCACCTCACTCAATCTGCTGGTGTCAGGGAATACTAACTTATCATATGATCGTTAAGCAAACTCCTACGCGAACCAGGCCTTCTAATACTTTGCCCGGGACCTTTTTATGTTGTTGCTTTCTTAAAAACACTTTTCTGGTCTTTGGTTCTTTAGGTGGAATGCATTTCACATAACGAGTTTCCTCTGTCTTCATTCTGACAGGGCTCGTTTACACTATTCATGATAAAATTTTCAAAGAACCACGGAAAATCTTAGACTTTCAAGTATGGCTCTGTCTTTAATGGTCGTTTGAGTACTATCAATGCCTCCTTCTAGAGGTACCCTCTATACTCATCTTCCTCATTACCCTTAGGCCTTACCGGCTACTTCAATCTCCTCACGTTTGCACTCCTGCTTATCCGACAAATTCGTCTGCAGGATCTCACTTTGGTCTGACAAATGAAAAGGTCACACCGTTACCGGTTCGTACCGAAATATGCCATGACCCCTGGCGCTTCCAAGACGTGGGGTACAAAAGTGTAAACGCGTACGGTCTTGGATTTCAGGCTCCGCAAACTTAGTCAGATCTAGTTTATGTTGGAATAGGCAGGTCGTGAGGAGGATGTGGTTGGAATTGTGTGGAGGGTGGCAAGACAAAAATGGGGAAGTGTTCCGTAGAACTGGGGGAGCGCTGGATACCAACGTTATTTGCATTGTCGAATGTCACTTTTTATCCACAAGCATTTTTGCAATTAAATGATAGCAGCAGTACCAGTTACAACGCTCATCATACCTCGTAAAATCACTATTGTGTATGCAAGCCGATGTCCACATTCCCGTTTCACCCAAATCCTAATAAGTATATCTGAACCCCTCCAGCCCTTCAATGATGATCTCGCCCTGATCTGCCCTCTTGTTTTGCCTCTTGTAGAACCATAAGATCCCTAGGCTCGAGACGATGATGTACAGCTGAGCGCCAGTGACGGCCCAGAGGCCGGAGATGTATGTCGGAGCCTCTTTCTCCATGAAGACAGTCGAGGCATAGATACCTCCAATAGCACCGAAAGCGACTTGGAGGCCAGATGCAACCCTGAGTTCGAGTTATTACAATGCCTAGTGCGTGTTGTGTTTGAGGCAGTGGTGAGAGTAAGAAAGGTCATAGAAAAGGAGAGAGTGTCTTACATTCGAAGGCTCTGCCCACGAATATTATTCGCCTGCCATGCTAACGCGGTGGGGATATTTGAATTCGCGCCCGCGAGCCCGACGAAAATGCCAAAGTACCTGGCGCCGTTATTCTTCGCGTACGCAACGATCATGAGGCCGATGATGCCGATAACGGCTTGGAGGATGATCCAAGGACCCCGGAGGCGCGTCTTATCAGCTGCCCAGGAACAGAATATTACCCAAGGAACGGCGGCAACGGCGGGAGGGGCGCACAAGAGGAAGACCATTTTGACGTCGTAGCTCATGCCTTGAAGGATGATTGGGATAAAGAAGGCGAGTGCGTAGACGATGGTCGTGACGGCAAAGAATTGGAGCCCGCTGTGTTTGTCAGAGTTACATTGCATGTTCATACGCGATTAAAGGGTGGAGGTAGCTGCTCACAAGAACCAGAGTTCCCATCTCGCACATGCGCCGAGGAACTTCTTCATGGTCAACTCGTCGAACTCGCTGTCACTCCTGTCTCTCTCCAGCTTGTCCTGGATAGCTCTGACTTCATCGGGCTTCAGGAACGGCTTTCGAGATCTGTGCACTTTGTCTGGGAAATCAACGATCAAAAGACGACCTAGAAGAGCAAGGAAGACGGTCATAAGACCGTTAATGATGAAGATCCCTAGGTGAAGTATTTAGTGAAATGCTTTACGAAGCATACAGTCGAGCTTGCCAGGCCTCAGACTTACAGCGCCAGCCAAGATATCCGGCCTTTCCATTCAGTTGCATGATTCCATATGCAAGAATGCTACCAAAGCCATTGGCAAAGATGTTGATAGCATAGAAAGTAGCTAAGCTGAACATAATCAGACTTCAAATGTCAGAACAGGGGCGAAAGACTACGGACCGCTTTTGGACCTCATATCGGGTGTACCAGCAAGAGATAAGGTACACCGATCCGGGGAAAAACCCAGCCTCAAAGAGACCGAGTAGTAGGCGGCATACAACAATATCCTGTCATACTTCAGCCTCAATCACAACCAACAACTGGAAGATTGTATACGTACAGTCCATTTCTTTGCAAACCCCGCTCCAAGAATCACGACACCCCACGCAAAGCAGAGAAATGAAAGCCAATTCGCAGCTCCCACTTTCCGCAAAACAACGTTGCTAGGGATCTCGAAGATGAAGTAGGTGATGAAGAAGACGAGTAGCGCTATCGAGTAGCGGGATCCTTTTTCGAAATGCAGCTCTTTGTCCATGCCGGCGATTCGGGCAGCTGAGATCTGTACAAAACAGTCAGTCCCATAGTATTGTACGATTCGGGAGAATGTATTGTTTTAGGGTGCTTACGTTGATTCGATCTATGGCACTGATGGCGTAGCATGCTATGTACTAGATGAGTATATGGAACGTCAGCTGTGAAGGGTTGAACGTACCGCCTAGGATTGGAACAAGTCGGTAGTCTGTCTTTCGCCTAATAGTCGATTAGATTGTGATTGAAACTTAACAGTAAAATATAGCTTACGTTGCTTTCTTCAACACCTTCAACTGACTTTCATCAAGGTCGACGGAAGCTTCAGATGCATTATTGTTTCTGGCATCCAGGGCCGCGACCTTTTCAACCTCTATAGCGCCAGCCTTCTCGCCCAAGGTGATATCCTCTTGATGGTGAGCCATAGTAAACCTTGGTGGCAATGAAAGAATTAACCGTCAAGATTGGTTCAAAAGATAGATGATTGCTGACGTTCAAATCCCAAGGCTATGTATGGGCAGTCGAGACAATCGAACCAGGCAACTGCAAGGTGATCTTTTCCAGAGAAACCATCCCATCTCGGTGCTTTATACCAACCTGCAACGACAAATACTTTACCAGCAGAGCAACAAAAGAATACTCTCAATCGCCTCCCCCCTGTCATCCCCTATGCCTTATTTCGTAGACATGCCTAGGGCCCAAGACCGTCAAAGACTTGGCAGACCGTGTTTGCAGTGGTGGTGATTGGCTCGAGTGTAATGTCCATCGTGCATCATGGCCCTCCCCCGCATTTCGCCAACCACTCGTCCTCACAAACGGAAAGCTAGATCGCTACGCACTGTTGTTGGCGTCTCATACTTTGCAAGGTAAGGGGGGGTGATTTCACGAGTCGATGTGCTGGACCGAGGTGCCTTGATCGTGGAAGAGCATGTCGTTGGATGGATGGAGGGCTAAGAGAAATCATGGCGCAGCCATCGAAGCACACGGCAGCCGCCTCTTGTGACAGCTTTTTGATATGATTAGAAGGATTTAGTGGCGTTTGGTATTACAAGTACTTGCACATCGTCTGGGGGACACTGTGGGGCCCGAGCGGAGTCTTGTTACCTCGTGGAGTAAGTTCGAGCGGATACAATTGGGAAGATTCGGAAATTTGGGGGACCAGAAGAGCAGTGTGAAGGCTTGGGATTGCAATGTGGATATGCTATTCGCTCTGTTGTAAGCGACAGCCTGGCGAATCCGTATCGTGAATTGGAACGGCAAGATCAGGCGAATACTCTGCCACAAAACACCATCACATGTTTTGTCTCGGTCTTCAAGCACTTCCAGGCCTTTGATATTCAGGTAAAAAAAATTGTATATCTCTTATCCATGTCTGCCCAGGAGCTCTGGAAGGGAACGGCAACGATAGGGATAGTGAGCCACCTTTTCAACAGCCTGCACAGGTAAGATCTGTTCCTATCAAAGAAACACTTGATTCGGAACTTTCGATGCTTTTCCTTGTCAAATGGAAGGCTTCGGCATCTACCCAACCAAATCCTTGAGATAGTCACATCTATCTCGTACAAGGGGCTCTGAATAACTATGCCAAGGGCGGTGGTATCTCACGAAAAAGCAAGAAAAGGTGAGTGCCGAGCGGCTGAAACCAGGATACTGGGAACTCACGACCAGTCGTGCAGCAGCCCGTTGGTAACATTGTACCACTTGATATCCTGGCAACTATCATACTTCTACTGCGTACACGTGGTGGACCCAACATCGTGTACTCCGTAGATTCAAGACGCTTAGCGATTGATACAAATGGCACACCCAAGTGCCTCAGGATTGGTTTCAAAATCTCTGCTGGGATTACGATGCTGGATAATCAATATGTGGCCTCGGTCGTGATCTTTCACGAAGGTGGCATCTGTGGCTGGACTCTTCGTCAATAGTGCCCAACAGGATAAACACTCGAAAAAGGTTGGCATGCATTTGCTTGCAGTCACAGAATAAATCTACAGACCCATCGACAACTGTGATCGACGGACGGAGTGTGGATGGGAGCTATTTAAGCACATGGTTATCCTCAATAGTATGTAAGCCTGAAGTCATTGGTGAAATGACAAAAGTTAGAATAGTCATGATTAATTCGGCAGTACCCAACTGCCGCAGTAGATGCACAGGCAAGTATTAGTAGACCGCATTGAAGTCTAATACTCAATATCTTAGAACAAGCACTCCCCACGACAAATCAACAGCATTCTATCCTGTTGTAGCCGGCTCTGGAGGTGCAGGGTAGAAAAAGAAGTGTACAAAGAATCGAAGACGATTAAAACAAGTTTAAAAACTGGTCTCAGCGGAGCCACCAAAGAACTCGTCAGTCGGAGAGGGAACCTTGTCCCTCAACCAGGCCAGCACAGCATCCGTACCCTTTTTGAGGACAGCATAGTTCGGAACTCGGAAAGTGTTGCCTTCGACGTCCAAGCTGGTGAGTGTACCAGCAAGTAGGCCAATCCTTGGCTCCAGGCGGGGCATCGAATTGTTGCTCAGATTGACGATCTTCAGCCCTTCCAGTGACTCCGCGGATACATCGGTGATCGCATTGTCGGAGGCCATGAACACCAACAACTCAGGAAATGTCGAGCGAAGTGTAGGTAGAGGCCCGGCAATCTGATTGTTGGAGACATCAAGGTTCTGAAGAGCCGGTGTGGTTACCATTTCTAGCAAGCCGTCTAGAGACTTCAGTCTGTTCCCACCAAATCTCAGTTCTCGTAGTTTCGGTAAACTAATAGGTGAGCTACATGGATCGACAATATTGTTCTTCGATAGGTCTAGAAGAGTGAGATGGGTCAATTGAGAAAGGACATTAGGCATTGTCGTCAATTGATTCTGCTGGAGATAAAGCTGACGGATCGCATTCGTCTCCGCAAAACTTAGAACTGCCTCTTCATCGATTTCTGTCATGCATTTGGCTGAAAGATCTAGAGTTCCTGACGGGGTCAATTGCCAGTCGTTCTCATTCGCATCCTCAGCTTCTGATTCGAGAGCACCATTCAGGATCTCAGCATCATCTGTGCTTGGCTCAATCCGAGAAAGAAGATCTCGTTTGATATCCTCCGCACTCATCGTGAGGAACTTTCTCTCGCGAAGAGGGTTCGCCGATAGTGTCAGGTTTTCCAACCCGCTCATAAGCGCAATCTTCTCATCTAATTTGGTGATATCATTGCCCGTGAAATCGGCATTGCGTAACTGCTGTAAAGATGTGAAACCTGTGGGTATGGCCGTCACTTTATTCTCGCTCATCAACAAAGTCGTCAGCTCTGACCATGACGACATGTCAGGAAGTGATGATAGTCTATTGGTCGAAACGTCCAAGTGCTTCAGCGCGGGAAGTAAAACAGTTCCGGATTCGCATAGCGAAGTCAAGGCATTATTCGATAATCGAAGGGATTGCAAATGTGGGACAGACTCCACATTAAAGAAATGTCCACTGAAGGCATTTTTGGAAGCTAAAAGCTCTACAATTGGGACTGATGTGAATAAGTCTGCTGGTAAGCTTTTCAAACGATTTTGGGAGACGTTGAGGCTCCGAAGATTTTCAAGCTCACGCAACTCTTCAGGTAGGGCTGTTAGCTTATTTTCCTGCAACTCCAAAGTTTCGAGCAGCCTCAAATTTCCCAGGCTGGGCAAGAGCTGACCCTCCATCTCATTGTCGGCAAGCTTAAGCTCACGCAGGGATGAGATTTGAGAAATGACGTCCATGGCTTCATTTGGCAGCTTGTTCCTCGACTAATATGGTTAGCAGCTATTCTCTTGTAAAGAATGCGTATGATGCTTACCAGATTAAGCTTTGACAGGTAGGTCAGGCGGCCTAGACCAGATGGTAGTTGTAACAGAACATTGCCATGAAGATCTAGTGACTGTACACCCCCAAATTGAGGGCTAGCTTCGTCCGAATCATCTAAGGCATTGAAGTCGACATCCGGAAACATGTCTTGTGGTAGTGACTCTAGGGCGTTGTCGGCTGCAATGATGGTGGTGACATCAACCACCTCTCCCCAAGCTACGCTATTATCATTTGGGTCGTATTTGTACATGCCCAATACTTCGTCTGGTATCTCGTTCAGACCTAACGCAGCGATGTTCAGGCGGCCCTCGACCCGCGCAGCATCTATTCGCTTTCGAAGCAATGACTTACTGCCCTTTGAATGCTGATTGAACGGGTCGTCCAGGCCAAAGTCGAACTCCGCGATTTCTGCAGGATCAGGCTCGATTCCATAGTCATTTTCGGTTACAGCTGGCACTTCGCGCGGCGGTGTCCCATTTCCGAACTCCTTCGCAACATGAGCTCGTCGTGCTTCTTCTTTGGCTTTGGCAATCTGTTCACGCAATGCACTGGACGAACTCTGGGCTTTTCGAGAAGACTCAGGAGGCTTTGCCACTGCTGCTGTTCCCTCGCTCTTTCGTGCGACCTTGCTTTTTAGGGTCTCATCACGGAGGGCAACTGGCGAATTCGACAACCTACGGCTCGTTTCTGGTGTTTTGACCGACAACAGACTTTGCCTACTAGTGGAGGGTGTTGAAGGAGCTAGTGATGCCGGGGGGGAGACTGCCTCTCCGAATATTCCACCTAGGGACGGGCGGGTTTTGGGAGTGCGAGCAGTCATAGTCTTGCTGTTCGACAACGGACGTGGCCTCGGGGTGCTCAGCGAGTTTTGTGTGGGAGCGAGTGTCTTGGTTCTGAATTGTGTTGAGATTCTCGACGCTGCGGGCACCTTGCTAGGAGTAGCCATGTTGGAAGGCGCAGCTGCGCTGACACTTCTTTTGCCCGGAGCAGTCATAGAGCCTCTTGATGCCCCTATAGCGGTTTGCCTTGGTGTTGCTGGAACGGCTCTGGGCGTACCGTCGCTGGTGCCTGGCCGCCTATTCCCCCCCAGTGCAGACGCAGGTCGACTCGGGGGCCCCATTGGATTTTCAGAATTGAAGAAACTTGATCTTCTTCGCCCTTTGCTCGCAGCAGGTGATGAGGGGGGTAACATGGACAAGCTCTCGATTGTGCGCTCCGACAGTGACGGGCGTGATTTCTTCTGCAAAGGGGCATTCGCAACAGGAGAGGCTGGCTCTGCATCGCTCTCCAAGAAGACCTCGTTCTCCTGTTCATGGAACCCTGCCCGAGAAGACGCCCTCGATGCAGAGCGAAACCCATCCAGATCTCCCAACACATCGTCATCATTTGTAGATCCGTTTCCTCCCAATTCTCGAGGCTTCGGAGTCACTTGTGTCTGACGTGACGGGGGCCGAGCGAAAGTCTTGCTGAAGCCGGAGCTGCTTGCTGTGCTTGCTGATCGGGCCGGGACATTGCCGAGGGTCGGTCGCTTGGAGGTTGCAATTGATGACACTCGTCTTGAGGAAGTTGACGCTGTTGAAGATACTCGGTAGGTGGACGTGGATGAGGCTGGCGTGAATGAAGGCGCTCGACTGGTTGTTACGGTAGCGGGTGGATTAGGACGAGCGAGGGAGGATCTAGATGGTTTCTTCTGTAGCTGTAGCGGTGGTTGGGCTTGACTGGTAGTCGGTCTTGAAATGGAAGACAGAGAAGGCTTCTTGCGAAGCTGCTCCGTGGAAGTGGGCTGGCGAAGTTGCGACTGGGTAGTGGAAGATCTGTTCAGGACAGGCAACCTTGAGGTTGGTCGGGGGATTCCAGATGTCCGCACGGGAAGTGAGGACGGCGGGTCCATATTGATAAGTTTTTGTGTGTGTGTGTGTGTGTGTCTTTGGAGCCACTGAGGAGGGGTCCCAGGGAAAGGGCAACACTAGATGCTGGTTGAAGATATGGAGAGATCGCTATTCATGCAGGTGGAGTTGGACAAGTAGAATGGAGGGCCATACCCAACGACAGACACCGGCCACGGCTCACCAGTACGCCCAAGGTAGTAGTCACAGTCACTGTGTAGGTAGATGGGTAGGTAGGTAGGGTAGGTAGGTGACTAGGTGTACGCCAGCAAAGGGGTTGATTGATTGATCGACTCGGAAAGGATGATTAATTTTGTACTCCGTAATTTCTCGCGATGGATGGGCCCGATGGGGGGGAGAAAGGGAACTTGAGGGTTGTGATATGCAAGGTGCACCAAAACATCTGTGTGTCCTGGAACAGGTCCGTGAACGTGGGTATGGTATGTATGGACGTTGGGTCTTGGGCGTATGTACACTGTAGTTACCTAGGTAGTTAGTCAGTGATTGTATGATGATACATACAGATGCAGTGTAAGTGCGGGTGGTTGTCCAGCCAGTGGGTTTGTTTACAACCACGATAGGAGGACCAAGCGTTCGTTTCGTGATCTACGTCCGCATTAGGCAAGGCGCAAGACTTGGAAGATCCACTCTCTCATACTGTGTACTGTCTGTCTAGGTACTGTCTGAGTGTGCCTGTGCCTATGCTATGCTATTACCTCGAACTAACTAACCTCTCCACCCCCCGCCCCCCCGATATTATCGCATCGCATCGCATCGCATCGCATCGCAAATCCATATTCATATACATATCAACACATCTGTATCGCTACCCCAATTACAACCACCACCTTGGAAATCGCTGCGCCATTGGTCGCATTGCGCGCGCAATCCTGCCTGTAACACGCGCGTCCGACGCGATCCCCGCTCCACCGCTCCGCCGCCGCCATCGCCATCGCCTATCGCTCTCTCGCGTCTTAAACTGTCCTGCATACCAACGACGAACCCATCGTCGGACCTCTTGAACGTGCAGTAAACACCACTGGTATTCAGTGTCTCCATAGACCCCTGGACTGAAAGACGGACCGCTATCGTTCTGCTCGTTTGCGCGCCTCGCCCACCGCTCTGACGTGTCGTTCGCGCCTTGGACAATCTACCCAACTAGGCAGAATGGACTCTCAGACCTCATTCTCCCAGCTCTCCCAGCTGTCTCAGGACTCGCTCATGCCTTCCACGGAGGTCTCGCGGCCGAATACCCCAAAAATGTATTCAGTCTCGAGATCTGCATCCCCCGCGCCTTTAAATGTGCCCAAGGCTTCCTCTGAAGACCGGACCAAATTCACTTCTCCCGCACCACCTACAACCTCATCAATGACGCCTCCACCGTCTTCCCAGCTTCCCAATATCCGGACTGCTGTTCTTAGGACCCCTAGTCCCCCGGACCCGCAGCTCACCTCTCCTCCTCCAACCGCCAAACTTCCCGACCAGCCATCTGTGTTGACGGAGTCTGCCTCCGCCCTCTACTCACCCGAGCAGATTACCAATGCATCGCCTGACGAATTGCGATGCATGGTGGATGAATTGACTTCTGCTTTGCGCGATGTACGACTATCTGCGGCGCATTACAAATTACAGTACAACATGGCCGTCATGGAGAGCCAAGAAGCTGCCAGTCGTATGGCCGTTGAACTAGCCATGGCGCAGCGAGAGATTGACGTTCTAAAACAAGCCGAAGTCAAACGACGCAATTCAATACCAACACCTACTCAGACCGTTCAGGAATCCCCTGTCGACTCGGCGAACGCAATCATGATGTCTGAATTGAACCGCCAATGTCAAATCTTGCAGCAAGACAACGAGGAGCTACGAGATGCTCTTGAGCAGCAGAAACGTCTCACTGAGCACAGAGAGGGCGAGTTAGCAAGCCTCATGGAGGAGAATGACCGCCTGAAAACCCGCATCCGCAAGAACAGAGACCATATGGCACAATTTTTGCCATTTCAGGATCAGATCAACGAGCAAGGGTCGCCGCGTTCCATGTTCGGAACACCTTTGCAGGCCACTCCTCGCCAACGCGCCCAAAGAGTGCCACAGCCTCTTTCCGTAGAACACAGGGGGCAGAGTAACTTTGATATCCTCTTGCGCGCGGATCAAATACTCAATGAAAAGACAACGACGGCCCCGTCCACCCCCACACGATCCCATGCACACAGGTCGCGGCTGGGCCACACGAGAGGAACGCACTCCATGTCCTCGTTGCCTCACACACCCAATCGCCACACCACTCACCGTCACACCGGAGTACCACGAACCCCAAATACCTTTTCCGCTATCAACATACCGCAGTCTGCCCCACCCGCACAGTATCAACGAGTCCCTCCCGTTCGTCGTGAAAGCAGTAATTCGACCATCACGGCATCAAGCGTAGATGAGGAAGAAGCTTTCACCGATAGAGAGGATGATGAGATCCCCGAATCACAAGCCAGCCAAGCTGCTACCAGTATGTTGCGGCGGTCGGGTTCTCAAAAACGAGCCTCAGCCCCGAGCTCGCAAGCCCAGCTTGTCCAGAGCAAACTCTTTGGCCACGTTAAGAAAGGTAGCACAATGAGTCGGCCTGGTGAATCTGAGAAGCGGAGGTTGCCTTCTACAGCCATGCACCATGCAAGCCCAACCAAAAGGGGGAGAATGGAGTCGGAAGTAGGTCTCGGTATTGGGGGCTTGCTCCGACAATAGGGATCTCTGGATCCGAGCGATGTGTTCATGAATTGACGATATTGGATTGGAAGGTACCAGGAGTTTGTACTTTAGGTTCGTTTGCTTGTATTTGACTCGAGGTGGACACCGCACGGTTATAGTGGGATGGGTCTCTGCCGTTTGATGTGCATGTCATGTCGTCTTGGTTAGGATAATGCTTGATATCGCGGTAGCTGTATGTTGAACGATCATGCTGGAAGGGTAGATAGCAAATGCTTATTTTTATGTTACATAGGTAATTAATGGTACTTGTTATGTGCATGTCTCTTCTCGTGGCGAAGTCAATGAACTACAGTGGTATTTGACTTCCCTGCGGTACCAGTTACCTACCTAGGTACTCATACCTCGTCATACTATCTAGTCATAGGAACAGTGCGTTTGGTAACATGTATCTACAACTAGAGCGGGCGTGCCTTGGTTAAATTAGTAATCTATCTACTACCAGGTGTTCGAGTAGTGGGTGTATCGGAGAAAGATTACTCCGCTCCGCCCACTAGCGGAGACGAAGCGAATATTGCAAAAATGAACTGCAACTTCATCTTCGAACTTTTTTTTCCAGCGTTACTAACCACCAGCGTCCGCCATCCCGACAAACCGCAGCAATGGCGATCAAGCACAACCAGCAGATTCAGAAGAATCACTTCCACAAGGACTGGCAACGTATGTCTTCCCGACTTCTTCTCCCGTTGCGCATTTTGGCAATAGTTTCCTAACATTCACCCAGGCCGTGTCAGGGTTCACTTTGATCAAGTAGGTTATTCCCCTCTCACGACGTGAGAGCAGTGGCGCCTCGATCAATCGATATTAACGAACTCTTCAGCCCGGACGCAAGCAGCGCAGACGCAATGCCCGTGTCGCCAAAGCCGCTCAGGTTGCTCCTCGCCCGGTAGACAGGCTCCGACCCGTCGTTCGCTGCCCTACCATCAAGTACAACCGCCGTGTCCGCCCCGGCCGTGGCTTCACTCTTGTTTGTAACCCCCGGGCAAATATGCCACTCTACCTGAACGTGCAATTGACAATCTACAGGCTGAGTTGAAGGAGGCTGGTATCCCCCGCAAGCTTGCGCCCACCATCGGCATCTCCGTCGACCCTCGCCGCCAAAACATCTCCGAGGAGAGCCTCAAGGCCAACGTCGAGCGCCTCCAGGAGTTCAGGAAGCGTCTCATTCTCTTCCCCCGCCGCAACGGCAAGACTAAGCAGGGTGACGCCTCTGCTGAGGACGTTAAGGCCGCCAAGAAGGGCGAGAACAACGCCAAGTCCGTCGCCGACGTCCTTGCCATCAAGAACGACATCACCTTCGAGGAGGGCCCCATCGGCAACTACAAGGGCGAGGAGGCTGCTTTCAGGAAGCTCCGTGACGTCCGCTCCGAGGCCCGCCAGCTCGGTGCCCGCAACAAGCGTGCTGCTGCTAAGGCTGACGAGGAGGCTGCTAAGAAGAAATAAACGTAGTCTTTTCGAAAAGGTGTCACGATTTGATGGAACGGGATACCCTATCGTGGGTTCAAAAAACGGTGGTCATGATTCAGCAAAGGATATTCCCTGCATGGGCGGCGTATTGGTTAGGTCCTGCTATCAAGTAGCAGTTTGTGAAATGACATCAACTACACACAATGAATCTACCGTTTGCCGCCATTATGACATTACGTCAAATGTGAGAACAGTTTTGTACCATGAATTTGCCCAGTTACGTGACTTAATGCGTTCCGTGTGCAAAATGATTTTCCAATCTTATTTGTCAGTCCAGTCCCTCAGCCAAATCCAGATGGATCGCGTTGATAGACAAGAGAGCAAGTAAACTACTAGTTACACATCGCGCATTAAACGCCCGAGTTCTTCTCCCCATCACCATTGTCATCACCACCATCGACGTCGTTCCCATCCTCAGTCCACTCCAGATACTCGTCAACGACCCACGTCCCTCCATCGACCTCAACTGTAGTCCCCACCTGCACGCCTTCCCTCTTGAATGCAACCGCACAAGGTAGGAACATATCACCGACCCTAACTGTTCTCTTCCAACTTCCTCCAACAGCCCCTCCCCCCTCGGACTCTTCAAATTCCCATCTCTCGATCACCCATCCCTCACCCTTCCTCAGCAACCCCTGACAAAACTGCCCAAGCCTAACGATAACGCCCTTTGCCCTCCCCTCCTTGTCGTCTAATTTCAACACACAGCATACCTTCATAGTCGTGTGCGGGAATACGGGTTCGATGGAGAGATCAGCCCACATCTCCTCGTAGGCGACTTCATGTCCCAGGTGCTCGTTGAAAGCGTGTCCGAACTCGAGGGCGCGGCCGGAGCCGAGGTCGTACATGTCTCCCTCGTCTACTGGGATGGCTTCATGGAGGAGGAAACGAGTATCAATGTCGTGACGCCAGGTGGAGTGTGTGACAGGGATTTCCTCGTCTTCGCGGCCGGGGATGGTCGCTGATGTGCTAGTGCCGGCGAACGCCCATTCTACGCGGTGCATGGGCCCGCCTTGATTTGGGAGGAGGTGGTCACCATCCTGAAGGGGCTTCAGGATACGCAGGTCGACAAAGGTGGAACTTGGACTTGTAAGGACGAGTGTGGAGGTTGGTTCTGATGGACCGTATGGGAGGTTCAGTGGGTTGTGTTGTGGGAGGTGGGTAGAGTAGGGGATGGGTGTTTCTGGGGGGAGCGGGTAGTTGCCTAGGTAAATGATGTAGTCTCGCGTTGAGATGTTGGCGTTTCGTCCTGGTGCTGGTAGAGTAGGCGAGTTGGTGGACATTTTGGATGCGTCTATCACTGTTACTTGCCCGGGGTTGATAATGGTGGTGGTCTTGCTTGGGGTGATGGGCCTGGAGTCCGTAAGAGTTAAGGAGAGTGGGCGTCGGTTAGTGGTGTAGTGACTACTCCGTAGGTGAATAAAGTTGATGATCAAACCGGCATGCAATATGTATTTGCTAGTGTTTTCGTGGGCTTACTAGAGTTGCGTGGCCGTCAGTCAGCAGTTGACTCAACAAATCGGCTTCAGTTGGATGGAGAAGAAGGTTGTACTCGAAGAATAATGTGTGGAGAGTGACAAAGAAAAGAAATTCGAGTGGTTACGGGAAAGGAGAGACAATTTGGCAGATGAGGAAAGGAACAGAAATGCCAGTCCCGGGTCGGTGATGGAGTAAAGGTGGGGAGAAAACCAAACGCAAAAGAAAAAGATCAATTACCTATAACATTATAGTCTTACTTACGATTCTTAGACAAATTGAGCATTTGATTCGTGTAACGCCTGAAGAGATATCGTTGTTGTAGGATGAAGGGTGAATATCAACTACCTAAGTATCATGATGGTTGACTCGACTACTCGTGCCACTCAAGATGATCAGACCTCACTAGCGTCCCCACCATTCACGCCCACTTCAACACCACTTTATACCACGGCTTCAGCACTGTATCAGGTCCACAACAGAAAGCCAATATAAACCTATCTCAAAATCTAGATACGAGACACGATATCGAGTCTTTATAGACACAAGTAAGAGAGATCCATGTCATTCATTTTCGAATAGACTCAATGTTCAATCCAAGTTCAACCCACATTGATAGGCACAACAACTGTACCGCACTACTGTGATACGTCGTGAGTGGTCGACTTCGTTCATTCGATGCTGGTGCCCATAACAAAAGCGAGAGGGGACAGAGGAACTGTTCAGCCGCAGAGAGCGCAGAAAAAGGGTATTTTCGTCCCGCCATACCAATAGACTAGGAATCTATTTGCTACCGTTTAGAACGACCTAGAGGCCAAGTGAACTCAAGAGGCTTTGATTTGACCTCATACTATGGTCAAGTTCTACTGCCAATGTCAGAGGCGTACCCTGTGCCTAGGCACGGCCTCATTGTTTTGTCTGAAAGTTCAATCACTTGACAATTTTCCGTGTGCGGTGATTCTACTGCACCTTGGTGTGCATGCACGACTTTACTTTCCATGTCCACTTAAACCCCATGTTTCCTGCTAATATTCGGCCAATTCAGACAACAACCACGCTCACCCCCTTGGATCAACCACAACTTTCGCATTTCCCAATAACCATTTGACAGAGTTAAAGTTATTCCAGAGTACTCAACAATTGATATCTTCAACCCCTGATTGTGCTGTTGGAAAATGACGACCTCGAGCCTCGGCGGTCATAGTACGAGGAGCAAGGAACCTCCATCTATTTCCTCCGATCGCGAAGACGAGGTGAATCGGAAAGACGAGACGGTGAACCAGGATGATGTTAGCGAGTCCAACGGTTGGTCCAGTGATGAGTACGAATTCATCCACCACGAAGAACTGGTACGTGATCTTGAGCTTTCAGAATATCGTACCCAAGTGGCTCATAAGATACTAATTCATTCGTAGAATAGCAAGGGCAAACGCCAGGAGCTTCCTACGCAGGACTTCCCAAATACATGGTAAGCAAATCACTCGATTACTCCTGTTGCCTCGAGTGCATACTTACTTCACTAGGGAGAAAGCATACAACGACACAGCGCAGGCCATCGACAGGTTGGGCAAAGCAAGTTCCAAGTATCTCTCTTCGATCGCAAATTCCGGCATTGTAGAGGCTGGATTCTCCGTGGGAGGTGCCCTCGCATCGACTTCAAATCGCACAGCCCTTGAAACCGTCAGCTTCGCCATGAACGCACTTGGCAAACGACTATCAGATCTCCCGCCCAAGACTCGAAAGTGGTACGAACAAAAGGCATTGATGGACCAGGCCAAGGAGCGTGCAAAACAAGCCGAGCAGGACCGTCAACGAAGGAAGATCAAACAGGAGCTGTTGGAGAGCGGCGAGGTTACACTGGTTCGACATGGCGAACCTGGGTCTCTTACGCCATTCCTATCGGAAATGTCTTCTCCTGACTCTTTGAGTGGATTTCCAATGGAGAGATGGGCTCGTGAGAATCGAGCTCGTGGCATGGCTCCTCGTCGAAATGCCAGTGGTCCTTTTCGACCAGGCTTTGCGAAGGCGAAGGCGGAGGCAGAGGCAGAGGCAGAGGCAGAGAAGGCCAATGACATCAGTGAAAGGACCCCAGGCAATTCATCTTCTGTGGGTTCCACCATCGTCAGGTCTGTTTGCTCAAACACAACAGAAGCAACAGATCAGGTACTCCAAACCATACTGTCGGCAAAATTTGAGCCTCAAACTCTTATAACACCGCGGCCCATCGAACTTCAGACGACGCCTAAGGTCTTCTCTGGGAAGATTATCACTGACTCCAGGACCATTGACAGCGAGGACTTGCATAGCATCGTGACCGATTCCGCACAGCAGGATATTTCACGCACTGACGAGCCTGAAGACGGAGTTGAATCTGGGTTCAATGTCTCACCACATCCAGCACGTCGAGCGTCATCTCCTGTAAAGCTGGACGACCTGTATACGGAAGTGCTGAACAGCTACAAGGCTGGAGACTCCCCAAGCCATTCCATCTCAACGAAGACTTCCATCATTCAAAAGGATCAAGACTTCGCCACTGATGTCGTAACTTCGAAGGAATCTGTAACACCGTCCTACCTGGCACCTACCTCGCGCACTGCGGCCACCCTTACATGCTCTCCAATTGCCCCTAGATCCGCGAACATTGAAATCCCGTACATCCAGAAGTCAGATAATCCAGCGGTTACATCTTCTTCCTGCACTGTAGATGTTCTCGCACCAACTCCAATCGCCCCTTTGCAGGCTGTGGATAAGAATACAGACATTGTCTCCATCAACGCCGGGCCGTACAACTTCGAGGATGTCGCTTGCGCTCGTAGAGGCGCTGCTGTATTGACGGACGATGAGCACGACAATACTAGTATCATGAGTGACCATGTTAGCTCAGGAAGCACTTGCGATGCGATAGAAACTTCCAATGGGCAGAGTGTTCAAAGCGAGAACAAAGATGCTGCCCAGGGCATGCACTATGAGCCTACCTCAGGACAAGACTATTTAAGTAACGCGGAAACCATCGTCCCCCGTGACCCTTCTCTCTCAGGCCCCCACGCACAATCGGAGGGTTTCGGAGATGATGTGGACGGGTTTGATCGAGAGAAGCATGGTGCTACTGAGGCGGATAGAGTCTCTGCGTCGTTTCCATCGAATTCGGGATACTTTGGAATGCTATCAGATCTGGAAGATGTAGAGATCTGAGCTGTTTGATCTGAGCTGTTTGATCTGAGCTGTTTGATCTGATCTTGGTCTTCGAACTTTTGGAGAGCGACGAATATGATGACCCAGACATTGGCGTATTATTAACTCCTATCCAGAAAGCGATGCGATTCCTTTCGACCAATGTGCTGGCAAATTGAACGTGCATCGGCATTAACAAGGCATGTAGATATAGCATGCAGATACTTGAATAAATATGATTTGCATACCACGGCTGATATACTTGTGAATGCAGCTGACATGTGGAAGATACGACGATTAGGTGATATTTTGACATGTATTAAGGAAACTGGCAAAGTTATGCTAATGTACATACGATATGGATGGAAAACACCGAAAATATGCTTACGACTATTTCTTCCCCTTGGATTTCTTGCTCCTTGTCGTTCTGGCGAGAGGTTGGACCTCGTCGGAGGAGTCTTTCGCCGCACCTGCCCCTAAACTTTCATCGAGATATTCTCTGCTGTCCGAGGCAGCATCACTTTCCGCGCTATGGCCTAATTCTTTTGCTCTAATTTGCCTCTCTGCCTCCCAATCCTGTACCAAGTTGGCAACAGCATCCACCTTGACCTTCTCTTTTCCATTCCATGCTCCACACCCTCCGCAACGCCATCGTCCGATATCCTCAAGAGTCCGAGTACCTGGTGGAGCTTGACCGTTGACGAGTCTACACTCGCTACAGATCATAGCTAGACGGTTCTTGGGTTGTGTTTCGTCCTCTCCCAGCAACGCATCGAGAATTCTGTCGTACCAATGAGGCTGCATGAATGTTGAAGCAGCAGATGAAGAGTATTGTTTGGTTGTATCAGCGCCGAAGGCATTGGGTGCAAAATCCGCTCCTGGTAGCTCTCGAGACGGTAGAGCCTGAACTGGAGAAGGACCTGGCGACGATGATCCAGCAGATTCCGGCCTCTGGGGAATGAACTGTTGCTGACCAGGGGGATGTTGAATGTTTGCAGTCGGCGGCGGGGCCATATTTGTTCGCGGGCCCTGTGGTAGAGGTGGATGCTGTGGGCCTTGGGATGTCTTTTTATCGCTTGGAGAGGCTACATCTTTCGACTTGGGCGGTGACCCATACTTCTCAAGTAGTTGTTGGGTAGAGTTGTATTTCGTAGCGGCCTTCAGTCTCTCGATTGTCGCGTCCCGTTCGCTCTGTAGGCTCTCAAGATAGCTCTCCGTTTTCGAGATGCGGTAGTCGTAGTAGGTCGTGAAGGCAGTTCGGACAGTGTAAATACTACAGACGGTACTGATCAGTCGACAAGCCTCTTACAGAATATTACATGTATATCACTGACATGACTGGCCCTCCAGACATTATGGAAACCTCTGTAGCTCCCCAACTTCTCCAACCTGTCACCAGGAGCAACAGGAGCGCCGCGAGGATGTATGCGAACCCCGCATACAGAGTCCACATGACACGTACACGTCTCGATCTTTGTCGCAAAGCATCGTTTCGAGTGGCGGTCCTGGTTATCTTCTCGGATAGGGTAGATAGGGTCTTCTCAAATGAGGCAGCGTCTTCAGCCGACTACCGTGCGCCTCTTGTTAATGGTATATCGAATGCAAGAGCTAGGGACACTCACTTTCCACGGCCAGAATGTCACCATGGTTCCAAATCCACCGGGTATTCGTAGTGGTTCCGCGTTCCGCCCTTCGTGGGTACAGAAAGAAGTTCTCTCTATGGCGACATGAGTATTGTCGTAGGTCGACGATTCCAGCGATTATGCGTTAGTGTCGATTTGTTTCAAAAGATGGATGTGCAAGCGACGTCAGTCGTGTGTTAACGCTGCATACGATGCCTAGGTAGTTATTGTGTACTATGTACGTAGCTAGGTGGCAGCACCTGCAGCTGCCGGATCGGCGCCGGAACCCTGATCCCTGCACCTTCGGCAAAACCTCTCTTCCACCCTTTAGCATTCCGAACTTTCTTGTCACCATCTGCACGACGACACGACGGCATTGTTTTCACAGCACCAGTCCGGAGTACACAGTATAGATTCTCCCCAATGTCGAAGGAAATTGCACTTCAAGCCTATAGGCATATTCTGCGATCCACGCGTGTTGCTTTTCAGGGTATGGCTTCCTCGTTAGACAAACCCCAGTCCAGCCAATGCTAATTCGATGTATCCAGGGGACTTCAACACTCTGGCTGCTGCGCGGTGGCAGGCCCGGCAGACATTCGAAAAGAACCGCGGACTTCCTACCGGCAGCGAGGAGCTTACCAAGCAAATAACACATGCCGAGGACGTGGCCAAATTCCTGAGGGCGAACGTGGTTCAGGGTCAAGTGGTCGACGATAAGGGCAATTACAGTATGTGGGCGGAGCGCAGATATGTTCCCATCTCCATGCAATATGCTAATCATTGACTCCTTCGTCTAGAGCTTAATATACATGACGAGACCGAGCGTGGGAACAACGAGGATATCAAGAACGGAAGTGGAAAGAATACACTAGCAGGAACCAAATGCTGTTCAACTTGACTTTTGACCGCCCCAGAAATGAACCATGATACCCATGAATACCTCCAAACGCCAGATGTGAATAGATTCCGTAGCTCTCAAGAGACTTTAATTCCCAGCCAAACTTGCATATTGAACCTCGTCATCAGCACCGGGAGGTGGTGCAATTGCCGAGATGGTGTCCAAGCTGTCTTCTGGAGGCGCCTCGATGGCCGCCAGAGTCGCATTGGTCCTCCGAGGCGCTGCAGTGGTTCTTCCTTCCTTCGCATACATCATTCTTTGGTTTTGATCCATGCTGTCCAGCTGTTTGGGTCTGCCCCACGTTACACGCAACGGACAGCCCTTGATTACGGTTTTCCCCTGCAGGGCTTCTGCCGCAGCCTCTGCGTCGTTCCTCTTGATATAATTGATGTATGCGCAATGAGCGCGGTGTGAGCACACCACTGATCGTAGTTGGCCGAACTGCGCGAAGTGTGTGCGAATAGCATGCTCAGGTAGATCATCCTCAACACCGGTTACGAATAGGGATGAGACGTTTGGATCTGTCGGAGGCAGCCAGTCCTGGGGACTCGGCGCAAGCTGAGCCCCAGGAAGACGACCGCCTCTGTTCGACTTGAAACCACCTCGTCCACCTACAGCTGCTTTGCTATCGCGTGTTCGGATAGGCCCAGGCACATGTCCGCCTGCACTGGAACTACCCGCAGCTCCAGGAGCTGGCAACGCCTTGTGCGCACTGCCCGTTCCTTCGGCCTCTAGCCTTCGCTGCTTTTTGTAGTACGGCTCACTCTGTGCCAGTCGCTTCAAGAGCTCTCGTGCTTTCTCGTCGGTTTTGTTGTACTCTTCGAGCGCCCCTCTCCCCTCCTCAATCTCCTTCTCATGTTCCTGTGCGTAGTATTCCCTGTTGATGCTGCTCTGTGGGCCGGGAGCAACCATCTTCAGGGCTGCGTCACGGACTACGATGGGCAGACCAAATGATAGATCCAGCATGCAGTGTTGGCAGCAGTTCTTAAGACGAGCACAGGTCAGACAGATGTTTGTCTTCTTTTGGCGAGAGGTGCGGTCAGCCTTCCATCGGAATATGGTGAACGGGCGTGTACAAATTTTGCACTCGGCGCCATGGTCTTCCTTCAGCATCTGGACGTAGGGGTTGTCTGGTAAGCATTTCTCGCACACTGAGGGGAAATCCGTCGTCTCCCAACCCGACCGGTTCAGGTCTTGCTTGATCTGGGGCGGCATTGTTGGGTCGTGAGCGGTGTGGATGCGCTAGATCCAAGGATTATGCAAGTGCTTTTGAAATCTCGCAAGCGGCGCGCAGAACCTTGTTCCTGTGAGGCGGGCTGTGTCGTCTATGTTGTGGTCGTTGAATGTGATGGAGAAAGCGGAGGACGCGCAATTAGCGGCAAGTGTCGTATGTTTTTTCCGTAGGCTCCAAGCACTCGATAGGATACCTAAGGTAGTATGTAGCTAGGTGCCTTTGTTAGGAATGCGGTGGGGCATGAGCAGGCGACTTTCTCTCAAAGGCGCATAGAGAGGAACTTTCCTGTGGAATCGGTAGGAAAAGATGACGGAGCATGTGAGGATGCGACGACTACTGGGAGAATTGATATCTCGGGTGGAAGGGGCGATTTGTGATCCGTGTGGCAACCGACCAATCACGGATCCAGGGGTACGACAGGAACATCTGGGTATGGGTCCGGTACCTGGAGCCCAGTAGGAGGTAAGTACCAGGTGGTTACATTTGTTATGTGAGTGGCCCTGTGGTGACTGTGGTGGTACACCGTGCTAGTACCGTAACAAGTATCTCTCCCAGTGTGAATCTGGACAGTGGCAGTGGAAGGGGGTCCCACCCTTGAACGCTTGACCCTTGGCCGGCCCGTCAGTGTGACCGCCTCCTGGAAATTTCCCAAAGAGACTCTCTCCCTCTCCCCCATCCCGCTATTTACTTAAGGGCTTCAACATTTCCCTTTCCTTTGACTTCAATTTCACTCTCTCTTACCACTACCACCACTTCTCCATCCAATTGGAACATTGACAACTTCGCTACTTCGTTGCGTCCTTTCTTTCAATTGTGACACCTCATCATATCATTCCAATTGGAAACAATTCAACCTGAAATCATGTCTCCCACCGCTCTCGAACACGAGGATCACGCCCGTGATGCAGCTTTCAACAAGGCCATGCATGGCAAATCCTCCCAGGCCAAGGGTGGAATGACTGCCATGTTCCAGAAGGACAAGGCAGCTCAGCAAGCTGCCGTAGACGAGTATTTCAAGCACTGGGACAACAAGGCAGCTGAGGATGAGACTGAGGAGACTCGAAAGGTATGCACGAAGGAACTTCCAAACTCTACCAACCAATGCTGACTTGGGAATGTGTCAGGCTCGACGAGACGAATACGCCACCCTTACCAGGCATTACTACAACCTCGCCACTGATTTGTACGAGTACGGCTGGGGACAAAGCTTCCACTTCTGCCGATTCGCCTATGGTGAACCCTTCCACCAGGCTATTGCCCGCCATGAGCACTACCTCGCTGCCAAGATGGGCCTCAAGGACGGCATGCGCGTGCTTGACGTTGGCTGCGGTGTTGGAGGACCAGCACGAGAGATCGTCAAGTTCTCAGGAGCCAACGTTATCGGATTGAACAACAACGACTACCAGATCGAGCGCGCTACGGCATATGCCGCAAAGGAAGGTCTCTCACACAAGCTCAAATTCACCAAGGGCGATTTCATGGTATGTAATATTGATTATATCGGTTGACCTGGGCCAGGAACAATGGCTGACACATGCTACAGCAAATGTCCTTCCCCGACAACTCGTTCGATGCGGTTTACGCCATAGAAGCTACTGTCCATGCCCCGTCCCTCGAGGGTATCTACAGTGAGATATTCCGTGTTCTCAAGCCAGGTGGTGTCTTCGGCGTGTACGAGTGGCTCATGACCGACGAATACGACAACGACAACCCACATCACAGGGAGATCCGTCTCGGCATCGAGATCGGTGACGGCATCTCCAACATGGAGAAGGTCGAAGTTGCCTTGAAGGCAATGGAGACTGCTGGATTTGTTATGGAGCACACGGAAGACTTGGCTGACCGAGAGGACGAAGACTATTCACCATGGTACTGGCCATTGTCTGGTCAGCTCAAGTACATCACCACCCTGGGTGACATCCCCACGATCCTTCGCATGACCAAGGTTGGTAGAGGAATCGTCCATCGTTTTGTCGGTGCTTTGGAGATCATTGGTCTTGCACCAAAGGGTACCCAAAAGACGGCTGACAGCCTTGCGCTCGCTGCCGACTGCTTGGTCGCAGGTGGCCGGGAGAAGCTTTTCACCCCCATGTACATGATGGTTGGCCGTAAACCTGCCGATGCTTAGAGAGGACCAAAGGGTATGGTCTGCTCGTTCAGCTTCTCTTCTAATTTTTCCAACTTCTACTTCTTCTTTTTTTTCTCCTTACCCAACTTCTTGATTAGAAAAAAAAAGGGGGCGTCAAGTCTGAGATGGCTTTCCCTGGTACTTGGACATACTTGCATGAACAGCAGGTACGGGGAGTGGGATGCAACCGCTTATATACCTATACACATGTAATAATTTGGAAAGGCAAGATAAAAATCAAGGCCGACTGATGATGATGGCATGCACTGCGTGTATGCCGGGAGACGCACGACGGAATGAGGGATTAAGGAACCCGTTGGCGGGTAATATAGAGAGAGCAGCGTACGGATCAATATCAACTGTAATAATTCTTCGTTCGAAATATGAGATGGCTGGCTTACAGCGCGTGATGAATAGGAGTAGAGGTACGAGTACGGTGTACCTATACTCCGTACTTGGGGATCTCGGAGGAATCAGGAAGCCTTTCTTTTTTCTTCTCCTCCCCGTCCCCTCCGCCTTAGAATGGAAAGAGCCCAGTGTGACTGGGATCCGAAAAGAGGAAGAGCGAAAGGCTGCCCTTTGCGGTTACGTGAGAACGTGAGAGATGGGCAATTAACTATCTGTTATCATCCCCATAAGAGGTAACTATCGGATCGGGATTCACGCCCAACGCGAGAGAGAAAAGTAACGGCTCAACACGGAGATGATGGGTGAGTTGAGGTGGTGGATAGCCAAGACTTAAGACAGCTGGGTGGATCCCCCGAGCTCCGACAATAATGTTGAGCTCGGATCTTTGCGAGAAATCTTACCCCCATCACAATCATCTTCAACCCGGTCCAGCGTCCGCCCAGGAGTTTCCATCTTCTCAAATCCCTCCACATTCCTTAGATCTCTAGAGCAATGGTTTCCTCCAGGCTCTTCCGACCAGCTGCTCGCCTGGTGTCCGCATCAAGGCCAGCGCCTACCTTCCGACCTGCCTTCCGCGCAACAGCTGCCATTCCATCAATTGCAAGGACCCGTGGCTATGCATCTTCCAGTGGCAGCAAAGAGATGACAGTGCGTGAGGCGCTGAACGAGGCAATGGCTGAGGAGATGGAACAGAACGAGAAGGTCTTCGTATTGGGAGAAGAGGTTGCCCAATACAACGGAGCGTACGTTGAGCCCGGGAATTAACCTCAATTGTCGACAACTCTGGATATATGTGGACATTTCGGTTGTGCTGGACGCAATTGGACTGTTTTGCATACTAGGGACTCGAAAATTCGAAGGGGTGGTGCCTACAAGAGGATGATCGCTAATTGTATATCCAGATACAAAGTCACAAAGGGCCTCCTGGACCGTTTCGGTGAGAAGAGGGTCATTGACAGCCCTATCACTGAATCTGGTTTCGCTGGTCTTACTGTCGGTGCTGCTCTTGCTGGACTCGCTCCCATTGTAAGCACACACACCCCCCGAATCACAAAGTATCGGCCACGCTGTATCTAACAACCATAGTGCGAATTCATGACCTTCAACTTCGCTATGCAGGCCATTGACCAGATCATCAACTCCGCAGCAAAGACCCACTACATGTCTGGTGGCATTCAGCCCTGTAACATCACCTTCCGTGGACCGAACGGTTTCGCCGCCGGTGTCGCTGCCCAGCACTCACAGGATTATACCGCTTGGTATGGTAGCATTCCGGGTTTGAAGGTGGTCGCACCCTACAGCGCTGAGGATGCCAAGGGTCTGATGAAGGCTGCCATCCGTGACCCCAACCCAGTAGTCGTGCTAGAGAACGAGTGAGGATTCCTGATATGTCTGCCATGGTGCGTTGCTAACTCCAGCATAGGCTCCTTTACGGACTTTCGTTCCCTATGAGCGAAGCCGCTCAAAAGGACGACTTCGTCATCCCTGTACGATATTCACCACATTTGTGTAGCTGTAATTGTTGCTAATAATAATCGCAGTTCGGAAAGGCCAAGATCGAGCGCCCCGGCAAGGACCTCACTATGGTCACTCTCTCCCGTTGCGTCGGCCAGTCTCTCGTTGCTGCCGAGAACTTGAAGAAGCGATACGGCGTCGAAGCTGAGGTCATCAACCTCCGATCCATCAAGCCCCTTGATGTTGAGGCCATAGTAAAATCGGTTAAGAAGACTGGTCATTTGTTGGCTGTTGAGTCTGGCTTCCCTTCATTTGGCGTCGGTTCCGAGATCATGGCTCTGACTTGCGAATACGCCTTTGACTACTTGGAGGCTCCTCCAGCCCGTGTGACGGGTGCGGAAGTCCCAACACCATACGCACAGAAGCTAGAAGAGATGGCCTTCCCAACTGAGGAGTTGATAACTCAATATGCTGCTAAGCTGTTGCGAGTATGACGCGGTGGCGCAATGGCTTGAGGATTGGATTTCAGGAAGTGGCCTCTAAACCTACTTATACTCGATCAGCTTGATTCTAGGGCTACTCCAGCCGTCGATCCAGTGGTCGGCCATGTAACAAAAGCTGATGCCCAATTTGTCAGCGGGAGCATGTTCATGTACTTCTAATGCTTCTCTATCCCCTTGCCGTTTCATTAAATTCATTAGAGCAGAGCGGATCAATAATCATATTTTCTTCCAATTTCGATTCTATCCGTCCCTTTTCACAATTCCTGAAGCTGACATCGTGGCGCAAAACGCCAGGTATGCGCCCATGAGGGACTCGTTATCTGTGGCTGGCATGTAAGAGCTGGACACAATGAAACCGATTTGTGAAACCAATGCCTCGTCCAATTACGCTTTTAAGAAAGGAGGTCTATGAGAATGCCGTAGCAAGGTTCACACAATATTCCACGTGGTTGTCACGCGGCTTGTTACCTTGTTCCAGCCTGGAGAACATACGATGGGCGTTCAACCTCGCTTACCCACATCCACTCGACCTGCAAGGCTCGCCGCCACAATCGAAGAACGTCTAGATCCCTCTTCGCTTTGCGAACGTTACGCGAAATGTTCCCTGGGACACTACAAGCCACCGAATAAGCTTCTTCTCCCCATGGCGGCATGCCCAAAGAACAGCCGCGCGGTCAGCTCACCAGTGTCCTTCACAAGTCCAACCCTGTAGAGCTTTCGCATGGTCTGCCACGAGATTAAGGTCTCATCTTGCTGGAATGTAGAGAACTATGGTTACTGGACCAAGCATACATAATGCTGTACATCCCAAGCATGGTCCTTGCAACATCTTAAATATTAATCAGCCTAAGGCAGATCGACTTCTCAAGACGAATGTTAAACGACAAGCACATATTCCGATAACTTTCCATCGTTAACCTGGCTACTGTCTCTACTCGATCTAGAGATGCCCATTTGGACTTTAGCATTGTCATACGCATCGGGCGCTCTTCAGCCTCCGTTCTTTCGCACCAGTAAGGCTTGTGGTGTGAATTTGAGCAGACGCACTAATCTGGATTTGACCATCCATATTTGATAGCAATACCCACTGACTACTATCACTGGGCACGCTGTGCTCTATGGCTTCTCTCAGCCAGCTGATCCTTGCTTAAATGCCTCCGCCACAAATTTACGGGGTAGGAGAGTGAGCATTACCTAGATGGTACTTAACGATCGCGAATCACTTCGATTCGTGGATCTTGCATCTGACATCGACTAAATATGAGGACTAGCAGATCAGGAAATGGTCTAGGATACAGATGCGCTCAGAACATGCCCGCAAGATCGGCGCTGAAAATACAAACTCTGATATAGATTTGTGAAACTCCTTTATTTTTCCCACTGGAACATCTTCAAGCCCCTTCCCACAAGCGACTCATTCTACGGAATGGACCGAATTCCAATCGGACGGGGCCGGAGGATGCCTTCCTCTACCGCCGCAGAAAAAGCAATTCAGACCCTGCTTCCACAGAACATCACGTTCAAAGTTCACTGTGGCACATGTCGTCCACAGCCATGGATCGATAATCGTACGATCAGCTTTGGTGTCATCGCCTTCTGCACTGCACTGCGATGGATTTCACTACCTTCCGCTCAGCTCTTCTAACTCACGCTATTCTGCGTGGGTGGGATATCCATTGTACTACCTTTAGCCTTACAAAGTCATATAGTCCAGGTTCAAGTTCTCATTGGATCGGCGTTCTTCCTGAGCATGGATCTGCCTGTACGTTGTGCTTCGGCGGTGCTCGGGCGTTGCTGTTCGACATCTGCCATGTGGACAAAACATGCCACGCCTTGATGGTTTATTGACCGCTTCGAGAATCCTCTCAGATTACTCCGTACTGAAACACTCTGGGGTGGCGCTCGCGTGGAATTGGTACAAGTTTTACCGAGAACCGATATACCATCTCCGCAATCTGCTTTCTCGATTTGGACTTTCCCTACTCTCTTTATGGCTGAACTTCCAGAATCGTGTAGACCCTGTCAACGCCATTTCATTGCTTCTCCACGCCTATGACGAAGGGACCCCGAACCCCTTTTAAGCATGTACGGTTAGCCGTCTTTTCAGAATAATGACAAGGTTGATAAATGGAATCCTTTTGGGGGTAATTAAAGCTGGTTCAAAAAAGAAATGCCGATCACACCAGTATCACAGTATGTTGGGCATGAACGAAGTAGTATCGTATGATACGTCTTTACAAGACCAAAGCATTGATCAATCATACGTGAATGTTCACAGCACTCGCTCATTCTGCTGGGAGTCACTATGGTTTTCTCGGTTCTATTGGATTGCTTATCGATCGCCCCTTTGGGTTCTTCATGGTCATCAATCCCAGTACCATTGCTTATAAGTAGATTAGCATCACAGGCCTGGTCTTTTCAATTTCAATCGATGCAACTTCTCGCCCACCACTAATTACCCTCAACCCACGTCCAGCATTCCTGCATACAACATATAATTGAGGCCGGATAGTACTCAGGTGATTCGCCTTCTGTCATGGTGAAAATCTAAATTCTCATTAGCTCGTAGGTGCAAATAATTGTTCACATTCCCACAATCCAGCCAACCTCAGATGGTCAATACAAGTGCCGATTCACCATTGTTCGCTCTTCCGCTCGAACTCCGAGAGCAAATCTACAAGGATGTTCTTTTTGAACCAACCTCTGGAACGGGACTTCTGCTCGCATGCAAAGAGATACATTCAGTGGCTCACAAGTTCATTTATCAACGATCACTGATCTTCCGCGGTCAAAATGCGTTGCATGAGTGGATCCGACATACACCACCAGAATATCTCCATTACGTTACCACCATTGTAATCGAATTACATGAGGTTGATCTAAAACCGATCCTGGATCGTCCGGTTTCTCACACCCGAAATGATTCCCCTCCCCATCTCGCCACATGGGAGCTACATGAAAAAGAGATCGACAAACTGTGCGAAAGTATGCGAAAGTTACACAAACTAAGATCATTGACAGTACGAGGTCTTCCTCGGAGACCTTCCTACTTCTATCGTGAGTTCATCGACAGATTTCTAAAGGCATTAGGAAGCGTGTGGAAGGACCTGCAAGAGTTAAATTTGGAGGGATGTATCTACCAACAGAGTCTTGATTTCCTCTCTTCTCTATCTGATCTTCGTTCTTTCTCATTCGACGGATTTTCCAGAACTTCGGATACCGCCACTCTATCTGTTCTAGCTGGTCTCCGACATCTTACCAGCTTGACGATAGTCTCTCAGCCGCAATTTCCTACTCCATCAGACTCACCATACTTCGGTCATGTTCCGTTGAAGCGGCAATCCGTCACTAGCGAAATTATCAGCGCCACCCTGCAATTGTCATCATTTGCAGTTACAGAACGACCACTGCATATCCCGTCACCAGCTATGTTCTTCACGCCCGAAGTCTTCACATCACTCCAGCATCATGCAACCCTACGCAAATTCTCAACCTCTCTCACATATACTCCCAATTCGGAGACCCTCGGATCTCTGGCTGCATTCCTCCAAAAGTCATCGATCACAATGCTTGAACTAGACTGGCCGGACCTGACAGTGGAGACTCTACGCACATATACTATCTTGTCAGAAAAGCTCAGGGAGATGTGGGTCAGAGTTACCTCCATCAGTGTAGCAAGCGGGATCTTGGAACTGATCATTGCAAAGCGTGAGGGAGGAGACGCTACAGAGCTACGAACGGTTGTACTCATGAGGGATAACTGGGACGATGGTGACAGTACGGGTACAAACCAATCTCATTCTGGACTTGGAGAAGAACGTGCCGAGCGGATGGAAAGCGTTGCTCACAGCAAATCAGATGTATGTTCCTACGGCTGTCTCCTAGGTTTGATAACTATATACTAACTCTATCTAGATACACATCTCTCCTGCTACATCTTCGGATCCTGCACCTATACTTAGTTGCCAAATGGAGCAACTTCAGCTACTTGGGATTAAACTGCTCTGGCATACTGTATCAGCGTGTCACACATTTCCTAGGGCGATTATATAGGACAAGGGACTATTACAAGTTAACACAGTATGTACTACTTACTTTGATTGACAGCATTGTTAAAGAAAATGTATAAATTAAACCACTATTGCGTAAATCTGGTTTACTTATGTAGCTTCAAATATAAAAGGCTACAAGATGTTGTATTAAATGCCGTAATAAAAAGTTGTTTCCTTTTGTATAGCTATGAGTGACTTGTACTGTATCAGAGGAAATAACGGTATTCTTGCTGTACAATCATTGAATCTGAGCTGATGTAGGAGTATCAAATTGAGTGCCAACGAAGCCGCAATGTTCGCCCTTCTCAAACATCCCTTCGAGGTAGCAAGCTATATGCTGCATATGGATATCTATGGCACCATCTCGTTGCTTAGTCGCAGTATTGTCCGCCGGACGTAAAAGGTCTAATTTTGCGTTGCTCAGCCGAGCAAGTTCTTTCATCCACGTGGAATTCCGTGTTGGGTATGCTTCTCCCGACCAAGTAGTAAACGAAGTCTCTGTACCCCCGCAATTGTTGTTTGTCCACTTAGATTAGTCGTTCGTTTGAGATGTGGTAGAGCGACCCTTTTCGAAGGTTTGGAATGGAATGGTGCAAACAACATCTAAATCTTTGTAGAATTGCGTCCTCTCAAACTCGGTCATGTCGATTCTTGAATTGTATGCGGATTGACCTTATCATTTCATTTGACCCACGTTGCTTTCGCACTGCTTTAATCGAAGGACATCGTCGGCAACGGACACCACCGCTCTACTGACAAAATCTCCTAGAGTTCGGTGCTACCACTTCAAACATCTTGCCGTGGACAGTTCCCAAGTATAGCACCGTTCGATATCACTCTTTGACAAGGCGGTGCCATTAGGAGTTATATAATCTAAATCATGCGCCTGGCAGTACGTGCAAGGCACTTGTCGGTCGCACCCAGCACGTGCTCGTGCACAAGCACAACACGCTCTACGTTGTCAATCTCCTTTACTTCTGAATCTCAGTATACCATCTAGGAAGATTAATTCGTGCCTCTTCTGGTGCCTTGCTCTCGAATCCATCAGGTGTTTGCTAGGGCGTTAACACAGACCTTTTAATACTCCGTTCAACGAATACCAGAGCATACATTCGATAGAATGATTCCCCACAAGTAAAACAGATGAATGGCTTCACAGTGTCATGTCGCAGGGCATGTAGTTTTAGATGATCTCGTCGCTTAAATTGTTTCGGGCATTTCTGCCATTGGTGTTATGAAGAGTTTCTTAAATTCATTTTCCTTCAAATTAATCCCACAAAAAGGTTCGGACCTGGCTTGTAGTTGGTGTTGATAATAATCTTATAGATGTTAAGGATTACTTCATGTTGAAATTAGTGCCTGAATCACACACTTTCACAACTTATAGGCCGAGAATCGAAATTAGGCAGGGGATATGAATTTGTTCCAAGGCTGATCAGGTGGCCAGCAAGCTAGATCCCTCTGTCAGATACACTATTGGAGCGAAGCTCGTAGGCATTGGTCTAAAGTCATGAATATTACCATCGTCAACAACTCCCCATGAGTGAGAGGACCAGGATCCACCGGAGTTCCAAGCCTTTCTGCACAGACTTTGCTGTTCGGAAATTCGTTGTGGGGGTGGGGATCCCGAAGTTCTCTAACTACAATGACATGCTTGCACAGATACATGCGCACAGCTGGGCCCCATGGGGTACAGGTTCAATTTTTGCCTTTCCGATCCTATGGAAGTTCCTTGTGCTCTGATGAGAAATCATCCTAGCAGGGTTGAGTTCATGCCATGCAAAACTGCCTTCGGAATTGCGTGTGTGGAGTGTCAAATATTGCATCAAGGGTTCGAACGAGGAAACATGAAAACGAAAGAATATAAAGTCCCAATTTCGAGGCGATTGCCTCCCCCATCAGCACTTCATACTCGCTGCGCCTCAGATGCTTATAATGGTCCATTCTCAATTTCTCTTTATTGCTCTTGTGGCATTGTGGGCGCCTGTAGTCAGCGCAACCAGCCGTGTTGTCCGGCAGGATGTTGCCGGGACTGCTACCGTCAATATTGGATACCACCAAGGTGAAGCCAAATTCCTGGGAGCTGGTTTCATCTATGGCTTTCCCGACAATGGCTCAAGCGCCGATGACTCCATTCCCGATTACTTTGTTCGAGACATCAAATTTCAGACCTCGCGCGGCGGTGGCTCGCAAATCTCTTACGAAGGGTGGGCCACGGGCGGTTTGGAACAGTACAGAGGCCGATTTGCCTCTGCACTTTCCAATTATCGCACCTCGCGGAAGTTTGGAGGCAGCTATCTGCTAATGCCCTCTGATCTTTGGGGGGCGCAAGGAGGAGCCCCAGAAAACTTCCCGTTCCCTGGTGATAATGGCGACTGGTCTGAGATGGAAAAATTCCTTCGTCAAGTCATAAGCGACATCAAAGATAACGATATGTTAGATGGACTTGTAATCGACTTGTGGAATGAGCCTGATCTTGACTCGTTTTGGAATCGCCCGTGGTCTCAGTATGTCGAATACTTCGTCCGGGCTTCATTGCTCTTTAAGTAGGTATAACACTAGCTCATTGCGCCCTTTTGTGCTGATCTATATCCCCAAAGATCTGAATTTCCCGAAGCTCGACTCAGTGGGCCTTCTTCAGCGCACTCGCCTCATAAAGATAGTGAGAATTGGAGGGCATGGCTATCATCCATTTCTCAGAACAATGCCGTACCTGACATCTACTCCTGGCATCAAATTGGCGCCTGGGAGCGAGAGCCTGATACAACCATTCCGGCACTCAAGGCGCTTCTGGCCGAATATAATCTACCTGAGCGACCGGTGGATGTGAACGAATATGCATGGCCCGACGAACAAAACCCGGCGAATTCGGTTTATTATTTATCTCAACTGGAGCGTCACAACATTCGTGGATTGCGCGCAAACTGGGGCGGAGGCCCATCTCTACACGATTTCATGGCAAACCTTATCTGGAAAGATGATGGAGGATATTATCCCAACGGAGAATGGCATCTCTATAAATATTACGCAAGAATGGAGGGCGAGAGAGTGGCAACATCTGCATCTTCTGACTTGAAGTTTGATGCTTTTGCTGTACTCTCCGGCCGCCGTCTCAAAATCATCGCAGGCACAAGGACTGTGAAGGCCCGCTATAACATTGAGATCACAGGTTTCACTGATTCCGGTGTACCTCCCGAAGGCTCTTTGACTGTAGGGAGGTATCAATTCGATTGGGCAGGTGCTCAAGGGCGTATTTGGGATGCTTTGTATCTCGGAACAGCTACGTACGAGTATTCACAGAACAAGGTAGGCTTTTTAGAGAGATTCACCTCCTATGGAAACTGTCCACTGATCATATGGTATAGTTGATTATTCCGTTCGATCCTCCAACCGAACACACGGCCTTTGCTTTTGAGGTTGAATTGCCCTAAGGTCGTGCTGCTACTGATGCGTTGCGAATCCTGCGCACGTTCGAGGAGAAGATGGCAGGCCAAATATGGATGTGTAACGCGATGGCCTTACGCGCATCCTACACTGGACTGGTGCCTCTGCGTTGATGAGAGTATTCATGGTAAATCTACATATACTATTAATGCAAACAAAAACTGGGAATAGGCATTTATCAATTTGGCAATTACCGAGAACTTTTGGATATTAGTTGTATGCTAATTTCTCAACCTAAGCGGGAAATCTATTGCATTGAATGCCTAGCTCCTTGTTCAATCTCAACATCGTTGTGAGCCAGATTAGACGAAAAACCCCATTTGACATCATAAGGAAATACTTAGACCGGCGCAAGCTGCCCTCATATGAGCACTGTGGCTAATTCCGGCGTTACTTCTACATGTAGTCACTTAAAAGAAACCATTGTGCGGTCGAGCCGCATCCTTGTAGGGAATCCTTGTCGGAGGAACCGATTCGATTTCATATTGCGCAATCAAGAGCTGCTTCGAGCATAGATTGGAGGCGGGAAGTGTCAAGACTCAAATGTGCACAATACAGTCAATACCCCAGGTCTGGGCGTCGGAGTGGGGAAGGGATCGCGTAGCTTAAGCCTTACCCATCCATGACCATAAATACTCCGGCCACTCTCTGATTGTTCCGGCCCGGCCACTCATTCTTAGGATTCTCTCCTCCCACCTCATATGTATCTTCGAGTATCATCTTATACCGAAATTGAGTAACTGGTGAGCCGGCTGTCTTAACAAAATCTCAGGACTAGCTGGCAAGTCGGGGCTGGATTTCAGTTCCTTCAGGCAAGATTCCTATCACCACCTATGCGAGCGCGGACAGGGTAATGTATTGCCAATGAAAGCGCATTTGATGGCAGACGTCACAATGAACCACACTTCCACAGCCAAGGACAGCTTTCGAATGTCAAAGTGTCTTATTTGCGATAAACACTTATCAAGGCCGGAACATCTAGCGAGGCACAATGTAGTGCATCGTCAGGACAAGACTATAGAATGCAGTTTCTGTAGAAATTTATTTGGGCGAAAGTAAGTTTTACCCCCAGATAGACTATATAGGCTGTGGTACGGTAATTTGACGACAAGCTTAATAACCTGACCTTGCATAGAGATTCAGCGAAGCGTCACGAGCAGTTACACAATAGAAGGTCAGGTGCTGCAACATCTATCCCCCAAACCACTCGTTTGCGAAAAAGCTGTGCACATTGTGCAAAGTCGCGGATTAAATGCTCTGGCAGGCCACGGTGTACTAATTGTGCCGCACGGGGTCTGGAATGTGTGTACCTTCCTCGCAGACAAAGGCGACAGATGTCTGAAGATCCATCCGCTGGCGAAAGTTCGATAATGAATGATGAATTATTAGATAAGGATGATATGCTTTCTGGATCCGCTAATCAGTCTCAATCCTTCACAGATGAGCAGTGGTTGTCTAGAGACTGCGAAAGCTTAAGTACAGGACCTGCACGGGTAGTGGACGAAGATCTGAACTTTCTACCCTTACCAAGCGTTGACCCTCTTGATATAACCCTGGACATCAATTGGCTCCCATTTGACGACTCTATCAATGAACAAAATGTCTTCCCAAGCCCGGAAGGCGTTCCATTGTTCTATCCTAGCGATGGTCCGGTGCTTCCAGAGAAAGATTTAAGAGTGCAGATTCCTGATGATACCAGCTTAACAACAAATTATCAACCTCCTCACAATGGTGTGGTCGATCACTGCGACCATGTATCTGCGCTGATCAACTCAATAGGACGTGAACTACGTGACAACCTCCCAGAAGCGCAATCGTGTCAATTGCACATTGCTCCAGAACTTAGCCCGCGCAACACATTGTATTCAGATGGAGCCGGATTCCGTTCGAGCCAGGCAGAGCGTCTTGTCATTAAAAGATCAGATCTATTTGTGGCACCAGTCGGAGCGGATCTTGTTGGAGACAGTGATGCTTGGATTTCGGTACTTACTGAAAAGGTCAGGAGAATTGAAGAGGATCCTATTATTACTACTCAAATCTCTAGTCATACATTCGAGGAGATATGCTCCCGACTCCGGCCAGAGGGAGGCACTTCACTATTATCCCAGCCCTTTGTTGCACATGAGGATATTTTACTCAAACACTCGACGTTCACACTCTGCCTCCAGCTTTATTTCCAAAACTTTCACAAAACGAGCCCTTTCATCGATCGCTCGCTTCTCGCAATTCCGATATGGGGTTGGAGTCTAACTCTTGCAGTAGTAGCGACTGGGACACGGTACTTGGATCTGGAATATGTTACCAAATTTGGCGAAGAACTATGCAGTCTTATCAATGAAGTATTGCTTAAAGAGGTTGGTTATCCAGCACGAAAGCGGCGATACGTGCTGATGCCGTAATGAAGCTACGATTTGGCCGAATCGAAGATTCACTACCTTACATACAGGCACGTGCTTTGGCTGCAATCGGCCTTTGCAACAGCGATGAAGTCTATTTGATCAAATATGGACACAGTGCCTGGGCTTTAGTTGTCAATTCTTGCCTTCAGCTGTGTCTGCTTCAGGAAGATGACCGCATCGGGACAATGCAAGAACAACAAAGCCCGGATCAAAAGTGGTTGGCATGGCGCTTTAGGGAAACGCGCCGAAGAACAGGGCTTTTCATATGGGTAAATTTGATGTTTCATGACACTTTCGGTGTAGCTAATTTACCACGCTAGCTGAACGATTGCTTTCTCGCAATCATGACTGAAAATCCACCAACATTGCTGAGTCGGACTTTCAATTTGAGAATACCCTGTCAAGAAGACTTATGGCAGGCTGGCTCTGCTCAAGATTGGGCTTGCATTGCTCCTTCCCTACTAATCAATGCGGAGAACGATTTATATGCTACAGAGAAAGCAGATCGGGCACTTGTCTGGGACTTATCTCAAGAATTTTGGCAACAACTTCGGCGGCCTGAGCCAACTACCCAGTTTGCCACTCTCGTGATACTGCACGTCATCTTACGACAAAAATGGGAGCCGGATCACTATAAGAACGACGCACTTAACTTGGTTACAGCAGATGGTTTACAAGTGTCTTGGACGCATCGAAATCGCTATTATGGTGAATTTACCGAGTTCATGAGATGGCGCAACCACACCTGCGACTGCCTAGATATTCTACACTGGGAAGCTCTTAGTGAAGCGAATCGAGCAGGAGGACTCGAAGGCCCAAATCTTCTACAACTTCACCTAGCACGCCTGGTTATACTCGTGCCAGTGCGTGACTTGTTTGATCGCGTTTCCGCCCTCAATCCACCATCCGGCCCACCTAATAATCATCTTCCACATAGCCTGTATCATTTGGCAAATCCGAATTCGAGATGGAATCGAATTCTTTTCAACTGGGGTCACCAGGACCGCTACAAAGCTCGTCTAGCCGCTGTTCATGCAGGTGCAGTGCTCTGGCATATTCGTCGTTACTCGGTGGCTTCGCTGATAGAGCCATACTCCATTTTCCTCGCCACCCTAACTTTATGAGCGTTTGGAAGCGCTTCGAAGGTAATCGAAAGTGTACTGGTGGCCGAGTCAGAGGGGAGGATACAAGAGAACCATAGGATCAGTCAGCTACATCCAAATACTGCTGTATCTCTTACTCAACCAACGCATGCAAGCCGAATGCCTCAAATCATACAACTAGATCGTCCTGTAGATGATGAGCTTGTACAACATTTTATTCGATCTGGAGGGGAGATGAAAATATGCCTCGAGGGTGTTGTCGACCTATGCTCTAAGAAAAGGCCTTCCCAAGTCCTTCACGAGGGAGTCGAATTGTTGAAGCATCTACCCAAGACCTGGCCTATAGCACAGAATTATGCTTCTGCGCTATTCGGTCTGGCGTCTACCAATAGTGGGGGTGAGAAACCCAATAGTTGAACATGAATTGCCCCGAACTTGAACTACACAATATGCACTTATTCCTACACTTGCATATATTGTTTTCATTTCCTTAAATGCTAAACGTCCCTGCATTCAAGCAAAATGATCCTTGAGTGCTATGTACAGGTGTATCACGTACTCGAGCCCAACTACAGCAGCCAGGACCCAGTATTGAAAGTATGCGTATGCTCTCTCGGATTACTCCTTAGCACTGCCATATATGAACTTTGTTTAGATGTTCAAGCCTGAACTGTTGCGTAGAATACCAGCGTGGAACATCAGGTCAAGCTCCTTATTGCCCTTTCCTTTAGTCCTAGGAATACAGAAGAAAACCTATACAGCTATCAGTACAGCAAAATAGAACTAGAAGAAGTCTGTTTTACTTAGTAATCAAATAGATATAATTAAAATATGTATTAATTAATTAGTTAAGAGAAGTCTATTAGGTTTCTTTATCTATACTTCCTCTATTATCTTTCTTATAAGTACTCTTACTCCTAGGTAAGTTCTTAATAAGGGTAATAAGACTATATTATAGTAGTCTTATTACCTATCCTAATTTAATAAGAATAAAGTATATTTTTATTACTTATTATAACATTATATTTAGGCTTATTAGCGTTTTAGTTAGTTACGTAACGTGTTGTTCCCCTCATAAGTGCTTGGCTAAGGTTCTCTTCGTCCTCCAGTATTCATTGGCCTTCAGATCTTAACAATAATCAAGGAATCCGAATAGTCTGACCTGGGATAAGGCAAGGGCTGAGCGCCTAGGTTCCATTCAAATCTCAGCCAGTGATGCCTAATCTCACTCAGGAGCAGATCCCAAAGCTACCTCCACTCGAAAGCTCTATTTTGCCATGCTTCGGCGTTCTTCTCAAGCTATAAGCCCTCGAGTGGTCTCATACTTGCAGGAGTTCAACATATCTATTGATTAAATGCCATCTAATGTTTTTAGCCCCTGGCGCTGTCTATTGAAAGTTGGTCTTTTAAGTATAAGGCAGCAGCCCTAAATGTTGTACTGGACTTTGAAGGGCCGATTCTAGGCCTAATATTGTGAGCACGTGAATCCAGGTTGTAATGCGATACATATTTATATGTACACCCATGCGGCTCCCTTGATCTGATCTCTTGTCTTCAATTAAATTTCTAGGGGAGCTAACAGTAATTTTGATGATAAAATAACGCGATGTTTGATCTTCCTACCGATATCGCGGTTACTGTCTTGGACTACGTATGTCCCCCCCCCCAACCTTATCCTTAAAGGTCCAGGAAAAAGGGAAGAAAAGACTGACCATTCAGATCACCGCAGTCAATGACCTCAAAGCACTCTGCCTCACGTCCAAAGCTTGCCACGAGCGCGTGATACCTCGACTTTACCGACACGTCAACATCCCGCTATGGCATCATTCGGTGCTGACGTTCTCTCGGCAATTCCATTCCGGAGAAAGTAATTACTTGAAGCATACGAGGACCTTGGTCATCGAGCATCAGGAGATTGCTAATCCGTTGAAAGGCTACGCTCCTGAAGACAAGGATAAGCCCGATAGCAGTACAGTCAAACAGGAAGAAGATATGCGCATGGTGACGTTGATGGAGGTATTACAGTTGTTTCCACGAGACGTCTTGCGAGATTTCCGGTGACTATAAGAAACTCCTTAGCTCTTAGCATAGGACATATGGTGGACTGACGTACGTGTATAGGTTCGTGTCTACTCGATGTTTACCTTTGGTAGCTCTACAGTGGCTATCTATCAACCAGAGAGGTATTGATAAATTGCACTCCTCGTTCATTGAGGAATCTCTCCCGGTCTATGCTGTTTACCCTGTGGATGTCTTTATGAAGGTTCGACATCTGGATTTGCATGTGCATCGGGAGCCATCGATCTTCGGCAATTTTCTACATCATCTCGTTTCGAATTCCAGCCCTATAGAAATCCTCTGCTTGACTGGCGATATGTACCAATCTCACTGGAGCGAAGTACACCAATACCTACTATCAGCCACTGAGGGTCTCGATGCAGACGCCGTCAACACCATTATGCCGCGTCTCCGAGAACTAAGCTTCTGCGGCTTCGACCTGAGTCTACCATGGCTCCCCGCTCTGCGCAAGATCGTTGACTTTGCGAAACTGACAAAACTCTACGTCACAAAATGCGATGCTGCGTCCGCGTTCTTGCACGACCTAGCATCGATTGCAGAGATCAAAATGTTTCGTCTCGAACACCTCGCCGTCGATGCTTTGAATGAAAGTTCCTATCACTACGACGACGAAGCTGCCAGCGCCAGCGCCAGCGCCGAAGCAATTGACAAATGCATGGCGAATATCGTCCGAGAAAGCAGCCGCGGTCTCAAGACTCTCCACCTAGGCTGGCACGAACATTACGAGGACGGACAGGGACAGACTAATATCCTCATCCGAAACCTCCTTGACGAAATCTGCAGCAGCCACGGAGAGTCCCTGCGCATCTTGGGGTTACACACGCACAATTATGCAGACTATGAAGAAGGCGTGGAGGCGCTGAGTCCTGAGGATCTCGAACGTGTGTGTAGAGCCTGTCCTAAGATTGAGGAGTTGGGGTATCAATTGGGGTCCGGGGTGTTGGATGGTGATACCGAGGATGGAGATGCGTTGGATGCTTTTGTGGTATGTGTCTCTCATTTTCATATGGCTCTCTTTCCGATTGATTTTCCTCACTTTTTTGGATTTCTTAGGATCCGTTTTATCATCTAGTTGGTTTTCCACCATTTAGCTTCGTTGAATGCCGAATGCCGAATGCCGAATAGAGAAGGAGGAAAAGGGTAGCGGAGGGGTATACATGTTGATGAATGCTAACGCGAAAACCTCCTATACAGCAAAACATAGCCCTCCTCCCCTCCCTACATACCCTGCACCTGCGCTTCCCGCACGAACTCGAGGTATCGGGATTCGACCCCTATCGCTACGATCCCGATGAGCGACCAGAATATATGGAGGGGCTAGCGAAAGAATTGAGATTAGTCGCCAGGAAGATATTTAGTAAATTAGAAGCCTATCAAACGACCAAGGGGGAAGGAGGGAGAGAGGATAGAAGGAATAGGTTGGAGAAGATTGTGATTGGGCATCTCACGACGTTGAGGCAGCATACGAGTAAGTGTTCGCTTCCGCAGCATTGTTTCGTTAGGGGGGGTTTTGAGGAGGGTGGGAAGATTGTTGGAGGGTATTCGGATGATAAAGAGGATATGCAAGAAGAAGATGATAGTGGGGGTGATGACGATAATGTCAATGGCGAAGGCGACAGTGGAGACCACGGAGACACTAGCAGTGTGGAGCCACAGAACTGTGAGGTTGCGGCGAAGCCAGTTCTGCGATCAACGTTGCGCAGGATGCGATTGAATACGCGTGTCTTAGATATAGATGTTGGGGTAGAGCCTTTTGAGCAGTGGGCTAGGAGGGCGTTGTAGGGCAGAGTGTGTGTTCTTGTAATGCGACATATTCTTTTCTTCTGCAACACATGTCTCATTAGAGTTAAAAGGTTAATCCTCAGCTATTGGTATTTGAGATATAAGAGCAAAATATGCTGGAACAAGCATTTCTCCAGGTAAGGCTATAACATGTGAGGAGATAATATTATAGCTCCATATAAAGATATCCAGCCTCTAGTTAGTATCTATTCTATACATGAAGTTGGAAAACCCATCATCCAAATGAAATTTTCCCAGAGCTTACTATCTTCTCCCTTTACCCCTGTGTTCCATGTCTCGTCGTTATCCAACTGATGAATCCAACCCCGCTCTAGCTCCTGTCTCTTCTTACCCCCTTCCTCATTCCAATCATTATGGATCTTTCTGAATTCCCTTAGTCGCGCTCCCCTCCCTTTTATCAGACTGTTTTTACGTTCTTCGAAAACATGTGGTAATGTGGAAGGTAGAATCTCAGGTTGTTTCATATACAAGTCGGCCCCATGTCTCTCACAAGCATGCTGCGTCCACTGCCCAGCCTTTTCTAAGTAGACTTCGCATTGACCCGTAGGGCAACGAAATGGCTCGGGATTTTCCTTGCTAAAGTATTGTCGATCGAAAGCCTCGATTGCGACTACCCCAAGGCCTGTAAGTTGTAATTGATTCGTCTCTTCTTCATGGAGCAGTCTGTTGAATTTACCAGCCAGCCCATTAAATCTCCTACGAGGCATAAGAACGGTCTTGCGTTCAAACTTAGACGCAAGTTTCCTCCATTTACCATTATCTATAAGACGATTATCTCTACCAGTACAAAAACCGAAATCTCCAGGTCAACTGGGCATGTCTCGACAAGTATCTTTAGAGCATATGCAATAGGCTCATCGTTTTGATATCTCTCGTACCTCTTTTCCCTATTGCTGTTAACAACCACCCTTTTCGCATGGGGAAATCTCATTCGAAAGGTCCTCCAAAACTCTCGGGCCTTGTCGTAATAAAGCTCTATTCCACCTACGCCGTCAAAATTAGAGTCAACAACGGACTTATCGTTGTCCTCGATCTCCAAATTTTGCACGTAAGCCATAAAGGACAGGTCGTAGTATGTATAGCCTGGGTGCCCACCTCTAAAGAGCCAGTGGGCCTCGACGAGATAGTATGCATCTGGTTCTGACCAAAAGCGTTTCGCAGCTTCAACGCGAAGAAGCATGGATGTGTGCATCATCTGATAGAGCGTAGGCGCAGAACAGAAGTCTAGGACGCGCAGTTGAAGCTCCATGGAAAGCTGGCTGAAGTGTGATAACAGGGCGGCTTGCGATGAAGTGCAGGGTGGAGCATCTTCATCCGTAATGTACAAGTGGAATGGAACGCGTTCTTCGCCGCCGGTCGTTATATAGAGGTTCTAGTTCAGTGGCTTCGATAGCGTGGCGAGTAAATTGCAGATGTGCATCGTCTGCATTTTAGGCTTGTGATTGTAAGGTCTAGTAGATGCTTAAACCAAGGTCTTGTACCAATTTTATACGGTATCCGTGTTCGGGATGAAAGCGTTCCGGCCATCGTTGAACGGGCGCCAAGAATGACAGCGCATGTGGCACAGCAGGCAGCCTTGCGCACTGACCGTGGGACAGGAACATGAGGCTCTCCTGGATGACTTTGGCCTGCTGCATAGTTAGTTGCCTCATAGCCGTTGGCTACAGTCCAAATAAGCCTCTAGTGCGAATTTCTTTGCACGGTTGGTCGCTATTCAGTAAATAACAATCTGCAGTCTGCAGTAACAACCCTGCCACTGAGTACCATCGCCGTTGCACTCTACACCGAAACAGCACTTGTACTAGCCTCAAAACGTGAGTCGAATCTGCAACTTTTAGCTCTGAGCTATTTATTTGTTATTGTAAATGAAACATTATTGACCTGCGCCTACTGCAAAAGAAAAATAGCTGAAGCTAAAGGGTTCCTATACCTCTAAGCTTGCGCACGTTGTACGACGGCTTTATACGGTGGTAGCGATTGCTAGAAGGCCGATTCCAAGAGTCATAAGAAAGTGCACCCTAGCCTATCGAGCACTCTAGTTCCTATCCCACATCTTGCCTTCACAATCTACAGCGACAAAGATCCGATCCGTTCACGAAACTTAGTAAGGGCACGCGCCTGCACGAACGTCTGGAAATTGATATATTGAAGCTGTTCATTGACCCTATATCGCATACAGCAAGCGGACGACTTTCAGTTTGAGAAATGGACCACGCCACCAAGCATCCATACTGGCGCTGCGTCTAGCACTGAACTCTTTCGCCAGTACTTCGATGGGGCGACTGCTTATCGCAATTTTCTACCGCCATGGTGGAACTCGGGGAAGACCGAAGAGTTTGTTGCCTTTAGAGTAAGTGGCCTACGGAGCGATTGAATAAAGAAAGTGACGAAACATGAATTAATTCAGCACTATGGATACGATAAGATGGTGTTGCAGCTTTTTCTTTTCCATAGGCTAGGTCGGCCAAAAAAAGCGACACAACCCTGCCAGGGTGCTACTGGGCATTTCGAAGGAAATGAATCTCAGACGCAGCGGACTATGGCCCCTGTTCCTTGCTGTAGCTGCCATTTTGGGTCTGCTGTCCTTTCTCAGAGTCATCCTCCTGATGGTCTATAGTGAAGCTACAGGAGGATGGACTAGGCAGACAAACACTTGGAAGCGCTGGTTGGAGTCGGTCGAGGAATGCCCTATCTGGACCATAGATGATGCCTCTTTGTAGTGGCCTGTGTTTACTTTGCCAGGCAAATGCGATATTGATATGCGACTCATTTGTCTTGTCGTTGTACTGGTTTGACGGTTTACTAGATTGTGTCACATCCTTCTCAGTGATTGCAATGGTCAGCTGACGATATTCTCGAAACTCAGTTGGGAAGCAGATGTCCCGTCTCGTGTTCTCTTTCACTCCTTTTGTCAATCGACTTCCACGGCTCCTTCGGTTTGGCAGCTGGAAAGAACAAACAACGACGTCTCAACATCTATATCTAGGCACATCCGGTACAGTATGCAATTAAATGGGCGTTTGTAGACCAAGTACCGATAGAAGAGCTCTGCAACATCCCCCAGGAGTGGCCTAGCTACATAAAGCTCCTAATGAGTAGCACGTCGAGCTTTATTGACCGTATTGATCACCGCAGTCGTGTCTCCACAGACGCATACGGCTCGGCGGTTCAATGTGCTTTTACAATGTCCAACAGCCAGTAAATCAGTACCTCTCGGCACCTGTCCGCTATAATGAAAGATAAGCAGGATCAGTAATGATAGAAAGTCATCGTGTAGCTATAGATATCGCCGAACAGCGTTTACGTTCCAAGCATTATTGGACATTAGGCCGTCCATAGCCGCAAGGCAGGCTCGTGTAGATAGCTCTAGGTAGGTCTCGGAATGCCCTTTCTCCGGTTCCGATACAAAGGAGTGATCCTCATCCACGTTGGAAAATCAGTTCTTGAGATGGCTAAATTTGCACGGCGGGTGCCAGCAATAGAGTAGGCGCTTGTAGCAGCTTCTAGCACTCTCTAGCGCACAACCACCAATAGCTCGGAAGTCAGACATGGTTTACCAACGGTTCTCCTAGGCGACCTCGTCTCTATCGTCGCTCCACTGTACCCGGAAAGATGGTCACTCCGAACGAGCAAATGCACGACCGTATCTGCTGAGACTTCTGAGTTCGCTTATAGGCGATTGTGAATTGATGCAGCCCTTTTCAACTTGAACTGCATTGAGCATATCGTTTTGCCTATACTGAAGATGCATAATCATGTACATTGACTTTTTTAAGATTGTCTTGATTCTTACTAGCTACTTTAATTTTGAAGCTGGACTGATACTCTGTCTCAATATAAAGAGCTGCCTAACTCTAAAGTAGTTGGTAAATATTGTTTCTGAAACGGATCTTTTCATCCTAATGTCACCGACTTGAGCGCCGTTCCGACTAAAAAGGTAAAGAAGAACGACAACGATGGCAATAATGATGACTATGTAGTCGTTTTTGTCAAGATTGAGATTCAGGATGACAAGTGCAACCCCCTTCCTAAGCCTAAAGTTAGCAGGCTGCTAGGTATTATAGCAAATGTTATAAATAAGGTTATTAATACTATTATTAGTAATACTTATAATATAGAGTTTCCTATTATTAAGGTTAATATATAGTTAAGGCTAAATAGACTTAACTAAGCTTCCTAGACTATTAGGGTATACTAGGTGTAATGGGCTGGTGCCCAGGAGATATACCCTGGATGAGATCCAGTGTAGTAATCGCGACAAAGCGCCGTGAGAACAACTAACGACTACCAGCTGCCCGTCGAGGGCACTTGGTGGCCAGTGTAGTTGAGTACTTCTCCTGAGTTTCCTAGTTAGAATTAGCGTGGTTTTCGTAAGGGATTCTTATAATCCCTACTCGAGGCTCTCTAAGACCTCTATCGAATTCATTACTGTTATCAGGTATCTGCAAGCTCTGCGCAACCCTTACACTAGGCCTACTAGTAATCCTAATAACCCTAGAAATAACCCTAATAAATTATTGTTACGAACCTAGGATTCGAGAAGGGGATACGGCGCTTATAAGGAAGGCTGATGAAGGAAGCACTGCTACAGCCAACGCGGGGACGACACTTAAGAACCAATGGATGACGCATCATCACGTGTTCCACGATATCCCACGAAGCTTGGCGTACACCAGCCTGGGATACCATGGGACAAGTCACGTGTCCCACGGTCCACGATATCCCACGGTATCCCACAGTGGGATCCATGAGATATCATGGGAAACCATGGGACGCCTCAAGTATATAGAGAACTCAGAATACCCTTCTGGTCTTCTGTGTTCAACCTAAGTTAGTATCGAACAATACACTCTACTGTTCTACCGCTATTATCTTTCTTGCCTTACAATCGCTTCGTGTTACTCTTCAGATTATCCCCGAGAACCAACCAGTAGATCCTCGATCTTAACAATTATCTTCTATTACCTAGGGGTTAAATTCCTTAATATTATTAGAGAGCTACTTAGCTATACCTTTTCTAAGCTATTGTAACGATACGTAACTTACTACACAAGGTAAGAGGGGTATATCGCAGAGGTTTGTATAGGGTAAAGCGAGTATCAAGACAGGATAATACCTCTAACTCATCCAGGGGGATAAGCTACTGTTGTACTAGTAAGGTAATTCCAAAAGATCAGATACAATTTGTTATTGACTACGAAGAACTCCTACATATGAAATCTGGCAATCTTATATATCCGTCCTTCCTA